ACGAGAATTCAAAGTTTTACTCTGGGCACTCGGTGGAGATACCTTGACAACTTTTAGCAATGCGCATTAAAAATAAAATATATTCCTCAACTCCGAATCGACACTATCAACACTATCGAGCGGAACGAAATAGTGGTGCAGCACTGACTAGTTACTATCGACACTATCGAGCGGAGCGAGATAGTGGTGCGACACTGACTAATTACTATTGACACTATCGAGCGGAGCGAGATAGTGGTGCAGCACTTAATAGCAACATTATTGAATCTCTCTCTCTCTCTCTCTCTCCATTTTTCTGCTTCAAGAGCTCACTTACTTTCAAACGTTTTACATTGGTGGCAGCTAGTGTGCTCCACTATCTCGCTCTGCTCGATAGTGGGTGGCAGCTAGTCTCTATATACATTCTATTCCACCACTATACAACTCCGACTATATTACAATTTCAAGTAGATTCTTTCATGGTTTAAAAATATTGCAATTGTACTCCATAAGATACTGTACCCAATTAAAACCACCAATGCCGCTGTATTCGACATTTCGAGCGTATTAAAGCTCATATTAACCAACCCAGTCAACAAGTTTCCCAACAAGAATATCAACAACCCATTGTTATTGATACTGTCCAACAAATAGGAGGACTCTTGTTTCTTGTGCGTTGGCACAAATTTATCAATCAAGTTGTATCCCAATAATAAAGTAGAATTATATGAAACTACCCAAAGAATATATGAAAAGTTGGCTAATCTTCTGCTAATACTAGTAACTGTAATAGACTCATTCACTAAATTGAAAACCACTTGATAAAAGACCGTTGCAAAGATTAAACCTTGAGTGGGGGTCACCGTTAAAAGCGACGACAACAACGACGTTTTTTTCTTTCTAGTAACAGTAACTTTAGTATTACTTATCACTAGTAGATTATTCTTTGTAGGATATTCAGTCAACACAAACGAACCAACAGACTGTCCAAACAAAAATATAGTAAAGTAACCCAAAAGCGAATAAATTCCTTCTTTGTTCATAGTAATCCAGTTGTCTAAGCGATTATCACTCATGATGATAAACTGAATAATATTTGTTTTCTTTAAAAGATACTCATTTACTAGGGCAAGCGCAAAAGCAACAACAACTCTAGGCACAAGATTCAAAATGGGATCAAGTATTCCTATAAATATTGGTAACAACCCCAAAGTAACGAAAAAATTCCAATGTACACCATACTCAGAAACGTGCTCTTGGTAATCCAATTGCTTCACACTGACAATTCTAGCAATACCAAGAACCAAAACCGGAATTGCCTTTATTGTATTGGTTTTAATGACATTTAAATAAGTCTTTACATCAAACCTATATTTGGTATGGTTTTTAATCAATTGTCTTGAATTGAATAGTCCCATGGAAAACACAAACGAGCCAACGCCCAAATCCATCATTGAGGTACCCCATGTTTCTACTTTTGCAAATCTACGTGGAAACACTTTAAAATCAACTGCTAATATAGACAAATTGGTTATTATCAACATGTGTGACCTATACGTAGTGAGGAAAGATTTCTTCGGTAAGATTGTAGAAACAGCTTCATGTTCTTGTTTAGCAGCAGCAGCAGCAGCCGATTCGTTTTTCCTTGGTTGCGTTGTATAGTGGTTTATTAAATATATAAACAATGATGGTAGTAGAATGGAATAGTGTAAAACAACTGGCCTGTTGCTATATATCGTGATGGCAGATAAAACAGTTAACACATTGATGATATAGTCATAAACAAGTGGTAGCTGTGATATAGAATCCTTAATAAATTTGTGTGCTAAATATGATGTCAATGCAACTGAAGTCACCAAGTAGATTTCTCCAATTGATCCTCCTGACAAATCTGATACAAATTGCTCCTTCAAATGTTTCAATGACGACATATGAGCTGATGATCACACACGTTTATGAATCGGCTTCTTTCTTTCTTGCTTTTCGTTTCTTTACCCTACTAACAGTATATGTTAAGAAGTTGTGAGGAATAACTTCACTGTGCTAATAGTACAAACCTCCTTATATTCTCCTCTCTTTGGAGAATTTTTCAGACATAAACTTCTTTTCCTCACGTGATGCTCATACATTCTTGTCCCCCCCCCCCCCCGTCTAAACTGAGCCACATCAGACAGACAGACAAAACTTTGAAAAAAAATCGAGATGAAACAGACAGACAAAATAATTCTCTTTTTTTTTTTTTTTTTTTTTTTTACTGAAGGAGAAAAAAGATTAATAAAGATGAGAGTACTATCATTGATTGATTACTTTACTTTAATATAAACCCTTTTTATCTTCATATTATTGATATAGAGACACTAATACTCCTTGTTGAAGATATTTGCCGCTTTCCTATTGAGAGTATAACTTGATATCATCCTTCAACAGGTATGACGAGTACAGCAGATCCAGTCAACAAGGACGAAATGGATGATGGTAACTATGTAACCGATCAAATGTCAAATAAGTCACATGACTCCATAATATCAGATAACCCTAATGACATTAGTGGGCACGTATCCAGTGCTAGTTCAATAGATTTGCAGCATAAGGGGAGAGTAGAAGATGAGATGTTTTTGTCGAGTGGCGATAATAATAATAATATTTCAGAAACCCCCAAATCTCCTCGTTTAACAAATTCAAAAGCAAAAGCATTTGATATTGGGACGCAATCCACTTCCAATAATGAGTTTGGGGTATATTCTGACTCTGATGATTGGGGATCGCAAAGCTCTCTAGACTTGCAAAGCGAACGAGAGCATCCAAGAAGGAATATTGGGCAACAATTACGTAAGTTGGCACGCAATCAAACCTCAGAAGAAGAAGAAGAAGACGAGGAGGAGGAGGAGGAAGGAAGACGAGGAGGAGAAGAAGAAGATGGGGAGGAGGAAGAAGATGGGGAAGAAATCAATGTATCTCAATCGGCAGCTAGACTGGCAGGAGAATCGGAAGCTGGATCCAATAAAAAGCACAAGGTATCTAGAAGAAAAAGGACAAAAGACTCGAAGCCAACATTTTCAACAGACAAGACTCCCAAAGGAAACAAGTCAAAAGAAAATGCAAATGCAAAAACAAATACACATGCACATGCACATCCGCTTGGTCCTCCTTCTTCGCCAAGGAGGAGAAGAAGAAGAAGCGGTAGTATACCAGATTCCGAGGATACACGAAATAGTGGTAGCGGGCTTACCAAGTCAAGAACTAAAACCAGGAGAAAGTCTCGAGAACCCAGCGAAAAATCACATAGATCATATGAAAAGCCTGGGATAGGATACACATCCATGTCTCCGTCTGGTAAAGTCTTTAGAAACTTGTTAATCTTGGAAGAAAGCATGAGAGAACAAGTTATTCAACAAAGAGCCATGAGACGAAAGTATTTGATATTTTTGTCAATCTTGTGCTCTATTATTGCCGGTTTGACCCATCACTTATTTTTTTTGGACAGTGCAGTATCGTCAACCGGTACCGTAAGGTTGATCATGCAGTTTTTTCTTATTTCAACTATTATTACATTGTTATTATACCATCTCTCTGGGGAGTATAAAAAAACAATTGTGTTACCACGGAAATTTTTATCCTCCACAAATAAGGGTTTGCGACAATTGAATGTGAGACTAGTGAAGATTAAAACCCCATTTACCGATAAGGTAACCGACTTGATACGAGAGGTTTCATTAACTATAGTGACTTTTATTTTAGAAGTTTTCCATAAGATCTCACCTGATTCCATTCAAAACAAGGACTCAAAGATTGAAGTATTCTTGGTAACCTGTCAATCACAATGTCAGCCAAGAATAGGTGTTACCGATGTCAAATTATTACTTAATGCCAGGGCTTTCAACATAGATATAAGAGAAGGATGGGAACTTTATAGAAGTGAGTTTTGGATAAATGAAGGTGTAAGAAGAAGAAATAACATGACTGCTTTTATCAACGGTTCAAAGTTGGAAAAGAGTAAACTTGTCAAAAGAAGAAAAAGAAAATCGAGTTCAATACCACCACAATCAATTCCATCAAAATTGAGTGAACAGAACTTGATGAAGTTGTCCTCTGGAGATGGTATATAAACGAACAAAAGTTAGAGTTGATAATCGCATCCTCAAACAGAGCTGGCTCTCTTTTTGAACGTTTGTAATGTCATCAGCTAACTTGTAGTGGTACATACATACCATACATACATACATACATATACGTATATAATATATATATATATATATATATATTAAGTGCATTTCATTGACAACCCCCTTAAGTAGCTTTGTAGATAAGGGGGAGAAGAAAACCCAAAAGAAAAAAAAAAAAAAAAAAAAAAATTCAGGTCATCGGGTCTCATCTCTAAATTTTTCACTTTTGGAAGCACACTGAATAACGTGCTTTGAAGAACGTGTTTAGAAATAAACTGGGTCAGAGTAACTTGTGAAAGCCCAAAATGAGTGAAGTGAAAGCCAAAAGACAAACTTCAAGGAAAGGCAAGAAAGCCTGGAGAAAGAATGTTGATATTCAGGACATAGAACTGAAACTTCAAGATATTCGAGATGAGGAGATAGTCAAGGATAGAAATTTAGAAGAAGAAGATTTTATAATTGATACCACACCAAGCACCCAATCTGTGTCGATAAAAGCGCCAAAGAAACTAAAAACTCATGAGATATTAGCAAATAAGTCCAAGGTACCAGCATTGTTAAACAATAGAACTAAAAACTATCATGGTAAAATTCAAGGTGTGAAAAAGACAGAAATGTTGAGATTGATAAGGATGCGTGGTGGGAAATATAAAGACGAGAATATAGAAATGAACAGGGTTGAACGGGATGGGTTGATAAATGGCGGTAACAAAGGTAATGAAGATTTATGGGGAGACGAAGGTGACTCTGAAGAGCCCAAACGAAAAACACCAAAGTTTAATAAATCTACTGCAGAGGTTACCAAAGCAACAACAGTACCAAAAACGTTACGTGAAAAGCCCATTCAAATAACTAAGAATGAACTTATTGAAAAGGTTGTACATCCCGGTAAGTCGTATAATCCATCTTTGGAATCATGGAAAGATTTGATTAATCAAGAGTATGGCATAGAATACAAAAGAGAGTTGAATAGACAAGCAATGGAGGAACATGAGTCAAGGATCAGGGAGTTAATGGTTATCTTGAAAGATGATATGTTGTCAGACGATGATGATGATGAAGATGAAGATGATGAAAATGAAAATGAAAATGAAAATAGACAAGAAGGAGGAGGAGAAAAAGAAGTAGTGGGGTGTGTTGAAGAAAATTATTCCTTATCTGTAAACAAGCCAAACAAACTAAAAATCAAGACAAGAACAAAGAGAAATAAAGAAGTTAGGCACAAACAGAGAGTTCAAATAGAGATGGAAATCAAGGATCTAAAGAAACAGTTGAAGGATTTATCCAATTTGGATACGATTTTACAAAAGCAACAAGAAAAGGAAAAACAGGAAGCAAGCAAGACCACGGGACCATTATCGAAGAAGCAAAGGAGCGAAAAGAAGAATAAGCTATTCAAATACACTCCAGTCGAAGTGCCTTTAGAATTGAAACTATCGGATGAGTTAACAAGTAATTTAAAGAACTTGAAACCTGAAGGAAATTTACTTTACGATCAAATGTTGACTCTACAATCAAGTGGGAAGATTGAAGCTAGAGTTCCTGTTAACCGTAAGAGGAAATATGCTAAGAAGGTGACAGAAAAATGGACATACAAGGACTTTAAATAAATGCATCTACATAAACCCCAACCTATTTTATCAACCTCTCCCTTGCTCTCTTCCTCTCTTTTTCTCTCACTCACTCACCCACTCTTTTCCTCACTTATGAAAAATTCCAATCTCCGAAAACGTAACCTCTAAATAACCTATCTCTCAAACTAAAGAATTGGCCTCTATATGGAGTGTCGTATCTTTGCTCAATCCGGTTCGCGGTCTTGAAACTTTCCGGTGCTATGGGCTCACTAGTCTGTCCTCGATATACTCCCGTTAGATAAAAGTCTCTCTGCATCATCTTTTGGTCCCATTGGTCTAAGAAATAACGATCATTCTTCCAACCGTTATCCCAATATCTAATGGCTTGCACACCATGACCTGCCAATCCGAAAAAGGCAGTCATTATTGCATAAGGGATTAGACCTTCAAAAGGAACTGGCATCGTTTGATATCTCTATTCTTTTACTTTTGGGGGGGGGGGGTTCGTAAAGCCTAGTCAAATTATACCGCTCTAAATATTCTCCTCTGAATACTATCGAGGTATATGGGGCGTATGTTGTATCTTGGTCAACACTTGTGCGCTATTGTAGCTTCTTCTTTCAATCCACTAAGATACCTCCTGGTTATACCTATGAAGAAAATTTACCTTTTCTCATTTTGATTGGCTTGTAAATAAAATTCTTACTTTAATTTTTTTTTTCGCTTGGTACATCGTACACTACCTAACATCAACAACACTATCGAGCGACACTATCGAGCAGAGCGAGATAGTGGAGCACACTAGCTGCCACCGATACTATCGAGTGAGATAGTTTAGTGCACTGACTAGCTGTCATCAACACTATCTCGTTCTGCCCGATAGTGTTACACTCTTCACTACTCTTCACTGACAAAAAGAGTTGAGGAAGTGAAAGAAAAAAGAAGAGTATGGATGAGAGAGTGTGTGTGAGGGAGAGAGAAAGAGAGAAAGAATGTGTGCGTCGGTGTCTGTATGTCTCTGTGTCTGTGTGCCTGTGTATCTCTGTGTCTGTGTGTCTGTGTGTCTGTGTGTCTGTGTGTCTCTGGGTCTGTATAAGAAATGATAGAGACTAAGTTCTTTTCTGTATCTTCATCAAATTATTTTGCATTAAAATGTACCCCAAAAAAAAAAAAACATAAAGGGTCTAACCAAAGATCTAACTCAAAGATCTGACTTAAAGATCTAATCATTTAGCTCCCATACAACTTTGACAAATTTGTCCATCTTTACTTTTTCTTTCAGTTGCAATAAACACCATTCGTCATGAGCTAGTAACTCTCTCGGCACTGGTCGTGCTTTACAATCTTTGATTAAACATCTCGAAATAAACTGTTTAAATTGTTTCGACCAATATATCTGGTCCTCTTCGCTATCTTTCAACGTCAACTCACTTCTCAGCACCATCTCAACAACCTCAATTGGTCCTAATCTCAAGTCTATAGGAAATTTTCCATTTGCCACTTCTAACATGGACATTCCTAGAGACCATATATCGCTTGTTATAGAATATGTCTTACCCGTTATTCGTTCTGGTGCCATGTAATATTGTGTACCAACAAAAGTGGAGGCTAAGGAATTGACTGCTTCTCCACTAACACCAAAGTCGCATAGCTTAACGTTTCCTTTTGAATCAAGTAACACATTTGACGGTTTTATATCTCTATGAATAATGTTTTTCAGGTGCAAGTAATCCAACCCTGATAGCATTGAACGTGCAATCTTTCCCAAAACTTTCTCATTGATTCTATTAGTTTGATCTCTTTTTAAGACTTCTTTATATAGAGAGTCTAATGACTGACCATCCATATATTCCATCGTGATACCAATCATTGATAGTTTTTCCAATAGAAAAGTGCCATAATACTTGACTATATTTGGATGTTGGCATTTTCTTGCAATTTCCAACTCCCTGATAATTTGCTTTTGTACTTGAGGATCTGAATCTGTAACTATTAGTTTTAGTGCAAAAATTTGTGTGGATGGTATTTGAGGAATGAGGCATTTGCTCACGGCTCCACCGTTGCCCTCCCCGAGTTTACAAATCTCTTTGATTTGATTGTTGTTTGCTAAAAAATGCCAGTCGTAGGGCGTTAGATTCTCCAAGTGGTGTTTATTTGAAACGGCAGAAGAGCTCGGGAGGTTTGGTGGTTGCTCATAATGAATGTGACTTTGCGAGTTCTGCTTCAACACATCATCAACACACGTGTTTCTTACTTCGTCATCCTGCTCAGACATCTCCATTGCTACATCGTCAACCAGTAAATCGGACGGCTCTGCTGGTGATACTACACTTTCGTCGCCAATCAGCGGTAGATCTAGTGTGGTACATGGCGGTGGTGGTGGTTTCCTCTTTAGTTTACCAGAAGCTGAAGAAGCTGTAGATTGTGCAGTTACTGGAGTTGTGGACGACGTCAAGGACGAGGACGAAGATCTTGAATTCGTATTATAGCTAGGTTGCGGTCTTTGTGGTAAGTGGTATTGTGCATTCTTGGTATACAAGTCGGCTAAAGCTGTGTTTCCTCGGTACGCTTCGTCGTCGTTTGGACTGATAAATTGGTCGAGCTGCGATTCAAAGATGCCGTCTTCTCGTGTATTCGACAGTAGTTTTGGTTTGGTATTATTGTGTTTTGCAGGTATTGAGAGCGAGGGAAGCGGTGTGCTATTAAGATGCTTCCTCGTATTAGGTATATTAAACATAGGTACTCCTGACATTTCTTGGGAGACTCATCTACACACGGGGTTTGATTGTATCTCTATAGTATGTAAAAATTTATTGCATCTATGTTTGAAAGGTGCTTTCCTTTATTTAATGTGTGTGTGTGTTTCGGAATAAAGCAATATACGCCTGACCCTAGTGTTTGGTGATATCGAGAGAGATCGAACGAGTAGATTTAATAAAATAAATTCGTTAACTAGAATCTTAATATATCACTTCTCTCTTTTACAAAGATAGTTAAGAAAAAATTAGTTTTTCTGATTTTCTATGACTTTTTCTCTGTACTAGTTCAGATTGCCGTAGCAGCAGAGATAACTGAGTTTACAACAAAATGACTTCGCATTAAAAGAAGGAAGAAGGTGCATAAGCCTTAAATGATCAAGGGAAAAAAAAAAAAAGAGAGACTAGAGAAGCCAAAGGCGACTCTAGTCGAAGGGATATTAAATAGAATAAAACTTAAAAGAGCCAGAAAAAAAAGAAAGAGGAAAGAGATCCTTCTTCAAATGTTGGAATTGATATCAAGTGTCAGTATCTTCTTTAAAGAGGTCCTATTTCCTTCTTCTTTGAAAAGGTTTTATTTCTTTGCTCTCTTTTTAGGTGCTGCCGTTTTAGTAGACTTTGATCTAGCTTCTGGTTTTTTCTTTGATGTCTTCTCCTTGATTAACTTGTCCTTTTTAATGTCAATACTATCGCTAGTTTCATCTTCGTTGTCATCCGGAACATCCTCCATGTCATCGTCAACTACTTCTTCGTAATCAACTTTTGTTGCAGATCTCTTGCCTCCAGTTGCCAAAGAATCACCCGTTTTGTAAATTACTGTTGGATGTGCAACGCTATTGTATTTACGAGTAAACATTGACTTACTCTTGACTCCCAAACATATTGTCTGCTTCAACATTTCTGACATGTTGTCAAGATCCTCCTTGGTAAGATAGTACTCGTCCATTATCTCTATAGTTTCGTCAATTCCATCATCTCCGCGCTTCTTGAGTGGAGCGTCCAACTTCTCCCACAATGGTCTTAAATAATCGAGACGCAATTCCTGTTTTGTTGTCGAGGTTTTAATCCTAGTATGATACTGCAACTCCTGCAATATTCTTTGAAACTTCAACTGCTTCGAATTTTGACCTAACCAACTACTGAAATTTAATCTCCCCATTACCGCGCCCGCGACTTCATACGAGGGCTTCACTGAAGACATTATACCGTGAAACGGTAACAAACTCCATTGCTGCTCACTTGATCGAATTAAAGAGTTTATCGAATCTGAAACACTAATGTCATCTGCGGCTTGTGCCACGTGTTTGAGATGGGAGCCAGGTAGTCTTGGCTTGGTGCAAAGATAGTTTTCTTGAATCATTAATGGTGCAAAATCAATGTCATTAAAATATAAATCCAATTTTTCATTGATATTTTGCTTGGGAGAAGTCCATATCGCCGATCCTAATAAACGATGTGCTATATCAAATGGTTTCAAAATAACTTGTTTTTTCCAACCCGCCCGAATTTCTTGGACGTTGTTGGCACCAATATCCTTCTGAGTTTTTGAAACTGTGGATAGCAAGTTGATCATTTGACGAATATCATTTGATGTAAGTTGCACCAATTGCCCAATTATATGAGGGTCTAGTTTTATTCCTTCTCTCAAAGCAATTGTCATCAATCTGCTTTTCACTTCGTTTTCAGAAGGTCTCTTAAATGGCAAGTCAAAAGTAACTCTATCAAAAGTCCTCATTTTGGGCAAAGATTTGTCGTTACAAATCAAAATCATTGGCGTGTTGGTAGTTCTGCAAAATTGTGATAAAGCCCCCGCTCCTCCATGATCACCACTCGACATCCCATCAACTTCATCCATAATCAAACATATCTTTCTGGTATTTTCATTCTTCTCAGCATCAGCATCATTGCGGTGCTTAAAATAGCCAGCAACGGAGGTATTATTCAAGACAGACTTGACATTTGCATTCAATAGTGACTTTGAACGAACGTCTGAAGCATTTTTTTCCAATACATCGAATCCAAGAGAATTTGCAACCATGTGTGCTGCTGTTGTTTTACCAATTCCAGGTGGACCGCTGATCAAAACAGCCCTAAAGTTTCCGGGATCATCCGTTCTGCTGTTTTTAAACCCTCTTGCTTTGTTATCAAACCAGCTGCCTAACCATTTTCGTAACTTTTCAACTTGACCCTTGTTACCACATAATTGACTAAAGTCTTTGGGCGCGTGTTTGTCAGTCCATAGCTTGTTTTTTGCAGAAATCTCTTGTTTTGGTATAGGAGGAAGCCTAGTTTGAGACCCAGTTCCATTGATATTTACTTGACTAAAAGAAACTGCTGCTGCTGCTGCTGCTTCTTCTTCTTCTTTCTCCCGTTGTTGTTCTCTCTTCGCATCCTCTAAAATTTTCTTTTCTTCTGCTTCGCGTGCCAATTTGGCCTTCTGTGCAGCTTCTCCTGATCCTCCATCCGCGGGCATTTTAGACAATAACTGCAAAAACCCATCTTCATCAATGGCCTTGATTTTCAATTGTTTGATTTTCTTTACTTTGGAAGGACCTGCATCTGCTCCTATGACTACAAGGCTAGTTTTTCCAGAAATAGATTTTGTCACTTTAGCTCCATACTGTTGAGCAATTTGTTCTGCAGTTGTTCTATCCAAAGAGGGCATTTGTCCAGTAAACACGATAGTCAACCCCGATAAACAGTCTGGTTGAGCCTGGGGCAAATCAATTGGCTCAGAAACTACTGTAGATTTCTGTTGAGCTTTTAACGCCATAAAGTTGATCTTTTCATTTTCATCAATCTCTGGTAATTCTGCATCGGGTACTGTGGCAAGGATCTCTGCAGCGGTTTTTACATCCGAACTCCTTTGTGTTTTACTCGAATCAGTAGTTTTCTTACTTCGTTTCGGTGAGCTTGTGATTGAATCACTTTGCTTTGATTCGTATTTGGAAGTTGTTTTTTGGGGGGATAACAGCGGTTCCTTCCTTTTTTTTGGCTTCTCGATCTCTATAATCTCCTCATCATCAAATTGAAAGTCGTCATCACCATCATCTTCATCTTTATCAACATCAATCATCACCCGTTTGGGTTTAGCCGACTTGCTTCTTTTTGCACTTGCTCGAGCTTCAATGTCCGCAGTATTAGCCTTACGCTTAGATCCTGCCTTAGCGGGTTTATCCTTGAAAAAATCCAGTATATTAACCATCTTGAGCTTGGCATACAATGGTTTTGACCAAGATAAGGATAAACCTTCAGATACAGTAATATATTCAAGAGTAATGAAGCGCGCGTTTCTATTGAAAGTTTTTTTTTTTCTGTTTTTTTTTTTTTTCATTCACAATTGGCTTTACTTTGCGTAAGAGAAGAAAATGTACATTATTGCAAGAACTTATTTAGACCAGACCGTGTTGACGACGCTATCGAGCAGAGCGAGATAGTAGAGCAAACTGACTAGCCCTCGATTTCTTTTTAAAGAAATTGCTTGTTCTAAGTAATTGCTTTTTTTTTTTTTTTCCCTCTCTCTCTCTCTACTTTTTACTAGACTCCTTTTCTAAATACTCCGTCCATAAAGACACAAAACTTTGTCGTACAGGAACTTCATTACCTTCGGAATCCAATTTCGTTTGGGCTCCACCCTTGGAAGTAGGTACGTGCTGTAAACCAGCGGCTATCTTTTGCAGATGATCCCATTCTAGCAACGCACTTATTAATTGTAATGCCTCGAATTTTTTTGAATCTCCCCTGGGGAATTGCAAGAAACTTATAATCACATTGGATATTAATTCTCGATCAACCAGCTTATTTGATCCATTACCTCCTTGTTTCAACATTGTCAATGCTTTTGTAAGATGTTCATTCAAAATAATAGCCTCGTGGCGTAATTTCCCTATTAGAAGCTGTTTGTTGTTAATTTCGTTTTTAAGCTCGGGAATTTGTGTCATCTCCTTATCTGCTTGAGAAAGCTTCTCTATAAAAGTGTTAGCCTCTGCTTTCAAAGTGACAATCTTTTCGTTTTGTTCATCAATAGTCTTTGCTGCCAACTTCACCTCATTTTTTAAAGCATCTATATTGTTTTCAAATTCCTTCTGGTTCTCTAAAATTATTGTTTGTAACTCTTTTACATTTCTTGCAGCCTCTTTCAAAGCTTTCTCGCTCGATTCTAACCTGTCCTTATAATCGCTAATTAGTTGTTTACTGTTTTTCTGCTCTAATTCAACTTCCCTTTCTCTTACAGTTAAATCATTGATTTCCTGTTTTAGTTCATGGATCTTTTTGGATAATTTTGAATTGGAATTTTCCAAATTGTATTTTTCATCTTGCAATTCTTCAATGGTCAGAGTATACTCTCGTCTCGTTTTTGTCAAGGTATCGTTTAATTTTTCGCATTCAATATTCAATTGGTTGTTCTCTTCTCGTAGCTGCGCTAGTATCGAGCGGTCTACTTTATTTTCTAGTTCACGGTGAAGTTGTTGTTCTAAATCTTGATTCCTCTTCTTCAACTCCTCTTTTTCCTTACTCAATTTCTCTACTAGCTCTGTTTTTTCTTCCAACTCAATTTCAGATTGCTTCATTTTGCCAAACACAGACTTCATTGTCGAGAGTCTGCTTACCAAATTATTATATGAATGCTGGATCTCATCCCTCTCTTTCTCCACTTGTTTTAATTTGAGGACGGAATCTGTATCAGCAGCACTCGGTTGAGGTTTTGTAGCGGTATCAGCAGTAGTATCGGCAGTAGCAGTATCGGATGCAGATGTTGTTGTTTGTAGTGAATCCATTTGAGCTTGAACGGATTCCAATTCCACGCTAGCAACCTCCTCCTCCTCCTCCTCCTCCTCTTCTTTCATTGTCTTTTCCAGCTCAGTATTTGAAGCATCTGGTTTCAAGCCTACACCGTTTTCGTTTGCATTTGAATTTTCCAGATCCCGCACTGACGCCGTGGTTTCTTCCTTAGAATGACCATTTGAAATGGTCTTTGATGTATTGGTTGAATTTCCATTATTAGTATTATTGTGTTTTTTCCTATTTTTGCCCATTCTTACGCAACCTTCACTTTGCAATTCTTAGCTCCCTAATGGTTTTACAATTCTGTATTAGTCCCCTGGGTTCAAGTCTGTTTCTTAGCTATCATGGGTATTCCCAAATTAAATATACCTACTATTCAATATTGATTTAATCTTTAATTTATTAATTTTTTTTTTTTTTTTTTTTTTTATTTGGTTTCGTTGTTAAGTTTTTTTGCACTAAAAATTATTCACACTTTTTGCAGCCGTTAAAGCAGCAATATCAAATGGAAAAAAAAATGAAAAATGCAACATCGAGCGACACCAAGAGCAGAGCGAGACTATCGAGCAGAGCGAGACTATCGAGCAGAGCGAGACTATCGAGCAGAGCGAGACTATCGAGCAGAGCGAGACTATCGAGCACTGACTTCCACCGACACACTCGAGGTGTAAGTTTTACGTTCGACACTACCTAGCTGAGCGAGATAGGGGAGCAGCAATGACTAGCTTCTACTCCATCATACCGTATAGAGTTGGTCTCTATATAATTGAATGCGACGCTAGTATTGTAAAGTAGAGCAGAGTTCCTTTTAGAGTTGAATGCGACGCTAGTAGTGTAATGCAGAGCAGAGTTCCCTTTGATATAATCTACGCATATCTAAACAAATCAGCCACATCAATTAAATCAAATTTCATCTCTTAATCAAAGTAACTAATTTTTCTGTACAATTTAGTTACTGTTTTAAAAACAATAGGAAAAAATGGTAAAAAATGGCTAGAAAATGGCTAAAAGGGGTAGAAAAAGTATAAGAAATAGATTTACTTGTCAATAAACTCATTATAAGAAAGTGTAGACAAAAAATACTGCTCTGCTCTCTAATGTTGTTGAGACATAATTATTTATTTTGTTTATTTCATTTGGTTTCAAATGGTAACAATCTTACCCAAATTTTTTTTCTTTCTTTTGCTTCTTTTTTTTTTTTGAACCCTGCTATTCATCGATTTAGTCGCTTAGTCGCTTAGTCGCTTAGATACTTTTTATACTTTTTTTCATTAACACTTTCGCTTGGACTTTTATTCGATGATGACTTTGATTGCACCCTTTTTTTTTGGCTTTATATCTTTAATTATTTCTGTATATAGAGGGAATTAGTTCACGTATCGCCCGCGGCGACCAACTCGTCTCTTACGGTGGCCTGCCTTACTTGAAGAGAGTACAGTTAATACTCGCCTTTTCGTCAAAAGTTAATTGCAAAAGAAAATATTATTAAAATAGGGGTGCACACTACAATTCAAAGGTATCTTTTGCTCTTTGACTTTGATCTCTCGTTTGCATTTGAGCTCTCGTTTGGATTTGCATTTGAGATTTGTGATCACAGTCACCCCCTCTCTTGGTTACGAGTAACATGTCATCGACAAATGCACATTTGGACTCGCAGGATGACAAAAAGGCAAAGGATCAATTTCAATTACATCTTCATACAGAAGAAAGCAGTACGTCACATGCAAACGTCAAGGAACAACAACAACAACAACAACAACAACAACAACAGCAGCAGCAGCATTGGCAACGTCAGCCGATGTTTCATACACCAATTCAAAAATCCATACCGAGCGGTCAAGCTACAGTGCGACGACCTTCACAAACAGATGCATCTATTCCTTCGGTATCAATCCTAAATGAGTCCCAACAAAGATCAGTCATCCCTTCTGCACCTTCATCTCCCCAAAAGCAAATCACCGATCCTGGTATTTTAGCATTGTTGGGACCGAATATTGCTCATTTCCCTTTTTCCGAAGATGCCTTTGTAGAAACTATGAAATTGAGAGCTGAGCAAGAACGAACCAAACAGGAATACTACAAGGCAGAACTTGCAAATAAAAACTTGAACATTATTCAGCATGCTATTCAAGCCCAAATACCAACTCATTTAATCCCACACTTGTGTGTTGGTGGCAGCACCCCTCCAGTAGATTTAAATTACGAAAGAGAAAGAGCCAACTTCATAGCAAGAAACTCGGCATTTCCTCAACCCCAGCAACAACAACAACAACAACAACAGCAACTACCACAGCAACAGCAACAACAACAACAACAACAACAACCGCCACCATCACTACAACAGCAACAGCAACAACCACAATATGCATTACAGCCGCAACAGCCATTTATTCCACATGCTACACAAAATGTACAAATACCGCTACCGCGGGAAGAACATCCAGAGGTTATGCAAGGTCAAGGACAGCAAGATTCAACACAGGAACAAAATGTACTGGGTTTTCGATTGTCTCAGTTTCCCGTAGCTCAAAAACAATTGGGCAGCGCATTACAACGCGATCCATACAATTTGAATCCAATATCTCCCATTGGTTTCAAATTTGGAGGTGGAAGCACTAGCACCTCTCAGAGCTCCCTCTCCCCTGCTAAAATTGGAGCCGCTGCAGTGGCAAATTTGGCCACACCAACTGCACCATTCCGGCGTCCCTTGTTATCGTCATCCAATTCTCCTGCAAAAAAATCGCGAGGTCATCAGCGTCACAACTCTATGCCGGCAAATATGTCAATGACGTCCGGTGCTGCTGTCAGCAACAACAGCAGTTTAAGCAAACAGCGCCGAAATGTTCACAATACCCAATTCCCCAATAGGCATACCGAATCGGGGAATGTAGCTGGTACACAATTGCTACAGTCTCCACTTGGTGCAACATCAACTTTGCAAGTAAGACCAATACCAGCACAGCCTTTACACAAGCAGAACAAACTGTCAGTTCAACCGCTGCAAGAGTCAATGACTTCGTTTCAGCACATTATTCAGTTTCATCATTGGAAACCCGAGGGTGAAGATCATCCTAGTGCCAATATGCAACTGCCTGCATCTAAACGGCACAAGACAATGTCCAAAGAAGAAAATTCAGCATTACCTTCAGTGACTGGAAATCACTCAAAGACTATAAAAATGGAAAAGGGTTACCAGGACGAAGTGAAAAATATTGAAGATGGAAATGACGACGATGACGATAACCCCGATGCAGATTTATCGGCGGACACCACGATGTATTGTGCTACGACTAGTGAGCAGAAAACCGGAACAGACGCACACCCTCCATCACAGGGTCATTCTCGTCAGGAGCTGAATATTGGTAGATATCCACATAATATTTTATCGACAAATAAGTGATGCACCCGCAAAAAAAGGCAGCACAAAATCATAGCACAAAAAGTTACCCTTTTTTATATATATATATATATACTTCATCACATTTCGTTTCTTGCTTTGGGTTTGTTTTGTTTTTTATGGCATTTACGAAAACATTTTATTGGGTTTATTTTTCTTTTATGGCATTTTACGAAAACATTTTATTGGGTTCAGGTTTTATATAGGTTCTTTTCTCTTTTCATTCATTCATTTTGATGGCACTTCAGTAGACCAATTTATAGAAATATTAAATATTTAATCCAAGTACTTCATTTGTTCCTTTTTTGATGGCTGCAAAAAAAAAAAAAAAAAAAAAAAAAAAAAAGAATTGGAAAAACAGATTACAAAAATAGAAATGACACAAACAAATTATCTCTTTTTTTTAAAAAAAAATTTATTATAGTTATATTTTCGCAACAAAATAATGTCTTGAACGATATTTACCAAAGTTTTCATTACATCTTAGTCCCTCTGTAATATGTTAATGCATTTAGATGTTTTTCTGCAAGAATCTAAACAGTGATATGGGTGAGGGTAACAACTTGCAAAGCCTTTTTTTATATAAGGAGTGAGAAAAAAAAATAGTGTAAAATTGGCTCGAATTTTGGACAAAAAAGAAAACAAAATAAGGAAAACCAAGCAGACTTTATTTAATTTAGAATAAAAAGTAAAGATCTAAAGTAGTGAAAAGCATTTCAAAACATAGAAAAGTCTTTTTCAGACTTTATTCAATGTAGAATAAAAAGTAATGGATCTAAAGTAGTAAAGAATCCCAAAACACGATAGAGTTTTTCTTCTAGTGTAGTAACAAGCTACAAAGTGTTGCTCGATAGTGTAAAAAAAAAAAGGCTATTTTGAAAAAAAGATTAGTTACTCCCAGACAGGGAATTGAACCCTGGTCTACCATGCGACAAACGGTAATTCTAGCCACTAAACTATCTGGGACAAGTTGTTGACATTTTCAGCTCTTTGAAATAGTCAATACATGAATATTGATCTTTTATGAAATTATCAATGAGCTAGAGATAACTGACATTTTCAATAGGTTAATTAACCTAGTTATTGAAGAGAGAATATATGTATTTATTATTAGAACTCATCCATTATCGACAATAGCAACACTATTGAGCGGAGCGAGATAGTGGAGCATTAACCGTTACTGACAATAGCGACACAATCGAGCAAAGCGAGATAGTAGAGCAGTACTTGATAGCAACACTATCTCGTTTCGCTCGATTGTGTCCACTCTCTACTCTCTACGTACTTCTCACTAGTGTCTACTCTCTACTCTCTACATGCTGCTCCACCAACTCGCTTCGCTCACTAGTGTCGCTTTTCTCTACATGCTGCTCCACCAACTCGCTTCGCTCACTAGTGTCGCTTTTCTCTACATTCTGCTCCACTAGCTCGCTTCGCTCCCTAGTGTCGCTTACATACTGTTCCACCAACTCGCTTCGCTCACTAGTGACAAAATGAGAGAAAGAAAAGCGCAGCTCTCTGAAAAAAAAAACAAACAGTATAAAACAAAAGACTATAAATCTTTATTTTGACATTTGAGTCAAACAATTCTATACAAGGCTCTTTTGCTGCAAACCAGCAAAATGACCTTGAAATATTTCACGCCCGAGGTGCTAGAGTATCGTGATTGGAATGGGAGTTGTGACATTTTAGAAGTTTTTGAGTGCTACGAAGTCGACAATTTGGAGAGCGAAGAGGAGGTAGTTTTGGTCTTCACCGAACTAATCATTTGTTATGAGGAAGAGTTTTTGAAGGTAGAGGAGCTAGTTGAATTTTTAAGTTCAGCTATTACCAATGATGACTTGGCAAGACTATTCTGTCAAGTGTTGAACTCATTTGCAATAACAGAAAAGAGTCGAGACTTGTTGTCAACATTGAGCAAAAAAGAGAAAATACTTAAGCAAGACACCATAGCCGCTTATGTCAGTACCGAGTTTATAAAAGAAGCAGATATAGTACCAACAGCTGTGCTAACAAAGACCTTAAACACGAGACTTCGCGATAAGTTGTACACCCAAAATAAATACAATCTTTTACATGAGGAGATTGAAGGGTATTCCAAGCTTGTAAATGAGCTACAAGATGTTTTTATTAGCGAAAATACCGATTTGCAAATAGACTACGCTTTACAGGTGATTGATAAATTGATTGGGCACTATAGCCTAGATCCCAATAGGTGCTTGGATTTGTTGCTCGAGGTATTGACAAATTGGATTTTCACGAGGACTGAATGCGCTGTGAAATTATTAAGAAAAAGTAGATGGTGGCCTATAGAGGAAAGCGACAACTCTTCAATCTCAACCTTGTCAAAGGGAGGCAATGCGGCAGCAGCAAAAATATTTGGCTTGAAGTTGATAAACCATTCCGATTATAAGGGATTATTGAAAAATATCAAGAGTTCAATAGTTGTTCTTATCAATGAAGGCTTTTTAAGTTTCGGATCCATCTACAAATATCTTCATCCCGACGATGATGGAATGAAAATTTTTGAAAACGAACATGATCGTAGATTACAAGAAGAAGTACTAAAAGCTGGGGCAAACGCACTTGCCCTTGCAGCTCCTCTTGCTGCTGACGACGAAGAAGGAACCCTGAATAAAAAGACTGCACCAAACCCGAGTGCCTCAAACTTGGAAACCAATGTCAAACTTCAGTTTTTAAAAGCATTTCTGAGCAGTGGACTTTATTGGCCAACAATATATATGTTGACACACTATCCCTTTCTTGCAGATGTGGACCAAGAGATTCTGGTCATATTGTGTCACATGTTTGAGACTATGCTAAATCCATTAAATGACGAACTCAGTGATTTCAGCAAGGAGGATATTCTTCAATCAACATGCGCCAAGGGTACCCATCTTCCGCGTCCATTGAATAATGTTTCGGTTGAACCACCCAAATTTACCGATACATCCAGTTTCAAGGTAACGCACAAAGATTCTCCTCAGAAAAAGTTTCATTATTTTTACACTTCATCAAAAAATCTACCAGTGATTAATAGTTTTGAATCCTTGTTGCAAGTTTCCCAAGAGTTTTTGAAATTCGTTGGCCCAAACATATCCAAGAGCACTACCTTATTTATTAAACTTTGCGATGTCGTAATCCATTTTGCAGATCAAGAGCAGTACAAAGAACAGGTTTTTCATTACTTTAGAAACTACATTTTTCCTGCAATGCCATTGATGCAGGAAAACTCTATTGCAATTGATAAGGCCTTTGCCATACTTGCCAAATACCCGGTGGAAGATAGATTTAGTGTTTATGGAGAGTTGTACAACAACTTAAGGAAGAATAATACATTGGTGAAAATAGCTTATAGCGTGGCAGAAAAATCCACCAAAGATGTATTGAAAAGATTATCAAAGGAGAATTTGCGGCCCATGATGCGAAGACTTGCAAAGATTAGCTTTTCAAACCCACTCCCCTGTTTATTGACGATACTACAGCAAATTGAAAGTTATGATAATTTGAATACGTTGGTGGTTGAAACCGCAAGGTATTTTAACGCATACGCGTGGGATAATTTGACGGTAGCCATATTGATTCGATTAAGCTCTGATAGAAGTACGAGCCACGGGAATGGGATGATAGATCGTCAGTGGTTACAATCGCTTGCTTCCTTTATCGGCAAGATTTGTCAAAGGTATCCTAAAGCTATCGATATAAGAACAATCTTGACATATATTTTGAAATCGTTTTTTATGGGTGATCGAACAGGGTTATTAGTACTCAAAGATATGCTTAGTTCAATGGGTGGTATTCAAACGACTTCAGACTTGAACTTGGAACAGATTAATATGATAAGTAGTGGCTCGGTTTTGCAAAAGGTTGTTTACCGTGTGATTGATGATGCAAGATACGATAGAATACCTTCGGGAAGCCAACTATTGAAATGCTTTATTGAGCTAGGTGCAGTCAACGAACTTGTTATATTGCTATGCAGAAGCTTGAATGACTTGATTTATGATGACGCGGAAAATCATTTGAAAGTATTAGCTAGCAGAGCTGACGATATAACGGAGGTACTACGGTTATTCATTACTTTAGTCGGATTCTTTGGCGATCAAGACATAGACGTTGAGCTATTGTCGATTGAGCAGTTGCACAAGACCTATGGTGTTCCCGTGGAGTGGGTATTTGATTTGTGGAGAACTCAAAAAAAACGTGAATCTTATGAGACTTTGGAATTGCAAAGCTCTAATATTTGCCCGAATGATTTCCCTGCGAGCTTGTTTACTATTTTCTGGTATTTGTCCTTGCAGGACATCAATTATTCAGCGCGACTTTATGAGGATGAGGCAAAGAAATTGGAGTCAAGAATTAGAGGGTTAAAAAATACCATAAACCTAAACCTGAAGGATCCAGATTTTTCAAGAGCAACAATAGAGCAATACAAAAAAGAAATTGAACAAAATAGGCTTTTCATTGAACAGTTGCCTAACGATAAGCTTCGTCATGAACAGCTAAATGAGAAGGTGAGCAACAAATTGATACTGTTATCCACTGATTGGTTCAAGGTCGAGAATACAGACAACACGATAAAAAGTTTTTTACAACATTGCGTACTTCTTCGTGCTGTTCATTCTTCGTTCGACGCGGTGTTTGCTGCTCAATTTATCTTTAAGCTTCATTACTTGGGCGTTGCAAATTATTCCTTGCTCGAGACTTTGAATGCGTTGATAAATTCAGATGTATTGTACAGGACATTACACTCTTCAACACCTTCTGAGGTAGAAAGCATTGGGTTTTTTTATGCACATATTTTGAAATCTTTGCAAGATTTATTTGATAAAGAGAGCTTTGAAAAGAAAGATGTCAATTTAGGGAAAAACTTTGACGAGTACAGAAGCTTGGTATATCAATATCATGCAGCTATCTTGAGTCAAGTTGAAAGAGCGTTTTTGCTTACTGATTACATGTTGCGAAGCAATACCATCTTGTTTTTGAAAAGTTTACTTGGAGTGTATCCGTTGGTAGAGGATCACGGAGAAAGAGTCGTTCATTTGGTAGAAAAAATATCTACAACTGACGAAAGGGACGACATTAAATTGTCGTCCGGTGCATTGTTAGGTCATGTGAGGGCAAAAAGCAGGAATTGGATTCCACTCTGGGACTTTATTCCAATGAGCGATGAACAAAAGCAGGAAATGATTGAGACAAAGGCAAGGTTGTCAAGAGAAAAGAGAATAGCTGAGAAAAAAGCAGCAGAAGAAAAAGCAGCCAAGGAGAAGCAAGAAAGAAAAGCAAAGGAGGAAGGGGAGTTGCTCAAAAAGAGAGCATCTGCCATTAATTACTCATCTACACAAGCTCCATTGAGTAGACCGATGTCTAGAAACACCGCAGTCAATTCAACTGGAAGATACGAGGAGTACCTTCTGAGTGATAAGAAAGAAGCACTACCTGTTAGTGGGAAACAAGACCCGCTACCACCAGTTCCTAGCGAGCCCAAGGCTGACAATGCAAAAATGACACAGACTCGCCAATTATCTGAAAACCATCTCAAATCACCAAAAGAAGAAGAAGAAGAAGAAGAAGAAGAAGAAGACAAAGAAAATAAGGAGAGCAAGAGCAAGGAAAAAGTGATGATCAATGATGATGGAAAGAAAGAAACAGAGGTTCCCTCAGGTACAATAAATGGCATGGTTGGTGATAAGCAAAAAAATACTAAAAAGAAAGAAGAGGTTCAAGAACATGATGTTGTCAAGGAGAAAGAAGTAAACTTGAAAAATGAGAATGCGGATAAGGAGGTTGTTGTGGACAAGGAGGAAACTAAGAATGACAACAATAATAATGTTGATGATGATACCAGGAAAGAAATCAGAGCAGATGAAATTGCAAATGAACAGGAGGCAGTTGCAGAACAGGAAAAGACCCAAAAAGAAAACCTTCCTGAAAGAAAAGAAGAGGAGACAGAACAAGCTCGTTCCATATCAAAACGAACCCCGCTCCCTTCTCAAAAAGAGACGATGAATCGCTCAACACGGCAAGATCATAATGATCCACGAGCAATGACACCGCCACTTCCTCAAGAACCAAGAGCAAGAACCCCCAATTCAAAAAGACAACCACCACCTCCTCAAGAAAAATTGGGCTCAAAAGATGAATTTTCATTCAGGTCTCGTGGAAAACACAAAACTTCAACGGCACCTTCAGTGCAATCCAAGGGTTTTTCAAGCATACCACCGCCGCCACCGCCGCCACCACCGCCTCCACCTACTTCTCTGTCTCAACAACAACATGGCGGAAGACGATCAAATTTCGGATCAAACTATAATCGTCACAGTTTTGGTGACCGTGAACAATCCGACTATTCTATATCAAGAACAAGATCATTTGAAGGAAGGCGTGGTAGGCTGAATATCACCAAGGGACCAAAGATCTCATCTCCGTATAATGATCGCAATGTTCAGAGGGGAATAAACCTGGATGATAAAGCAGATACGAAGCCCAACAACAGAGATAGAGATGCTGCGTATGAAGGTAATGCCAATGGCAGAAGGGCAAATGATACTGGACATAGTGGATCATACGATAATAAAAGAAGAGCTGAAAATTACGGTGGAAGAGGATATGATAAAAGAAGTAGATATTAAAGGAGTTTTCATATTGAAGGGTTCTAATTTTTTTTTTTCCCCCGTTATTTATAACAGCAGCATATAACATTTACTCAAGTATCTATTGTTCCTTTTAATTCGCTATCAAGCAATGCATCAAACACAGCATCGTCGTCATCGTCGTCATCGTCGTCGTTGTCATTGTCATCATAGTCGTTATCATCATCATTAAGGTTATAATTGTCATTAGAAAGTTTCACTTTCTTTTGAGCTGGTTCCGGGTCAGCTTCCTTTCCAGGAAGGGTCTCTGGTAAGTTATTTAAAAAGTTTTCAATTCTCTTCAAGTTTTCCTCATGCCATGTCAAATGACGTTTGAGATCGTAGTCTCTTGAAAAAGTCCTTCCACATTTTCGTTTTGGACAGATTAGTTTCTTGGATAAATCGTTCAGAATTAACTTGATAATATCTTTTTTCCCATCAAGCAAAGATGTATTGAGTGAAGTGATTGACTTATATGCTTGAGCAGTATCTGATCTAATGTCAGCTCCAAAACAGTTTTCTGACCCATTCTCCTCCTTCTCCTCCTTCTCCTTTTTCTTCTCATCAATAACATTATCAGTTGAAAAAATAGAGCCAAGATTTTTCAAATTAGCATTATTCGTTATCTCCTCGTTATTTTCCTTCTTTTTGAACGTACTCAATTTCAAATCGTCAGGTAAATTCCCATCGTGAAATTCGTTATAATGGGCAACCAAATCTAGCTTTTTGTTAAACTTACCTATATCACAGTAATTACATTGCCATGTCTTTGCTGATTCATCGTGACTCAACATATGCGATTGCAATCCTCTTTTTCCAACACAACCTTTACCACACTTTGCACACCTTAACTTTGGATGTTCTTGCTTAATATGAAACTGTAGAGCCGACCATGTTTTGAAATTCATAAAGCACCCTTGCTGGTCGCACTGATAAGCGGGAGATTCTCCGTGATGCTTCAATTTATGCTGAGCTAGTTTCGAAGGTCGCATAAAGGTCTTATCGCACACTTTGCAAGTCAAAGTTTTTTCATGAACAGAAAGTATATGATGCCTTAGTGACTGGTGCTTGTAGAAGGATTCATTACAATTTGGATACATGCACTTGAAAGATTTTGTATGGGTTATTTCATGTCTCTTCAAATGCTGAGCGGTATTAACGCCTTTTCCACACACTGAGCAGTGGAAGGGCTTTTCTCTCGAATGGGAGATCAAATGAGCATCTAAATGCGATTTACGAAGAAACGTCTTGTCACACTCGGGATACGTGCACATATAAGGTCTTTGCCCCGTATGTATCCGTTGATGCTGCTCTAAAAGAGAGGGTCTATTATAGGCCTTATCGCAATTATCAAAAGTGCATATAAACTTTTTCGGTCGGGTAGATGTTGTGGTTGTAGAAGTGTGGGACGTTAGCGATTGTATATCTTCTTCACTCATTCAAAATTACCTGTTGATATACTGAAAATCATCTACGGGGCAAAAGTTATAAACAGTTTTAATGAGATAATTGAAAAATTTAACCTGTATGAAAAACAATAAATTTTACGAGATGAGATGAGATGAGAAAGAAGAGAGGGAAAAAAACAAACAAAAAAAAACAACTGATTATCAAGTAACTTTTTGGATTTCGAAATCCATGTTGAGGGGCTTTGTACTGAAGAATCCGAATTGGGATATAAGTTTTTGATATGAGTAGTTGAGGGGGAACAAAGAGGAACGCGGTTATGTTTTGTTATAGGAGGCTCAACTTCTAATCTTTTTTTTTTTTTTAAGTTTCTCTTTCTTTTCCCCAAGACTGGGGATTTATGACCCCCTTTATATAATTTATTTATCGGTAGCACAATCCTAATTTGAAATTAGTATGTGTAACCTGTTACCTATCACATTTCCTAATCGGTCTAGCAAAAAAAAATGGTCTTGATATCTTTGATTAGCTTTCTCAAATTTGTTACATATAACATTTTTTCATTTATTATATATAGTCCTTACTTGAGCAATAGTATGGGTGGATGCAAACAAAACAACTATTACGAATAATGACCAGAACCTATCAAAGTGGTATCAAAGTCATCCCAATTAAACAATTTTTTTTCCTATGCTATGACGTAGGAAACATTAAGGAATTTCTTCTCTCTTATCAAGATGCCAAGTAAAGTGATTGTATTGTAAGCTACCGCCATTTTACGGCCATGTTATTGTTAGGTTACGGCCATGTTACTGTTAGGTTACGGCTGGAAGAAAGCTGCAGGTTGTTTACAACTAATTCCCTTATTCGGCGGTTCCCTACCCTTTCCCACTTGGGAACAGCGACTCAACCTAAATATCTGCAATGAGCTTGTTTTCTCCGATATATCCAGAGGGATAAAACAAAAAAAAAAAAAAAAAGAGTGAGAAAGACCAGCAAAACACACACTTTAACGTAAATTACACAGCTTTTTGCTATCCTCTAGCTAAATCCCTAAATACCCCCATAACCTGTTCCTCTAAACTCTCAAGAATAAATTTAAATTACTTGAATAAAAAAAACTCATTGTTACCTAATAACAAGTGGTAAACTTTACATGGAAAACTCGGCAAAAGTTATCTTTGAATTTGCGCAAAAAAAAAAAAAAAAAAAAAGCAAGAATTCATACATAGTCATACATAGTGTCTCAAGGGGAAAAAAAGATTGAAAATAAAAATCGAGGGATTGTTCACACCACGCACTTTGTTCGAGCAAAGTTGAGTCTGGTCATTTGATTGAACACCTATTTTCTGTTAAGCTTAACAACAAATCAGACCAATACTTGCACTTTTTATTTATAAAGCCCTTGCGCTTTACTAGTTAACACGATAATAGAGTAATTTTGCTTCATTATGGGTATTAATAATCCGATTCCAAGGAGTTTGAGGAGTGAATCAAAGTATGTAAATATAAGTCATCATTTTTTTTTTTCATTGCATTCCAGCGATCAAGATATCAAGATACCAAGCATATACTAACATGGAACCCCCCCATTCTTTTTTCCCCTTCTTTTAAAGAAAAGCAGCAAAAGTCTTATCATCTTTTATCAAACCAAACCAGCTTGCAGGGCCCGATGAAATAATCCCACCTAGAATATTAAAGAATGCCAAGGGTTTGGCTGTAATAACGGTTTTGAAAGCAGGGTTTCTTTTTTCGGGAAGAGCAGGCTCAGGAGTTGTTGTTGCACGTTTACCAGATGGACAATGGTCAGCACCCTCCGCTATAATGACTGCGGGTGCAGGAATGGGTGGTATGGTTGGTGCTGAATTGACCGATTTTGTGTTTGTCTTGAACACAAAAGCAGCAGTAGATTCTTTTGCACAGTTGGGTTCGGTCACTTTGGGAACAAACGTATCGGTTGCCGTTGGACCACTAGGTAGAAGTGCAGAGGCAGCTGGTACAGCCTCTTTAAGTTCAGTTTCGGCAATTTTTGCTTATTCCAAGACAAAAGGTTTGTATGCTGGTATCTCGCTCGAAGGATCAGCAATTATGGAAAGAAGAGATGCAAACAGAAAGTTCTATGGTGAGGATATCAAGGCTAGGGATATTCTAGCCGGTCGAGTGGAACCACCTCCAGCGTGCGATTCTCTTTTGAGGGTCTTGGAATCGCGAGTATTTAATAATAGAGAGGAATGGGACGACGAAGATTTCTATAACGACGACTACTATGATGATATCCCAGACGAGTTTTCCGATACAACTTCAACTTACTCGTCACCTAGTAGAAGTAGAAGACGTGGTGTATCGGCTGTGGGTAGACGCTCAAGCCGCAGAAGAAGGCAATCAGATAACTACTATTCAGATGAAGAAGATGATTATTCAGATGAGAGTGATGATTATGGTGGAAGAAATAGAAGAAGACCTAGTACACGAGCAACATCAACGAGAGGCTCCAGTGCAGGAGGCTACTCAAAGTCGAAACATGATGCATCATGGGAAGACGATGTATACGATTCGGGATATAATGGTAGATCAAGGGCAAGAGGAAATAGTGATGCGTATGACTCAGGATACAGTGGAAATACAAGAGCAAGAGGCAATAGTGATGTATATGACTCAGGATATAATGGTAAAACAAGATCAAGAGGGAACAGTGACGTTGATAGATTGAATGCAAGATTGGGAAATACAAGGTTGTCACCAAATAAGGGTAACGGAGCACCTTCTAGACCCCCAACCGCTTCGAAACCAAATTTTGGTGGGAGTCAAAAATCAAAAGCCAATGCATCTCAGGCTATTGCTTTATATTCTTTTAAAGGTGAACAAAGTGGAGACTTGCCATTTAAAAAGGGAGATGTTATTGATATTTTGAAGAGAACGGAAACTGTAGATGATTGGTGGACAGGTAGAAATAACGGAGTAACAGGAATCTTTCCTGCTAATTATGTGGAGTTGATTTAACAAAGAAGCTGATATGAAATTGAAAGTATGAAACAAAAAAAATGTAAAAATAAAAAGAGAGAGAGAGAGAGAGAGAGAGAGAGAGAGAGAGGATATGATAAAAATAGTCTTTTTGTATATTATTGGTGGTGTAATCAATAAAAGTGATTAATAGAGTTAGCTTTGTAAAATCCTCTTTTTTCCTTTTTCTACTGCAGCAGATAAACAAGGTCCTAGATATTCATGAGTTTATCAGCTAAAAAAGAAAAGAAACTTACATGGGTGCAAAATTAAATAGTCTAAATTTTCCAACGGTGTCTATTCTAATCTAAAAGTTTCGTGTAAAAGGTGCTCCACAACCACTTTTCCTTCGTCAAAAGTAGGGTCAGGATGTCTCACTACTGCTGCTGCGTGTGTCGCAGGAGTATGTCTTATAATAATTGGGTATTTATTCCACGAAAGTGTGTTCAATTTGTCTACTGCGTACTTCTGCAGTTCGCTTAATTTAATTTTGGGGAATTTTGCAGAATGCGACGCTCTCCAGCTCATGGCATCATACATATCTTCAACCAATGTTTCTTGTTCGTCTTCCAACTTATTCGAAAAGTTGGTCAAGAGTGATGTTTCCTCGTGGTACTCGTAAAGGTTTGCTAACTTGTTAGATAGATCCAAATCTTTGTTATATTTACGTAATCTTACCGTCATTTTGATTCTTTGAACAATCGTGGATATAATAAACGATAGTGCCCAAAATGGCGTATACACAATAACTGAACTGATTATTTTGAGCCATCTCAAACTCTTCCAAAACCAACTATAGTTTGGTTTCTCATTTACAGCTACTCCTCCTCCTCCTCCTTTTCCTTTTCCTCCTGCTGCTGCTACTTGATCTTGTTTCTGATAATGTAATGGCTTTGAATAATCTATAATTGTTGGCTCATACCCTTTAATATAATCGCATTTTATGTTTTCAGCTATTCTATTATACATTGAGTTTACTGGGTCTTCACTTGATATAAATGAAGTAAACCAAGAACACCTCTTATCGTTTAATACATTTGCATATAGCGACCTATATTTGAACTTCTTCAATATGGCGTAAAACTTTGACTTTGGATCGGCCATCCAAACAATCAACGGCTTTTGGTCTTTGCCGACTTTGTCCTTGAGGAAGAATTGCGAGCCTGTAATCAATAACATATATGGAGCCACTTTGTTGTAAATACGTACAGACAAGTTGTGGGTCTGTGGATTCAGAACACCTATATGCGGGGTGCAAATGGTAATGTAATTAATTGGTTCAATGTGGTTGAAATAGCCCAGAGCATCTAATAGTCCAATGGCATACCTTGCCAATAACCCACCCATTGAGTACCCAATAATGGAAAATTTAACAACCTTATTGCCGCTGTCACTAATGAGTTGTGTTTGTTCAAGTATTTCGTCACTTATCCTTTTGCCATTGATATCAATTCCATCGTATGTAAGGTATCCGGCATGGGTCGTGGTCTTGTATACAAGAATATTATCTCCCTTAGTGGTTGTGGTGGTAGCTTCAAAGTGCTCATTGAACTGTTTTTCAATATAGGCTAGATGTGACGAATTACCCCAAATTCTAATAAGCAAGTTAGTAACACTTCAATACACATTGCTGTGTTGCGGGGTCTCCTCCTCCCCCTCTTCCTTTTCCCTTATGTTAACATACCCGTGGACAAGTATTACTAAATGATAATCAACCATTTTCGTCTCTTTCGTCTCTTCTCTCTTCTCTTTCTCTCTTTCTCTCTTTCTTTTTTCTATTGACAACGAGCTTTTTTCTTATCTTTCTTTGACACCAGGATTCCGATGAAAAGAGAGATATTTGTCGCGTTTTTAAGATTTTCTGGTGGTTTCAAGGGTTTTCTTTCACGAGCAAAAAATTCGTTCCCTTCTCTGGTGGGTTTAAAAAGAAATAGAAAAATCAAGGGGGGGGGGGGGGGGGGGGGGGAAGACCCTTGTTTTTATAAATTTATATTTCAAAGAATTTCACCATTCTTGTATATTAATACAATTACATAAGTTATTACATAATTTTACCTTAATTCCGTAAAAAAAGAGATATCTTAACTGTACACTATAACTCATATTAGGTTTTGGTAACAGCTTTGTTAAGTACTAAGTGGAAACCGAGTATGGATTCCATTTAATACAAAGGAAAAGATTCTACAAAAAAAAAAAAAATAGTTGATTCAAGTAGTAAGCCAATGACCTGGTGGGCAATGTCTTGTTAAGAAATCACCTTGATAAGTTATGTTCTTGGTAACCTATTACCTCGGTCAACAATGCCTCATAGTAAAGTATCTGAGTTTTCTCTTTTATCACAATAACCCAAAAGTTTTCAACGCGGGAACCAAAAAAAAAAAAAAAAGAAAGTAAGTAAATTTTCAGTTTGTTTAACAAAATCATATGCATATAAGGTTTTTCAACTTAGAGGGGGTTATGGAACTAAAAAAAAACAAAAAACAACAACAACTAATACAAGGTGTTAGAGCTCTTGGTCTATTTATTGATAACAACATTTGTTCATCAATTTTGTTCTTATCATTTTGAGAGGCAATTCTTCTGTATTTAGGTCTCTATATATCGATGCTCCTCTAATTGCATTTAGTACTATGATCAGACGTTTTGGGATGAAAATGTGTGCAACTTGTCTATAAGCAACTTTGGATCAAGATTCCTGTAGCTACTCCCACATTCAACGAATCAACAATCTTGTCATTTTCTCCAAGTTGTGGTATACCAACTAAATAATCACTGGTCAACTTGATATTTGTTCTTACACCTTTTCCCTCGCTACCAATCACTAACATAACAGGAGTCCTTTGCAAAGCAGTCTTGAGGCTTTTCAAATCAATAAACTTGTTCCTAAAGCTTGACTCGGCGGGTTTCGCGCTAGTGGCAATAACAGTCCATCCATTTTTCTTAACATTCTCTAAAAAACTCAAACTTTTCTCTACTTGGTAAATGTTCATCAAATCCAATGCCCCCGACGAAGCTTTATTCGCAACAGGGCCCAATTTTGCACTCGAATGGCTAGGTATCACTACAAAGTCAACTCCAAAAAAGTATGCACTTCTCAATATAGACCCGATATTCTGGGGATCGGTAATTTCATCCAAGTATAACGCAAGGGGATATTTTTCTTCACCATCCTCTTTAAGGTTTCGACATCTCGTTACTTCTTCCACAATCACATCAGTGTCCCCATATTTATCCTCCACCATCAATGTATAGTCACGGTTTTCAGCACGCCCGACTTCCTTCACGTACGGCACAACTAAGGACTTGGTCTTCAACACTACTCCATTATGTACACCGTTTTTGGTAAGTATATTTAAGGCATTTTTATCCCGAACACTCTGCACTTTTACTCCATATTCTATTTTTGCTTTTTCAATGATACTAGAATCTTCGCAATTGAACGTATACAATCCAAAAATCAGACGCTTTCTAGCAAGAAGGACGGATTTGACCAGGTGTGTACCATAAACATATTCAAAAAATGTTCCATATGTTCCAGGCCTTATTGTTCCATTATCGGCCTTTCTGTGATTGTACATGATTTCTTGAGCACTTAAACCATCAAGATTACGTCTCCGTCTGCCAGATTCATCCATTGCATCCATTGCATCCTTCTCTTCCTTTAGTTTCTGTTCTTCGTGAGTTTTTTTCATTCCTCGGTACCTCCGTTGCCGAGCTATTTTTTCCTGCATAATTTTCCATCTCCAGTCACTCATCTTTCCATACTTCCTCTTGAAAAACCTTTCCTTGGTGATACCTAGTTCCTCCCATGGCTTGACTTCTACTTTGGTATATGGTAGATTCTTCTGAAACGACCTTGGTTCATTCTTTTTGTTAGGATGGTGTGGCTTCAAATACGGCCTTATCTCACTTGCCTGTAATAGCAATGAAATCATAGAAAACAGTCTTTGTTGCAACATAACGCAATTGGTCATTATTTATGTACAAAAAGGGAGATGAGATGAGATGAGATGAGATGGAGAAGATCAACATTTTTTCACCTGTTCATTTTTTTTTCTTCTTCCACCCCAGACCGATGCGATACTAACTTAATTTACAATTTTATTATTGCATATCTTAAATACATTCTCACCCCGTTCTTTTCTATTCTACTTTTGAAGATAAATAGATGGACTTGTGATAAAATAGATGGACTTGTGATAAAATAGATGGACTCATGATAAGACACCTTTGGTACTTGGCACATCGTCCTTTCCTGTTTTTGATATTGCCTCCTTTATGGCGATGGCCAATGCCTTGAACGCGCTTTCAGCTCTATGGTGATCATTAAGCCCTCTCAAACAATCAACGTGTATCGTGATTGCTGCCAGCTGAGCAAAACTTTCTAGAACATGAGGAATCATTTCTGTAGACAAGTCACCAATTTTTTCTCTTTTTAATCCTAAATCGACTACAGCGTATGGCCTATTGGACAAATCAACAACAGCTCTGCTCAAAGCTTCGTCCAAGGGTGCATATCCATGCCCAAATCTCTTTACCCCCCTTATCGGTCCCAAGGCATTCTTGAAAGCTAAACCCAAAGCTATACCAACATCTTCACTTGTGTGATGGTCATCAATGTGTAAGTCACCTATACATTCAACTAGCAAAGACCAGCCCGAATGTTTGGCCAACGCATGCAACATATGGTCAAGAAACCCTACACCCGTTTGAACATTTATAACTTGACCTCCACTTGTTTGTGAAGCGTGCTCCTCACCTTGAGCAACTTTTTCCAGTAATATTGACTTTGGAATTTTCACCGAACCTCCATCTAGACTTATTGCAATCTGTATCTTCGTTTCGTTCGTATCCCTCTTAATAAATGCCTCTCTTCTCTCTATAGACATTATAAATATTCAAGTCTGTCAATCCCTTCGAAGTTACTGAAAAGAATGTGTGAAAAATTTAGGGGTCCTCACATAACAGAAAAAAAAAGAAGCTTAATAAGATGAAGATGGAAAAAAAAAACATAAACAGATATAACTCATAAAGGAAAGATCAGCATAAACAGATACAGCTCATAAAGGAAAGATCAGCATAAACAGATATAACTTATAAAGGAAAGATCAGCTTGCAATTCAATTGTATTATAGAGAATACTAGAAAATCTATAGATTTCCAGGTGTGTTCAAAATTTAATTCTATCACAAAACACCCACAATTTATATCTATCTATCTATCTATCTTAATTTTTTTTTTTTGTTTTGTTCCCTCCCTACCCCAGCTTTTTCCCCGACGGAAAAGAGTAATGTATACCTATATGGAACATCTTCAGAAATGCTTTCTCAAGTCGACAAATTGGAATGAGGACAATATATTTTCAAACATAACAGCTACTTCTCAAGCGCTCCTAGATTTCCCTATACCCAATGGCTTTAAAATCGATACATCTTCCAAAACAACAGACTTTCTGGCATCTTCATTTACACTATCTAATTTCCATCAAATCAACGGGTCGATTGCTTATCTATACTCGCTGAAACCATTGACTAATATTATGGGGACAAAGGAGATTTCGTTGCAAGATGCTATTGCAGGCTTTAGAATGATTGAGCCATTAATGGTGTTGCGGAATCAAAAAGTGCAAGAACTGAACTTGAAGAAAAGAAGGTGGCACAATACCGAAAAGAGCAATAAAAAGCATCTGCTTTTATACGGGCGAATGTACTTTCCTGGATCCACTTTAGAGGCAATGATTATCAAGCGCATTACTGAAAATACTCAATTATTGATAAAGTGCGTGAACAATCCGCATCTAGATAAGAATGGAACTATGATTGTTTACTTGCAAAACAACACTGCGAAATATCTGCGAGAGCTCATATATTCCACCAATGAATCCTTGATTGGGCTCCGTTGTTTGTACAACTTGGGTAACAGTATAGCTAAAAATAAAAATCCCAATTTGATTCCCAAATTTGACAATTCGGTAGTTTCTGTTGGTACAGAGTTGTGGTTTGCGGCAAGGACGATGAGCCCGGGATTGTCCTCTGCGTTAAGGTATTCAACAAGATCAACAGCAACAGGTAAACCATTAACAATGACTCTTGCCGTAAACCCCATCCTTGGACACATCTCATCCACTTATACTGTGAAAACTTCGGTGGCTTCTACCTTTTGCTCCAAATACGACTTCAATTTCTTTTCGTATGCTAGTAATTTGTCCCTTGGCTTTGAATTGTACAGTTACGCACGAAAGAATGCTGCAGGGAACGCTATATCATCATTATCGCGATCGAATCACTACGCATTTGCACCACAACACATCAAAAAGGGGAAGAGCTTAGAGGAAGGACAACACCCTGTTCAAGTCAAATTGTACAAGCCTTATTCTAGTATCAACAACGATGCACGAGAGACAAATGTTTACAATGACCGGTTTCCTTCAAAGGTACCAGCAGTCATAGAGAAACGAAGTGAAGATCTCAATCTCAGAACCAATGAGACCGTTACTACTGCTTTTCAAAATCTAGTGAACGAAAGTGATTTCTCTAGTGTTTTGAAAGTGTCAACTAGTTTACGAGATAAAACAGTAAAATTGCTTTGGGAAGGCAGGGTTCAGGATTTCTTAGTCAGCACTGGTGTCAGAATTTCTTTGAACTCGCTAACCAACACGCCTGAACTCAATAAATTTGGTATAACATTCTCATATGCCTTCTAAGTGATGAGAAAGCCAGTTATAGACTTGTAACCAATAGAGATAGATTGAAGTGAAGTTTATACATAGAGGTTTATTAGAAGATTTAATGATAGTTAGCGGTAGCGCTTAACATTTGGTGAACGCACGCACAATTGGTTTTTTTTTTTTTTCTTTTCCAATTTTTCAGTTTGACTTGAGAAACTATGAAGGTTGTTTGAAGAACCAATAAGGAAATAGCACTTGTATAGCTCCATATAGATGCCGACGATGACGACGACGGCGATGTCGGCTAGTAGGGAGTTTTTTGATTTGATCAAAAACTCAAAATTGGCTCAAGTTGCCAAACCTCAGCTGAAGAGTATCAGAGGTAACTCAAACAAGCCTACGCATCAAACAATCTTTACACCATCATCAAGTGCACATAGATCCAATTATGGGTTGAAGACCATCTTGCCTAGCAAGATCGGGAAATCGTATATCTCGTTCAATGATATAGACAATCACAAGGGAATGCCAGATGTTGAGAAGAATTCAGGCGATCACTATACCAGATTGATTTTCCAAGAATTGGGTATGCCTTTAAAGAATCATTTTACTAGTCATAATCCGCTATTTCCTCAGGCGCACAATAAGAGCTCCAAGAAGCCGTACGATAAAACTTTGACAAATTGCTTGAATTTGGAGTTGAGAGCTAACCCGCGAGAGGTTGTAAAAATTTTGAGAAAGAATCCCAAGTTGTATCTGAATTTTAGGTCGTACGTTATAAAGAAATATCCGCAAGTGTATTTGTCCAACACTCCATCGATAGAGTTGTACAACTTGATTAAAGAATATTTGGGCCAAGCTGAAGATATTGAAAAGAGGAAAGTTTCCCTTGAGTCGAGAGCGCAACTTAAAAAGACTGAAGCGGTTCAAGGTACCGGTGGATTTTCATATAACCAAAAGGGTAGACTTTGTAATACGCCCAATGGGATTAGATACAATACAATTGCTCCAGGAAGGATTGTGGGTACAAAAGAGGCAGCAATAGGAGGTATGGTAGCAAGTGTAATAGACCGCTCAATAGCATTGCAAACGAATTACGCAAGGAACAGCCCTGGAAAACAAGAAAGACAATTTACATTACCGTTCAAGATCAACGAAACCGAGTTAGTTGAAGAAGGATCAGTAAGAGTATTTGCCGAAGGTATCAAGACTGGTAATTGGTCTGAAAATGACGAAAGATACCTTACTGCAAGGAATACCATGAATAGTAGTTCAGATAGAAGTAACTCTGATGATGAAAGTTTGGAGAGTTTGTTAAATTTGATTCTTCCAAAGAGATCGTGAGCCTACTGTTACTGAGTTTGTTCTCTCTGATTTCATCATGTATATATTTGTACATATATAGCAGAATAGTGAGTTTCCACAAAGCAAAAGTCAATGATTTATGCTTGTTACTCTTTATTTTCGACACTTTGTTCAATAATTTCATATGTTGCCTGATCTGCTTCAATGATTTCCTCTCTCTCTTTATCTGTTGAGTGGTGAATTGTAGAGTCAAGTTCTACCTTGTCCTTATCCGTGGTTTCAGGCTCCTTGTCACTGGTTTCTTCTAGATTCTCCTTGATACTAGTTTCCTCTAGATTCTCCTTGATACTGGTTTCCTCTAGATTCTCCTTGTTACTAGTCTCCTCTAGATTTTCCTCGTTACTAGTTTCTTCTAGATTCTCCTTGTTACTGGTTTCCTCTGGATTCTCCTCGTTACTAGTTTCCTTTCGATTCTCCTCATTACTACTCTCCTTTGGATTCTCCTTGTTACTGTTCTCTTCAAGATTCTCCTTGACTTTCTTCTTTTTCGGGTACTTCTTAGGTTCAGGTTTCTCTTGCGGTATACCAACCATCTTTCTCTCCTCATTTTTCAATTCAACTCTTGTATGTTCGGCTAACTCCTCATCAAGTTTGCCATCGACTTGATACCACAATTGATAAGGAGTTAGGCGTATACCAACATCCAAGATATGATTCATCTTGGCTTGTACTTCCTCTACGGATCGCACACTGTTTATCAAGATTGGTAAAAACTTTTTAGGCATTCCATGAATAGTAAATGAGACACTTGAATATAGATAAACAGGTTCCTCAGGTGGCTGTAGTGGTTTTGGAACCATAGATTTTTTTGATATTGGCCCCTTTCGTTTCTTTTTGCCCCGACGAGGAGGAGGGGGTCCACGTCTCTTTACAGGAGGAGCCGCTTGTTCCTCAAACTCTGCTGTGTTATTCTCTGGTTGAATAACGTTTTGCTCAGATTGTCCATCAACATTGTTCTTATTTGTTTCTGTGTCCACCATGTCATTTCCATTCTGAACCTTTTCTGCTAGGGTTCCAACGTCCTCACTGGAAACATCTCGGGATACTACTAGATTTCCATTCTCCTTCTCCTTCTCATTTTCAATTTCATTCTCAATCTGATTCCCATCCTCAACCTTTTCTGCTGATATTCCTACGTCTTCACTGGCAACTTCTTGAGCCGCCTTCTCTTCCTCAGCCTTTTTAGCTTTCTCTTCGTCTTCTTTTCTCAATTTTTCTTTGTAGTCTTTTAACGCTGCCTCATATTCATCAACTTTCTTTTGGTTATGAATCCATAGAAAGCTCATCAAGATATCGCTAGTATCTGAGTTATCACCATTTTCTGCATTGATCATGGTTGATGGTTCTAAAACTTCGCAAATAGCATAAGTTGGAAATTGAAATCGAACATTCACATTTTCTAGAAATTCAAACAAAACAGTTGCATTGACCAGATATTTCTCTTGAAATGCGGTTAGTTTTTGGTCTTTAGATATTTCTAATTTCGACTGTTTCTGGCTTTTATGATCCTTTTTAGTGTCAGTCATAACCATCTCTATTTTCAAATCGCTCTGGATATTTTCCTGAGAGTCAACAGCGGGAGAATCACTTGTTGATAGTTCAGCTGGGGAGTCCTCTTTTTGCTTGTCTTGTGGTATGGTATCAACCACTGTCTCCAATAGCTGTTGTTGCACAGGTTCTGTCTCCACTGACTGCTGTTGCACAGGTTCTGTCTCCACTGACTGCTGTTGTACAGGTTCTGTCTCCACTGACTGCTGTTGCACAGGTTCTGTCTCCACTGACTGCTGTTGTACAGGTGTCGTTTCAACCTCCGTCTCCAGGACGGATTCGTTTGTATCCTTTTCTTCTGCTGATCTACTATTTAGCTCTGAAGTTTCTTTCGTTTCCATATCATCTTGCAGATTATGCAAAGGTTCATCTAAATCCATTGGATCTTTTGCTGCGTCCTCAGGAATCTTCACTTTTTCAAGAAACACAAGAACTTCTTCATCTGCGTGAGGTGGCGCCCCAAGGGATTTTGCCTTTTCAATGTATTTCTGAAACAAAATAATCTCACCCACCAGCGCATTATTATTAGCTACCCTGTTCATCAAATCATTCAAAGAAGGATCTAAACGCGCAAGGTAATTTAGATTATCAATCATTAACCTATTTTCCACAATGCTCATATCAACAGACCTCAGTTGCTTAGACTTTGGAGTTTTTGCTTTTGCTTTTGCTTTCATCTTCTTCTCCCCTCCACTCAATTTAAAAGACCCCTCCTCTACTGTTCCCCACATAGCAGAATTTGAATTCGTTTTTTTCAAGTCAAGACTACCTTTTGGCGACAAGGACGTCCCACTTTCTTTTGGCTCGACTTTTGCTTTGGCAAGTAATGCTTCTCTCTTTTCAATTTCCCTCCTCCTCTTCTTTTCCTCTCTTTCCCTTGCATCCCTTTCTCGTTTTGCTCTTCTCTCCAACTTCTCTTTCTCCCTTTGCGCCTTCTTCTCGAGTCTTTCTTGTTTATTCCGTAATTTCTCCTTCTTCGTGTCACTTCTCTCGTCTTTTGCAATAAAGATACGTATTTCGAAAAAATGCACACCGATAGTCATTCCGCAGTCCACCAATTTTACCATTATATCCCTTGCGCTTATATCATTATTCAAAACACATGATCTACCAGCATAGACATCGTCTTTTTTCAAATGCAGCGGGACAGGCTTGTCCTGTTCGAGAAGCTTTTTGATATAGCTGGACTGTTTGACCCAATATAGCTGAAACATGGGACATAGACGCAAAATATTGTATCGTGATTTTATTATCGACAAGTAAAGTATACCTGTATCTTTAATAGTCAAGGGTTGGCTAATTGATGAAATTTGCGAGGTTGCCGAATACGACACAGGAAATGAATGCACATCCTCAAACGGACGAATTATTTTATGACTTTGCTCCTCTTGCTCCTTCTCAATCTCATCTCGTTGAGACGACGTGATCCTTCGTCTCACTCTAGGTGGCATTTTCAAGCGGTTAACTACAGTGAATTGAATTTGAAAAAAAAAAAAAAAAAAAAAATGAACCTAAAAAAACAAACTTACATAGCTTTTGATTCAATCCTGTTACTGCGTAAGAACTCCATAATGAATGTATATATTACCTGAATTTAGTATTGAGTTGATTTGTATAAGTTTTTCGTTTACGAATTTTGTTATACTATAATAGTCTTCTCTATAAATTCTCCTCTAAAGCGTCTAAACCTTGGTTGAATAATTTAATGATTGTGTCTAGTTCATATATCAATTTGGATTTGTTAGTAGTCGAGTCAACAAATAAATCTCCCTTGAAAGTCGGTACTAAGGGAAATGAAGTAGTAGTAGAAGCAGCAGCAGCGGCAGTAATTGCAGCTGCAGTTGCGGCAGTTGCAGCAGCAGTATTTGTGGAAGTTGTAGCAGCAGTGGTAGAAGTAGCAGCAGGTGCTGTAGCAGTGGTATTGCTACTACTAATACTAGTAGAAGTAGTTGAAGGCGCCGTTGACACACCATTTGTTGTCGATTGCTGAGTCAAACCCGTGACCTTGCTCAGTAAAAGACTCGTGTTAGTATGTAAGGGCGGATTAGGTAAACTGGTATTCAAATTGGATGGAGAAGGCTGTGATTTCTTTTGAGCCAGAATGCTATTCTGATGCGGTCTACCTGCAGTGATCGGAGGAGCAGACGCAGACGTAGACTCCTTCAATGAAGTTGATCTTTCAGCTTGACCATCATTTTTAATAGGAAACTGTAGTGGCTCCTTTTCTGTCACTGGTGTCATAGAAACTGACATTTGTGCCGCTTGAGCCGGATTGATACCAAACTGGTTAACATTTTCGTCGTCTCGGTGATCGTCTGTTAGAGCAGCAAGGGTATTGAGACTTGTAGATGGCGTTGGCATTTGAATAAAGCCGGGCTTGTTTCTCCTTGTTTTGAAATTTAATGCTGCTTGCCCCGAAGAAGAAGAAGAAGAAGAAGAAGTGGGAGGGGGGAGGGAGTGACTATTCTGCTGTGGTAATACAGGCATTGAATGCTGCTGAATTAATGTTGGAGGCGCTTGCGTTGGCGGATGCGATGATGATGATAACGACAATGTTGGTTTGTTTGGACCCTCGCCTCCCCCGGATTTGAAATTTATTGGTTGCAAAAGGGGATTAGAATTGTTTTGTAAGACTTTCATTTTTGAAGGTGAACCGGATTTCGAAACACCGCCTGTTAGGTTCAGAAGACTTAAGCTCGTAGGAGGCTTTGGTGACGGCGTTCGTATCGAGTTGTGAGTTGTATAAGGAGGTGTATGTGGAGCAGCTCCATTGGGGGAAGGCGACAAAGCAGAGGAGGTCGATATGCTCATCGTGCTTGAGTTTGTCTTTTTCCTGGGCCTATTCTCTATGGGAGAAGTATTCGATTGTGTATAACGGCATTCTAACATGCCAGATGCAGACTGTGTGTGGAGTAGTGCTGGTGGTTTATTCAACACAGAATGGTGATTGATAAGCGTTGATGATGAAGGAAAGCTCGATAATGCTTCCATATCGGGTATTTCAATTGTAGGCGACTCAGTCCCGTTGTCCAGGTTATTGAACATCGAAGGAGCAGTGAGAATCGTGTGATTGATTCGGTTCTCGTCTGGGTCTTCAAATAACATTTGTAAAGATCTAGGGATGTCTGCTGTCGATTTGGCAGTAGTGGTGTTTCCTTGACGGCTCAAAGTCTTTGTGCTATTGTTTCTACCAACTGTTGATGTTTCAGTTTTCAATGTGGTCAACGTTGGATAAGTATTTTCTTCATTTTGGGTTTCATTGTTATAATCTATTTTGCTCAAATCAATGTCATTCTCCATTATGTATTCCTTAGACTCAAGCGAATCAAAATCCCATTTAACTTGTATCTGATCATTGCCATCGTTAAATCCATTAACGTTGAATCCGGAAAGTTTGCTCAGAACAATCTCATCAATACTATCCTCTTTCTCGTTCTCTAAATTAAGGAAAACAGAGTCCCTTGAAGAATTTCGCTCTCTCCAAATCAAATACCTTGTGATAACTTCTTTGAGAATATTTGTTGAATAACCTTTGTATGCTTTTATTAGTTTACACCGAAACAAGCTATCAGCTGTCGGTCTCTCTTCTGGATTTTCATCTAAACACAAAGCAATGCACTCCTTCAATGCTGGCGAGTATTCCCTTCCCTCAAGTCTGGGCGGAGTCGCCTTTGATATTAGTTGCATAGCCCACGATGCATCTTTGTCACAATATGGTGGGTTGCCTGTGGCAATCTCGTATATAGTGATGCCCAATGACCATATATCGGCTTTGCTATCATAAGTCTCTCCTGATTTGATCACCTCAGGCGCCATCCAATAAGGTGTTCCCGCCATAGTTGTTCTTTTCTGTGCGTTTGACAGAATCTTTGCCGCCACGCCAAAGTCGCATAATTGCACGTTTCCTTCTTTCGATATGAGTACGTTGGCAGCTTTCAAATCACGATGTATCACTCCCATCTTATGTACTGCGCTCAATGTTAACAACAACTCCCTTGTGATGACTGCAATGTACTTCTCTTCAATGACTCCTGCCTTCAAGAGCGTTCTCAAGGACCCACCAGCGCAGTAGTCCATAATTATCCAAAGCTTAGTGTCTTGGAGAATAGAACCATGGTAATGTGTTATATTAGGAACATTTTTCAATTCGGTTAAAAACTGTATCTCTTGTTGGACATCAACAATGTCTTCCTCTTCGCTGTCTAGATTAAGTACTTTTATAGCATAAACCTCTTTTGTCTGTTTGTGATAAGCCTTGTAAACAACTCCAAATTTACCTCTTCCAATGACTTCCGTTCTTTTGTATTGCAGAATAGAACTCATTTAAGATGTACCAAAGAAACACCAAGTGATACCGATTCATAAAACCTGCCGAAATCACAACTATGCACCTCTCTTTTTTCTTTCTTTCTCTCTCTCTTTCTCTCTCTTTCTCTTTCTCTTTCTATCTCTCTTTCTCTCTCTTTCTCCTTGTTTCTCCTTCTCTCTTTGTTTTTCTATTTTTCTTGTCGTCTATTCTCAAATGGTGAGATCCGTAGTGCAATTTATCGTGTTATAACTGATTAGTTAATTTTAATAATAAAAAAGAAAACAATTTTGAAATCTATTTTGTTCTCGCTTTCGATTAAAGGAAGAGAGTCTTTGACAAAGTTAAGCTACTAGTGAGCCAAGCGAGCTAGTGGAGCACACTTTGTAGTGACCCTAGCGACACTAGCGACTCAAGCGAGCTAGTGGAGCGCACTTGGAAGCTTATTACGACCATTTGGCTGATACTCAAACCCGTGTGTAAGGATGCATTCAACCTCTTGTGTCGCTCGACAGTGTTGCTACAAAGTGTTGCTACAAAGTGTTGCTACAAAGTGTTGTTCCACTATCTCTCTTCGCTCCATAGTGTTGGTACATTGTTAAAAATCCAATGTACCGCGATATCTACTGGTCTACGGCTTTCCTTCAATCCTCATAGAAGCAGATTGTTCAAGGAAAAGAAACCTCTCAATTGTCTATCAAAGATCTGAGCAAGAGCGTCTGCCTCAACAGTCTATCAAAGATCTAAGCAAGAGCTTCTGCCTCAAATGTCTATCAAAGATCTAAGCAAGAGCTTCTGCCTCAAATGTCTATTAAATTTTACAAGTCAGGGGCGCCTTGTCTGAGTTGACTTAATAACTGATATTGTTCGTATGTAAGCAGTCGTCGACGATTCAAATGATTGTCAGCGTTATTTTGCATGTCTATTGTTGATTCTGTAGACCCATTTTCTTCACAGGTGTGATCATTGCTCGTGCCAACAAGTGACCGAATACTAGCAGAATCTCCCGAGTTGCTTATACTTTGGTAATTTGTTGAATCAAACGAGTTATCAAGCGATCCCGTGAGTGCTCTCGACTCCGACGAGCACATTTTTTTATTCAAACAAGAGTAGTCTTTTAAAGTCAAGATGTTGTTGTTTTCATCAAAAAATTGACCAAAAAGATTGTCTTCAGTTTGAGCTTCATGTCCACATCCATCGTCTCTTGCGCTATCCACGTCCCTCCCTTGAAACGCACTATCCCAACTCAATATGAGAACACCACATAAAACGCCAAATAGTCCCACTAGGATCCATGTGAACTGACCATAGGACATCCTATGATCAATGAGTAGCTTACTGAAATTCAAATCATTGATCAAGTTTACCAAATTGTAAACCAAAAAACACAAAGGATATAGCACAGCTGTAGTAATTTGAGCAAGACCTAAATTGAAAGCGGTCAACTGCAACCCCACAATCGCTAGCATCACCACGAGAAGCAAATATGGTGTAAGGTTGGTGAGGTTGGCAAGTTCTTTAGTACCTTTATCCATAATAGTTTCGACAATCACATCGATGAGGGACTTTGCGAATAAAAAAGTATGTGCAGTCAAAGTTCCACTAATGATTCCATAGTTGATGCCTTTCCAAAATTGATACTTGTTAAATTTGACAAAAAGTATTTCGTTATTGCCATTTCTTATCGCGTAATTTCGAAGACGCTGATGCGATTGTTCAATTTTCTTGTTCAAATAAAAATAGTTGACTGCTAGCAAAATACCCATTACCAAGAAGGTTGTTATAAACCAAACAAAAAAAGAAGCGTCCAAGAATTTGTGGATGATATCGTTGAACCTTTCATCTATGGGGACTTTTATAGGCGTATCTGGAAATGGCTCAACTGCTCCATTGTTGGCAATTGTAAAAGCTCCAACGGCAATGATTGCAGTTCCAAGCCACAACTGTTTTGTAAAGTTATCTCCAGGGAGTAGTAAACAGCTGAAGATGGAATTGAAGATTAGCCCGATACTCTGAAGCGGCGATAAAATGATGAGCGGCAATGTAGATATCTGAATTACTGATCCAAGCACATTGGCAACGATAAATAGTGCAAATCCAAAGTACCACATGCTTCGCCTGTATCTTTGGAGACGCTGCTGCTGCTGCTGCTGTAGTTGTAGTTGTAGTTGTTGCTGTTGCTGTTGCTGCTGCTGCTGTTGCTGCTGCGTGTTCTGGGATTGGCCATATTTTTCTGGAATCCTCAAGTGAAGTAAATGAGACTTTCTCTGTAACGTTATTCCTAGTGATTGAATTGCAGACGAAACGACTGCCACGGTGCACCCTAGTACTATAGCTGAACTTGAAGACTTAGGCATAATCTATTTTAGGGTTTTAAATTGTTAAATTTGTGTAAAATTGGACTTTTGAGTGTAGATTGGCATGTGTGATGAGAAGAATGAGGGGCGGTAGATCTTAGCAAAAGGACAAATGTACAGGTAATAGGTGCAGGCACAGGTAATAGGTAATAGGTGCAGGCACAGGTAATAGGTAATAGGTGCAGGCACAGCTAACAAGTAACAGATCAAGACAAAGTCGGTGGAGGGGAAGGGGGGGGGGGGATGTGTGTGGGGGAAGGGAAAGAATAACACATAGTAGTTGAAAAACTTTAATTACCCAAAACGTAATGAAAACAAAATTGAGGTGTCACGCATAGATTGACGCTACCAAACGTGGAGATTTCAGCCCCCTAATCAATACCACCTTGACACTATCGAGCGTAGCGAGATAGTGGAGCACACTGACTAATAACACCATTGAGCGGAGCGAGATAGTGGAGCAACACTTGGTACCTTGTAGCGACAAAGTTAGATTCGAGTGCGACACTATCGAGCAGAGCGAGATAGTAGTGGAGCAATACTTGGTACCTTGTAACCACAAAGTTAGATTAAAGGTCAAAGTTAGATTAGAGTATACATCTCTACACATCTCAATCTCCAAGTACACATCTCAATCTCTTAGTACACATCTCCTACCTTAGTACATATCTCCTACCTTAGTACACATCCCCCTTTTTTTCTCTTATTTCCTCTTAATTCACATGCCATTGTATCTCTTTCATACACATTTCTTTTCCATCTCCCTTGCTGTAGAGTATATAAGTAGTCACTGGCATCGCCTTCGACTCCGCTAGTGGATGCTTCCATAGATAACACATAATCTATGCGCTGCTAGCCTGAACAGATCAAGGTCACTATCGAGCAAAGCGAGCCTCCACTAGATAGTAGAGCGAGCCTCCACTATTTTGCTCTGCTCGATAGTGTCGATAGTGTCAAGAGCTAGTGTGCTCCACTATCTCGCTCTGCTCGATAGTGTTGATAGTGTCGATAGTGTCGATAGTATCGCTTTAAATAATGGGTGCGAAATTTTTTTATTAAGTTGACACGATGCACATCAAAAAAAAGTACTTTACTATGAGAGCACCATCTCTTCATTTCTCTTTTGTTAAAGACTCGGGAGAGTGAAAACATATATAGGTAAACAAACAACACTAGAAGGACCTAGTTATGAATAATGAGGAGATCATTTTCATTATAGACAAACTTGACTCCTCAAATGAGGATGAAATCTTACGTGGTCTAAATCTTTTAGATAAATATCTAATACGTTTAGTCACGGAGCTTGAAATATGTTCAAGTAATGGTGGTGGTAATTGTTTCTTGACTTGTGAGTTGGTTGAAAATTTTGTTCAACTACAAAATAATCCTGCTTACAATATAGCATCATACTTGGTTAGGATATACGACTGTAATTTATCCGATAGCAACCTTATTCTACTCAATAGGATGCTTCAAGGGTGCTTGTTATTGCACCATTCGTCGAGATCAAACTTCAACCATGGTAGAAATATGAAGAGAATTTTGACCAAACTCGATGAACATCGAGATATTCCAGCTATAATATCGGTCATATCAACTTTGATTCATATCTTACTCAAGAATTATGAGAATTATCGTAGTTTTGAAACCAATGGTGGTTGTACAAAGTTAATCCAACACTTGAAGTTGAATTCAATCGACGAGATACCACAACAGAAACCAAAAAATTCAACCATGTCGCCATCCTTAATTTCGAACCAACAAAAATTGAACTTTAAAATAATTGAGTTCTTAATGCTCTACATGATAGAGGAAACAAACAATAAAAATGGGAAATCAGTCGAAGAGAAGGCTCGGCTATTTAAACAAGACTTTCCAGAAATTGACTTATTAGTTGAGAACTTGAATGAATTAAGCAAACTATAAACCAAAAAACCGCCTATTTTCTATTCTATTCTACTCTATTCTACTCTATTCTATTCTATCTTCATTTTCAAAATTTCAAATCGTAATGTTTTGAAAACTCAGATTGTGCTTGCTCGATTTTTTTCAGTGAGTATCTTCTTTGCGGATTCGGCGTGGCTAGTTCACGAAGTTCTTGAGTCGTATTATTATTGTTATCATTATTCAGAATAACAGCGGCATAGGGTCGTTTATATGCTAAATTTGTCATCAGTTTTCTAGCAGAAAACAATGATTGCCCTTCAGCCTTGTCTTCCTTTAGCCTTGGGATAGGCGCGATATTGAACATAGAATAATCATTCAACTTGCGGTATTTAGGTATCACCTTATACGGTTCAATCTTATCGGCATCGTATTCCCTTCGTTTTAGAGTTAATTCAGCGTCTTCTTTGCCATCTACTGATAATGGTTCAGCAGTTTCAACCACCTTCAAACCAATAAGTTTACGCTGAGTTGAATTCAAAGGCAAATCCCAGCATTGATCTTGACCCTTGAGTAAAGTGAATGTGGAGATCAAAATGCAAATTATGGACGGCACCAAAATCAATCGCTCAATAAGTAACAAGTATGGACTATTCAACATCCGGCTGATTTGCTGATTCTCTTTTATCATTTGCACATAGATAGGTTGAGCCTTGAGCTTAATATGATACATTAGTATAATTTTCTCGAGTATTGACTCAAAAGATAATATCAATGAAAAATAAAGCAAATTTCGAAGTAGCATCTTGATGTAGTATTCCATATTAATTTGTCTTTTTATTGCCTGTTTGACAATTGGATTTTCCCACTCACCTGTAGGATTGTCAATATTTTGAGCCTCAATTAGTTCATCCTCTTGTAAATCGTTCTTGATACTTTCTATCACCTCTTTCATATCATGATTATTGGCGAAATAGGTAGAGCTGTACTGCTTGGGTGCCCTCGCGCTTGATTTTCCACACGGAAGGTTGACATTGGGGGGTACGAAATTTTTTATTTCATCGTTGAAGTTTTTCACACTGCTGCTATTTCGTGGTTGGTAATATAAGGGTCTATCGTGAATTCTGATTTCATGAGTTTTCATCTTTTCTTGTTGATTTTTGGCTCTTAAGCTTAATCTGGTTTGGAGAAGCTTGAAATCCACATCATGTAAAGAAGTTGAAATTGGAGTTGAAGTTGAAGTTGGAGATGAGTCAAGTTTCAGTTGAAGAACTTGCTGTTCCTTATTAGATGACGAGGTCAGAGATGAGGCAATTTGTTGAGTCAGCAGCAGCGTTTCAAAATGCATTCTAGTGGTTACATCACTGGGAAGCCTGGTTAAAGAATTATATTGCTTCTTAGTAGTTTGAGTATCGGACCTGGGATACGTTTTCTTGTACAGGTTCAACTTATCCAGAGCATCGTTGTGGAGTATACCAGGCACAAAGGTTGTAGACATTTCGTACCGTACTATGCTATCAATGCTATGTCGCCGGTACTGGTACTGTCCAATACTGATAATACTGTGCTATACTTCTACTCAATCTCTAATTTCGTGCTTCCATAAGAACCAACTAAAACCTTTAACTCGAATCACGTGACCTAAATACTCGTGATTTGTTTTTCTTTCTCATCTCGATGCAAATTGAAAAAAAAGTTTCTTATATCCACCACATTCTTCTTTAGAAAGGGGGTCTTTTAAAAAAGGAGGGTGTTTGTATGAAAATGTATGTTTCTAGAAGATAACTAAGATTTAATGATGAATAAAAATGTTTACACAGACCTGTACTGAGTGGAATTGGCAATTGCCATTTTCATCTGAAGGATAACGACATGCCTCTTCTGAATAAATCAATAAATAAAGTACTCATGATTTACTAACAAACCTCAAAAGTGGCTTCAGTATAGTTAGGTTTATATATCCATTTTCAATACAAGGCTCTTTTTTATAACGCTCAACACTTTGTTTAGTACACTTTGTAAACAAAGTTGTATAGACACTGTTTTTTACAAGTTAGCTCGCGTTAGCTTATATTTTCCCTCCTACAAGCATCGGTGACAGTCAATGTGCTCCACTATCGAGCAAAGCGGTGTAGTCAATGTGCTCCACTATCGAGCAAAGCGGTGTAGTTAATGTGCCACACTATCGAGCAGAGCGAGATAGTGTGTAGACACTGTTTTCTACAAGTTTTGTTCCTTAACGTTAAATCTTTTTCTTTTACTTAATATACATTAACAGATGAAACCCTAAACAAAAAAATAAATGCTACTATATTTTGGTTGTTACTTCTATCCCAATCATTTATTTCTTAGCGGTTAATCTTCTCAAGTAGAAGGCCAATTCTTCACCTTCTAAAATGTATCCATCACATCTACCAGATTGACCTGGTCTTGATGAAATGATAGCATATAATCTACCAGCACCGAATTGAGAGTCAACAGCTTGTTCTATAGCAGCAGCACCTGATCTTCCGGCTAACTTTCTTTCCAATTTTCTTGATCTTTTAACTTCTTCAGTTTCAGAAGCAGCTGGTTGGTTCTTCTTCTTACCTAAAGTAGCTCCGTAATGGTTTTCGTACCATTGTCTGAATGGTGTGGCATCAATCTGGACAACAGCTGATTTAGTTAAAGTGTTGGTTCTAACCAACTCGTTATTCGATGGATGGTAAACAACATTTGCAATTCTGGTCTTTTTAGCAACACCTTCAGAAGCCCATGAAAAGTTACCGGTTTCAACTCTCAAAGCTCTGAATTTTTCATTGCCACCTCTAGTTCTGACAGTGTGGATTCTTTTTGGTCCAATCTTGGTGTTAGCCGATTGTCTACCCAATTCAAACTTTCTCTTTTTTCTGAATTGGGCTCTTTTAGCACCTGTGGCTGATCTTTTGTGACGTGAATCTCTAGAAATACCCATATTTGCCTTGAAAGAAAAAAAGTTAGTATTCAATACGATATTCCTACAACAACAACACCCGCATATGTATTATCAAACATAGCTTGGTTAGTGATGACAATAATTAAACGTGGTTCTCTTGTGTTATGGTGGAATATACCCTTCTTTTCGACTTCCCATCTCACAGCCCCTTCCCCTCTCCACTTCATTGCTTCGCACTTTGTAAACTTTGTCAATACTATCACAATCGTAAATCATTTGTCATATCTCGAGTTCTTGGGTCTCTCCATGGCACCTAAAGACATTGGTTCCTTTCCATTGTTGAACAACATAGACGAGTTATAAGGGTTGTTGTATACACTTTGTTGTTGATAACATACACTTCAATATCACTGTTGTACTATTAAGAAGAATTTCGAAAACCAAATTAAAAACGAAAATTTTTTAATAAGGTGAAAAATTACTTTGTATGAAAGATTCCTTAAGAGATTGTATCCTTGTTAAGTATGGGCAATGTTTGTGTGCGACTATACTGAAAAATAAATTGGTAGCACTGATAATTGGTAGAGTTTGGAAGTATCCGTTGTGCGAAAAAAAAAAAAGAAAAACACACACACACACATACACACAGAAATCTTGCCATAGCTTGAAGAGATATTTCCGAGCACGTGCCGAATTCAAAAAGTATGGCTATAACCCTAATATTATTTGTTCTTATATTTAAGTTTTCTTTCCTCCTTTATTAAGGCTTTATATTGATTTCCGGATTTAAAAGGTTTACATATACGAGAGTCCATCGCGTTATTTGGTTTTGAAAAATAATAGGTTATACAAAATCTAGAGTAGATGAGTTACACTATATAATGGAAACTATATATGATGAGATAGAGATTGAAGATTTTACATTTGATTCTGTTACTCATTTATTCCAATATCCATGTCCCTGTGGCGATAAATTTGCCATTTCGTTAGAAGATTTGCAGGATGGCGAAGACGTTGCAGTTTGTCCCAGTTGTTCGCTTATGGTGAAAGTTATCTTTGATCCCGAGGATTTAGAACAATATGTTGAGGAGATTAGTACACTATCCAGCGACACTACTGAGCGAAGCGAGATAGTGAGCAGCACTTAGTACCTTGACGACACTAGGGAGCGAAGCGAGCTAGTGGAGCAGCACTGACTACACCGACACTAGGGAGCCGCAATGACTACACCGACACTAGGGAGCAACACAGTACCTTGCCACAACACTGACTATTTTGCTACAACAAGCAACACTATCTCGCTTTGCTCCCTAGTGGAGCAAAACGTTTTACATCGGTGGCAGGTATTGTGCTCTACTATCTCGTTCTGCTCGATAGTGTATATATGCTATATATTCATATTCATATTCATTCAAAGTGGAAACGAGTTTCTGCAGAGTATTATGACACTCCGCTCCTTGGCTTATTGTGAAGCTATTGCAATTTTCATTTTGAGTATTGACCAAATGGACGCAAACAAAACACCGTTTGCGAATTGCGCCAAGTGGTATCAAAATCAATTCAAATGCATTGCTTTTACTCTATCAAGCAATACTCAGTACTTTGTTACTACACTATTGAGCAACACTATCTTGCTTCGCTCGATAGTGTCATTAGTGTTGCTCCACTATCTTGCTTCGCTCGAGAGTGGATTAAGGGTACTGATTCAGTTTGATTTACCAACTACATTTTGGAGATATTTAATAGTTCATCTTAGAAACTACTATACATTTGCTAAGGATGGTTAACAAATTACAGGAATGGTCATTCATCGGCATTTCAACAAGACCCATTTTCTATGAGAGACAAGGTCAGTGTCTAAAAGTAACGAAAAGCAAAACTTTTTTTTTTTAAAACTCTTCAGAGACTTTGTTCGTTAAATAGTGAATATACATGTATCAGTCTAATTGAAACAATAGTGTTGAAACCTGTGTGGTTATGTTTCTATTGTTTAGTCACGAAATGTTTTTTTCTCCCATATATTCCTCCGGGTTATCAATCCAATGGTTGAATGAGCATGACACGGGTTTGACTCTTTTGTCAAAGAGACAACCCCCTAACGAACTTTTTACCGCCTAAGTTACAAATCGCATAAATATTGCGCCTCCCCCGAAGAATCGTGGAGTGCCATTTTTCAACTAGGTATACAAAGGGCGCTCACTAGTCAATACTGCTCCACACACTAACTAACTGCCCACTATCGAGCAAAGCGGGGGTTGTCTCTTTGAGAAAAGAGTCAAGCCTGTGTGATGCTGCTCCACTATCTCTTTCTGCTCGATAGTGTCCACTCTCTTCTCTCTACATACTACTCCACTATCTCTTTCTGCTCGATAGTGTTTACTCTCTTCTCTCTACATACTACTCCACTAGCTCGCTTCGCTCACTAGTGTAATGCTGCTCCACTAGCTCGCTTCGCTCACTAGTGTAATGCTGCTCCACTATCTCTTTCTGCTCGATAGTGTCACATAATCTGGGGCCAAGCAAGATGAAATACAGCGACGTAGCAGTTGTCAATTACTCACCCTTCTTTCTTTATAAAGCTTTATAGGCAACTCGTTTCACATTTATTAAAGATCAAGAAATTTGAGTTGTTGTTAGTTCATTTCTTTCGGGTATGTGGTATTTCAGAGTAACGCATATGTAAATGCACAACGTGGGTACACTACCCATACCTCTTATTACCAGAGCTTTATCTAATCTATAGATCTGCGTCATCCCATAAAGATGACGAAAAACTTTCCCACAAAGAAAACAACAAAACTAGATACTAAGAGAAGACAACTAAGAGAAAACAACAAAACTATAGATACTAAAAGAAAACTATAGATACTAAAAGAAAACTATAGATACTAAAAGCTCCTACACACGGGTTTGTTAACGGATAGTTACAAGTTCATATTACATATTGAAAAATCAAATCACATATTGAAGAATTATATTTACTAGTGTTGCTCCACTATCTCGCTCTGTTCAATAGTGTCGTTAACCCAATCAAGTATCAAAGGAGTCAAAAATGTTTATTTTTTTTTTTTTTAAAATACTCCCTGCGCTAAAATTTTTTTATATTACTTTGATTTTAATTCCCAGTTAATTGCTACAGCGGCTATTGCAACCCCCCTCTCAAAAAGACTTATACTAGCGTTTAAATCCGATCGATTTTATTATGCTGCATGTCTGAAAACATTAAGCACTTTAATATTTATTTTTTTCTTTGATCGAATTTTTAGATTCAGACAATTTTGTAAAAGTCAGTCAGTCTTTTGTCTGTCAAGCACTTGCAGGTACCCTGTCAAGGACTAGAAAAATATAAGAAACTAGATCATGAGATAAAACTTTTTCCATATAAAAGTCAACTAATATATCTATTCAATCAACAAGGGGGGGGGGGCTTGAATAGGGAAGTCCTTCAACAGCAAGTATAAACATGATTTTGTTAACATAATCTATTGATATAGCCTATAAACTCTCTCGAATTTACCGTGACTTACTAACATAAACGGTTTTTGCTGTTATAAAAGTAAACTCAGAATTGTCAATCATGAGGGGTAATATTATAGCGGGGTTAACCGTTGTTTCATCCCTTACTGCTCGTGGCAATACCTTAAAACGTATCCTACATATGCCCTTATAAAACCAAAGATTTTTTTTTTAGTGAGTACGGTTTTGAGCGTTTAAGATTCTGCTGAAGCTTGCATAAATTTGAAATTGGCGATTACATGACCAGTGGAATATTATTGGACCTAAGAAGAGTCTAACCTAAGAAGAGTCTAACCTATGAAGAGTCTAACCTATGAAAAGTCTAACCTATGAAGAGTCTAGCATTAAAAGAAGAGGCTAACCTAAGAAGAGCCTGGCATTAAAAGAAGAGCCTGGCATTAAAAGAAGAGCCTAGCATTAAAAGAAACTCGTGCGTATACACTTAAACCTCACCTGTGACTGTAGCCTATATGCCTGTAGACTATATGGCTGTAGGCTGTAGACTGTAGACTATATGGCTGTAGGCTGTAGACTATATGGCTATAGGCTGTAGATTCCATAGTTCTTTGTTTGAATTACAGCTCCCCCACTAATCTGTGTCTGAGAAACAATAGTCGGTAAAGTTTTAGTGGGCAAAGCTTTGGTGGGCGGCTAAGTGAAAAAAAAAAAAAAAATTAAATGCAGAATCTATACAATACACAAACTGCAAACAAGGAAAGCTTCCTAATTGAGAGCTTGTGGTTAATGACAGTAACTCTGTTGTTGGTTTCCCAACAGTCGCAGTGCATATAGGCTATTTAAAAAACGAAAAGCACATAGAGTAGAGCAAAATAAATATTGGGTATACCTCTTTTTGGTTCCTATATTTGAAGTATATATGTGTGTCTCTATGCCTTGTCTTATTTTTATTCCTAATTATTGATTAAACAAAATTAAACAAGGAACAAATTACGGAATTAAATTGATCACCATATTCCTTTAAAGTCATACATAACATTCTTGTAATAGCTTGTAACTCTGTAATCTTGGTGGCAAAAGACTGAAAAAAACTCAGTACTGGACTTTATATACTATTAACCCACTAAAACCCACTAAAAACCCACTGAAACATCCAGTTAAACCCACTAAATCACATGATCAAGGCTTAATTTCAACGAAAAAGTGAAAAATAAAGGACAAATAGTAAATAAGAGGAAGGATTTTGAGAGTAACAGAGCATAGCCAAGAAGCTTATAACAGCCAAAGAGCAAAGGATACATATCCAGCAGACTTTTCGAAGCCCTTGTCTCAGGTTGGTTTTGTTTTCCTTGCATCTTTTGTATCCATTATTTCAAGCAAGCTTCAAACAAACCATCATCAAGTTATTTAACCCTATCATTTGAACAAACCTGGTTGGGATACCTTTATAAGAGCTGGTCTCTTCATTGATACCATTTGACACATTTACACACTTACATCTACATCTACGCCTTACATCTACACACACCTTTATCTACACGCACCTTTATCTACACGCACCTTTATCTACACCCACTTTTATATTTACATCTACATACATACACGGGTTTGATTGACAATGTACGATAAGCCCAGCAATTTCCACTATACTCAGGGCAATCACGGCATAATGATATCTAATCATCAGCATCACCCTCACAACCCCGTATCGAAACCAATACACCCGCCGCAGCCGCCTCAGCAGCAGCAGCAGCTACCACCACAACCACCACAACCACCACAACCTATGCAATTGCCTTCACTTCCGCACCACGTTTCTACATACTCGTCTACTCCTGGTCAACCACTTCAACACATTTATACTACTCCACCACATCAAACCCAATTGTATCACTACAATCAGCCTGATATCCCTCCGGCAGGGTATATCATCCCAGCACGACCTTTGTCACAATACGAGCCGTTATCACAACCGCAATCTCAACCACAGTCGCAACCACTATCACAATCTCAGCAGCATCCTCAACATGCAATGGCCACAAATGAGGAATCCAACCATGGGAATGAATCATTGACTGTGTCAAATAGAAGAGGACCGTGGTCACCACTTGAAGACAAAAAATTATTGGAACTAATATCCATCTATGGACCAACTAATTGGGTAAGAATATCCAATAGTTTAGAAACTAGAACGCCAAAGCAATGCCGAGAAAGATACCACCAAAACTTGAAACCAAGTTTGAATAGAGCACCTATAACTCCAGAGGAAGGCGATATGATTGAAAAACTAGTTGCACAACACGGCAAGAAATGGGCCGAGATTTCTCGCCATCTTAATGGAAGATCAGATAATGCAATTAAAAACTGGTGGAATGGCGGTGCAAATAGAAGACGTAGAGCTTCAACTAATCCCGCTTTTACTACTTCAGATGTAGCAACTTTAGCCTCGACTGTAAAGATAAACGAAAATAAAAGAAAGTCAAGCTCAAGCAATAACAATGTTGAGATTGCCCAGCCGTTGAGTACAAAACAAGCTTCAAGCTTGCCACAACCACAACTGCAACCACAATACTCAGCAAGTGCATTACGGACTTCATCTAGTCTCTCCAACATGAATCATCACTATCAACAACAACAACAACAACAACAACAACAGCAACAACAACAACATCAACAACAACATCAACAACAATCACAACCACATCAACCACATCAATTAAGCCAAGTGTCGAATGCACCAAACCTACCACAAATTGCATTTAATACCTCCATATTTGGCAAGGCTATCAACGAAAAGACTCTTCCTAGTCTTCGAGATTCAATCAACAGAGCATCTGTTCCACCGCCTGCAACTATTAATATCCATTCTCCCAAAAGGTCATCCAATTCTAGGTCAGCCAGTTTTGATGTAAACTCATCGACATTACCACCTATTATTCAGAATAATAAAAGAAGATTAATTGAAGATCAATTCAATCGCCGACACTCAAGCGCTCATTCCATGTTAATACAAACGAATTCGAATGGCTCGCATATAAGTTTGGTGCATGCTTTTCCTTATTCCAATCAGTCTGTTAGCGGGAATGTCCTGCCTTCATATCATGGATCGCCATTAATGTTAAGCACAGCCATTTCGAGAAACAATTCCGTTAGTCATCTTGAGTTGATGAACAACAACAACTCAGCTAATGATGCATCCAGAAGATCTAGTTCGATTGCGTTTGAACTATTCCCCAATCCTTTGAACAAGAATGGAGATACTCTCTCGCATAAGAGAAATGTGTCACAAAACTCGTCATTCAACTCACCTCAATTAACTCCACTGACGAGATTTTCGGTTTGCTCCACCAATTCAATATTGGTTCCTACAACAACGTTGAATAACTCCTCAGTGACAACGTCACCGGCGCAGTCTTATAAGTACGAGCATGCAAGAAGCACTGTATCTGTGAATGAGCCAGTGAAGATCGAAGTGGACGAGAAACAGAAACAGAAAACAAAAGACATTAATGGGAAAGATGAGAATACGAGAATTTTACAAAAACAAGAATCTTCTTTTGAAAGGAAAAACAGCATAAATGATAGAGACAATCTGTCAGTAACTAAGGTATCCGTGTCTTCATTACTCGACTAGAGTCTAACTCAATAGAGAGCAATACAGAGCAACCAAGACATTTTACAATTTCGGGTTCTTTATCTTTGAGTGCGACACTATCGACACTATCGAGCGAAGCGAGATAGTGGAGCAGCACTGACTGGTCTGTAGAGAGAAGAGAGAGTAGATATGGACTATCTCGCGTTATTCGAAGATAAATAGCTGAAAAGAATATTGATTATTTTTTAAATGCTTATAGACACTATCGACATCGACACTATCGAGATCGACACTATCGAGATCGACACTATCGAGCGAAGCGAGATAGTGGAGCAGCACTGACTGGTCTTTAGAGAGAAGAGAGAGTAGATATAGACTATCTCGCTTTGCTCGATAGTCTATGCTCGATAGTCTATGCTCGATAGTCTATGCTCGATAGTCTCTGCTCGATAGTCTCTGCTCGATAGTCTCTGCTCAATAGTGTCGTTATTTTTTATTTTCACTTTTTAATATATATTAGTTGTCTATAGTGATGGTCAGTGTGCTCTATCTCGCTTCGTTTGATATAAGAGAGATTAGATATAGACTATCGAGCAAAGGGAGATAGAAAGAAAGTAGATATAGACTATGGAGCAAAGCGAGATAGTCTATAGTGATGGTCTGTGTTCTCCACTACCTCTCTTCGTTTGATATCAGAGAGATTAGATATAGACTAGCTTGCTTTACTCGATAGTGTTTAGTGATGGCCAGTGTTCTCCACTATCTCGCTTCGCTCGCTCTGCTAGATGGTCTATATCTACTCTCTCTTCTCTATATAGACCAGACAGTACTGCTCTTCTATCTCGCTTCGGCCGATAGTGTCGGTTTAGTCAGTGCTGCTCTTCTACCTCGCTTCGCTCGATAGGAGAGAGAGTAGATATCGACTATCGAACAAAGCGAGATAGAAGAGAGAGTAGATATAGACTACCTCGCTCTGCTCGATGGTCTATGCTCGATAGTCCATGCTCGATAGTCTATATCTACTCTCTCTTCTCTCTATAGACCAGACAGTACTGCTCCGCTATCTCGCTTCGTTCGATAGTGTTTAGTGATGGCCAGTGTTCTACACTATCTCGCTTCGCTCGATAGAAGAGTAGATATAGACTATCTCGCTTTGCTCGATAGTGTCGGCGTAGTCAGTGCTACTCTACTAGCTCGCTTCGCTCGATTGAAGAGGGACTAGATATAGACTAGCTCGCTTCGCTCGATAGAAGAGTAGATATAGACTACCTCGCTTCGCTCGATAGTGTTTAGTGATGGCCAGTGTTCTACACTATCTCGCTTCGCTCGATAGTGTCGGCGTAGTCAGTGCTGCTCCACTACCTCGCTTCGCTCGATAGTGTCGGTGTCGTGTCGCAATTAACGACATTGCCAAATTTTATGACGAAACAAATTTCACGATATTTCATGAACCAGAGGTTTAAGGGTTGGGATAGTAAGCAATATTGGTATAGTAGGACGGTTTGTGAGGGCAAAGGAGACAGAGCAAGGTATATATTGGGTAAAAAAAAAGCAATTTGTTATTTCCAATGGCATTGACTTACAAAGAACAGGATGAGATACTTCGAAGCTGCATGAGTAATATCAAGCATCAATCTAATTTGATGAAGAATGATTTGGATGACAATAAATTGTTACAAGCGTTGAAACACTGTTCTAATCTCCTCAGTGAGTTGAGAGTTAGCCTGTTGACTCCAAAACAGTATTATGAGATGTATATGATGGTGTTTGACTCCTTGGAGATATTGAGTGGGTATTTGTTAAGTAGCTATAACTCAAGAGTTAAACGCAAACCTCAAATCGAGAATGACAAGGCTTCAGACAAGGTTTCAGACAAGGCGAAGGAAAAAAGAAGGGAAAAGGACTCTTCTTCACAGAACAACAATAATATTGCATCTAGTGCCGCGGGTGCGTTTTTGGCTGACTTGTACGAGATTGTCCAGTACTCTGGAAACATCATTCCTCGTCTTTATATGATGATTGTTGTTGGAACAACGTATATGAAGGTCAAAGGAGCTCCAGTGAAAGATTTGATGAAGGATATGATTGAAATGTGTCATGGAGTACAACATCCCATACGTGGACTATTCTTACGATACTATCTATCACAAAGGACAAAGAACTTGTTACCTTTTGAAACAGCTGCTGATTTTAAAGAAACTATTGAGTTTTTGATTACCAACTTTATCGAAATGAACAAGTTATGGGTCAGATTGCAACATCAAGGTCACTCTTCAGAGAGGGAAATACGATATAGAGAACGTAAAGAGTTGAAAATTTTGGTTGGATCAAATTTGGTCCGCTTGAGTGAGATAATGGATAATTATAAAGGAGGCAGCGATGAAAACGGTGAGATTTATTCATCAATCAAGTTTTATGAAAACAAGGTTTTTCCTACCATCACCGAGCAAATTATTCAATGTAAGGATCATTTAGCACAAACGTATTTGGTTGATGTAATGATTCAGGTTTTTCCTGATGAGTACCATTTTGCTACTTTGGATAAATTGTTAAACCAGGTGTTTGCTAAATTACACCCTATGTTAAAAAAAACCGAGTTAATAACTGCTTTGATTGAAAAGTTTATCACCTATCACAAGTTTTCTGATGACATGTCAAGTTTGAAAGTAAGCGATGAAACTAATGGGGAAAGGGTTGACAATGGAGAAAGAGTAGATATCGATGCATATTTTGAGATATTCTGGTCTTTTTACGTAAAATTGAATGAAACGGATCCAGATTTACAACTACAAGACCATACTAAAGTTTTGCAATCGTTTATCAACTTCTCGCTTACTTTCAATCCTGAGAATTTTGGTATTTTGGATAAAATATACAAGTATGTTGCAGAGAATTTAGTTGCTAAGCTAGAAAAGGATGGAGATCAGCCGGAAATGCTTTTGCAATTATTGCTTGAGTCAGTTAACCATTTTACTTCAATAAAGACAATTTTAAATTTTGAAAACTTTTACACATTTTATGAAAAATTGGATAATGTAAATCTACAGCGAGAAATTTCAATAGCTATTATCGACAAGATTTTAGAGGTTCACAATGATGATTATTTTTCAACCCCAAGCGAAATAGATGGCATAATTAAGTTTGTTACCGTGTTGATGAAACAGAATGTCAATGACGATAAACTTGACACGGCAAAGGACTTGGGGATTACGAGGACCTTTGGAATAAATCACGGTAAAAAATTAGTTACTCCTGAATATCTTGAAGCTCAAGAGAAGGTGAGCAAATTAATCCAATTGGTCGATGACCCAAATGACTTACAAAAAAGTGTAAGTAATTTAATCTACTTGAGAAAGAAAATCCTGAACAAGAAATCAAACAGTTTGATTATATACATTTATCCAACGTTGATTTCCAAAATATTGTATAAATTGAAATTGATTGGTTATGCCAATTTAAGGTTAAAGAAAAAAGGGACTAATAAAACAGCTGACCAGTTTCTTATTGCCAATTTCAAGAATTTATCAGTGATTATTGAAGAGTTGTATCAAGTGCATTATGAGTATTCGTGTGAACAAATCTTGAGTTTATACTTGAACATGGCATCTGTTGCAGATCAATTGAAATTGAGTCTGATTAGTTTTGAATTGTTTAATCAATGTTTTGTCATATATGAAGAGAATATAGTGTTATCGTCACATCAGTATAAACCATATATTGAAACGAGTCCTTATGATTCGTTGACAAATGGATCTGTTCCTTATCAAGCAATAATTGTCATTGCTAATACATTGATTAGAACAAGGTATTTGAGTAAGGAGAATTATGAGAGTTTGATAACTAGGTTGACGCTATATGGAAATAAATTGTTGAAGAAACAGGATCAATGTCGTGCAGTTTACTCGTGTGCACATTTATGGTGGTGGAGTGAAGCATTGTTACCACCAAATGAAAAGTCTCCAACCACATCTACCGATATCGATGAAAAAGAAAAGGAAGGAGGCGATTTTGAAAAGGATAGTGAAGAAGGAGCCAAGAAATCAGTAGCAAAAGAACCAAGCGACGACCAACAAATCACTCTCTACCAAGATGCAAAAAAAGTTTTGGAATGTTTACAAAAATCGCTCAAGGTTGCAGATTCAAGTATGGATCCTTATTTATCCTTAAAGCTATTTATTGAGATATTGAACAAGTGCTTAGTTTTCAACGTATATGGAAATCCCATGATAGATAACCGATATATCAACGGGTTGATCAGTTTGATACGGACCAACATTGACAATTTACGCGATGAAGAAGATCAAAACTTGAATAACAAGGATTATACCAATACGGAAGAGGAAGATGCTGATACCGAGGCTGGAATATTCAACCAGAGTCAATTTTACTTTAATGAGACAGTGAAATATATTTCAGCTCAACAACAATTAGAAAATAGGTTTGCAGGTGTTTATGTATAGTTATAGTTATCAGTATCCTAATTATAGACACTCAACACTATCGAGCAGAGCGAGATAGTGGAGCGCTTTGCTCCCGTGGAGCAGCACTGACGATTAAGGGCTCCACTATCAAGCAGAGCGAGATTATTTTGCGCAGCTAATCAGTGATCTAGCTCTGCTCACTAGTCAGTGATCTAGCTCTGCTCGATAGTGCCACTAGTCAGTGATCTAGCACTGCTCAATAGTGCCACTAGTCAGTGTCGCGCACTGACGATTAAGAGTTGTCTCCATTGCAGAGTGATTTGTCATTCTGCAGCAGGAAGAAGTAGTTGCGGGAATAGGCACAAGCCTAATCGACTTATAAAGAGTAAAACATTCACTGATTCAATGTATTTAGGGGTAAGACTCTATACTAGTATCCCTCCACTATCGAGCAGAGCGAGATAGTGTCGGTGACAGCTCTATACTAGTATCCCTCCACTATCTCGCTCTGCTCGATAGTGTTGGTGACATCTCGCTCTGCTCGATAGTGTAAGTTGTAAATTCTCGGAACGAGTTCGAAGCGAGAAAGGCGGCGCGAATCGGATGAAAATACACAAAAAAAAAAGGGGGAAACAAGACCAATTTCAGGCGGCAAAATGTCTCATAAAAAACAATACAAATGTCATAAAACAAGTTTAAAAGTTCTACGACATGTTTAAGAAAAAGTCGTAAATTTATGAAATATATTCCGCAATTTGTGCATGATGGCGGATATCGTTTCCGTTTAGCTTATCTCCGACTATCGAGCGACACTAGCTGTAACCGACACTACCGACACTATCGAGCAGAGCGAGATGTCTCCAACACTATCGAGCAGAGCGAGATAGTGGAGGGATACTAGTATAGAGCTGTCACCGACACTATCTCGCTCTTTGTATGAGTGTGCTCCACTATCTCGCTCTGCTCGATAGTGTCGCCTCGATAGTGGAGGGATACTAGTATAAAGTGCATAATCGCTAGTATAGAGTGCATAATCGCCAGAGTCAAGTTTATCAAACAAGTTCTACTTAATATCCTAGAGGAGCAGAAGGTGACTACTTTATATCCTTCAGTTCCTCTAGTCTGCTCTAGTCTGCTCTAGTCTGTTCTACTTAATATCCTTCAGCTCCTCTAGTCTAAACTTTTTCTGAAAGCTGAATTAAATTGTTCTTAAACGACACCTTGTAAAGAAAAGCAGCTAGTAAGATACATATGGCTAAATCTAACATGGCTTTGATTAACGGTTGCCATGAACAGAGTAAGCTGATTATAGTGCCAATAGTAATCATGAATGCTATTACCCATCTCAGCTTTCCTTTTTGTTCACCTTCTTCCTTTCCAAAATAGTAGACACAATACACTAATATCTCAGTAAAGTGAAATATTAAGAGACTCACAGTAAATTGCACAAAAATGGCAGAAAGCAAAATATAATCTTTAATAGATGATGAATTGAAATCAAACTGTTTTATAGCAAAAGTAACCAAGAAGGATATTGAGTATAGGATCCAACATAAAATTACCTGGTTTTTTGGTTTCTTTACCAACCTAAAGATCATTAAGGCGCAAACCGAACTGAATATGGAAAATATAGGAGAAAACGCTCCAACATATAGTGGTACATTTTCCTCATGGGAGAATATCTTTGCAAGAAACCCCAGACATCCATAAAATGTTGCTACAAGCGAACTAAATGTAAGCAACAGCAATGTCCCTACCTCATAGTAAATCCAACGTCTCTTTGCACACAATTCCGCTATATCAATACCATAATCGAGTAAAAATGCCTCTCTCTTGGATAAGATCTCCTCTTTTGTCAGCATTATCGACTCAATAATTATTATAAAACAAGAAAAGCATATACCAAGAAAAAAAACAAAAAAACAAAAAAAAACTTGTAGACATTTCTATTGGCGAATTGATTGGTTCAATGTTTCGCTCCAGTTTTTTTTAGTTGTAAGAATGTCAAAGACTGTACCTATTATCCATTAGCAATGTTATAGCTGAATGTGGAACTCTACAAAGACTTTTAAACTGAGAACTCTACAGACTTTTACTCTACAGACTTTTACTCTACAGACTTTTACTCTACAGACTTTTACTCTACAGACTTTTACTCTACAGACTTTTACTCTACAGACTTTTACTCTACAGACTTTTACTCTACAAAGACTTTTAGACTGAGAGTTGCTTCATGGTTCTTCTCCACTTGACTCAATAAGCAAATGATTTTTTTTAGTTACCTTGGCATTTAAACAGTATCCATGTAAAATGTCGCACATTTTTTTCCCTCTATATATAACCCCTTTTAAGGTACCTCTAGATTCTCATAGTGTCTCATTTTATCTTGCGACATTATCTCCTACGTTAATGTCTCCCCAATAGTAAGCCCAGTTCCTGAGCAACCTTGAGTGACTAATTTATTAGGGGGTCTATTGAACTGGCCAGATTCGCTATATATAATTTTGCTAATAGCAAGCATTATATAAAATTGACCAGCTTCTATACCTTTTTCTCTCTCATCTTTAGATATGAGTTATCGTTCTAGAGACTCTAATCTTTGGAATATGTTGAAGCACGGTACGGTGAGAGCAGAATCAGAAGATGCTGATGCTGATAAGAGACTAGTAGGTGCTGATGATAAGAGACTAGTAGGTGCTGATGGCGATGGCGATGGCGTTGGCGATGGTGTTGGCGTTGCAGCTAATCTAGATGAAAGTGGCTCCGATGACTCCGATTCAGACGAAGACGTTGCCGAAAGCAAGCCATTGTTGAGAACGACATCGACTATGACCGAGTCGGAGTTTTCACCTGATGAAAAGAAAGAAAAGCCAGAGTTTATGGATTTAGAAGCTAATCCATTGAAGCCAAATGCAACTAATGGAACCCATAGGAAACGTTCAAATTTGAAAAGAAGGATTTTTTATTCTTTAGTACCTGCAATTTGTATTATTTGGCTACTTTGCAGTTTCTACAATCCTAAACACGGGTTTAATTGCAATAAAGTTGAGGTATTCCAGAACCCAGAAGTTTTCTTTAAAGCAATTTTAGACGTGGATGATGGCACGGTACAACATCCTCTGACCTTTTATAGAAATCTGTTGAATTTTGTTGAAACCGTTTTCGAATATGGAGAAGAAGCTAACAAGGCTAAAGAAATCCAAGAAGTTGCTAATCCATTTGTTCCAAGTCCAAGATATGGTAAACCTGTTTATAAAACTATTTTGCTTGATCGCCACTCATTTGGCAATTCATATGGACATCCCAAAATTGTCAAGTTTACAATTCCTCAAAATGTTACGTTCAACGCAGTTGTCTTGAATTTGTTAACCGAAATTGATGGAATTCAACACGATAGACTAGCTAATATTTTTGTCAATGGTGTTCAAATCTGGAGATCGTCAACAATCGAACCTAGCGGAGAAAAAGTTTTTAGTATTGTGAATAAGGATGTTTCAAAGTATGCTAAATTATTTGAAGGAAAAGATAACGAACTTTTATTTGAATTGAATAACATTGTTGATGATCATTATACCGGTGCTATCAATATTACGTTGGGTGCAGAGTTTTTCCATTTTGACCCAAAGCATCATCTTCAAGGGCACGCCGAAATTTCCCATATGAAGGGACATCATGGGAAAGAAGAGGAGCAGTATGGTTCTGGTTTGGTTTCCGACTCAGACTCAGACTCAGGCTCAGGCTCAGACTCAGACTCAGATGTAGAGGATAATGAGAGAGAAAGTCATAATAGAGAAGATAAGGAGCATGATAAACCACCTCACGGTAAACCACCTCATGATAAACCACCTCACGGTAAACCACCTCATCACAAACCACCACACCATGAGCCACCTCATGGTAAACCACCACACCATGAGCCACCTCACCATGAACCACCTCACCATGAACCACCTCACCATGAGCCACCTCACCATGAGCCACCACACCATGAACCACCTCACGGTAAACCACCACATCACAAACCACCTCACCATGAGCCACCTCATGGTAAACCACCACATCACAAACCACCTCACCATGAGCCACCTCACCATGAACCACCTCATGGTAAACCACCACATCACAAACCACCTTTCCACAAAGATCTCCGTCTTTTCAAGATTATGAGACCTGCGGATTCTATTCACGCATTAACCACTGCTGAGAAGGGTCACGCTCCGGTTGATTATCTTTCATCCAGTAGACTCAAGGTCAAGTTACCAACAGTTGCTAAAAATACAACTCGTTTACAACTTTCGGTCTTCACTTCGGGAAATGCGGGAGAAACGTTTTGGTACAATAATGTTGTTGATGAATACAAAAACATCTTTAAAGAAGAAGGAAATGAGTTTATTGGTAAGGGCCCCTTAAGATTGGTTAATGTTTACTTCAATGGCCAGAAAATTGCATCACAAACACCTGAACCTGTTATATTTACTGGAGGTATTTCGCCGGCATTATGGTCACCTGTTGTTTCCAATTCAGCTTTTGATGTTCCATCTATTGATCTTGATGTTACTCCACTATTACCATTCCTTTGGGAACACCAAAGTCCCGGTGACCAGTTTTTGGAAATCGAAGTAAGCAATGGATTAGGTGAAGTTGGTTTATCAAACACCACTGCGGTCAACGAGAACTGGATTACGTCTGCTAACTTGTTGGGTTTCCAACATCCAGACGTTGTTGACTCTTCTGGTACTTTAATCAATGTTGACCATTCAAATAGAGCCCATGTTTTCCCTATTGCGATTCCATTTTCTCATTCTTTTCAACAGATTGTTAATGGTATTTTCAGCGCCCAGCTCATTAGTAATTTGAGCTTTACTTTGAGGAACAACAAGACTTTGAACACAACGTTTAGTTCATATTCCAAGGGTGAGATATCAAATATACAGCATTACGCATTCGACGGTAATGTTCAAGCTCTTGTTCATGTTGGACATTCCTCCAGCTCGATTTTGATTCAGGACAATGATATTCCAGCATATCCGCAAAGCAGGAACTGTCACAAGAGGATACCAGAAAACATCATTCATTCAGTAAATACATCATTGAGCTATCCATTAGTATTGAAAACAAATACGGTGAAAAAGGAGGTTGGAAACGATGCTCAGTATGATATTGAGTATGATGTAAAAATTGTCAATGTTAAAGACTTGAGTATGAACTTTGACGTTGGCTTTGGTGATATTAATGTGAAGAGCATTCAAAATGGTACATCGAAATACTTTCTTTCTAGCGAAGGAAATCATGGATTTGGTAGCTTAACCTCGAGATACAAGAATAGAGTTAGTTTTGGCGAAAACTTTAGAAGGGGATTTAGAAGAAGAGTGGATGCTGTGAATGGGACAATTGTTGATGAGAGGTTAGATTTCGGTCCAGATAAAACCTGTAATCCTAACCGTCATCACTATAAATCCGGACACCATGATGATGGGTCGGATAAGCACCGTGCCAAAGGTGGTAGACATCATCCTAAATCAACACACCACAATCAACTAAGTAAAACCCAAAGGGAAAATCATCCTCAAGCTTTATTCCATATGTATAGGCATATGATTTTAGGAAACAACCTTATTCATAAAGGGGAAAGTGCCATTGATGTTATTAAGTCAGGTTTATGGAAGGATGATCCTGTAGAGTTGGCTTATCAATTGTCCCCAACTCTTTTTATCAATGAGAGAATTGAGTCAATCATAAATTCAAAGAACGTCAATGCTGAAGAATAGAAGGATGCTATTGTATGATTCTTGGGTATAGTAAGACTACTGCGTAACTTGCATTTTTGACAAGTGAGATATTTGGACTGGATTCTTTATATATATATATATATATTACTATATTTGTTATTGTTTAAGCTAATCAAGCCAGTAATATGGTTTGATTTTTTAGTTTTCGTTTTTTTAATTTCACTCTAGCCAAAACCAGCCCACTCAATAGAGAAACATAATGGCACTTCATCCTCAAACAACTCCTCAATAAATGCATCATCAACAACAACAGTATCCGCACTCTCTCCTACTCTATCTTTACTTTCACCTTGCTTACCCCTCTTTTCTCGAAACCCCATAATAATCATATTTTTCTTCACTGCAGTAGCTAATCTACCACCAGTAATAATATCATACATATCAGCAAACTCAAACTTGACAATAGAATACGAATGAAACCGTAATGGATCGCCAGGGTATAATACCAAATCGCCACCAAACCTCAATCCGGGGTTAATGTAAAAACCTTGTTTTTGCAAGAAATCATAATACTTAAAATCCCTAATGAGTTTAGCAAGTGGCATTCTTGATGCGGGGTTTTTGAGGTAGGCTTGTAAATATTGTTTTACATCAATCTCAAATGATTTTGCCAACTCATAATCTCGATCTATATCTGTGTTTGGTGTAGTTATCATCAGATCCACAATATTATTGCTTTTATTTTGCTCCGCCATGATTTTTCTTGATTTGGCACTTCTATAAGATAACTGGTCTATTAGCACAGCAACGTCATGCTTTAGCAACCATAGTGTTTCCCATACGTTCAATTTCAAGGGAACGGATAGAAACAAATTCTGCTGTGGGAACTGCGGTAGTGTTCCTATAAGTAATCCTAAAATGTGATAATTATTCCGAAGTTTTTTAATGTCATCAAGGTTGAATAGTAAAACTTCGGGATTGTAATTGGGGCTAACTACCGGTAGTTGGATTTTCTCGCATTTTTTTCCTTCTCCTGAAACAACAGTTAACGCAGCAGTGGTTATAGCATCTTCCATTACTTACCCTCCTTCAAAACTAGCTGAGTCTTTTCATCGATTCATATCGTTTCGATGCTTTTGATGGAATTTTTTTTTTTTTTGGTTCCAAAAGCTACCAAGTGTTCATTTTCTTTTTGCAGCCATTAATTAAATAGTACAACTTATTTTACACGGTTAGATAGATACATAGATATATACAAATAACAAACAGATTATCATTACTATTGAGTGACCAAACAGATTATCATTCCTATTGAATGAATTTACTCAAATCGTGCATAACCATTCCGGAAATTGCAGCTGATATAAGTGTAGTAATACCACCGCAAAATAAGGAAGACATGATACTTGAAGTAATATCTTTTGTTCTCGAGTTATTGGTTAGGGTATTCAAGACACCCAATGTAATTCCCAAACTACCCAAGTTGGCAAATCCACAACATGCATAAGTTGCGATCAACTTACCTCTAGAAGACATCTCATTATATGGAGCACTTGTCATTAGTAAATTGTAAGCGACGTATTCATTTTGAATAAATTTATAGGCAATGAGTTTTGTTACTATTAAAATTTCGTTCCTTGGCGTACCTAGCAAGAATCCAATGGGGTAGAACAAGTACGACAACATCAATTCTAATGTCAACTGGTGGATATTCCAGTAGTTACCAAACCATGTCAAGATACCGTTGCACAAGGCAACAAGGCCAATGATACACATACACTGAATCATCATTGTCCCCGCAATTCTCAAACCTAATGTAGCACCATCAGAAAACGCTTGCAAAACATTATGTGGCTTATTCTTCTCATCCGATTCGGCTTGTTCGCATTTAGGAATCATGACTTTCCCACTTGATACAGGTATTTCAGTTTCAGGATACCTCAATTTTGATACTGCTAAAGAAGCAGGTATCGACATAACACAGGAACTTACCAATGCCTGTGGACTTAAACCCAATCCAATGTAACCAACTAAAACAGCGCCAGATATAGTGGAAAAGCCAGATGTCATGATTTGATGTAATTCGGCTTTCGTCAAGTACGGCATCAAGTCCTTAATCAAAATCGCAGATTCTCCAATGCCAATAAATGGGGAAGCTGCCGCAGTCATTGCTTCAGCACCCGATACTCTCAATGTCCAAAAAAAGAAAAAGGCAAATTTCCTAATGGCCCATTGAATAACTCCAAAATAATACCAAATATGAACAAATGCAACAAAGAATGCCACTGCTGGTAAAACAGTGAAAAAGAAGTAAGGAAAATGAGCAATCTCTTGATTCAATAAAAATGCAACACCATCTTTACTAAAGCCCAATAGTTCTCTAGCCAATGTTGAAATAAAATTGAAAATATCATAACCACATTTTGTTCTCAATACAAAAATGGCAACAATAAATTGCATTAATAACCCACCAATAACTGTATTCCATTGAATCTTACTTGGATTCTTCGAAGTTACAAACAACCCAAATACAGCAACAATACAACCAAAAAAAGAAACGGCACGATCTTTTCTCTTGGAAAATTCAGTTTCCGCTGGAATAAACGTACCCAATAGTACAACTGAGATAAGTATAGCTGCTCCTGCAAGTAATCTTTGATACCTCTGCTTCAATACTTTTATGTATATGAAATCTGTCGCATAATCCCATACTAGTTTGGCATACTTTAATATCCAGTTTAATATTCTACAATAGAATGTGATTAGTCTAACCATAATCATACCCCAGATTACTGTGGGAATTAACCATTGGTGTCTGTGTTTTTCTTGTATGACTATTGATAACCACCATGAGGTAAAGAAACAACCTAAAAAGATGTGAAATGCTATTTTATACCACGGAAATCTGATTTTCATGCGTTGCCAAAATGATAAATGTGGTGTGACAGCACCATCATTGCTGTTATATTCACTGTTCCCACCACCACCACCACCACCACCACCACTTGTTGATTCCTTAGAGAGTTCACGAATAGTAACCTGATCTTGTTCACCAAAAGGGAGCTTTTCTTTATTCATTTCCAAATCAATTTTTGCAGGTCTATTATACATATCTTTAGTCTTTTCAACTAGTTCGGAATCACTCACTGCTTCAATAATTGAGGCAGTTGACGATATATTGTTTGGCTCAGCGTGTTGGAGCTGGTGAGCTTGTGGGGTAGACATTATCTATTCTTCTCCTTTTCTTAGTTTTTTTTTTTTTGGCTTTTATGGTTGATGTAATATCAGAATTTTACCAGTTAGTGGACTGATTGAAGGTAAGATTTAATATTATGCGTTAACAAGTAATATGACATGGACGGCTAAGTAGTATCAGCCATCTACAGAAAGAAAAAGAGAAAAGGAGAAAAGAGAGAAAAGAGAGAAGGAGAGAAGGAGAAAAGGAGAAAAGAGAAAGATACACAATGAATAAAGATGCCTTCTCATCAGACGATAAGAAAAGGTGTTTTTAATCTCATCTTGTATCAATTTTTTGATGCCCATACATAATTTGCCAGAAAAAGAAAAGGAAGAAAAGGAAAGTGAAAAATTTTTTTACCAAGCGATTGCCCTTGTATAGCTAAGAGATAAAAAGTTTAACCTAATGACACAAAACCGCAATGTTTTTCCATAAAAGAAATTACGGATAAAAAATTTCAACGGGTGTTGCAGAGATATTCCGAAGACAAGGTAAGATATTGATCCGGTAACGTTAGAAAATGTTGATCCCATACCTAAATATTAGATCACCATACGGTGATTGACTTATCCTCCCATCACAAGTTTCACAAGTTTCACAAGTCCGTGAAGACCCCCGGTACTAAATTTGCTTTTTCTGGAGAGGCTAAGACCTTTCAAGCCTCTTCTTTATATAGTAAACGTTCTTTTTCTTAAATATCTGTGCGCCGCTTGAAAAAAAAAATCATGTTTGGCGTTATTTCACAGATAAGAGCCCGCCCCCGTTTCCTTTTGACAACACCAAGAAAGTAATGAAACTAAAAAAGCTAATAAACTAATGAAACCAAGGAAAAAGAAAAAGGAATTTTTTGATACGAGGCAGATGGGAAAGTTTGTTCCATTTTACATCAAGGCAACAAAGGAAGGGGAAAAAAATTGTTTACCAAGGAAGAAAGAGACTTAGTTACCAAGGAAAAAAGAGACTTAGTTACCAAGGAAGAAAAGAAAGTCAGTTTACCCCGTTTGTTTTGCAGATGAGGAAATGAGATAACATACGCCTCGTTTCAAATTGGTCTTTTTGCTAGAGGGATTGGCGATAGCCATCGGGGCTTGTTTCCCATGATATATGTATATAGAGAGAGAAAAATACATAGATAGATACATAGATAGAGATACATAGATATTATAATATATATAGCGAGATGTTGCGGTTGATTACTCAAGCTAGTGGTGGCAGCTAGTGTGCTCGATAGTGTCGATCAGCCCTGGACAAGGCCTCGGTAGCACGACTAATAAAATTACTCTTTCCCATTTCGCTGCACACGAGCACTAAAATATAGTCACGTGATTATAATTGAAGTTTAGTGTTGGTGGCAGTCAGTGCAGTGTTTCTCCACTATCGAGCAGAGCGATAGTGTTATTATCGGGCAGAGCGGTAGTGTTATTATCGGGCAGGGCGATAGTGTTATTATCGGGCAGAGCGGTAGTGTTATAAAGTATTTCTCCACTATCTCGCTCTGCTCAATAGTGTTGCTCCCTAGTGACTAATTCAGTTTACAAACAATCAAAAATGATATATCATTTATTTATTGAAAATACAAAAAACAACTAAAGATGCTCTATTTCTCTCTTTTCTTCAATTTTTTTCTCCTATTTGTCTTCGTCACTGGCCTCATTCCTATATTTGTCCCTATTTTCAACCATATGCTTTGAATCTATAATATTTCCAATACCCATCAACGTTTTTGATAAAGCTTCCGTTGTACCAATAATTGGTCTAATTATTATAACAGGTGAGCTTTTCAATACAGTGATCAATGTATCTTGAACTGTTTCCTTACTTTCTAACTCCTTTACTAAATTAGTTAGTTGCTTTTGGGTCACTTTGAAATTTTTGCCCAACGATTTATAAGCTGATATCAAGCCTTGTTGAATTGATGTTGGTTGATTAGAGTATAAACTAATCATTTTTTCTCGATACTCCACCTCCTCCTCCTCCTCCTCCTCCTCCTCTTCTTCTTCTTCTTCTTCATCTTCCCCTTCTTCTTGTTCTTCCCCTCCTAATACATCATCATCATCGATAGCATACACATCGAATGCGACATCTTCTTCTTCTTCTTCTTCTTCTTCTTCTTCTTCTTCTTTCCCTTCTTCTTTCCCTTCTTCTTCTTCCCTTTCGTCTTTTTCTTCTCTTTTTTTGTTACTTTTACTTCCCTGTAAAATCTTATCAATATTGGTTTCACGATTGCCATTATTTGGAGGAGCCAATATGAAAATTGATTTGCTTAAAAGCTCCTTGTTGATACCACTAATTGAATCGTACTCATCATCTAACTCAATATTAGAATACAACTTTTCTCCAACATATTTGTTCCTTTCTTCATACTTTGATGCGGCTTTACTCAATATCTCCGAACTGATCAATATATTGTTAGTAAAGTCGGTACCATCTCCCACCTCAAATGATTTGTCAGATGCATCAGAACTTCTTCTAGATTGTTTAGGGACTCTTGCAGAAGAACCTTCACCACCTAATAGTTCTTCGCCTTGTTCCAAAAGAACTTGTGTACCGGAAGCTAGTTTCACACCCATATTAATAAGTTCGTAACCTGTAGTTTTGGCAAATGATTTTGTTCCCTTTTGAAGACTTCTCCAAAACCTACCATCCTTCTTATACTCCTTTTTGGAGATAACAACCAAGTTTCTGAATCCACTCCCAATGTTCACCACAGACCGAAGGGCGGAAACTCCCGAGATAATACCCAATACCTGTGTCAGCTGAAAGATAGGAGCCCACGTTGTACCCAATCCAAGTCCCAATTCAGAAAGCCCCAAAAGCCCATACAACTGAACACTTGGTAACGTTATACTTGATCCATCAAGGACAAAGAAATTGGCAAATTCAGCAGATTTCCCCGATCTTAATCCGACATAATCTACTTTTTTAGGTTTGTAATCAACTTTCAACTTTACTGGATCCATATTGAATTTTTGTATGTACAATATTTCATCGGGAGGTAGTTCAAATCTAGTATCCTTGAAATCAAAAAAACGAGTCAAAAAATCCAAAGTATCTTGATCAATGTGTAATCGCAATGGCAAAACAGATGCTTTGATTATAGCTTCGGTGGCCACCAATGACGGTTGAGGCCTCACATTCAAAATATTGATTTTGAACATACTGGTTCCAACTTCTCTCTCACCAAGAATATTCATATACGAAAGAAATTTGTTCCAAGTCGATGTAGGCACATTATCATATACATCAATTGTTCCTAAACTTACCTCGACCAAATTCAACAACTCGAATTTCATTTCAGGATCAGTTTTGTCGCGTCGTGGATCTCGAGTGGAGTAAACAACTACCCCAATATCAATATTCTTCAAATCTGCTAAAACTTTATGGTCCACGGACCTTCTAAGCTTTAAGTTCTTGTAGTTTCTTCCATTTTGTATATTCGCCTCCATTTTCTCGTCATCCTTAGCTTCTTCATTCTGCATTCGCAAATTAATACTCTTTGTTAAATCCGACCCATTGGCAACTTTTGGAGCACTTACATGTATGGATTGGAAAAGTGTTTCCTCAATCATTGACGACTTCCTTTCTTCGATGGGGGGTTTATCTGAGAAGGACGCAGATTGGACAGAAACCTCATCAACGTGTTTATGTTTATGGTTATTTTGCTTCAACTCAATGTTTTTTACAACCTTTCGTATAGCCTTCCTAGTATCTTTCCAATCATACCCATCATGCAAATAAAATTTCACTTTAGATAGATTCACATTGATCTTGAGCGGGTCCACTTTCTTATCACTAGAAATTATAGAGTCGAATCCATCAAAATGCTCTTCTTGAAATTCTAACGATTCTTCCTGTAATTGACTTTCATTGACAAAACTATCGCTCTCAATATTCAAATCGATTAGCGCTTCGCTAATATCCGTGTACATTTCATCATTCAAATCTTTTAGTATGTCGACTTCCTCCGAAACATTCACCCTGATTTTATCCTTGTCATCAAAATCATAAGGTAACTTGAGGTCATTCACCAACTGAAGAAATGTGTTTGTGGAATCGGCGCACAAATCTAATTGGATATCGTCAGCATTAATCTTCAAATCTATAATGGACAAGCTATCTCTGATACCCAACTCTTGATTTCTTTTTCTAACCTCTTCCACGTTTGTATTAAAAGTAAGCCCAACATGCGCCACATTGATAATTCCAATTTGTAAATACCCCATGTCCAAAATATAATCAACATGAGCAGTTTCAGGATCTTGCATAGTATTAGATTGAGCACTACTTCCATTAGTAGTAGCTGCTGTCAAGTTCTTAACATCGTCAATTAATAAAATCGCAATTTCCCGAAATGAGCTTTTGATATAAAACTGATTAGCAGCAAAAACAAAATCCATATTACCTTTTGACACTGTCAAAACACTCTTGCATTCGAGTCTACCCGGAGAAAGACCAATCATACAATTGTATAAAGTAATCCTAACATCAAATCTACTGGTTGTTTTCACAGGGTCCACAGTTTGGGGAGCGGTTTTGTCTATCAATTCTTCTTCAACAGCCTCAATTATTGACTCGTCTTTACCAAGAAATGTTAGCCAGAGGGTATAATACTCAAGTAAAAAATCATGACATGTTACTTCAAGTGTGGATATCCTCTCAGCCAACTTAAATTTGACCAAAATCAAAGGCAAAAGGGGTGGAGAAGGAGGAGAAGGAGATGATGAAGAAGAAGAAGAACTAGCTGGTAATTTTTTCTTGTACCTGGAAAGTAAATGCTCTGTAATTGAATCTTTTGAGCGAATTATATCCAATGAATGGAATGAACCAAGAATTTCCTGGTTCAACTTGAAAAAATTAATACCGCTAATCTCAACTTTGGCATCTCCAAACTTGGGTAATACCTCCTTCAATCTAATGTGAATTCTTTGAAGCATGATACTGAAGCTAGCAGTGTTGAGTCTAGTTGTTGTTGTTATTGATGATGTTGTTGTTGATGATATAGCTCCATGCGGGTAACCGCTGGGACCAAGCCCAATCCTTCTTTCCCTTCGTACATTTCGAATCGATGAGGACACATAAGATGACGAGTGATTGATCTTTACTTGTTTTTGATTCCTGGATGAAGTTGAGGAAGGAGAAGAAGAAAATGATGATGATGATGATGATGATGATGATGCCGTTGTTGTTGCCAGAGTACCTTCATTCAAGAACTCCAATATTTCATGTACAATGCTTTGTGTCTTCTTGATCATGATCTTCGATTCTTCTACAGAAGCCGTATAGCTGATATCCTGAATGTTTAAAGTCATATTCGCAGTCATTCGCATGGCGCGTGGAGTGATATAAATACGACTAGGATTGCTTGGTGCAGGTTGCACAAGTGCTGTGAAATCTTTCAGCGTAAATCTCAAAACAATATCATTTATACTAAGGATATTGTCAACTCTTTCTCCTTTGATAATTCCATTACATGTGATGGCAGGTATCAGCATTTCATTCTTGTTTGAATCATATTGCACCGGCAAAATGCGCATATTGAAAATAAAATCATCAGCCATGGCAACGCTGATTCCTATGGAAGCAGTTTGGAAAATAAGTTGGCTTCTTTGTGAGATATTTTGTTTTTGCATTTGCTGACGGGACCCACCTCGTTGACTTTGAAACTCACTCAAAGCATTTTTGAATTTTGTAAACTCGGTTATGGCTAGGTTAGCTTCAACTAGGAATTTTGTAATATTAGCCAAACCCTTTGCATTAAACTGGAATTGTGCCGTTTTAGCGAATAAAAATGTCAATTCCAATTCTGAATCCTCCTCGGCCTTTTGAAATACCTCAAATCTAAAATCCGCTTTTGAGAAAGAGCTAGATCCTGTGGCATTGGACAGAACACTATTGGGCGAAGCGGACCTCTGGGAACGACCTGCATCCCCTGGACTTTCAAAATAAAGAACTTTTGTTATTTGACCTTTGCTTCCATGGTCAATTGAAATTTTCTCTACTCCACCGAATAACAATAATTCGTTTTTGTGCTTCATATTGATATTCTCAAACAGAATAGTGGTCCCTTCTGTGCTTGAAAACTCGCCAGTCGCATTTATCGAAGACTCTGTGCTGAGGTTGAGACTACTTATTGATATTTTATTTAATAGTGGCTCATTATCGTCAGTTTCGGGATCAGTGTCAGTGTCAGTGTCATCAGACAATTTCCCATCAACTAAGTCATCTTCTTTTGAGTATTGGGGGAACTTTTCATTTTTGAGAGGCTGTTTTGAAGAAGAAGGAGAAGAAGCCATTGGTTTTTTGAGCTGCTGATATTTGATTTTCAATGTTCGAGTAAATCCAGCAAATATAGACACTAAAGTCGGTGTGATCAGGGTGGAGGCCAAATTTATTCTATCAATTTCTGCTTCCAAATTGTTAATGTTCTGTAAGCCTTCAAATGCAATATCGCAATTGTTAATATGGAGAATAGTGGGAGGTACATATTTCAGCTCATTGTGGCTTTGTTTATTGTCGATGGGACCTTCCGAAGCAGTGGGTTTTGGGAATGACTGCGAGGTGGCACTCATGTAGATAGAACTGGCTTCTTCATGGGTAAATACCATGCTATTCATCAAAGATTCTTCTCCGTAACCATCATTATCAAGAAGAAGAAGAAGAAGAAGAAGAAGAAGAAGAAGAAGAAGAAGAAGAAGAAGTGCTTCTGCTTCTTCTTCCATCTCTTTCTTCTGCTCTTCCTCTTCTTTCTCCTCACTAGGAGAGTCTCTACCTGTCCCCTTGCTTCCCACATTCACTATTGGTCTCAATGTCTTTAATTGAACACCTTGAATACTAATGGTTCGCGTTCCATTCACCGTATTTATAAATACTTCATCAACTTCAAGTAGCAAATCGGTCAGTTCAGTAACCAATTTCAAAGACAAGTTGGATATATGTATCTGTATTCTCAGGAGAGCCATTTCGACTGCCTTTTGCATAACACTTCCCAAAGTCGATGATTTATTTGATACAGTCGAGCTTCGCCTTCTTGCGGTGTTTGAAGAAGGCTGTGCTATTAGTTCATCGTCGTCGGTATCACTATCGCTGTCAACAACACCATCATCCTTCCTTTCTTCATTAGTCTCCAACATTATCGTATTTGCCAAATCTGCGGTACTTTGCGCTAACAGGAACTGCGACAGACTTTGAGAGATTTCCTTGTCGAAATCAGGCGACACCACTACTTGTGCATTTTTGATGTCGACTCTAACTCCACTGATACCAGAAACAGTTGTCAATTCCAAAGAGCCCAATTTGCCAAAGCGTAAGTTACATCCTGGAAGTTTCCCCAATTTTTCTGGATCAATAGTGACATCCTTCAATGTTATATTGTTCAAAGATACTTCTTCAAGATTGGGTAAATCCACCTCAGAAAAAAGGGAAAGCTGGTTCAATACGTATAGTAGAAGCCGCTTTTGGATATTTTGGGGGATCCATTGGGGACTCATTGAATGCTCATATAAATTTTATGCTATCGATGCTAGAAGGGGGGGGCACAAAAACAAAATGCAAATAATAGCTGGATTGTATAACCTAGGTGAATCTATAGGGCACAACCGTGAACAAGTCTAATGATATAACGTCAACAAAACCAAAAATGCAATCAAACCTTATCACTAAGGGTAACAGCCTTATCACTAGGGGCAACAGCCTTATCACTAGGGGCAACAGCCTTATCACTAGGGGTAACAGCCTTATCACTAGGGGTAACAGCCTTATCACTAGGGGTAACAGTTTTACCAATCTAGGGCAACAGCTTTATCAATCTAGGTGTAACAACTTTATCACTAGGGGCGACAGCCTTATTAATCTAGGGCAACAACCTTATCACTAGGGGCTATAGCTTTAAGTCAACAAAATTATCCATAAAAGAGCTACCAGCCTAGCTCTCTCTCCTTTCTTCAACACTCTATATGCCAATAAACTGCTGCTAGAACTATTTCAAACAGTAATACCTTAACCCTCTTGATATAAATTACTCATTGATAAATCAACTTTTCGTGACGTAGTCGACCCACAGTATTATGTAATGTAAGAATGCGCGCGAAAAAATGTTTTCCAAATTGATTCAAGGATGATAAGGAGAGGGATAAGGATGATAAGGAGAGGGATAAGGGTGGATAAGAAGAGGGATAAGGGTGGATAAGGGTGGATAAGGATGAATAGAGATAAGAATATACAATGATTGATATAAAGGGCAATTTTGGGGGCTCTTTTAAGAAGATATACCAAATGGTGTTTGCTTCCAATCTTGATCTTGATCAAACAAAAAGATTCTTTTCTCAATCTTTTGTAATTTTTTGTTATAATCTATATCGATATCCTTTCCATCTATATCGATATCCTTTCCATCTATATCGATATCCTTTCCATCTATATCGATATCCTTTCCATCTATATCGATATCCTTTCCATCTATATCGATATCCTTTCCATCTATATCGATATCCTTTCCATCTATATCGGTATCCTGTTTCCTTTTTCTTGGATTCTCCTCGGCTAATAGCTCATCTAGTGAAGGTGGTAGTTTGAAATTTTGCCTTGTTTTCTCTAGAGCTTCCCATTCTTTAGCTCGTTGACAAACTTGTTCAATCAAGTTTTTCCCGTAGATTGGTTCATTATTCTTGATAATATTGGACAATAGTAAGAATAATTTTGTGCTCGGCATCGGCGTGTATTCCTTTAACAACTCAATCTTGTCTATCAAGAAATCAACAACTTGTTTAGTAACTGGCAAAAGTTCCTTTGATGTGAGAATATATTCAACTAACTCGGGTAACCATTCTGCTAGCTGCGCTGTTTCCTCTTGAGACAATTGTAAAGCAAATCCTAGTCTTTTAAATACTCGCTTATTGACATTGCTTAGAGGCTTACCATCAATCAAATCAACAATTTTCTTGAAAAGTTTAATATTAAACTGTAATCCAAAAAGATCAAATAATGGCTTGTACAATTTTTGAAATAACGGATTATACTTGATATTCTTGCTCTTTAGTTTATCACGGGGGTATATTATAACAAACTTTCTAATCATGAGTTCTGCCAAAAGATCAGCATCACGAAGATTGAGTTTTTGTAAATTTTCAAGGCAATTCTGTATGGAGCTTGCGTCACTGTTATCCTTAGCAACTAGCGGTGAGTTAAGATCAACTTTTCTAGTCTTTTTATACAATTTCAAATTGTCATAAACCAGAAACTGCACTATTAAATGCTCGTAATCAACAATTCTCCAATTGACAACTTCGCTATATACGTCGATTTCTCCATCTCCATCAAAATTGGTCTTTTGTAAGAAATTTCCACTATTGACATGGCACCAATAATGATCATATAGCCAATTCAAGGCTCGTTTGCAACCAATTCTGAGCATCTCCAAAGTGGGCAAACTCTCATGGGTTCCCATATGTCTCAATTCTACAAAAAAAGAAGGTAAATCCAACTGTTTGGCCAATAATTGCATTGGTACAGCAAAGCTAGATTGCTGGAAAGGATCCAACAAGCCATTTACAAATCTAATCAATGCCATAGTATACGATAATTGTAAAACATTTGGGTCCATATTTGGACTTTCTTCATCAGTAATTAGCGTCGACGTCAATATTGATGTAGCTTCGATCCCATGCGGTAGCCTCCCCCTGGTCATAAAAACTTTTACTCTCTCAATAGCATCCTTACGATGATCCTGCTTCTCGTCAAAGTCGTAAAACCAATTCTTCAACTGCGAAAGATCCTTCTCCGATCTATATGTTACTACAACAGGGCGTGATTTCATTTACATTTACATTTACATTACTCCTTTTATTCTTATTCTGTTTTTTTTTTTTTTGGCCCATTATTTTTTTCAATCAAACCCGTGAGAGAGGACAAGATGTATCTAGAGAAGATAACTACTCGTGGTTAACCATTCAACTAACAAACTCAATTTGATTGGCAAAAGTAATTGTTGGTTGCATAATGGTTGCTCTATATAAACATGAAGACTGGGAATATGTATCCCTTCTTCACATGAAAATGTCATCTCGTCTTATCTTTATCACCTCTCATCTCATCTCATCTCATCTCATCTCATCTCATCTCTCTTGTACCAAAAAAAGTAAAAGAAATTTTACTTACTGAGTAGTTCTTAAAATGGTAATTAAGTCACATTAAATTCCGTTACTACATCTTCTTTAAATTCCGTTACTACTTGTCCTTTAAATTCCGTTACTACTTGTTCTTTAAATTCTGTTACTACTTGTTCTTCCCGCTGTACATTTGCCCCTCCTTCCCTCCCCTCACGTTTCAGCTTAGCCTAGTAGTATGGAGTTAACGATGTGTTTTTTTTATTGTTAACTCCGGTTGGTCTGGAAGAAAAGGGAAAAAAAAAACTGATTTGCGGGGGAAGAAAAAGGAAGAATAAATTTGTCACAGTCTCTCTCTAACAGTGTGAGTATATATAGATATATACATATATATATATATATATATACGCATTAAGGTTATTGTTAGTGGGCGCGTCTTGATTTGTATTGTGTGAGAGTCGTTCAGTTTGTATAGTGTGAGAGTCGTTCTATTTAGGCAAGATGATTGAAATGTTAACTAAGGAAGAAAATCCGCTACCAGATTTTGAAGAAGCATTAAGAGTTATCAAGATAGATGATACTCATTATGTAGGGGCTCACCCATTGCGGCTCCCAGTATCTGCAGGAAGAGGTGTTTATGGAGGTCATATGATTGCGCAATCGTTGCTAGTGGGTATCGAGTCATCGCGAATTAGTGAAACTGGAGAATATATGGTTCCTGATTCTTTTCATTTATATTTCATAAATGCAGGAAACTGGAAGTGCCCCATGGAGTATACCATAACAAATCTATATGACGATGGGTTAATTAGCAAAAAATACATCATTGCTTCGCAGCGTGGTAAAAACAGAACAACTTGTTTAGTAACTTTGCGGAAAGCGGGTACCAAGACTTTACACTCACACTCACACTCACACTCCTTTGATGAAAGTATACCTCCACCGGCACTACAAGCAAAGTACCCGAATCCAGACGAGTTACATCAAATACAGCATACGGATTTTGTAAGAAATGCTGTTGGCGACGAATTCTTTGATCATAAATTATGTCCCGAAGAGAATAAGATGGCATTTTCCGATAGATGGGTTACTGTCTTTTCCGGGTTAACAAATATCCCTGAACCGGGCTCTCTGCGTGAGAAAATAATCGATATCTACCCTGATGCTCTTGGCGAGCTCCACGAAGTTGAAAAGGATATCCTTCGACCAAAAGATTCTCAATCTATAAAGAACCCTATTTTCAATTTTATTGGTTTGGCTGATATCTCGGATTCCGCATTCATAACTACAATTGCACGTGTCTTGCATTTACCGTGGACTCCCTCTTTGGAAAGGGATGAAACTTATGATGCTACTTCAGATGCTACGTATATTGCAAGATCAACACTAAATGCAATACATATTTTCCATTACAATGCCATGTCGTTGGACCACCACATATATTTCCACAACGATGAATACGAGCCGACTGATGGATCAGCGTTTGATGTTTGTAAAGATTGGCTTGCATTTACTTATCAAATGAAGAGATTGAGTAATAATCGATTGGTTGCACGCGGTTTCATATTCAACGAAAACAAAAAGTGCATTGCAACAGTTGTACAAGAAGGCTTAACCATTATGTTTGATGGTATTGGAAGCACAGCTAATAAAGCTCATTTGTAGCAACCCACCAACGTTTGTAGCAACCACCCACATTTTTTACACGCTTCTTTTACTTTTATAAATAGATATAATAGATACACATATGTGAAATACATATGTGTGTCTTGTTGTTCAAGAAAGTGGCAGTGGCAGCTAGTGTCGATGATGGCTAGTCGCCCTGCTTGACAGTGTGCTCCACTATCTCCCTCTGCTTGATAATGTCATTAGTCAGTGTGCTCCACTATCTCGCTCTGTTTGATAATGGTTTTTTTCGTTCCACAGAAAGCGGACTTCTTATCTCGTAAAATATTTTCCGTTACCCTTTTCTGTTCCTGTCTTTTGTTTCCGCCTTTCCTGTTTCGGTTACTGTTTCTGTTTTTTTTTTCCGTTGGAATTTTTAAATCCTCGGTAAAACTTTTTGGCTACAAAACACAAAACCGTTTATATGGTATATATATATGAAATGCTTTTCGATATCGGGATCAAAACTCAAACTCATTCTACAAAACTTTTTTGCCTTCCTTTTTTTACTGGTTCTTTGGTGTAGGTTTGTTTAGGTGTGTTTGGAGCTACTAGTTACAAGAGAAATGGATAAATTAAAGAAAGAAGTTTACAATGAGGATAATCCAGTTGCCAAGATGGAGGCCAAGGCTTCTGTTAGATTTATTAGGGATGAGGGCAATAAAGTGATATATGAAGGCGTATACCCTGTTGAGCCATTTAGAGAAGATGCTAGAGGCACGTATGGAGGAGATTTCATAACCCAGGGTTTAAACGCATGTTGGGAATCAGTAGGAAGAGGCACTTTTCAACCACACTCATTGCATTCATATTTTGTCAAGCCAGGATCAGTTGAAAGTAATTTGAGATGGGAAATTTTGAAAATTAGTGATAGCAGGAATTTTTCCAACAGATTGGCATTGGCTTATCAAATACATACAAATCAATTGGTCTTCACATTGCAAGCGTCATTCACAAAGGAAAACGATTTGAATAAAAAGGAAGAAGATTATCTCAAATTATTATCATCAGGTGGTGAAATTAAGGCAATTCCCTTCCACTTTAAAAGAAGTCCCAATAAAAGGTTTTTTAAATATAAAGATCAGATCGATGACCTTATGTACTTTGAGCACACCAATAACAATATAGCCCATGCTGTGCCATTGGAAATATTTCAGTATACCAAGAACTTCAATATGAAAGATGCGGGAAACGAGGAGCTTGCCCTTTTTGTCAAAGTACTAGATGACTACAGTTTGGGTAAAGATCAAACAAGACAGAGTTTTCTTGGCTTGGCTTTTGAATCGGATGCCTTGTGGTTAGCAACACTTGTGAAGGCTATTGGTTTACCCTTGGGAGCAGACGACAAGGATTTTTTCCGAGTAAGCTTAGACCATTCTTTATATTTCCATGACTTGAATTTCGATTCAAGTAAATGGTTATATTTGGATTATAGATTTTTAAGCATGGGGAACAATAGGATTTTAGCAGTGGTCAATTTTTATACGTTAGAAGGTAAGGCAATTGCTACTGCCGTCCAAGAAGCTTATGGGTTTTTACCAAAGCAGATGATTGAACGGTCTCGTAAGTTGCATGAAAAGTATAATTCTGCAAGAAATGAAGTAACTGAAAGTGCTAAATTGTAAGTGAAAAAAAAGACAGCTACTAAACTATAAGTGAAAAACAAGATAGCTGCTAAATTATAAGTGAAAAACAAGATAGCTACTTAGTTGAAAGTAATGGAATAGCAATTGCGATAGGTAATTTAATCAATTTGCTTTCTTTAATTTTTGCTTTCTTTATTTAAAATATTATAGAAGACCCAATTAATAGAGTAAATGAAAAATGAAAAAAAAATGCTCGCGCAAATCACCCAATTTTTGAGTTGTGATTCTTGTCCAACAAGAGCTAGTCCTTGTGGCAAAAAAACTGGGTTTTGTACCTACAAGACTTGGTTTCAATTATATGGAACTTGTTTGAAGTTTGACTGTTACCGTTACCTTCTCTTTTCTCTTCTTTTCAATAAACCGAGGAAATTTTTTTCGCTCTCCACAAAACGGCAGAGAGGCAGAGGAAAAAAAAAAAATGGGTTAATCAACATGGATTATTTCTGATATCAGAACCAACATTAATCTGTTAGAGATAAAAGGTTCACTTGGAAATAAATGCCAGTACCCAAAACCAGGAAAGAGTATCCGCCAGTAGATATTAAAGCCCTATTTGATGTTCAAGAAACGGGGTCTCACACATATGTTGGGGTCAAGCCACTAAGCAAGCCAAGTAAACAGAGTAGAGGTGCATATGGAGGTAATATTGCAGCACAAGCAGTCTTGGTAGGTATTCGATCCTCGCCACCTGGATTCACGCCAAATTCATTGCATTCATACTTTATCCGACCAGTCAGTGATGCGTTGCCGGTGACCTGGAAAGTAGAGGAAATATCCAATGGTCGGACTTTTGTTAATCGATCGATTCACGGTTTGCAAAATGGCGTGGTTGTTTATACAGCAAATATATCGTTAACTTTGCACAATTCAACTAACCGTTCCGGTCATCGGGATAGGAGCTTATTAAACTTTAGCCCGCCACCAACGGAAACCATGAAACAGGAAACAGAGGATTTGCCGACATATTACTTTATTGAATCGTCATTTGTTTATCAAAAGATATATCCGTTTCAAAATGATGACAAGAGCGTATCGTTTTTAGTACGATTGGGAATAACCGATGATGCTAAGTACAATAGACCCTTGATCAACAGTGATGAGCAGTTTAAATATGTAGGGGTAACCGTTTTCACCGATTGGATTGCACTTGATCTATTGTTGCCACATTTGGATATTGACATCAGACCCAAATTCCAAGCTTCTATTGACCATTGTGTATACTATCATGAGGATGATTTTATACTTGACCAATGGTTTATCTATGTTTTGAGATTGAATTGGGTTGGTAACGATCGCGCTTTGGTTACTGGTGATATATACACTATGGACAAAAGACACATCATAACGGTGGTGCAGGAAAGATTATTCGTTACTAGTGCAAAAATATAAAAGTTACATTACTTGCATATTAAAGATTGAATTCTTATAGTATTTAAATTTCTATCAATAGAATAAAATAATTGATATAATAATAACTGATATAATAGTAACTGATATAATAATCATGTAAAAAGGTTTAAATATATGTATCCCATTTATTTTTGGCGAAAAACAGATTATTTTTGTACTCTTTTCTCCTTTTGGAATTTTACAGCGGAAAAGACAGAAAAACACAAAAATGTAGTTGGGATGTGAAAAGTCGTTCAGTATCCATTGATTCAATTGTAGGTTTCTTTTGGGTGTTTCTTTTTTGGGTATTTCTTTTTCGGGTGTTTCTTTTATTAGGTGTTTCTTTTATTAGGTGTTTCCTCGTTATAGCAATAATTCGTTTAAACTTTCTTACTCTTTCTGTCACACTCTCACGTGATGAGGAATGAAATCGTAGGACTCTTTTGTGGAAAAAATATGGAATTTACTATAAAGTTTCTATGGCGTTTCATCGGCTGTAATGGTATTTTAAAACCGTGGTTTTGTATGGTTTTATTATATGCATATGTATATTTATCTCTGTACATATAAATATATATATAAATATATATATATATATATAATTTACATGTAATCGATATTTCAGCTTTCCATTCTACGGAGTCTCAAGACCCAAGTATTCACCTGATTTCGGCATGTCTAGTCAAAACATGGTAACAGCGCTGATTTCCAGACAGCCCCACCAACTTACTGAGGTGGATATAACTCGTGAGATTGATGTCGAGCAAATCTCCGAGTTTCAGTATCGTGGCATAAAGCCCTTGAAGAAACCATCTCAAACTCGTCGCGGGGTATATGGGGGAGCCCTATGTGCTCAAGCAGTACTTGTTGCTATCAGGTCTTCACCAGCCAAATTCAAACCACACTCGATTCACACTTTTTTTGTCAAAAAAGTAGATGAAAGTTCAGTGATTGATTGGAAAGTTGAGAAATTATTAGATGGTAAAACATTTGCAAATAGAAGCATACAAGGATTGCAAAACAATGAAGTTGTCTTTACAGCCAATATATCATTAACTACAAAAAACTCAACCAAGCCAAATAAAGACGGATCAATGCCATTTGGATTTCAAACGACTCCACAACCGGAATTGAAAAACTACGATTCCAGTAAATTAAAACCTTATGATAACACAAATCTTCATTTATCAGTAAGGTTTTTCCCAGAATATACTACCAGTGATGTCTACACCTATCTATCCAAGTACGGTGTTGACGGAGAAGAATATATAGCTCCAATACCACTGGAATATAAATATGTCGCATTTACATGGATAACAGATTGGATGAATTTGGAGACTTTGTTAGGAAATATGGGACACCCGGTTGATCCGTTGTTCAATGTGTCCTTAGACCATTCCGTATACTTTCATGATGATGATTTCGATGCTACAAAATGGATAGGCATGTGTTTACGTACAACTAGACTAAACCATAATAGAGCGATGCTTTTCTGTGACTTGTACAATGACAAGGGTGTACAAGTCGCAACCGTAGTTCAAGAACGTCTTTTTATTGGCGACTACAAGCCAAAGTTATAGACAAATACACATATTTATGGAATCTCATATGTCCAATCTAATCTCTTATACATCCAATCTCTTATACATCCAATCTCTTTTGTCATTTTACCTTTGTTGATTTCTCCGTCAATAATTTCCAAAACTCGGATTTATATTTTTCTCTCTTTCTTTTTTTTTTTCCGATGTTCCGTTTTGCGGGGTGTCGATTAACTAACCGAACCAGGGAATAACTAGAACCAAGTATTAAAAGCCATACTTTTACTTTGGTTATTTGCAAAAGACACAAGGTTCGTATTACAATAAGGTTGAAATTTGAGGATGATAGAAATAAACTACAAGCGAGGTGAGGTTGTTGACGTACAAGAGGAGTTTGGTGTTGTTGAAATTGGCAAGAATAAGTTTGTGGGAAAGAAACCATTAACAAAGCCACATGCCGATTCAAGAGGAGTATACGGTGGAAATCTTATTGGTCAAGCTTTGCTCGTGGCTATGAAATCGGTAGATCCGGAATTCAAACCGCATTCCTTGCATTCGTATTTTGTTAGAGCTGCGAGTCCAGAGCAGCCTGTTGAATGGCAAGTTGAAGAGATCTCGTCGGGGAAAAGTTTCTGCAATAGAACGGTTCGAGGTTTACAAAATGGGTCTTTTGTCTTTTTTGCAAACATCTCATTGACAAAGCGAAACTCATTTAGGGAAAGTATGCAAAAATATGAGGAACATCATGCTAAGATCCAACAAAAGGCTAAAGCTGAAGATGATAATGACGAAGAAGATGACGACGACGATGATGATGACAAAGGTCCTACAAAACCGTTTGGCTTTCAAACGCCTTCGCATAAATGGCTCAAAGAACGTGATATAAAGGAATTGCCAGTCTCAGCGATTGAGTCGAATTTGTTGTCATATTTCAAATTTTTCCCAGAATTTTTACATTTAGATTTATCAAAGTACGAAGACGAAATACCTGTGGCAGAAAGAAGATTGGCATTTTTGGTGAGATGGGGTATAGACGATGAACAAGGTTTTAACCAGCCATTGAAAAACGTTGATGAACAGTTTCAAGTAGTTGGTTTGGCCAATTTATCAGACGCATTGTTGTTAAATGTCCTATTGAGAGTGCTCAGAATTGAAGATGTACAGTTGACAGATTATCACAAAACATTTTTTGGCGTTAGTTTGGATCACATTTTGTACATTCATGATGACGATTTCGATGTAACTCAATGGATGGGATACTGTTTCAAAGCTATACGATTCAGTCATGATAGAATTATCATGGAAGGTGAATTATATAACCACAAAGGTACCCATATTGCAACAATCATCCAAGAAGGTCTCATCAAGTTTGAAGGAAAAGAAAAGGGTGCTAAGCTTTAGAAAAGGGTGCTAAGCTTTAGAAAAGGGTGCTAAGTTTTGGAAAAGGGTGCTAAGCTTTAGAAAAGGGTGCTAACCTTTGGAAAAAGGTGCTAAGCTTTGGAAAGGTGTTTGGTTGGTTCCTTTCTTTTTCAATTCTTTTTTAATCTTTCTTTTAGAGCAGTATTCATTTGACGTTAGCCATCGCTTTTACTTTAATTTGGTTAGCTTTCCGTTTTATGTAGGTTATTTATCTCTCATCGGGGGCCCGATATTGTACCTTGCACCGTTTGATACTATACGCGCGAGAAATTAATTTGAAAAATTATTGTACTAACTAACGATATTGCCGTATAACGTTACAGGTAAGTAAACCCCCGTGTGTGTGTGTGTGTGTGTGTGTGTGTGTGCTTTTCCTAAAGCAATGACAGAAGAGGACCTGCAGCCAGATTGGGGGCGGTTTAATGAGGGGACATTGAGTAACCTACTTGATCAACTTGATAGGATATATTCTTCCAATAATTTGCTTGTTCTCGATCCAGTACTATCGCCATTACTCAATCGACTAACATCTTTTCTGGTGATAAAGGAACACGGGAAATGTCAAAACGTAACATGGCTAGATGACGAGTCGGTTGTCATACCGGCTAATGTTTTATCGAAATATTCGAGTTTGGTCTTATTGATATCCGAGTCGATAGAGAACCTTGCAAAGGTTAAAAAGTGCATTCATGCAATCCAGAAGAACGTACATGCGTTGAAATATTATGTTATCGTTAAAGGTTTGACTAGATCTTTCTTATACCAAATCAATCAAGCATTCGATGGTATTAACGAGTTTGATAAAATTTTGAGCTTGCCCGATTTGTCCAAACCAATTGCCATAACATCAAAAATTAAAATATTCAGGTGGGCCAATGAGCCAATATATACAGATGGCACATTTATCACTGATTCTGGATACCTCGCAGGAATTGACGACTACTTTGAAAAACCTTTGAGACAAAACAACCAATTAACAGATGCCTTGGTGAAATTGCTATTTATGGGCATACATCATGGAGAAAAGCATCGTCATTTGTTTAAATTACGAAACGTATATGGAAAAGGAAACAACTCTGAGCTACTTATAAACATGTTGATGAAATCAAAAATCCCGAGCTTTTTGAATGAGCATATGTCACAGACCGAAATTGAATTCTACAAAGATAAACTACACAGTAACACAGATTTGGTTGTTCTAGAAAGAAATCTCGACTTTTTCCCTGTGCTTTTCAACCAGTTGAACTACCATGGTATTGTTGATGATATGTTTGGTATAAACTTTGAAAATATTGTCAAAATAGATAAAGAAGTGTCAAAGGATTTATCGCGTGATGAATTGTACAATCAAGACTTGAAGCACTTGAATTTTTCAACAGTTGGTGCAAGATTGAACAAACTTGCCAAATATATCAAACAGAGATTTGAAGACACGGGGCACAAAAATGACCCGAATATAAGCGAGATGAAGAACTTAGTTGCAACTTTGGGAACTCTATCGGTGCAGCAAGATTTGATAAAGAAGCATACAATTATTGGCGAGAGCATTGTTGGCATGGTTGAAGGTGAATATGAGAGGTTTTTGGCATTTCAAAATGATATCTTTGAAATGGATTATAAACTACAAATTTCCAAGCTAAAGTCCTTCATCAACGGCAACTATCCTATTGAAAATTTATGGACTATTCTCTTACTAATAGGGTATACCAATGATGGGATTTTGAATAAAGATATAGAAAAAATATCTATGGAGATGCAGGATAACTATGGGTTAGAAGCAGCTTTATCTTTGCAGAAGTTGATACATCTCAAATTGATAAGAGTGATCAATGACTCAAGTAATGACTTTTTTACGTCGCTTGGGTTGACTAGTCAGAAAAAGAAAATCGCAGTGCAACAGTCTAGCGAGGAAGATGACGGTGATATGGGGATAAGTGGGGGCAAAGACGTATTCAAGAGCAATTATACATTAATTAATAAATTTTGGAACCTACATCCATTACAGGAGGATGAGTTTGACACCAAAGAAAGTACTTTTGAGGCATCCGAAAGCAAGCAAGAACTGACATCTCTTATGAACTTATACCCAACACCATCATTCACCCTACCTGGAAACACGGTCCCCTTGATCTATCGATTGGTTGAATCTCTATATTTTCGGGACTTTTTGAAATATAAACCGACAAACAACATAAAGAGAAGGCCCAATTGGGATAATCTTGGACTAAATGCCATGTTTGCGGGAAAGATGGTGGATATGGATTTAGAGAATGCCAATGACGACAAGCTGAAATATTTGATTATTGTTGTAATTGGCGGCATCACCAGAAGCGAACTTACTTGTTTGAAATATTTAGAGGAAAGGTTCAAAAGAAAAGGGACACCAAAGGAAATTATAGTATTGACCAGTGGAATTATCAACCATCATAAGCTATGGCGGTATCTAGACCAATAGATCAAGATTCAGACAAGACAAAAAAGGCACCATTAAAGAGTCTAGAAAAAGGCACCCTCAAAGAGTCTAGAAAAAGGCACCCTCAAAGAGTCTAGAAAAAGGTATTGTCTTGGTGTCTCTTGGGAATAGAAAAAGGCACCCTCAAAGTGTCTCTAAGAGTCTCTCGGGAGTAGTAAAAGGCACCCTCAAAGTGTCTCTAAGAGCCTCTTGGGAGTAGAAAAAGGCACCATCGAAGTGTCTCTTCGGAGTAGAAAAAGGCACCATCTAAGTGTCTTTCGGGAATATAAAAATTCCTCGTCAAAAAGTCTTTTGGGAGTAGAAAAAGGCACCCTCAAAGTGTCTCAAAGAATCTTTTGGGAGTAGAAAGAGGGCACCCTCAAAGAGTCTTTTGGGAGTAGAAAGAGGGCACACTAAAGAGTCTCTCGGGAGTAGAAAAAGTCCTCATCAAAGTGTCTCAAAGTATCTCTTGCGAGTAGAAAAAGGAACCCTCAAAGTGTCTCTAAGAGCCTCTCGGAAGTAGAAAAAGGGCACCCTCAAAGAGTCTTTTGGGAGTAGAAAGAGGGCACACTAAAGAGTCTCTCGGGAGTAGAAAAAGTCCTCATCAAAGTGTCTCTCGGAAGTAGAATAAGTCCTCATCAAAGTGTCTCAAAGTATCTCTTGCGAGTAGAAAAAGGCACCCTCAAAGTGTCTCTAAGAGCCTCTCGGAAGTAGAAAAAGGGCACCCTCAAAGAGTCTCTTGGGAATAGAAAAAGTCCTCATCAAAGTGTCTCTCGGGAGTAGAAAAAGGCACCCTCAAAGTGTCTCTCGGAAATAGCGAAAGGCACCCTCAAAGTGTCTCTAAGAGTCTCTCGGGAGTAGTAAAAGGCACCCTCAAAGTGTCTCTTCGGAGTAGGAAAAGGCACCATCAAAGTGTCTCTTGGTAGAAAAAGACACCCTCAAAGAGTCTCAAAGAGTCTCAGAGTCTCTTAGTAGAAAAAGTCCCCATCTTAGTGTCTCTCGGGAATAAATAAACGTATATTCATTGAGCTCATATATATTGATAAAAGGAGCTAATGCGACAAAACCCCCCATTGACATAGATACAACAGCAGCCTGTCTTGGTAGTCTTTTCCAGTACCAAAGTCGTCATCTACTCTCATGTGTGTGTGTGTTTCCCTCCCCCTATGCCTCAAGCCGCATCCTCAGCATCCTTTTGCTGCTTCAATTGAGCATAGAATGCTTCTCTTTTGGCAACGATTGGGGTATGTTCAGTATACCAATAAAAAGTAGCCAACGAGAACCCAACAACAAACGAGAGGGTAATATCAGTTATAATCTTCCTTTTCAATGAACCTGTAATTGGTGCTAACGCCATTGTGTATATATATCCTAAAAAACTTTGCTAATTTCTACAATATATCTATATAGATATAAACTCCAATACCTTTTTTTTTTTTGGTCCTTCTAATTGGTGACTTGGTAACAAAAATCCATCCATCGCTAACAAAATCTTTCTTAGCCGCTGTCTCTCTCTATTTGTCTCTCTTTGTCTCTTACTTAAGGCGCGCTCCCTAACTTACTAAAGGAGAAAACAAACCAAAGAAAAAAAAATCACCTTATTTGAAATGACAAAGTTGCTACCAATTATAAAACTACTAACCTATCGAATACTATTGGCTATAATTGATATTTGTTTTATTTTGCACTACCCTCTATATAAGAAGTCGAAAGCCAAGTTAACAAGATAAATATTGATTGGTAATTATCAGATAGCCAGTAGGTTTATAGACAAGAACAAGAACAAGAACAAGAACAAGAACAAGTTTGTATTCAGTAATGTTCTCCAGATCGCTTTTACAGAGATGTGCTAGATCTCCAGCCCAGCAATTGACCCAAATGATGGTGCCAAAAAGATCCTTCCAAAGGTCAGCTATGTTGTTAAGTGGAAATTTATCGGAAAAGATTTATGGTGTTCCTCAAGAAGGTGTTTATTCAAATTTACCTTTCAAGGTTAAAAACAGAAAGTTTATCCCATTCGCAGTATGGTACTGGGGCGTATTGGGTTTTTTCTTTGCCTTTCCATTCTTGAGCACTGCATGGCTGATGTACAAGTCCGGTGCTTTGAAAAGATCATCGGCTTAAAAATGTTACCATTCTATCTTTGTAACAACGTTTGACCATTATTTGCTTGAAAATGTTTGTAACAACGTTTGACCATTATTTGCTTGAAAATGTTTGTAACAATGTTTTCACCTTTTTGATATGTTTTTGACAACTCTTACTACGTGGAGTGAAGAGAGAGGGAGAAAGAGAGAGAGAGAGAGAGAAATGGTGTTCACGAGTCTTGTGGATGCGTTATATTTATTCAACGCTGTAGGAAAATATATGATGCTAAGTTTATTTTGAAAGCTACTTTTTTTTTTTATTAGTAAATGGATAATTTTACAATAAACTGATTTCAAAATTTCTATTTGTTCATTAGTCATGAAATGAAAGTGAGGGAATATGTCTGAATGGGACGAGTGGTGAAATGTGCTAAACTACGGTTTTGGCATTAAAAGCTTAACCCACATTCCAACATTCAATCATCAAATTTTACTCTTTTAATTTGTCTCACATCTGAAGATTCTCTAAGGTCTCTTCTCTTTAAACAAGACCTAAGTGGTGGGTCTACCTTTTGAGGTATGCGTGATGGTGGTGGGTCTGCTATCGTTTGAGGTATGCGTGATGGTGGTGGTGATGATGAATTGTAAAGTGCAGGCAGATCAATAGCTTCCAAACTCGAGTCCAGCAAAGGTACTTGATGCGTAGAGGATGGAGGAGCAGGGGGGAGTGTTGGTGGTGAGCTTGGTTTAGTGTTGTCTTGTGCTCTTGATTTATAATCACTGAAACTCATTTTTTTCTTAAAATTGAGTTTGTCAATTGATTTGGCGTTATCACCAGCTATGGCAGATGGAGTGGAAAGAGATGTTCTTTCGGAGCCCGGGATAGTGTGGCTCGCATGTGGAGGGGTAGGTGCACGAACTGGGAGCACGTCTGTTGAGTCTTCAACTGCATCATCTGTTTCAACTTCCTGAAAACTCAAAGATGGCTTTGTTGCAAGCTTGTGAGGGCCATCATTCTCAGCCCCTGTTAGTGAATCGTCTTCTTCGTCATCTCCTCCTTCTCCTAGGGTAGATATTGCGAGCCCGTGGTTGAAGGTGTTAAACTCAATATCGTTACTGCCACTTTTTCTTTTAGTACCAACGATTGTTGAGACTTCTTTATCAGTTTCAGTATTTGATTCTTTCTGCTGAACCTGATCTAATAGAGCTGGACCAAGTTGGCTCTTTTTTGCTTCCACTATCTGTTGAGATAATGGCGGCGCTTCGCCTTTTATTCTCTTGTTTGAATCTGATAAAAGTCGTAGTTCTTTGACTCCACCGCTTTCCTTATCACTATCATTATCCTGTTTCTCAGAACCACCTGTGCCAGTTTGATCCGCCATAGAAACTTCAACTTCGTGTGAGCTTGGATTTTGCGTGTAAGAATTGTTCTCAAGTCGAGGCGATAAATTTTCTTTTGATTGGCGGCTGATTACTTCTTCATTGCTAGAGTATATTTTCTTATCTTCATCATTTCCTGTTGAAGCTGCTATTGTTGTACTACTCTCAGAGACTGAACCCAAAAGTGACATGGGCTTGTTTTCATTCGAAGCACCAAATAAGCTACTACTCCTTGTACCCCCTAAAAGCCCCAACAAGTCTACTTTGGGAGTTGGTGCGGTACTCTGTACATCATTAGTTACTTCTTCAACTGGTGACACATCTTCAACTTTCTTCAACGGCTTACTCTGTTGAATCTCCAACAATTCAAAATCTTTATTGTCTGACTCCTCAATGTTGACAAATACAGAGTCAACAACAACTTTTTCTTTGCCAAAATTTTTCACAACCAGTTCAAAATCGATTGATGATTCCATTGGTATGAAAAACTCCTTTTTGGGTTTTGGATCAATATCAACCTTGAATTTTTGTAAAAAATCATCCAATTTGGCACGGATCTCAATTTTGTTATCGCGTTTTTTCATCTTAATTTTTATCTGAGCCAACTGTCGTCTTGTTTTCTTGACAAACTCTTCTTGTTGTCGCCTTTGATCATCTAGTAGTTTACGAACTTCCTGTAATGTTACATAGTATTGTGAGGCATTATCACGGAAATTAATCAACCCAGATGCTTTAAAAGTTGTTGTTGGGTTTTCACTCAAAGGATCAGGTTGGATATCTTGCTCAATCAAGTCAATTGTCCGATTTATCTTATCTATACAGTCATTCCCGATCATTTCAAATCTGCGGATTTCACGCTTTTGGTTCCTAGTCAAATGATCCTCTTGAAACGTCAATTGATCTAATGCCTGGTTTAGATAAACCACATATGATAATAGTTTTCTACCTTCAATTAGTAAATCTTCCGGAGTTAGGTTCAACCCTCTTGACAAGGCCAAATTGTCTTTTCTCAATAATGCTTCTGCTTGCACTAAGAAATTGTCTATCCTACTCAACTGGGTCTTATCAAATCGGCTTTTTTCTCCACCTTCTCCGTACCACATATCTTTTAGTTCCTGTAATGCTGTTCTCATCTTCTTATCTGGTTTCAAATACTGGTCTCCAACACTCGTATAGGCATGACAAAACAAATCATATATCTCGGCGTTAAATAGCAAATCATAGGGGTTTCCAACTTCTACGCAAAGATAGTGGATAAAGTACATCACCCATACTTTCCGTTCGGGAGGGGAAATGTACAATTTGCGTTTGATGGCATCCTTTATTTCATTCGCTTGGTCAACATACTTTACTGCAAGACCTGCCAAATGGCTAAGAGTTGATGTTTTAATTGATAAATGTTCAAGTTCCTTCTCAAAGTGTTCCAAAGCTGACATATTAAAACGTTTGTTTGTTTGTTTTTGTTTTTTGTTTTTTTCAATGACGCAAACAATATTTGACAAAAAAAGTTTTGCGACAATAATATCTTTTTCTCACCGCCCCCCTTTGTTTCCACCAATACAGAAAACAGCGCCGGTTTGGGACTCTTGCACCTCCAATGTATCGTCTTTCTTCAGAATGTACCTTAGTACCTGTCCTCCTTGTAGAGACAAGTATGCTTCTCGTCTGGATGAAGAAGAAGAAGAAGAAGGGGGTAAAAAAAAATAAAAAAAAAAAAAGACAAAAACACAAAAAAGTTATAAAAGAAAGTGTTTTACAGGCTCTGTTGAAAACTCTTTCTCTAAGGGGTAAGTTCTCTTGATGATGGTATATGTATATACGTATCAAGTCAGGAGAAGGAGTTACTCAGCTCTGCTGGAAACTCCCTTATAGTAGAAGAACAAAAACTAATAAAAAACTATTTCAAGAGATTTTTTCAATAAGATATTCTTTTTCTTTTTCTAACTGGTAAATCCCTGTCACTTTCTCTAACTGGTAGATCCCTGTCACTTTCTCTAACTGGTAGATCCCTGTCACTTTCTCTAACTGGTAGATCCCTGTCACTTTCTCTAACTGGTAGATCCCTGTCACTTTCTCTAACTGGTAGATCCCTGTCACTTTCTCTAACTGGTAGATCCCGGTCTCTTTTTTTTGTATTATTTTCGAGACCAATATTATTGATACCTATACCTGTGGTCTTGTTTTCGTTGTTGTTACTAGTGAAATGTGCCCCAATTCTAAAAGGAAAAAGAACTTCTTTTGAGAGAAATCAGATTTTTTTTTTTCTTTATTAAGCATTTCAGAATTTTTGCATCCATACATATATATATATGATTAGAACAAGCCTTTTATTTCCTCCTTCTGAAGCAGCACTGACCAACACTATCGACAAACACTATCGACAAACACTATCGACCGACACTATCGAGCAAAGCGAGATAGTGGAGCAGCACTGAATATCTTGTTACAACAGATAGAGAGTAGAAAGAGTAGATAGAGTAAATAGATAGAGTGTAGATAGTGAGAGTAGTGTTGTCTTTTCACTCTGCTGGATAGTCTTAGTGTAGTTAATAGACTATCGAGCAAAGCGAGATAGTCTATTAACTTGAATGTATAGTATGTCTATTCAGTGCTGCTCCACTATCTCGCTTCGCTCGATAGTGTCAAAAACAATTAGTTTTTGACAGATAATTGAAATATTTGAAAACTGTGTTTAATATCGGTTTGGCCATTTAACTCCTTTACAAAATAGTGGTAAAGTGGGGTCGGTTTCCCCTCCCCCAATATCACCCCGTCGCTGTGCTTGATAGAAAAGGATCCTAGATTCTAGATCCTTTTCGCTAGTCAATGTGCTCCATTAGACTATCGAGCAGAGCGAGATAGTCTATTGACTACACTAAGACTATCCAGCAGAGTGAAAAGACATCACTACTCCTCTCTACACTCTATCTATTTACTCTCTCAACTCTCACTATAGACTATCGAGCTGCGCCCGATAATATATATCTACAGAGAGAGAGAGAGAGAGAGAGAGAGAGAGAGAGAGAGAGAGAGAGAGAGAGAGTATTTAAGACAATATATATATTTATTTAATCAGTAATATAAATCAATAAACATTCTATGAAGTAGCTATAAAGATTTATGTTAATTGGTTGTTATAATTCTCTCTCTCTCTCTCTCTCTCTCTCTCTCTCTTTTTCACCTATTCATGTTTACCTAGTAGAATGCCCCAATGAGTCAAAGTTAGTCTTATAATTTTTGGCCGTTATCGGCGAAACCACAAACTGATTTTTTTTTCTCTCTCTTTTCATTCTCCAAAACATCAATCTCTAATCGGATTTGAAATTTTTCAACCATAATCTCTTGCCAAAATCTTGTCAAAAAAAGAACCCTTTCCCTTTGTTTTTTTTCTGCAACGGCTCTCTTTTTTCCCTTTTATCTTTGGAGTTCAATTAGTGTAGCTAGAATATGATTAGTGTAACGGCTATGAATCGTACTGCAATGTTGCTGAGACATCTTCGCACATTCTCCACATCATCCAAACTTGCAGAAAAGATCAAAGTAAAAAATCCAATTGTTGAATTAGACGGAGACGAAATGACAAGAATAATCTGGCATAAAATCAAAGAAGAGTTAATTCATCCTTATTTGGATGTTGATTTAAAGTACTATGACTTGGGTATTGAATCTCGTGATGCGACAAATGATCAAATCACTATAGATGCAGCTCATGCTATTCAAAAATATGGTGTTGGTGTCAAATGTGCTACTATCACGCCAGATGAGGCTAGAGTCAAAGAGTTTGGATTGAAGAAGATGTGGCTCTCGCCAAATGGTACAATCAGAAACATTCTTGGTGGTACTGTGTTTAGAGAAAGTATCATAATTCCGTGTGTTCCCAGATTAATTCCTGGTTGGGAAAAGCCAATTGTTATAGGTAGACATGCATTTGGAGATCAGTATAAAGCTACTGACTTGGTTATCAAAGAACCAGGTACTTTGGAATTACGATTCACTCCGGAAAATGGCGGAAAAGTTGAAACTCATACCGTATACAAGTATTCCGGTGCTGGCGTTGGATTAGCCATGTATAATACAGATGAATCGATTCGAGGTTTTGCTCACGCATCATTCAAAATGGCCTTGAACAAGAACCTTCCATTATATATGTCTACCAAAAACACCATCTTAAAAAAGTATGATGGTAGGTTCAAAGACATTTTCCAGGAAATCTACGAGAATGAATACCAGCAACAGTTTGAGAAAAAGGGTTTATGGTACGAGCATAGGTTGATTGATGATATGGTTGCCCAAATGATCAAGTCAAAAGGCGGGTTCGTTATGGCGTTGAAAAATTATGACGGTGATGTTCAATCTGATATTGTTGCCCAAGGCTTTGGTTCATTGGGGTTGATGACTTCAGCATTAATGACACCAGATGGATCAGCTTATGAGTCGGAAGCTGCCCATGGCACTGTAACAAGACATTTCAGACAACATCAACAAGGCAAGGAAACCTCAACAAATTCGATTGCTTCTATTTTTGCATGGACAAGGGGTCTTGCTCAGCGTGGGAGATTAGACAATACTCCCGAAGTTGTTAGTTTTGCAGATAAACTAGAAAAGGCAACTATTGATACTGTCCAAGAAGATAGAATAATGACTAAAGATTTAGCTTTGGCAATGGGCAAAACTGACAGATCAAGCTATGTCACTACTACTGAATTTTTAGACGCTGTGGCAAGTAGATTGAGGAAATGAGATGGTGTTATTCTAAAAAAAAAGAAAAGTAGTAGCAAACCTTTTTATAATGTTGTTTATTTCAATAACTACACAACCGCTCTCAATCTCTGTTGCTTTTTAATAATATGATTTGAATGGAGCTGGTATAATAGGTAGACTCCCGACTCTATGTCTCTTTCTTCTTTTGGGGAGGTGGGAAGAAGGGTATTTTGCACAAATCGCATCGGAAAAACTTTTAACCGCGTGTATCTGATTATACTGCTAATTGTTTTCTATCTCGCTTCAGATTATTTTACAGCTTGCTACTCCTTTGAAGCTGGTGTTTAGAAACTTACAGAGTAACACTATCGAGAAACACTATCGAGAAACACTATCGAGCAGAGTGAGATAGTGTTGTAACAAGCTAGAGAGATTTTCTCGATTGTGATGTAACAAGCTACTGGGTGTTGCCACACTATCTCGCTCTGCTCGATAGTGTTTCTCGATAGTGTTTCTCGATAGTGTTTCTCTGTATGGGAGAGTGCGACCCCGAAACAGCAAGGGGGAAAAAAAAAAGAGGATACGATGGTAAACCATTTCGGTGATGGTGATGTCAATAACCATACTTTTTTTTACTAACTGCCCCTTTCCCCCTTTTCGTCAATGCATTACTCTCGACCAGGCCTAGGAAACTGAAAACCACTAAATGGTTTTGGAAATTTAAATAAGGATCAACCAAATTACAAAGTCGTTTTGCCCTACTCAAATTTCAAATTTCACTTTCTTGACCCAGAGTAGTCAGTGCTGCTTCACTGTCCAACTCTCATCACCAATGTCTTGCCTGAAAAAAAGGGGGGTTTCAAGATAAGACAAGTTTTTTTCATAGTTTCCATGCTACCATCTTTTAAGAGAACTATTTATTGTTTCGAGGAAGATGCATATACTTGCATTACGCAAAAGAAGTAAGATCGGTAAAAATCTCAAGTATACTTTCTCGTCATAGTTTTTCAACGGCATTTAAGTGTTCTAATCAATCCCTTTGAAAGCAGTAGAAGCTACCGATTTTCTGGGTTATTTGTATTAATAAGCCAATTCCTCAACCTTGTTTTTTAAGCCATATGAATGATTTCAAGTACATTTTCTTTGTTTGTTTGTTTGTTTGTTTTGCTTCATTTTCAAGAGTATACGTATACGGTTTACATACAAATTTGATGCTTATCGCTATTTATAATGCATGTGCCAATATGCCTTTCTTGAAGATATAAAGCAAATCTGTTAATCTAAAAAAAACAAACCAAAAATAACACACTAATTTTATCTAGAACAAGTATCAAAACTCTTTTTCTCCAAACTCTTCAAGCCAAGGTTCTACGGGGTGTTATCAACAAAAACAAGAGCGTAACACAAAAAAAAAAAGAAATGAAAGAAAGAAAGAAAAGAAAAGAGAAAAAAATGTATTATTTGCTCAAACATTGCTACTTCCATATAACCCCTTCTGATCGTGTAATTTTTATCTTGCAGATTAAGCAAGAGAGCAAGAGAGCAATAAATTGAGGGGTTTAAGTGTCGAATCAGAGTAAAATGAACGAGTCCTAATAAATAAATCAAAAAAAAAAATCGGAAATGGTTTAATGGCTCGATAAAATTTTTCTCATAATTTTCATTTGAAATAATAATAATAATAAAAATAAAAATAAAAACAATATGGTAAGGTTGATCTATGAATCAAAAAAAAAAAAATTGAGAAAACTTGGGGATTGGAAACTAAAAGAGCCATGGAACAATGGAAGTCTCAATCGACGTGAATTCCATATTGTGGATTATAGATTATAATCAGTTAAATGCGAAAAAGAAAAAAAAAATCAATAGAGATATACGCCACGCTACTTTATACCATCTTTCTCTCACACTTGAAATAAAGACGTTTGAAGTTGAATTCATTCAGCAAAAAAGTTTGAAGCATGATTTGTCTATCTTCTAGCTAGAACATCGTTGAAGTTCAACATCAAAAATCTTTACCGTTGTCACCTTCTGACATGAAGGAAATCGGAAAGGTATTTTTCTGTGTAGGCAGCAATTCACTTCAGCCATGACTTATAATACACTAAACTAAAAATCTAAAAATAAAATAGAAAAAATAAATGAGACAATTGTCAAAATTTATTTTTGAAAACAACGCAAGGGAACACTTCAATGTCAATTAGTGATTCTCGAACCGAATTCGTGTGTGTATCTTTTTTCAAGAGAGAGAGAGAGGGTGCAAAAAAAAGAAGATTTCATGAGATAATTTTTGAAAATATTTAAGGAGAAGGGTGAATTGCTTCCTGTTTTTTTTCTTTTTCATTACCAATCGATTCTGAAATTTGCATTGGTTATTAGGAAAATTAAACTGATCATGGTTCAACATTTGCTTTCACCCTGAATCTTTTTTTTTTCCTCTCGTTCTTGCTGCTTTGATGGATAAGAAATGCTACTTGGATTAAAAGAATACAGTTGGTTAACTTCAACTACTGAAATTCCTCATTTACCCCCTTAAATCCGTAGAAACCCAATCTAAACCAAACTTTGGAAAGAGTTTTTTTTTTTTGACGTTTTGGATAAAAATGTTTTTTTCCTACATATGATAAACATTGGTTTAAACCTGATTATTGTTATTATCTAACAACTCAATGGAAAAGAAAGTCCTGTACATCTAAAACAGTTGTTCAAAATGATATTTTTTTGGCTTGTTCTTCCTCCCTAGCCCCTTATCTGCCCTTACTTTAACGGTGCAAATATCCATACCTTGGTGCATGTTTCATTTCCATTACAATTTCAAGAACTTCATATATTAATAAATCAAATGACTGACTAAACGGGTTTCTCTTTTGTTATTCCAGCAATCATATATCTGCACGTAACACCATTCCCTTGTTTTTTTTTGGTTCTGTTTTTTGGATTATCTTTATCTCTACTTACAGCTAGTGCTTAATCTATATTATGCATCTGTACGTTATTAAATGACCTAAAAGGGGCCCACCGTGGGTAGTCCTCGGTTTTGAAACCTGTTACAAAAAATAAAATAGTCAACTCTCACACAAAACCACCCTCTATCTTTATTTTGTACAGCACAAAAAAATGGTATTACTATATTTTTAAAGAGATTGCACAAAACAACGGTGTACCGGCTGCTACCACATGTCTTGGTAATTCTAGAAAATATACTGTGCACAAAAGCAGCCTTTATAATACGTCTTTTAACACACTGAACATTTGCATTTAAATTTGATTTGCAACTAAATCTGAATTGAATATATGTCATACAATGTCCACCCACCCCCCTCCCCCTTGGTTTACTAGACTTTTGGACAATATAAAAACTTCCTTTTGGTCCAAATTTTCTTAAAGATATATATAAAGAGGCATTAAGTTTCAACAGGAAGGAAACTGGCTTATATTCGTTTTCATTTCTTTCACTACTTTACATATTTGTTAGATGGTAACAGCTAAGTTATCCTGATTATTCTAAAGTATATTCGTAGATGATACCACAAATTCGATCTCAGCAATGGTCCAATAACAACAACCGTATCAGTTCTCCATCATACCCATTACCTTCAATATCTCTGTCTCTTAATCATTCACTTGCAGAGAAAGATGCATTGCCAAAGCTTCCACCTATACATTTTCTCACAGAACAAGCAAACTTTTATAGCACACAGCAACAGCAACAACAACAACAACAACAACAACAGCATGTTGTTGTTGTTGTTGTTGTTGTTGTTGTTGTTGTTGTTGTTGTTGTTGTTGAATTACAACTACAACAACTACAGCCGAGCGTTTCCCATCGTCGGTTACCAATAAAACCAAATACATACTCTATTCTCTCCCATTATCCTCAAACTACAGGACACACAAGTACCTCACCAAAAGCTTCATCATCATATATCGGGGAACAATACATATTCACACAATCTTCTCCTACTTCGCCAATATCTCCCGTCTTTTCTCCATACCAAGTGCAACAAAATCAGCAATATCAACAATATCAGCAGAATCATCAATATCAGCAAAATCAGCAAATCCAGCAAATGCAATTTCAACATAAACTAGGGAACTACTCACAAACACCACCACCCTCACTACCTCTTCCTCTACCACAACCTTCTTTTAAAATGACAAGTCATTTATCTTACCTGTCAAATACTGATCACACAGCATTTCAAGCGCCCTCGCCTAACGTACCACAAACAGTGTCTCCTGTAACAAGCACCAACTCATATCTGGATCAACGAAGAACGAAGAGAAAGTATACTAAAGCAATTAGTAAAGGCGGTTCCAACTATTCTAGATTCCATTCCAAATCCACTGCCTCTTTATCTTTTTCACCTCCATCGCAAAATTACAATAAAAGAAAGCCTAGACAAAGTCTTGTTGTCGATGAAGAGGCAATTCATTACCCAATTCATAAAGATGTTTTATTAGCCAATGTTCCCAGTGCAACTGTTGAACAATTAAACACATTTATTTACCCCAGGATTGAAACCAAAAAATATTCTACTTCAGCTATAGACCCTGTACGAAATTTCCTCACTGTTTATGAGTACGTGGTGAATGATCATTGGATTATATGGGATTATGAAACGGGATTTGTCCATTTAACAGGAATTTGGAAAGCTTCTCTTTCAAGTGTTGAGGATTCCAACCATGCCATACCATCAGCTAATCATTTAAAAGCCGATATTGTCAAATTATTGGAATCAACACCAAAAGAATACCAGGCATATATCAAGAGAATCAGAGGTGGGTTTTTGAAAATTCAAGGTACTTGGTTACCTTTTGAATTGTGCAAAATACTAGCACGAAGATTCTGTTACTATATTAGGTATGCTTTAATACCTATATTTGGAGTTGACTTTCCTGAATCATGTCTCGATCCAAATGAAAAAGGGTTTGGTGAGTTGAAGTTGGATGATTTAACTGATTTTGAGCAAGATTTGTTGCCCAAACCTGTACCACCGCCTGCCTCAATTGCATCACAGAATGAATTGGCTCAACAGGCAGCACTTGGATCACCCCTTAGCCTTGGAAAGAAGGACAATGATGTTCAACTTGGTAATGGTGAAATTCCAGTAATGGGCATTTTCCATTCGACCCCGCAACCACAAGAAAGAAAAGATGATGATGATGATGATGATGATGATGATGATGATGATGAGGGAGAGGGAGAGGGAGAAGAACGGCGGCGGCGGCAGCAACAACAACAACAACAACAACAACAACAAAAGCGAATTGACTCACTGGAAATACCATACCACCATTACCAATGCAATTCAGTAGGCAGTGAATCTTTGCAAAAGCCAGCGACTCCTTCAACTGGCAATATGACGTCTGATAATGGTGAGGGAAATAGCTATAGCGACTTGCTTGAAATAATGAATGCTTCCAAATGTCTTCAATCTTTAGGTAGAGATTGCAAGATTCGAAAATGCAAGAGCCTCTCTGAGATTTGTACCGAGAGAAAGATCAATGATAATAACAATAATAATGATGACGATGCAGCTACTGAAAATGAAGATGAGGAAGATATCAATTATACTGTTTTGCTAAATAAGAAACTTTACAATGATGCTACTGGAATCTCTTCAATTTTGTTAGCTGCAAAGTTGAAAGAAGGCAATAATGATGCCTCCTTGCTGCTTGACAAATACCTAATCAACAATGAAAAACTTGATAACCCAAGACCGAGTATGAAAATCGGTGACTTGACTGCTCCACTAGCGAGCAAAGCAAGCTTGTAAAGAGGTACTCAGCTGGTTGAAAGAAGTGTTGGTGGCAGCTAGTATGCTCCACTAGCGAGCAAAGCAAGCTTGTAAAGAGGTACTTAGCTGGTTGAAAGAAGTGTTGGTGGCAGCTAGTATGCTCCACTAGCGAGCAAAGCAAGCTTGTAAAGAGGTACTTAGCTAGTTGAAAGAAGTGTTGGTGGCAGCTAGTCAGTGCTGCTCCACTGTCTCGCTCTGCTCAAGAGTGTCGATACTGTCGATAGTGTCGATAGTGTCGGTGGCATCTAGTATGCACCACTATCTCGCTTCGCTCGATAGTGTCGATAGTGGCGATAGTGTCGATAGTGGCGATAGTGTCGATAGTGAATTGAAACTTGTTTGTTTGGTTAATCTTTTTTCTTTACGCTCTTTACATTGGTGACATAACCTAAACATAAAAATCAACTCTTCTTCTTCATCTCTTTTCACTAACAAGAAAGAATCTTTTTTCTCTTGTATACGGGTTTGAAAAACTTGGTGATATAATAAGAATAGAGCTAGCCTCTTGTGAAGCCAATTTCTTATGGAGTAGAGCTAGTTTGTTTATATAGAGCTAGTTCGTTTATATAGAGCTAGTTTGTTTGACGTTTTATGGGACAATGGACTTTATAGAATTTGATACATTCACAGCTAACGATGATACTTTACCACAACCTCAGCCGGCATTATCACTCCCTATAGCTTCCAATTTAGAACTGCTAAGTAAAAGGTTGACTAATTTCACATTGGCCAATGCCATAAAGACAAACACCTCAAAGGAGAGTGGTTTCACCACAAACACTCAAAAGGAGAGTGGTTTCACCACCAGCACTCAGCTTCAAGACGGTGGTGGTTCAATGGACAAATATGCTCAAATATCCCTATCCTTATTGGAAAATAGCGCCGATTCTGGCCTCCTCGAAAAAGACGAGTCCCTTCCGCTGACCCAACAGAATCATATTGTTGATTCGCTAGGTCCAAGACTAGCAAGGGTTTTTAATGAGACTATGAGCGATGCCACATTGAAAGAAATATTCACAAACATTGAAGAAAACGCTGAAAACGACGATAGGGAAACGTATTTCCAGAAATTGGTCGAACCGGGCTTTGAAGGAACAACGGCAAGAAAGAAACTAAAAGGGAGGATAGAAACTGATTTAATCAAAAGTCAATCTCAATTATTGAAGGATTATCAACCGATGATCAAGCAGTTGAAAGCGCTTGCATTGAGGTTGAAAAAATTGAATGACTTGAACAAAGAAACAAATAATAAATTAAATAAAAATCTACACTCCTTCAATGACTTTAATGTCAAAGTGAATGAATTGAATACAACAAAAAACCTCGTTGAAATTAAACAAAACTTGTTGATTGCGTTTAAAAAGAAGTTTACGCTAACAGAATATGAAGAGGTTATCCTAACTTCGGGCGACTTGAATCAAGAATTCTTTCAGGCATTAAGTAAAGCTGAAACTATTGTTGAAAATTGTTCAATTTTGCTTTCCGAAGATAACCTTCAATTAGGGTTGAAAATAATGTCCAAGAATAACCAAATTATAAACAAAGCAGTTGAAAGGACAGTAACTTATTGTAACAAGACTTTGGATAACTTATACTCACTTAATTCCAAATCAAGACTACTCACTTTACACGAATGTTTTAAGTATCTTAAAAAGAGACAGAATTATCTTTCAATTATTGTGGATAAGTTCACTGACTCAAGATCAAAAGTGATATTGGAAGAGTTCCATCAACAGATTCAAGAAAATCAAGAGCTAACTAGTAAAGCACCTCCTCTGTCTTCGTCTGCTTTATCTTCTTCTGCTCAACAACAACAACAACAACAACAAAAAGTACGTCGACGCTCGAGTGCAAAGGGAACGGGTTTATTCTCCAACGCCGATGCTCGGCCTGTCTATATGTCGGCTCATGACCCTGTACGATTTGTAGGTGATTTTTTAGCCTATATTCACTCACTAGCAGTCAATGAATCAGAAACTATAAAAAATATATTTACAATGGGAAACGATAGTGATCAGGAGTTTGATGCCATAATTCGAGAAATTACAAACAAGATTTTGAAATCCTTAGCACGTCCAATAAGGTCTAAAATTGAACAAATAATCTCAACAGAGATAAAGTTAAATACAATTTTTCAGATTTTCAACTTGGTGGAGTTATATTCAATGATGTTTGCTAAGCAGTTGAGCGAGTCTGATGATTTGGTTGAAACAATGAAAAAGTTAGTTACAAGTTGCCAGGACCGTATTTTCTCCATTGTTTCGAGTAAGTTGGCCACAATTGGCTCTAGCAATCTGGCGAAACTTGAATTGAATCTGGATCTAAACCCGCCGGAATGGATTATTTCTTTTTACAGCGAAGTGTTGCACATGATCGACCAAATCATAACGCCCACTATATTGAATTTATCTTCTGGGGATCATGAAAAATTTTTGAATCTAATTATCAACCAACCGATTGCTATATTCAAGGAACATGTGCTCACCTGCAATAAGCAATTTAAAGATAAAAGAGATTTGTACATTATTCAGTTCAACTTTTTGGACCTCATACAGTCGAAAATTATGCCGATTTCTTTGTTATCCGATAAAGTTTTGGAGATAAATGACATGAATTTGGAATTGACTAGTAAGATAACAGAGTTGGAATATACTACTATCCTAAAAAGCACAGGCTTGTTTGATTATTACAACATTGTCAATATGATTTGCCCCTTTAGTGATGATTTTTTTGAGGTTTCCATTTATGAACCAATGAAAGAGAACAAACTATACAATGCTGAGCAGTTGGAACTTGTCAATGACAAAATACAACAATACTTGCCCAATGCAATGATGGACTTGCAACAGGCTTTGCTAAAACTCAACTCCCCAGTCACTGTTGACGATGTGATCAACAATGTCTTTACAGCCTTTGTGAAATTTTACAAAAAATTGAATATTATCAATGAAGAATATTTACAATACTCCTTCACTTGGTCGGATTATGACTTGGCGACGATGTTGGGTATTGAGGACCTATATATAAATGCTGTTTATGTTGAAGAGGAAGGCAACATCTCCTCGTGATTTGGAAGTTGTCCTCTTCCATAACCATCTTTTGAGTAATAATCCATTGGATAATACGATTCACTCCACATTACGTCCTTTTCGAGCATAACCATTGCCTCATATGGTGTTAAAAGTGGTTTATGGAAAGCATACCCCCAGTCAATAGATAATCTTGGACAAGCCACTTGTACAAATGCATCAATATCATCAAACATTGCTAATTTCTGGGGAAATATCTCACTCAAGATAATCTTTACAACTATTATACCTTTTTCTAACAATTTTTCCTCTAATTTTGTCAATGTTACTGGGTTTCCTTGTCTTCCCAATGCACCTAAAATCAATCCAATCTTCTTGGCTCTTTTTGAAGTAACCACTGCGTCTTTTCTTACACTAGTCATTTGCTTTTGATCGTAGTACTCTCTAGTGAATTTTTGACTATATGGATCATATCCAAAAGCGGGGATATCTGGATTATGGATCATCGAGCTTTCAAGGTGAAATCTTCCATCTCCAACATATATTGTTGCTTTAATGTGCTCTTTATTTAACCTCACCGACGTGCATCCTAATAACTCACCTTTTGACAATGGTCTAGTTTGAGGTGGGATTAGATAAATTGGTTTTTCTGCATCGTTTTCCAAGATGGACTTAACACTGTGTATAGCTGGATTGAATTGTATTGTTCCAAATATGGCAATTTGAGTCCCTCGGTCAAAATTCCTCTTTATTGTTTTGACAAGATGATCTTCGTTTATGTTGATAGTGACAAAAACGTATAATACTTTGATCTCGGTGACATCAATAGGCACAAGACACGAATGAGCATAATGAACTATAAAATCGCAGTCTAAGGAGCGTGCAGTAAAATCATCAATACAACAAGCACCATATGAAACATCACCCATCACTACGGTCTCAACTTGGCAGAATTCCTCAAGAATATCTGAAATGATGAGTGAAAATATTAATAATCCCTCGGGCATTTGCAAGGCTACTCTTTTTGCATTCTGTTTCCTGATATTCCATATCGTCTTGTGTATCTCAAAATTGTAATTCGAAGGTAGTAGACTTACAGCTTGGTTGATATCTTTGTCGTTTAATATGTCTTCTGGGATCTGGTTTAACACTCGTCCTATATGCCGATTGGGATTTACTTTCTTAATAACTGCTTGATCTTGTGACGGTGATAGAGTTGTGGGGTCTGATAAGGAAGTTGTCTTTTTCCCAACAAACCTCCTCTTTGCAATTTTTGGTCTTTCATTGGGCGCCTCGTCAATGGGACTCATAACTGATTTTTAGAGATGAGATGAGATGAGATGAGATGAGAAAGAGAAAGAGAAAGAAACAAGAGTTTAGTAGAAAATGCAAAAAACTTTTCTTTTAATAACTTGCCCAACACATTTTGATTATATGAAAGGCCCCAAAAGTAGCCTCACCAAAGTGACTATCAGAAAATGAAAATAAGCCGATATTTACTAGCTGTATGATAGTTGAAGCGGTCATTAGAGGTAAGTAAAGAGAAAAAGATAAGAAACGTTGAAAATGACCAAAAAGAGAGAAAGAGAAAAAGAGAAAGGCCTTTAAATAGTGTGGAGGAAACAGGTGGATACTTCACAAAGGCCCGATTATCGCCAAAGGGCCCAGTAATCCTCATGAACTCAGCTGTCTTCATTAACTTATTAACTTGGTGATCTTCTTCAACTCAAGGTATACATTGGTCACGTGATGCTCATCGAGCTCATCGCCAAAAAAAAAAAGAAAGTCTGGAACCGATTTGCCTAAAGGGTCATTTTTCATATCATCATCCAAAGTTATGATAACCCCATTCTTCACAATAAGTCAAGATGACGAGTTTGTATACGTTGATGTGAAGATTCTGCATATACGGTTCAGTGCTTCCAATATAGAGATGGTTATGGAGGGGGAACTTTTCATATTTTCGTTAGCACCATACTATTTACGGTTGAGACTACCATATCCGTGTGTGGACGATGAGCGCGCAAATGCAGTGTTCGACTCCAAGTCAGAATGTGTGAAAGTTAAAATACCAAAGGAAAACAAAGGACAATTTTTCCCAGATTTAGACTTGACAGCCAAGTTGTTGGCCAGAACAAACGAACCCGGGAACTTGCACCAGCTGCTGCTGGTGCCGCTGCCGCTGCCCAAGAAACCATTGATTGAAGAGTTGGATGTAGACAATCAGATTAAAAATCGTCAAGCTGAAAGAGATTTAGAAGAAGGAGAGAATTTTGATTGGGAGGTAAAGCAAGAAGTGCCAAGGAATCCTACTTTGGAAGTGGGAAGAGGTAGTGGTGATGATGATGAAAAAGACGAGGAAGGTATAACTCTCAATATCTCATCTGGGTTTAAATATGGCTTCAACAATCAATATGACGGTATTATTGGAGTCAGTGTTTCCAATGGAAATGACATCAATAGTCTAGGCGATCCCGAGGCAACCCCAGCAAATGATAGAATTATAGAGCGATTGATTAAAGAGAATATTCAATTTGATCCAGAAATTTATGCAGCCGATTATATGATGGAAAAGTATCCAGTTGAAGATGATGATAAATCATTTAAAGAGATTTTGGAATGGAAAGATCCTGCGGCTCAGGAATATGTGAAGTGGTATGCATCTCAAGCAGAATTACATGAACAGGAGCGAACTGCAGTGGTACCGGTTGAGTTTACGAAGAAGGAGCATGAGCAGATGATGAATCTACCTAGAAGATCGTACTTGATAGAAGACTCATACAAGCGGGAAGTACTAGTAAGTATGTGTTGTCTACTTTTTGCTTATCATTTTGATTTGAGAGAGACTGAAGGTGAACATAACGTTGAAAGTGCTTGGACAGTAGGCAAGATTGCTCCACAGTTTTCTTTTTTGGATTCGAAATTGATCTTGCAGAAGCATGAGAATCTCTTGAAATCGGCGATAATAACATGTATAAGAAGAGCAGTCACACTTCCGCTTCATAGAAGTTTTGAAATGTGCAAGAAGGTCTGGCTCGACGTATCCTACATTATCCGGGGGGGCAAAAGGTTAATTCTCAAATCTTTATTGGGTATGAAAGAATTGTTCAGATTTCATAGTATTTACTATGTCTATGATAAGATATGGTTAGAAGACTTGTGTTCGTACTTGATAAGTGAAAATGTCACTGAGGCTGAACTAAAAAACCTCGGTTACAAACTATGGTGTCAGTTGTGCCAAGTAAACGAATCTGAAATAACTTTTGAAAAGATTGCGAATGAGAAGGAGGAGGAGGAAGAGGAGGAGGAGGAGGAGGAGGAGGAGGAGGAGGAGGAGGAAGAGGAAAAGAAAGTAAAGGATGGACATGAAAGTATTGATAGTAATAAAAACGAAGAGGTGACGATTGTGTTGTCTCTTGAAGACATCCACAAAATGGTCGAAGAGCTGTATATAAATATTAGAAACAGTTGCGGTGAGATGAGATGAGTATTGTGTTGTATTGTGTTGTGTTGTTGTTGCTGCTGCTCATTTGATCATATAGCTAAATCCCCGACCAATTAAACCTCTTAGTCTTTTTGGATTCAGTCTCGCATAAACCACCAATGTAGCGAAACTCAAGCTAAATGCCAAAGATTCGAATCTCAAATTTTTCATGGTTGGCGTGGAATCGAAAAAAGTGCCTAATGCTTTAGGAGCTAGAATCATAAGCAAATCACTTGTTCTCTTTCCAGTCTCAAACCAAATCCCCATACCAGCCAAGGCAGCACCAATTCGTGGACCAAGTAGATCCCAGAATTTTTGATCATATATGTTTGGATGATAGTTTCTTACTAAACAAATACAAGACCATTGGATAGTTGTCAATGAGCTTAAAAAGAGAGAATATTTCACCGTTTTTATTAGCATGGCAATAGGACTTGCATACAATTTCTTTACCAATATGTATACAAACAAGTTGATTGAACCATAGAATTTGAGGGCCGTTCTGAATTGCATCATGAATTTGTAAAATGCATTTTGCAAACAACTTTCGCTGACAAACTGATGTAACACCACGCAAGGTAACTTCTCCTGAATTGTCAAATCACCCAATTTTGGATCTTTTGAGTACTTTTCTGCAAACTTGATAAAGTGGTCCTGGTGGGAAAGTTGAGAGTTGGGTTTATAATCCAAATAACCATCACGCAAATATCTCATTCCCGCTAGCAAATCCTCGTCAATATGCGACATTTTATTCAACCTTTTCAGGTATGATGGATTCAATTTCTCTGTATTAAAGAACCAGGCATCCATTAAAAAATAAATAGACAGCATCACCAATAAGGAATCGATTACTTTGCTTGTTCTACTTGGTAAATCAATAAATTTTGGAACAGTGGACGATATGATTGTGTCAAGAGCCTTTGTGACTAGAATAAGAGTCCAATCAAAAGTATAATATCGATCTTTTAAAACACGTTGCTTTTGAAATTCGGGAAAATTCAAAAGAGAAGACGTCAAAGCCGCTAGGAAACTGGAAACAAATGGAATACTCCAAGTGTTTTGTTCATTGCAAAAGGGAATAAGGATCTTGGTAAATAAAGGGTTCAAAACATTCATGGTTGCAGTTAGGCGAATTAAAAACATGGAAAGTTTATCCGATTTCAAGGGAAGTATCAATGTCTGTGCAATATCTCGAGGTAGATTCCTCACTTTTAGCTCCAAGACGCTGGTTGTTACAACCCTAAATAGTTTCGGCAACACTTCACTCAAGTACGCAACGGAAAAGATAAATATTGTGGATCTTTGAAGGAAAATAGCTTTGAAAACACGAATCGAGCCTTTCGAGATGCTTCGGATGTTAATAATTAGTCGTCTCACAAGTGCCAACACTAATGCCCTCTTTTTAACGTAAAAGTTGCGTAATATCTTGAAAAACAAATCATTCTTGTACCTGTAAACATTCATAGCTATAACGGGCTTTCTTACTTGTCTTGAAGACCTTACATTTGTCAACAAATAATTGAAACCAAACAAGTTGCAATTTGTTCCTTTTATTGTATTTGTCATTTTTTTTATTTTTTATGTTTCACTTTTCATATTTCCTTAATAAGTAATGGCTTTAATTACATGCATGTATATTTTTGATTTTGTGCAAAATGTATGGCTTTCAGAGAAAGTTGTGTTAGGTATTGTTGATGTAGAAGGTTTATGCTACACAATTTATAAGGCCCAATATCTCCCAAAAAGACTGTTTGTGTGTTTTATAAAGATGTTTCTATAACTAATTTAGATGTGGGGGGGGGGCAGAAGGATCCTCTTTGTATGAGAGATGGAAGTCAAAAATCGTATTGTTTTTTTTTGTGCAGGTTCAGGTGTGTTGCATTATTATTGTTTTTTTTTTTCTTTTTTCGCAGCCAAGTGCAATAATTTAATTTACGAGTAATTGATAGCTCCACTATGGAGCAAAGCGAGAAAGTGGAGCACACTAGCTGCCACTGACACTATACACTAGCTGCCACTGACACTATAGATAGTGTCCATCGATAGTGTAACTAATCAAAGTTGAACAAGAAGAACTTTCAACCAAATTTTCTGATTCAAAAAGTAAAACTTTAATCACAAGATTCTATTATAAAAAATTGGTATAAATTTGACTCAAAGACAGCATCTATTTTATAATCTACAATATTTCAGCAATACTCTAACCAAAGCAACTTTTGTTTGTAATAGAATATTCAACCTTCAAGTATACTAGGTGTTGTTTTGATTTCCATAAACAATCTCTTTGTGATTGTCAATAATATCTTTCTATCCATCAACTTCAATACTAGTATAGGATGACAGAAATAAATATCTCTATCAAGGACTCTATATTGGCAACAAACAACATGAAATTGCTCTTATGGCCAAGTTGGTAAGGCACCTCACTAGTAATGAGGAGATCGTAGGTTCGAATCCTGCTGAGAGCATTAAAAATTATTTTTTTGTCTCATCTCCATCAGCCTTCTTAGTTGATTTTTTTTTTTTCACTATGTCTCCTCAATTTTACATCTTTATTTCAAAATAAAAAAAAAACTGAACCATATTTGGACACTTGTGAATTGGGCACCTGTTTTTATCATCATGCTGAAAGAAAAAAAAGACGACGACGAGGAGCTTCGTAAGTTATGGGAACAATTCCAGGATTCTAGCGATGCCCTCGATGAGAAACGGAAGCAAGTTATAGAAACAATCGACAGGAATACAGGTTTAAACGACTACCCATGTAAACTATCCATAATGACTGCGTTAGACGAGCTCATTGGATGTTTTGCTTTGGGAGGACAATTCAAACATTATTATAGATACGGCTCATACGATTTGTGTGAGAAACAACGAAAGAAGTTTTGGTTTGCATTGAAACATGGGTCGTTATTTGATCAAAAAGACAAACAGGTGGAAAAGTTGAGTGAAACGGAGTTAGAGAATCAAGTTCAAGTGCAAGAATTTTACAAAAAGAGACTTTTACAAGAGAAAAGTAATGGAAGTTCAGAAGATGTATGGGATGCTAGGGAAGAAGCAAAAAGTTATCCATTTAGGTGAGACGAGACGATGAATATTTAATCTTTTTTTTTTTCTTCTTTTTCCTTTTTTTTTCCTTTCCTTGTTTTTTCTTTCTTTTTCAACATCGTTTTACCTTTGAATAACAATAGAAAAAGGGTACGTTTGTTACATTTGTTACTTATTACTTTGTTGCTTGTTGCTTGTTGCTTGTTGCTTGTTGCTTGTGCTTGTTACATTACAACACAGCTTTTCTTTCTGGGTTCGTTATCATTTGCACCTTTTGGTTTTGCATTAAGTGCACACCTGGCTGCTTCTGAGAATGCTTCGTTAACACCTCTATTCTTCTTTGCCGAGCACTCTAGGTATCTCAAAGCTCCGATTCTTTTCGCCACCGCTAACCCTTCGTCGTAAGTAATCATTCTTTTCTGTTGTGACGACGAATATGGGTTACCAGAAGTTGCCTGAAAATTCTCGTCGCTTGTGTCCTCGTTGTTTCTTAAATCACATTTCAATGCCACCAAAACTAGCTTGACTCCTTCACAGTGGTCGGCTATTTCACCTACCCACTTTGACTGGACGTTTTCTAGTGAATCTTGAGAATCCACTGAAAAACACAACATTATACAATGCGTATCGGAATACGAAAGTGATCTCAACCTATCAAACTCCTCTTGACCAGCTGTGTCCCACAATGATAGTTGCACCGATTGGCCATCAATAAATATATCGTGTACGTAATTTTCAAAAACTGTCGGCTCGTATACTTGAGGAAAGTAACCTCTGGTAAACACATTCAAAAGGGAGGTTTTTCCACAAGCACCATCCCCTAGAATCACTATTTTTCTATGAACTTTTCGTCTCGTGTTAGCATAATGACAAAAGACGTGGTGGGAAATATATATATTCAAAAAAGAATGGGCATATACATACTAGTTTTAGGAGCACTCCCACAAAATGGCATTATAAATTCAATGAATAGTACTGGATCCTAATGGGACCAAACGGCGTGGTCAAAAGAAAAAAAAAAAAAGAATACGGGCTCTATCTCTTATTCAAAAAGAACTGTTTTACTGAAACAAAAAATCTGATTATTCAACCTGATTAATTTTTTACGTGGTGTTTACTTTTATTATTTTTTGGACTTTTTTTTTTCTTTACTTTTTTGTGGTTAATGTTCCGCATGTGGATTAATCTTGGATGATGCCACACAGGTTGAGAAAAATATCTAGTGGAGCTGTATGTAGTGTCCCCCCCCCAGACATAAAGATTGGTGCTTCTTGTGGAAAGTCTACCTGAGAGTTGAATAAATATGACTTTACAGTGTTTTATTTCGAGCAAATCCATAATATATATATATATATATATATATATATATATGTGAATAGTAATTGTTTAGTATTATTTTTTGTCGATCAAGTCTTCAAGGTACATTGATGGCACGGGAGGTCTAGGTCTTATATCGTTTTGGTCAAGAGCTCCTTGCTGGTGCGGAAACTGACTTTGAGCGAGCGAGTAGTCGCTGTTGTTCATCTCGTTATCTATATACAAACTTGGCACTAGTTGAGAGTGTCGGTTCGAAGCAGGTGACGGATTCGACAAATTAGACGTTGATCCGCCAAATGCCAAGTTTGTTAACGACTGATTGTATGGCGCTTTGAATCTCTTTTGTTGCATAACCTCGGCTGTTGGGGAAATGAACATTTTGGTTAAATCGTGTTTTGAGGTTGGGGCAGCGATTTCTGACTGGTAAATGGTAGAATTATCGCCTGCCTGCGAACCACCACCGACACCTTGGTAGGCAAATGATTTATTCAACAATGGTAATTTGGAAATGGAGCCTGCTTGATGATGATTGTTTGAATATTCATTGACAAAATTACTAAGCGTCGAAGTGGGGGTAACCTTAGCAAACCCATAGGCATTGTTATTATTATTTTGATACTTCTCGTACATATGTCTATCGTATGCACTAGTTCTCTTGGCCATTCTAGATGCACTCAAGGAAAGAATCAAATGGTAAAGTATGAATCCAAGTAAGATCAGCCCAACAATAGCTCCTACCGCTATAAACACCGTACCTGATGGATTGTTTTGCCTAATTATAAAAGGATTATTGTTATTTGGGGGCACTGAAACAACAGGTGTAGTGAACGAACCTGAGTCTGTCAACGTGGGCATATCCATCGCAGGCATACCCGTCGTACTAGGGCCATCATCTCGTTTGGTCAACATTGTTGTAGCTCCCAGAAGGATAGTCGCCACAGGATCTCGCATTTATACTTGCTTGTCTAACTTGAAAGCTGATGAATCTTTGGCTCACTCTTGAACTAAATGATCCAATATATTCTCCTGATTCCTTTTGGTCCTTTCTTTTTTTTTTTTTTTTTTTTTTTTTTTTTTTTTTTTTTTTTTTTTTTTTTNCCAGTTTTTTTACTAGTTGTTGTTGACCTAATCTATGATATTCTTTTTTTTTTTTTTTTTCTTTTTTTTTTTTTTTTCTTTTTTTTTTTTTTTTTTTTTTTTTTTTTTTTTCCGATTCGTTTCTATAAATAACATGCATGTTGCTGTACTGCACAATATTTGGATCTATGATCTATACAAAAATGCAACGGTATGACCACCGAGGCAGCTAATAAAAAGGGAAGGGAAGGCGGGTGTGGGGAGAAGAGGAGGGGAAGAAGGGCCATGGCTAACAAAATAAAGACAAGACAAGACAAGACAAGACAAGACAAAATAGAATTTATCAGCATCCTCATACTGTTGTAGCTTTAAATGGACAATCAATTTCACCCAGCATACCACAAATCTTTTCTACTCACCTCGAATTGAGTCCTAAACCAGTTCCATATTTCAACACTTTCGCAGTCTTCTACTAGTCGCGGCTTATAGTTAGGGTACTTGATATTGTACTCAGTCATGTTCCAACTCTTGCAAAAAATCTTTTTTGTATTATACGGATATTCCTTTTCGTGCTCCTCCCAGGGTTTTGGAATAGGACTATCGGAAAAATGCACCAATTTGATCTTGGACAATATTTGCATTGGGTTCCACCCTTTGTTAGATTGCTTCTTGACAAAAGGTAGATATTGAGGCTCAGCCGTAAAACGCCCGTGCCATTCCTCTCGAAATTCTCCGGTTAGAACTCCATATACTCTATGTGGTAAAATACCAACATTCAAATGTCCCTTGTGCAATTCAGTATCCAAAAATTTATTCAAAATTTCCATATCATAATCGGACAGTTTTCTCAAATTCTTTCTGTTTGTAAATCTCCAATACCATGGATTATACACGTATTTCATGATCTTAGTAAATAGTCTCTTTGATGGCTTGACTACCATGATATGATTGGCAAAGAAATTATCAACGTTGCTAAACTTGTGCAGATCATACAACAACAGTGGAAGCATTTGCCAATTATTTGTTGTTGATAGATCGTAGACTAGTTTTTTCATCTTTAGCCTTTGCCTTCTTTCATCTGGAATCTCAAATTTCTGCTTGTACTTCAAAGGCGGCGCTTTTCCCTCTACAACGTTGTTCAACCAATATGCCTGAGGCAACGCCAAGGTGAGTTCCTGAGGTAATTTGAACAACTCATCTATGTGGCAGTTTCTACCAACAGGGTCTATGGCACCACCTTTAATCGATGCATTAACAAACATGGAATCAGAGTCGAAAAACACAATTCGTTCAAAATCATCTTGATTGAAAACATGCAATTTTGTAAAAGACGCCGCCCACGGCGAATCATCCATATAGTTTGTCTTAAGTAACGGCGTAGACCTCAAGGTTATGTTGTAATGGTTTGCCACTAGGTACAATTGGTTCCACACATTACTAGAATAATATTGAAGTATCTCATCAAATAGTATAACCAAATTAGGAATCTGCGTCTTTGCATTTCTTAGCTCAACAAAGTTCAAAATTGCTAAATTCAAGTAATCGTAGTTTGTTGCATATTGCATATAAGCTAGTCGATCAGTATTCTCCAATGGGAATGTGTCGTAATAATTGACCACCTCCTCCGGTAGAATTTTCAAATGACGTTTCAATGCGCTATCATTAGTAAATGCATTCTGATCTTCAAAAAGCGTATGTACAAGTACAAAATACGCTATAACAAAAAATGAAATCTTAAACTCCCAGTTTTTCAACAATGACTTCCAAGTATTACCATACTCATTCCTTTCATGCTGCATTTTATCAACCCTGAAACCCTCCTTCCAATCACCTCTTTCTTCCTTTCCTTTTCCTTTTTTTTTCAATTTCAATAAAGTCCGAATATTTTATATTCTAAAACAAAATTGACAGAAAAGGCTAACTTTAAAAAAGAAGGGAAAGGTTGCCTCACAAGGGATGCTAACACACTTTTGAGCCCACTGAGCAAGTTCAAAGGGTGTTTAAGCAAAAACAAGACATGTTGTTGGGAAAAAAAAAGAACTGCGCAAACCCGGAATCGAACCGGGGGCCCAACGATGGCAACGTTGGATTTTACCACTAAACCATTTGCGCTTGTTGTGTTAAATTGTTGAGAATCATAAAACTATTAAGATATGTATAATTGCCCTTATGAATCTAGAACCGAGAAAGAGATAGTTTATCCCTATACCTTTAATTCATTTATTCTAGCAAAACTGTTTCCTAGATATAATTGTGATTAGGGATGTATAAAAAACTTGTGTTCCTGACTCATAACCACTACTCAAGTAAAGAACCCTTATTACGTAAAAACAATGGAAAAATCTAGTGAAAGATAATTCATGGAGGAGAATTTGTCCCACACAAAATAGATCAGAAAGTTTGCATCTTCAGCGGGAACTCGGTGCGGCCAAAGAATGATAGAGAGGCTTCCGACTTCAAGAGTACTGTAGAAGGAACCTTATGTAAGGATAGCCATCAAACAAAGGGAATGCGTATGGCGGCAGAGAGTTAGGAAAAATCTCTCTCTTTCTCTCTCTCTCTCTCTCTCTCTCTCTCTCTCTCTCTCTCTCTCTGAAAAGCTGAATAATAGGCGGAACAAACAATAAAGAAATAAACTGCAGCGCATGGCATCCATACCAATGAGTTACATTATCGGGCCTCTTGAGGCCCGATATAGGCCATACAGTTTCGTGTTTATGAAGCTGGTTCAAAATCCAGCGAATACTTTTTCTCATACCTCTTATCTTCTCTTCTTCATCTCTCTCATATAGTGTATGTAGAGACTGACTCACTATTGAAACCTACTGTGTAATTTTTTTCGGAAAGGTTGATGAAAATATGACCTACATTTCCTAGCCTATTAGGACAAATTTCTTGTATTCTTTAGCAAAGGTAAAATCTCGGAAACATATTACAAGTAGGTACACACATATCTGCCAGCAAACGAGAAGGTGAGATGGGGGAGGGGGAGTTACTCGCCACTCAGCGTAACTGATAACCCAACAAACATAGCAAAACCAATATCAATTGCAACCGACACTATCGAGCAAAGCGAGATAGTGGAGCAGCACTTAGCAGCTGCCACCAACACTATCTCGCTTCGCTCGATATAAGAGATACATGGCAAAAGTTGTAAAAAACACCTTTCAATGATACAGTAACAGCATGGTTCCAGTTTATCTCATTGATGATTTCAATACTCACTTCCGGCTCTTTACCTCACCAGTGCCACCACTTCTCTCTTTTTACCTCGCCAGTGCCACCACGTCTCTCTTTTTACCTCGCCAGTGCCACCACTTCTCTCTTTTTACCTCGCCAGTGCCACCACTTCTCTCTTTTTACCTCGCCAGTGCCACCACTTCTCTCTTTTTACCTCGCCAGTGCCACCACGTCTCTCTTTTTACCTCGCCAGTGCCACCACTTCTCTCTCTTTTTTCTTCTTTTGTTCTTGTATAAAACTAATCTTTTCATTTAGATTGGGCAGGTTTTTGAGACCTGAGTAACTCTTCCTTTAACTTTTGTGAAAACTGATCTTGATTATCATCATCATCCCAGTCCTGTTCCCATAAAATTTCTTCCTTTATTTTGCTATCGTTTGACCATTGCGTTACGTCTTCTGGAAAATCCTCAAACTCATCATCTTCTTCTAAAGATTTAATATTTTTACGATCCTCTTGTTCGGATTCAGAAACTTGATTCTCTTTTGCAGCTGACATTTTGGACTGTAGATTAGTAGTAAGTTTTCAACCTAGCTCTCTAAATTTGAATCTATAGCTTGGTGCTTAGTATAAAGGTTCTTTCTTTTCGTTTTTCTTTTTCTACAATCCACATTTTTTTTTTCTCCCTCTTGTACAAAAGTTCAAAAAATTTTCCACATATACTCAACCTTTGTCAAAAGTGCCTTTGCCAACAACTAGCTCATTCTTTTTTTATAGTGGTAGTGAGACAAAAATGCTTGGAAGGCTTTTGTTTCCAAAGATTCTTGCCTTTGAGATTAATACTACAAAGACGTTAGTACGAAACGTATCTTATTTAGGACGCTTGAAACCAAATGATGGTTCGACCAAAAATTATAAACGTTTAGGACGTGGACCTTCTTCAGGAAAGGGTAAGACTGCTGGACGTGGGCAAAAGGGTCAAAAGGCAAGAGGGAAAGTGCCCATTTGGATGGAAGGTGGACAGACACCCTACTTCAAGCAACTTCCCATGGTTGGATTCAGTAATAAACACAATGCAATGGATTTCCATGAAGTGAACTTGAGCAGAATTCAGGATTTATGGGACACGGGGAGAATACCTTTGCAAGCTGGAGAGACTTTGACAATACGAGTTATGAGAGAATGTGGGCTCATAACGGGCTCGTTAAAGGACGGAGTAAAACTTTTGGGGCTGTCCTTGGGTAAATATACTGTCCCCTTGAACATAGAGGCTTCAAAGGCAACTACTGAGGCCGTTAAAAAGATTGAAGATGATGCAAAAATGTCTTTTACAGCAAGGTACTTTACAAAATTGGGATTGAGAGCTCATGTGAATCCCGCCAAATTTTTATTGAAAAAAGGATATGTGCCTCAACAAGCAAGGCCAACCAGTAAGAAAAACATTGCTTATTATAGCGATTCTGAAAAAAGGGGATATTTAATCAAGGACAAATCGATACTACTTGAACCATTGGAAAAAGCTAGGGAAGAAACAAAAACGGCCAAACCGAAAAAGAAAACATCTAAATTCAAGTCCTTATATGAACAATTAAGCGAGGCATCTTCAATCGGCTACAAACCAACAAATAGAACTGTAAATATTCAAGAATTAGCTTAAAAGACAATTTGAAAAGCCATGTTCATTCCAAGTCAATGAACAAGTGCAACAAATTTTCGACAATTTCCTGCAACTCCGATAGCGTTATTGGGTGTCTCTTTGAACCTGGTTTCTTGACATTTGTGTCATTGTACTTTCTTAGCGAGAACAATGTTGCTCTTTGCGTCATCTGGTAAATCTCTTTTATTTTGAGTTTTTCATTAACTGACGTAGCCAGACTCACGGACAACCCACGGATCCTCAACCCTGACAGAATAATTTTGGTCACTGCGGTATTGATTTGTTCAGGCGTCGACAATACCAGCGAGTTTGAATGCTTCTTCTTCTCGTTCAAGATGAATGGATTTGGCTCTAGTCTTTTTTCCAATGCTTTATCAAAGCTTTTCAATATTGCTTCATTAGGGGCTTGTCTATCGTTAGTGATAAAAGAGTTTAAAGTATATTTCTTATTTGCTATGAATTCTTGAACGGTTTCCAAAAAATTGAAATTTATAGTAAACGATTTAACTTGCAGATCATCATAATAAAACACACTGTATTCACCCTCTGTAGCCCCTTTTTTTGCAAGAAGACCAAGACCAATTTGATTAATCAATGATTTCTGAACCAACTTTCTCTCGAAATAGTTGCTCGTATTAGTATTATTGGTAAATATTGAAAACGGACGGCTACTGATTAAATATACGGGGATCTTGTCGTAGCGAATATAGGCAACAAATGTTAACAAGTCTGTTTTAAACAGCGGAATTTCCTCTTTATTATCTGACCAAAATTGAATATCACCTAGACTCTCATTTTCATCAGCTAAGCGCGCATTAAACTTGTGATTCATATAATTGAAACTTGTAAAGAGGTAACCATGATGATGTGGAGATGAAGGAAAAAAAGATTTAAAAAATATCGACACTATCAACACTACACTATCGAGCGAAGCGAGATAGTGGAGCACACTAGCTGTCACTGACACTAGCGACACTATCAACACTACACTATCGAGCGAAGCGAGATAGTGAAGTATACTAGCTGTCACTGACACTAGCGACACTATCGCCACTATCGCCACTATCTCGCTCTGCTCGATAGTGGAGCACACTAGCTGTCACTAACACTATCAACACTATCGACACTATTGAGCAAAGCGAGATAGTGTAGCACACTAGCTGCCATCGATTTTCTTTTTCTTCTTTACTGTTTCGCAGATATATCTTGATATCATGTTGGTATATCACCAAGCAACCTATACCATACTCTTTCCATACAACCACATCATATTGATGAGCTCCTCACATTATATTCACGAGCCTCTCACATTATATTCACGAGCCTCTCACATTATATTCACGAGCCTCTCACATTATATTGATGAGCCTCTCACATCGTATTGATGAGCCTCTCATCTATATTACTACACTTGATTTTCTTATCTATATTTCTACACTTGATTTTCTTATCTATATTTCTACATTTGATTTTCTTTTTCTTGTTTATTCTTTTGCCTTTTCAGTATATATTGTCGATAGTGTCAGTGACAGCTAGTGTGCACTATCTCACTCTGCTCGATAGTGGCGATAGTGTCGCTAGTGTCAGTGACAGCTAGTGTGCACTATCTCACTCTGCTCGATAGTGGCGATAGTGTCGCTAGTGTCAGTGACAGCTAGTGTGCACTATCTCACTCTGCTCGATAGTGGCGATAGTGTCGCTAGTGTCAGTGACAGCTAGTGTGCACTATCTCACTCTGCTCGATAGTGGCGATAGTGGCGATAGTGTCGCTAGTGTCAGTGACAGCTAGTGTGCTCCACTATCTCGCTTCGCTCGATAGTGTAGTGTCGATAGTGGCGATAGTGTCCAAACAAAAAAAGTAGTGAAAAGCAGGTGGATTGGGCGATGCGTAAAGTACGCGCCATAAATACCGTGGGATCTCCAACTTATATGTCTTATTGATACTACACAATTTTAATTAATATACCTTATTAATACTACACAATTTCGCACCGGTTTCTCTCTCTCTCCATCTCTCTTTAAAATATACTACTTTGTGAGTCTTTGAAAAACATCTCGGCTCTTAAACATTATTACATTCACCCCCCCCCAGAGAAAAATTAGACACGACTAATTTTATGTCACATTGTAAAACAGAAATTTATGAAAGAACATGGTCGATATACGTCCACTTGTTTTTTTCTTCATTTTCTTTCGTATTTGGGGAAGACTTTAATAAAGAAGAAAAAAAGAAAAATTGAGTTTTGAAAGTATTAAGGTAACACATTAAAGCCACTAGGATAAAATTTTGAGCCTTGAAGAAAGATAAAAATTTTGGGCAGCCTTAAAGAAAGAGAAAAATTTTTCATCTTTGAAAGAAAAGGTATAAAAAGCAAAGAGAGTTTAGAGAGTGAGATAGAGAGAGAGAGAGAGAGAGTGAGATAGAGAGAAAGAAAGTGTGAGAGTGAGATAGAGAGTGAGAGAGTTTGGAGAGAGAGACACGGGTTTGATAGAAAATTTTCGAGGCAAAATGACTACTAGAACGAGAGTATACTCGATAGCCAGAGTATACTCTGATGTGAATAACACCAAGCCGTCAGAATATTGGGATTACGAAAACCATAAAATCGTATGGGGGGATATAAAGAATTACGAAATTGTTAGTAAAATAGGACGAGGCAAGTACTCGGAAGTGTTCCAAGGGCTAAATGTCTTGAACGATGAGCCGTGTGTGATCAAAGTGTTGAAACCTGTAAAGTTGAAGAAGATTTTTCGAGAAGTGAAAATATTGCAGAATCTAACAGGCGGGCCGAATATTGTTGGATTATTGGACGTTGTTCGAGATGAACAGTCTAAAATACCTGCGTTGATATTTGAAAAAGTCAACAATGTTGATTTCCGGGTCTTGTATCCGAAATTCACAGTCAAAGATATTCAATATTATTTCACACAACTATTAATTGCACTAGACTATTCTCATTCCATGGGAATAATCCATCGAGACGTGAAACCGCAAAATATTATGATAGATCCAATGAACAAAAAACTCAGATTAATAGATTGGGGGTTGGCAGAGTTTTATCATTCAGGTATGGATTATAACGTGAGAGTTGCTTCGAGATATCACAAGGGCCCAGAGTTGCTAATAAATTTGCAACAATATGATTACTCGCTCGATTTGTGGTCTGTTGGGTGTATGTTGGGAGCAATAATTTTCAAAAAGGAGCCGTTATTCAGAGGCGATTCCAATAACGACCAATTAGTCCAAATTGCAAAAGTCTTGGGAACCGATGGGTTGATGAGGTATGCAAACAAATACAGTATAAAGTTGAGCTCGGATTATGATGATATGTTGGAGAACTACCCCAGGAAACCTTGGAAAGCTTTTATTAGTAACGAAAACCGACATTTGATAAGTGAAGAGGTTTTGGATTTGATAGACAAGTTACTTCAGTATGATCATCAGCTTAGGCCGACAGCCAAGGAAGCCATGAATCATCCCTTTTTCAAGTTGCAGTAACTTAGAGCCAGGAAAGTATATATATATATATATAGGTAAAAATTAATTGTTTTCTTTTTTTTTCCTTTCTTTCTTTTCTTTTCTTTTCTTTTCTTTTCTTTTTGGAAGGAAGAGAGGGGTTGCAAAAGGATACCTTTTAGTGGGCAACCGTTACTTTAGTGAAGGTTCTGTGGAGTTAAATTTTGACAGAGCTTCAACAAGAAGTAGTGATATCGGAGTTGAGGAAAGGAGAGAGAGAAAAAAAAAATTAAAATATTAAAGAAGCAAAAAAAAAAAAAAACAAAACCATAATTAGTTTTACTTCAGCGCACCCCATGTCAGAAGAAGAGCCGCTAACGTCGAATGTGCGTCCCGCAACCGATGCGCTTATAACCGTGAGAATTATTAAATCCTTTCCTTATCGTAATGTGAAAAATCTAATAATCAAAGACATTGATTTGAAGAGCACAACACCTGCGCAACTTTTCACCAAAGTGATTACGGAAATAAATACTTTAGGAGCATTTAGGCCTTTTAGAAACGTAGTTTATGATTCGTTAAAAATATACTCTCAAGCGCATGGATCCAAGTCTATGAATTTGGTTATTAATTTTGATAACGACAAAGATTTGGTTCTTTTAGAAAAGGGGGAAAGTATATCGGATAAGGGATTATGGGACTTGGGAGTTCGAAATGAAACCGAGATCAGCATTTTCAATTGGGAAGAATATATCGAATATAAGAAGAATCCTAAAGAGGAATGGTAAACACTATCGAACAACACTCTCGAACAACACTCTCGAGCAGAGCGAGAGAGTGTTGTAACAAGCTACTGAGTGCTGCTCCACTTTCGAGAAACACTATCGAGAAACAATACCTCGCTCTGCTCGCTAGTGTTGTTACAAGCTACTGAGTGTTGCTCCACTATTACAGTTTATAGAGAGATTTGAAATGATATAAGCGATAGAAAAAATAAAAATTAAACACTATCGAGAAACAATCGCTCTGCTCGATAGTGTTGTAAGTGTTGTTCCACTATCGAGAAACAATTGCTCTGCTCGATAGTGTTGTAAGTGTTGTTCCACTATCGAGAAACAATCGCTCTGCTCGATAGTGTTGTAAGTGTTGCTCCACTATCGAGAAACACTATCTCGCTCTGCTCGATAGTGTTGTAAGTGTTGCTCCACTATCGAAAAACACTATCTCGCTCTGCTCGATAGTGTTGTAACAAGCCACTGAGTGTTGCTCGATACTAGAAGTTAGTTAAAAAAGACTCGAGTGAAGCGGGGTCAATTATAGACATTTTGGCATATAACAGTTATTCAATTTTACTAATTCGTATCAAAAACTTTTTTTCCTCACTTTCCATTCTATTCGCATTTCAATTGTTATGTATCGAGTTATTGTTTTTAATATAGTTGTGCTTTTTTTTTTATAGTGTCGTCAGTGTCAGTGTACTAAGTGCTGCTCCATTATCACTCTCCGCTTGATAGTGGAGCAGCACTCAGTAGCTTGTTACAACACTATCTCGCTCTGCTCGATAGTGTCGATAGTGGAGCAGCACTTAGTAGCTTGTTACAACACTATCTCGCTCTGCTCGATAGTGTCGATAGTGGAGCAGCACTCAGTAGCTTGTTACAACACTATCTCGCTCTGCTCGATAGTGTCGATAGTGGAGCAGCACTCAGTAGCTTGTTACAACACTATCTCGCTCTACTCGATAGTGTCATAATTACTGTCGCAAACGTTTTCAAGACACATAACTAACGACGTCTCTAAATTGTCAATAACGATTTTCTTTTTTTTTTTTTTTAATAGTAAGTTATTACATAATAATTTTTTTCCCTAATAACCAATAACAGAGCTTGTTTTATAAATTTGATAATTTTCTACCTATGAAAAATACCTGCAACTACCAAGTGTATTCAATAGGATGCCAAAAAATTCATTCCTCTCTCGATTTCTTTCCAACTAAGTTTTGAAAAAAAAAAGTGCTACTACGTTTTGTAGATATTGAAAAAGAAGCGGTAAAAGGAAGACCCATTTGCCATCAATAGTTTTCCAGTGCGGTACAAAAGCCCAGATATTCATCTCAAAAAAAAACGGAGCAGTGGTTTTTTCTTGTGCAACTGAGTTTATTAGGGGGTATCATACAAAGCAAACTTGTTTATAAACTTACTTGAGATATAAGGTTGAAGAAGTGACATTTTGAGACAAGGTTCATATATCAAAATCATGTTTAGATCGGCATTCAAAACTGCGAGCCAACCTTTGGTTCAGAAATTCATAGCTGGTGGTGTTGGTGTAAGCGGGTTGACTGCGTCGTATTTATTATACCAAGACTCAATGAGTGCTAATGCCATGACAGCGGCAGAACACGGATTGCATCCTCCGGCATACAACTGGCCACACAATGGTATGTTTGAGACCTTTGACCATGCTTCGATTAGAAGAGGTTACCAAGTGTATAAAGAGGTTTGTGCAGCATGTCATTCTTTGGAAAGAATTGCTTGGAGAAACTTGGTTGGAAGCTCTCATACCACATCCGAGGCTAAAGAAATGGCTGAAGAATTTGAATACGATGATGAGCCAGATGACGAAGGTAATCCGAGAAAAAGACCAGGTAAGTTGGCAGATTACATACCAGGTCCATATGCAAACGAACAAGCTGCTAGAGCTGCTAACCAGGGAGCTTTACCACCAGATTTATCATTGATTGTCAAAGCCAGACACGGTGGATGTGATTATATCTTTTCTTTATTGACCGGTTATCCAGAAGAAGCACCAGCGGGAGTAGTATTACCAGAAGGATCTAATTACAATCCATACTTCCCTGGTGGTGCTATTGCGATGGGTAGAGTTTTATTTGATGACTTGGTGGAATATGAAGATGGTACACCAGCTACAACTTCTCAAATGGCCAAAGATGTGACTACGTTTTTGAATTGGGCATCTGAACCAGAACATGACGAGAGAAAGAAATGGGGATTGAAAGCTCTTATAGTGCTCTCGTCATTGTATTTATTATCTATCTGGGTAAAGAGATTCAAGTGGACTCCAATCAAGAATAGAAAGTTTAGATTTGACCCACCAAAGAAATAGACAATTGTTTTTTTTTTTTTTGCTAGAAAGTAAAGAAAGAAAGCAACCAATCAAAAACTCGAGGAAAAATTTTATAAAGTAGTTGACACATATATGATGCTGCCCTTTCCAGAAATTTTTTATTTTTTGCAAAAATGTGAAATAAAAAAGAATCCTTTCCCTCTTCTGTAAAGAGGAAGAGGAGGGGAAAAAGAACAATCAGAACAGATCTTAATTCATATATATACATATATCTATCTATAATAGCGTACTCACTTGATTTGTATAATGTATGCACTAAAAAGAAAAAAAAAAAAATTTGAATTATATCATTTTACTTTATTTTATTTTATTTTTTCTTTTCGCTTTAAATTGTCAACACACGGGAAAATTCAATTCCTACATAATAATATCCAGTCACGTGATACATTATTGCCTTTTTTAGTTTTAGTTTTAGTTTTTTTTTTTCGGTCCGGCTAAATTTCGGTGAAACTAACCCTCCACACGACTAGATGATTTTCAATGTCAATTATACAATTTTAAAATCTGTAAAACGAGAGGTGGGTTTGTTAGATTAAAGGAACGAAATTATTCACTTGTTCCTCAATAAGTATACGCCTCTTTTCTATTCTTAAGTAGGTTATAGTTTTGTTCTTTTTATTTCTCTTTTTTTTTTCTTGCCCGCTTCGAGTGGGATAAATGTCATGCTCCCCCACCCTCCTCTTTAATTGATGCTCTAAAAAAGTTTTCGGCGAAATGTTGGCCTGAAAAAGGTATACCCACTTATTCTATTTTGAGACAGAGGGAGAGAAAAAAAAGAATGAAAATACAAGAAAAAAAAAACATATATAAAAGATATAAGAGTAGCAATAATAACAATTATTTCATTTGCTTCAATCTTTCCTCTTAACGAACATCTGTACGTTTTGATTTTGGTGGGTTATTAGGTTTTCTTGCTTACCAAGTGAAAAGTTCTTTTTCACTTTTCGTTCCTTATTTCTCTTACCTAAGACAAGGTTCCCCTTGTATACACTAGGCGGTACTAAGCAGTCCCCTTGAACATAATAGGCAGTCCTCTTACCACTAGGCAGTCCCCTTACACACTAGGCGGTTCCCATCATGAAATCAAATACACCATCCAAACCCTCACAGAGCCAGAACGAAACAAGAGTTTTCGAAGCAGATATTGCTAGTCTGTCTGCTTCTGTTGCATCAACAACCTCGTCAAATGCACTACTATCGAAATCAGGAATCAACACCTCTTTTGAGTCTACCTCAGTGCAAATCTCCGAGTCGGATTCACGACCTTCGAGAACAGTGATTGTTTTAGCATTGGTATCGTCGATTTCGGGGTTTATGTTTGGATATGATACAGGATATATATCTTCAGCCTTGGTTCAAATAGGGACAGACTTGTCAAATAAAATACTCACAAATGGAGAAAAGGAGTTCATTACTTCTGCAACTTCTTTGGGCGCTTTGCTAGGGGCAGTGATAGGAGGTATATTGGCCAATATGATTGGAAGGAAACGAGTTTTACTAGTTTCAAACGTTATATTTGTTGTGGGAACAATTGTCCAATTGGTCTCGAAAACTGTTTGGACAATGATTGTTGGTAGGTTTATATTGGGATGGGGCGTAGGAATTGCGTCCATGATTGCTCCTTTAATGTTGTCTGAGCTTGCACCTTCAAAGTATCGGGGCAGACTAATTGTGACAAATGTAATGTTCATCACAGGAGGTCAACTAGTTGCTTATCTCATAAATTGGGGATTAACTCGTGTTGCTCACGGATGGAGAGTATCTGTAGGATTGTGCATGGTCCCCCCCGTTCTACAGTTTGTTTTATTTTGGTTTTTACCCGATACTCCAAGATATTACGTAATGAAAGGAGACGTGGTAAAAGCCAAGGCCGTATTGAAAAAGATTTATAATAGTCCTTCAGAGGCTTTCGTGGACGCCACGATTGAAGATATGATGAATTCCAACTCAACTATTTCTGGCCATAGCCCATTGCACAAGGCTTGGGAGTCCATCAAAGTTGTTCACACTTCTCCCGGAAATTTTCGTGCATTGATTCTCGCATGTGGACTACAAGGTATCCAACAATTTACCGGTTTCAATTCCTTAATGTACTTTAGTGCAACAATTTTCGAAACAATTGGATTTAACAATCCAACAGCCGTGTCGATAATAATATCCGCTACTAATTTTGTGTTTACTGGAATAGCACTTTGTATCATTGACAGGGTAGGCAGAAGGAGAATTTTACTTGTCGGGATGCCGTGTATGTGCATATCATTGGTGGTTTGCGCAATAGCGTTTCACTTTTTGAACGTGGATTTTTCCTCGGGAGTTGAGATAGTTACAAGAGGCATAAATGGATGGGGGATTGTTGTTATTATTGGTATGATTTTATATGTGGCATCTTACGCAGTTGGAATAGGTAATGCGGCATGGGTTGGTGTTGAATTATTCGCAGATGTGAATGTTCGGTCTATTGGTGCAATGTATGCAACAGCTACAAATTGGGCAGGATCCTTAGTGATTGCGTCTACTTTTTTGACCATGTTGCAAAAGATTACACCCACGGGAACGTTTTCATTTTTTGCAGGTTTATGCTTAGTTTCATTCTTTTTTGTGTATTTCTTATTACCAGACACAGCTGGTTTAGAGTTGGAGGAAACTACAAACTTTTTAGCTAATGGTTTCAACGTGAACCAATCCATTGCATTATCGAAAGCACGAAAGAAGCAATCCAAATATGCAAAACCTGTTTCTGCATGAAACAAAGAGAGAGAGAAAGAGAGAGAGAAAAAGAGAGAGAGAGAGACCTATAGACCCCGATTCCTTTATTTATTCAAGCTCAACTAGAAAATGTTTGTTTTGTTGTTTTCCAATATTCAATTCTTCAAGAAAGGATTGCTCATACTAATTAAGTTTTGTATAGTTCTTATTTGTTTGTAGTGTAAACCATACTTTTTGAAATAATCAATTATCTTATATTAAGCGTTATGCATGGAAAAAAGAAAGAAAAGAAAGCCCATTTCGTGCCTATTTGCTCTCGAGTCAGTGTTGCACCACTTTCTGGTCCTGCTCGATAGTGGAGCACGCTGACTAATGACACTATCGAGCAGAGCAAAATAGTGGAGCACAATGACTAAATACAACACTATCACGCTCTGCTCGATTGTGTTGACTAGTCAGTCAGTGCTGCTCCACTATTTTGCTCTGCTCGATAGTGTCATTAGTCAGTGTGCTCCACTATCTCGCTTCGCTCGATAGTGTAGTTAGTCAGTGCTTTTCCATAATGTCACATTAAAGAACAAACGCTTTCTCAAGCATGGAAAGCATTTTCAATAAAGAGCGAAAAAAAAAAAGGAAAAAATGCTTATCAGAGAAATAAAAAATCGAGTTTGTAATTATCAGATGCCTTCTTGGTAAACAGGACATTCCACAAACCTCTAACCAGAGTCAAAAAAAAAGGTATAAGAAGGTATGTCAGACTACAAGAATCAATCTGCTACAGCTGATAAGGGTTGCGAACTGCTAGTAGTGGCTGATGGTGGGGAAGAAGAAGAAGCAGAAGAAGAAAAACAAAAAGTGCTAAGCGGCGGGTCGATACAAGAAATGTCAAGATTAAAGGACTATGAAATTATACATAAGTTAGGTCAAGGTACTTTCGGTGTGGTGCAGAAAGCGAGATCAAAGGAAACAGGAGAACTTGTTGCTATCAAACAGTTACTAAACCATCTGGCGAAAGAAGGGTTCCCTATAACGGCCATGAGAGAAATAACCATTTTGAAGCAACTACATCATCGCAACGTGATGAATATCAAAGAAATGATTTTTGAAGAGGCCCATGTGGCAAACCCATCGGACTTGGTATCGCAACGAGGATCTTTCTACACGGTGTCGCCTTACATATCCAGTGACTTGGTGGGCATTTTGGAGAATCCCAATATAGATTTGAAGTTGGACGAAATAAAATGTATTATGAAACAGTTACTCCAAGGTACACAATATATACACGAACAAAACTATTTGCATAGAGATATAAAAGCGGCAAATATATTAGTCGACAGTAATGGAGTTTTGAAAATTGCAGACTTTGGTTTGGCTCGAGTATACCATGGAGACGTACCACGACTAGGAATGGGGCCTGGAGGTGGCGAGAAAGCTTATACAGCGCTTGTGGTTACCAGATGGTACAGACCCCCAGAAATCTTACTTGGTGAAAGGAAGTATACAACCTCGGTTGACCTCTGGGGTATTGGATGCGTGTTTGCCGAATTGTTCACGGGCAAGCCGATTTTGGTGGGGAAAACGGACGCACATCAAGCACAGCTTATTTTCGAATTGGTGGGACTGCCCAAATCTTGGCCAGAAGCGGCAAAGCTACCGAATAAGAACGATTTCAACATTGGTTTGAATTGCAATCGAACCTTGGAAACGAGATTTGAAAAAATAATGCCCCCATCAGCTATTAGATTATTGAGCGGGCTTTTGACATTAGATCCGTTTAAAAGATTCAACGCGTTGGATGCGCTTGACCACGATTTTTTCAAAACTGAACCGTTACCATTGAGTCCAGAGCAAATGCCGCAGTTTGGAGAGTGTCATGAAATTGATAAGGAAAAGTTTTCAGCATTGCGAAACACAGCACGACAAACAACAAAAAGTGATCATTACGCTACACAAGGCATCACTGATGACCCGCGCCAAAAAAAGCGCTATGAGAAAAAGGTTATCAAGAACGAGGCGGGTGTTGCTAGTAATGAGCATTATGGGAACTTTCTGATTACACACGGACGAGACTCACCACGAGGATACAATGACCCCAATAACCAACACCGGTACGTTGCGAAGGAGCCTGTATCTCAAAATGGTTACAATTTCAGAACAAAGCATAATTATCGAGATGAGGGTGCTTCATATTACGATAATGAATATCACGAGGAAAAGGAATACGAGGGAGATTACGAGAAAGGCCATGAGTACCAGTCCGGAAGACTGAGGTATTCGAAATCATCTCTGTATGATTATGTTCCCAGGAATCAGCAGTCACTTGCACTGCGGCGGGGTCAGGGTACACATTCTAGATCGCTAGGATCCTCTTTTTATGATAAGCAGATGCGGTACACAAACCGGGAATCGACTCGAGATGAAAATTCACATGCACGATCAAGGAACCCTAATAATTACCAACCAGAAAGGGAATATATTTCAAGATCGAGAATGGATTTTCCTTCATTTTCAGGTAGAAATCGTTTTGAACAGCAAACAAGTAAATTTCCTCAAGATCCACCAGTAAGATCTGCTGTGGGAAAAGGAAAGATATTGTACAAGAGCGCTAACTTTGACACTGTAAGAAATAGACCAGAACCGCTGGTTGTTGATAGTGCTCTGCTGGGAAACCGACATGATGGCTATGAGTGGACAAACAAAAGAGGTCCATCCACTCGTATAGGTGTGACACCGCATGATGCTGTAAAATCTAAGGAGACTGACTTGGAAATCAAGGCGAATGATTTGCAGAGCAACAAGGATATAGAATATGGTTCGGAAGCAAAAGAAGGCTCTTTTGAAAAAACTGATACAAAGAACTCCTTTTTTGAACAAACTGAGGAACTTCGGCTGATGAATGCTAAGTCTGTAGACAAGAGCCCTCATTCACATCAAAAATCAGGAACAAGTGAAAATCAAAATAGATCTGAAGGGAAGTCAAGGGTAAGTACATTGACTAAGGATCAAAAACACTTTTCTGAAGCAGACACAAAAGCAAAGTTGAATGATTCTGAAGAAGTATTATCGGTAGCAAAAGGAAGCAGCAGGAAATATTCGTCCTCCATTGTTACCAGAAACAAAGCATCAGATGTTACCGGACTGTTCCTACCAAAAAGCGGGTCAGCACCATCGATCGATGAAGCATCAAAAAATGTGAAATCAGAAAATTCACCAAGCGTGGCCAAAACTACTTCATTGAACCCACTTACAAAGTCAACAACCGGTACTTCAGTAAGTTCGAAACTATATAATAACAAACTAGCGACACATACTCCTGATGGTATGCTGCACAAACCAGCAAGAACGGAAGGAGTTGTTGAAAATGATATAAACAAAAAGAGGTCCCGCCCAATCGGAGAAGAGCCATCTTCATGTTTTCTACAACAAGCAAAGAAAAAGCTAAAAGCAAGTGCTACTGTATATGTGAACAAAGAAACAGTTAAATATATTCTGGAGCAAGGCAGTGATCTAAGCGAGTCCGAGGAATCAGCTGAAAATAAAAAGAACACTCATCTTTTAGATGGATTTTTGAGAAAAGAGGAGCTTATGAGGGATCCAAATTTTAGAAAATTTCAGAATGAGGTTTTGAATTTCAATAAACTGGTGGATCACTGAAATGTTTCAAATGTGTAAATATATAACCCCAGTGTCTTTTTTGTTTTTTTTTCCTTCTTCTTAATAAAACCTTTATTTTTCTTTCTTTTCTGGAAAAGAAAATGAATTCCGATTATTAGGAAAAAAAAATCTAAGCCTTGTTAAAAGTATATTTCTAAACGGCCTTAAGAAAAAAAACCTATCTCGTTTTCTTATTGTCTTCTTTTTTTTTTTTTAATATTTTTCCCTTGTCTTTCACTGATCTTTTAGATAACTTTTTATTATGTTACTTTATTTTTTTTTTATCTATTCGATCAGATCCGTAAGCTTTGGCAACAACCACCTCAAAAAATGTCAACGCTTGAGGATTACTTTTCCATCAAGACATTTCTCATAGTGTTTAGGGAGTCCCTAGAGACGGCTATTATTATATCTGTTTTGTTATCGTTTTTGCATCAAACTTTCAAATCAACTGAAGAAGGCGCAAATGAGGTACCAGCTGATACTTCAAATCACTTGTATGAAGCAATAACCAACGAGCCAGTTAGTTCTTCAAATGAAATCAAAAAGGATGATGAGCTTTACAGGAATTTGCAGATGCAAATTTGGATAGGAGGACTGTTGGGACTTTTAGTTTGCATGTTGGTAGGATGTGTGATACTTGGTATATTTTACATTGTAGGAAAAGACTTGTGGACTATTGCTGAACATTATTGGGAAGGGACTTTTTCCATTTTGGCAAGTATAATTATATCTGTAATGGGAATAAAAATCTTACGAGTCAGCAAAATGCAAAAGAAATGGAAGTTCAAATTGGGACAAGCACTAAAACAGTCAAAGCATTTTGGTGGTACTCAAGATCAGCTGAATCACGGGGAACTGACGACATCCTGGATGGATAAAATAAAAGCATTGCTCGAGAAGTATAATATGTTGATTTTACCATTCGTAACCACTCTAAGAGAAGGACTTGAGGCTATTGTATTTATTGGTGGGATTGGAATTAATGAAGAAACCTCAATGTGGGCAATTGCAAACTCTGCGATTCTGGCAATAATAATGGGCTTTCTTGTTGGTTTTGTTTTGTACCGCTCTGGAAATACGTTATCATTGCAATGGTTCTTGGTCATATCCACTTGCTTTTTGTATTTGGTTGCTGCTGGACTATTCTCCAAGGGAGTATGGAATTTCGAACTACAGCAGTTTATCAACCAATGTGGAGGATTAGATGTTAGTGAGACTGGGCACGGACCAGGTTCATATGATATTGCCAAAAGCGTGTGGCATGTAAACTGCTGCAATGGAGAGCTTCAAGAAGATGGCGCACTTTGGATGATATTGGCCGCCGTCTTTGGCTGGACCAATTCTGCAACGTATGGAAGTGTCATTGGCTACAATGTATACTGGATAATTGTAATCATCACTTATACCTCATTATTATTTGAGGAGAAAAACGGATATTTACCAATTGTGCCCATATCGTGGCAATTGCAACGTATCACTAAACGACTGAATTTGTATAAGCCTTTGGACAGAAGCGAAGTGGTTGAGGGAAATGATGAACTTCAACGCCAAAGTTTAGAGTCTGTCGATTCGGGCACTCCATTACAACGGTCGTTTTAATTGAATAATCCATTAAACTTTGAGATTTGAATAGCTTAGCGCAAATATGTCAAAAAAAAAAATTAATCACACTGTGTTTTTTTCTTTCTGACCAACAACATCCAAGTTTTGGTTCTTGATGAGTGTTTGATTTTTGGGTTGGAAAAATTATTTGTATCCTACACTTTTTTATAGCAATGGTTGATAATCTCTATAAATCGTTTCAGCATGTTATTTCTACTAGTTTTTACAATAAAGAATTGGTAGAAATAAAGCGTGTGTGCTGTGTACATCTCCAATTTATCCCTACTAAACAAATAACCTTGTTTTTAATATTGCGAAATATTTGCTCTTTCCTACCGAGCCAAATGTGTAATAATAATAATTGAAGGTTTTTTATCGGCTGCTTCAAAGCTTTACAGTCCAATATTTTTTTTTTTTTTCTTTGAGCACCTTTTGAGAGGGACCCAATTGGCTTTGACAGAGTACGTTGTGACAAAGAATAATTTGTAACAAGTATTTGCTACAAAAGCGGCTTTCACCACCTGTTCTTCCCTCCCCCCCTCCTCCCTTTCCTTATTTCTCTCAATTTCCTCTAGAAAAAATTGGTTGTGCCTGGTATATTTTAAAGTAATCTAAATCTGGGATCGACAATTGGTCAAAAAAGTCTGCGCCTATTACCATAAAAAAAAAAAAGAGACGAGAGAACAATGCTATACAAAATACGTTCTAGACATTGTGATGTACTACCATTAAATGCATATTTTTTGTTGAAGATGTAGATTAATCTGATATGATCAAATAGTCATTTAGGTCAAGTCGCCTTGCTTAAATTTAGCTAAGTTTCCTGAATTAGTTTAAGTTTAATCACTTTTACATTTTTTAGCGCAGTATGGCGTTTTTCTTAATTAGAAGCTATGCATCGCATATTCTTTCATGTTTAATAACACAAAAGTCACATACGCCTTTTTTTTTCCACTCCCGTTCCGTTCCTCTCCTGTTCCCCTCCTGTTCCTCTCCTGTTCCCCTCCTGTTCCCCAACCGTTCCTCTGCGTCCCCTGTGTCCCTCTTCCCCTAACAACATACTTTTTCCCCGTGCGACTCCACTCATATCTCACTTGTGAGAATACCACTTGTACCTTTCGTTACATTTTTACCCACATTCTGTTTTCTTTTCCCTTTATTCTTCTCATACTGAAAAGAAATTTATTAAGCAATTTTTTTTTTGTCAACTCCGAAAGCTTAATTAATACTCAGAAAAAATATCAAGTGAAATTGGCACAAACTTTTTATTTGAGGTTTGGTTGCGAAAAGTAGTAGTTTACAAAATGATCTATAACAAACACAGTATACAAGGGGTTTTAGAAGTTTCTTTTTTTTTTCTTGACCATCATTCCCTTCATTTAGTTTCCTTGTCTGTATCTTAATATCATCTCTTGATTGAGCTTTTCTTCTACACTATCCCGCTTGCTGTCAATACTTGAACTCTTTGTTATCCACAAAAAAGTCTGGACTAATCAAAAAGTGTGACAGTGGCCATAGAGAATAAGAAAGCATTGAAAATGAAGGATTATTAGTTGTTTCACATTGTTAAGGTACGAGAGAGCCTTAATGAATAAATTGATGCTATTAATTTGGAGAAAATAACAATACAAAACGCCGGCAAATGCATCGATTGGTTATAACTCCAAATAGCTGCTTGGTTAATGTTGCGTTTTTGTGTGCAGAAGCATCTCAAAAATTTCATCTTCATTACAGATTCTTGTACTCTTTTTGCTGCTCATAACGGAAATTACGCAAAATGCAAAAATATGTTTCAAAAATATTTTGGCTGGCATTTCATTCTTAGCTGCAGTGTTCTTGTAATATATAGTTATCCTAGCTTGATACTACAACGCTACATGCTCAAGGGGCTACACGCATCGATCAAAAAAAAAAATCTTTATCTATTCCATCAGACAATTTCTTGGCTTATGTACATTACTGATTGATTATAATGATTCTTCACCCTTTATTTTGCTTCTGTTGCTAATTGCATTTGTGTTATAATTTCATCCAATGAGAAGTGCCTTGTTATATGGGTACCGGCTCAGTTCCGCATGTAGAACTGTTTTCCCTTTTCACAATGCGTTGAAAGATCTCCCATTTATCATATGTGATACTAATTTAGTCTTCCTAAATCGATTTTTTTTCATAACCAAGGTGGTTGGATTGAATAGTCACCTCTTTAATATAGAACTCATGTATAGTTTTTTTTATCACTTCATTGCCATGCAATACAACTTGGCAGACCAAAATCCAGAAAAATCTGCTCGTTGCACATGACTGCATAAGAACGCTCTTGTAATCATACTCAAGCGCTGTTTTCTTTGCCATTGAAAATTGCTAAATGCCTTTGTGAATGTGCTCAGGTTAACGTTATAAGAGAGAGGTTCATGTAGTAATTAGAAGGAGCATGCAACATGTATTCTCCATATGTATTTATTTTTTCATATGAGCTGTTACAAAAATGACCCAATCAAGGAGTAACAAGGTGCTCTTTATTGCTGTGTTCTGCAACAGCTATTTTTCTGGTTTTTTTTTTTCCATACTCTCCATTCTTTTGCTTGCAAAATATGAGCTGATACCAAGTCACATTCTAACAATATATCAAAGCATCCTTTTCTTTAAATGGTTTACAAAGGAACTTTTTGTTGAGGTTGCTTTCATATGCATGTGAAGAACAATGCTAATCATAAATTGAAAATGAAGAATAGTTAGCTCTGGCGTTTCCTTTCAAAACATAATAGTTATTCTAATGGGAAAAAAAATATTTATAGTTGATCTTTTAGATTACAAAAGTTTCATTTTGTGAAACTGTTTTTTGCAAAGTTTGTGTAACCTATAATTCCAATTATAATATTAGCCAGACACTCACATATTGAATTGAATATTTGACTGCAAAAAAACTTTCTTTAATCTGATTTGCTTGAACCATAATAGCGTGATACAAATGAGTTTTCTCTCTCTTTTCATTTACGATCTTTTAAGATATGATCAGCCCTTTAAAGTAAAGATACACCTTCTGTGTATTTTGAATAGTATTTGTTACAATATCTACTTCAACAAACTGAATATCGGTCTGTAACATGGCCCTGATCTACCCGCAAGCGAAACTTAAAAAAAAAAAAAAAAAAGAAAAAGAAAAGAAAAAAAGCACCTCCTCTATGGACTCAATTTCTATTGTTTTTAGTAAAAAATAACAGGATGTACGTTATTCCGGATGGCATTTTCATCCTTAATGAAACCGTCCAGATACCTATATAAATATGAAGGTTCCTACAAACTATTCGGAGGTAATATATGCATTAATCAATTAGCTTTCAACAATAAGGGCCCACTCCAAAGTAGCATTAGAAAAAACAGCATATGTGGTCAAAGTCGCTTTTTCAGTTGCTTTTGTTGGTTCAAATAGTTCCATATGTTGCAGCTTATGGGACCCCTTTTGCATTCAAATTGTCAAAAAGATATTATTCTGGCTGTTCATTGCAAATAAAAAATGAAGTGACAATTTGTCTGCCTCGTAACAGTACATGCACATGCACAAACCCCAACTATTTGGCAACGTTGGCTTCCTGCTTGGAATTCGCTGGAGGTGCAAGTAAAGAAAACATTAAGCCGTTCATAGATAGTTGTAAAGAAAATAATATTACGCTTCCAAGTGATTGGTTTGCAAATGCTATCCTTTATTATAATGAGAATGCCAGGTCAGCATCTACTATACCTAATTTCAACCAATCCAAAAAGATTGATTACCCCTTTGTTTTGAACAAAAGCATGACCCCACTTTACCAGGAATCATATAGAAGGTTTTTTGGTAACTACGATCATTCTTTATACTATGGAGCAGGTTTGCTAGGATTTTGGTTAGCTGTTATGGTTTTAGGGGGTATTGCTAACTGGAGTAAGATACTTTTCCCAAGCTTCACTAAAAAATTGACCAGTCCGGTAGTCAATTGTTGGAGAAAACATGTTACAATGCCTGCCACATTTGGTAAGAAGAAAATGCAAGACCAGACGTTCTTGAGATATTTTGGGTTCTTGATACCTTCGAGATTCGAATCTTTAGTGATTGCCTTGTTCTATGGAGCTACCATACTATGCAATGCACACAACATGGAAGCAATTGAAGGTGACCCAGTTTTCTATTTCAGCAAATATAAAGCAGAACTAAGATATGTGGCAGATAGAACTGGAATAACTGCAACCATGTTTATGCCATTGATATTTTTATTTGCCGGAAGAAACAACTTCTTGCAATGGTTGACTCGCTGGAATTACAGCACGTTTCTCGCATACCATAGACATACTTCTAGGGTCATGTTCATTTTAATAGTCATCCATGCGGCTTTGTTCTCCTATTTGGCGGGAGAGTATTATAGTTCATCAGTCATGAAACCATATTTTTACTGGGGAATCATTGCAACTATTGCTGGGGGTCTCATCATGATTCAAGCAATGTTGTTTCTCAGAAGAAGATGGTACGAGATCTTTTTACTCTTGCACATCGCATTGGCTGTGCTCTGGGTAGTCGGTGCTTGGTACCATCTTGTTGAAATGGGATATATACAAATGGTATACCCGGCAGTTGCAGTTTGGGCAATAGATAGAGTTGTTCGGGTTGCACGTTTGGTCAGCTTTGGGTTTCCCAATGCTGATGTGACATTGTTGTCGGACGAGACATTGAAGGTTGTTATTCCAAAACCAAGCTACTGGCGCTCGATACCAGGAGGTCATGCATTCATACATTTCTTGAAACCAACATACTTCTGGCAGTCTCACCCATTTACATTTACTGACGCTGTTGATAAGAAGGATTGCATTGTATTATTCTGCAAAGTCAAGGGAGGTATCACTCACAGTTTATACCAGTTGTTGGTGACTGCACCTGGAAGAACATGCAAGATCAGGGTTGGTGTCGAGGGACCATATGGTGAAGCGACTCCTGCCAGATACGCAGACACCGCTGTGTTTATTGCAGGTGGAAATGGTATTCCTGGTATCTACTCTGAGATAATGGACATTGACAAAAGAAGCACACAAAAAGAAAGGAGATCATTGAAGTTGATCTGGGTTGTCAGAGAATGGAGGTCGTTGTACTGGTTTTATGAGGAGTTAATGAGCCTAAAAAACACCAGTATCGAAACAACAATATACGTAACTCAACCATCGTGCCATGACTATGTTGAAAACTTTGCATACAAGCTTACCGCAATGGACGAGATATCAGAAAAAAGTGCCGACTGTTGTGAGAAACAAAGCTCGATAAAGGAAGTGACAAAACTTGAAGAAAGCTCATGCGAAGAGAAATCTAATAAACATTCAATTATTGAATCTACCAAAAGAGAACTATCACATATTAGTTTCAAAGAAGGAAGACCTGACATTGCTGAAATTGTTCCACAAGAGATTTGTGAATCCAATGGTTCTGTTGCATTCGTAACCTGTGGTCACTCTGTCATGGTTGATCAAATACGTTACTATTGTTCTGAAAATGTAGACAACAAAGAAAGAAAAAGAGTTGATTTTTACGAACAAGTTCAAGTGTGGGCTTGATTAGAAGAAACTTATTGCTTTTCCTTGAAGGGAAGAGTTCTTATTTATTATTGTAAGTTTCATTTATAGTTGTAAAGCGTTACTTTGTGTAAGCTGAAAAGAATAGCTTTTTGTTTTTTTTTAAAAATTTTTCTCTAAACCATAAATAAAATAGATGAAAAAGTTTTTTAGCATCATCAAAAGTCTTTGTAAAGACTGTTATCCTCTAGAAAAATAACTAAAAAGGCTTTACTGAAAATAGGGGTGGGGAGGTGGGGGGTGGGGGAGGCAAAGAAAGGCAGTGGAGCACTTGTCATTTAGTTTTCTTCTTGGTAGAAAAGGTTGACGAATATCATATGTATTGTATGTACTGTTTTCATAGCCGTAAATATAGCGACACCTCCCCATAACCTTTAAAAATATACAATGCAAGGAAAAAATTATTCTCAGAGTTACAAGATTCAAAATTATTAGTTTTCAGATCTTTGCTTTATCCCCCAACCTACAATGAAGTTCTCACCTCTAGTCAGAAACGATCTTCAAGATTGAAACTACTGTAAAAAAAAGAGTTGATTTCTACAAACAAGCTCAAACGTGGGCCTGAGTTGTGTGTAATTGTGGGCGAAAGGCTTTGATTGACTTTAAGAAATTATTTGCTTTCCAAATATTGAGAGTTCTACTTTAATCAGTTTAGTTGTATGTTTTGGTATCATTATCATTTTATTTTTCAATATAGACAAATCTCATCTTTCAAGTGAGAAAAATTCATCTTCCTAATGTGTAGCATAAACAACCACAATATATTACTAGTTATTGTTGATAGGACTCATCAAAAAGTCTTTGACAACAAATGAAACTAATGCAGTATTGAGCCCTACCGCTGTTCTAACTTGTACCATCATAATTTGCTAAGAGTTTGTACAGAAGGTTAACCTTTGGAGGTATTTTTCTGTACTCTACACGACTTTACCCCCTTGCAACATGCATGCATGCATTTTGCAACCTTTGTACATGACTCGCTTTACATACAAAAAATTGGTTGAGTGCATTACACCCTCATTTAAGTTAAGTCGAAGCAACTACTTTATTGGAGTTTTTCTTGATGGGTATAAACTACAAAAAGTATTGAAAAAGCTTGTATCTCAATTCAGTGTGCTTTTATTCAGTCCAAATTGCTTGTTAAAAAGTCTCTCGTTTCCTACTTTTTACTTTCGCAAAGGACTTCATTTTTATAGAGCAAAGAACTTCATTTTTATAGAAGAAATAAAATAACTCTTTTGAGTTGGACCATGGTGAATGTAAACATTGCACTTGAAAAAGCCATCATATCAAGCTTGACACGTTTTAGTGAGGAAAAATAAGTAATGTTTGACAACACTTGAATTTTTATTTTTCTTGTTCTTTTCTTTTTTTATGGGTTATCATTCAATTACCAAACTAGAGGGTGTGTGGGGAATGGGGGAAGTAAAAAAGGAGGGACCTGACCCAAACCAAGAGAGACGTTTTGTGATAGTGATAATGCATTTTGCTTACTATCGTAATATATACACCCACATAAATGTAAAATGTGACTATTATTCTAGATGACGAGTTTGTTGAAACTTTTGGCAATTTCTCATGGTTAAGTGTTCTCCTTTTTTTTTTTTTTTTGTTTTCTTATTATTTCACTTTTTTGGAGAGATTGAATCAAGTGTAGTTTTGATAAGACGAAATCTGGATCTCATTCACCATAAATAATGTTGAAACTTTGCTGTCACTAATGTTTTTCATGATGAAGGGCTCTAGCGAATCAATCAATCAAAAAAAATGAAGCTCATTTCATTGGCGGTTTTCTTTTTGTTTTGGAACATGCTACATGCATCGTTGAGAAACTTGGCGTATCCAAGGTATGAGTATATGAAATTTGCCTATGCTTGTAACTTACTAGTCAATGATAATGCTAGGTACTGTGAAAGCATATCACCTTATAATACAAACCATACATGCCTTTGCAACAATCCGAACTGGCTTGCATCCGTAATGGGTTGTCTTTCATATGGAGAAAAAAACACATCAAAGTATTTGAATGGGTTAATTAGATATTGTATGCTCAATGGTAAAGTTGAATTGTCACCAGAGCAATTAGCAATAGCGTATCAGAATTATCTTTCAAATACCAAAACTGTTACTACTACTGCCAACACCAACACCAATACATCCAAGATAATCGACCACCCCGTGGTCCTAAATTCTCAAGACAGCAAGTTATACAGAGATGCTTATGATAAGTTTCTTGGCAACTATGACGACTCGGTTTATTATGGGTTAGGTATATATGGCTACTTTACAGTTATCTTTATTATATCTTCAATTACTAACTGGACGAGGTATTTAAAACCAAGGACAATCCGAAAATCCACATCTCCTTTTGTTAACTTTATTAGGGCAAAAATTACTGTGCCAGCCTTGATTGGCAAGTGCAAAACCCAAGCAAAATCCCTTGGTCGAGTTGAGTTTCTCATACCATCGAGACTTGAAACACTTGTGCTTTTCGGATTCTTGATCGTTGTTGTTATTATGGTGTTCACAAATACAAACACTATCGAAAACGACCCTGTACTAGGTACTGAGACAGCTGCTCGCTTGAGATACGTTGTTGACCGTTGTGGTATTATGTCAATTATGATGATGCCGTTGGTTTTTCTATTTGCAGGAAGAAACAATATTTTGCAGTGGGTGACTAGATGGCAGTATTCAAGGTTTGTAACTATACATAGATGGACTGCAAGAGTTATGTTTTGTTTGATTATAGTTCATGCATTTGGCTATATTAACTTGATGGGCAAATTCTTCATGCATGAACTAACAAAGGAATATTTGCAAGCGGGGACATTGGCAGCAGTAGCTGGTGGAACAATGCTCATACAAGGATTGCTTTACTTGAGAAGAAGGTTTTATGAACTTTTTCTTTTGTTACATATTGTTTTGGGAATGGTATGGCTTGGGGGGATTTGGATTCATGTGAATGAATTGGGATATGCATCTTTTGTCTACCCAGTTGCAGCTGTGTGGCTTTTGGACAGATTTATTAGATTAGTCCGTTTGTTTCTTTTTGGCTTTCCCTTGGCGGATGTTACTTTGGTCTCAGATGAAACGGTGAAAGTGATTATCCCAAGCCCAAGATATTGGGTAGCAGCAGCACCACCTACCAGTTACGCTTTTATTCATTTTATTCGTCCCGCTTGCTTTTGGCAGTCACATCCATTCACATTTATAGACTCTGTTGTAGAAAATGGATTTATTCACTGTTATTGTCAAGTCAAAGGTGGCATGACTAATGGTTTATATCAATATTTGGCAGACCATCCAGGAAAGTCAGCAAAAATCAGAGTAGGAGTTGAAGGACCTTATGGAATTAGTACACCAGCAAGTCATGCCGATTCATGCATCTTTATATGCGGTGGCACTGGAGCTCCCGGTGTTTTCAATGAGGCGATAAGAATGAGCGATGTTGCTGCCCACAGTATAAAGATGGTTAAATTTATTTGGATTGTGAGAGAGATCAAATCGCTCCAGTGGTTTTTCGAGGAGTTACGGATATTATCAAAAACAAATATCCATGCTACTATTTACATAACGAGACCGCACACCTCTTGCAATGGTAGTGATTGTTCTGGCCCAGTTGAAAAAAAAATTGAAACCAAGCAGTCTGGGGAAATATACAGAGACAACGTTTTTTACTCTACAAAAACTAATAATAGTAATCAACTATCCTCAGAAATAGCCAGAAAGGAATTAAACCATATTAGGTTTATTGAGGGAAGACCAACAATTTCGAAATTAGTAGCTTTTGAAGTTGATCAATGTCTACATTCGGTGGCATTTGTTGCTTGCGGCCATCCCTTGATGGTAGACGATGTGAGAAGTGCAGTTGCTCAAAACGTGAACAATGCTGGCCATAAACGTGTTGACTATTATGAGCAACTTCAAGTATGGTCGTAAGTAAAGTGAAACTGAATACATACAAACATCTTTAACAAACTCTATGATTATTGATAAGTCCTTTATATAGAAGGAGGAAAAAAAAAAATTAAATAATCTATAGGCACTATTTGATATCATTGAACATTTCATCTACCGATGAACCAAGGTAGATTTTCAACGTTTTCCTAGTTGCTGGTAGAATTCGACATTTTACAAGTACTTCCTTACCGTTTTCCTTGCTAATTTTGTCATAAGCTTGAAATCGATGACAACCACCAAATGCAAAATAATAATTTTTGCCTTCTTCTCTTATTTTAAAAACATCAATTGGAGGAAGTTCTCCACCTGTTATATCCTCTATTTTACATGTAGCAGATTCCATGGGCACACCCTTTAGCGTGGATACCATAGCATCTATTTTCTGGTGATCTAGTACTGGTGGAATTGGGCGTCTTATTTCATGAAGTGGTACAAGTTCGTCTTTTAACCCTCTTGTTTGAATCGACATGGTGAATTACTTGTAAACCAATACAGAGAGGTATATTAAGAGATTGGTGCCATTTGAACACATACTTATATATATACATGTGCAAGCAATTTTGCCCTTATCTAACAATAATTGTAAGCAGATCAGCACTTCCAGAATTGCTACCTTATTAGTAAAGAAGAAAACGAGCGTGATAATCACGTGACATGTCTTAAGGGGGACTGAGACTGAAAACAGTGTAAACAAGGAGGAAGATAATGAAGAAGAAAAAGAAGAAGAAGAAGAAGAAGAAGAAGAAGAAGAAGAAGAAGAAGAAAAAGCAAGGGAGTAGAAAGCAAAAGTCTGGTTCTGAAATTAAGCCAGCCTTGCTGATTAATTTCCATAATTCAGGGACATGAGTAATGCAATACTGGATTTATGCCTCAAACACACACACGGGGTTGGACTCCACATCCCGATATTCGGGATTGGTAGCAGATTTTAATAAACTCGATGTGTTTTTTTTTTTTTGGGTTTTTTTTGGGTTTTTTTTTCTCGGGTATATATAACTCCGAAGCAACTACCAAAAAAAGGGTCCTTAATATGATTGTCTTTGCAAGATGACCTATAAATCCGTTAGCAAGTTATGGCCGATATTTGTGATATAGTTTTAATAGAAAGTTACCCGAGTGTAACAAGCTACTAAGTGTTGCTCCACCATCTCGCTCTGCTCGATAGTGATGCACACGGGATTTTATCTTCCTTTTTTTTTTTTTTTCTTCCATTTTTTTTATCTATTTCATCAGACAGATTTGTTGCACACTAAAACTAATTCCCTTACTATAGATCAGTCATATTTACTGCATGCAGTTTTTTCCCCTTCACAGGATATAAGCTCACCCCTTCGTTTATGGAAGAAGCTCTTTGATAAAACTTGAGGGAAAAACTTTTCTTTTTATTTTATTTTTTTTTTTCTTTTGTTGCTTATCTATTTGATCTACAATATCAAATGACAAATATTAAATGCAAAGAAATATTGTGACAAAAACCAACTACTTTAAATACACATTCTACATTAGCTTTTCACTGTTGTCTTTTTATTTTGGAGTAGCTTTCGATGTATGCCCCAGCACTATACGTTGCAATAGGGTTGCTAATTCTACTATTCCCACTTTCAATACAAATCAGATCCAAATCTATACTACATAATCGACTAAAAAAAGCAATCAGTTTATGCTTTCTTGTATCTGCATTGATTGCGATTGCGCCAGAAACTGCTCAGATTGGAGCTCCTTTCCATAAATACGGACAATCCAAAATTGCATTTTATGGATGTAACTATCAAATACAATTAACGAGAGCAAAATTCTGCAATGAAAATAGATCGTTTGAATGGTGTTATTGTAATAATTTTAATGCCTTTTCTACAATTGCTCACTGCTACAAAACAGGTCATGAGAGCCAAGTAGATTCCTTATTGACAATGTGTCAACAATACAATAAAACGATTGGTTTAGACATTTATCGGAAAGCTACTCTTTACTATGACACTCATGCAAGATCAATCGAAAATACTGCAAACACTTCCCTGTTGATAACCTTCCCCGTTAAACTCAACGAAACCGAAACGCATATATTTGAGCGTGCTTATCAGAACTTCTTGGGGAATTTTGATTTGTCGGTGAATTATGGGGCGTATTTGGTACTATATTGGGTTGCTGTCTTTTTTCTTGCAGCTTTAGGTAATTGGTCCAAAATCTTGTTCCCCGGATTACAAAAGAGATTGACAGATCCCTTGACTAACTGGTTTAGAAAAAGGATTTCATTACCTGCAACGGGGAAAAAAAACAAAGCCAATCATCACTCATTCTGCAACTGTTTGGATATGTTGGTTCCTACACGAGCAGAAACCTTAATTATCCTAACATCAGGTGTTCTTTGTGGTTATTTTTTTACAGCAAACATACTGTATGTTGAAGGAGATCCGTTATTCCATACTAAGACGCTAGCATTATTGCGCTACTACGCCGTTCGTGCAAGTATACTTGCAAGTTCCATGATGCCTCTACTTTTACTTTTCGGAGGTAGGAACAATTTTTTACAGTGGTTGACTAGATGGGACTATTCAACATTTATTGCCTTGCATCGGTGGGTGTCGAGACTTGTAGTGGTGTTGATACTCATCCATTCTGCAAACTACTCATTTTACTTGCGGTTGAACAAACTGATAGTACACAGGTATGTTTATTTTGGAGTTGCAGGAACAATTGCGGGAATAATAATAATGGTTCAGGGTCTTTTAGTACTACGGAGGAGATGGTATGAAATTTTTTTACTACTACACATTTTACTCGCCGCCGTCTTCATATTTGGTGCTTGGATTCATGTTGAAAACTTGTATTGTGTATGGTTCTATTGGGTTTCGGCTACAATTTGGGCGTTTGATAGAATCATTAGGATATGCCGACTTTACTCATTCGGGTTTCCATATGGAAAAGTATACTTGATGTGTGATGAAACACTAAAAATAGTAGTTGCAAAACCAAGAGATTGGGAAGCCGTGCCTGGAGGACACGCGTTTATACATTTTTTAAAGCCAAGCTGTTTTTGGCAATCACACCCATTTACATACATTTCTACTGAAAACGAACTTGTAATGTTTATTAAAGTTAAGAAAGGCGTCACTTTGGCTTTGGCAGAATATTTGAAAACACACAAAGATAGATATACACAAATAAGAGTAGCAGTTGAAGGAAGCTATGGAGAGACAACACCAGCAGGCAAATATGATAGTGCTGTATTTATTGCTGGAGGCAGCGGTCTGGCTGGTATATACTCCGAGGCATTAGATTTGACGAAAACGGAGTCTCAACGCAAGGTCAAATTTATATGGATTATAAGGGAGTACAAGTCGCTTTTTTGGTTTTATAAGGAGTTGATAGCATTGAAAGATACCAAGATTGAGAGTACTGTGTATATCACGCGACCTAGCATTCCTATAGAGCGAGAAGATTTTGAGCTGCGAATGGGAGTACTGGAATTTTTGGATGAATGTAACGAGTTGACTCCAGCGGCAAAACAAACACAGAAATACATCAAAAGCAATAGCCAATTTTGTCAAGATGAATTTTTGGATGAATGCAACGAGTTGACTCCATTAATTACAGCGGCAAAACAAACACAGAAATACATCAAAAGCAATAGCCTATTTTGTGATGATTTTTTGGAGAAAATAAAGTCTGAACTACGGCACGTTACATTTATAGAGGGCAAACCTGACATTGAAAAGTTGGTACAAACTAACATTGAAGAGTCAAAAGGCTCTACAAGTTTCGTTACATGTGGACACCCCGCCATGGTTGATGATATTAGAGCATCAGTTGTCAATAATATTGCCAATGATGGAAAAAAGAGAGTCGATTATTTCGAACAATTACAGGTTTGGGCATAGATCGACACTAGCGAGCGAAGCGAGATACACGACACTAGCGAGAGAAGCGAGATACACGACACTAGCGAGCGAAGCGAGCTAGTGGATTAGCATGTAGAAAGGTTTGGAGCGCTTCGCTCCCTAGTGGAGTAGTATGTAGAGAGGTTTGGAGTAGCATGTAGAGAGGTTTGGAGCGCTTCGCTCCCTAGTGGACCAGTATGTAGAGAGGTTTGGAGTAGCATGTAGAGAGGTTTGGAGCGCTTCGCTCCCTAGTGGACCAGTATGTAGAGAGGTTTGGGGCGCTTGCAAAAATTATTAGATTCTATCGAGCAGAGATGGAGCATGCAGATATTATTAGATTGCTATCGAGCAGATGGTGGAGCATGCAAACATTATTAAATTACTATCGATCAGAGGGAGTAAAAATAAAAATAACGAGGTGATCAGGTTCAAAGTGAATGGTAATAGAAGTACTGCAAAAGATGGCATGATTCAAACAGATACCTTTATACGACTCCCAGGAAATTGTGAAACAAAATCGAGGGCATCAGTAATCCGTCAAAGAACCAACAAAAACTCGAGGGACAGACCATGAGATGATTTTTTTTTCGGTTCCAACCCTTGGCAAAATCTTGGCTCCTAGGCTACTTGTCTGTATCTTTCAAAGTTTTATTTTTTTTTGGTCGCTTTCAAAAATTTTATTTTTTTTTTTGGTCACATGGTCTTTTCGTAATTACGGATTTTGAACGAGGCGCTTGATCGCAAGACCTAAAATGTAATGTAACAGCCTAACAATTTTGCATTTTTCTCACACAAAATTTTTCATTTGATCAAATCAACCCTTTCATTACTCAAATTTAATTCTGTTTTGAAAACTATTGCTAGCAATATGGTAAAATGTTGGATTGAGTTTATTAACTAAAAAACGTTACTTGATCAAGAACTAGAGGGAAATGAAAGAGAGGGAACGGCGGGGAGAAAGGAGGGGAGTGTTAAAATATACGTATATTTTTTTTTTCTTGTTTTTACTTTCCTTCTTTTCCTTCATTTCTTCTATCTTTATGCCAGACTTTACAGTTTTGGCTTTTGAAAGCTCTTTGTTGCATTGTGACTGACTCTCTTTTTTTATTTTTTTTTTATTTTTTCCGGAAAAAATAAAAAATTAAATTCAAATTAAATGCAACACTTTAGATTTTTTGTAGATCTTCCCACTCGTTGATGATCTAGAAAAAGGCTTCCTTTGGCTTGGAACTTTTCATAACATACAACTTTGTTAACTTAAATTATACATCCAACAGCAACAGTAACGGCAACAACCGTTAATCGTAATTGCAATCATGTCCCCACGCATGACATTTGTTTTGTTTTGTCGATTATTCCGGGGGAAAACATGTGGGGGGGGGGTGGGCCCAGTCAATGTTGAAGCCGTATTTTTTTTTGTTTTTTGGGGGCAAGACAAATAATTTACCCGGAAAAAAATTTTTTTTTTTTTTTTTTTTTTTTTTTGCAGCAATTTTTTTTTTTTTTTGTTGCAAGTGGAACATCTAGAAAACAAATACGGGTTATGTGTTTCATTCTTTTCTTTTGCTTACTGCACTTTTATTTTCGTTACTGCACTTTTCTTTTCGTTACTGCACTTTTTTTTTTTTTTTATCTTAGCTTTTGGTCATTTAGTGTAAGAGGTAAATAGGTCATTTAGTGTAAGACGTAAATTGGTAATGATCACCAGAGACGAGAAACTTGTATCGAGTGTTGTAAAAGAAAGAAGTAGGTGGTGTGTTTTTCTTTTTTGAAATGCCTGGGGAAACAAATATCAAACCAAGGTATAAAAACAGTGTTAAAGTTTTCTTCAGTCGAGTTTATAGCTTCATTCTTTTTCTTTCTTGTTTTTATTCTTTCAACAATCAAGTTTTATCAAATCGAAAAGTAATATAGTTTAGCTCTAATCCACTCATTCATCCCCTCACTTCAATAGATATGACTTTAGTGGAAGAGAACCAAGGCAAAGGCAGCCTCAATGATGGAGAAATTACTCCAAAGGCCGAGTCAATCACTAACAAGGAATCTCCAAGTTTACAAAGTATTTCTGATGACATTATTATCGACAAAACATGGAAAGATTACATCTTTATCACGATTTTATGTTTATTAGTCGCTTTCGGTGGATTTGTCTTTGGTTACGATACCGGTACAATCTCAGGTTTTGTTAATATGCCAGATTTCGTTGACAGATTTGGTGAACTTAACGATTCTGGTGAAAAGTATTTATCCGATGTCCGTACTGGTTTGATTATTTCCATTTTCAACATTGGTTGTTGCATTGGTGGTTTAGTGTTTTCAAAAGTTGGTGATAAGTATGGAAGAAGAATTGGATTGATGTTTTCCATGGTTATTTACGTTATTGGAATTGTTATCCAAATCACATCCCTGTCCAAATGGTACCAAATCAGTCTTGGCCGTTTTGTCACTGGGTTATCTGTTGGTACCGTTTCAGTCATTGCACCAATGTTCATCTCCGAATCCGCACCAAAATTGTTGAGAGGAACGTTGGTTTGTTGTTTCCAATTGTGTATCACATTGGGTATTTTCATTGGATACGTTACAACTTATGGTACCAAACAATTGAACAACTCAAGCCAATGGAGAATTCCTTTAGGTTTATGTTTCCTTTGGGCTATTTTCATGACTATTGGTATGTTGTTTATGCCTGAATCTCCAAGATATTTGGTTGAGAAAAAGAGAATTGAAGATGCCAAAAAGTCGATTGCAAAATCAAACAAACTTAGTGTTAATGATCCTTTTGTGTACTCGGAATTGCAATTGATCCAAGCAGGTATCGATAGAGAGGAATTGGCTGGTAATGCATCATGGAAGGAGTTGATTACAGGAAAACCAGCAATTTTCAGAAGAGTCATTACTGGTGTCTCCTTGGCCTCATTACAACAATTGACCGGTGTAAATTACTTCTTTTATTTTGCAACCACCATTTTCAAAGCTGTTGGAATGAGCGACTCCTTTATTACTTCAATCATCTTGGGTGCCGTGAATTTCCTTTCCACATTTGTCAACATTTGGGCCATTGAAAGACTTGGTAGAAGAGTGTGTTTGTTAATTGGTTCCGCTGGTATGTTTGTTTGTTTCATCATATACTCAGTTCTCGGATCAGTCAACTTGTACATCACCGACGAGTCTGGTGAGGAAACAACTGACTTGACTACAGGAAAAGCTATGATCTTCATTACTTGTTTGTACATCTTCTTCTTTGCTTCAACATGGGCTGGTGGTGTTTTTACCATCTTATCCGAAATTTATCCATTGAGAGTCAGAGCCAAGTCCATGTCTGTTGCCATTGGTTCAAATTGGCTTTGGGGTTTCCTTATCTCATTCACATCATCATTCATCATTAACTCAATCCGTTTCTACTATGGTTTTGTGTTCACTGGTTGTCTTGCTGTTTCATTCGTATTTGTTTACTTCTTCATTATGGAAACTAAAGGATTGAGCTTGGAAGAAGTTGACGAGTTGTATGCGCAACGCGTATTACCATGGAAATCATCTTCATGGGTCCCACCTTCGGCAGAAGTCATGGCTACTTCTACTGGCTACGCTAAGCCAGTTCACGAACACGCATAAAAGAAAAGAGAGGATGGTAAAAGGTAATTGAACCTTATCCACCACCCACCACCCCTTACTACTGTTCTTTTCTTTTTCCAACCTTTCTAATATATTAAATGTATATCTAAAATAGACAAAAACCCCGTGCATTATTGTTTGACATGAGTTTAATGAAAAGGATAAGTTATATTGAAACTTTGAAACCAAAAAAGGTTATTAATTAATTAATTATATAGTAATACAAAAATTGTTACCATTTGATCTTGAATGTAACTCTCTTTTGGAGAATCTTGCTCTTTTGAGTTTCCCATTCCAATCGAATAGCCAATATGCAACTTTTTTTGCTTCATGGTAAAATGTTTGTTCAAATCCAATTGATTCCATGATTTTCAAGAGTTGGGTATTATCGAAATATCTTGAATTTGAAACACAAGGGAGTGGTAATACCAAAAACAAACTACTCATAATCAGATTATCATCCTTGGGCTCCTTTAAAAACTTTGTTATCCTCTTCAACATCTTGCCTCTTTCTTCATGCGAAGGAACAAAATTAAGAACTAAGGAACACGAAATCAAATTGAATTTCTCAGTTTTGTTTTTTGGTAGGGGCCGCTTCATAAAGTCTTGTTGTAAGATTAAAGGATCCTGTGAATTCAAATCAATCTTGATGACGCTTGTGAAAATCCCACTTGTTGATATAGCGTTTCGAGGACTCAAACACCCAATTTCTAATGCAGTAACATCATTGCCTATCTTAAAGGCGTATTTCTCAGTGCGCAACCATTCAATTAATTTTTTTGAAGAGTCTCCACCTCGCTTACTGGTTTGGCCCTGGGCGGACGCTGTTTGATACTTTTCTATGCCTCCACGTTGTTCTATCTCGGAATCAATTTTTGCAAGAATTTCAACCAAATCTGATCTGCTCAAGGTACTATCAATTTTGTATATCTCATTATCACAATACTTTGCCGGTATCTTGAAACTGTTAAATGACTCCCTGTATAGTTTATCCTGTTTGATAACCTCGTATTTACACCCGCTAATATCATAAAACTGTCGTAATCGCGTTAATATCGCATGCTTATTCTTTTGCAATTGATGAAATCGTCGTATAATTTGTCGAGTCTGTTGAGGCTTGAGACTTTTCCCAGTACGTAAGCCACCACCATTATTTCCAGTAATTGTTTTTGCATGATGTAACAACCCCAATCCTCCTCCTCGTTTTCTTTTCCCAGTCATCAAGTCTATAAAATTAGAATAAGAACAATTGTATTATACTATCTCGTATGGAGAAGAGATGAACAATTGTATTATACTATCTCGTATGGAGAAGAGATGAGATGCTTTTTTTTTTTTCTCCTTTCAACTCTTATATTAATCGACTAAACTTGTTTCGTAAACCTTAGCAAATATATACATATATATATCTATATATATACGTATGGGTTTGACTTTCAATATACTTGATAGATATGTGGTCATCAAGAAGAGATTTTGAAACTATAACAGTTGTGATTACCTTTCTTATCCTATTAACATCCTCATTCTTACTTGGATGAAATATTGGGTGCAAAAAAAAAACCCCCGGAAAAATTAATGTTGCATTTTACAAAATGAGCCAAAAAGAAAACTCATTTAATTTTCTCCCAACCATCAAAAGACACTATATGACTAAGGTTTGCAGATGGGTCCGGATTAATCTAGCATTGTCAAAAGAAATAAATTGAACGTTTGAAACTAGATAATCATGGCTAAAGTGGCTCTTTCCACTTTTATTTTATTGTAATGATTAAGAAATATATATATATATATATGATGTCACGTGACTTTCACTTTTTTTTTCATCTCATCTCATCTCATTCGAGAAGAGAAGAGCTTTGTCAATGCTTCCACAAACAGGTTTAATTGCAGTAATATTTTTGGCAACGAACTAAGAGACTTGAGTCAAGAATGGTACAGAGCAAGGCTAACAAAAAGAAGAATCAGGCTCACAAGGTTGGCAAGTCTAAACGGAAGCCAACGTTGAAACAAAAACTTCAAAAGGAATCTAAAGTTGTCAAGATAAATGATCTAGCATGGAAACCAGTGGAGATACCAGATAATATGGGTGATTATGGTGGATTCTTTGGACTAGAAGAAATAAGTGGAGTTGATGTAGAGGTTATAGATGGGAAACCTCAATTAGTCATGAGAGAGGACAAAACAGAAAAATCCTCTACTGAGAAGTCAAAGGTTCTTAGCAAGAAGCTAGCTGAGGTAACTAGTGAGAATGAGGAGGAAGAGGAGGAGGAAGAGGAAGAGGAGGAGGAGGAGGAGGAGGAGGAGGAGGAATTCACCGGATTTGAAGATGAGTATGACGACAAGACAAAGGAAAATGGGAATCCCACATCATCTTTTGAAGATGATGAGCTTCGGTATAATGCCTTTGCAAATTTAGATCTACCGTTACCTGACGATAACGAAATCAACTTGCCTGAATGGGGAGAGTCTGAGCTCAACACAACATTAAGCCCCTACATTTTGAATGGATTATCTCATTTGAATTTCACGAGACCTACGCCTATTCAAAAGCAAACAATACCATTGGCCATAATAGGCAAGGATATAGTAGGTAAAGCCACCACAGGTTCGGGAAAAACATTAGCATACGGAATACCAATACTCGAGAAATACATACAATCATTGGATAAAGTCAAGGAAAATATCAGGAATAAAAAGATAAATCATCCAACAGGTATCATCTTCACTCCAACTAGAGAATTGGCACATCAAGTTGTTGATCATTTGAACAAGCTAGCACAGTACTCTCCACTTTCCACCAAGGGTATAGTCAGCGTTACAGGGGGACTATCAATACAGAAGCAGCAAAGGTTACTACAATTTGGACCAGGTATAATTGTTGCTACTCCTGGACGTATGCTAGAGTTATGTCAAAATGATCAAGAATTGGTGAGAAGATTAAGCTTGACAGATACAATTGTATTAGATGAAGCAGATCGTTTATTACAAGATGGACATTTCGATGAGTTTGACAAAATATTGGAGTTGTTTAACAAGACAAGACCAAGAAATGAAAAGGGTATGGAATGGAAATGGCAAACCTTGGTTTTCAGCGCCACTTTCTCAAGAGATTTATTCGGGAAATTGGATAAACAACAAAAGAATAAAAAACGCATCAATGAGAATTCCTTGGTACAGAACGAGGAGATTGTAGAGCTATTGAATGAAAAACTAAAATTCAAAGATAAGAAACCGGCATTAATAGATGCAAATCCAAAGGAGATTGTCTCTGGTCAAATCACTGAAGCGTTGGTTGAATGTGGTTTCCTTGAGCGTGACTTGTACTTGTACTATTTTATATTGATGTATAAAGGGTCTACATTGGTGTTTGCAAATTCAATTGATTCGGTAAAGAGACTAGTGCCATTCTTAAACAATTTGAAAATACCAGCTTTTGCAATACATTCATCAATGATTCAGAAACAGAGATTGAGATCATTGGAGAAATTCAGAGAAGCAAGTGAAAAGAATCAGACTGCTGTTTTAGTGGCATCGGATGTTGCTGCTAGGGGATTAGATATACCCAACATCGATCATGTGGCACATTACCACTTGCCAAGGTCTGCAGATGTCTACATTCATAGATCTGGAAGAACAGCTAGAGCAGGAAAAGAAGGTGTCTCGGTTATGTTTTGCTCCCCTCAAGAAGCATCAGGACCTTTGAAAAAGTTGCGCAAACTAGTTGCTAGCAACGCTTCTAGTAAAAATAGCAACAAGATCAATGTGCATAGTGATGTAACATTACTCCCTATTGAAATGGATATACTTTCTCAGTTGAAACCAAGAGTGGAATTAGCATCACGACTAGCTAATGCAAGTATTGCATCAACAGCAACAAGAAAAGAAGGTTCATGGATTAAACAAGCAGCGGAAGAGTTGGGCGTCGATGACCTACACGATCTTGATGATTTTGAAGATGATATCATAAAGAAACAGAGGAAAAGACAGGAAGGTAAACTGTTGACAAAAGAAGAACAAAAGAGACTTCGATACGAATTAAAAGAGTTGTTTGCAACTCCAATTCGGAAAAGTAGTAGGCGGTCATATATCACTAGCGGCTTACAAAACTTGGCTCATCAAATAGTTCAGGGAAACCATCATGAGGATGTTCTTGGTTACAAGAAAGTAAACGCCTTAAATGATTTACAAAAGAATGGGAAAAAGTTTAAACCTGTCAAGAATGATAAAATTGCAAAGATTGCCAAAATCAATGAAAGGAAAAAGAGCAAAAAGGATGCCAAAAGGGAAGCTAAACGAAAACAAGTAGAACCTTTAGTCAAAGATATGTAGGTTGTTAGAAACAGTAAAGTGATTAAAAGAAAAAAAAAAAAAAAAAGAAAAAAAAAACTCTATGTAATTTGTATGCCTCCTGACTCTAGCAACAAAATAATATTTACTTCTAATGCCATTGCCATTGCTGTTGCTGTTGTTGCTGCTGCTGCTGTTGCTGCTGGTGGTGCTGTTACTATTGCTGCTGCTATTTTAATTGATATGAGCGCTATTACCCTTAAATAAAGTCATCGTCATCATCATCGTAATATTCGTCTTCATCTTCATCTTCATCACCCAATTGATCAAAATTAACCTTGTATCTCAATACTGCACCGATACCTCCAAAACCTTGAACAAATTGAGCACCTTCAGAAGATCTATCAGAGACAAAATCCAATTCTGCACCGAAATTCTTGTAATTTTCAGCTAACCATTCCAAAAACAATTCCTCTTTCAAAATCTCCATATCTGTTCCTGTTTTCTTATCTTCTTGCCATGACTTATCTGGTAACTCTGGGTTAACATGTTTTATTACTTCTTCACCTTCAATATCTTTCAAAGTGTACCTTATAATGTTTAAGTTTTCATAAACTATTACTCTTTCACAAGCACCTAAATCCAATGCCTTTAATGTATCTTCAATTCCATAACAGTATTTCCCAGAGTCTTGAGAAATTTCTTCGAAATACTCATTTAACAATTTCTTCTCCTGGACGAATTTAACGTTTGCTAAAGTTTCAGCCGACAATTCAATAGCCTGGTTGAATCCATTTTCACCACCATATGAAATATCAACGATTTTTATAACTTTAGCTTGTAACCTATTATCAAACAAGTCTGACTTGGACAACTCAGTTTTGAAATCAGCAGAACCGGCAAGAATTAAACCTTTGACATTGACCTTGTCAGCAGTAATGAAATTTTGCACCGCTACTTCGGCAACTTTACGAACATAATTGTGTCTCTTTTCTTCTCTCAAACGCGAGAAACGTACAGCGGATTGACCACCTCTACCGTGCTTTTTTGGTAAATCTACAGTGAACTTGTGCAATACTTCTCTAGTATTACCGCTCACTGCACCAAACAAGGCACCATTACCATCCATTACAATAAACCCAAACCGATCGTCATTTTCCAACAACTCATTTAAAGCCTCAACGTGGAATTTGTTATCGCAAAGGTACAAGGAAGTATTTATAGGCTTGAATGGCTCAAAATCGATATTCAATTTCTTTTCCTTTCCCTCGTCTGTTATGACATCACCACAATACACCACCAACCCGTTTCTAGGTACACTATTATATAATTTCAATTTTTGTTGAGTAGATGTAATGGCCGATAACACAGATAGTCTATTAACTCTAGATTTGATGTTTGAGGCTGTACCGTACTCTTCAGTCAACATCTTTTGTATTAATGATATTTGGCCCTTTGGTGGTATAACTAACGAAATCATCGATGTACCATTACCTCTCGCCATTTCCAAAGATTTGATCAACTTTTTGACTTTCCAAATCTCAATGTTCTTTTCAGCTTCTGACTCTTGGCTTGACATTTTGAATATGAAACAATAAAAATATATATATATATATATGAGAGCCCCTTCTAAAATAGCCTCTTACTCCACTGGGTGTTTGAAAAGCAACCTTTGGAGCTACACTAACAAGAAAGATGGATCCTTCTTTAATAACCCGTTTGTTATATTTCCGCTACCAATGAAAATTTTAGTTACAAAATTTTTCACTTCTGCCGCTTCTCTTTTAGGCACGTGACTTGGTAGTGTAAGCAGTTCAGAGCCCTCTTTTGTTTGATTTGGTTTGAAATGATATGCTTAGAGGGAGGAAGGGGGAAGGAAGGGGGGGGGGGAGGGAAGAGGGGGAAGGAGAAAGGACTAGATCACGTGCCAAGTGCGGGTACAACACTATTGACCAACACTATCGAGCAGAGCGAGATAGTGTTGTAATAAGCTACAGAGTGCTCAGTATTGAGCAACACTATCGAGCAGAGCGAGATAGTGTTGTAATAAGCTACAGAGTGCTCAGTATTGAGCAACACTATCGAGCAGAGCGAGATAGTGTTGTAATAAGCTACAGAGTGCTCAGTATTGAGCAACACTATCGAGCAGAGCGAGATAGTGTTGTGACAAGCTACAAAGTGCTCAGTATTGAGCAACACTATCGAGCAGAGTGAGATTGTGTTGTAACAAGCTACTGAGTATTGCTTGATAGTGGAGCACATTGACTAGGGACACAACACACGACTTTAATAAAAATCACTGCAAATATATTCATACACTACCTAGTAAGACACTGCAAATATATTCAAATACTCTAGTAAGACACTGCAAATACATTCAAACACTATCTAGTAATACATACTGCAAATGTATCAAATACTTTCTAATAAGCTACACTGCGGCTTTATTCATACAGAATTTTTATTTTTTGACATTTCTCTAATAAAGGGGTTATTATTTAGAGGGCTAAACTAAAATGAAGTTGTTTCCACAAAAACAAGGAACTTTATTGCTAACTGGTAATGTAAAGCCACTATCGAGCGAAGCGAGATAGTGAAGCACTTATAAATATACTTGAATTTATATAGAGCCCCTATCGAGCCACCGTCGAGCCATTATCCGCTTCGCTCGATAGTGGAGCACTTGTAAATATACTTGAGTTTATATAGAGCCCCTATCGAGTCACCGTCGAGCCATTATCCGCTTCGCTCGATAGTGGAGCACTTATAAATATACTTGAATTTATATAGAGCCCCTATCGAGTCACCGTCGAGCCATTATCCGCTTCGCTCGATAGTGGAGCACTTATAAATATACTTGAATTTATATAGAGCCCCTATCGAGCCACCGTCGAGCCATTATCCGCTTCGCTCGATAGTGGAGCACTTGTAAATATACTTGAATTTATATAGAGCCCCTATCGAGCCACCGTCGAGCCATTATCCGCTTCGCTCGATAGTGGAGCACTTGTAAATATACTTGAATTTATATAGAGTCCCTATCTAGTCACTATCTCGCTTCGCTCGAAAGTGACTCATTAGTATAGTATCCCACACTATCGAGCCACTATCGAGCCACTATCTCGCTTCGCTCGATAGTGACTCGCCTCGTTCTGCTCGATAGTAGAGGTAACAACGCTAGGTCTGGGGCCTGTGTTACCGCTTCTGTTTCAAGATTGGCGCTACCGTAGTATTTAAATAAGCCAGGATAGCGCTACCATCTCCGTTCACCACCACTCTACTACCCCCACTGCCAGTACCCTACCACCCCGCTCACTTTGCTCGCTGTGCTAGCTTTGCTCTCGCAACACTATCGAGCAGAGCGAGATAGTGGAACACACTAGTTACCACCGACACTATCATTACCACCGACACTATCGTGTGTGTGCATGACACTAGTTACCACCGACACTATCATTACCACCGACACTATCGTGTGTGTGCATGACACTAGTTACCACCGACACTATCATTACCACCGACACTATCGTGTGTGTGCATGACACTAGTTACCACCGACACTATCATTACCACCGACACTATCGTGTGTGTGCATGACACTAGTTACCACCGACACTATCATTACCACCGACACTATCGTGTGTGTGCATGACACTAGTTACCACCGACACTATCGTGTGTGTGTATGACACTAGTTGTCACCGACACTATCGTGTGTGTGTACTCGCTGTTCGCTGTGCACACTAAGGTGGAGCTAGTAACTTATAGATCTGACTAGCTCGACACTATCGAGCAGAAACAATATCAAGCAAAAACCCTATCGAGCAGAAAACCCTATCCAGCAGAAAACCCTATCGAGCAAAAAACCCTATCCAGCAGAAAACACTATCAAGCAGAGCGAAATAGAGTAGAGTAGTATAGATTATAGAGTGTAGTGTAGTGTAGTGTTGTGTAGTGTAGATAAGAGAGCGTTTGCAAATATACTTATATTTTTATAGCAGTATTTGCATAGTACAATTAAATAGAATAATTTACATAGTATAATTTGCATAGTACAATATGTATAGATGTATAGAATAATTTATATAGTATAAATTGCATATTATTTTTTGCATAGTTTAATTTGCATACAATTTTTTGTATAGGATAAGTTGTATGGTATAAGTTGTATGGTATAAGTTGTATAGTATTTTTTGTATGGCATTATTTGTATAGTATAAGTTGTATAGATAATGTGTATAGAATATTTGTATACGTATAATTTGTAAAAGTATAATATGTATGGCATTATTTGTATAGTATAATATGTATGCGTTATTTGTATGGCATTATTTGTATGGCATTATTTGTATGGCCTTATTTGTATGGCATTATTTGTATAGTATAAATTGTATTGTACAACTTGTATGGCATTATTTGTATACTATTTTTTGCATACTATTTTAATTTCAGTATTCAATTGATAGAAATCTTTTTTGCAGTAAATTAAATTGGTTTAAGAACCCATTACACCCACTATCGAGCCACTATCGAGCCACTATCTAGCCACTATCGAGCGAAGCGAGATAGTGGAGCACTTGTAAATATACTTGAGTTTATATAGAGCCACTATCGAGTCACTATCTAGTCACTATCGAGCGAAGCGAGATAGTGGAGCACTTGTAAATATACTTGAGTTTATATAGAGCCACTATCGAGTCACTATCCGCTTCGCTCGATGGTGACTCTAGAATGATATATCTCTTATATTCTAAGTTGTAAGCTGTGTATATCCTCTACTTGTAATCTACATCTCACCTATATACCTTTCCCTCTACATCTCACCTATATACCTTTCCCTCTACATATCCCTAAATGTTACTGTTCCTCTAAGGTTAGTGTCAGTCAGTGGTGCTCCACTATCTCGCTTCGCTCGATAGTGTCGCTCGATAGTGTCGCTCGATAGTGTCGCTCGATAGTGGCTTGATAGTACCCTTATTGTCCCCGGTCCCCCGGTAGCAAAAAAACAAACTCGCCGCGGAGTTTGGGGAAAAAAATTAAACCAAAAAAAAAGGGACTTGAAAAACTAAATCTATTAGATTCTTTATACTCTTCTTTCTGTATTCCGCCATTACTTGAAAAAGAGGCATATTTTACTGGCTTTGCAAGGATGCTGGAAGAGAATACTCGACTGGGAGTAGAAGATATTGTTGAAAATAGACAAGGTACGTCGTCCCAACCCTCAACAACAATGTCACCGCCAAATACAACTAAAGAAGAAGAAGTGAGTGATGAAGGAAACAATGTCACCAACACCACTGAAACACAAGGGTCCCAAGCTGCAACAGAAGCAACAGAAAAGTCTCAAGCTGCAACAGAAGCAACAGAAGCAACAGAAGCAACAGAAAAGTCCGAAGCTTTAGGTGAAAAACCAGAAACTTCAACAGAAAAGCCAAAAGCGTTTACGATAAAGTATAAACGTCCTCGAGGTTCAAGAGCATGCACAGTTTGTAGGTCAAGAAAAGTCAGGTGTGATGCGGAAATCCACATACCCTGTACAAACTGTATCACATTTGGTTGTGACTGTATATTGCCAGAAATAAGAAAAAGAGGTAATCAAACGGGAGAATCAAAAGCAAAAAAACAAAAGTTGGCAGCAGCGGCAGCGGCAGCGGCAGCAACAGCAACAACAACAACAACAACAACAACAACAGAAACAGCAACAACAGCATCTCCTACTTCTACTACAAATGTTTCAGATGCAGCAGATGCTTCTGGGGAATTACGTGACTCTAATGAAACCAATAAGAAAGAACCCTTGAAAAAAAGTAAATCTTCATCAAGAGAGAAGTGGGGCTCAAAAAGGAAAGGCGTCAAACAAGAAGAGGGTCTAGCATCAGGGGAAGCTCGACATTCACAGGATTCTTCATCACATCCTTCCTTGCACCACTCTTCTCATCATCATAAGCAACTGGTCATCAATGAACCAATATTAAATATATCTCAAGTAAGCGTGCCTCCTTCTCTTACTTCAAACTACAAAAATAGACCATCCATGCACAAGAGGGAACTACTCACCTCCAAGATTAAACCATCAATGACTTTTCTAGGTTCAACTTCAGCTGGTGTTCTTCCACCAAACTCGGGAGGTAATCACGTTCAATTGACAGAGGATGTGTTTGAAGTAACAGACAACGGTCTAGATTCAGTGGAGTTGGAGATTTTGAAACTAAGAGGTGCATTTTTATTACCGAGCAAGGAACTCGCGACAGAATTGGTTAATGCCTACTTTGAACATGTTCATCCATTAATGCCTGTATTGAATAGGAGCTTGTTTATGAAAAAATTCAACGATCCAAACGATAGTCCTAGTTTAATGGTGTTGCATGCCGTTTTATTGTGTGGTAGCAGAATCTCAAAAAGTCCATTACTATTGGATTCTAACGGCTCAAGTAATATGGCAAGTCTCACTTTCTTTAGGAGAGCTAAGGCTTTGTATGAAATGAATTATGAAAGTGATCCAGTGTCTATTGTACAAACGGTTATTCTTATTGGTTCCTATTGGGAAGGACCTGAAGATGTCACCAAAAACTCCTTTTATTGGACAAGAGTAGCCGTTGGATTGGCTCAAGGTTTTGGATTTCAACGAGATGTCTCCAAATCCAACAACTTGACCATTCTGGAAAAGAGGCTATGGAGAAAAATCTGGTGGTGTTTGTTTGAAAAAGACCGTAACGTTGCTATTGCTTTTGGAAGACCAGTGGTTATTGATTTAAATGATTGTGATGTCCCCATGTTGACACTAGAGGACTTTGATGAGAACGACCCAGAATTAGGTATTGTTTCTCCATATCCTGTTAATGAAGTACACGCCTTATATTTTATTTATTTGATCAAGTTGGCAGAAATCACGGGAATTATTATCAAGCATCAATATAGCGTCAAGTCTGAATCTATGAAGAGAAAAAATGCATTTTCGATTATTGAGCATTGCGATATGTTGATGGGTATATGGTTCACTAATCTACCACCCCAATTATCTTTTTCCTTAGCTGATAGTTCATCACAAAACTTTTATGCTTGCTTGTTAAATGCCCAGTATTACAATAGATTATTCCTAATTCATAGATCTAATTTAATCAGAATGGCAAGATCTTCATCAACTAACCCGAATAACTACAAATATCCAAGCTGGGGTATTAGTTTCCAATCGGCAAGGATGATTTCAATTATATCGAAAATTTTGTTGGAACGAGATTTGCTCATTTACGTTCCAGCAATGTACGTGTACATAGCGTTCAGTGCATTGATTATGTTGATTTATCACATTGACTCAACAAACGCTGTTATTGCTTCAACTGCAAGTGAATCGTTATCTGTATCAAGAGCTGTATTGAAAAAGCTATCATTGTACTGGCCGATAGCCGGAGTCTTGATTAAATTATTTGACAAATACGCAGATAATAAAAGAAAAAGAGCCAGCGTGATTGAAAATGGTTCAAGACGCGTGGAGGAAAGGGAACAGAATCTTAATGAAAAGGATTCTTCAACTGGTCGTAGTAGTAGTTCAATAAATGCATATGGGGGGAACCAAATAATGCAACCTCAACCGCGAGCTCAAACACAACCGCTTATTGCACCTGCTCATCCACATTCTACTAGACAGCAGCACCAACCACTTCAACAATTTTCCCAAATACAGCTGAGACAGCCGCTTGTAAATACAAGGTATTCCCCTGACTCTAATACCTCTGGAGTTTCACCTGGAGGGAATACTTATAATGAATACTATTCACAACAATCACAACTTCAACAGCAGCAGCAACAGCAGCAACAGCAACAGCAACAGCAACAGCAACAGCAGCAACAGCAGCAACATCATCATCATCGTCACCATCCACAACAGTCACAGTCACAACCACAACTACCAACTGCCTTGCCAGTGCATGCATATTCTAATGTACCTTCAGTCTCGCCAAGAATTAGCAATTCTAGAACTCCCCAAATTGAGCAATTAATCCAACAATATAAAGTACCGATGAAACTAGCCAACGGTGATGGAAGTGATAAGCACACTTCAGATGCATCACCTTCATCATCAATAAAGTCATTCCCAGATATTTCTCTTGTCACTGAGAATATTCCAAATAAGCAAAACTTTTTTGAAAATTTTGAACCTACACAATTATTCCCTACGTTTAGTGTACCTGTTACAAGAGCACAATCACCAAGCAATGAGCACAACGAGAGTCATGATCTTTTCTACTCCATGGAATCTGCAACAAGTCCACGGCAGCCTGATCAATCAGATAACGCACAAAGACAACATGATCAAGAACATGATCAAGAACAAAAACAAGAACAAAAACAAAAACAAAAACAAGAACAAGAACAAAAACAAGAACAAAAACAAGAACAAAAACAAAAACAACAAGTACAAGTGGAGGGTGCCCAGCAGCAACAGCAGACTACGCACAATCAACCCTTGTCTCAACCAGTTCATGATGATGCACTTGTCAATCCTTCTACTCCGGGATTTTTGACTAATTTTGTTAATTCATCCTTCATCAATATGAACCTACAATCAGGAATCGATATGAATGATGATTTCAATTCATTTTTCAATTTCATGAACTAGAAAACAATGTACCTAAGGGTCAATGTAGTTTAGGAGGAAAACAAAAAAAAAAGGGATAATAAAGAAAAGAATCAAAAACAGAAGGAGCAGTTATCTATGTATCGATACTCATCTTACTTTTTCCATTGCAATTTTCTATTCCGTTTTGACATTCTTGTTCTTTTTAAATTTTCCAATAATTCTTCACGGCGTAATTTTTGACTATACCCAATACAGCTCTGTACCACGCTCTCGTAAATTTCATAATCCTTTCTTAATTCAGTTAACTGGTTCTGCCATATGCAGCTCATAGTTAATAATCTCTGATAATTCAGTCGAAGTTGTTCCAATTTCATATCGACTAAATCATCTTCACGAGATTCTAAATACTGTTTGCTTGAATTTTCCATAATATCAATCTCAAATTTTGATAGTGTTGCTGAGGTGGTTTCAAGAATTTTTGAAACAGCTTCAGATGACAAGTTCAAATCTTCAAATTTTGGAATAGGAAAATCCTTCCAGTTTATATCTTGCTCACTCATTGATCTTCTTCTTGCATGTATACCACCTCGACTCCCTGACCGTGTAAGGTGTTGTGATGTGTTAGTTGGTGATGACGATGATGTCAAGGTGTTGGCAACAATGGGTTTCAGGTCCAGTAACTCATCCAAGTTTATAGGTATACCCAATTTGATCAACAAGTTATGGCGAATGTCCAGTTTAATCCAATTGGGAGGTTGTAAATACGGTATTTCGGAGATTTGTTTATATATAGTTTTGACTCTATCGTTAGATAGCAATGACTCCAAAATATCACCCTGTTGCTGTTGGTGTGGTGGAAATGACTCCGAAATATCATCCTGTTGCTGTTGGTGTGGTGGCATTCTAGGACTTTGCTGCGTATTTTGTGGTACAACTATAAATAATTTGGACATGAGCTGTTCTAACCTTGTTTCAAACTCTGACTTGTTGGAAAATGCACTTTCGGGAATCGCGATTGACTCAAATAAGGTGTCCAAGGATGTAAATCCCAGTTCAAATGGTTGTTGTTGAATAGGTGGTGGAGACGGTGATGATGGTAGCTGTTGCAGCCGCAGACTCTCAAAATCGTTAAATTCGTCAAAATCCCCAAACTCTTCCTCTTCTTCTTCTTCTTCCACTTCTGCTTCATCTTCACATTCTGCTTCACCATCTGCTTCTGCTTCACCTTCTGCTTCTGCTTCACCTTCTGCTTCTGCTTCCCCTTCTGCTTCACCTTCTACTTCACCTTCCGCTTCAACTTCTGCTTCACCTTCTGCTTCACCTTCTGCTTCCACTTCTACCTTCCCTTCCCCTTCCTGATCAATCGCGTTGTTTTGATTGTTTTCTTCAAGCCCATCGAGAATGTCTCCATTTTCACCAGCAACATGACAATCGCTCCCCTTACTTCCTACCCTCTCCAAGTCCGTTTTTTCAAGATTGTTACTTGAGTCGCTTACTTGAACTTCCTCGTGACCCCCATTCCCATTAATGTCAAACAGCATATTCTCGTCTTCGCTTTGAGTGTAATTCTCAGCTACCCCTTCATCTGCCATATACAGCTTCAGCAGAGACCCTTCAAGTACTACCTCCTGATAACCTCCATCTGACATTGGTCAGTAATATATACAAGCCAAACCTATTACCCAACTGTCAATACCAATCCCGGCGTATCAAAATCTTACCAGGTCGATTCGTACCAGCTCAATACCAAAGTGCAATTTTATTTTTATTTTTATTTTTTTTTTTATTTTTCAAATTTCGCAATCATTTTTTTTTTTTCATTTCAATGCCAATGGATAACGTTAAGGTTAAGGTTGTTACATCGTAGACGAAGATAATGATGACACCAGTAGTTCTCTTTTCGATCGGAAACCCAGGTCCTTTAAACCGGCATTCAACAGGACACATGGTTTTGAAAGAGTTGATGGAGAATTATGACATCAAACAACCAGTAAATAAGAATCTCTACGCAATAGCTAGTAATGAAGATTCAAGTTTGATATTTGTCAAGTCAAATACATATATGAACGAGAGTTCGAAAGCGTGGTTGAAGTTGCGAGATAATGAGAAGATACCTACGGGAGCAATAGTCATTGTACTATACGATGATTTCGAAAATGATATACCAAAAGTTAAGTTATCAAAGTTTGGCAAGAAAAGCGAAAGTCATAACGGTATAAAAAATCTACAGTCTGTAATGATGCAAGACGATGGTGTGAGGTTCAAGTTTTTCAAATTAGGTATAGGGATAGGCCCAAAACCAAGTGGTGCAAATAAAGCAAGTATGAGTTCATGGGTCCTTTCGCCATTTACTTTGCAACAAAAGCAATTAATTGTCGACAAGAGCCTAGATTTGTGTATTACACACTTGAAGGAGATTGCCTCCTTAGATGGCGAAATTGACAACATTGATAAGTATAATTCTAGAGTTATAAAGAAAAATATACTGGAATAGTTATTATATCAAGTAGAGTCTTTATGTTTTAGAAAATGCACCCTCCTATTGTCTCTTAAAAAACAGTGTTCCGTCTTGGTTTCTTGAATGTTGGTGACTCTAATGCGTCACTTTCATACGCGTATTCTAAATCAAAATCCTCGTCGTCTTCTTCTTCTTCTTCTTCCTCCTCCTCCTCTTCGTCTTCACCCTCGGGGAAACTATCCAACATCTCCAAATCTTTATTAGTTATGCCAATTGTATTTTTGAACTTGGCTAAATCGTAATCGCTTGGTTCAAACTCGTCTTCATCTGAGTCCATCTGAATATTCATTTTCCTTCCTCTCATTGCTAAACTTGTAATTTTACGACCTTTATCAATTGCTCGTTCTATTGATGATCTATTCTTTATAAAGAGAATCTTGGGGTACATGCTTCTCTCACCTTTCTTCATAATCTCTTCCATCTGCTTTTCCGTGGGGTCCGACAAGATGTACCAGAAATCCTTTAATTTGTTTCTTGGCCATATTGTTATTGTGCCTGTAAAATTCTGTAACCAAACATTAGACCAATCTTGTTGCAAAACATGCGGTAATAAGTCGAGTGACTTGATAATGTGTAACCATTTCTTGATTTCCAACCTAAATAGTTGTTCCAAAGCCGTGGCAACAAACCCACCTCTAAATGAAGCAAACTTTTCACTTGCTGTTCTCCTTTTGGAAATAGAAACAGGTCTTCCCACTGTTCCCTTTGGTGCAAAGAAAAATAATGATATATGTGGATTGACTTGAGAAACAATGGTAAAGTTAACGTGGTAATATGTGTTGAGCGCATCAATTGGAATATCGGTTCTCAAGGAACCATCTCTCCATTTACTTCCCAATGAAAAAGGAACAATTGTTCCGTCTACTCGATTTTTCATCATCAAAACAACTGGATTTAATATGCCTGGAACTGCTGAGGAAGCCAACAATGCTGACCAGATAATACAATGAGGTGACGTTATGTCATTACACAAAATCACTGGCGAGTGTGGATCTGCTGGAACAGTGCTGATATTCAATTTCCTACCCGTTCTAACTGCTGCTTCTTCAAAAGTGGTTGACCCTCTAGTGAAAAAATTGGATTTTCTGGCCCATGCAACAGCATTGAATCTTGCTCCGGTTTTGATAAGCCTAGGAATCCAAATATACCATGGATCTTCGCATGCTGTGATCTTTCTTGCTAATTGAGGAACTAACAATTTCTTCAATTCCTCATCAGTCCGAGTACAAAGCAATGAAGCAATCAAACCGCCACCAGAGGTCCCTGAAATGATATTGGGTAGCAAATTTTGATCAAGTAGTGCCTTTCCTATACCGAAATGTGTGTATGCAAAACAAGCTCCTCCGCTCAAACATAATGCCGATTTACCAAAATTCTGCAGCACAGTTTTAAAGAATTTGTACTTGGTTTCCGGATTGATTTCGGTTGACTCTATTACTTGATCAATACATAGAACAACCTCCTTGTAAAATTCTTGAACTAACTTCTTAGTGCCGTAGTACATATGAGAATATAATTGGCGATTTTCGATACCAGCGAAATTTCGCTTCAAACAACTTTGTAACAACAACAACAATTCGCTCTTACTATTCTGCAGTCTTGCTTGTCTTAGTTTGGTTATCGTTAATTTCACTGTTTGTGAATCATAGTATGAGAATTTAGGGTTATCGGCCCATTTATTCAAACCAAGATACTGGTCCAATTTTTTTGCATTCTCAACCCATTCTTCATAAGTGTTGGAGTTTCTCAACTTATCTCTCAATCTCTTTCTTTCGCCTCTCCATGTGATAAAGTACTCCAGGAGGGCAACGTATACTCGTACGATGAGATATAAAAATGCTAATAGAGTAATCCATGCAAAGACAAAGATTAGAATTGGCCATCGTAGTAATGTAAAGCTAGCGCTACTTCTAAACTCATTTTGTAGTAACTTCACGGCAGAGTTGGAACTCGAACTTGAACTTGAACTCGAACCCGAACGCGAGCCCGAGCCCGAGCCCGAACTTGATCCTCTCTGTTTTTTGTTATTTTTGGACTTTGTCTTGGGAGACTCGAGGTCTTGACTATTAATAGGAAACCAATCATTCTTGGACGTGACAAAGTTTGGTTTTGTCGTTGGTATTGCTCCCAAGCCTGCTCCTTCGTCAATAAGCATCCGGAGATCCCCTTCTTCCTCCTGCTGGTGCTCTGTGCCTTCGCCGTTATTGCTGTTTTGGGAGAGAGCGCCCTGGACAATCATTTCATGCGTTGGCGTTGTTGGTGATGTACTACTGGTCTCATCATAATCTTGCCACACCAAGGCTTTGGCAAACTCACTGATATCGTTTTCATTTATGTAATCCTTTTCCTCCTCGAATAACGGAATCCGCTCTGACATTTTGCAAGGTCCCCAACTACTTAGCGTCTCAGTTTACCCAACTACCTAGTGTCTCTTACTACTTAGTGTCTCCTAGTTTATCCTACTACTTAGTGTCTCTTACTGCTTAGTGTCTCCTAGTTTACCCAACTACCTAGTGTCTCCTACTACTTAGCGTCTCCTAGTTTATCCTACTGCTTAGTGTCTCCTACTACTTAGTGTCTCCTAGCTCTACTCCCTTTGTTAAAATTGCTCCATTATATTTTTGTGCATCATCAATCGACTTCACAATTTTTTGTTTCTTAACAAAGTATTGGGTCACGTGATAGAAGAACCCTGTGGATTCCACAGCACGGAGATAAAAGTCAAATGGTCAACAATCTTATGCCGTTATTTAAAAAAAGCACTGATGCATTTTTACTAATAGCTTAATCTGGTCCTGTGATTATATTAAGAAGGTGTTAAATGAACTAAAGGAATTATTACACACACACACACATATACTCACTCACCTCTTTCGGAAATACGGGTAATTTTTAAAAGAAAAAAAACCACTCGCCTCCCCCTCCCTTGGCACGACAAAACCCCATGTTGTTGTTGTTGTTGTTGTTGTTGTTTTTTTTGGGCGGGGAGTAAAGGGGGGCAAGGGGCAAAAGGGGCGGGCAAGGGCCCTAAGGGGGGGCAAAAAGAGCTCTGGTCACGTGATGTCTCATAACGGTGTGTGCGTCATCTTTTATGTTTTTTATTTTTTCGCTCTCTCTCTCTCTCTCTCTCTCTCCTCGCTAGTTGTTGATATGGCCAGTTTTGTTCCACTAGCTCACTTCGCTCCCTAGTGTCGCAAGGAAGATGTCAATTGATACGGTAGTATTGGACATTGAAGGAACAATTTGTCCAATATCCTATGTAAAAGAGATATTGTTCCCCTATTTCGTCGCAAAACTTCCCTCTTGTCTAGACTCAATAGAATTTCCCTTGGATAAAGCATCAAATGATTTAGTAGTCAAGACTTTGACCCAGCTTTCACCCGATATCACCACTTCGGCAAAGTCGACTTTTGACTATCTCAAAAAGTTGGTGGATAACGATGTCAAGGACCCCGTCTTGAAATCATTGCAAGGCTTGGTGTGGAAACAGGGTTACCTCTCTGGCGAATTAAAGAGCCCCATTTACAAAGATTCAATTGAGTTTATACAAGATTTTCCAAATACAAGTCAAAAAAAAATCTACATTTACTCATCGGGCAGCATTAATGCACAAAAGCTATTATTCAGTCACGTTGATAATGGCGATAATACGATTGATTTGAATCCCCAATTGAGTGGATATTTCGATATAACTACTGCAGGTTTCAAGCAAGAACCTTGTTCTTATTCCAAGATTATCGAGAAAATCAACAAAAGAGGTAAACAACTGTCAATCTTGTTCTTAAGCGATAACATCAATGAAGTTAAAGCAGCAATTCAGGCAGGCATGCAAAGTTTTATCGTGGTGAGAGATGGAAATGCACCCATACCAGAAAACGAGTTATCCTCACACAAGGTAATCCACTCGCTAGCTCAACTCGATTTATAGACTATAAGCATCACTATCGAGAAACACTATCGAGAAACACTATCCAGAAACACTATCGAGAAACACTATCGAGAAACACTATCGAGAAACACTATCGAGAAACACTATCAAGAAACACTATCGAGCAGAGCGAGATAGTGTTATAACAAGCTGGAGAGCTTTGCTCGATTGTGTTGTAACAAGCTACTGGGTGTTGCCACACTATCTCGCTCTGCTCGATAGTGTTTCTCGATAGTGTTTCTCGATAGTGTCGCTGCTCGATAGTGTTGCTGTTAGAGCCTTGTCTACATCGACATCTAATTCAAAAAAAAAAAATAAAAAATACATAACTTTACTACTCTTCTTTTATTTTTACATATCCCTGAATAATATATCAGCAGCAACCTCTTCATTCTTGTCACAAGCCAAATAGACTTGTATTACAAGGTCGCGCTCAAATCCGAGCTCACATAATCTATTAATTGCATTTTGGTCCAGTTCAGATAATTGTATGCGTACTGTGCCTTCAGCATCAGCTCCCTCACCACTTCCACCACCGCTACCACCAAGAGCATCTGCATCATCACCTTCAATTTCAAATCCCAAATCTTCACCGCCAGCACCTAAAAAGGTCCTTATAAACTCTTCTGGGTCCTGTTGAATCATGCTTGCAATTTGTGGATTTGATGCAGACAATTGTTCCAATAACGGCTGGATCAACTCTGGATTCGATTGTAATGCTGCTCTTAATAATTGCATTTGTTGCTCATCACCGCTGCCACTGCCCGTTCCTTCGACACTCAGTACTGTACCAAGTGCCCCGGACTCTGCTGCTGCACTACCTGCTGAACGGTCACCTCTTCCTTCTTGTGCTGCTGCTGCTGCTGCTTGTTCAAATAAATTTTCTCCACGGTGACTCTCATCTGCATCGTCTTCCTCGTCATCATTATGCGTGGCATTAGCTGACAGTTGCTGCTGCTGATGCTGCTGCTGCTGTTGTTGTTGTTGTTGTTGTTGTTGTTGTTGTTGTTGTTGTTGTTGTTGTTGTTGTTGTTGTTGTTGACGAGGCTGCTCAGAACGTAATGTCTCCGGTATTCCAGTAATCAAATATTCAACTGCACGGTGAGGATTGTTAAAAGCCGCTCTCAATGCGGCTTCTACTTGGGGTCTATCGTAGCCCATTTCCATTATATTGGTAATAGTTGTTTCTCTCTCGCTTCCTAGGGCAAACGTAGATTCATCAGCAACAATACTAGCATTAGCGGTGGGATTAGGATCAGTCGTCATTGCATTGGCCGCTGTTTCCCCAGGTGCAATTGAGGCATCACGTGACGTAGATGCTGCAGGCTCTACCTTTGTCGAGTCTCCAGTTGATGCCGAAGCAGTCTCTAAATTAGTTGGAGTCGAGCTCAGCGCAACCTCAGGCACTGGTGGTGTAGCAGCAGAAGCCTTTTTAGTCTTTGAGATCATAAATATGACCGAAGATCCTTCCTTCAATTTAAATGACTCTAAACTTTTGTCATCGTGCAATACTTTTCCCGAGTATACTAATTTGATTTGCGACACATCACAATCCTTTTCCTTGGCCAATTTTTCCTTAGCTGACAAAACCTAAACAAAGTAACACGGGTTAGTTTTCTGGATACAAAGTGGAGCAACACTATGGACAAACACTATCGAAAAACACTATCGAGTGACACTATCGAGTGACACTATCGAGCAGAGCGAGATAGTGTTATAACAAGCTAGTCAGTGTCGATGGCAGCTAATCAGCGTGCTCCACTATCTCGCTCTGCTTGTAATAAGCCATTCAGTGTGCTCCACTATCTCGCTTTGCTCGAAGTGTCACTCGATAGTGTTGTAACAAGCTAGTCAGTGTGCTCCACTATCTCGCTCTGCTCGAAGTGTCACTCGATAGTGAAGCTAGTCAGCGTCGCGGATAAAACTTTTACATACTGTATCCGAAAGTTCAACATCAACTGGCACGGTTTGCTTCTTAAAGTCTTTAAAAATTATCTGCATTTTTACTCTTAAACGCCCCTTCGTTCTTAACCCTAAAATCTACCTAATAATGGTCAATTTCTTGCCACGTATTTGGTCTATCCTTCTTCTTATAGTTTATAGATGGGCCTTTTTTCAACTTTTTTTTCTTCCAAACTGAGGGTCAGCGGCTAATTTCAAAGTGGCAATGGAAAAAAGAAAAAAAAAAAAAAAAGTTTGTGACAAAAGTTGCATATGGTAGCGTTTGAGAAGAGGTGAATAACCCTCGGAGATATATATATATATAAGGAGTATTGAATTACTGCAAAATTTTCAATAATAGGAATTATCTTGTTTCAGAAGGACTTTATTGAGTATTTGGTTATGGCTAGGAGGTCTAGAAGATCAGAGGGTGTAAAAGGCCCTAGTTCGGCGCTTACTGAGTTTTTGAAAACTGAAGGTATTACAGATGCTTTTAGACAGAGACGTGAACGCGAGGTTAGATTACAAAGTGAAACGCCAGAAGCGCAGGGTGAGCCTGATGTGCCAGATGTGCAGGATCAAAATCGGCAGGCGGTGCACGAGGATAGCAATGAAGAGAATGGTGATCTTGGGGTTGCTCATGAGAGTCATACGTCGTCATCTAGACGGACTCCTACTAGATCCTCAAGGATACCTCAAACCCCTTCTAGATCCTCAAGGGTACCTCAAATTTCCATCGACGACGAGGAGGAAGACGAAGAAGAAGAAGACGAAGAGATCAAACAAATGAAAATTGCTGCGAAAAGGAAATTGAGAGCTGCAACACGCAGTGCAAGACGCGGTGCAAGACGCAGTGCAAAGCGCACGCGTCCGGGAAACAGTAGTAGTGATGATAGCGATAGTGACGATGACAACGATAGCAACTACAACCTGGATGAAGAAAACGAGTTGGGTGACGTCAATATGAAAAAGTTTGGAGAATATGACGTTTGTGTTGACTGTGGTGACAAGTTCGAGCTAACGGTGTTTTCCCGATTTATTAAGGAAAAGACTGGGTACTTGTGTGATTCGTGCAATCGCGTTTTAAGAGAAAGGGAACGCAAGGCAAAAGCTAATCAATTAAATGCAAGAAAGAGGAGAAAAAAAGTGGCACAGGCCTTGTTGAATAAAACTACTGTTAAACTCCCAAAATTGCAAGATGTTTGTATAAAGAAAATCACTCAGAATATTGAAGATGTTGATGCCTTGGGAGACATTGGACAGATGAATTTGAACAAAATCTCAAAGATACTATCCAAAAATAGGTCACTAAACGATAAAACCATTTCATTGTTCTTGTTTCCTGATTTGAAGAGTTTAGAGTTTTGGGATTGCTCAAACGTTAATTCCGATTCTTTAAACAAAATCGCGTCATTTTGCCCCAACTTGGAATCCTTAACCCTATTCATGTGCGGACAGTTGCATAATGATAATTTAGAATATTTCGCATCCAAATTAAAATACCTAAGTGCATTATCACTAAACGGTCCATTCTTGATTAGTGATCGTATGTGGCAAGCATATTTCGATAAAGTCCAAAAAAGACTTTCCAAGTTTGAAGTTAGAAATACTCATAGATTTGGTAATGAGTCCTTGATAAGTTTATTGGTATGTTGTGGAAAAGATTTGACATCATTGAAATTGTCACGATTGGACGGAATCACCTCAGCTGAGGCATATAGTTATATTCCCAAGTATATTTGCAATAATAGCTTAGTTGATTTGGAGATTTCATATCCAACCAACGAGGAACTAGTTACAGATGATTTGATCATTGAGATCTTGGCAAAAACGGGCGAGTCTCTCAATTCATTGAATGTCGACGGTTGCTCAGCATTAACCGAAAAGTTTTTGATTTACGGAGTAGCAAAATATTGTCGCAGCTTAACAAGCCTATCGATGAAAAATTTGGATCAAGTATCAAATGATGGATTTGCTGAAGCTTTTCATCAATTTTCAAAAATTAATGCTGGTGGACTACTTGAAGTAAACTTGATGAAATGTTCTAATCTCGGTGATGGGGCTATATATTCACTACTTGATCATTCATGTCATACGTTGGTTGAGTTGAGTATAAATTCCTTGTACAAAGTAACAAAGGATTTTTTGTCCCAAATTTTCACCAGTGATAAACATCAGTATAAAGCTGCTTTAAAGAAAAAATCACAAGAAGAAGGCAATATCGCATATTATCATCATGTGAGATTACCGTTATTGACATACTTGGATTCTTCTTTTGTTAGAGCTGTTGATAATGAGATATTGTCACTAATAGGAAACAGTTGTCCCAAATTGCAAATCATCGAGGTGTACGGGAACAATAGATGTAACGGTAGAGCCTCTTTCAACGAGGGTCTAATGGTAATTGGTCGTCAAACTGATGATCTTTGAGGTAGCTAGAAAGGCGTGTCTATGTATTTATGTGTGTGTGTGTTGTTTATATTCGTTCTACTTTTTCTCCTAGTCTTCTAAATATCTAACGGCAGATGCAGCTTTTTCAACGTTTTTAAACGTTGGATATGTTGGCACTGGAACATCTTTCTTTGCGAGGTCAATAAAGTTACTTTCTGTCATAAAATTATTTGTGATTTCTGGAGTTCCATCATGAAATGCGCCAGGATGGCCAGCTTGACTGGCGAAATAATCAAGCACAGCTTGATCCATTCCGTTCTCTGTTCTTGTTTTCGACAATTTGATTCTATAGTTATTTTTGGATTGACGGTTGCGAAGGGATTTATTATAAAAGATGGAATTTGATTGGTTCAAATCTTTTAAAATCATCGTTCTATCTGAATGACCCTTATTCAAGTCCAAAAGTCCCTTAACATTTGCTGATGCAAAGTCGTAATACCAATCTGAAAACGCATCCACAAGGGCTTTTGGTAGCTGAGCTTCGGTTTTGATAAAGTTATAAACTGTTTTGAGGTTTTGCAAGTGGCCTTCGTGAATGCCTTCAAACTTAAACATAAACTTCCAAAAAGCTGCTGATTTTTTAAGGCTGTATTCGTCATAGTACTCATTGAATAGATTTCTAATTCTGTCCCTGTCATTCTGACTCTTGTAAATGTTTAAGCAAGATACAACCACTAGAGGTACAGAGTCATCATTCAAAAACTTTGCAAAAAGCAAAATAAAATCTTCCAGGAGATCAAAACTGGTTGTATTCTCCTTCGCTTTAGGCTCTCCATTGGATTCATTATTACTTACTTTTAATTTTTTGGCTTTGCTCCCTTTTTGAAAGTAAATTTTAATCAAAGATTCTAGCACATGTTGGTATTTAGATGTACTTAGTAGCCTTTTCCACAACTTTAATAGTTCTTGTGACATCTGAATGTATGGTGATTTATAATAAACTTTCAAATTGCCACTAAACAATTTAATCCAGTCAAAAAGATACTCATTGGCCATGTCTGGTTTATCATTTTCCAACAAGAATTCCACATACCTTATCCGTAGTTCATTTTGGTCTAAAGGTATAAATCTGGAGTTGGCTCGCAAATAAAGTTCTTGTTGTAAATCAAACTTCCTATCGAGTGGTAAATTTGAGGAAGATGAGGAGGAAAACGAGGATGTAATGAAGTTGATATACTTGAGCCAGAGGTTGCTATCGAAGCAGTTCGGCACCAAGGCTCTTTCAAATAAATTGCAAACGAGATTAAATTGATCTAGATCATGTGATACTTCATAAGCACCGATTTCTTTGTCAATGTAGTTTATCCAAGTTTTCTTTTCCAATTCAATTTCTATTCTATCAGTTGAGAACTTTTGATTCATCAAGGATTGTTCATACTCCCAATTTGCGCTTACTTTAGCTTGTGTCGAAGCAAAAACTCCAGCAAAATAATCGTCTATAATCTGATGTTTTTCAATAAGAGATAGATCCTCAAGCTTTGGTTTACCAAACTTCTCCATGTACTCGCACAAGACATTTTCACTTATCAAGTTTTGTATATCAAAGTTCTTATTAATTTCTGAGAATTGGGTATAGTATTGAGCATATTGATACAAGGGGATCCTTATAACTTTGAGATATAGCTCCAATAGTTTGCTTGAGCTATTCTGCAGTTGTTTAGCAATGGCCGTTTCAAATTCAATGGCTTTGTCCCATATTGGATGCGAATTGAAATGATAACCATTATGCTCCAAAGCTCTTGTAAAAACAAATCTATATTTTTGCTCCTCCTCCTCCAAATCTTCATTCTTCTTTGTTGTTGTTTCCCCCTGATCCAAATCTTCATTTTTCTTTGTTGTTGCTTTCAATGCAGCTAGATAGTCCACCCATAGATCAACAGAATGAGGGAAATTTTCCACTGCTATTCTTAGGACATCTACCGAAGCCTCGACTCCTTCCATCTTGAACTCAACAATCAGCCATTTCTTCCAAATCTCTTCTAAATTGGGGAAACGTGATAAAAGGCTTTTATATACGTCTCGTATTTTCCGTTTGTGTTCATCCAGTAATTTGGATTGGCTACCATCAACTTGACTCGAACTTATCCATAAATCAAACGTACTCAATAGTTGATTCCATGCATCCATATTATTAGCATCCTCACTAAGAATGCTTTCTAATTCGCGCACCCGCAAGTCATTTATAGATCCCAAGTCATGTTTCTCCAAGTCATGTGGTAAACGTACCGTTAGCGACATAAGGAGCCAATACAATTCAATACAAACCTAGCTTCCCCCCGTGAATAACACTAGCTTCTATAACAACTCTCTATGGGTGCACTGAAAAATTTTTGAATTTTTCCGCTGTGATTGAAATTAGCCGCCGACTTAAACTCATCTCATCTCATTGCAGCTCATCTCTTCTTATCTCTTCTTTATTGCAGCTCATTGGACCTAAGGGTAGGTGGGTTTGGTTTTACAAGAGGGAAAAGATGGTTACTGTTGATAGGTCGGGCTTAGCGTTAACGTTTGTATCGCCGTATACGATCCCTGCTTCCAACCATTCGAAGCTATTATCGCTACTATTTTCAAAGGAGGAATCGAATGATTTTCAAAGAGAGTTGGAGCTGACCCCCCCATTTAATTTGAATCTTCCTATAGTGAGTCAATTTGATGCATCTGAATTAATTGAATTGAACAATACCAAAATCCTCAGTCAAACAGCTGCTGGACAACGAGCCCAAGTGACAAATAGAAACGAAGAATCTACTGCCGATATTGTCGTTGATGAAAACCAAGAGCCAAAATTGTACATTGATATCGAGTCAATACGACCGAAAACTTTGAAAGACCAATTATCAACTATAATTTTTAATAACTTCCCCAATTTGAAAAGCATCGTTGTTGAAAAAGTGCTACTCAGTCTAATAAACTTGAATGTTGATTTCGAAAGGAAATTCAATTGGTCAATAGTCAACTATGAGTTTGTTGACCTGAAGGTGATTTTTGTCAAATTTCAAAAACTCGAAGATGTAAAATGGTTTGTGGAAACGTTTTTGGATATGATGCAGGTTATCCCTAAAGTTGAGATTATATACAGCAATAAGCTTGACGAATTATTATCTGAGATAAAAGTACAGCCAGGTATCATTACTGATCACTTAAAGACCCAAATCAAGCTTATATTATTCAATTCCAAAAACTATGCAAGTTCAAAACAGAGAGGGTTTGAAGACCTAGATCAAGCTATGAGGTCTTACAGCAATTACAAGGTTGACAAAAATGACTTGATTGATGTTCCAAACGACATGAAGGAAGGAATCATACGAGATATCATCAGATTCAGAACTAAGATGTTGACCATTGAGAAAGAAAACCGTCAAAAACAAATTGAAACGGAGAGACACAAGACTAAACACAAGTTGAGTAAATTATTCGAGAAAATACAAGAGGCTGCTGCTGAGGCGCAGACAAAGACAAAGACAAAGGCCGTCGATGAGTCGTCGTCGTCGGCGACGGCGACGTCGACGTCAAAACTTGTTGAGGACGACATTGAGATACTAAACGAGCACGAGGAGTTGAATGATACAGAATACAATGCGATGATCAAAGCAGAAGAAACTGCAGAGGATACAAAGGAGTATGAACAACGTTTAGCAAAATTGAAGGTAAAGGAAATCAATGAAAGAGCGCAACTTTATCATGAATTGGAACTTGCCAACAATTATGAACCTCAACTCTTGGAAAACAAACTCGATTATATCGATAAGTTTAAGAATTATTACCAGAATGGACTTGCTACATTATATGAACTGAACTATAATGAATACTTGAAGCAGAGAAATGCAAAGAGATCACTAGAAGAGAAGAATGATGAGCTTGACGAGGAGAAGGAGAAGAAAGAAGTAGCAAAAGTTACTCTACCAAGTTTCAAGAAATCTAAAGTTGAACAACAACATGAAAGAGAGCAAACGAAAACAAAGGTTGAACCAAGTGAAGAGAATAAAACGATAGTAATAAATGACTTGTCTCCTGAACTAAAAGAACAAATCAAATCAAAAATAGACGATCTAGTAGAAGATTGTCTTGGTGTTAAAGATGATGTCCTTCTCGAAGTCATTTACCAAAACCTTCAAACAAATAATCTCAAAGGCAAGAAAACTTTGGTGAGCGATCTTGAAGAAGTTCTTGATGAAGATGCAGAAACATTAATCAACAATTTGTACGATTTCATAAACTCGGTTGCATAAAATTTGAATTTTTATATATATTTATATATATGTAAATGATGTCAACTCTTTTAATGTTTTTTAGGAAAAGGTATAGTGTACAGTAAAAACTATTCAATCTAACGAAACTCGAATAAAAAATCAACTTATTGTGGGGAAAAATTAAAAAAACGTCTTTTTGATAACTTTTTCTCTTTTAGTTCTTTCCAATTGTACAAGAGTAGCTCAATATATCTTATTGATGAATGCTGAAGAAAAATTTTGGAAATGGGTGGAATAAAAATGGACTGGATGAGGGGGGGGGGAGGAGGGCAAAAGGATTTCTGTTTCTATTAGTTTGAAAACCTTGTTGTTTTTTTGTTGTTTTTTTGATTTTGATTAAAGCCCGTTCTCATACAATCAATACTGATGCTTATCACGAGGATGGATACAAAAAAAAAACTAACTAGTCTGACCCCTTAAATGCCTTTCTTTTCTTTTTTTTTTTTGTTGTTGTTGTTGTTTCTTAATGATACCAACCTAATGAATTAGATGCTTGAACAGGCTCTGAAATATTTTCTCCGCCATTTCTGCCTAGTTGCACCATCGTTTCACGATCTGTATGGTCATCATGAACACTCATTATTCCACCATGGTTAATTCTTGAAAAAATTGCTGAAAATCCGGATCCGCTCTCAGTAGTCACAAGTGAACCTTCATCAGATAAGCAGAAATTCAGTTCTGAGTCACTCACGGGTAATGTGATATTCTTGTTACTCTTTCTGAATCGTCTAAATAGCAAAACCATCAAACTCATATATATACCACAACCGGCAGCTGCCCCAATGGTTATACCTGCTACTCTTCCTTTGTTGACTGATTCTTGGTCTGTGTAGGTGGCATCCATTGATCCATTAGGGTTGACAGTTACCCCATTATGTGAAGAAGAACTCGATGTTTGTTCACTGCTTTCAGCTAAACCAGTCAAGGATATTCTACTATCAATCAACGACGCTAATGTGTTCCTCGTAGGATCGGGATTTCTATAAATTAAAGAACCCTCAGTTGTAATATAGTGACTCAATGCACTGATACTATCCGTTGGGAAGTAAACCTCTGCAACAGTTATTGTGTAATCAATGTTTGAAGCTTGGTATGGTATCAACCGAATAACTGCAACATTATCAAATTTCTTGCTATCCTTGAATGGAAACTTCAAAACATCAGGCAAAAACAGGAATATTTGAGCTGATGTAATTGTATGATTAACAACAAACGGATAGTTCAATGCCGCTTTAAATCCAACAGTTATCACGGAATAGCCGTCAACAAAACTACCTGTGACTTCGGGAGTGATAGCTCTTGGTAATCCAGATGTGGAATCGGGTGTGGGTGACGCTTGCACGTTGTTTGTTTGTGAGGCAGTAAGTAAACCACTTGAAGGTGTTTCAGCCATGACCAAAGATGAAGGCAACCAATTCTTCGTAGACGAAGTAGAAGTAGTTGCGGGTGCTTCTGCTGCTGCCGCGACTGGCTCAGATGTCGACAATGAAGATGCGGGTGAGGAGGATGAAGATAAGTATTCGGGTGCTTTTGATACCTCAGATGGAACATCTTGTGAACTTGTTGACTCAGCTTCTGAAGCAGTAGTTGACACCGTGTTGTCTGACGCAGTGGTGTATCCAACTTGACTCGATTCATCAGCACTGCTTTCTCCAGTAGTTGTGGCAACAGATTGATCATCACTGGTGGAACTTCCACTCTCAAATGCAACAACGGACGTGCCTGTTTCAAATGCATCCGACTCAATACCCTCAGAACCATCTGATGATGTAGCACTGGCTTCAGTGCTTTGTAACGCATCCGACTCTATACTTTGAGAAGTGGTAACAACCTCTAACGATTCATCGGAAGATTCTGTTGAAGTAGCAGTCGCAGTGTCATCATCAGCATCGGAACCAATGAAAATGTCAGCGGAGGTCTCCGAAGAAGAAGATGCCTCAGTAGTAGTGGTGATAGATGTATCCAACGTAGCTTCATCTGATGATGCGCCAGAAACAGCTGAAAATGAGTCAATTGTTTCTGAAGAATCAGCAGATGCAAGAGATGTAGAAAGTGCGGATACTGTTTCCAAATCGGTTGAATCAGATAATTCAGTAGTGGTGACTTCTAACAATGAAGATGTCGAGTTGGTTGCTGATCCTGTAAACGCAGTTGCGGTATCTTCTTCTGGTTCAACAGGACTTGCAGTGCTGGCTAATGCAGAGTCCAAGTCAATAGTAGTACTTGAAGCGGCATATATCGATGAAAAGAAATCGGAATAAATCAAAGTAGTCTCATAATCAAAGGCGTCAGCCGTAGTGTTGACGCCTGTAGATTCGATAGAAGTGGTGGGAGCATCGATAATTGTTTCCGAACTTGAAAACGCACCAGATGAAACAAATTGGGATTCCATGCCACTTTCAGTTGCCCAAAAGAAACTAGTAGTGGCAAAGTCTTCGAAATCAAACGAGGTGGTACTGGATGCCAGGTCAGAAGCATACCACGAAGATTCTCCACTTGCTATTGCTGTTGATTCCAGAACTTGTTCACCTGAGGAAGCAAAGTCTGACTGGTAAGATGTCGGGGTAGATGTATAAAAGGATGAACCACTTTGAGTTTGTTCGGTATCGGATTCAAAAATATACAGCTGACTTGCTATTGAAGGGAAAAATGAAACTTCAGAAGCTAATTGAAGGGAAAAGGAATTAAATGAACTTGGGTATAAAGGAACTACTGTTTCGGACGAGTCAGACGAACTAGATGCAGTAGTAGTAGTAGTTGTAGCAGTAGCAGTAGCTGCTGTTGCACTTGATGATCCAGAAGCTGAATTTACCAGAGCACTGGTATAGGTATCGCCTCTTGATGAACTTGTTATTATACCTGTTTGTAAAGCAGACATCAAAGATGATAAAATGTAACTTGGTGCTGCAGCTGAATTTGAGTCAATGGAGGAGGACTTTGATGAAGAGTAACCAGTGGAAGAAACCGCTGTTGTTGATGGTTCAATTAATGAAGTTTCTTCAGATTGAAGTTCATTCACCAGAACCTGCTGGGAAGTAGTTGATGCAAGAGCAGTTCTTTGACGAGAAAAGATATTCCCTCTGCTAGTATCACTTCTAACAACTGTTGGTGAACTACTACTTGTCGAAACTTCACTATTCACTGGTGAATTGTATCGTATAGATTGCAGAGTTCTTGGTGAATTAACGGAACTTTGCGATATTGAATTTGGTGATGTGTAATCTTGAGCAATTGCTTGTGCCCGTTGTATTGATGGTGATGATGATGATGATGGTGACGCTACTTCAGTGCTGCTTTGAGCCGCCTCTAATGTAGTAGTTGGGCTGAGAATATTGTTTACAATTTCTTGAAATGAATTCAAAAATTGATTTGGTTCTTCTGATACTGATCTCGCTTTTATTGAGTTAGACAGTGTATTTATATCGCTCTCCAGGGAATATGTATTGGTTGCGGGTGACGCAGTTAAGGATGGTGACTCCTTCTTGCTGTTGTTATCCCTAATTTCCAAATGCTGAGGCACATGTAAAGCATTGGTTGAAGAAACGAATGAAAGCACATACACGGCTGAAGCGAGACTCAATTTTATATTTGACAACATTGCTTAAAATAGCAGTAGCTTAAGATTAAAATAGGAGGCAAAATGGGGTAACTGGGAGGTAACTGGGATGTAAGGGCAGGCAAATGGGCAAATGGGCAAGTTATTGTAATGAGTGACTATAGTTGGTAATTTAGTGAAAAAGTGGTGGTGGAGGATACCGATTAGATGTCTTATTTCCTTTTTCTTTAGTTGGCGTGGTTATAATAAAACGAATGAATGACAAGGGAAATAGTTGGTAATAAAGGGAGGAAAAGAAAAGAGTTCAACGAATTTTGGTGAATCTGATAATCTCTTCCCAAAAAAAATTTTTTTTTCTTCAAAATTTTTTATCACCACGGGTTTGAATGAGTTTCCTCCTTTTAGTAATGAAATCAAAAGTAATTCAATATCTCAAAGTGTTGGGAACGCTGAAATGGGGAGGGAAAAAAGAAGTTGAAATAGGAATATAAAAAAAACTGTTAAAGGGGAGCAAGAAGAAAAACAAACACGCACAGACAGGAATGGAAAAAGAATGGGTGACTTGTTGTCTATAAGTTGTAAAGTGACGACAAGGGATAAAGGGATCTTTTTTTTTTCTTACAATCTGTGAGTCTAATACTCTCTTTGTCAGTCTTTTACTCTCTCTGTCAGTTTTTCACTCTCTCTGCCAGTTTTATCTGTTGGTGGACGGTTCAACTTACAGGTTAGTTCGTTGGTTGTAAGGTTTGCTAGTTGTAGGGTTCGTTACCTGAGTGGTTGTTAGTTAAACAAGTTTGAAGTGAAGATAAGATGTATAAATAATATATAGGAAATATAAGAATTCGTATTCTATATATTAATTATAACCCTTGCCGATGCTACCACAAGTACATCAAAATTCAACTACTACACGAACAACAACAACAACAACAACAAAAAAAAAAAAAAAAAAAAATTAGAACAAATAAGAGAAGAAAAGGCAAAAGAAGAACTAGAACTCTTGATCATCTCAGAGATACCGCGCGCTCCCCTCTAGAGTTGTAGCCCTTTTTCCTGAAACTGTAGCCTTTTTCCTGAAATTATAACCTTTTTCCTGAAATTATTACTTTTTCCTTCGTAAACAAAACAAGTTTAAATAGGAATAAATCACTGCAAAGTGTAAAATTAAGCTTCTCTTTTCTGCTTGATCGTTTTCACCTCAAAGTCTCAAGCCATACCAGCAATATTTTTATTGTACAACCTTATACCCAAGCTCCATTAGTTATTGTGGTCAAAAAGTATCAAATGATAAACACTATTTATTTTTACCCTTACCCATAAAAGGAAGAAAATAACTATAAGCTTTACACGAGACATAAACAAGCGCGTCTAAATAAATAAAAAAAAATATTTAAGCTTCTGTATTTTTTTTTTTTTTATCACTCTTTACATTTTCTCTGACACAACCACACACAACCGCACACCCACACCCACACCCACACCCACACCCACACCTCTAGTAATGACATTTGGTAGCGTTTATATTATCATTAGGCTTTTTTGTTTTCCATTCCTTCTTGAAACGAGCTTTAATGTTCATAATAGGCAATAAAAATCCAAAAAAAAAAAATTCCATCGTGTAAATCTAATGGATCTGGAACTAGAACCTGGCGGATTCAAAAAGAATAGATTATGAACTGGCAATTTTCAAAAAGAATAGGTTATGAACTGGCGAATTTCAAAAAGAATAGGTTATGAACTGGCGGGTTTAAAAAGAATCCGTTACGAACTTGAAAATCGTTGTTACTTGTGATCAGTCACGCCTCAATCATGGCATACTCAGGTATAAATCAGCCTATACCCTTTCCTTTCTCAATTGGAAAAACATCCTCAACATATTATTTTAAAACTTGTAAGTAAAAAAAAAAAAAAAAAAAAGCTTACTTTTGCAAGTCCAAGTTGTCAGCGTCACTCTTTTTACTGGGCATACACTTTGTATGAAACACTTTTATATAGGCGTGGCGCTAGCAAGACCTTCACCATCGAGTAGAGCGAGATAGTGGAGTAACAATCTAGTCAGCGTGCTCATGAAACTCGACACTATCGAGTGGGGAATTATTAGCTGGCATCGACATAAAACACTTCACTATCTCGCTCTGCTCGATAGTGGAGTAACAATCTAGTAGTGTGCTTCAGGTGCAAATAATGGACCATGGCATGATCTTTTTAAAGAGTGAGGAAACACTAGACACTGAAATCTCAAAGTAAAGCGTTAAAAAAAATTATTATTAAAGTTGGTTACAAATTGATACTGTCCAACACGCGGTTATCTCAAGCGCCAACGCCAACCATGATTACCACTATCTTCCTCGGATGACAAGAAACACAACTTGAATCTCTTAATATAGATAGAATTTGTATGAAAACAGAAATTACGGTGGAGTGCAGAATATGCATAAATACAGAAATTAAAGTGTTTGCAGGATTTGCAAAAATTTAAAAAAAATATATATATATATGGAGGAGCTGAGGGGATGGAGGATTGGCCTTAATGGGAATAAGAACCTTGATTTGTTCATTTTTCACACTAACTAAGCCTATTCAAAAGTAGTGACCTTTCCCTTCCTCTTACGCCTGCTGTTTCGATACTCCTCTAATGTGTATGACCAAAGTGGTTCATTTATCGTCAATGTATTTGACTTTACAAGTAAACCATTTATGATTACGAGGTGAAAGGCTTTTACTTTTCCAAAAAAAAAAAAAAAAGAAAAAATTTGGACTTGTTTATTTTCCGTTTTTATGTTTGTTCCCTCCTCTCCACACCTAAATGATGCACGAGGTTGATACTATATACTGCTCTATTAGAACAATCTACTCAGACACTATCGAGCAAAGCAAGATGGTTTCGTAACAAGCTACAAAGTGTTCTCGAGCAAAGCGAGATGGTTTCGTAATAAGCTGCAAAGTGTTCTCGAGCAAAGCGAGATGGTTTCGTAATAAGCTGCAAAGTGTTCTTGAGCAAAGCGAGATGGTTTCGTAACAAGCTACAAAGTATCCTGATAATCGAGGATCATTTAGATCTATATCCACTAGCTCGCTCCGCTCCCTAATGTCGGGTTTGTAAATTCTTTCTTGACTCTATTGCTGCGCCTCGGTTTTTCTGTTTCTTTTTTTTTGGTACTAAAACTATGAGTTTATTTTAAAAGACCCTTTCTCTTCGTCAAAACATCGTTCAAAAAATGAATGTTGCCATGCAAATAGTCTCAATTCAAGCAAACTATTTGGTAAACAATAAAAAAGAGATTATGGTTTGTTTGGTTTTTCAGTTTAACGAGTTGTTTATTCTAATTTGGCAAACACAATTACTTACTTGGATGCACTGAAATTAGCTCAGATTCAAAAGAAACTTGAGTACAGCTCAAAACAAGTTTGAACATTAATCGCTACCTCGATGTATAATGGTTCAGCCAATAAAATACTGACATCAACAGGCCTGAACACCCGTTGCTTGAGAATTGAATCTGGACATGTACTGTGTATACATTCATTATTAAAAACGTTTTTTACCGAATCGGGTATTTGGTAACACAAAAGAATAAATGAAACATGGAGAAAGTGTTGGTAAATTTTGGTGCTTTTTTTTTTCCTTACTCATTTTTGCCAAATGAGTAGTTCAAGAAATATATTGAATCCTGTTAAACCAATGACAATTTGAAAATACTCGCTAAACTTTTTAACTATTTCATTTGCTACAAAATAAGAGTGAAAAGAAAAAAGAAAGAAAAATCGTTTATCTGCGTATCTCTACGTATCTATGTCTTGACTTGATTTGTCATGTTCTTTGTTGAGAGAAATTTTCTTGTCTTGGTCTTTTCTATCCGTAAATTTTTCATCCCTATAACTCGAGGAAAAGCTTCTTTCACTGTTTATTTTCCAAATCCATAAAAGAGGAATTCGCCGTCTAGAATGAATTACTTTCGCGGTTGTCATTGTGATGGTAGGTTCGGCAAAAGAAAGAACCCAGAAGTTTATTGAAACCAGAAGTTTATTGAAATCAGAAGTTTATTGAAATCAGAAGTTTACTGAAACCAGAAGTTTACTGAAATCAAAAGTTTATTGAAATCAGAAGTTTACTGAAACCAGAAGTTTAGTGAAACTTTTGGTATTCCTCCTGTATGGGACCATTGCGCAGAACATTAAAAGCAAATGCTCACTACTGACTTGTTTGCAAACGAGTTGGAACTTAGACAGAAACGGTCTAGTTGGTTACACCTAAATTCAAATCCCAACCTGTTAAGCAAACACGTTTTCTCACTTCTACTTCCCTCTAGATTATTTTCAATCCCTCTCTTCCTAGCCATCTATTATACAAGACGCCAAAATACGACCCGCTACTAATGTGTTTCAATATTTTTTTTTCAACAATCATGCAAAAGAAAAAAAAAAAAAAATAAGTAAAATGACATTATACGCCACAACTCTATATACATCTGTAAAACTATAAATGACCACCACCAACAAGGGCAACGACTCCTATATTAGCAAAAGTGGCAAAAATAGCGGTAGCAGTAACAAAAAAAGTAGTAGCAGTAGTGGCAGCAGGCTACGCAAATTGGACAAGCTAGTTCTAGATCAATCCTCTTCGGCATTACTAGACGAAGAAGACCAAATAGAATACATCAAAGAATTGAGTATATACAACCAGGAGCAATACTCTAAACGCAAAAGACAATTGATTTACCTTTACATAATTGAAATAATTACAATCACCGTAATTTCATTGAAATATCGGAATGCTGCGGCCGATTTGGATAACTTGACCAGTTTATTGCTCTTGTTGAACATTTGTTTGAATATAATTACTACAATTGAACCACCATTTCAAATACGCAAATTACACAAATGGATCACTGTAATAAGTGGTTTGATTTCTCTACAAATAATATGGATGGATCTTACGAAGAAACAAGTTTACTATTTTGCCGTACTATCTAGTTTGAATTGGAGTTTGCCAATTTTATTCAAGTATTGGTTTCAAGAGATTGGTGAATCAGTAGAGGATTTGAATCAGTTAAAGTACAAGTACAAGAGTGCGTGAAAATGGAGAGATATTACAAATACATAAATATGTATTGTAGCAATAGTGTTTTTCCAGAAGTTTAATCAATGGGGAATACGAAAATATTTGAACGACTTGTCCTTGATAAAGTGAAACCTAAAGAAAAGAAAATGTCTCGTTTCTCTTCTTCTCTCTCTTTTCAGACCTCCTGTCGATAGTCTAACCGGACATGAGCAAACTGGAAAAGTAGAACCAGAAATAAATGTATAATTAAAAGAGATCTATATCACATCTAAAGTATGCTTTTTAAATGTCAACTTGAATAAACACTCCAAACTAGTGTGACATAGGCATAGAAATGCGACAAATGGTTTACAAATGAATCCGCTCTATATATCAATTATACAAAGACAATTAATCAAGACAGTTGATAAAAAAATATTAATCATGTGCCTGACCGAAAATACAGTTGTTTTTTCTTCAATATGGTTATAACAACTGATCTAATATGATTTTCAATTTATATACTAGTTTAACAATTTAGATAAGAGCATAAAGTTTCCTTTACCATTCACACCAGTCCCCTCTATTTTCTAATAATAAAAGTGCGTTTTTATCAGAAAGGAGAAAAAATATTTTTGGGGTGTTCTATTTTTAGATTTTTGACGCATTTGTCCCTAATAAGCATAAGGGGCTATATGGTAATCTTTTTGATCTTTTTGATTGTTTTCTGCACTCCATCTTTTTTTTTTTTTGGCATACAGAAAGGGAGAGAGAGAGAAGTATACTGATTTTGGAGTCAGTTTTTTAAAGGGCCTCTCTTTTCTTTTCTCAAGCTGTTTTTTCCGAATGCCCCTACCACACTATTGGTTGCTTTGATTTTCAATATCTTTTCTTTTCATTTCTTTTCCATCTTCCTTAATTATAAATCTATCGATTATATTAGGTACATATAATCACCTCCTCTTTATTTTTCGGCCCTGTGAAATAATTAATACCATTTTCCCCTCTAAAGAAAACGAGGCAGTGAAGATGGATAAGCAGGGAGCTTTTGTTGGTCATACGTATCTAATATATTGAAGTTAACATGTAACGGCATAATGAGTATTTGTGCTCAAATTGTACACACTACTATATGTATACCTTTGCATTTATTTCTTTTAGATACCCAGGCGCTTATTTAGTTTAGTTGCAAATTTAGTTGGAATCATAGCGTAATATTACAAGAAGCGCAAATCATCCAACTAAGCTTAGAGGGCAAGTTCAAGAAAAAAAAATGGACTCTTTTTATTGTACATACGAAAATAAATAGTTTCAAAATCAGTCATACACTTTTGTCAACTAGTTCTAATGCGGTATTCATCCCTCATCTAGGAGTAAGAGCAACGAATTGTTCATAAAAACGCAGGGAGAAAAAAAAAATGTTATACAAGTACTGCGAAAACTATCTGTTTTTCAATGAATGATATTTTTTTGTATTGTTTACTATTACGGTATTTCCCTTTTCTATCATATTCACAAACAAAAGGGAACAGGAAGGTGAAGGTGAAGGTAAAGGTAAAGGTGAAGGTGAAGGTGAATAGGAATGAAAAAGGGGAAGGGAAAGACAAGTTGGCCTTTTTTCCCTTTTTCCTTATTAGGAAAGTCGGAAGTATAGAGTAATATACAGTAGGCTTTTCTTTTACTATCTTCCCTCCCCTTCTTGGACACACACTCTCTCCCTCCCACTAGGAACTAAGAGTGAGAAATTTACTCATGCTTGGCTTAATTAGTTGTTGTTTTCTTGATTCAGTGACTTTTTCGGCACTAAAATACACACCTTCAGTAAAAGAAAGAAAGCTAAAGACAATCAAAGAAAGCGCGCTGCTACTTGATTGATTATGTATGGCGAGAATGATATAGATGTAGGAAATTGAGGAAGATGTGAAGAATCGGAACAAAGTAATTTTCATTTATGTAAATAGCATTTCGTCTTTATCCCTTTCCCCCAAAAAAAGCGAAAAATAAAAAAAATCATTACCATCCTTTCCTCTTTCTCCCATTTACTAGAGCTTTTTTTTTTGGGAGGGTCGTTTTCATTATGTGGAGGTCGAGATTAGTAGAAAAAAAAAAGCTTCTCATTTATAAAAGTAAAAAAAAAAAAAAAAAAAAAAAAAAAAAAAAAATGGGNAAAAAAAAAAAAAAAAAAAAAAAAAAAAAAAAAAAAAAAAAAAAAAAAAAAAAAATCAGGTGGTCACAGCGTGGTTGGAATAAGATGTTATCCTTAACTTTTGTTTTAAACTTAATATAGTGCATTTTTAGGCAATACAAAAAGAAAACGTGAGAATGAAGAAAAGGCAAAAACGGAAGATATGATCAAGAAAAGAGAGTCAAGACAATTGAATAAAAAAAAAGTCAAGACAATTGAATAAAAAAAAAGTCAAGACTGAATTGAATAATCAAGAGCAAACTAGGTAGGGAAATAAAACGTTGGACCGTTTGGGTCTGCCTGTAGGTTGCGATGTTGGTGGTACCAATGTCGGCGAGGGAAAAAAAATATATATATACATATGTATAATATGTATGTTACTATATTGATTTCTTTTTTTTTTTTTTTGGTACCTATAAGATATTGAATCTAGAACGAAATTGGTACTCCGTGGTGTGGAGACAGTGATTAGGGCGAAACAGGCATAATTTTTGCCGAGACGTTTCATCCTGAGGAATATTTCCGTCTGGTGTTAACCTCTGGAAATAATACGGATATTTTTATTTTGTTGTTCGTTTTTTTATTTTTAGAGCTACCTAACCACGTGTTGCAGAGAGGAGCAAAAAAGATAGACAGACCTATTATGCACATTGGGGAGGTTATGCAGTTATAAGAATGGGGAGTTCGGGGCACGAGGTTAAGGGGGTAACATGCGTGTTTCTACCCTAGTATGTGACTAACTCAAAATTGTGAAACATGACATGGCGTGGCCTCGTTCTTCCCAGGGCCATTATGGCAATGAGTTTTTTTTCATTTTTTGGTAAGCCTACTTTTGTTGTGATAACTTCCAATTAAAGGAAGAAATATTTTTACTTTTGATTGTTTACTCAAAGCACATCAGAATGAGGGGATGATATGATAACTTTTCTAGACTTGAATTTACTTGAATAATGAGGAGACTACCACTTCTGAAAGACTCCTTGGCTATTAGTGGAGAGCTTTCTGATTTTTTTTTTATTGCTTGCTAGACACAAAATAGTGGTAATAATAATAAAAAAAACGTCACTTTTGGCAAAACTAAACTTTGAGTAAACGTGCACTACCCTAGATAAACGCAAATATTGCATATTTGCAAATTCGTAGTAGGAATGAGAATGAGAAATGAAAAAGTAAACGTAAACGACAAACGAGGAGAGGGGAGGAGGGGAGGAGGAGGGGGAGGAGGGGACTTAAGAGTAGATGGTTAAAATGGTTTACAGGGTGTTTCCAAGGCGTTGTTTTGATAAATACTAATCACTAAATATTTAATTTGGATCACCACCATGAGAAAGAAGAAAAATGAAAAGGAAAAATATGTAACGATGTCACCACTTGCACTCTGTTCGAACCATCTTTTTTTTGCCTATAAAGGTTTTTTTATTTTTTTTTTTTCTTATTTAATAAATATTTATAAGCGATGGTGGTGGGTCTACAACCGACTTAGTGGGAGGAGTAATGCGCGGTCTGTGTAAGTGCAAATCCCGTGCATAAAATGAATTTTGAAGCAAACATGAAACTCAAAAATATCGCTTGAACATACATATGCGATCTGGACTTATTCCAGTTCAGTTTTTAATCTTGCAACTGAAAAACAAGGGACTAAACAAATAACTGGGGGACTCTTAACCGTATAACGTTTCCCACTGTGATTTGCTACTACCACTATCACTCACTTATCACCCTCAACCCCCCCCCCCCCCCCCCTCCCCCCTCTCCAGTACTGCTTCGTCCGTGCACTTTTTCCTCTTCTTCTTCTTCTTCTTCTTACCTTGGTCCTAAGTCCTTCTTTATTGTAAAACTTTTGCTATTGGCACTAATCCACAAAAGCCAAAGCCGAGATTGAAAAACTGTGGTTTTTCCGTTTTGTGTACTCCACTCAACCTAAAGTAGGCAACAATTCATGACCATGAAAAACTTTATTCCTTTAAAAAAAAAAAAATAAAAAAAAAAAAAAATAAATAAACTATTACTCATTATGGCTTCCCCCTTTGCATATTGCATACTCTAGCCATAGTAAACGAGCATATGGTAGCATAATACCAATTGAACTTGTATAAAGTCTAGTAAATATCCCTCAGATTTATGAAAAACTTTTCAATACCTAGTTTTCTATCATTTTCTTTAATTCAATACCGACTTACCTCCAAGAGTCATTATACAAGCGTTACCTACACCCTTTCACAGACCATTCTCAGGTATAGGCTTTTACTGCTATTGCATTTTAACTTCAAGAAATCCGTGAAGTACATACACTTTTTTTTATACACGTTTCCCTACCTTTATTTTTTTTTTGTTCATTAGCATTTCATAAACTTTTATACACATCCACATATATACGAATCAATGTCGGACTTTGCATTTAACAACTACTGTATACACTGCGACAAATTGTGTCCAACAAATCTGGTGTATTGCTCCGAAGAGTGTAAGATGATTGAATACCAATCATCACTAGATTCGGCCACCACCAATGCCAATACAACAGGTACTACATCTTCATTGACATCATCTACAACGTCGTCAGCTTCGTCAGTACGCCTATCTAATCCTTCAACGTCGGATCTTTCTCAAACTTCGTCGGAATTAGTCTCTCCCTTGTTAACACCAGCCTTATATTTGCAGCAACAGCAGCAACTACATTTGGGTCCAGGATCATCGCCATTCATGCAGACACATTTAGTTGATGTCGAAGGCAATGACGATTATTCCGATTTGAATTATTTTGACTTGAATTACTCTGTAAGGTCCAATATCAATTATACTCAAACTACAAATAACTCTAGTGACAAGAATGAAAAATCAACAAGTGATTTGTTGAATTCAACTTCACACAATTATAGAAAATGGTTGACTGCTTTGTGAGTGTCGGTTGGTACTATAATACATTCACCACTAAAAAAAAAAACTACAGTATATTTTTACACCCACGGCTACACTACAATTATTTGTCGTAGTCTTTATCAACGGAATACCGTTTTATCCGTTTTATCTTTTTTTTTTTTTTTTTTTCCTAAAGATTTAAACAAAAGTGAGAGATGGCTTGGCTTTTGGTTAACTAAGTTGATTTTGATACCTAACAAGTCTTTTTTTCACACCAGTATATATATATAGGTTTACAAAAAATAAATGTAATACATGTTTATTTTCAATTGATCTTTTACCAAAAAAAGAACACATCTTTTGTGCGCAATCTTTTCGTAGTCTTTGATCCACTGTTACATAACCAACCAAATTTCTACACTATCCACACCTTATCAGGTCAACATCTTATAACTCGTATTAAGCTCCATAATTCGGTTTTCGGAATTTATGATGTGTAAGTGCATAAAGCAAAACCGGGAACGGTATCACAAAATAAATAAAAAAATTGGAATGTCTAAAATGAGCTTTAGTGATAAAAAGCAATGTAATGAACATGGCTGAAATATTAGGAAAAAAATCTGCTCATAATTTATCCGTCCCATACAGGACACGGGGGGGGGGGGGGGTATACGTCCCACCACCGACCCACGACACTATCGAGCAGAGCGAGATAGTGGAGCACATGGACTAGTTACGACATTATCAAGTAAAGAGGTATAGTGGAGCTGCCACCGACACTTTCGATCTACACTATCGAGCGGGGCATGATTTTCTGCTAATATGGGGCGTGTTTTTCTATTAAGATGGGGCGTGTTTTTATATTAAGATGGGGCGTGTTTTTATATCAAGATGGGGGCATGATTTTCTACCAAGATGGGGCGTGTTTTTCTTTTTTTTTTTTCGGCCCGGTTCTTCTCAGGATCTTCTTTAAAAAATTATGTCTAGTTTTATTAGAGAATTTTAAAGCAATGATAAATTTGAATATCTAATCACATAACCTCTTTACTGTTTTATAACAAGTTTCTCATTAAATACCATGTCTCTACGAAAAAATAATGGAATATTTTTATTTAAGTCGCTTGTTCTACACAATACACACACACTCTTTTTCTCTCTCTCGATAGTGTTCTAACAAGCTACAAGTGCTGCTCCACTAGGGAGCGAAGCGAGCTAGTGTCGCCTAGTGTTGCTACTAAGTGTTGTTCCACTCACTTCGATCACTAGTGTCTCCCCGTGTGAAATCAAATAAGCTGAAACACGCAAAAAAAATTTTTCAAAAGGCTTAAACATTTTGACTCTTAAACGGTTACAAGGATGCAATATTTTGACACAATGTCTCTTGCATATACTGCATACCTCTATCAACTAAATAGGAATACCCGTTTCAACCAAGTTGATTTCAAATAAATGTACTTTTTACAATAATAAAAGTCCTTATAGAAAACTCAACTTGTCTCGTATTAATTCCCTATTCTTGTCCAGTTTACTTTTATTCCCACTCACCATCAACGTCAAATTGCTTCAGTTTTTACCCCTCAAGCCTCCTTCTTTTTGGTTCATAATCTTTTTTTTTCTCTCCACCGATCAAAAAGAACAAAAAATATTTTAACCTTCTATTGCATGAAAGAAAAAAAAAAATCTGGAATTGCTGCAGATCACGTGTTATGTGTTATAAGAAAATTTTTCTATTGTTTTTTTTGACATATTTTATCCTTTTTAGTAAAACTAAGACGAACGAAATTGGACCAGTTATTTTATTAAGTAGCAGAGTAAAGTCTGATCTACTCGATGTATTGACCACTATTGACTAGTGGATCATACTAGTTGTCACCGACCCTGGCTTTAAGGATATTGAACATGTCTTTTAAAGATATTGAGCATGTCTTTTAAAGATATTGAGCATGTCTTTTAAAGATATTGAGCATGTCTTTTAAAGATATTGAGCATGTCTTTTAAAGATATTGAGCATGTCTTTTAAAGATATTGAGCATGTCTTTTAAAGATATTGAGCATGTCGTGTTTTTGGTAGAAGAATAAAAGCAGCTTGACAAAATTACAGCTTCCTTGTAGTAGAAGTCTTCAACGATTTACAGCTGGTTCAAGGCCGTCCCCCCCCCTCTTGGCGTTATATCACAATATAGTAGTTCTTACAGACTAATACAAGGTTTACGTGCTGCTCCACTATCTCGCTTTGCTTGATAGTGGAGTGTTGATAGTGTCGATAGTGTCACTAGTCAGTGCTGCTCCACCATCTCGCTTTGCTCGATAGTAGAGTGCTGGGTGGCCTTGATATTCTTCTTGTCTCGCTTGAGGCCGTTCATGTGGTAGCGCCACGGTAGCACTGAATATTTTTCTTTTCTCTTTTCTCCCACCACTCACCGCCCAATGAGGCGCTGGTGGAACAAAATTTTTCACGCTTGATATAAAGAGAAAAGCAAATTACTTTGGATTAGTTACTACAACAGCAACTTTGCAACCCAGTTTTACACTGATCAAGTATGATTCCCTCATTAGTTAGATCAGGAGGAACTATATGGAAATTTACTCCACGCATCACATCAACACAGCGAGCCAAGTTGCGCAAGAGACTGTTACAAGTCGATGAAAACATTGAACAAATATATCAAGGGTTGATTCAATCACAGCCCGATAAAAATGATGGCGATAAGACTGATCTGGCCAAGATCAATTATTTGAAATTCGAATTTCCAAAGTACAACGACTTGGGTAAGAAGGATCGATTTTTCACCTTTAATAGAAATCTGAAGGACTATAGAAAACCTGTGCAGCGGGTACCGAAATGGACAAAATTGTCATTTAGAGAGAATCCGAAATATTTCTAAAATAGCTTGATGAGGAGAGAAGAAAGAGTGAGGAGAGAAGAAAGAGTGTGTGTGTGAGTGAGAGTGAGTGAGTGAGTGAGTGAGTGAGTGAGTGAGTGAGTGAATGAGTGAGTGAGTGAGTGAGTGAGTGAGTGAGTGAGTGAGTGAGTGAGTGAGTGATTGAGAGAGTAGTTATACTGTATATACGATAAGAATTTTGTTTCCATATTCATAGATTGTCCCATATGTAATCAGCAATATATTTTTCTGAATACTCGGGTTCGATTGTGATGGACGTAGCATATTCGCCGTTATCTATAATAATGACATCCTTTTCTAGTGGAACGTCAATATTCTTATTCTCCTCCTCCTCTTCTTTTTCTTCACCAGAAAGTGGGATCTTATCAGTATCGTTGTTTGTCGTTGCCAACCGTATCCCTAATTGTCTATATAAACATATCTTTTGAATCTCCCCATCATTTTGCAATATTTCCTCCTTCTCGCCAACTTCCAAATCAGGGTTATTCAACTCTTCTTGTAGTACGTTCAATTCTCGATTCAAGTTATTTCTCCTATTTGTCAAATTTGCAATCGAAGTTTGAATGTCCCTTGTCTCATTGATTATCCGCATTCGTAGATTCTCTAATTCATCCAACTTGATTTGTATCACTTGAAAAATGTTTCCCGATTTATCTACTTTGGTAGGGAGTTGATAGTCGCTAATTGCCGAGTTGGCGTCTATCAACTCATAATTATAATCATTAATCTTATTCAAAAGATTTATCTCCTTGGTCTTTTGCTGGATTTCATAACTTAGTCTTTTATTCGAGTCTTTGAGTATCTTTAACTCACGCTCTCTTTTCAATTTGGTATCGTTTAGTACGGCCTCGACTTGTTCTATAGTTTGCGACTCAACATCCAAGTTCAATTGCTCTATCAATCTTTGTAGTTTCTGGTCAGGGGTATCTAATAAACTCATCGCCAACAGTATGATGTTTTTCCACCATAAAGTATAATTCATCTTTACTTAGTTGTTCCAATATTTTTTGTTTATGTTTATGAAAATGACAGCGCTACCAAATACCACCACTTTTCTATTAAAGGGAAAAAAAAAAAGTAGGAGAAAACCAAGCTAATTCATGATACTAAATCATACGTTTTTTCAACAAAACACCAAAGAGGATCACGGATGAGTTACTCTAGGCACGATAAGAAAGGGTTTTCCGATGTTGAACTCCACACAAATCCCAATTTGCCAAGTTGGATAATTTCACCAAAAGAGGAAAAAGCCATTTTTGAAAGATGGAGAAAAAAGGCATTTGCCCTGTGTGATGAATTGATTAAACGATATATTGAGTGCAGTAACCTGTATAAGAGCCCACTCGAAGCAATGTCCAAATGCAAAGAGGCGAATGCGGCAAGTATGAAGTGTGTTGAGCAATTTCAAACTAGAGAGTGTTTAGAAGAAGAACGTGATTTATTTATTAAGGAAAAACAAGAAAAGAAGAGATTGTACAAGTTGCGATTACAACAGAGCAACACTATCGAGCAGAGTGAGATAGTGAAGCACACTGACTAGCTTCACTATCGAGCAACACTATCGAGCAACACTATCGAGCAACACTATCGAGCAGAGCGAGATAGTGGAGCACACTGACAAGCTTATTACAACACTATCGAGTAACACTATCGAGCAGAGCGAGATAGTGGAGCACACTGACTAATTTATTACAACACCATCTCGCTCTGTTCGATAGTGTCGATAGTGTCTTTAGTGGAGCACACTAGCTGTCACCTACATGCCTTTACAGTAGCTTTAATATGTGTCTATGGAGTTATGGATATTGGGTGATATACGAGAGTTTTGTAAATATAGTCATAAATAGGGTAACTTTGAAGAAACAGACATTATCGAGCGACACTATCGAGCGGAGCGAGATAGTGGAGCAACACTCAGTAGCTTGTTACAACAATATCGGGCAGCACTTAGTAGCTGCCACTGACGATCGACACTATCGACCCGAGCGAGATAGTGGAGCAATGACTAGTCACAACACTATCAAGCGGAGCGACTCAGTAGCTTGTTACAACAATATCGAGCAGCACTTAGTAGCTGCCACTGACGATCGACACTATCGACCCGAGCGAGATAGTGGAGCAATGACTAGTCACAACACTATCAAGCGGAGCGACTCAGTAGCTTGTTACAACAATATCGAGCAGCACTTAGTAGCTGCCACTGACGATCGACACTATCGACCCGAGCGAGATAGTGGAGCAATGACTAGTCACAACACTATCGAGCGGAGCGACTCAGTAGCTTGTTACAACAATAGCGAGCAGCACTTTGCAGCTGCCACCGACTAGCGACACTATCGACCCGAGCGAGATAGTGTCGATAGTGTTGATGTTGCTCTAGTTACTAGATTCTCTTATTGCCTCGTCATCCTTGAACGATTCCTCTTCAAACACCCTGTGACTAGCCATAAACAAACTAGCCTGAAGTTTTCCCAACATCTGGAGACTTTGATACTGCTGAGCAGTTGTTTTCAACAATTCATTAAAATCCGATACATTTGCATGTAATTGAGCAACTTGAGAATTCAAATGGCTTAATTGTCGTTGAGTTATTGTTGACGTGGATACCTGTATACTTGGTCTAGAGGCTCGTTTGGGGGAGCTCTGTTGCTGAGACGACATTTTTCAACCCCTTGATCATAAATATAACACTATCGAGCGAAGCGAGATAGTGGAGCAGCACTGACTATACGGTTGATAAATCTCTCTCTACTACAAAATCAACTCACATTTTGCATTGTTGATGTCTTGATGAAAGCGAGACACAAAAAAAGACACGCCGAAAAAAGACACCGGGAAGAAACACCGAGAAGAAACATCGAGAAGAAACATCGAGAAGAAACACCGAAAAGAGTTGCCGAAAAGATGCCGAAAAAAGATGCTCATTAATCACTAGAGTGAAAACTATTGATTTGGTCAATATTGTGCCAACCACATCGTTTGCTCGATTCACGATCGAGTGACACTATCGAGTGACACTATCGAGCGACACTATCGAGCGACACTATCGAGCGATACTATCGAGCAGAGCGAGATAGTGGAGCAATGACTAGTCACAACACTATAGAGCGACACTATCTCGCTCTGCTCGATAGTGTCGATAGTAGAGCACATTGACTAGTTACGACACTATCTCGCTCGGCTCGATAGTGTCGCTCCGCTCGATAGTGTCGATAGTCGGTGGCAGCTACTAAGTGCTGCTCGATATTGTTGTAACAAGCTACTGAGTCGCTTGATAGTGTCGCTTGATAGTGTCGTGAATAGTCATTGCTCTACTATCTCGCTCCGCTCGATAGTGTCTCAAATTTTTAGTTTCCGATTTTGTCGTTTGTTTTTTCTGAGTCGCTCCGCTCGGTAGTGTCGTGACTAGTCATTGCTCCACTATCTCGCTCCGCTCGATAGTGTCGCTCGATATAAAGGTATTAAATATCCCGGGAATCACATTAATACTTAGCATAGTTTATGTCAAACTTTACATTTGGTACGAGATACAAGATTACACTTTTTCCATTTAAAGCTCATTAAATTACTTCTTCTATAAAGCTCTAGAGTATTTCAAAAAAGGTTTCCACAACAGTTCCCACAACGGTTTCCACAAAGGTTTTGCCTCATAACTCAATTTTTTTTTGCCCATTTTTTTTTACAACACACCCCCATAAAAAAAACTTGCCAATCGTCAAGTTGAAACGTAAGCTCAATTTCGGTAAATTTCCAACTACCTTTCTTTGCAACATTTTATAGCTACTGTTTTTTCCTACAAACCGTTTTCTTGCAACGGTTTTTTGCAACGTTTTTTTACAACTCAATTTCTGTGCCTATTAAATGGAAATTTCCCGTGTCCTATAATAGACTATATAGTACGGTACGATAAAAATTTTACTCAGCTAATTGGTGCTGCAATTTTCGGGCCTCAAAGATGGACCACAAAAATTCAGTGTCAAATCAGGCAATACCAATATCATCACAGGCACAACTATCAAGTAGATTGTCAGCTTCGAAACTGGTAACAACAATACCGTCTGCAACACCAAATGCAACACCATTTGCAATACCTGCAACACCAAATGCAACACCATTTGCAATACCTGCAACACCAACTGCATCTGCAATACCTGCAACACCAACTGCATCTGCAATACCTTCAACACCGTCTACTATCCCTATATCCAAGAGTCTAGCCAAACACCCAACCCCCACAAACCAGATATTTCAACAAGTGATGCCCCTGGCCAACTCAACTGCTCCGCGATTACATCCAGCTCCCAACAACACTGTGTCAGCAAAACTAAACACTAAATCTCATATACAACCTGCTCCCTCAAAGCAACAACAAATACGGCATCATCCTATTGCTCCAAAGTATACGAGAATTCAACCAGCACTTGCTCCAAAACGCGTCACCGCAGCACTCCCACAACAAACAAGTAGATTCAACCCCATACCTAATGGCAAAATATCCCTTTTGATGAAACTGAAAGTACCAGCTGGTGGACGGCATCAAGAGTCTGCTTCTTTGAATACGTCAAAAAAATGGGTATTACCGCCACGTCCTCGACCCGGAAGGAAACCAACTGCAGGGGAATGCGATAAAACTGTTAAACCACATGCTAGTAAAAAGAAAATAAAAGTTGACACGGATAATAGCGTTGCGGCAACAGGTGTTGGTGCTGCAGCAGAAGCACCAGCACCAGCACCAGCACCAGCACCAACACCTGTTGTGAAATTGGAATCAATAGAGAAAACGAATATGGTCCAACTAGTAAACGCACCAGAGACTAGAAACTTCATCACAAATGTGAATAAAGCAGTAATGATTTCTGAAGGTCTTCAAAATGGACCCGGACCTGGATACGGACCTGGATCTGCACCTACGCAGTTTGGTAGCGGAACTCCAGCAGTTAAGGAGATGGCCCGGCTTTCCCAGATCAATCACATCGATAATACTACTGCTACTACAACTGCCAACGTATTGAGGCCAGTACAATCTGTACCAAGCACAAGTCCAATCAAAGTGAAATCTGAGATAAAGACGATCCAGCAACCTATACAACTAAACCCTTCAACTCTTCAAAATGTTCAGAAATTGCCCACGCCACCACCACCAACCAAAATAAACGATCCAAATGTCCAAATGATGGACTTGAAAAGATCTTATTTATCTAAATTGAAAGAACAAGAATTGATGCGGAATTATATTGAAATATTAACTAATCAAATTAAAGAATTGAGCTTTGTTCAAAGCGGTGTAATCACATTCGATGCTTTGAAAACCAATGCTAAATATAGCCCCAATGGCATGAGCTCTAAGAGGCTTACTACAACATTGACCAATTCAAGAATCGATCAATTGGATATGATCAACAACTTGAATGATTTGAATAAGTTTTTAAACTACTTGACGAAATCATCAGATATAATCAAAAGTGTTCAAAAGCAAGCAAATTCTGTGAATACATCAGAATCAATAAATCGTCAAATCGATTACTATTTGAATTTAAGAAACACATTAAAAGCGATGAATAATAAAAAAATGAACAATTGTGCGGTAAATGCTAACAGCAAAGAAAATAGCAAGGGTGAGTCTCCAACTGCCACGGCAACGACAACGGCAACGGCAACGGCAACGGCAACGGCAACGACAACGGCAACGACAACGACAACGACAACGAGGACAACAACACCAAATTCTTTCCCTGTATCATCATCTTCTTCTTCTTCGTTTACTCCGGGTTTATTGCAACCTTCCAAAGCAGCAGATTTGTTCAATGATTCTACGTTTGATTACGATATGGAACTACAAACCGCAACAATTGCAGAATCTCCTGTTTCCTCGATCAAGACAATGGAGAATATGAAGAGCAATAGTGATGTTTCTAATCAAGTAAATGAAATGGATATGGACTTTTTTGTAAACGAAAATGAATTTTTAAATCGACTAGTTTTGTATGATGATTATTATGACAATGACGATATCAATGTGAAGAAGGAAGAGATGGAATTGGGGAAAGTTGAGATACATGATGGGATAGCGGTAGACGAAAGGCAACGAGGAGAAGGAGAAATAGGTAATGATAATAGGGACATTTCTGTAGAGACAACTTCTAGGCAGACGAACCTTATCAATAACGAAACGATTACAAAGAAGAAATTGAAATTCAACTGTGGGTTTTGTACAAAAGATACTCCGTGTTTATGTTTTGATTCTGATTTGGAATTAAATAGTTTACGACAATGAATGGGATTAGGGTATATATGGGAAATTAGGATAGGCATTATGAACGAATAAACGAAAATAAAGAGGCAAAAAAGATGTATTAATGAGACATAATAGTTTTCAAACTGTAAAAAAAATGTAATTGCATTGGAATCATTCTACCTAGTAAAACTCTTTCCCCCCTCCCCTTGTGGTTTGCTTTTCTTTTTTTCTTCTTTTTAAATTAGTTCCAGAAGAAGGCCAAATAGGTACCAATTATAGCTGTTGCACCCAACACGGTATAACCGGTTCTGTAAACACCAGGAATAGTCAACTCTTTACCGAAATCCCAAATAAGGTGTCTTAATCCATTACCGAAATGATAAATAAATGGGTAAGCACAAACAGCTTTAATGCTATACTGCAAAAAAACAGGTAAACTTGTAAAAGCAGAGACCAAAGTGTTTGTGTCGAATGGAATTCCAAGTATTGAAGTAGCGGCAAAAGTGCATGTCAAGGCGTAGAAAGCGCCAGCCATTGCGACACCGGTAATTCTATGGAAACTAGACATGATCCATGTTAATTGTGGTTGATAAATTTGCAAATGTGGTGATACAGGTCTATTTCTGCGCTGAGCTACAAGTGCCTCTTGTTCTTCATCCGATGTTGTTTTCACGGTTGATATAGATCTCCTAGACAAAACAGTAGCTGTCTGAAATAGTAATGATCTATTTATCAATGATATTGAAGCTATACTTTTAGGTCTTGACAAATTTAACGCATTTCTCGATACCAAGCCAATAGTCTGCTTGTTTAGCAAACCCACACGCGATATCATCATTTTTATCCTTACCTTTTACCCTTTGTTCTTGTACTGGAAAAGGAAGAGAGATAACCAAAAAGATTTTATCTTAATCAACAATACTCTCATAGTTGGTTATCCCGGGGAAGAGGTTTTTTTTTTTTTTCGGTAAACGCTGAGCCAGATTTCAGCCAATCATATTCTTTTAATTTTTAATTCACGCTACAGACGGAAAAAAGAAAAAGAAAAAGATAAGTGTAGTGGTAGCGCACGACACTATCGACACTATCGACACTATCGAGCGGAGCGAGATAGTGGAGCAGTATGTAGTTTCAATCATTTGACACTATCGAGAAGAGCGAGATAGTAAAGCAGTATGAGTTTCAAACATCCGATAAGGAGCTTGTCTAAGGAGCTTGTTTAAGGAGTCAGGTTATTATTCTACAGACACTAGGGAAAAGTCAGATTATTTCAAGTGTTTTTCACTATTATTGTAAACTGCGAATAAAGGGAAACTATTTTTTACATATAAAGTTCTAGAGCAAGAAAGAGGCGAGCTTCAATCCTTTTGTAATTGTTCGATAGCAATATATTAATAATAACACAACTGTGCAATTTTGCAAGTTGTAGCTGTTCAAGTTGTAGCTGTTCAATTTACATGTGCAATTTATAGTTGTTTTATAGCTGTTCAATTTATATGTTCAATTTATAGCTATTCAATTTAGAGCTATTCAATTTATATGTGCAGTTTGTTTTATTAAAACTTTGGTCTCTGTACGATTATGTATGGAGTGTTTTGATTAAATGTCGTTAATGCAGTAAAATGTCTCACGATAATAAAAAAATGTCGGTACGCACAAATTATTGCTTTCCAACCCTTTCGAAACAATTTGTGATTATATCTCTTACTCCAAGACAGGTGGAGTCGAGAAGGACAAATTGAGAATAACAAGCTGATCATGAGTCGAGAATAACAAGCTGATCGTGAGTCGACAATATGTCGACAATACGTTTAGAACAAGTCTGTCGAGAATGTTGAGTAAAAAGAATGAGGCAATATAGCGAGTTTTTAACTGAAAAAAAATGTGAGTTTTAGTCTGCTACCCAGTAACAGGCCAGATAGACAAGATTATAAAGCTTATAAAGGAACAATACAAATTTGTTTCTTTATATAAAGAAAGTGCTACATATGTCAGATATATAACATATTGCAAGTTTATGAACTATACACACACACACACACATACACACGCACACAGACACACACACAAACTCAAGAAGCCTATATAGATAATATACATATAGACATATACAATTTTTCTCCCTTTACACACAAACTTACTTGGTGACTGAGACGACACCCACAGGCGTCATCTACTCACAAAAGACTCAGAGCGAGGAATTGGAGTGCGATGATACAAGTAAAATCATCTATTGCCACGAATAACATCGGGAATACTAGCAAGATCATCGACAAGAACAAAACTACCGCTGCTACTGCTACTGCTACTGCTACTGCTACTACTAAACCAATAAACACAACAATATCAGCTACAGAAAATGGCTCAGCTATACATGGCGACACCAAAAACAATATACTGGATAAGGATATCTCATACAAAGAGAACCACACAACATCTAACACAACATCTAACACACCATCTAACACAACATCTAACACAACATCTAACACAACATCTAACACAACATCTAATCACACAACATCTTGTCAAGACCACACAACATCTTGTCAAGACCACACAACAACTAATCAAGACCAGACGATAGATAACCCTGACGGTCAACAACGGCATATTCATTTCAATTCAAGGAAATTACAAGCGCAAGGACAACTTCCCCTGCAGCCCCAACAACAACTCCCATCTCCAACGTCGTCTCGCCATAGCCGAAATAGCAACGAATCAAGCAAAACATCCGGCTCAGAGAATCAAAACTCAAACGACAACAAGACTACCGCCAACACCGCCAACACCACTACCAACACTACTACCACTACTACCACTACTACCACTACTACCACCACCACCAATGCACACGATCCCCAAAACTCAGTAGGTAGTAAATCCGATTTAATGTTTACCAAGAAAGACCTAAGTAAATCTCGCACTCAATCATTTCAGTCAGTTTTATCGATTGCATCTTTAAAATCCTTGAAACAACAACTGCAGCAGTCAACTATGGTCAACAACATACCAGGTAACTCCCAGGGTGAAGCATCGGGGGGGCAGCAACAACTACATCAGAGTATTGCTAACCACTCTCAGCAGCTCCTGAGAACTAATTCCACTATCATCAATTCCAGAAATTTCCAATCTTTTATACAAGCACCGGTATTATCAAGTATAAACAATCTAAATCTGACTGAAGATTTGCAAATTGGTCAGCAACAGTCATTTGATGATAAACCGTATCAAGATGATAAAGCAAAAAGTGATACTCTTAAGTCCTATGAAACAAATACAGATGACGACATCAATGATGGATCTAACGATGAAGAGACTTTACAACAGCAAAGGAACCTTACATTGAATGCATTGAAGAAATTGACCCTATCCCCGAGACCAGTTACTAATCCAGATGATTTTATTCCATCTAACGTAGAACAACATCAACAACAACAACAGCAGCAGCAGCAGCAGCAACAACAACAACAACAAAACTCTACAACCAAATCAAAAGCACAAGAACCCTATCAGCCAGCTGAGGTAGACTTGTCATCATTTGCAAGTCTTACCAGACAGCCTAAAGTAGCTCCTTCAAAAGTTGCGTCGCCTCAATCCTCCTCAAATAGTCAGCTGGACAAAATTGTTCAGCCAAAAGTTGTTAGCAGACAATCACTACCTACTACGTCACCTGAGGGAGAACAAACGGATACAGAATTCACAACAGATCAAAATATTAATCAATACCATCGAAACTTGAAACAACTACAAATGGATGCTTTTAATAGACTGCAAGTATCGCCAGAAAAACTCAACCAGGTTGCTGGTCAGGCACATGCTCAACAACAACAGACGCTATTGCCACAATATCATAATTCACAACTTCTCCACCGACAAACCATGCAGCAGGGTGCTTTCTTTTCAAATATATCACATCAAAATCAAAACCAAAGTCATAGTCAAAATCAAAATCAAAGCCAAAGCCAAGGTCAAAGCCAAGGTCAAAGCCAAAGCCAAAACCAAAATCACAGAGTTCCTGCGGCAGTTGTTCCACCTCATGATTTGAGCACCAAAAGAAAGCCACTGAATTTGGCACTACATACTGTAGGTCACCTTCAGCATCAAGTTACTCAACAATCGAATCAGCAACAATCTCCGGCTTCAGCTCAAGCGCCTCCTCAAAATACCAACCAGGCAAAATATAGAGCAACACAACACCTACAGCAAATTAAAGGTTTGCGGAACCCAATGTACATTCCAGCAGTTTTAAGAATGACTCAGAATGGAAACTATACTCCCGTGAATCGCTCATCTTCAAATTCTCCTGAAACCACGCCAACATCACCAAACAAGAACGGCAACAACAATAATAATAACAATAACAATAATAGCAATAACAATAATAACAATAATAGTATTAACAATAATAACAGTACGTTCACTCTGGACTATAATTTGGAATCGCATTTGCAGACATTTGATTTAAATTACAACGCTTCATCAAGAGCTTCAATAAGGTCAACGGACTCTACGATATCTGTAGAATCAGGCAGCTCACCAAAATTTGGAAGCTTTAATACATTGAACAAGTTTCTAGGTACTGCGGCGTTAAACAAAAATCACGATTACTTATCAAAAGCTCCACCTACAAGAAGACATTGGTTGAAAGATGAGAATGTGACCAAATGCGGTATACCAAATTGTCAGAAACAATTTAACTTTTTCGAAAGAAGGCATCATTGTAGAAAATGCGGAGGTATTTTTTGCAACGAACACACATGTCATTATTTGTACATTAACCACATGGCCCAATTTACTACTGGCGGTAGAGGAACGTTGTCCAAAGTTTGCGATAATTGCATTAACGAGTATAACGATTTCATTCAGCAAGAATTTGGTGTACGTATACAAAATGTAAAACTGCCGTCGCCAATAGATCTGAAAGTAGGAGAGAGAAATAATACTACGTCTCAACAGCACCATCACCATCACCACCGCCAGCAGCAGCAGCAGCAGCAGCAACAGCAGCAACAACAAGAGGAGTTTTCGTCACATCATTCAACAGATGTTCCAAAACGTACGCAAATACAAAAATTTAAAAATAGTTTGGCAGCCGGAGGAAACAGTACTGGTAACAGGAATGAACAACCAGTTGGAAGTGTGCCTGCAAATTGGAGCTGGAGCTCTTTTTAACTTATTCTTTTAGTACCTTTTATGCTCTTTTCTAATAGTTTATATTTAATAGAAGTTTTTATTAAAAACACATTTGCCATATTACACGACTCTGAAAAATTCGGGAACACGAGTTTGTAAAGAGTCTCCCCTGTCAAAAACCTTGAGACTTGATACGATACCAACCTTTTGAAGGACTTTGTTTCAATCAACGAGAATGAATGCACAGTCGTCAGCAGCCCAATTGAAAATAGCGGGCATAGATGTTCAGCTAATAAGAACTTTTCTCAAGGTAGTTATATTGATCTCAATAGCTGGTGCCGCTATATCATCACGTTTATTCTCAGTGATCCGTTTTGAATCGATTATCCATGAGTTCGATCCATGGTTTAATTTTAGAGCTACTAAGTACCTTGTGACACACTCGTTTTACGAGTTTCTCAACTGGTTTGACGATAGAACTTGGTACCCCTTGGGGCGTGTTACTGGTGGTACTTTATACCCTGGATTGATGGTTACTTCAGGTGCAATATGGCACATTTTGAAAGACTGGTTCAAATTGCCTGTTGATATTAGGAATATCTGTGTTATGTTGGCTCCAGTATTTAGTGGACTCACCGCTATCTGTACTTACTTTCTCACTAAGGAAATGAAGGATTCTAATGCAGGGTTGTTAGCCGCTATATTTATGGGCATTGCTCCTGGCTATATATCAAGGTCGGTTGCTGGATCTTATGATAACGAAGCAATTGCCATTACCTTGCTTATGGCCACTTTCTACTTTTGGATCAAGGCGATGAAATTGGGTTCTGTTTTTTTTGCTACTTTAACTGCTATTTTTTATTTTTACATGGTTAGTGCTTGGGGTGGCTATGTTTTCATTACCAACTTGGTTCCATTACATGTTTTTGTATTGTTGTTAATGGGCAGATACAGTCCCAAGTTATATACTGCTTATACAACATGGTATGCATTGGGGACTTTGGCTAGTATGCAAATTCCGTTTGTTGGATTTTTGCCAATCAGATCAAACGATCATATGGCCGCTTTAGGGGTTTTTGGATTATTGCAGTTAGTTGCGTTTGGGGACTATGTCAAATCCAAAGTTCCTTCAAAGCAGTTCAAATCCTTTTTGATTGTGTCTTTGGCTTTGGTGTTTGTATTGGGCGTTGGTGCATTATTTGGATTAACTGCAATGGGGTTGATTGCTCCGTGGACAGGTAGGTTTTATTCATTATGGGATACAAGTTATGCCAAGATCCACATACCTATTATTGCCTCGGTTTCAGAACATCAGCCTACGGCTTGGCCAGCTTTCTTCTTTGACACTTCGATATTGATTTGGTTATTCCCAGCAGGTGTTTATTTGTGTTTCCAAGAATTGAGAGATGAACATGTGTTTGTTATCATTTACAGTGTTTTGTGTTCATACTTTGCTGGCGTTATGGTTCGTTTAATGTTAACCTTAACTCCAGTCATTTGTATTGCTGGTGCCCTTGCCTTATCCAAACTATTTGACATTTATTTGAATGTAGTTGACATCTTTACTGGGAAAACAAGTGGCAAGTCGAAAACAAGATCAAATACTACAGCTACTAGATTACCTATTGCTCAGTTGATTTCAAAAGTTGTTGTATTGTTGTCGTTTGCATTTTACTTGTTTTACTTTGTTTTGCATTGTACTTGGGTAACTTCAAATGCATATTCATCGCCTTCGGTCGTTCTCGCTTCGAGAAACCCAGACGGTTCACAGCATATCATTGACGACTATAGAGAAGCTTATTACTGGTTGAGAATGAACACACCGGAAGATGCCAAAGTAATGGCTTGGTGGGATTATGGATACCAGATAGGAGGTATTGCTGATAGAACTACACTTGTTGATAACAACACTTGGAACAATACACATATTGCCACCGTTGGTAAAGCAATGGCATCCTCAGAAGAGGTTTCCTATGAAATATTGAAGCAACACGATGTTGATTACGTGCTTGTGATTTTCGGAGGATTCTTGGGTTATTCTGGAGACGATATTAACAAGTTTTTGTGGATGGTTAGAATTGCTGAAGGTATCTGGCCCGATGAAATTAGGGAACGAGACTACTTTACAGAACGAGGCGAATACAAAATGGATAAGGATGCATCTAAAGCAATGAAGAATTCATTAATGTACAAAATGTCGTATTATAGATTTGCTGAAATGTTTGGTGGTAGAGATGGTATAGATAGAGTGAGAAATCAGCAAATTCCTGCAAATGACCCTCCACAACTAAGCGTTGTTGAAGAAGTATTTACATCAGAAAATTGGATGGTTCGTATTTATAAAGTAAAGGACTTGGATAACGTTGGTCGTACTTTAGATCAAGCTTCAAAATTTGCTTCAAAGACAAAGAAGAATAGATCAATAACTAGACCAAATCTACCAGTAAGGGAATAGATTGTGTAAGCAAAGAGTATAAAAAAAGAATAATAAATAAAATGTATAGAGAGTATAATGAATTAAATTAGTTATTATCATTGGTTGCAAAATATAGAAAGCATAGAAAAATTACATTTATAACATTTATAACTATTGAGATTACTTTTTTTTTTTTTTTTTCTATGCAAAATTGTGCAAATATTTAGAATTAAAGGCACTGCAATAGACCGTGGAAGAAAACAAACCAAAAGCGTTTCAGCTAACCACACTGTCAGATTCATAACTTAGCTGCAGCATGTGGGTAGAGCTACTGTAGGTTGAGATAAAGTAAAAAGTAAAAAAAAAAAAATGACGCCAGCTACAGGATTCGAACCTGCGAAGGAAAATCCCAATGCCTATCTCTCTGCTGAAAAGCAAAATAGCAGGGCATCGCCTTAACCACTCGGCCAAACTAGCGACTTCAAAATCCTGTGAGTCAAAAAATACTTAACTACACAACTATAATTTAAACCCTTCACCCTGCACCTGGCTCCTCCACACAAAACCTCGGGTTTAATTTTTTATTTTTATTTTTAATCATCCGATTTTCCATTACCCCATAAGAATAGCCGAGTAAGTAATTAGTATTTGTATATCATTTTTCCTCAATAGAGAAGAAACACCGATTTTACATTTCCATTTAACTATATCTTGTTTTAGTTTTAGACAGCGATATGGCAGGATTATTTGCGTTAGAAGACCATTTGGTGTTTTACAGATCATATCATTTCAACAAAACCAATGTCACTATTCATTTAATTTGTATTCCGATAATCTTATTATCGGCAATTACATTTTTAATGCCAGTAACATTTCCTAGGATTTTTGACAGTCCTCAATTTAATTTGGGTAACTTTGTTGCATGGTCATATGGGTTGTACTACATTGCCTTGGATTGGAAAGTTGGTTTGCCATCGGCTACAATATTAGTCACCTATGCTCATTTTATTAGAAACTACTATTCGTCATTATCAGCAAACACAAGTCCCACATCGGATTTTTTCATAAAGTGTGCAATTGGAATACACGTAGTTGCATGGTTTGCGCAATTTTACGGACACGGAATTCACGAAAAGAGGGCACCTGCTTTATTAGATAATCTTTTACAAGCCTTGGTCTTGGCTCCATTTTTCGTTGCTTTTGAGATTGCGTTTGTTTTAGGATACAAACTTGATTTGAAAAAATCAATGGATAACAGAGCTGGAAAGATTGTAAGGGATTTCAAGGCAAAGGGGAAGAGATGAGAAAAGAAATTGGAGGAGAGGGAAAGAGAAAGAGAGAGGAAGGCAGAGGAGGAGAGAGGAAGAGAAAGGAAGAGATATTATGGTATGAGAGAGGAAGAGAAAGGAAGAGATATTATGGTATGAGAGAGGAAGAGAAAGGAAGAGATATTATGGTATGAGAGAGGAAGAGAAAGGAAGAGATATTATGGTATGAGAGAGGAAGAGAAAGGAAGAGATATTATGGTATGAGAGAGGAAGAGAAATCATGGTATGTGTATGCGGCAAAAAGGTTGCACAAGTGAGAAACAAGTAATCGAATTGAAATTATACATGTGTATTCATGAAAGATTCATATTTACTTTTAACTTCGGGCTCACATAATGAAACACCCTGTAGTTGGTTACCGATGGTTAGCCAACCAGGTCTCGTATTGTGCTGTCTGCCAAATATTTCAAGCTTTCTTGCATGTTTACCAACCATTCTCTCGATGATTTCATAAAACTCGTCAGGTTTGTGCGAAGTTTCTCTAGTATTACTGACAACTACATCAGTGTCGATTTTCGAATTGAGCCAAAGTGGATTGCCCTTCAATCCAACTAATAGGTGCTCTTTTGAATGGTTGAGCCAGTGTCCCGTTCTCCCAGTAACAATCGTTCTTTTCAATTGATTTAATTTTATCCATATCATTTCATCACTAACACTGTAACCCCATTTAAGCAAAGCACGACGACCAATTTCAATAGACCGGCCAGTTACCCATAACATTATGATTCCTTCGTCTTGTAACGCATCCATGGGAAGGGCTAATAGCTCGTCATCTTTGCAAGTACTGTAAGGTAGTGACATGTGGATATCCCAAGCTGGATCTGAGATTATTGCTGCAAACTTCCCCAATATCTCAAATGGTAGAAAACGAACATCACAACTGATCCATTGTGGCTGTGTCACTGGTCTGAATGATTCAGTGAAACATTCACCTAAAGTATAGTCTGAACTGGCACTACTCGATCGTTCCTTTGTTGTAGTGGCTGCAGCCATTGACTTCACAAGTGGATTCAACGTGTAATAATGGAGATATCTACATGTTTTCATTTTGTGGCATGTATCCAAATATGAACAATCACCTAAATTCAAATCCGTATGGTTATAAAAAATCGGCAAAAAATGAATTTTGTTCATTGAGCAATGATAAGCATCAATATTGAGCAGATTTCGTGATTGGTATATTCTATGGTGGACCACGCTTTCAGACACCAACTGTTTGGAGTTGTTACCAGCAAGGTCTTTCCTATTGAGCCCAATATTGGACAAGCTAATGGAATGCTTTGAATCGTTGCAGACTAAAGGAAACGGCAAAGCCGTAGTATTCAAACGAGCCCTCCTTTCACCCAAAATCGTCCGCGCCGTTGGTCTTTCTAAGAATCTTAAAACTAAATTCAAGGTTAAAAAATTTGCCTTGTCGAGATTCACATTGCGGGGGTTTTCCATATTGAGAAAATTGAGTAATGTTTGAGAGTTCATAAATGACGGCGATGGCGATGGCAACGGCAATGGCAATGGTGCCAAAGACGACTTTGAACTTGTTGTTGCATCCACATCCAGCTCTTTTTCATTATTCAACTTTCTCTCGAGAATTGCCAAAGAATCAACACTTATCCATTTCAAACGCCTGGTCCCTACACCGGATACACCCTTGTCAAACTCAAGTGCCGAGCCGCTGATTTCGTTGAATTGAAGTAAATAACTCTCAAACTCTTCTTGTGTGGGTACACATTCCTCAGGGTTGCAAAATTTCTCAAAGAGTAAATATATCTTCCAAAACTCGCCATAATATGGCCACTCAAGAAGTTGATCCTTGCTTTCCAATAAGAAATTGACAAAAGGTTTGAAGCTCAGCAACTCATAAATCATAAAAGACGTCAAATCAATGGCTCTGTTCTCAAACTTCCGCTAAGTTTGGTAACCTATCAGGTGTGTACCTTTCATTTGCCTTCTCAAATTCTTGCAACACATTTTGTTATCTATCATATTCCATACTGTTTTTGAGTGTTTCTACAAATGTATTAATAGCGCTATCAAATTTTTTTTTTCTTCTTCTTCTTCTTCTTCTGGATTCACTACAAGCATACTTCTTATCCTCTGTATATAACCTTATATCCTCTACACTATATCCTCTACGTTACATGAAAGAGCTAGTGTTAAGAGCTAGTGTCCCTATACTCTACATAACTCTTGCTTTTCTCTAAGAGCCAAAACCGAATGGATCGTTTGGCGTGGCTGCAGCAATATTTGCTCTTTTCCCTGTTTGTTGGTATTGTAATGGAGCGTTACCAAACCCCATTCCAGTTGGTTGCGATTGTAATGGTTGTGTATTAAATCCTTCAAATTGGGATTGTCCGAAACTAGTCGTAGGCATTTGCAATGGTGGTGACCCAAGGGAAGTGCTTTGAAACATATTTGATATTTGATTTATGTTTGGTTGTTGCTGTTGCTGTTGCTGTTGCTGTTGCTGACCAAATTGATTAAACAGGGTTGGCTGTTGGCTGAATTGATTGAATTGAGTAGGCTGTTGGCTGAATTGATTGAATTGAGTAGGCTGCTGACCAAATTGATTAAACTGAGTTGGTTGTTGAAATTGGTTAGGTGGAGGCTGACCAAATGAAGGCTGTGGAATCACATTCTGGTTCAAAGACGCTTGGCCAAATGAAGTTGTCATGTTACCACCGGTAGTTGTGTTCCCAAAAGATATCTGTGGCATCATCGTTCCACCAGTTCGTTGTTGCTGTCCCAAACTAGTATTGGTGTTCATAAACCCACCAGTGATTTGTTTACCAAAATTTGATTGTGGAACAAACCCACCACCAATTGGACCTCCTCCTCCAGTTCTCTGAGCCGTGGGTACCAATGGGGCCAAAGCCGGAGCTGGAGCTGAAGCTTGCCCAAAAGACGTTACTGGCAAAGCCCCACCTGTAACTTGTGGGTTCTGATTAAATGAGGTGAGAGGTAATGCACCTCCAGTAATTTGAGGATTTTGGCTAAATGTGGTTTGAGGCATGGTAACATTGCCTGTTTGCAAAGGTACAAAGCTTGGTTGAAAAGACTGAGAAACTCCAAATGTTGTAGGTGGAGGAACAGCTCCCCCAGTCCTTTGCTGATTGAAAGTGGACACAGGTTGCAAAGGAAGAATTCCAATTGTGATTTGTGGCTGAAGTCCCCCTGTAGCTTGAATTGGCACAAAGCCCGTTGGTTGAGCAATAATGGGAACAAAACCGGTTGGTTGTGCAGGTAATAATCCCCCAGTTGGAATAGCAACCAAACCAGCACCTGTCCTTTGCACTGGTATTAATCCACCAGTACGTTGCGCTGGGACCAAGACTCCACCACTTCTAAGTGGCTTGGATGTAGCTTGAGATGAAGAAGTTTTTGTTGGCTGAAGTGGTGGCAACGAAGGTGTTTGGTTAGCGGTATCATTCTTGTTTTCCATTGGTTTGATATTCACAAGATCAGACAAAGAACCAGTATATTGTGCCGTTTGAGGTTGAGGTTGAGGTTGAGGTTGAGGTTGAGGTTGAGATTGTGGTTGCGGTTGAGGAGAAGGTTTGAGAAGATTTTCGTTAGACCTTGCTGCCGGTTTCATGGCCCAGGCGTTATCTTCATTGTTTCCCTGTTGAACAGTGGTACCTGTTGCAGGAGGAGACTGTATTTTAACTGGTGATGGTAATGCGTCTCTGGTAACTTTTGACAACTCTGTTGCAGAATTGTTCTTCAATGCACCATTACTATCGATGAATAAACTGCCAGTCAGAGATTCAGGTTCTGTAGATTTCTTTCTGTCAAACTTGTTATCCAAGTACTTCATAACACGAATAATATCTCCTTCTCTCAATCCCAAGGTTCTAAGTAACGAAGGAGAGATATCCTCTAAAATATTTTCATCCATTTGCTCACGCTCAAAATTAAGCGTATAACGCTGACAGTTGCCCACATCGACACCACTCTCAAGGAAAAAATCAAACCAGTCATATGCAGGTGCCGCTGCCCCATTGATTGAGGTCCGTGTATTACTGCGTGATCGAGAGGATCGAGAAGGATTAGAAAGGTCGTTAATAGCCGCAGTAGCTGATTGTCTGGGTCTATAATCCTGACTCGACGTGGCACCTGATTTTGATTTCGATCTTGCTCGTTTCTCCATTTGTCTTTGCACAATTTCCTTGTATTTTTCTAGTGATCTATCCGTAATCTTTTCAACGTATTCTAAATCTTCGAGTGACAATTTTTCAGCGGAAACGGCAATCTTTACACCGTTTGTCTTGTGCAAGTGTATTTTGCCTTCAACATATCCCAAAAATTCCGCTTCAACTTTAAAAGTTCCAGTACTATCTATCCAAGTTCTTACTCTGTGGAAGTTTGGCATAGATTTGTCCAGGTCGTTGCTAAGAGCTCCACGTTTTTCTCTTTGTACCCTGTCCTGTTCCCTTACTTTGTCCCGTTCCTCTCTGTTTCTATCACCGCGGTGATAGTTTTTATCTCTGCCACTCATCAACTTACCCCTCGATGATTTCCTTCTCATTGAACCATCAGTTAATTTGTCAAGATTTGATGTACCGATGATTTCAATATATGACGATGGAACTACTCCTTGACGCTTAGTTTTGATGTTTTGAACCATCCACCAATCCTTTGACTTGGACTCATCAATAATGTAAACTTCTTCGCCCTCTCTACAGTTCAATTCATCTTCACCTTGTGCTTTAAAATCATAAATCAAACGCCCAATTTTTTTGTTGCTTCCTCCTGTACTTGCCTGGGAAGCTCTTTGAACTTCTTTCAACCCTTTTGCTTCTTCTGCTCCTTTCAAGTCTCCCAATATCGCGGTTATCGCGTCAGCAACGTCTTTTGTTCCAGCGTGCAATTCAACAGACTCTGTTGGATTTTGCAACTCTAAAAACACGTGTTTCTTTTCACTACTAAAGCTTTTCAAATCTTTTATTCTCCACTGATTATCCAAATGAGAAGCCGATCTCAACCTGAGCTTTTTTGGATTAAACACATTTGGTTTAATGATAATCAAACCATTACCAATTGAGACTTTAATGGGTCTCTTTTTACGACCATCAACTTCATCAATATACCAAGTGAAAAATTCTCCATCAAACGTGTGCTTTTTGTCTGTCGGCTCAACAATTTTTTCATTTTCTTCTCGCCTAGTAGAGCCAGAGACATCGTGTCCATTAACAGCTGGTCTTGAGGGCATTGGGGGTGGACCATCATCATCATCATCATCGTTTTCTTCTTCTGCTCTATCGTTGTTGTTGCGGTTGTATCTCGTGTTGGAAACTCGACTTTCTTGTTCGGATCGACGCGGATAATCCTTTTGTGGTGTTGGAGGTGGATACTCATCCTCCTCCTCCTCATCGACAGATTTCACTGGGCGTGGCGCTGTTATTGGAACACGCCCTGGTAGCTCTGGAACCTGCTCTGGTTGTTGTTGTTGTTGTTGTTGTTGTTGTTGTTGTTGTTCCTGGTACAGCTGACTTTGAAGCTCATTATTTGTAGTTGCCATTTGTTGCTGGGGGAGAGTAGTCTCCGAATGGGCACTTTTCCCAGTTTCAGAGTGTAATTGAATATAATTTGACGGTATAAACCCAAACTCTTGTTGAGACGAATCGCTCACAAGAATCCAATCGGGGTCCTTAGTATCATAAACATTGAATGTTGCATTTTCCTTAAATGAAAGCTCCTCTTCAGTTTGCTTGTCATAATCGTACAATGCAGTCGCTTGTTGTATAATCGGTGCCTTGAAACCTGTAGTTAGTATCAATCAAGGAAAAAAAAACACACACACACACAAACTCTTCCCCTCCTCTCACCTTTGCTTGTAACGCAATCATTTCATACATACTGTTTCAATATAATTGGACGGAACCAATCCAGAAGGTTCGTCTACAATTTCATCGCCTGTGGCTATAACTCTCTTTTTCACTTTCCACCAATCATCAATATCAGACTTCTCCAACAAGTATAGGATATCTCCCTCTCGAATAGATAACTCCTCGTCCGCCTGCGCATCGTAATCAAATACAGCTCTGTAAACGCCAATGTACATCGACGACATGGCTTTCCACTTTGAAAGTGCAATCTACAGCAACCTTATTTTGGTGAATCTGAACTTCTTTTTTCGGTCGTTTCTCTCGTCCTTTTTTGATCTTTTCTCTCGTCCTTCTTTGATCCTTCTTTGATCCTTTTCTGGAGGTTTCTTTTTTTTTTCTCTTGATGTTGTACAATTCGTTTGACCGATTAAAAGTTACAAATGATGAGAAATTAAGAGCAAGATAAATGCGAAAATTTTATAGGAGTATTTTATTGTTGATTGATTTCATTGTGGTTTTCTTTTTTTTCTTTTTTTTTTTTTTCTTTCCTTTCTATTGATTCATTATTCTACATATGGTTACACCGGTGATTAAGAATAGAACAAAGGTGCAACATTAATTGGAGTGGCTTTTACCACCACCACACACAATTTGGTGAATAAATGTATATATTTCTAATTGACCCTATATAAAGGTTTATCAAACCCAAAAAGAACAGCCTCGATATTGTTCAAGCTTACTTCGGCAGTGTGTTTGTAATTCTCAATGACCGAGGAGCCAATATGAGGAGTTAATATAACATCCTGTCTATTGAACAAGCGAGGATCTACTTTGGGTTCTTGTTCAAAAACGTCCAAGCCTGCAAAAAGTATTTTTCCTTCTTCTAACCCGCTAACCAATGCATTCTCGTCAACAATAGAACCTCTCCCTATGTTTATAATTCTAAATGGCTTTTCCATAGTGTCAATCAACTTTTTATCAATCATGTGTCTAGTGGACGGAGAACCGGGACAAGCTACTATAATCAAATCGGCGAATTTTTTAGTTTCTTCAATTGAAGCATGAAATTGGACCTGATACCCCAAGCTCTTTTCCTCTTCCAAACTTAATCTCTTTCGTTTGACATAGTGTATTTTCATCCCAATACACGCCAATCTTACTCCAATGAGTCGACCAATATTACCGAATCCTACAATAACAACATGATGGTTTCTAGGGCTCAAATTAGGTCTCTTGCAGCATGCTTCTCCGAACAGGAATCCAGGAACAAACTTCATCAAGGGCTTCCCATTTACTTGATCAAGTTCTGCGTTAAGCAAAGACGTTCTAACGGTACCCGTATGTGAATAAAGTTCACCATTAAAATTTTGCTCGTAGATTTTGAAATTCCGGAAACTTGCAATGGTATTGTAAAGAACTAAATCGGAAACTGCTTCGAATGCAGATTCCGATGGAACATTAGTCAATAAAATCCCTCGATTACCCAACTCTTGCACGTCAAAATGGTCAACTCCAATTGAACATGTTGTTACCACCTTTAATCCCTTTGGCGCATATGTGATAAGCTTGCCTCTAAACCCACCGATAGGTGCAAATCCGGCCCATCCGCAGTAAATAGCTTCGACATCTTGTAACTTGTCCTGAAAGTCTCTTATGCACTTCTCTAAAGTAGTTACTTGATAAAATATGCATTCAAATGAAGCTTCAAAATGCCTCATCAAATCCACTTCTGGATTCTCTAGAAATAGTACCTTGAGTTTCTTTGTCATATCGTGGTCTCTTCAGCTAATTTCTTAGAGTTATAGGGGAGTCTTTTTGACATTAATAGTTCTTAAATATATATTCTGATTTAGCAAGTTTCTATTCAATAAGCTGGATCTTTTTTTTCTTTTTTTTTTTTTTAATTTTTCAAATAAAGTAGCGCCGAGCGTCCTTCCCTTCAATAACCGTTATAAAGCCAAATTTGGAAGCTTACGCGGCTTCCCAGTATTTTGGCCCTCATATTGTTTTTTGCAAAGAGGAGCGGGATATGACACCACAATTATAACAATAGCAGCGAATAGGAAATTGAATTTGACTTATGACTTAGCCGTACAAGCAAAAGGTTGCACATGCTTTACAAGAAATGGGTGCGATACGTCAGATCTAGTTAGGCTTTGCGTCTTGTTTTGTAACACGTTTCCCTTTCATAAGACATTGCGGCGAACACACACACACACAAACACATACAGATACACATACACATTGAACTCTTTATGTGTACTACTTGCGCATTGAACTTTTTATGTCTACTACTTGCGCATTGAACTCTTTATGTCTACTACTTGCGCATTGTAGTTGCCCTCTATTGGCTGGTATAGATTTTGAAAGAGCTATGCACAGAAAAACGTTTCGCTGCCTTATAAAGATTTACTCTTATGTTCTTTTTTTTTTTCTTTTTTTTCAGTTCCTTAAATAACGTACGTATTGATTTTTTGTTAAAGCTTTACACATGAGCTATAAGCAATAAGCCATAAACTTTTTCCTTCTTCCCTCCCCCTCATTTCAAACAATTCTTATTATGCACACGCTCTCTTTAATGACCCATACCTGGCTCACCCAAATACTTAGTTTTGAGAACTGTACCGCATCTCCAGCATCTTGACAATTTACCTTCTTCTACTTTCATCCAGTATGGCTGATGGTCAAGCTCAGTGGTTCCTTTACATCCAACATATCTGTATCCAATATAGGTTGGTACTAAGAATGGGTCATCCAAAGTTCCTTTTCCCTCGGTAATTGGCATTTCCATGTCAAAAACATCTACACCTTCTCTTTTACCCAAAAGTTCCAATCTCTGTAAACCCGTAGCTTGATCATAATCGGTTGGAATTGTACCAGGTTTGGCACCAGGACCAATCAAGGACAGTGCTCCGGTAACTTCGGACAAATCTTTAGCACTCTTAACTTTTGTCTCTGCTTCAGTTCCTACAATGGTGGTTTTATTAAGCAAAATCCTTGATGATGACAAGAATCTTCTCTGACTGGCAATTCTAACTGTACGTGAAATCATTATGTCTTCTAAAAAATAAATTGGTTAAAAACAAAAAGAAAAGGCTGTTAGTATAAGGTGAAAGTTATGATAACGGTCTGCACATTGCATGATTGTAATTATCAACAATCTGAGTGGAAGTATGAAAAGGAGTGAAGGGGGGGGGGGTGGACAAGAAAATCCAATTAGCACTAGTGAGCTCAAATGAGTATTATTGAGTCTCGCTTGATATGCCATCCTGTTACATGCAATTCCCCACGCAAGGTATCATTGATATGGTCAATTGCAGAAAACGGCCGAGGCAAGATGGCATGGGAACAAGGGTAGGAGGAGGAATGCTTCCAAACTTCAAGTCCAATTATTATCAATTATCAAAGTAGCAATGCACTAGTGGGCCGTTGAGTCGTAGAAATAAACACATACGGGTCTATTTATTAAGGTTGAATATATTGTAAAAGTAGTGACGAGGATGGGGTAATAGTCTTTGGGTTTGTAAGACTTCTTATAAAAAAGTTGCAAGTAATAAGAGGTTTACAGTTTTGATTGTAACAAATTATAATCAGGTGGTTTTGGTTTTTCTTTGATTTTTTTTTAATGTACACTTATTGGCTGGTCCAGTATCGGGTAGCGCATACCATACTAGGCGCGCAATTTTCACTTTTCTCATCGGTCGTTTTAGTAATGAGAATTGGACCTGAGTTTATGATTAAGGTAAGTCTATCTTGTGTAGAAAAGACTATATCTTACAAGAAAGACTTTCTCATGTAGGAAAGACTTTTTCGTATAGGAGACTTTCTCATGTAGGAAAGACTTTTTCGTATAGGAGACTTTTCATTATGGGCAAAAAACTTTTATTGTTCAGAGAAACAATTAGTTAGAGGAGAGTAATTTTTGAGAAAAAACCGTTTGGCTTTGATAGCATTAAGCTCTTAGATAGATAAGCTTATAAAATTTCATTGCAAAAAACCGTATTGTTGGCTATAAAGAGTAAGCCATTTTTTTTTTTTACATTGCTAGTTACAAGTACTTGTCTTGAAGTTGTAGTCTCGTCATTGTATGTAGGATTCACATAACTTGTCAATTTCTACTCTACAAAGTAATTAATTTTAATCTATGAACTTGTCAAATTTCGGGCAAAGCAAGATAGTGGAGCAACACTTTGCAGCTTGTTAGGGACTCTTTGAGACTCTTTAAGACTCTTTTATGACTCTTTTAGGACTCTTTAGGTACAAGTATACTCTCGATAAACTAAAGCTTAATCTAATATCAATAATCCCTTCTTCTACAGGTGTCTAGCATTTCCAATAAAGAGTAGAAGGCATAAAGAGTAGAAGGCATAAAGAGTAGAAGGCATAAAGAGTAGAAGGCATAAAGAGTAGAAGGCATAAAGAGTAGAAGGCATAAAGAGTAGAAGGCATAAAGAGTAGAAGGCATGATAAAGAGTAGAAGGCACAATAGAATCCTTAGGTTTATGCTTTTACTCTAGTACATCACATACACTCAAGATAGAGCTGTAAACAAAACCACTCCTTTATTTAAAATCATAGGGCTATAACCACGTAACATCTAAGTAAAAAAAAGCTACCAGAAATTTTGTTGGTAACCGCACACCATGGTTGTTTTTTTTTATTATTTTGGGGGAACTTGATGCCTTTACACAGCTTAACGATAAATGTGGTAGCGTTAGAGTATAGAGAGCAGTAAGCGAAATTAATCCTACTAAACAAAATTTTTCAAGGTATTGCAGATTTACATTTTCCTTTCTGTTTCGATACATCAAATTAAAAAGTATGTTGTTCATAGCAAGACGTGATGAATGATGATATGTTTGGGAAATGTTGAATGATAGTGGGACTAGAGAATGAGAGATGAGGGAAGTAACCCCCCGCCTAGAAAGCAAACGAGTGGAAAAAGAGAGGGACATAACTCTACACCATTACCCAGTAATTCAAATTAAGAACAAGATTCTACGTTGGGATTGATTCTATGAGAGACGATTTGTGAGCGACAATTATTGGAACAACAACTTATAAGCAATTATCCTCTGGCATAGACGTCTCAGTTGTCAAAATCTATGAGAGTACAATTTGCATCAATAATAAGTTTGAAAGTTTCAAGTTTCAACATCAATAACAAGTCTGAAAATTTCAAGTTTCAAGTTTCAACATTCCATATGCGTGTCATCAGCTTTTGTCTCTATTCAGCACAATACTAACGAATTTTACAGAATATGCCAAAAAAGAGAGCTTCCAACGGTAGAAACAAGAAGGGTAGAGGTCACGTCAAACCAGTCAGATGTTTGAACTGTGCTAGATGTGTGCCAAAGGATAAAGCCATCAAAAGAGTCACAATTAGAAACATGGTTGAAGCAGCTGCAGTGAGAGATTTGTCGGAAGCTTCAGTTTACGCTGAATATGCTTTACCAAAATTGTACAATAAATTACACTATTGTGTTTCATGTGCTATCCACGCCAGAATTGTCAGAGTCAGATCAAGAACTGATAGAAGAATCAGAACTCCACCTCAAAGAAAAAGATTCAATTCTGACAAGAAGGTTTCTCCACAAGATGCTGCTAAGAAAGCTCAAGTAGTTTAAATCGAATTGAGAAGAAATATTTAGTATCAATTGTGTATAATAACTTTTGTAGAAAAAAGAAAACTTTTTATAAGAGGACTGTGAGACTATCGAGCCACACTATCGAGCGAAGCGAGATAGTGGAGTAACACTTTGCAGCTTATTAAGGACTGCGACACTAGGGAGCGACACTATCGAGCGAAGCGAGATAGTGGAGCAGTACGTAGTGCCCCACCAGGCCTCTTTAACGACTGCGACACTATTGAGAGACACTATTGAGAGACACTATTGAGAGACACTATTGAGAGATACTATTGAGCGAAGCGAACTAGTGGAGCAGTATGTATCCCCCCAGGCCTATGTTGCTAGTCGTTGCTTCTAAAAGGTTACAAGAAATAGTAACCTCTAACAAGCAAGCACCAGAAAGGACTCTTTAGGACTCTTTAGGACTCTCGCTTCGCTCGATAGTGTTGATAGTGTTGATAGTGTCAGTGGCAGCTGGTGTGCTCCACTATCTCGCTCTGCTCGATAGTATCGCTCGATAGTGTTGAAAGTTAGTGTCAAGAGTTAGTGTCAAGAGTTAGTGTCAAGAGTTAGTGTCAAGAGTTAGTGTGCTCCACTATCTCGTTCTGCTCGATAGTGTCGCTCTCGCTCTGCTCGATAGTGTCGATAGTGTTGATAGTGTCGATTGTGTCGTTCAAAAAACACAGCATCAACAAAAATCTCTGCTGTTTGAAAGCACTCACGCATAACATACATTCCAAATCTAACCCCCCTTATTGGTAAGAACCAACTTAAGATCATCACTTAATCGAGAGTCACCCTTTTTTCTCTCAACTTTTTTCCCATCTCAATAGTTCCGTTCGACTAAACGCGGTTCTCTCATTCTAAGAACCAAAACCCATCCTTTTATTAAGCTTTTCTTTACGTTTTTTTCCCTAAACAAGTTTAGGCATCGCCGCACAAACTTCGTTCACGATATTTTAAGCCTTCATCACAAACTGTCACCATCGACATCTTAACTTTAAAAAAAAAAAAAAACAGCCAACCAACAAAAAATAAGGAACCAACAGAAAATAACTAAACAAAAGAAGCTAACCAAGCAGAGCTTCAAGGATATACAACACGGGTATTACAGTGATTACTTTACTAGTTGTTTTTGTCTGCTTTTTTTTTTGCCTCGTAAGCCAAGAGTCAATTCACACCACTTTTTTTTTGTTTTTTTTGGTCAAGATTTTGTTAGTATAAATTTTTGTAAGGTGTTATCGTTACAAATCAATAAGATATAAGAGGACCTAGAACCTAGAACATGACCGCTGACGAGGCTTGGAAGTTTTCTCAGTGTTTCGGAGATAAGGGCGATACGGATAATATCACTGAGGCCGATATAATATCGACGGTAGAGTTTGATAGTACGGGAGATTTTTTGGCTACTGGAGACAAGGGCGGACGAGTCGTTTTGTTTGAGCGAAATCAATCCAAGAAGAAACACAATTGCGAATACAAGTTTTTCACCGAGTTCCAAAGTCATGATGCTGAGTTTGACTACTTGAAATCGTTGGAGATTGAAGAAACGATAAACAAAATCAAATGGTTGAAAAGCTGTAACGATTCACTTTATCTCTTATCGACAAACGATAAGACTGTAAAATTGTGGAAGATCCAAGAACGACAAATCAAATTGGTTTCGGAGAATAACCTTAACGGGATGAGCCACTATACTAAAGATGGGGGATTGTCGTCACTCAAGTTACCGCAATTGCAATTACACGATAAGTTGATATCTGCTCAACCAAAAAAGATTTATTCAAATGCTCATGCGTATCACATCAATTCCATATCGGTTAATTCCGACCAAGAAACTTACTTGAGTGCCGACGACTTGAGGATCAATTTGTGGAATTTGGGTATTTCCGATCAATCCTTCAATATTGTTGATATCAAACCAACAAATATGGAGGAGCTAACTGAAGTGATAACTAGTGCAAAATTTCATCCTTTACAGTGTAATTTATTCATGTACAGTTCGTCAAAGGGAACAATAAAGTTATCGGATATGAGATCGAACTCATTATGTGATACTCATGCCAAAATCTTTGAAGAATACTTGGATCCGTCATCACATAATTTTTTCACTGAAATCACCAGCTCAATATCGGATGTCGAATTCAGTCACGATGGTAGATACATTGCTCTGAGAGATTATATGACAGTAAAGATTTGGGATTTGGCAATGGAAAGTAAACCCATAAAGACAATAAATGTGCAAGAACATTTGAGAGAACGATTATGCGATACTTATGAAAATGACGCAATATTTGATAAATTTGAAGTTCAATTCAGTAGTGATAATAGATCTGTAATGACTGGTTCTTACAATAATAATTTCATGATATATTCTAATGCTGTGCCACATAGTGGAGGAGGTAAGCTGGTATACAAGTCTTTGAAAAAGAGGAAAAAATTCGAGAATGGCCATAGTCGTAAAAGAGGAATCGGAAAGAACGAGGATGAAGACAATCGTCAAGAAGAGGACGAGGAAAACGATGACGAAGACGACGAAGACGAAGGGGGAGTAGGAAGAAGAAAAAGAGAGGGCGGAGGAGGAGGAGGAGGAGGAGGAAGAAGAAGAGGAGGAGAAAACGGCGATGAAGAAGAAGAAGAAGAAGATGAGGACGATAACGAAGACGAAGACGATAACGAATCAGACGAATTAGATAATGAAATACCTCCAAATAAAGACTCTCCCAGTTCACAATCGGAGGACGAGGAAGTTCAAGAAGAAATTATTTTACAAGCAGATAAGTCAGCTTTTAAATCTAAGAAATCAGGTCACCATCTAATGAGAAGAAGAATGATGAGTGGCAATGGATCTCAACTTGGAGCAAGTAATGGACGAGAATTTGATGATATTGATTTCAAGAAAAATATACTTCATTTATCATGGCATCCTAAAGAGAATTCAGTCGCTATTGCTGCTACTAACAATTTATACATTTTCTCTACTTTGTAGAGAGAATTGCAAAAGGGAAGGAAATGGAAAGGGAATGGGAAATAAAGTTGTAGTTGTATAGTTGTGTATAAATATAGAGGTAAAGAAAAAAAAAACAGCATTGAGAACTATGTTTCCCAAACTATGAATACTTGCACCAAAGATGTTACTGCAAAATTTAAATAACATATTTGTAGAACGACTTTGTAGAGAAGAGCAGAGCGAGATGGTGTAACGCTATCTTACTCTCCACTATCGAGCAGAGCAAGATGGTGTAACGCTATCCTACTCTCCACTATCGAGCAGAGCAAGATTGATGCTGCAATTTCGAGCCTCCCTGCTACCCAACAATTGCACTTTGTATATCATTTATTTTCCATTGCTAAAGAAACACACATATAAATATCTGTCACACATATTCTTCTTCTGTTCCTCCTCCTCCTCCTAATAAACACCCCCTGCACGTCAATTAACATGTCAATGAGCTCTTTGAACATATCATGAGCTCTTTGAACATTTCAATTAGCTCTTTTGGACATGTCTATTAACGTCGGAATTCCAAAACAAGGTTTTGTCACCATCACCCCAAAAGAATGGCTTTGATCTGATATTTTGATACTCATATTGGGTAGGCCATTCATCATCAGATAAATGTCTTTGATGTTTTCTGTGCTCAGCGTGGCTCATTTCAACCTTAGCAACCGGGATGGAAACCAATAAAATTGCTGGAATAGCTACAAGATAAGTCATCTTCTTCCATAAATTGGTAATTGACTCGGAATGATGGACCTTCTCTTCGTATGCCTTGATGAATTTGGCTCCTTTTTCAGGATTTGGCTTGTATGCTGGCAGGTTTAAGAACTTGGATGGCGCATAATGAGATGCAAATCTGCGGAAAGTGAATCTGGGAACAGTGGCTCTGAACATCGTTGCTTAGTGGGGGGAATTTGCTTAGTTACCGACTTCTAATAATGGTGTTCCTATTAAATATATGGTTTTTTTTTATCGCCTGCTTAGTGTCACTCGTATTTTTCTTTTCGCATTTCGTCCGCTTTTCATTGGACATAGTGCAGTCGTGCACAAAGAACAAAAGATATAATAAAATCGACTGATCTTTGGTGAATTTAAGAGGTGGCCAAACTCTACCCCCTTATATATGGCTATTTGTATAACCAGTTATGTGTATATAGCCAGTTATGTGTATATGTAACTATGTATATATATATATAACTATTCATGGGTATATATAGTCGGTGGCAGCTACCAAGTGCTGCACCACTATCTCGCTCCGCTCGATAATGTCGATAGTGTCGATAGTGTCGATAGTGTCGATAGTGTCGATGGTGTACTAAGTGCTGCTCCACTATCTCGCTCCGCTCGATAGTGTTCATAGTGTTTTGTCATTTTGTTTCAATTTATTTTTATAATTCTCCCATTCCAACCTATGATACTCCAATGCCGAGTCGTACCTATAGTTCAGCTCTTTTACATAATTAGTAAAGAAATCATGTCTCAAATTTCGTCTCTTGTTGAGATTAGTGCCCAACTCATTATCAACAAAAAACAGACTTGGTTTCGCTTGTTGAAAAATTCGATATAGCTCTTCTTGATGCAAGTTTGTGACATTTTGGGTAATTAGAAACTCCTTCATTATTGGTTTTTCCTTAAATAAAAACTCATAGTATTCTTCATCTGTTAGATTAACTTCTAATGGGATTTGTTTTTGTGCATATTTCTTCTTTTCTGAAACATTTCCCTTGAATATGAAATCGGCCATGGGATCCTTCAACACCCAAAGTCTCAATTTGGGTATAAAAATGTGCCTTTTGTAACTTGTATCAGTTAGTGATTTCTCCTTATATTCTATCCGAACCATATCTTCAAACTTGGAAGGAATATAGCCATATTCGCCTTCAACTAGCGATAGTCTTAATGGGTTCAATTCATCAAATCTTGCAAAATGGAAATTACGGCAATTGTAAACTTGTAAAAAGGTGTTTCTTTCAAATTCGGACATTTTTTTCTCAAGCTTCTTGTTTCGATCCCGATCCCATCTAGTGCCTTTCACCAAATGGTCATATCTTATTGGTGCTTTGGTATCACTTAATGCCAATCCAGTAATATCAACGTAAAATCCGGTATTCATATCGATAAACCTAGCATCGATATTGTTTCTTCCATTCCCCCTAACTCTATGTGAGATAAATGTAGAAGAATCTAGAAAATACCTACCAAATCTAATCTCTTGATCCAAGTCATTACCAAAATCAACTACTATAGTTTGATTAAACAACCGTGATAATTTGTGTAAATCTTCAATTGGCATTTGCACATCTACATCACCGTCCCACGGGAATTGCATGCCATTCCAGTACCACGATAAAAGCGAGCCATGAGCTACCCAAGCTGATAACCCATATTGATTAGTGAATTTTAAAAATGCAGTTACTAAACCATTTATTGAAAGCACATGTTGCTCAGATCCATTAATTATATCATTGATAAATCTCCAATCATAGTGACCTCCCACAAAAAAATTTGGTTCACTTTTAACGATATTTGCTTCACGAAAATACTTGGGTGGATTTTCACAAGTAATTGACGCCTTGAGAGAATTGAGGTAATTCAAATCTGTTTGATTTAGCTTGTTTTTAATTTTTTCTAATTGACTAATCTTCTCAACAGTCAGGTCAGAAAACTGGGTTTGATCAAGGTGTTTCTCATTTGGCAATGTGATGAAATCAGGCTCTAATTTGCGACTCAATTTTTCAATTTCTTCTCTTACATTTATTTGTCCCGATTGGAAAAGCACAGAATTATGCAATTTTTTCCGTTCTTGTTGGTTTACATTAATTTGCATTGACTTGTTTTCTGGTAATAATAAAGTTAACGATAACGGAGATTTCATAAAATCATAAAGATAAGATTTGGCAATGATTGGTCTTAATTTTTTTGTGTTTCTACCAGAGAAACCAAAAATGTGGAAGCCAGTGGACAATTGATCTTGTTTGAACTGCAAAGAGTCATTTAAGCTCTGAACTCTTGATATGAAAAAGGGGTCATGATTCTGAGGCCTGGATTGAGGTGTTGATAAAATTGAATCGAGTTCGAAATCATTGATACAGTATGCTTTAGGATCAAGTGAATCATCCTTTTTCTTATCTTTTTTGATAACAGTGAATTGTTTACACTTGTCTTTCTCTAGTTTGTAGAAATACTCATTTAGCACCGACATATCACAGTAGTCTGACCAATGGAATACCGGTATTTCCAAATCTGTGAAGGAATTTTCATTGATATATTTCAAAAGTAGGCCAAATGTGAAATTTGGATCATATTGGTGAAAGTCGGGTATTTCTTCTCGTTGGGGAATATTGATGATATTATCTAGCCCATTGCCACCGTTGGCCTTTAAATTTTCAATTTCTTGCAAAATCTCTTTAGCTTTATCTATCAGTATTTTGTCACCATCACCATTACCGGAATTTGTTATTTTTTCCTTTATATAATGGTGAAAACTTGAGTCAAATTCTCTAGATTGTTTGATTTTAGATAGCGTTGTAGCTGATGTTTTTGATGGGAGTATATACCGTAACAAACTTGCATTTACCTGTCCAATTTCCAGCACATACTGTTTGGTTGGTGAGATTTTGATCAATGTTAGTATTAGAAGATGGCTTACTATTATTATTAGGAATAATAAAACCCCTCTAGATTTCCTCATTAAGAAAAAAGACTAGTTGAGCGGTAGAAACTAAAAAAAAAGAAAGAGAAGGTAGATTGGAAAAACCCCAGGAACTTCTGAATCTTTTTTATTTGAGGATATATACCTAGACCTTTTAGAGTTTTTTCACCCAACAATGGTTGATTTAAAGATGGGCTCAAACAAGTTTGTACCTGCTTATTGATTTTTCAAACATGTCTTACAAAATAGATCTGCAATAAAATATATTCTTGACGACGGATGGGTGAAGAAATATTAAAGTCTTTGCCGATTTTTCCTAATTGGGTAATTGGCCACGCGAGAAAAGAATTCAATTTTCATTAAAACATCTTAGCTAATATAATACCAAGTTATTACCAAGAACTAATGTTAACAAGACTCTTTAAGAAAAAATAGTCAAGCTTTAATGAAAATAATCAAGCCTTCATGAAAATAGTCAAGCCTTCATGGAGATAGTCAAGCCTTAATGGAGATTGTCAAGTCTTGGTAAAAATTATCAAGTCTTGGTAAAAAATATTCTCATGCCTTGGAACAAAAATGAACTTTTTTTTTAGTCAATCTGTAGGATGTGTAGTTTCTGGTGTACTACACCAGCATATAATTTTAGTATAGTCTCTTATGCATATGCTGGCTGTGTAAATTGGCTTGTATATTTGCTGTGTCGTTGGCTGTGTATATTTGCTGTGTCGTTGGCTGTGTTAAAGCCCAAACTGTTGAGAATCCTTAATACATGTACTGTTGTCGTTTTTTTCTTAACTACTGAGTAGCTCCTTATGTGATAGTTTACGTGAACTGCTTTTAGTGTTTTTTGGTTAAAAGCCTCACTATCGAGCAGAGCGAGATAGTGTTGTAACAAGCTAGTGGAGCAACAGGTGTCAGTGTGTTACCAACACTATCGAGCAGAGCGAGATAGTGTTGTAACAAGCTAGTGGAGCAACAGGTGTCAGTGTGTTACCAACACTATCGAGCAGAGCGAGATAGTGTTGTAACAAGCTAGTGGAGCAGTAGTCAGTGTGTTGTAAATGTGTCAGTGTGTTATACAGCTGTCAGTTGTCAATGTCGAGTATATGTCCATGCTGAATGATGCATTAACTAGTCCGAAATTATGAATCAACGAGTTGTAGCACTAGGGAGTGAAGCGAGCTAGTTGGGCAGCATCCAATGGAACAGCATCTAGTGGAGCAGCATCCAATGGAGCAGCATCTAGTGGAGCAGCATCTAGTGGAGCAGCATCTAGTGGAGCAGCATCTAGTGTCCTTTTTGCATTCTCAAAGAGTCAAATTATGATGTATGGTTCGGAACTCCTTTTTGGCTAAATTATAGATCTCCTTTTATAATTATATAATATATTATTTTTAATCTGCAAAGCGAAGCGAGCTAGTACAGCAGTATATCTACTATCGAGGAACGAGATAGTAGATACACTCTGCTCTCCCTACTATCGAAGCGAAGCGAGCAAGTGGAGCAGCATCTAGTGTCTCTCCAGGCCTGAGACATTAGGGAGCGAGCTAGTAGCAGTATTTAGTGTCTCTCCAGGCCTATGTAGCTAGTCAGCTTGCTCCACTTTCTCGCTCTGGTCGGTAGGGTTGGTAGCAGCTAGTATGCTCCACTATCGAGCAGTGCGAGATAGTGTAGCTATTTGGATAAACCAGATTACCATAGTAGGAGGGGGAGAAGATGAAATTTGTAACATAAACGGGGATGCAGCTACACTATCGAGCGGAGCGAGATAGTGTTGTAACAAGCTACAGAGTGTTGTTCCACTATCGACACTATCAACACGTTCAAGCAGAGCGAGATAGTGTTGTAAGTGGTAGCTACTGAGTGTTAGCTACTGAGTGTTAGCTACTGAGTGTTAGCTACTGAGTGTTAGCTACTGAGTGTTGCTCCACCATCTCGCTCTGCTCGATAGTGTCGATAGTGGAGCAACACAGACTAGCTGCCACTGAGACTATCTCGCTCTGCTTGATAGTGTCTACAAAGTGTTGCTCCACTATCGAGCAGAGCGACCAACACTACACATTCATAGAAACAAATTATTAAACTATCGAGCGAAGCGAGATAGTGGAGCATACTGACTGCTACCGACACACTACCCTCTTCATATATCCACCCTCTTCATATATCCACCCTCTTCATATATCCACCCTCTTCATATATCCACCCTCTTCATATATCCACCCTCTTCATATATCCACCCTCTTCATATATCCACCCTCTTCATATCGCTCGATAGTGTTAAAAGTTAGTGTGCTCCACTATCTCGCTCTGCTCGATAGTGTCGATAGTGTCGATAGTGTCAAGAGTAAGTGTGCTCCACTATCTCGCTTCGCTCGATAGTGTCGATAGTGTCGATAATGTCAAGAGTTAGTGTGCTCCACTATCTGGCTTCGCTCGATAGTGTCGATAGTGTCGATAATGTCAAGGGTAAGTGTGCTCCACTATCTCGCTCCGCTCGATAGTGTCGATAGTGTCGATAGTGTCGATAGTGTCGATAAACGGCTGATATCTCAAGGAGATATCGGAATATTTTCAACTTAGAAAACACAAAAGCTAAACCCCCTAATTATGATGACAAACTAAAGCCAAGGTCTCGATCCTTTTTTTTGACACGTGCACACTAAAATAACAAAAGTATGATGTGTAAGTATGTGCATAAAAAAAACAGCAAGCGATAAAACAGAGCAGCTGTGGTTAGAGAGAGGGTACACAAACACTGGAATTGAGCCGACATGGTCAGACTTTCAAATCAAACAGAGCAAACATAACTCAATAGCAACTATATTGCAACATCTGACCATTCAAAAATGTATGCCTATTCAATAAACTAACCTTTTATTAAACTAGTATCACCTAATCTCTAACCCAGGTATCACCCAATCTCTAACCCAGGTATCACCCAATCTCTAAACCAGGTATCATGTACTACCAATTGCTTATATTATCCGAGGAATTTTACTAAATCAATCTCTTCACATGTCCATATAATCAAACGCGATTTAAACTTTAGTTGTTATTTTTTCTACCCCAACCGAAAAAAAAAAAAAGGAAATCAAAAAGGGAAACCCAAAAAGGCTTTCCCCGCCTTTGAAGAACAGCCAATCAATTCGGGTTGGTTGGTAATGACTACCGACACTAGTAAAGTATACACCATCCGCTTGTCAAAATGATTACAACCACAAGAAATGCTATAGAGATGCTTAAAGGGAAGTTTGCTACTGAGTAACAAGAGCAATCCAAAAAATTATAGTCTGACGTATCTATCTTATTGTCTCTTACTTGGTTTGTTTGCTCTTTCTTTTTAGGGGTATACGATGATAGCAGACGGGTGTACCAATTTAGCTCAAGATTATGGTTCATACACAATTGGAGCCTCACTTGGCTTACTCGGCTTACTCTATTTAGGCATTAAATGATTTTTGACCCAAAAGTTTTTCTAATTGTGGTACGGTTTTCCGCTTTTTGAATCTTTTTTTTTGTTCTGGATTCCAAATTTGATTGATAATCGAAAAAAAAAAAAGAGACCTGGATGAATGGGTAAGTATAGTTAGGGGGGTACCATGCACCCGCGCTTCTAACTTGCTGGTAATGGCCACATTATTTATAGCTAATACCTCAATGACTTCCCCTCTGCTCGATTTGTAATACAAGGTGACACATTAAATGCAATGCCTTTACCCAATAGTGCCTTTACCCAATAGTGCCTTTACTCAATAGTGCCTCTAAAATTGGTTTTCAATAGTGGCTCTAGAATTGGTTTTCAATAGTGGCTTTAGAATTGGTTTGTCGGTGGCTTTAGCACTGGTTTGTTAATTAAGGAGTAATGAATATCACTCCCTCGCTTTTTTATTTCTTTTTTTCATTCTTTTTATTTTTGCCCTCCCCACCCCACACAAAAATTGACATTTAAATATCCAGTAAAATTTCGTTTAAATTTCATTACCAATCTCTTCTCTTCTTTTTCTCTTCTCTTCTTTTTCTTGTTACTCCTTTATCAATAGTTTTTACTGGTTTATTTCATTAAAAATGGCTCCAACATTCACCAATTCCAACGGTCAACCTATTCCAGAACCATTTGCTACTCAGAGAGTCGGCAAACATGGTCCTTTGTTATTGCAAGATGTTCATTTAATTGACTCCTTGGCTCATTTTGACAGAGAGAGAATCCCCGAAAGAGTTGTCCATGCTAAAGGTTCGGGTGCTTTTGGTGTTTTTGAAGTTACTGATGATATCACCGATATTTGTTCTTCAGCCTTTTTAGATACTATTGGTAAGAAGACAAGAACCGTTACAAGGTTTTCAACAGTTGGTGGTGAAGCCGGATCAGCTGACTCTGCAAGAGATCCAAGAGGTTTTGCTACTAAATTCTATACTGAAGAAGGTAATTTGGACTTTGTTTACAATAATACTCCAGTTTTCTTCATTAGGGATCCATCAAAATTCCCACATTTTATTCACACTCAAAAGAGAAACCCAGAAACTCACTTGAAAGATCCAAATATGTTTTGGGACTATTTAACTTCAAATGAAGAATCGCTTCACCAAGTTATGATTTTGTTTTCAGACAGAGGTACCCCTGCTTCATATAGAGAAATGCACGGTTTCTCTGGTCACACTTATAAGTGGTCAAACAAGAAGGGAGAATGGTTTTATGTTCAAGTTCATCTTATTAGTGACCAGGGTATCAGAAATTTGACTAATGAAGAAGCTGGCCAATTGGCTGGTTCTAACCCTGATTTTGCCCAAGAAGATTTGTTCAAGAATATAGCTGCTGGTAATTATCCATCATGGACTGCTTATGTTCAAGTTATGACTGAAGAACAAGCTAAAAAAGTTCCATTTTCAGTATTTGACTTGACCAAAGTCTGGCCTCACAAGGATTTCCCATTGAGAAGATTTGGTAAATTAACATTGAATGAAAACCCAAAAAATTATTTCCAGGATGTTGAACAAGTTGCCTTTTCACCAGCTAATACTGTTCCTTACCAGGAACCATCAGCTGATCCAGTCTTGCAATCAAGATTGTTTTCTTACACTGATACTCAAAGATATAGATTGGGTACCAACTATACCCAAATTCCAGTTAACTGTCCAGTGACTGGTGCTGTTTTCAATCCACACATGAGAGATGGTTCAATGAGTGTCAATGGAAACTTGGGTAGCTGGCCAAACTATTTGGCTTCAGACAAACCACTTAACTTTAGAGCTTATTCTCTTCAAGAAGACCAAGAAGTTTGGGAAGGTGCAGCAACTCCATTCCACTGGAAAGCTATTCCAGAAGATGCAAAACAACCTGCTGCATTATGGGAAGTCTTGGGTAGATATCCAAACCAACAACAACATTTGGCACACAATGTTGCAGTTCACGTAGCTGGAGCCGATGCTAGTATTCAGGATAAAGTGTTTGCATACTTTGGTAAAGCTAGTCCAGAATTGGAGAAGTTGATTAAGAAGGAAGTCCTTGAATTAAGTCCCAGAAAATAAATGAATGAAGTACATTTGTTTTACTATATCATACACACCAGCAAATCCTCGTTAGAAATGTGATGATGATGATGATGATGATGATTGCTTAAAGATTTACCAAAAAAAAAAAGAAAAAAAAAAAGAGATTTATATTTATTAGATAGTAAACTTAAATTTAAATTTTAACTTTATACATATGTTTTAAAACAGATTTCTCTAATCAATGCCATCTTTTTTATAGGCAATAGATATCAATTCAGAGAAGGGAAAACTACAGTTGAAATCGACATTTGAAGAACTTGAAGAAGAAGGAAAAAAAATGGTTTCATTAAATTTTTCATTTTATACACACCAAATATCTCATCTCAACAACTTACTCACACTTTAATATATACTTTATTTATTCTTCATATTTCGTTGTGGTGATGCCCCTGCTGTCGCTGTGTAGGTGGTGGTGGTGATGCCGCTGCTGTCGCTGTGTAGGTGGTGGTGGTGATGCCGCTGCTGTCGCTGTGTAGGTGGCTTCTCTTCCCTCTCTAAAGTCTTGTTGTATTGCAACTTGGACAAGAACATCCAGAACCACATTTACAAGCAGCTCCACAACATGATTTATCCAATTTAGATTTTGAAGTTGATGCAAAAGATTGCGCTACTGTTCTTGATGACGATGAGTCGTTTTGGAGAGCTGATGAAATGTTAGTTTGTCCACGTTCTGCACACATTGTTTTAAAAACTTAATCACTCAACTGTATCTGATGTGTTATATAAAATTGGTGTGTCAATCATAGAGGTTCTCGATAAGCTATTTATAAGAGTTTTGTTGTTTAGCGGGAGTGGAAAATAGATAACGGATATAGTTACCTTATTTGGTAAATTGTACGCGCTTAGATAAAAAAATATATATACAATTATACAAGTAAAAATGGGTTGATTTTATTTTTAAAGCATTTAGGAAGATAGATAAAGGTATGGGTTAGAAGGAAAGATGAACACGGTAATAAAAATATTTGATAGGATCTGGGGTAAAGAAATTGTATTGTGAATTTGATCATCTGTTATATTGGTCCAGTGTAGGACTATTCTATTGGTTGGAAAAAAAAAAGAACTCTTACTGGCTATAAAAAAAATATTACTTACTATTACGAGTTATCTACCTACCCTGAGGTAGTGTTTTAAGAATAGCAATACCATATAGATAGGTTGAAGTCTTGTATGACAAGCGTCCCTTGTAAGGTACTCCCTACGGTTTTATTTTTTTCAGTTTAAAATAAGACCAATTCTTGAACTGAAAAAAAGAATTAGAAAGATTCACCAGAGACCAGAGGAATGTTTACCAGAGAGCAGAGGAATGTTTACCAAATAGCAGAGGAATGTTTACCAGATAACAGAGTAATGTTTACCAGATAACAAAGTAATGTTTACCAAATAGCAGAGGAATGTTTACCAGAAAACGCGAGGCTTCGCTACACCCTCTATTATCTCGTCTAGCTGGACGTAGTTTTTTAAAAAAAGGAAATAGGGGTAAATGATCTAGTATTCTGATTTGTTCCTCTTATTCATAGCCAAAAGAGCAAATCCCTTTCCTTCTTTGTTCCTCACGATACCTTGCAATTGTAAACATTACAAAGCTAGACCCATCAACCTTCGGTCTCAAGTAGAAGAATCACGCTTTTTTTTTTCTTTCAGTCATGAAAACTAAGCCTGCTTCTGCATGGCTTTTTTCAACCCTTTTTTTTTTTTTTTTTTCAGGGCTTTTTTTCATCTCCTGTTCTAGTTTGAATGTTGCCGAATGTTCCTTATTCCAAATGTGTCTTATTATGAACCGTTACTATTAGCCTTGACATGGTTTGCACCGATGTCTTGGGAATAAGGCGCGTAAACTCTATTGATTTAGTATTGTTTTGTTGAGTTTTTCTTTTCTTTTAACCGAATATAGTAATTAGGGAATGCTATGATCTCAATCCCCCTAATGGGTAAAATTGCTAATAAGACACACTATCGAGCAAAGTGACAGTGACTAGCTGATCCACAAAATCGATTTCCTGTTAGATATATCTTACTAAACACCTAAAATCTAAACTAGACAAACCTTTTGTCTTTGACTTGTTTCTCTTCATCGGTTCGCTAGCAATGGACCATTTGGAAAATTACACGAATTGATACTCCACATGCATTGAGGCTTATAACTCAAGTCATTGCAGTTTTTCGTTTTTCGCGTTTTTACCTATGTATATATATTTTACTTATTTAAGAAAGCAATGGAATGAGCCTTGTTCATGACCTATGTATGAGTTGGGTAGGTGTGCTCTTTTTTGTAGCCTCTCTATAAATAGGTTAATAAATCTCCAAGTTGTCCACACACACCCGCCCCTCATTCTTGTCAATTTTTTCTTTCCCTCAATCAACCCTAAGCGTTAACTTATATTACAAGAAGATGGCTGATTTATTTTCAGATATTGGTGCAATTGTTTCTGCAGGTGTTGGAATAGCAACCACTATTGCTTCAAAGGGGGAAGGTATATTCCTTACCGTTACATCAGACGCCGAGGGTGCATGGCATACAGCAACTAGTGGTGTTGTAGTTCATTTTGATTCTATAACCTCAAAGGGTGCACAAGAATTTGAAATTGTTACATCAGATGCCGCTGGTGTCTTTAGTACAGTTACTCAAGGTGCCGTGAGTGAATTCTCGATAGTTACAAGTAAAGGTGAAGGTGAATTTAGTTCAATAACTGGAGGTGGGGCAGCAGATATTTCTCGCGAGTCATCAGCTACAAGCACCCCATCGAGTGGCTCTTCAAGTGAAGCCAGGAGTAGCTCCGAATCAGCTTCTGAGACTTCCTCCTCATCTGAGACTTCCTCTTCATCTGAGACTTCCTCCTCATCTGAATCAAGAAGATCTACAACTAGTGCAGCAACAGCTGCTGGATCATCATCATCAAGCTCATCAACTGCAACAAACACATCTAATTCCAAATCTAGTGGAGTTGTCATTGAACCAATTAATTGGAAAAAATCAATTGCTATTGCTGGTTTAATTGGCTCATCATTTGTTTTTAGCTTGTTGTAATAGAGCACCACTATCGAGCACCACTATCTCGCTCTGCTCGATAGTGGTGCTTGATAATGTATGTATAGACAGTGTTGCACCACTATCGAGCAGAGCGAGATAGTGGCGCTCGATAGTGTATGTATAGACAGTGTTGCTCCACTATCTCGCTCTGCTCAATAGTGGCGCTTGATAGTGTATGTATAGACAGTGTTGCTCCACTATCTCGCTCTGCTCGATAGTGGCGCTCGATAGTGGCGCTCAATAGTGTTGTTCGAAATAGGCTTTGACAGACGAATCACCTAAAAACCCTCTTTTTTTGCAATCAGTTGCAAAATAAGAACCAAATTAAAAAAAATATTTTACCAAATTTTTGACCAAATTAAAAAAATATTTGACCAAATATTTGACCAAATTTTTATTCATTTTGGTTTAAAACGATACTTTTATTTTGTAATGCACCCCTTTTTTAATATTCTTTGCCTTGGCCCTACCTACACACGGGATTGATAGACATCTCACCTTTGCCTTGCCTATTGTGTTTTACACACAAGGCAAGGCAAGTGCCGAAAAGTTTTTTAAATAAAAACTAATTTATCCTTCTGTGTAAAATGATAAAAGGTGTTATATGTATTACGCAAACTGAAATATCACATTTCCGGGAAGAACACATGTGTTGAAAAAGATGAAACAAGAGAAACAAGTGTGTGTGTGTGTGGGGGGGGGGAAGGTGGAGGAAGAGTGCTTAAGAGAGAGAGGAATAAACAATAGACCCAATGAATAGATGTGAATAGGTTATAGCAGTACATTATCTAAATTGATCCAAGCCGTTTTTCAATAATGCTGGAAAAAAAAAAGGCCATGGGCATCTGTGTAATGATGATTCGGATTTGTAACATACATATCATTACAAGCTCTTTACATATCACTACAAGCTCTTTACATATTACTGACATTATTGTCAGCATTACCAAAGTTGATACGGGATTCACACTTACTGTTGGATCAACATTTTCTATGCTTTGATTGTGAAAAGCAATACAATCAAAAAAGAAATCCAAAAGAAAGAAAACGCAAAAACAAAAAAAAAAAGATAATAGAAAAAAATAATAACACAATTATGTAAGATGAAAAAATTGAAGTTGCAGCTTTTGAGAATGACAATGATTAATTGATTAAAGAGGGTCGAGTCAGAAAGAATAGTTGAAGATGGTATAGAAAAAGGGGAAGAGCTAGAGAAGCGGTAGATTATACGGGGGGGGGGAGGAGGAGGAGGAAAAGGAGGAGGGTGGGCTATTGCCTTATAAACTCTATTAATATGTGAGCAATAATACTCACCAAGTCAAGTCAAAGAAAAGAAATTTTCTCTGACTTGGTCTCTACAAAGTTGACATTGTCAGAGAGTAACAATTCCGCAATATCTGTATATTTACCAGTTATTACTGATACATCTGTATATTTACCAGTTATTACTGATACATCTGTATATTTACCAGTTGGTTACTGATATATCTGTATATTTGCCAATTATTACTGATGTATTTTTATAATACACTAATGGTTCCAAAAAGCTGCATTGAAAAACTATTTATTGTAATGGTTGGAAAAGGAAGGGGGTGCAACTAGACAAGAAGCAAGCGTCCACATTTCATTTGAAGAAATAACAGTTTTCATATCTCTTTTTTTTTTTTTTTGAAAAATTTGTCAAAAGGGTCAGCTTTGGACTGAGTCTTAGTTTTCATCTTTTCTTGTATACTTTGCAATAATACTTGGCTAAGACTTTGGTTTCAATACCCGTCCATCGTATAATCCGTTTATTAATAAACCCAATCTTATAGTACACCAAGTTTTGAATCCATTATTGAATTCACCTTTGAACAGCCCACTTTATACTCTAGGGGGAGGGGGGGAGGCTATATCTCAACATCTTCTTAAAACAAAGAGAAAAAGAGTCTCTAAAGAGCCTCATTGAATACGCAACAACCTCCTCAAACAGAGCCTCTAAAGAGCCTCTTAGCATACGCAGGAACCTCCTCAAACAGAGCCTCTAAAGAGCCTCTTAGCATACACACGAACCTCCTCAAACAGAGCCTCTAAAGAGCCTCTTAGCATACACAGGAACCTCCTCAAACAGAGCCTCTAAAGAGCCTAGTTAGTGTGCTCCACTATCCCGCTCTGCTCGATAGTGTCGATATCCATTACCATTTTGGGAAACTTGTGCGGCTACTACAGAAGAGTTGATTTTTTCCATTCACTTTAAGCTGAGAGAGTTGAAAAGTAAGCAAGATGCATAGAAAGACTTCGATAAGTTCGATAACTTTGTCTGATCCAATGTCCAAACCGGCAAGACTTCAAGTTGATATAAACTCGGTATCAGATAACGAGAAGCCGCAGCAAGTTGGCGGTCAGGTGTTTAATATCTGGTATCTCAAGTGGTCAGGAGGTGATTCATCAGTAACGAATTCCTTTACCAAATCGAAATTTAGAGTTGATATATCCCAGGACCAAGGGTATACTAAGGCAAGAGAAGATTCACCCATATGTTTATTTTTTAGTCGAGGATGTTGTTATCGAGGGTCAAACTGTAAATATTTCCACTGCTTACCTTCGCTAGTTCAGTATAACAACTCCATGAAGGATTGTTTTGGAAGAGACAAGACAGCAGAGTATAGCGATGGTATGGACGGCGTAGGGTCCTATAAAAGAACAAACCGAACGCTATATATTGGCGGTTTGCAAATGAAGCCTAATTTAGACAAATTGATAACCAAAAGTTTTCAAGAGTTTGGCACCGTGGAGAATGTCAAGGTCATATATGCCAAAAATTGTGCATTTGTCACTATGAAACTTGAAAGTGAGGCTCAGTTTGCAAAAGAAGCAATGGATAGACAATCGTTACAAGCGAATGATTCCAATAGTAGAGAAGTGCTACATATACGATGGGCTTTCCAAAATCAAAAGTTTCAAAATTACCAAGAAAAGCGAGGAATGGAAGAAACGGCAAGGGAGACGACAGGTAGAAGCATAATGAATCATAATTCTACAAAACGAATAAGAACAAGTAATGATCTGGGTGACAAATCTGCATCGTTTTCTGGTGGTGCTGAAATTGAAGACTTGGAGGAGGAGGAGGAGGAGGAGGAGGAAGAGGAGGAAGATGACGATGACAATGATAATGACGATGGAGAAGTGGTTATGGTAGAACAAAAAACTTCAAATGGTGAAAATGAGACAGCTTTAAAGTTTATAAGAAACAGAAGCGACGACGGCATTCCCTTCACCAATGGTAGCAATAATAACCACAACTATCACTATTCTAACAATAACAGACATTTGCAGAATGGAAACACTAACGAAATTGACGACTCTACCAAAAACAAACATCATATACGGACCGGGTATAAAAACGTTAGGGGAATACTTCAAGAGTCAACTTTAAAGGATATTGATCGGATAAAAAAGAAGCTAGTATTCAAAAGAAGCGAACCTTTTTTAATTAGTGTATTGGGTAACTATTCAAGTGATGAAGATGATGATTGAAACACATAGAAACAGCACATTCCAATCAACCGATGTGTGCTTTATAGGTGTAACAGAAACTATAGCGATGTATATATAAAATCGTTTGTGCGAAGTTATTTATTATTTCACTTCCAAGGCGATGGGAGCAACTGAATTCTACATCTCTCCCTCCCTCTCCCTTTCTTTCTCTCTTATTCTCCCTTTCTTTCTCTCTTATTCTCCCTTCATAGATGGTTGGGGATCATGTTGACTTGCAGAACCAATCTGCACTTTTCAAACCACTTTTAATAGGCAACACCCAGATCGATAACCGCATAGCTGTTTCAGCAATGTGCACATATGCCGCCGATCCTCAATCACATACGATAACCAAATCTCAGCTAGACCACTACATCTCCTTAGCTAAACAACAACCAGGATTGATAGTATTTGAAAACATGTCGGTTAGTGACCTTGCAATTGCCAATAAATGCGATTTAGCCTTATGGAATGATGAACAAGCAAAAGAACTAGCACCATTAATTGATGAAATACACGAATTGGATGTGAAATGTTGTATACAATTGACTCACCCAGGAAGGAAATCAATCGTTGAGTGTTTTGCACCTACGTCTATTCCTTTTGATAAAGATCTGCTATTACCCGTTGAATTGAGCTCACGGCAAATTGAACAGATCATTAAAGATTTTGTGAATGCTGCTAGAAGAGCAGTTACAATCTGTCATGTTGATTATATTGAGATTTCTTGCTGTAATGGGAATCTACTACATCAATTCTTGAGTCGGCAAACAAACCAAAGACAGGACTGTTATGGTTCTGAAGACATTGGCAAAAGAGGGCTTTTTTTAATTGAGATGATAAAAGCAATACGAAAAGAAATGGATATTCCCATCTTTGTTAAATTGGCGGCCTGCGATAACTTAAAAGAAGGAGAATCTATAGAGGATACGTTACAGTTGTGCCATTGCTTAACTGATATCGTAGATTTGATTGATATCACATCTGGTGGAATATCACCAGATTCCAAATCAAGATGGCTTTTGAATCAAGACAAGTCAATACCCGGTCAAGTTCCCTTGGCAGAGAAGGTGAAGAACAAAATCGGCAATCGATGTATTGTAGGTTGCAGTGGTGGCTTAAATCGAAATATTAAGGAACTCGAATTTTTTGTCAAACTGGGGAAATTTGATATTGCATTTATTGGAAAGGGATTCATTGAAACTGCACAGTTGATGCAACAAATTATCACACAAGTTTCATCATGATTTCTTTTTTACTTCGTTCTTAAACTGAACTAATGCTATATCTATACAACCATTCAGGCAATTTCTTACCTCCTTTTTTCAAAAATTTCTTAAGTGGTATGAATATATTTGAATCGTTATCATCTAGAAATGTAAAGCTTTCACCATAGTTCCCGGCTCTCCCAGTTCTTCCAATCCTATGAATATATTCGTCAAATTTAGAACACATTTGGTAATTTATAACAAGACTCACATTAGGCACATCAATACCTCTAGCTGCAACATCCGTGGCTATTAATATAGGAGATTCATATCGTTTAAACTCCTCGAGTGCTTCTTCTCTCATTTGTTGAGATTTGGATCCATGGATTACAACATTGTGCAAATTATTATTCTCGAGTTCCTGAGATAATGCTTCACAAACATGTTTGAAATTGGCAAATATAATAATCAAGGGCTGACGAACGCTTCTGTTGTGCTGTTGAATAACTTTTAATAGTTTGCTCACTTTAATGCTTTCAGTTTTTGGTGATCCAAGATAATCAAACTTCTGGTCAATGTTATCCAATGCTTCACCCGCACCGCCAATGTAAACATATGCAGGGTCAACTAGATAACTCTTGGTGATTTTCTCAATAGGTGGTGAGATCGTAGCCGTGTACATCATGGTCAATCTTTTCTCCAAATGGAATAGCCTGCCATCAATGCTATTTACCAAATTTTCACTCTTTGGTAATTGGTTGATTAATTTATTCAAGTCTTTTTCAAACCCCATATCAATCATTCTATCAGCTTCGTCCATTACTAGATAGTAGCATTTACCAAAATTCAACATTTTACGATCAATTGAATCTAATAATCTCCCTGGGGTACCTACTACAATGTGTATACCTCTGCCTGAACTTGAATCAATTTCATTTATCGTATCCTGGTACTGCCGACCTCCTATTATTGACATAACATTGTACCCTAATTTACAACAAAACTTTTCTGCTTCTTTTGCAATTTGTAATGCCAATTCTCTAGTAGGTGCCAAAATCAAAGCCAATGGTTCATTCTTAATTTTTTCATATTTTATATAGTTCAAATCAATATTCTGCAAGTAATGGAAAATTGGTAATAGAAACGCCAAAGTTTTACCACTACCCGTTTCCGCTACACCAACCATATCCCTTTGTTGTAGACTTATTGGAATACTTGCTCGTTGAACAGGTGTAGGCTCAACAAATCCAAATTTCTCAATAATACTAACAAGCTCCAAACTTAGCCCACTTTCATTCCAGTATCTGGCACCATGAGGTATATTTTTCCCTTTTGTAATTATCCCGTAATCTTCATTAAATATCCGCCAATCTCTGTCAGTCATTTGTGCTAGCTTTTTCAGTTTCCAATGCGTATTAGCATCATCTTTGAGTAATGGATCATAAAAAACACCATCATCATCATCATCTTGATCGCCAAGTCGCGACAATTCATTCCTTGTCGTGTCCTCTGTTTCGTCCCAGTCAAACTGAAACTTTCTTGATCGTAATTGACCAGGTTGCTTTGACGCTTGCGGAGTAGGAATTGTTGAAACCTTCAATGCCTTACTCAGACTAGATACAGATTCAGATACTGCATTCACCGGTTCCAATTCCAGTTTCGACTCCGGTTTCGGTGATGGTATATACTTATTCTTTTCAAGTTTCACCCTTTTGGATTTATGAACATACTTGGGAGTAATAACGTCTTGTTTGAGAAGATCATTAATTGAGATTGGTCGTTTTGACATGTTTTGATGAGTTATACAAATTTACTCCCAGGGGGTTTTTTTTTTCAACTCCATCGCCATTTATTTTTCCTTCCACCACGAAAATGATTTACCTTCCGAGAAAGTCAATTCCAACACTGGCTTTGAGGAGGTAGTTACACGTATAGATATATAGAGATATATATGTTTATGTTTATATAGCATGTATTTTTGTATATTAAATTTGTATCGTATTTTATCTTGTCTATAAAAACGCAGTGGTACGATTCTGCCTTCCCTTATATTCCTACACAATCCATTTTTTTTCTATTTTGGCTTTTTTTTGACTTTTCATTTCATATCCTTCTTTCCAACTTTATTGTTACCCTTAGTGACAACATTAAATCCATAGAATGAACCTTTAATCTCATTTTTGATATGTTCAATTAGATTCAAAATATTAATCAGGTGAAAATAATTTGGTGTTGGTAGATTTTCAAATTCTTCAATTGAAAAATTCAAAATTTGGTCATTGGTTAACTCATATTCCTTTGGGATTTGATTCTCTTGTTCTGACTTGGCGGCGGCGGTGGTGGTGGTGGTGGTCATGGCCATGGTAGTTGCTCTGCCGGCATTTTTGGCATCCATTGTTATATACAATTGTGGTCTATCAAATGGTAAAACTGCACACAACCATATTCTCGTCTTGTATATCTTGAACAATTCTTTAATCAACCCTCTAAAATCAATCCTCTTGAATCCGGCAAAATAATAGAAAATCAATTTTTTAAAGTCACATTGGTATTCAACATTAATCAATGTTAAATTCGTATCTAAATTTAGTTCCTTAATCTTATTATAACAAGTAGTAAATGCCTTTTTTTCATCCAAAAACTTGCCACTGATCTTGTGAACTTCCTTGGGTGTAGCAAATCTCAATACTTGTTTAGTAGGCAAAGAAATAATAAACTCGTTATCTTCATTCAGTTGTGAATTGATAATTGCAGACGCATTCATAGTTGATGGATGCGTTCCTCCATGGGTCTTGGTTGTTGTGGTTGAGCCTTCAGTTATAGTCAAACTTTTCAAATGTTCCAATTTCTTTGAGAAATTGAAAAGTATAGCAAAGTTGAGGTTAACTAACGGTTCTACAATCATCACCATATCTTTACCTCTATCACCATCAACAATTACCAAATCGTCCTTTTGAAGAAAAATGTTGGAGTTGTTTGGGTACGACAACAAATCGAGTTTACCATTTTTGTTAATGACTAAACATAATATTTTGTGGTTAAATGTTAAGTTGTTCAAATTCTTGATAAATGTTACTAGTTTCACAATTACTGGTTCTGTCAATAAATTGTTCATCTTGGTGACAATGTCTAAAGTGATATCAGGATTTTGAAAATATTTAATAATCTTGGAATACAATTGTTTTAGTTCTTGTGAGGCAACAATATATTGATCCCTGAGCAAAAGTCCATTTTCCAATTTAATTGGCTGGCCAGCTGGAACAGCAAATTGATTCTGCAGTTGTCCAAGTGGAGTACTCTTGAGTGGCTGGAAAAAACGCTGCTGTTGCTGAGGTTGTTGCTGAGGTTGTTGCTGAGGTTGCTGCAGTTGAGGTTGGGATTGCTCTTGTTGAGGTTGGGGTTGAAATTGCAGTTGTTGTTGCTGTTGAGGCTGCAGTTGTTGTTGCTGTTGTAGGGTAAAAGATTGATTGAAGATGTTTTGTTGTTGACAGTTTGTGGAAGTTTGACTGTTATCTTGGAATGGGGAAAATGCATTGCCGATAGTATAAGAAGGCATTCCGCTCTGACTCTGATTCTGACCCTGATTTTGATTCTGATTCTGATTTTGATTCTGATTTTGATTCTGATTCTGATTTTGATTTTGATTTTGATTCTGATTCTGATTCTGATTCTGGCTCATAGCTGATGGATTAAACGGAGAGTTATATGGATAATCCACCAACAGACTCGGTCTTCTTAATTGAAATTGGTTGAATTTCGATGTAGATCTCAAATTCATTTCAGCAAATGAACTGCTGATATTGTAATTGTCATTATTGTTCAATTGAATGTTCTTTGTTTGGAAATTGTTCATTATTGCATATGACGACAAGTCTCTATTGTTGCCACTATTGCCATTATTGCTGTTGGTGCCATCAGTATTGCCAAAGACATTTGGAGACTGGGCATTCAACTGTCGTGTCGATTGATGATTGGTAAATGCCGAATTATTGAAGAAATTGTTCCTCGTAAACGATTCTGCCGCATAACTTGGCCTTCTTGATGATATGTTTGAAATTCCACCTTGAAGTTCCTCTGGTAGACTGAAAACGTCTCTGAATTTATTGATACTATAGTATCTGGATAAATCAATCTGTGGTTTGTCACTTAGATCTGTTAATTTGTCAAACAATATATCGTTGAAATTGTATTGGTTTAATGGGTCATCTAAGGGGAAACCAAAGTTGCCAATATCGTCAAACCTTGCACCGTTTGTATTCAACTCGTTTGAAGCATTTGCATTGTGGTTGGAGTTTCCTTTTGAATTGTCAATTTGGGGCAGACCAACCAAATTGTCTCCGTTTAAAAAGTCGGGTAGATTCATTATAGATCTCTGGCTCTAACTTAAACACACACGGGCACTTGCTCTGACGACTCACAGACTCTAACTCTGACGACTCTGGCTCAACTCAAGCACACACAGGGACTCACTCGGTCTAGTCTCAACTATTGTATCCTTTGCCTTCAAGCTCTTGCCTTGTTGACTCACAGACTCTTGCTCTAACGACTCACAGACTCTGGCTCTGACGACTCACAGACTCTTGCCTTGTTGACTCACAGACTCTTGCTCTGACGACTCTGGCTCAACTCAAGCACACACAGGGACTCACTCGGTCTAGTCTCAACTATTGTATCCTCTGCCTTGCTGGTAAAGTCCTTTTCAGTGAAGCTCTTTTCCCCTATAGGCGGTTATAAGCAAAGAAAAATGAAAGTGATCTAACCTATATGGATAATATTCCAGAATGAAATAAAATAGACTTCTTAAAGGATATATAGTACATTCGTATATAAGAAAAGAAGGAGAGTCAAACTTTTTTTTTCAAATTATACAATTTTTTTTTTGGTGGTGGGGGTGGTGTCGCGGCGGCGGCGGCGGCAGTCGTGGTGGTGGGTCGTAGTAGAGTTGGCGTTACGGCAAGGTCGTCCTAGCGCGATGTGCTTGCAGCAAACTAAAAATGGTGGCGTGTGTTTTTTTCTCCTGCTTTTTCTTTGTTTTGTTTTATTCATTGACTAAATGTTTTTTAGATCAGGTTGATTTTTAGTTGTCGGGAGTCAAATGTAAATTACACGACTTGGTATAATATTTGGCCCCCTCAAAAATGAGGCGAGAAGAGGGGGAGAGAGAGGGGGAGGGGGCGAACGGGGCAGTAACATTCCTTTCTAGTATAATCTAGCACAATACTTTTCTTCTCTAATGCAATACTTTTCTTCTCTAATGGAATACTTTTCTTCTCTAGTACAATACTTTTCCTCTCTAGTACAATACTTTTTCGTTTCTCAGCCGCTCCGTAGAAGGAAAAAAGAATAGGGTGTACCATATCGTATCATATTATGTCGTGTTTGCCGCACTAAAATAAAGCAAAAAAAAAGCCATAAAAAACAATGGAGATAGAATGATAGGATAGAACTATAGGATAGAACGATAAAAGATAACGGTACAAGATAAAGGTGTAATAAGGTAAAAGAGTCACTCATCATGGTAACAACATTTATAGTACAACACATCACATAAAGTAATTTAAGAGCAATTTCTTGTTCAATCTCTACAAGTGACAAGTGCAAAAATATAAGCAAGGATTAAATTTTTCACGTATGATTTGATTTCTTATACGCATGACCTTATTTGGTAATAAAAAAGATACGGTAAATCTATATACTTTTTATCACACATTTATAGATCCAAACCCGTCGAGCGAAGGGAGATAGTGGAGTATACAAACTCTGGAGTATACAAACTCTGGAGTATACAAACTCTGGAGTATACAAACTCTGGAGCACACCAATTCTGGAGCACACCAATTCCGGAGCACACCAACTCAGGAGCACACGGGTTTGATTGCATCCTTAACCACCATCCAACTCCCTTAACCTTCTTTTTCCACTTTATTTGTGCTTCCTTATGCATTTTTGTCTTTTCCACATGACTATATATCATTTTGCATTTCATGCTTCCTCATTTGAATTACATGTCTAATGTGTCTTGTTTGTCTTGTTTGTGTCTCATTTTTTATGTCAATTTCCCCATATTTTTCTATTTTTACCCCTTGTCTCATTAAAAGAGTAAAGTTCAATAATAAATAAACATTGACATTATAAACTAAACAAGCCTAGAGTAGAAATTAAAACATAGATACAACATATACTCTAGCAATGAAATCTCTACCCATTCTCCAAAAAACCCCAGCTTCTCAAAACTCTTCAAAACTCTCAAAACTCTCAAAACTCTTCAAAACTCTTTTCAAAACAGCTCTTCTCATTAAAACAATTCAAATTCCCTTTTTCAAATGCTCAATAGTGATTCTACCAGATTCTCTAATTTTCTATTCTCTATTTAGAGCTGCTTCTCCTCCTGTAACCTTGACCTGCTTTTGGTGGATAGCTACCATGTCCTTCAACATATACAGCTTCATCAGCATCTAATGGTTCACATGTGCACCAACATTCCTTGGGCGATGTATCCATAACTTCGCTTATATGATTACCACATCCTGTCCATGATTTATGTTCTATTTTCATGGGAAAAAAAAACCAGTTAGTTGATTATCCTTTACATAATAAAACTTGTGTGTATGACGACAACGAGAACGACAGAATACATACGACAAATACCACAAATTTCAGTTTTACACATTGTTATTAAAATTTAATCTCTCTCTAAATAATTACAGAAACAAACAAAACCAAACCCACCATGTCTAGAGACCCCAAGGAACCCTAAACCCTTTTATACCTGTAACTCAATCCAATAATACCCTATGAAACGAACGAGAAAAGAAAAAAAAAAAAAAAAAGGTGGAGTTGAATGATAAGAGATTACATAATAATACCTTTAACTAAAATCAAGAAACTCCCCAAAGAGACAATGGAGATTAAACTCCGGAAATTAGTTGAATATCTAGTGTTATCTTTGATCTTTGAGAAAAGAAACATTCGATAATAAAGTCAACCTCTCCGGGCCGATAAAATGGCTAATGAGAATAGCTTGTGATATAGTAGAAGGACTATACCGGAAATGCAAATATACCGATACAACTTGCCGAATAGTCAAGCCTCAAGAAAGTTAGCTAATGATTTCTTTACTCCGAGTTTTTGCGAAACCTTTAAGGTATAAATTACGTCAACAATATAACATCTCTCTTAGTGTCACTTCTTCTCTTAACTTCTTCTCTTGGTGTCTTTTTGGCTCTTCTTTTCTGCTCTTTCTCCTTTTATTGAGATCGGATGGAAGGATGGACAATAAAAGCCGCCTTATTTTTCTTTCTATGCGTTCTACAAGAATTTTTCTTTAATTTTTTTTTTTTTTTTTCTTTACTGGGAATGCGATTTGGCAATAATACTTCAAATACAAAACCCATAATCACACCATTTTTATTAATAATTTACTTGAATCTGCGAGTCACCAAGTTAGCTAGTCACTCTTATTGCGAAACACATGAAACAATACTATCTGGGGTAGATTTTTCTTCTTTTTTGGTGTTTTTTTTTTTTGTTTTGACTTCTTCTTATAATCAATGACTCCTAATCGCCGAGGAAGGTAATATCAGTATTACATATTGACTAATCGTTTACTGCAAATTCTAAATCCCTATGTAAAATATAGTTTGATAGACACTATCGAGAAGAGCAAGATAGTGCCGATCGATAGTGTTGGTCACTGTGTTCCACTATCGAGTAGAAAGAGATAGCGGAGCATCACTTGGTAGACACTATCGAGTAGAACGAGATAGTGGAGCATCACTTGGTAGACACTATTGAGTAGAACGAGATAGTGGAGCATCACTTGGTAGACACTATTGAGTAGAACGAGATAGTGGAGCATCACTTGGTAGACACTATTGAGTAGAACGAGATAGTGGAGCATCACTTGGTACACACTATCGAGTAGAAAGAGATAGTGGAGCATCACTTGGTAGACACTATCGAGTAGAACGAGATAGTGGAGCATCACTTGGTACACACTATCGAGCAGAAAGAGATAGTTGGACGCTATCTCGCTCTGCTCGATAGTGTCAATCGATAGTGTCAATCGATAGTGTTGGTCACTGTGTTCCACTATCTCGCTCTGCTCGATAGTGTCGGTCGATAGTATAAAAGAGACTATTTATTTATATGGAATAACTAGATCCTTTTAGCTGGTCAGTGCACTCCACTATCTCGCTTCGCTCAATAGTGTCGCGATAATGTCGCGATAGTGTCGCGATAGTGTCTCTAGCCACTTCTTCCTCCAGTTTGTTGATAACTCACATCAACACAATCCTCATTATCCAAACCTAGAGATTCAGGAGTATCTGTGCCTTGAACTCTGGCACCATCTACCCAAAACCTCAACGACTGAATATCTTTCCCTACTCTACTACAATATGCCTCCATAACTTTTTTCATTGGTGTCCTTGGCTTAATCTTGAAATACACAGCGGCTTGATTCCTCTCACGTACTTTAATATTAACACGTTCTCTTTGGTACTCTTCCTTAACTGGTGCATCGGCCTTAACACCATCTTCTTCCTGTGTTTCTTCTGATTCGTCTCCCGCACCTCCAGTTTGTTCAATGCTCGCTTCAATAATATCATCATTATCTAAACCTAGTGAATCCGGGGTGTCCTCGGGCTGAATCCTAGCCCCGTCCACTAAAAATCTAGTCGATAAAGGGTTTTTCCCATGCCTTCTACAATAAGCATTCATGACTTTTTTCATCTTCGTATCTGACTTGATTTGAACCTGAATATTATTATTATCCTTGTCAGTTACACGCAAAATAAGTACGCGAGCTCCCCCTCCCCCTCCTCCTTCCTCTTCTTCTCCATTTTCCGATTTTACAACAGTTTCCGGTTCTCTTTCATTCTCCCCACTAGCCTGGGTGTTTTGATTCACTTCTTCGTCACTTGCTTCTTGGAGCTGTTGCTGTTGTTCTTCTACACCACCACCAAACTGTTGTTCTTCTACACCACCACCACCAAACTGTTGTTCTTCTACACCACCAAACTGTTCTTCTTCTACACCACCAAACTGTTGTTCTTCTACATCACCACCACCAATCTGTTGATAGCTCACATCAATAAGATCACCATCTTCCAAACCTAGTGATCTTGGAGTATCCTTAGGTTGGATCCTAACTCCGTCTACAAAAAACCTCAATGTTTCGCTATCTTTTCCCTGTCTTCTAGAATATGCATCCATGATTTTCCTCATCTCAGTAGTGGTCTTGATCTTGAAAAACATCTCATCCCCATTCCTATGTGCTACTTTTAAATTGATTTGCTCAGCTTTTTCTGGCTTCTCTTCCAGTTTCACTTTAGCTACTGTTTCTTCACTATTCCCAACATTGATATTTGCTTGCGCTGTATCGCGAGCAGATACATCAGTCGATTGCTGCTCAGTCTGCTCCGTGTGTTCTATACCGGTGTCAGTTTGTTGGAAACTTGGTCTCTCTTGTGCCTGTGCTCCTTGTTGGTCCTCTGAATCAGACATATTCACGATGGCAATCTAATCATAACCAGCACGTCTAACCTTTGTCTTCTCTGTTTCTATTTCGTCAATCCCCTCGGTTTTTTCAACGAGCTACCATGTGTAAGGTCGAGCGACACTATCGAGCGACACTATCGAGCGACACTGTCGAGCGAAGCGAGATAGTGGAGTATAGACTACCACTGACATGGTCGAGCGAAGCGAGATAGTGGACCATAGACTGCCACTGACAATATCGAGCGAAACTATCTCGCTTTGCTCGATAGCAGAGCATAGACTGCCACTGACAATATCGAGCGAAACTATCTCGCTTTGCTCGATAGCAGAGCATAGACTGCCACCGAAACTATCTCGCTTCGCTCGATAGTAAAGCATAGACTGCCACTGACACTATCGAGCGAAACTGTCTACGCCTCAATCTCTACACCTCACTCCCTAATACACCTCTACTCAATTATACCGATACACCTAATACCTAATACTAGTACACCTCTAATCAACTACACCTCCCCTTTACACTTCTACACCTAATACCTAATACTAATACACCTAATTACTCAATACCCAATACTAATACACCTCACTACTTAGTACCTAGTGTCGGAGGTAGTCTATGCTCCGCTATCTCGCTTCGCTCGATAGTGTCGGTGGCAGACTATGCTCCACTATCTCACTTTGCTCGATAGTGTCGCTCAATAGTCTCGCTCGATAGTGTTAGAGGTAGTTTATGCTCCGCTATCTCGCTTCGCTCGATAGTGTCTCATCTTTGCTACAAGCCCTTTACCTTTTTCTGTTTCATTTTTGTTTCACTTTTTTTTTTGCACCCAAAAAATTCCATTTGTCATATATATGATCAATTATCATCAAACAAGATGGAAAGCCAATGGAACTGGAACTCCCTCTTTCTATGGAGTAGTTATTGTACGTATTGTGTACTCCTGCTATAATACAACAAAGAGAGATGTTGAGAAATTACCTTGATCTTCCAGAAATTTACACACAACTCTATTTCAATCAGTATACAATTTTGTTACTTCTCATATTAATCAAATTGATCATATTGAGAAACTCACTAATCAATGCAATATCCAAGCAATTGATCGACGATTCAGTATGTGACGAGAACAATATTCAACAAGTCTTGAATGCGGTTCATCGTACAATAATGGATGGCGTTGACAAATTGAAATATTCAGGTATCGTATCTATCGTGCTCATCATTAAAACCATTCGAGTATTAACGGTTTTTTTCATTGATTTGTTCTTGGGGACCTATATTTGTCTTCTTAGAGCTTTAGTCAAGGGAACTACAGAATTTGCGTTTGATGCGACGGAATCAGTAATACAAGCAGTGAATGTCACTATTGTTGAGGCAACAAACCAAATAGAAGAAGGACTACAAGGATTATCGAAATTCATCAATGATTTAGGCACTGGGGTTGATGCTATATCGCAAATATTCACAGGTGGTGGTGGTGATACATCAAACGCAAACCAATACGAGGACAAAATCAATTTGACTCTAGGTAACTTGAAGAATAAAATAATGATACCTGGTTCGGTATTGACTGAAATCGAACAAGCTAAAAATGTAAGCATGAAGGAATTGAACGATTTGAATAATCATACGCAAACACTCATTGAAACACCTTTTAACGTGATTATTAAGAATCTCGATGCTATCAAATTTACCAACTCGTCAAGTAACTCATCAATTAACCCACTAAATGTAAAAGGTACTTGCATGGAAGCAGTAAACGTTGTTAAGGACTCCCAAAATGTTTTAGTGAAAACAGTAGAGATTACAAGCCAATGGCTTTTTATTGCTTTAGCTTGTATTATCTTAGTGTCGCTATTATATGTCTTGTATACTGAACTGTGCCATTGGAAGCGTGAAACTAGATTCATTATGGAGAAGGATCTTGATGCTGGCGAAGTAGGTTTTCGTAATCAGCAAAATATATATAACAATCCCGTGCTTTATATCGTGGTCAAGAGGTGCGGAATACAGCTAAATGAACGTTCTATTTGGATCTTAAGTTACATGTCGAGTAGGTTGGCCAATATCGTTCTCATCTTTGGATTAATGGGTATTATCTCGGTTATTTTACAGGTTTTGTTGATCCATTTTCTTAAACAATCAATAAATGGCGAAATCACTAAAATGGATAGTGGTACTAATAACTCTGCTACATCAAAGGTGGTTGTTTCTTATATCGCGTCAATGAATAACTACATGAATACCACTGAAGCTAATTTGAATAGTGAGCTATTTGGAGAAATCAAAAGTACTTCAATAAAGATAAACAGTACAATTTCGGAGTTCCTAGATAACTTGAGCACAGCCATTCAAAGTATATTTGGAACGACTGTGCTTGCTCTGGCATTGGATACTATTGTTTACTGTACAATTGGCCGCAAATTGGAAAAAGTGGAAGAAGGGTGTACTTGGCTAGTTGATAATTTACAAATCCAAATCCCATCTATACCACCAGATGTACAAAAAAGCATTGAAAGTGTAAGTTTTATGCAACCTCAAAGTATTATGTCCAAATTAAACTCCATGATTGCAGTTTATAAGGATTCAATACGATTAGAGTTGATCATCAGTCTTGCATTCATAGCAGCGTGGTTATTACAACTCATTATTGGCTTAGTAATACTATATACCCGACAGCGTAAAGATGCCCAATTTACACCGTTTGGCACAAAAAAAGCACTTAAAATTGGTTGTCCTCAGCCATTGAATGAGAAGGAAAAGCAGCTATACGAGTATCCGTTATCTGAACCACCCGCGGGAGGGTACGTGCAAACATCATCAAGTTATTACCCACTGCCGCCATAAAATATATATATCGATATATATATATATATATGCTTACTTTTACTTTTTGATTGGTGCTGGTTTCTTCCAATAATACTGCTTATGAGTTCTTCTACAAGATCTCAACCCACCGTGCCCCTTAATATTTGAAACCAATTGTTTTCTGTTTTCATCATCGTCGTTTTCAGGAACATAATAATACTCTTCATCTAGTGGTTTACCTGCAGCATCTTTACCTTCACGATAAATTATCCCAACACATTTAATATTATGTAAAACGGTTCTTATTTGCAAAAGTGACAACTTCAAAGTGGAGGCGCTTATTGTGTTCAAAACCGAAGCTGGAGTTGAGCTTAGTCTTGAAAACGCAAGGTGGTTTATCAAGATATTATTGATTTCTGAAAGGTTTGGAAGGGAAAGAGCAGATTCATCAAATTCTGGAGTTGATGGCCTTGATTTCTTCTTTTTTCTTTGTCGTGGTTGTTCGCGCTGTTGTTGTTGTTGTTGTTGTTGCAGTGTGACTTCTTGAGAGTCATTGTCTTTGCTACATATTGATTGATGTTCGGCTGGACGTTTTTGCGAACGGGGTTCTTCGGAAACTGCTCTCCTATTTGTGACGTCAGCTAAAGCCAGCTGGTTTGATGGAGTCAAAGAGCGTGGTGCATCAGTTTTGTCTTCAAAAATGCTAAATGGCACAGCAGCAGTAGCAACAACGGGTTTTGGATAAACAATTTTGACATTTTGTTCTTTGCTAGGTGTTTCAACACACTCTATATCTTCATTAGTCTCCATCACTTCAATTGCCGGTTTTAACTTAAAAGGTGTATCTGGAAGTGAACCACTACTCAACACTTTGTTTATTGGCGTCGATGTCGATGTCGATGTCATTGTCATTGTATTCTTCTTATCAATTAATACCAACTCTTCCTCCTCGGTTAATTCATCGTCTTCCTCGGTTAGGCATTCTTCAACCTCGCTTGGATTTAATAAAACAACTTGTTTCGAAAGTTCTAATAACACGTTTTCAAATTTGGGCAATGTGATAGTTTCATTTTCGTGAATATAAAACTCAGTATGATTTGCATCTGTTTCGATAGTGAGGCTCTTGCACTTTGAGGTGTCCAATGGTTTCCCACTTTTATTCTCCAATACCATGTAGTGGTTTTCTAGCTCGGTTGCAAGAACATAGCAAGGTTTTGGTATAACTATTCCAGTTCCGTTGACCCCGATACATTTTATTACCATGTTTTGCGAATCATAGGTCAATTTGAGATGTTTCCTTGATATATGGGTATCCTTTGAATTTAACTGAAACTGACATTTACGTGCTGATCTGCCAATGAAAAAGCTACTGCTATCTGACTCAAAGGGGATTCTCAAAACCGCTTTATCTGGATTCAACACGTTAAAGTCCTTATTGATGCTTATAAGTTTTTTGGTGGTTTTTTTGACTTTGTCTTGTTTGCAAAATAGAGCGGTAAATTGCTGGGGCTGATGGGGCTGATGGGGCTGATGGGGCTGATGGGGCTGATGGGGCTGTTGCTGCTGCTCTTGCCGTTGTTGCTGTTGTTGTTGCTCATATTTGGTGTTAGCGGCTCTAGCGGGCGACGAGGAGCGAAACAACGACGAGGAAGGATTAGGTGTTGGATACTCCTCATTTAGCGACTTCTCAGGAGCCAATGTGGCTAATGCAAAGGAGTTCTTTGTCTTTACCACTTCTGTATCGACATCATGAAGCGGAGACGATGGTGGAAATTGATAATTGGAGTACAGCATAATATTCGAAACAGCTTCTTTGTTATCTATCTTCAAAAAAAAAAGGGAAAACCAGGGAAACCTCTTGTAAAGCTCTTGTAAATCTCTTGTAAACCTCTTGTCTCTTTTTCTTCGTTTCCTCGTTTCCTCTTCTCTTTTCCTCTTTTCCTCACAAAATATAGTTTTTCAACTTTGAATTAGGTGTTGTTGTATAGTTTTTCAACTTTGAATTAGGTGTTGTTGTATAGTTTCCACTTCTCTATTCAAACTTTCTCGTGTTATTGTTTACATTTTTCATTTTTCAGTTAGCCGCTGTCTTACCAAAGCACGCACGCGTCTCTTTGCACCAAAACAAAACGCGAAAAAAACGCGGGAAAAAATCATAACATCACGTGATAGGGTTGGTAACACAATACTTTTTGTTTGCACGTGGTGCACGTGCAAACTTGTCTTTTTTTTTTTTTTTTTGAAAAAATCAACACGACTCCATCTCACGACCTGCAATGTTTTTTTTTCTCTTCTTCTTCTTCTTCTTCTTCTTCATTTACTACTTCAACTACTAACAGTTATTACATAATACAGATAGTGGAATATATTACATAATCTATTACCTAATCTTCCTGAAGTATCTCGCTGAGGAAGTTTGTTAAGAAAAAAAAAAAATTTCAAGAGAGAGAATTTTCACTATTTCCACTAGAGTCTGTTAATTGAATATAAGCAAAAATGGGTAGTATGTCTTTGTCTAGAGAAGTGTAGTTGGGGTTTACATTCAGTGTAGGAAGGCGTACGAGAAGAGGGGGACCGAAATGAGGCAGAGAGGAAAGCAAATGGGGAAGAAAATGGGAAAGAATATGGGAAACAATATGAGGGAATGAGATAAGAAAAGAAATTGTATTTGAATTAATTGTCGTCTTGTATGAGTTGGGGCCTCTCCCCCCTCAGGAGAGAAATAGTACATTAAAATGCTTGTACCACTGAATGTAGATCCTGACACGCTAATGGAAGTAGATGCTGCTCCCAAATGGAAGTAGATGCTGCTCCCAAATGGAAGTAGATGCTGCTCCCAAATGGAAGTAGATGCTGCTCCCAAATGGAAGTAGATGCTGCTCCCAAATGGAAGTAGATGCTGCTCCCAAATGGAAGTAGACGCTGCCCCCAAATGGTAGATCCTACTCCCAAATGGAAGTAGATCCTTCTTGCAAATGAAGGGAAAGTTCCCCCCCCCCCAAAGGAACATTATACTAACCCCGTTTTATAGAAGGTACACCATCATTAGGTAAAAGACACAACAAGTCACACACTTTATGTAACAGATGTGGTCGTCGTTCTTTCCACGTCCAGAAAAAGACTTGTTCATCATGTGGCTACCCTGCTGCTAAGATGAGATCTCACAACTGGGCTTTAAAAGCAAAGAGAAGAAGAACAACCGGTACTGGTAGAATGGCTTACTTGAAGCACGTGACTAGAAGATTCAAGAACAATTTCCAAACCGGTGTTGCTAAACCCCAAACCCCAATTGCCGCTTAAACAAACCCGCTACAACATCCTCATTTACTACTACATTAACTACTAAATGTCAATTTGCCCATCAAATGATTCACTTGTTTTTTTAACTTAGGCTTTTTAATAGTTTAAAGAAGTTTTCATTCTGGATCTCAGAGAAGCTTTAATTGGAAATGCACAACTGTACATTATTGAGAAAACTACAACTATACTGGTGTTTTTCCGGTATTTCTTGTTTCTTGTTTCTAAATTGTAGAAATCTGTATCTATATATTCATTTCTTCATCATCTTCATCATCATCAATTGCATTGATGTCGTCGTATTCAGGATTCATGTTGAAATAGAGATTATCTGCTTCCTCATGGTTCACATATCTATTTAGTACTTCTCTTGCCAACTCCACTGTTTCGTTATCATAAGGTATCTCTAATCCATTGGAGAAGTTACTCTCAATGTTGGCAAGATACCTGCCCAGATAATCTTTTGTGCTAACATGATTAATTTGTCTTGCTCTGGTTTCGCACCATTCATTAAAAACTGGAAGCTCGTAGTACCCCTTAGTTCTTGCTTTCTTTAGCAAGTTATAAGCATCAGAAGATAACGAGTCTGTACCAAATGCTATCCTCAGAAACACAACAAATAGTTCGTACATGGTTTCACTATACATTAGCTCACTAGCTTCACGGAGATCCTGGGTCAAATAGTCGATAATCTTGACTAGTATTGCAATTAGGTAGAGCTTTGATCCTACTAGTTGCGATCTAGGTGATTTTGTAACTTCGCTCTGCTGCATCCCAATAATCCTCACTAGTGATTTGAAATGATCCTTATCATGCAAAAACTCAACTGTTTGTTTTGTGATTATTAATGATACCAATAGCTCGGCCACTCTTATTTGAAGGTTAAGTAAGTGGAAAAGATGGTTATCTTTTTCTACCTCGGTAATCTGCTCTGTTTGGGTGTCTATATCACGAATGGGTTGCGGAATGCATACAACGTAATTATTGAGCCGATCGTGTTCTTTTGGCACTGCCAAGTCAACTATTTGCATATCGGTGTTATTACCAAGAATCCTATTCAATCCGTAAAACCTGAATCCTTGTTTGATGGGTATATCGATTAAAAAGACTTTGATCAAAGAGGAGATAATCGTGGTATCCATTTCACTGTTATTGAATGCAAAAGTATCATCCGTAATTGATGACTCTAGCATTTCAACAATACTATAGACTGTATTGATTTGAACATTAGATTTGAATCTTTCGGTGTTTTGGGGTAAAAAAACAGAAACTAACTTGGTCGACAGGACTTTGTTCCAAACTTTTATAATAAACCCGGATTCAAACTGAGCCGTTAAGCTCAAAACCTTTTCCGTTGTATCAACTAATTCAACTAAAAGTAACCTTTCAAGTGCTGTTATTTGTAGCGGGTCATAGTGTTCATGGTACACGTCTCCGTCAATAGTCTCCTCTAAGTTCAGATTGAGCAAGTACAGGTATTTAACGGCCCATTGCGAAAGCGTTTCAATGATTTCAATTATTAGTTTTTGAGTCACTGCTACTGGTCTAAAGTTTATTGCACAGTGCACTAAAGATATTAGGAATGGAATGGAAAGCACTAGTCTATTAGACATAGCCTGTTTGGTGATATCAATAATTGAAAACACAAACTTTTCAATAACCTCGTCTAATCTCAATTCCCTCATACTCATCAAAAATTCCAATAGGGCGAATGAAACCGGTTGTTTCTTTTTAATTCGAAACCCATAAAGGGTATCCAACTCGAAATCATAACAGATTTTGCTTAAATATTCAAAAGAAGATCGTTGAGCCCCAACAATGCAATATTTTTGAAGATGATCAAACAAAGTCAAAGTTTCATTTTCAAATTTTACAACTCTTTCAAGAGGAATTTCTCCTCGGGGGTGAAAATCACCAGAAGCAGTTGAACTCACCTGTAATGTTGTTTGTTGCTCTTCATTTTGCGATATATCAATCTTTCTCTTCTTGTGAGATGTTGCTGTGATAAGCTCATTTTTAAGGAACTTTCTGTCATCCTCTAATTTGTGTACCACCTCCTTTAGCGCCTCGGTTTCCGCCTCTTTACTCTTTTTCAACGCTTCATAAGATCGTCTCAAATCAGCCAACTCATCGCGTTTTGAGTTTTGGAAACGCAAAAACTGGGCTTTCAACGTAGCAATCTCGCCATCTGCTTGAAATAGTCTTGCTTGGATTTGCGCATTTAAGGGTATCTCTTCTAAAATTTGGGACGTGGGAGCAGCAGCAGAAGGAGCAGCAGGAGCAGCAGAAGGAGCAGCAGCAGAAGGAGCAGCAGGAGCAGCAGAAGGAGCAGCAGAAGCAGGAGGAGGAGAAACTACTGTTTCGACAGGTGCCATTCCGCAGCTAACAGATTTTGGTGGAATTTGAGTTCGGCCCGTTAAGTAACCTTGTAAGATCTCGTCATCTTCATCATCATTGGCAAAATCGCTATCTGAGTCGGGCATTTGAAGACTCTATACCATCTCTGTATAATTCCCCGTATCATAGATCATATATACCGAGCTGAAAAATTATAAGCTCGGAGATAATTTCCAATTCGGCGAATCGCTTGAAAAATTTTGTATACGACGCGACACTATCGAGCGAAGCGATAGTGGACCACTAGCGCTAGCGCGGAGAGCTCCAGGCTTGGCTAAAACTGGCCATAAGAGCACACTATCCATCGACACTATCCATCGACACTATCCATCGACACTATCGAGCGAAGCGAGATAGTGGAGCAGCACATTAACTAAAGCACTCACATCAACTAAAGCACTCACGTTAACAAACTATTGTTATAGTAGAATATATATAGCCACTCGGCAAGAATAGATTGTAAATACAAATTTTATGGACACAATTCCTACGATAATGATTCTGTTCACCCCCCAACTTCCTCTGTCTTGTTTAACCTCTATCTCTTCTCTCATTATCTACACTCTCGCTATCTACACTCTCATCATCTACATTCTCTCTATCTACACACTCTACTCTCACTATCTACACTCTCACCATCTACATTCTCACCATCTCTTCTCTCACTATCTACACTCTCACCATCTACATTCTCACCATCTCTTCTCTCACTATCTACACTCTCGCTATCTACACACTCATCATCTCTTCTCTCTATCTACACACACTCTATCTACACTCTCACCATCTACATTCTCTCTATCTACACACACTCTATCTACACTCTCACCATCTCTTCTCTCACCATCTCTTCTCTCACCATCTACATTCTCTCTATCTGCACAACTATCGACTAGACTCGTTTCACTCGTCTAGTCTCTCTCTTTCTCTTCTCTCTATCGACTAGACTCGTTTCACTCGTCTAGTCTCTAGTCTAGTCTCTAGTCTAGTCTCTAGTCTTCTCTCTATCGAGTCTATCTCCTTCCAAATGAAAAATGTTTGTTGGAAAAAAAGAATTTATATTTTTCACTTTTATCCAAAGCTCATCGAGATTATTCCTCCTCAAAAGATATATGATTATGGCAGACAAGACTAGAACGGAAGGGCACACGGAGGAGGAAGTTGATTCAAGTAACGGACAAAATGTCAAAGACTCAACGACAAAGTCGCTTCCACCATCACAAAGATCAGTACCTCCTACATCACAAAAGTCGATACCTCCTGCATCACTTATACCAGTACAACCAACTCCACTCACCTCTCGAGACAAAAGTACTCAAAGATTGGTAGTAGTGTTATCCCAGGCATGTTTAGAAACGTATAAGATGAACAGCGGTGGTCCCGGAGGCGATAGGTTTGCTTTATTGAATTGTGATGATCATCAGGGTTTGTTGAGAAAAATGGGAAGAGATATAGCTGAAGCAAGACCAGATATAACACATCAGTGTTTGTTAACACTATTAGACTCGCCCATAAACAAAGCCGGCAAATTGCAAGTATACATCCAAACAGCAAGGGGCGTGTTAATTGAAGTCAATCCAAGTGTAAGGATCCCCAGAACATTCAAGAGATTCTCAGGATTAATGGTTCAGTTGCTACACAAATTAAGTATTAGGTCTGAAAATTCCAAGGAAGTCTTGTTGAAAGTGATCAAGAATCCAATCACTGATCATCTACCTACCAAATGTAGAAAAGTTACTTTATCGTTTGACTCCAAGGTTGTAAGAGTCCAGGATTACGTGTCTACCTTAGATGACAATGAGAGTATCTGTGTATTTGTTGGTGCCATGGCCAGAGGTAAGGATAATTTTGCTGATGAGTTTGTTGATGAAAAAATCGGATTATCTGACTATCCACTATCGGCATCTGTTGCTTGTTCCAAGTTCTGTCATGGGTGCGAAGACTTGTGGGGGATCTACTAATAATATATAATGTGATATGGCGTATATAGAATAGCGACGCTATCGAGCAAAGCGAGATGACACTATTGAGCAAAGCGAGATGACACTATTGAGCAAAGCGAGATGACACTATTGAGCAAAGCGAGATGACACTATTGAGCAAAGCGAGATGACACTATTGAGCAAAGCGAGATGACACTATTGAGCAAAGCGAGATGACACTATTGAACAAAACGAGATAGTGGAGCGCGTTAACTAATGACACATTAACTATTGACACATTAACTGATTTATCCCTTGGACTCTTATTGTAAGCTATTACAAATAGATGACACTCTACAATCAAAGACTAGACGAGTGAAACGAGTCTAGTCGATGAAGAAAGAAGAGAGAGTGGATATAGACTATCGAGTAAAGGGAGATAGTCTAGCTTTGGTCAATAGTCTAGCTTTGGTCAATAGTCTAGCTTTGGTCAATAGTCTAGCTTTGGTCAATAGTCTAGCTTTGGTCAATAGTCTAGCTTTGGTCAATAGTCTAGCTTTGGTCAATAGTCTAGCTTTGGTCAATAGTCTAGCTTTGCTCAATATTTATAGAAAGAAGAGAGAGTGGATATAGACTATCTCGCTTTGCTCTATAGTCTAGCTCTATAGTCTAGCTCTATAGTCTAGCTCTATAGTCTAGCTCTATAGTCTAGCTCGATAGTCTCTAGCTTTGTTACTGTTCCGTATCGAGAAGTCGCCGGAAAAATGGCCATTTTTTTTTTTTATTTTTATTTTTTATTTTTTCCTTTTTGCAGCCATTCTTTATTGGCCTATTCTTTTTTCCGTATGTTCATTATAAAGAGAATAACTCTTTTATAGGATTTAACCTTTTGTCATTCCAACTTCTTTGCTTTTCATAAGGACATAGCTAACCAAAAGGGTTAATTGATTCAAGATAATTTTGACGACTGAGGTACGGTACTAGGGTATAAAAACCAAAAAACCAAAAAAAAAAAAACTACTCTTGATGAGTAATCTACTTCTGACTGCTGCTGTACGAGGCTTAACATCTTCAATAACATTGGGCACTGTTATTCTTGAACTGCTCCATCTTAAAAATTTACTAGATGTCAATTTTTCCAATGCTTCAATAGAGTTACTCACGAGTCACCCTTCAGCATTCTACATCCGTCAAGATAGAAAGAATAAATCCAAAACGGTCAATGTGTTTAATGGTGCAGGTGAGCAGGTTTATACGTTTGAACGACTTTCTTCGCTGAATCCAGTTTGGAGAATGCTTACTTTCCCACAACGACAAGAAATTGCCACGATTAAGATTTCATTTGGCGAAAGGTCGATCAATTTCCATAATAAGCCCCGATTGAACCACAGAAGGACATTCTGCGACTGGAATTTGAAAGGCAGACATCGGTCATTCTATTTAAATGATGGTGCAAAATATTCGTGGAGTTCTTCAAACAAATATTTAGAGAGAATTATCAATCCTAACGGCGGATTGGAAGAACAAAGAGTCAGAATTGCTAAAGTAAAATTAATGAGACAGTTCAAATTGGATTTCGAAGTTTTGGTTGATGAAACAAAGATTGATGCTGATTTGGTTTTGGCTACTGCGTTTATATCTATTTTCACACAATGGGGGTTTGGCAATTTTACAGATACTGTTGGTGCTACTTATGTACCAAAAGCTTCTGAAGAAACTCCAAAACAATAAGAAAGGAACTTGTAGAGAAAATTACAGTGGGGAATCGAGAAAGGCAACAAGATTTCATTGCCATATTGCCAACGTTGGAACTAAAAATAAACTGTCTATTTTGTCTTGTAAACAAAATGTTCTTTTTTTTCTTTTTTATATACTCTTTTTACTCATCTATAACACCTTCCTTTTGTAGCACCTTTTCAATTTCGCTGAACAAAGTATCTGTGGTAACTTTCGAACCTTTAACTCTGGCACATATGATTTCTGATTTCTGATTCATGTCCTTGGGCACAACCCTTATTCTAAACTTGCAACTTTTCAAATCAAATGAATTGTTTTTGGAAATCGAACCTGTTATGGTATAACTATATGGATCGTTTTTCAAATCTTTTAAACCAAAGTTGGCCCATGAATTTAATAAGGCAACTAATGCAGATGACATCTCATCCCTTGGTAAAATGGTGTTGAATTTGCGTATCTCAGATGGCGTAGGAGAATGAGAGGATGATGAAAACCAAGTGAAAAATGAATGCTTGTATTTTTCATCATCGGATTCAGATGGTGTAGGAAGCTGATCATTAACATGTACACCTGGATCTGTCGATTTCTTGTTTCCCCATGAAAACTTCCTAAAGAATGAACCTTTTCTTGACTTTTGATTTGTTTCGGTGTGATGATTCGTTTTATCATTCAATGGTTTTTTTGTTGGTATATGATGTGGAGGGGGTGCTGGAAGGTGCGACTTGTTAGTATCACGCACTTTCGACATTGGTTGAGAGGAGAAACCTTGCATACCAGTATTTAGATTGGGCACTAACATCTCCGGACCAGGCATCGACAGTCTTGTCTTGAAATTCTTATGACCAGTGGCTGATGTTCCATTAGCTAGTGCGTCAATAGAAGACTTTGTGGATTTGCCATCTGGTAATTTGATCTTGTCAAAAACATCATCTGTTACGCTAGAAGTGTCGGATAACATCGATTTATAATGACCCTTATTACCGAGAACATCATTTCTACTGACAAACGTATCATCTTGCTCATCTGTAGGTAAAGCAGGTACTTTTGAAGCAGGTCTTACGCCTGCACCGCCGCCACCACCATACCTTTTTGTAGTAGAGGCTCGAGAAGCTCCTCTATTTTCATTCATAGAGTCAAAATATGAGTTTCTCTTTTTAGCCAAATGTTCATCAAAATCCATAACCGAATGGTTTTCGTATTCACCATCCTCATATTCATTTTCATCTTCTTCAGGTAATCCAACTTTATCTAGTCTATCAGCAAAACTAGTGCGTAAACCTGGAACTGTAACATGGTTATCATATTCCTCAGACACATGTGATTCAATAATTGAGTTCAAGTCCCGGTAGGATTCCTTTGTCGAATAAATGGAAAGAACCGATAATCTCTTATTCGAGTTGGTAAAGTTTCTTGACTTTCTTGTAACGTTTGGAATTTTAACACCGCCAATCAAGGTCTTGGGTCCTGTGTCGTTGGACTTGGTGGTTTCATTTTTAAGATTCAATTGGCTGTTGAGTAATCTTGATTTGCGTATCTCACTCATGTAGTCATCGGTAAGATTAGATTCATCAACTTCTGGTTCAGGCAATTTGAAAGCACCATTTCTATTATAATAGCTATCTTTTGACGTTCTTTTCTTCATCTTGCTTTCAAAATCCCCTTCCTCTATAATATCATCCATCACAGAAATCATAGATTCCTTATTAATTTTCTTCTTGGTGCTAGCTTTCTTGTCATCATCACCACCACTGTCACCACTGTCACCACCACCACCACTCCTTCTTCTTTGCTGATCTCTCCATTCATGTTCCAAAGCATCTTGCGCTCGTTCAATTTGCTCATTATGATGAGCTTGATACAAGGGATCCAATTTCGATACTGGTCGTCTCGTTAAAACTGGAGTTTGTCTTCTCCTTGACATTAATGGTTGACTAGCTGATCTTCTTTTGAGCTTTCTCACTTCTTCAAGAGTCAACTCATCCGAAGCTGAAGCTTGAACACCCTCACCTTCAGAAAGCGCTCTTAATGCCCCCACATTCTTTGATTGACGTTTTTGCATTTGTTGAGATTCTCTGTCTGCCGTTATATTTTGGTCACCACCATTACTTGGATCACTATCGTTTTTAACTATAATGCTCAACTTTCTAGAGCTCAAAAGTGACTTTCGATTTTGTCGTTTTTTCTTTTTTTGCAACTCCTTTCTAGCCTTTAGTTCAGCCTCATGTTTCTTTCTTTCTATTTCCATCAATCTTTCGTATTCTCTAGCCTCCAATTCCTCAGGATCAACTAGTTGCTCCTCATTGGCATCGTACTCTTCTTGATTGAAAATTTTGTCACACAATGCTGCAAAAGTTGCCGAAGTTCTTTTTGTTTGTTTGTCCATATATTCCCAATCATCTTCACCGGATAACTTTGCATAAGTGGACAACAATTTCATTGTTATAGAATTTCTCATTGATGCCATCATTGATTGTCTTTTTGATCGTCTTTTGTTGTTATTTTTTACAGGAACCAATACTGAGGAGCGCTTTGATGGCGAAAGTTTTACTGATTGCATCAAATTTGGCGATTCATCAACAATTGGATTTTCCGCCACTTTAGGTAAGCCCATTGGTTTATCTATATAGAATGAATCTTTAGATGGCAATGAAGGAGGTATTGATTGCTTACTTTGTGCATCAACAATTTCGTTGTAGATGTTTCTTGGAATGGCTTTGAAAGCGTAATTGTCCTGCATTTGCCTCGATTTATTCGCCGTCGCTGCTGCTGCTGGTGAATGAGCTAAAGAGGCTCTCTTTCTGGGGGATTTTCTTGGAGATTTTCTTGGAGATTTTCTTGGAGAATTGTTTGCCGAAGAAGCAGCAGACATTCGCAAATGATGAGTATTTCTATTACCAACAACACCGGTACCAATACCAATACCACCATTTGCACTTGGAGCATTTCTATATTGGAAAGAAGTTGGTCTTGAAACACTAATTTGACTAGCACGTTTTTTCTTTGGTGTATTTGATTTCCCAATAGATCCGCTTCTGGGCATTTTATTATTGAAACTATGTGATCTTTTTGTTTCGTTAATTGCGTTAGTCGTTACCTCATCACTTGAATGTCTATATCTCATTAACAAAGCGTAAAAAGTCTTTTCGGGATTTGAACCATTTTGCAAAAGAGCATTAACAATTTCTTCTTCTGATCGGTCATTCCATAAAATCGACAAGTTTGATAAAATTTGCTTATCTATATTTTTCACAGAACCGAGTGATTTATAGGCAGTTTCAGGATGAGGCAATGATTTTTCGCTAATTAAATCCTCATTGGGAATTGGATATTTGGTCAATAATGGATGCTTGAGTATTTTTGCTGTAGTGATTCTTTTCGCTGGATCTACATTTAACATTTTGACAATCAAGTCTTGTGCATATTGACTCAATTCATTAACGGGCATTTCGTAATTTCCAGCTTGTACTTTTAACAACAAGTTTCTAATATTTTCATCATCAAATGGCAATCTTCCTGTTAAAAGAGCAAATAATATAACCCCGCATGACCACACGTCTGAAGCGGCACCATGGTATTTCAAGCCACTAACTATTTCAGGGGCGGCATAATGAGGCGACCCACAAGAAGTTTCCAACAATTTCCCATTGCTTTCCAATGCCGCCATACCGAAATCTGCCAATTTTACATTCAATTGTGCATCTAGCAATAAATTTTCTGGCTTTAAATCTCGATGACATATCCCTAAAGCGTGACAATAAGCGGTACCTAGTATTATTTGTCGGAAATATTTTATAGCTTCTGGTTCTTGTAAAGGACCTCTTTCTACTAACAAATCAAATAACTCACCACCTTCGACATATTCCAATACGAGATAAAGAGCTTTTGAAGTTTCCCACACGTCGTATAGTCTGAGCACGTTTGGATGATTTAAAAGTTTCATTATAATGATTTCACGTTCGATACCATAGGGTAATCCTTCACCACCGTTTTTTTTAGAAACGTTATTATTGCCATTTGCGTCATCTTGTAAGTCTGATTTCGATACGACTTTGACGGCGGCTTTCTGGCCAGTTATTTGGTGCGTAGCTAATAATACTCTACCGGTAGCACCTCTACCCAACGTTTTCCCCAATTTCCAGGGTCCAATATTCTGAGGATGGTTATAATTTGAAACCGAAGCGATTGACGAGCTTATTGAGCCATTCCTTGAATGCAGCATCTGACAAACAACAACAACAGGAATAAAAAAGGATTAACCAAAAAAAAAAACGGAAAAAAAAACGAAAAACAAAAATAGGGAGACAAGCAAGCCGATTGATTGATAAAGCAAAAAGAAAAGGGCGAGGCAAGTCAACAGCAGCAAAAAAAGGAAGAAGGGAGTTCTGTTGGAGTTGGCACAAATTTTTTTTAGGTATATTTTGCAAGTGCTTCACTTATCGAGCAGAACGAGATTCGTGTTAGCACCCTACCTCAAGCTGAATCAAAGGATATAATGGGGGGTTTTTATCAAACTTTTCTTCTTCAAATTTATTTGCCCAAACAAATTTTTTTCAATGTAAAGCGAAAAGGTAAATATTGAACACCTTGGCACGACCGTATAATGAGTGAAGGTCCATACATCAATAGATAAATGAAGCAAGACGCGCTTTAAACTTTGACGCGTCTTTTTTTTTAAATTTTATTTTTTTGATGTGAAAATTGACACGAGGGAAATTTTTGTGCCTTTTGCCCCCTTTCGTCTAATGGTAATTTAACCTAATTGGGTAAATGAATGATGTGCGTGGAATTAAACGGTGCTGCTACAATAGACTATTGAGCTAGACTATCGAGCTAGACTATCGAGCTTGACCATCGAGCTAGACTATCGAGCAAAGCGAGATAGTCTATATACACTCTCTCTTCTTTTTATGAATATTGAGCAAGACTATCGAGCAAAGCGAGATAGTCTATATCCACTCTCTCTTTTTTCTATAAATATCGAGCAAAGCTAGACTATCGAGCAAAGCTAGACTATTGAGCTAGACTATCGAGCAAAGCGAGATAGTCTATATCACTATCTCTTCTTTCTATAAATGTTGAGCACAACTGTAGTACTAGTTTGCAGCTAGACTAAACTATCGAGCAAAGCGAGATAGTCTATATCCACTCTCAGCTAGAGTCAGAGTTGCAACTGTACTACTAGTTTGCAACTAGACTCATGGTGCAACTGTACTTGCTAGTTTGCAGCTAGACTCATGGTTGCAACTGTACTACTAGTTTGCAGCTAGACTCTTGGTTGCAATTGTACTTGCTAGTTTGCAGCTAGACTCATGGTGCAGCTGTACTTGCTAGTTTGCAGCTAGACTCATGGTGCAACTGTACTATTAGTTTGCAGCTAGACTCATGGTTGCAATTGTACTTGCTAGTTTGCAGCTAGACTCATGGTGCAGTTGTACTTGCTAGTTTGCAGCTAGACTCATGGTTGCAACTATTTATTATTAATTTTTTTTGCAGGTTTTGGTCTCTACAGTCGCTTACAATTTTGATAGGCGACTCTCTACTCTACTCTACTCTGCTCTCTAGACTAGACGAGTGAAACGACTCTACTCTCTACTCTCTCTACTCTCTCTACTCTACTCTCTACTCTCTCTACTCTACTCTCTACTCTCTCTACTCTACTCTCTACTCTCTCTACTCTACTCTCTACTCTCTCTACTCTCTCTACTCTACTCCACACTCGACTATTCTACACCACACCATTCTACACCATTCTACACCATTCTACACCACACTATTCTACACTATCTCGCTTTGCTCGATAGTGTTTCTACTCAACAGTGTTCTCTACTCGATAGTGTTTCTACTCGATAGTGTTTCTACTCAATAGTGTTCTCTACTCTATTTAGTAGGGTAAATGAGTAGAGTAGAAAAATAATAGAGTAAGGGCGTACAGAATATAGAAATAGTAACTTTGATAACAAATTGAATCACGTTAATAACAAAGAGTAACTATGATAACAAATCGATTTAAAGTAAATGACTAAGATAACAAATTAATTTAAAGTAAATGACTTTTTGCAACGTATTTTTTTTCTATACAGCTTAATAAAGTTGCCGCAACTGCAGGGGAAGCAAACCTTTCAGCTCTACTATCGAGCGAAGCAAGATAGTGTCGGTGATAGCTAGAGTGCTCCACTATCAAGCAGAGCGAGCTCTCTTTTTAAAGATAATAAACTATTGTCAAGGCCAAAAAATATCTCTGAACCAATCTGTATAGCAAATCTGTAGAAACAAACTTGTACGGCAAATCTGTAGAAACAAATCTATAGAAGCGAATTTGTATAGCAAATCTGCGATGGGCCTGTAACGAGCTAGCCTGTGATGAGTCTGTAACGAGCTAATTTTCAATGAGCCTGTAACGAGCTAGCCTGTACTGAGCCAATCTGTATGGCAAATCTGTATAGCTAATTTGCAATGAGCCTGTATGAACCGATCTGCGATGGGCCTGTATGAGCTAGCCTGTAATGAGTCTGTAACGAGCTAGCATGTATGAACCAATCTGGGATGAGCCTGTTACGAGCTAGCCTGTACTGAGCCAATCTGTATGGCAAATCTGTATAGCTAATTTGCAATGAGCCTGTATGAACCGATCTGCGATGGGCCTGTATGAGCTAGCCTGTAATGAGTCTGTAACGAGCTAGCATGTATGAACCAATCTGGGATGAGCCTGTTACGAGCTAGCCTGTACTGAGCCAATCTGTATGGCAAATCTGTATAGCTAATTTGCAATGAGCCTGTATGAACCGATCTGCGATGAACCTGTATGAGCTAATCTGTGACGAGCCTGTATGAGCTAGCCTGTAAAGAGCCTGTATAACAATCTGGAATGAGCTGGTAATTTTACAACTCTTTTGAAGCTCCACTATCTCGCCCTGCTCGATAGTGGAGAACTAATCAGTGTAACAATCAAAAGTGATTGCACTAAATAGAGACGTGGTTGTAACAAGGTATAAAGTGTTGCTCCACTATCTCATTCTGCTCGATAGTGTCGCCTCCCGGCACTGGATCATTTAATCTGAACCTCCTCCTTCCATGCAATCCAAGCAAAAGTCAAACAAATCAGGACTCCATTGCCACTATATAGGGCTAACCCATAAACAAAAAGTGAATGCTTTTGCAGCTATTATACCAGCCTCTTAACGAAAGCGCAATAAAATTGAAACGCTATCGATCAACGATGCTAACCTTGACTATATGCTCTAAACGACAAAGATAAACAAGTCCAACGACACTAGGGAGCGAAGCGAGCTAGTGGAGCAATATTAGTATCAACACTAGGCGACACCAGGGAGCAATATTAGTATCAACACTAGGCGACACCAGGGAGCAATATTAGTATCAACACTAGGCGACACCAGGGAGCAATATTAGTATCAACACTACTTTAGGGGAACAAAGCGAGCTAGTGGAGCAATATGTAGTGTCCCCCCAGGCCTTGAAAATGAGATAAAAGCAAAACACCAACGAGCGGTATGGCAAAGAAGAGTAAGGCACAGGAGAGTATAGCATTAACACAGTAACAGCAACAAGACATTGTCCCATTATCAAAGACCAATGCCATCTAAAAGTTCAATCTGCTTCTTCAAATCCTCATTGACCAACTTTGTCTGTTTCCTATGTTCCTGGTCCTTCTCATAATCCTTTTTAATCGATGCAAGCACTTTTAGCTTGCCTTTTACATCCTCCGTTATATTCTGCTCCTGAGTAAGGAGACCCGTAATCTCATCAAACTCCGAACTGTCTCCATTTAGTCGCCTTAATTGACTCTTTATTGCTTTTGATTTTGATTTCAGAATATGTTTATTTGAACTTGTCTTGTACTGCTTACCCTTGGGGTTGACTTTTTGTACTTTATTTTTCAACATGGCTTTACTCTTTGACCCACTCTTTAGCCCGCTCTTTAGCCCACTCTTTAGCCCACTCTTGGGTTTACCAACTGGCATGGCTATTGTCACAAATGCCTGATGATCTATAAGGAGATTGTTCCACACAAAGAAAAAAATTTGTGAAAAAAAAAAATCTTTGATAGCCGCCGATTATCTCATCTCATCTCATCTCATCTCATCTCATCTCATCCCATCCCATTTTCACCCCGACCCTATACGAGATGCCCTCAACACACAATCGTGACAAACCATGGGATACGCCAGATATAGACAAATGGGCTATTGAGGAGTTTAAAGAAGAGCACAATGCGTCAGGTCTACATTTTGCTGAAGAGTCTTCATTCATGACCTTATTTCCAAAATATAGAGAACAATATCTTCGGAGCATATGGAGTGATGTAACAAAGGCTTTGGACAAGCACCATATTAAATGTGAGTTAGATTTAGTTGAAGGTTCGATGACCGTAAAGACCACAACAAAGACCTTTGATCCTGCCATAATTCTAAAAGCTCGTGATTTAATCAAGTTATTAGCTAGGTCAGTACCATTCCCTCAAGCAGTCAAAGTATTACAAGACGATGTTGCATGCGATGTTATCAAGATTGGAAACTTTGTCAATAATAAGGATAGGTTTATCAAAAGAAGACAGAGATTAGTTGGGCCTAACGGTAATACCTTGAAAGCATTGGAATTATTAACCAAGTGCTATATTTTGGTTCAGGGTAATACTGTTAGTGCCATGGGACCATATAAGGGGTTGAAAGAGGTAAGGAGGGTAGTGGAAGATTGTATGAAGAATATCCATCCAATCTATTACATTAAGGAATTGATGATTAAGCAGGAGTTAAGCAAGAACCCCGAGTTGGCAAATGAAGACTGGTCAAGATTTTTACCAAAATTCAAAAAGAAGAATGTTGCAAGAAAGAAATTGAGCAAGAAAGAGTTTAAAGAGAAGAAGGTTTATACACCATTCCCACCATCTCAACAGCCACGTAAAATTGATTTACAAATTGAGAGTGGTGAATATTTCCTTGGTAAAAAGGAACGGGAGTTGAAGAAGATTCAAGAGAAACGAAGCAAACAGGAAGAAAATAGTGAGTTAAAGAGACAAGAAAGAGCTAAACAATATGTTGCGCCTGAAGAAGATAAATATGAGAACAAATTGACAAAGAAGGAGGAGAAGGAGGAGAAGAAGGAGAAGAAGGAGAAGAAGGAGGAGAAGGAGGAGAAGGAGGAGAAGGAGGAGAAGGAGGAGAAGAAGGAGAAGAAGGAGAAGAAGGAGAAGAAGGAGAAGAAGGAGAAGAAGGAGAAGAAGGAGAAGGGAGAGAAGGAGAAGAAGGAGAAGAAGGAGAAGAAGGAAAAGGATAAAAAAAGATCACTAACTAACGAAGATGAAGAAGCGCAAGTGTCACGTGATCGAAAGAAATCTAGAATGTAGAACAACCCAGACTCTAGACAACAATCGATAGTGTCACTAGTGCCACTAATCAATACTGCTCCACTATCGAACAGAGCGAGATAGTGGACTGTGTAGTTTTAGTATAAGTTTCAATGAATATCAAAACTTTGTCGTTTTTAAATTTTGCTAGAAAAAGGAGCTCAATTTATACAACATGTTTATTGACACTATCGACACTATCGAGCAGAGACTAGACGAGTGAAACGAGTCTAGTCGATAGTAGATAGTGGAGAGAGACTAGACGAGTGAAACGAGTCTAGTCGATAGTAGATAGATCAATACTATCGACACTATTGAGCAGAGACTAGACGAGTGAAACGAGTCTAGTCGATAGTAGATAGATCAATACTATCGACACTATTGAGCAGAGACTAGACGAGTGAAACGAGTCTAGTCGATAGTAGATAGATCAATACTATCGACACTATCAAGCGGAGCGAGATAGTGGAGCACAATGACTGCTCTCATTACTCTATCGAGTGACGCTACACACTAGCTGCCATCTCTACTCTATCGAGTGACGCTACACACTAGCTGCCATCTCTACTCTATCGAGTGACGCTACACACTAGCTGCCATCTCTACTCTATCGAGTGACGCTACACACTAGCTGCCATCTCTACTCTATCGAGTAACACTACACACTAGCTGCAATCTCTACTCTATCGAGTAACACTACACACTAGCTGCCACCGTTACTCTATTGAGTGACACTCCTTACACTAGAATTCTTCCAATATCGTTAACAGCCTTGCATTACTTTTTCACAAGTGTCGATAGTATTGATCTATCTACTATCGACTAGACTCGTTTCACTCGTCTAGTCTCTGCTCGATAGTGTCGATAGTATTGATCTATCTACTATCGACTAGACTCGTTTCACTCGTCTAGTCTCTGCTCAATAGTGTCGATAGTATTGATCTATCTACTATCGACTAGACTCGTTTCACTCGTCTAGTCTCTGCTCGATAGTGTCGATAGTATTGATCTATCTACTATCGACTAGACTCGTTTCACTCGTCTAGTCTATGCTCGATAGCGTCAATAGTCTGTCTAGTCTCTCTCCACTATCTCGCTTCGCTCGATAGTGTCGGTGTCGATCACGTGAGTAACGGTTCACACAAAATCCCTACATGCACCACGTTTCATGTATTTTCCCAACTAGGAAAGTCACCTTCCAAGTTTAGCCCTAAAAAGTTTGGAAAAAGGAATAACATAAATATACGAGGCTGTACGATGCACGTGACACATGTACGCATTCATAAATAAAGAAAACAAGCGTGTCTTTTTAGGTAACCAACCAACACAACAATAAAAGCTTACAAGCATAGGAGAGTATAGGAGAAACAAGAAGAGGAACAAAAACACAACCGTACAAAGGGAAAGAAGCTATAGGCCTTACGAGGATATCTTTGCCTCTGAAAACTCTCATGAAAAGCCCAAGGGGTGCTCTCTCTCTCTCTCTCTAAAATACTTCATCTCTTTCCCAATTTGAATCTAAAGTATCCCAAAACGAAAATGTAAGCGCCAACACACAAAATCAAAATAAAAAATAAAAAAATTTCTGTTTTTTTATATCGATAGCTTTTCGCATCCGCAATTGTTAGTTATAAAGTATTTTAATTAACGCGAGACCAAAAGTAATCAAGAAAAGGTCAATTTGAGTAACCAGGAGACATCTTTTTCAAGAAGACATTTTCTAATTTTCAATTTTTTTTCGTTCATTTTGTCTCATCTTGTGGTTGTGTTTGTACCTTTTACCCTTTGCTACTAATTCTAATTCTAATTCCAGTTCCAATTCTTTTTCCCAATCGTCAAGTCAATAGTCATCTCAAGCTCTAAAACCAAAAATTTAAAGAAGAAAAAAAGACAGCCCAATAAGCGAGTTCTTCCCTTTACGTTGTCATTCAAAGCTGTTCCCCTGTCTTTTATTTTCACTAGATCCCTTTTTTTGTTCTTGATTCCATGCATATTGAACTATAATAAATGTCAACAAGATTGGATCAAATCGTGTCGTTTGTTGAAGAAATAGAAGCACGTTCAAACCAATTAGTAGAGACTGCTTCTAAATCAGTAAACCTAGTCAATAGTTTGTCCAAGATCAACGAAAGGCTACTTTCAAATGATAATGATTTAGAAGAGATTAAATCCTTGATGGATTTGAATAAAGCTTGTTTAATCGAATTGAACGCACTCAATGAAAAATCCTTTTATTTGGAGTCAAACTTACATTTCAATGACCACATTACTAATCAAACATCATTCGAAAATTTGACTCAAGAGTATTTCCATGTGTTGAAAAAATTGAGTGTTATTAATAGTAATAGTGGTGATGTTAATGATAATGATGACGATAATGATGACGATAATGATGATGATGATGATGATAAAATAGGTAACAACCCATTTCTTGAACGTATTTCATTAGTTGAGAAGACCAAGAACAATACACAGTCAATTGAGAAAGAGGGGTGGAACCATTCATCTACACCATCCCCACCTGATCTCAAAAAGATGATTTCAATATCCAATTTACGATTAAAGCCAATGAGATGTGCTTCATCTACTATACAAACAACAACAACAACAACAACAACAACAACACTGGAACCAAGAGCAATATCTAAAAAGAAATCTAGATACAGATTATCAAGCATCTATAATATAAACCCGATAGCATATGAAAATACTGTGAATACCACCACCAGCTCGTCAGTGGCATCCTCACTTTATGACGACGATAGTGATGGAATGATGCAGAATAGTTTATCCAAATCTTATAAAACATTGGAGTCCCATCTAATGAATAACGAGAGCCCCAAAAATGATATAGCAACAGAAGAGATAACTTTCAATAAGAATGGGGTTCCTATACCTATTCCATTTGAACTGCAATTTTTTAGACATCAACGATCGAATTCAGTGCCCACTACATTATCTACAACAAGCATGAAAACAAGCGACCAAACTGAATTGCTAAAGGAGTTTGATTGCGAAGATGATTATATACGATTCAATAGGTTGAAACATTTCATAAGCATGGGCCATTTATCAAAACACATTGACCGATATCCTGGAAACGGAACTGAATATCCTGATATCAATTTGTTCCATGCAAGTACACCTGAAGAAAACCAAGAACATCGACAGCACCTGGAAGCCATGTTTGATAACTGTGACGTTTGTTCAGTTGTTTCAGATGTTTCATATTATTCACCTAGCAAACAGAGAAATCATACTTCACATATCGTATCGGAGTTGGACTCCGATACGTTTGAGTATTATTTGAGAAAACTGGCAATTGACTTGGATGAATTGGTCCCCTCGCTATCTCCACCATTACAGCAACCCCTAGAGCATCCTACCACCACCACCATCACCATAAAGAGAGGTTCAAAATTTCATAATCCTGTTGCGTCGACAATAGGTCCTTCCCATATAGCATCACCTACTTTAGACTCAGGATATCAGCCGCCTATCACTCCTACTAGTGAATATTCCAAGAATGAGTACTCCTCCAAACGACTACTTAACGAAGTAATATCACGAAGTCCAGCAGAGGCACAAGCAATCATGCCTATGACCATCTTTTCGGACTTTTTCTCAACTACACCACCTCGATTAAAGAAAACTTTTAAACAACCAATACCTATTGGAAAAGATAACCTTGGTGAGCCACCATCATCATCATCATCACCATCACCACCATCACCACCATCATCACCAACTTCTATACCGTTTTTAAATTCCCTAACTACAAAATCAACACCATCAACAGCAACTACTGCATTTTCATTTTCTTCATTGCCATTTCCAATATTTAATACTCCTCCTCGTAATAGCACAACTCCAGCATCAAAAAAGCCTCCTCCAACTTTAGCCAAACCATGTAAACCTTCAACACCACAAAAAATTCGTGATTTGAAAAGATTGAAACAATTCAAAAAGAGCCTACCGATCCTGATCACTAATGAAACTTACTTGAAAAGAATCCCTAATAGACCTTTCGGTTGCGGATATAACCGTACCGATGGGTCATTTTCAAACTTGACGATTTTACAAAATAACAAATACATAAAACATGGCGATGCTTCAATATTTAATAACCCGATAATGAGATTATACAATGAAGAAGGTTTAAAAAAGGCATTATCCGAAAGCATTTACTAGGAAAAGACTGCATTGTTAGTCGAATGTATTAGTTTATATATTTTCTATATTTATATGAATCCAGAGGTGGAGAATACTGCCGATGATGTAGAATTTCGTTTGAAATTATTCAAATCTCGCTCAATTTGTCGTTGTTTGCTATTTCTCTTTTCTTCAGGGTTACCATTCTTCAAATGATTGGATTTCTTTGACATGAATGTAATTGAGGCCTTTGAACCTGAAACAACTTTATATTGTTTACTTATGGTGACTCCCGAAAAATGTTGTTTACCATCTTTGATGGTGATGCCTTGTTGTTCTTGGAAAGATTTGAACGATTTCACAATAGATGGTTTTTTGAAAACTGGCATAAACCCATCATTCACATCATCATCATTATCACAAGTACCATCACTCGTGCACTTATCATTATCCTTTTGTGTATCTTCATCTACATCAGTATCACCATCGTCGATGCTTCTTTTTCTTGATACTTTTCCTAGATTAAGCGAACTACGCGACTTTAAGGCATTCATGTCAACCAAATCGTCTTCATCTTCAGAAAAGCCGTGTTGGATATTTGATAACTTTTGTATTTTTTGATATTTAAGCTCATCATCATCATCAAAAACGCTTTTATGGAGAAACGACAATTGTTTTTGTACAAACGACTGCTTTATCTTGACTGTTTTCTTGATTGATTCCTTTACTTCGTCCTCTTCGTCCTCTTCGTCGTCTTCTCCCTCATCCCCGTTGCTGTTTTCAACTTCACCGCCTTTCTCTTTTCCAAACGGATTGGCAATTTCTCCTTCTTTGTCTTTTTCTTCATCGTCATCGTCATCGTCATCTTCATTTTCACTATCAATTATGATAACCTCATTTTTATCTTGTATAGTTGCAAAAAATGCCTTTGATTTCTCATTCTTACTCAATGTTTGTAATTTCTTATTTTTAAGTAGTCTCAGTTGCTGTTCTTGGTATTTTTGTTTTCTATAAGCAGCTAATAACTGATCCTCTTCATCACTCAATTCAATATCCAATCCATTATTAGCGACTCGTTTAATTAATCGATGGTTCTTTATATCATCAAGCAATTTTTCCAATTCCTTTTGATCTTTGATTTTATAATCTTCCATGAATTTCTTTTTAATTGCTTCATCTTGCAAATCAATATTGAAATCATTATCAATCATCTTTTCATCTTCGGAATTAGCAACATCACTAAACTCGCCATCGACTCCACCAAGCCCCTTCCATTCATCTTCAGATTCTTCTGCTTCTCCTTCAACTATATCTTTTAACCCTCTCCTCTCCATTTCTTTCCTCTTTTTCCGTAATTTTAGTTCTTTTATACGCAATTTTTGCTCATATTCTCGAAGTCTCTGTTTCAACGCTTCTTCTTGCTCTTGTTCATCTTTCTCATTCATCTCATTTTCATGTTCTTGGTCAACTTTTTCATCTTTAATTTGGTTTAATTTATTTCTCATAGCTCGACGACCTCGTGATACTTGTGCAGGTGTAATCACATCATCATCATCATCATCATCATTGTCTTCTTCTTCATCATCATCATCATTGTCTCCTTCTTCTTCATCATCTATATGTTTTCCACGATTAATAATCTGAGTTTCGAAATCGTCCAAAGTTGTAGAGTCTACCTGAGTAATAGCATCCACTTGTGTCTGTTGAGTACCCTGAGTTTGTGGAAGATCTTCAAATTGAGGTAATTTTGGTTCCATTTTGGCATTTACTTCATGTTGTGTAGATATGAATGAGTCTTCTTCTTGTCTTGGTTGTAAATTTTGGAAAAGCTCATGCAAATTAGACTGGCCGATAACCAGAGTTTCTTCCTCCTGACTTTGATCATTGTCTTTAGCAACTTCTTGATCGTAGCTTATTTGTGAAATAGGTGAATGATTATTCCTGTCACTATCTTCCTCCTCTTCCTCCTCTTCCTCCTCTTGCTCACTCTCTGGAACTTCAGAGTCAGCAACTTCATCAAATTGCATTTCCTCCTCCTCTGATCCCGAGTAATCACCCTTTGTCTTTGCACGCAACTCCTTCTTCCTTAGTAACGCTAATTTGGCTCGTTCTTCCAACTTTTCCTTTTTCCTAATATTTCTGACCCTCTCCATTTCTCTTTCTAAAAGCGACGTCATCGATTCCTCCTCTTTTTCAAACTCTTCTCGTAAAGCGTAATCAGGATCGTTAAGTTTATGCACTTTCAATTGATGAATGTTTCGTTTATGCAATTGTTTTAAAAAATCATTATTTTGTTTATTACCATAACTTGGGATTTTGGCTCCTTGTCCTTGTCCTTGTCCTCGTCTTTGTTGATTGCAGTTTTGGTATTTCTTTTTAGAATACTTTTGTCTAATCATCAATTTCTTTTCCTTGGATAGTTCAGGTATGATATCCAATTCGTTACCACGATTCGTCATTTGTGTTTTGTAAAATTGGTTTCTAATTGGGGAAGAAGAATGACCAACTTCTATATCTGAATCAGAGTCCAAGGTTAATCCGCCATGAACAAGATCTTGTTTCAACTTGTTGATATACGTTGCAATTGGATTTGTTGGGGTTTTATGCTTTTTGAGCTGGAAAAGATCATAAACATTTTCCTCTTGATGATCTTTTACTGGTGAAGTTGTAGGGCTTGATTTTAGATAGTCTCTACCTCTAGGAGAAGATGATTTTCCTCCAACTTTTGAAGAAACTTCTTCTTCGTCCTCGTAATCGTGCATCATCTTCTTTTTCTTCTCCTCTTCTTCCTCATCGTCTGAAAAAGCACTAAGGAATCTATCCTTTGTGAATACTTGTGTACTTTCAAATGCCGGTCTAATATCGATTTTTCGTTTTTGTATGTTTATAAACTCTTGTGCTTTCTCCAATTCCTTCAGCGATATTCCATCACTTTTCATGTGTGAGGAAACTACAGTATCGTTTGCTTCATTGTTCAAGTCATTCTCCTCATCGGTGATTGTACCTTTTGAAACATCTTGTTCTAGAGCTTCTCTTTCTCTAATGAGCCTTTCTTGTCTTTTTTGCTCAGCCAATGCAATTATTCTTGATTGTCTCTCCTCATTGGACAACAAAGGAGTCTCGTTTTCCTCTTGGGGCAACAAAGGAGTCTCATTTTCCTCTTGGCACTCGTCGTCTGAGACAAACAAGTTTGGCAATGTCTTATTAATTGGGATGACTTGTGTTGGCTCGAGATTTGACAGTGTTATTTTCTCGATTTTTGCATTTATGTATTCACTTTCGTCAACTTTGAGTTGCGGTAAGAATTGAAATGAAGGAGCAATCTGTTCCACCAGGTCAGAATCAGCACCATCGTCAGCACCAGTATCACCACCATCGTCAGCACCATCGTCAGCACCACTGTCAGCACCATCGTCAGCACCATCGTCAGCACCACTGTCACCACCAGTATCATCACCACTGTCAGCACCACTGTCAGCACCACTGTCACCACTTTTTGGGATAATTTTTTGAGTTTCCGCTAGATCGTCTTGATACTTGCCTTCCCCTTGTAATCTACTCTTGATCCTGTTCAATATACTTAGATCAGGACCAGTTGTTGTTAAATGAAAAGTTGGACCTAAAAGCGATACATTCTGAGTAATTGACTGAGATTCGTCTTGTTTTGCTTTTACCGTAAACTCATATGAGTTTGACTGATCTTCAATCTCATTTAGCAAGTCCATGGGTGAGGGGGCGAGGGGTTCTACAGCTACAACTGTATGAAAGGACAATGGTAATAGTTGATGAAAGAGTTTTCCAACGCGTTTCGTTTTTGTTGACATTTTTTTTTTTGGCTTGCGACGCGTAAAAATTTAGGTGACGCGTCTGAAGATGAGATGGAGATGAGATTGAGATGAGATGGAGAGGAGATGGAGAAGAGATAGAGAAAAGATGGAGAAGAGATGGAGAAGAGATTGAGAAGAGATTGAGAAGAGATTGAGAAGAGACGGAGAAGAGATTGAGATGAGACGGAGAAGAGATTGAGATGAGATGAAGAGGAGATGGGAAGATGATGAAGACAACGTATATGATAGTAAGAGAAGGAGGAAAAACAGACAAATAGTGACAAGTAAGTATATAGGCAAGTAGGCAAGTAGAAACGGCACGTTAGCTTTCTATGAATACTCTGTATACATACATCTTTTGCGAATAGTCTGTATACATATAGCTTTTAGAGCTTTGCGAGTACTCCATTACCATATAGCTTTTGCGAGAAGGCACATAGGTATCACGTAATTACTCAACAGCCTCACGTGACTACTCAACACCACTATTCAGTGCTGTTCCACCATTTGGCTCTGCTCGATGATGTTTGCTCGATAGTGTCGCTCGATAGTGTCAGTAGTCAGTGCTGTTCCACCATCTCGTTCTGGGTGATAGTGTCTGCTCGATAGTGTCTGTCAGTGCTTTTTCACTATCTCGATCTGCTCGATAGTGTCTGCTCGTTAGTGTCTGTTCGATAGTGTCTGCTTGTTAGTGTCTGCTTAATAGTGTCTGCTTAATAGTGTCTGTCAGTGCTTTTTTACTATCTCGCTTCCCTCTATTATGTAATTCTTTCTACACCACTATTATGTGACTACTCTACACATTTCACACGTGACACTCTACACAGTTTTTTACATAATTTTTTAGCATCTCTATTATGTGATTACTTAATACCCTTTTCACGTGACTCTCAACACTACTATTCAGGGTTGATAGTCTCCCTCCACTATCGACCAGACTCGTTTCACTCATCTAGTCTCTCTCCACTATCGACCAGACTCGTTTCACTCATCTAGTCTCTCTCCACTATCTCGCTTCGCTCGATTGTGTCGCTAGAAAGTGTTGCTAGAAAGTGTTGCTCGAAAGTGTCGATAGTCTGACTGGTCTCTTTCCACTATCTACTATCGACTAGACTCGTTTCACTCGTTTAGTCTCTCTCCACTATCTCGCTCTGCTCGATAGTGTCGCTCGAAAGTGTCGCTCTATAGTGTCGATAGTCTGTCTAGCCTCTCTCAACTATCTACTATCGACTAGACTCGTTTCACTCGTCCAGTCTCTCTCCACTCGTCTAGTCTCTCTCCACTCGTCCAGTCTCTCTCCACTCGTCCAGTCTCTCTCCACTCGTTTAGTCTCTCTCCACTATCTCGCTTTGCTCGATAGTGTCGATAGTGTCGATGGTGTCACACGTGCAAGTCACGTTTTCTTCCATCATCAATTTACATCCATAAGCCAATAATAACAATACCAAATTATAAATGCCACGAGTTTATTTGAACCATACACGAAATTGTTTTGAAAAAATTAATTTACTCTTTTAGGCTGGGCGGGTCTTTAATACTCGTGAAAATTTACATCGTTTACAAGTACTTTATAACACATATAGGTGAAAAATAATGTTGGGTGAGAAATGAACTAATACAAAAGCCGATAATCCACATCTAAAAATGAACCTCGCTTTTAGAAACACGAGAGGAAAGTGCCACTTTTTAAAAAGAGTATATACAGTAAAGATTTAGAGCTTCAGCTTTGCTATCCCCCATCTCAATCGCGGCATCTTGTTATCATTGTAACCCTCCTCCTACTCCTCTTCCTCCTACTCCTCTTCCTCTTCCTACTCCTCTTCCACCACCTCTTCCTCTTCCTACTCCTCCACCTCTTCCACCTCTTCCACCTCTTCCACCTCTTCCACCTCTTCCACCTCTTCCACCTCTTCCACCTCTTCCACCTCTTCCACCTCTTCCACCTCTTCNTTTTCCTATTTTTTTTTTTTTTTTTTTTTTTTTTTTTTTTTTTTCATCGTTCAGCGCTGTGGATCATCGCATTTCACATAAATATATATATATATATATCATATTCCTTATTGAATTTCTTCTTTTTAGCACGTTTTTCTTAGAGAAGAGGTTAATTTCCTAGGGTGAGTTATTTTCATAGGGTGAGTAAATTATAAAAATACAATGACTACTTCTGGAGAAAGATTTTTTTTCACGTCAGAGTCAGTTGGCGAGGGACATCCCGACAAGATCTGTGATCAAGTTTCAGATGCTATCTTGGACGCTTGTTTAGCTGTTGATCCTCTTTCCAAAGTTGCATGTGAAACTGCAGCTAAAACAGGTATGATTATGGTATTTGGTGAAATCACCACCAAGGCTCAATTAGACTTTCAAAAAATAGTCAGAGATACTATTAAACACATTGGCTATGATCATTCTGAAAAAGGATTTGACTATAGTACATGTAATGTGTTGGTTGCAATTGAACAACAATCCCCAGATATTGCTCAGGGTTTGCACTATGAAAAAGCCTTGGAAGATTTGGGTGCCGGTGATCAAGGTATTATGTTTGGTTATGCTACTGATGAAACTGATGAAAAGTTGCCATTGACTATTTTGCTAGCCCACAAATTGAATGCTGCTTTAGCCTCAGCTAGAAGATCTGGCGCATTGCCCTGGTTAAGACCAGATACCAAGACTCAAGTTACTGTTGAATATGAAAAAGATGGCGGTGCAGTTATTCCCAAAAGAGTCGATACTGTTGTTATTTCGACTCAACACTCTGACGATATCTCAACTGAAGACTTGAGACTGGAAATCATGTCTCATATTATTGAAAAGGTTATTCCTGAACATTTATTAGATGACAAGACTGTTTATCACATTCAACCATCAGGAAGATTTGTTATTGGTGGTCCACAAGGTGACGCTGGATTAACTGGTAGAAAAATCATTGTTGATACTTATGGTGGATGGGGTGCCCACGGAGGTGGTGCTTTCTCGGGTAAAGATTTTTCTAAAGTCGACAGATCAGCTGCATATGCTGCTAGATGGGTTGCTAAATCATTAGTTAACGCAGGATTAGCAAGAAGAGCCTTGGTTCAATTTTCATATGCTATTGGTGTTGCAGAACCATTATCAATCTATGTTGATACTTATGGCACCTCTAAATACTCATCTGACGAATTAGTTAAAATCATAAAGAAAAATTTCGATTTGAGACCAGGTGTGATTGTTAAAGAGTTGGATTTGGCTAGACCAATCTATTTCAAGACTGCTTCATATGGACATTTCACCAACCAAGAAAATCCATGGGAACAACCAAAGAAGTTGAAATTCTGAGCAAAGAAACGAAACAAAAGAAAAAAAAAATCAACCACCACCGTTTAAATCAACGACCAAACTAGATAAAAAAAATTAACCAACTCATAATCTCATTTACAGTGAATCATCAACTGTTCACTCAATAACTAAACAAAAAAAAAAAAAAAAGAAAAAAAAAACTCACCAATGCATCATGAAACTATCATCACTTTACGAACTTTCAATGTTTCCAAACCTTTTTTTTTTTCAATTTAATTCATGAATTAATATGTTTTTTACTTAAATTTTACAAAACAAGCTTATATATATATATAGACACATACGGGTCCTCAACGGACATTTTGGGATTTATAACTAGACTTTGTATAGATAATCAAATGTATGCAAAATCAAAAATGAAAATCAAGAGCGGTGGAGACTAGTCGAGGAGGGAGACTAGTTGAATAGCGGAATGTGCTGGATTCAAAAGACTAGTCGAGCAGAGGAAGACTATTTGAATAGCGGGAGGTGCTGGATTCATGAGACTAGTTGAATAGCGGAATGTGCTGGACTCATGAGACTAGTCTTGCTCTGCTCGACTATAGTTGAATAGCTGGAGGTGTGGGGGGGGGGGTACTTTCCATGATAGTATATGATCACGTGACCCATTAGACCAAATCGTACCACGTGACATACTTGTTTATTCATTTTCGCTAGTCAGCGTGCAGTGAGAATATTGACTTTTGGGCAAACCCAATTTGATCTATGTCATGTACAATGAACAGGACCATCAAAATAAAACAAAGCTCTTCTCGTAAAAAAGAACAAAGATCAAACTACTTTAATATACACGAACCACGATTCTACAATTTTTTTTTTTTTTTTTGCAGCCAATAACGAAATAGTACAAAAAACCAACAGCGTGAACAGAACCATCTAACGATGTTACTACTAGTAACGTACCACGCAGTAGAAGCTAAAACGTGGTAAGACAAAAAGACAATAGATTTGTATTTATTCGACTTTAAGCGATAGCCGCAAACCATACAATTTGTATAAGAACTATACATACACATGGGTTCCAAGTACTGATACATTATGGGTTCCAATATGGTACAGATTCTGTAAATTGTTTTTACTATTTACCACGTGACTCGCTTATTAGTCAATATCGTGTAATAAAATCGTGCAAGACTGGCCAATTCCTTCTAAACTAAATGCAAAGAAAAGTAGATAGGTTGAGGAACACGTGGGGAGGTCCATTTACATTTGTTATTGGGCCACTGGAAAAAATAAAATAAATGCACACCCTAAAGTAAAGACTACTTTAAAGTTTATGCAGGCTTTACAGTTTAACTCGATATTGCTAGTACACGTGGCAACCACCACCAACCCTGCATTACTGGCTTTGAGCCAAAACTTTAAATTATCAACTCTTGTAAATGCGACACTATCGAGCAGCGCTGACGACACTATCGAGCAGCGTTGACGACACTATCGAGCGAAGCGAGATGGTGGAGCAGCGCTGACATGCACCAACACTAACGACACTAGCGACACTAGCGACACTATCGAGAAACGAGCATAGATACTGGTTAGTAGCGATGAGAAACGAGCATAGATACTGGTTAGTAGCGATGAGAAATAAGCAGGGAGGCTAGATAGCAGCGATGAGAAACAATCATAGAGACTACTTAGTAACTGCTTTTGTCTAGCATAGATGTTAGTTAGTAATCTTTTTCTAGCATAGATGTTAGTTAATAACCTTTTCTAGCATAGATGTTAGTTAGTAACCTTTTCTAGCATAGATGTTATCTAGTAATTGCCTTTTTCTAGAATAGATGTTAGTTAGTAACCTTTTTCTCCCCCATTTTATCCATAACCACTTTGTCCTAACTATTCCACCTATTCTACGCAGTTTAATTTGCTAATGAATTTCTGTCTCACATTTTTAGTCGTAGTGTCAGTGTCGCTAGTGTTGGTGGCAGTTACTGTGCTCCACTATCTCGATCTGCTCGATAGTGTCGCTAGTGTTGGTGGCAGTTACTGTGCTCCACTATCTCGATCTGCTCGATAGTGTCGCTAGTGTTGGTGGCAGTTACTGTGCTCCACTATCTCGCTTCGCTCGATAGTGTAGTGTCTCTATCTTTTTCTTTTTTCTGACAGAAAAAATATTTTTAGGAAATTATTTTCCATTTTTTTATTTTTTTATTTTTTTATTTTTTTATTTTATTTTTTATTTTTTATTTTTTTATTTATTTTTTGCCAGGGGTTTTACCAGTAGATTTAGAGAATAGTTTTTCTGGGACCAGATGATTCTTGATTTCTTGGTATCTTCCCACCATATCAATTAAACAGTCGGAGTACTAAAAGAAAACTCGTTCTTGACCGTTGGATCTTGAAATTTTTTTCTTGAGTACATTTTGACAGGATCCTTAAGGCAATTTTTGGGGGAGGGCAACAAAAAATAAAAAAAAAAAAAAAAAGAGTAAGAAGCTGCAAAAAAAAAAGAAATCCAGAAACAAGTTGAAAATTTAGAAACAATAGTAAAGATGTTTCAGTAGAAAGTGAAAAGGGGATGCTAATGGTCTTGCTCTCCCCCACTAGCTGCATTGACCACTGGTTCCAAAGCAACTGTTTTTTTACCTCCATATTCATCTTTTTGCTCCCATATTGTAGCTTTATTTTTCTTTTTGCTCTTATATAAAAGTTTCATTTGTTTTTTTTGTTTTGTGAATGCGGCCCACGTGTGTACCATCTTTTTTTTTTTTTTTTTTTAATTTTTTTTTCTATGAGATGAGAAGCCATTTTAAACAAACGCCTTTGACTTGATACACCTTTGATTTGATACACCTTTGAATTCGAAGCAAAAAAAGACTACTTTAACACTTGAGCTATCTAAATAAGATCTCTAATTCCACCTAATTTCACCTAACTCTCTAGCCCTCATCTTTTTTTTTTTTTTTTTTTTTTTTTTTTTTTTTTTTTTTTTTTTTTACCAATAAACACTATTAACTTTTTCTATTTTCAAAACCGTTTCTTTTTGCGGAAACTATTAGTTGAAAAGCATTCTAGACATCAAAGGTTTGAAAAGCATTAGGAACCCCACCCAATTGCCAACCAAGAAAAGTACCAATCTACCATAGCCTAACAGGATATGCGCCCATTTGGAACAAGTGTAAGGCTCTGAGTTTATAGAGACTTGACAAAAGTTTGTACTGAAAAACTCATCATATTGCCAGTTTTGTTCCAATTTTTCAGATTTAGTCTAAAAATTTAATTTACTTTTGCATAAAATGCCTTTTTTGGCCTGCAGGCGGTTTAAATATAGGTTTTTGTACAACGAGCAGTATATAGTACAATAATCCATTGCTCCATTATACAATGAAATAATGCTAGCACAGGTCCATTCTAAGAACACCCCCCCCTCCCTCCCTCTTTCTCTCTTTCTGGTTGAAGTATATAAGTTCATTTCTAAATTCCCATTATCATTTTTATATTCACAAAAGTTCTACTTAATTCGTACTCTTTTCCTGGCTTCTCTTTTCTTCCTTCTGACTCTTCATCTCCCTGTTCTTTTAGATCAAGAAAAAAACAAAAACCATTATTACATAGTTTGTTGATATGGTTGATGCTTCACAGGAAATTGAACATGGTTATCATGAAAGCCATAGTGGTGGTAAAACAGCATTCAAGGATTATTTGGGTAAATATGCCCATATTGAGGATCCTTTAGAAAGAAGAAGGTTAGCCTTGGAAGATATCGATAAGGCTGGTTTTGGTTGGACTCAAATTAAGATGATTATGATTGCCGGTGTTGGGTTTATGACAGATTCTTATGATATTTTTGCAATCAACTTGTCGGTCAATATGTTGCAGTATGTATATTGGGCAGGTAAAATACCCGACTCGACAACTACATTAATTAAAGTTTCCACTTCTGTTGGTACAGTTATTGGACAAGTTGGATTTGGTACAATTGCCGATAAAGTTGGTCGTAAAAAGATTTATGGTTTAGAGTTGATTGTGATGATTTGTGCTACTATTATGCAGTGTACGATTGGTGATTCGCCTGCTATTAGTTTTGTTGCTTGGTTTTCAACATTGAGAATTATTATGGGTATTGGTATTGGTGGAGATTATCCATTGTCATCGATTATTTCATCTGAATTCTCAACCACAAAATGGAGAGGAGCAATTATGGCAGCTGTCTTTTCAAATCAAGGTTTGGGACAAGTGTTTGCTGGTATTGTTGCCATGATTTGTGTTGCTGGATACAAAGATCAATTGATTGGTTCCAACTCGGGAGAAGAATGTCACAATGATCACAGGTGCAGAAAAGCTTGTGACCAAATGTGGAGAATTATTATTGGATTTGGTTGTGTTCCCGGATGTATTGCATTGTACTATAGATTGACCATTGCTGAATCTCCTAGATATGCCCTTGATGTTAACCAACACGATCAAGTTGAAAAAGTTGCTGATGCTGAAGCCGCCATTGACCCCTCTGCTCAAGAAATTGTACCACCAAAGGCTTCATTCAAAGATTTTGTTTCTCATTTCGGTAGGTGGAAATACGGTAAAATTTTGTTGGGAACTGCAGGTTCTTGGTTTATGTTGGATGTTGCCTTTTACGGTTTAGGTTTGAATTCAACTACTATTTTACAAGCTATAGGATATGCTGGTAAAAAGAATGTTTACCACAAGTTGTACGACTCTGCAGCTGGTAACTTAATCTTGGTTTGTGCGGGTTCTTTGCCAGGTTATTGGGTTTCTATTGCAACTATTGATTTCTTGGGTAGAAAGGTTATTCAAATTGGTGGATTTTTCATTTTGACCGTTATCTTGTGTGCTATGGGTTTCGGATACTATAGATTAGGAGACAAGGGATTATTGGGATTATACGTTGTTGCTAGTTTTTTCCAGAATTTCGGACCAAACGTAACAACGTTTATTGTTCCAGGTGAAGTTTTCCCAACAAGATATAGATCTACTGCACATGGTCTTTCTGCAGCTGCAGGTAAAGTTGGTGCAATTATTGCTCAGACATGTATTGGTACCTTGATTAACCACAACTGTCCAGCCGATAAACCAAATTGTTATTTGAATCACGTTTTGGAAATCTTTGCATTATTTATGTTGCTTGGTATATTCACATCATTCTTGATTCCAGAAACAAAGAGAAGGACATTGGAGGAGATTTGTGAAACATGCCACGATGAAGTTGATACTACAAAATTAGGTAGAGATAGGTACACTACACAAGAAGAATCGTATGATTCAGATCTTAAACAGTAAAGTCAATTACTGAGGGGAGGGGAAATAAGTTAGAAGGGAGTTACTGTTGCTATTGCTAGAGATGGTGTTGCTAGTATCGGTTTAGTCAGTGCTGCTCCACTATCGAGAGAAGCAAGATAGTGTCATGGGAGTTACTGATGTTGTTGCTGGTAACGTTATCAATTGTTATTTCAGTTCGTTTATTATTAATTATATATAGGTCTTTATTTTTTTATCATTGTTAACTTTACCTTAATAAGAGACAACTTTTAGATTATAAAGAAGGTTTTGTAAAAATCACTATCGAGAAGATACTATGGAGAAGATACTATGGAGCAGACACTATCGAGCAGACACTATGGAGCAGAGCGAGATAGTGGAGCATACCGATACTTTGTAGCTTGTTACAACGCTATCGAGCAAAGGAAGCTAGTGAGCACTTTGTAGCTTGTTACAACGCTATCGAGCAAAGGAAGCTAGTGAACACTTTGTAGCTTGTTACAACGCTATCGAGCAAAGGAAGCTAGTGAGCACTTTGTAGCTTGTTACAACGCTATCGAGCAAAGGAAGCTAGTGAACACTTTGTAGCTTGTTACAACGCTATCGAGCAAAGGAAGCTAGTGAGCACTTTGTAGCTTGTTACAACGCTATCGAGCAAAGGAAGCTAGTGAACACTTTGTAGCTTGTTACAACGCTATCGAGCAAAGGAAGCTAGTGAGCACTTTGTAGCTTGTTACAACGCTATCGAGCAAAGGAAGCTAGTGAACACTTTGTAGCTTGTTACAACGCTATCGAGCAAAGGAAGCTAGTGAGCACTTTGTAGCTTGTAACAATACTATCGAGCGAAGAAAGCTAGTGTCGCTGCTCGATAGTGAGCACTTCGTAGCTTGTAACGACACTATCTCGCTCTGCTCGATAGTGTTGCTCGATGGTGGAGCACTTTATAGCTTTCTACAACACTATCTCGCTCTGCTCGATAGTGTCGCTGCTCGATAGTGTCGCTGCTCGATAGTGTTGCTGTATGATTTTTGGAATCAGTGTTGGTGGTAGCTTTTTTAGGTTGATGGAAACTGGTGAAAAAAATGTAACCAAAGTGAGAAGGGGAAAAAACAAAAATAGAAAACGTGGATCTAATTTTTCAGATAGATAGATAGATAGATAGATAGATAGATAAACGGGTATATAGACGGACACACGGAGCGAGAGACAAAGAAACATAGAGTTAAGTAGATAGGAAACACTTTCGTTTTAGTTCAATAACCCAATGCTGCAGCTATATCTCACTTCATCTAAATTCAAATCATTCTTACCAGACTGGATCATCACTTTCTTTTTAATATTCGTATTCTTTTACGTCACTGAACGCTGGGAACCGTTTCATCGGCAGTTTTATATAAACGATGCGAAACTAATGCACCCATTTGCTACCCAAGAACGTGTTACCGATAATCAATTGTACATTTTGTCAACACTAATCCCAATGATTGTAATAAGCATTCTTTCATTATATCTAGCACCTACGAATTTTGACAAATTGCATTTGTTACAAGTATCCAATTTAGGATTATTATTCGGTGTAAGTGCAGTTTCCGTGTTAACCGATATTTTAAAGTGTTGGATAGGCAATCCAAGACCTGATTTCATCGACCGATGCGGTCCCAAAGAAGGCACTCCATTGAATGTCTTGTTTAGTATAAGTGATCAAATATGTACATCACCTTATGGCGCCAAGTATTTATCTGATGGGATGAAATCTACACCACTGGGACATTCGTCCATGGCATTTGCCGGATTGGTATATTTATCACTTTGGTTAATTGGTCAATTCAAATTGATCAACCGTCAAAATGAACTTGATAATAAATTGGTATTTTTGATTATTGTATGCTTACCAATATTGTTGGCTTCGTATATTGGATTGAGCAGGACTCAAGATTACAGACATCATTTCTTTGATGTCTGCTTTGGTAGTGGTTTAGGTATTGTTTTTGCTGTTGTTTCGTATTTCAAATATTTTAGGACATTGAGTGACTCGAAATGTAATGAACCTATAGACTACTAAGAGTGATTCAAAAAAGAAAAATTATAGATTTGAGATTAATAGATATGGCATGTTGTATTGATACCTACTGGGTAAATACATTTTGGTCCAATTTGACGAGTCCACTATCTCGCTTCGCTCGATAGTGGAGCAACACTAGCTCTTGAGTGAGGCAGTCTCTGAGTGGGGCAATCTCTGAGTGAGACAGTCTCTGAGTGAGGCAGTCTCTGAGCGAGGCAGTCTCTGAGTGCTATATTGACGACACTCATTTCCACTTTGTATGAATGTGAATATATAAAGATATAGCACATACATATATAGCACATATATATTTATCAATGCTAAACTATCTAGCGAAGCGAGCTAGTACTAGCCAGTGGCAGCTACAAGGTGTTTCTCCACTATCTAGCGAAGCGAGCTAGTACTAGTCAGTGGCAGCTACAAAGTATTGCACCACTATCTAGCGAAGCGAGCTAGTACTAGTCAGTGGCAGCTACAAAGTATTGCACCACTATCTAGCGAAGCGAGCTAGTACTAGTCAGTGGCAGCTACAAAGTATTGCACCACTATCTAGCGAAGCGAGCTAGTACTAGTCAGTGGCAGCTACAAAGTATTGCACCACTATCTAGCGAAGCGAGCTAGTACTAGTCAGTGGCAGCTACAAAGTATTGCACCACTATCTAGCGAAGCGAGCTAGTGTCGATAGTGAGTTGAAGTGGTGAGATGATTTTCTTTGAATGAGTTGCTCTTAGTAGCTTGTTACATTACTATCTCGCTCTGCTCGATAGTGCTGTCGCACCAAACAGCTTTTCTACTCAATGTTGCTCCTCTATCTCGCTTTGCTCGATAGTGTCGCTCGATAGTGCGTTCGATAGTGGCACTTGGTAGCATTCAAGTAATAAGATTTAAATAGAATCTCCAAGAGAATATTAGATTCGATTTAAATCGAAAAATCAACACTATTAGATTCAATTAAATTCGAAATCGAATCTAATTGTTTGTAAATTATTTTTTTCCAGAACCGAGGAAACCTCCATAAGATTGATACCTTGATGATTTACCCGGTTGAAAATACAAGTATGAAAAGTACTTGCAATAAAAAACAAAAGCAGAAAAAAATTCCGTTTTGGGTTCTGGTCAATCACAAAACAATAAAAAAAAAAATTTAATGTCTTGGCATTCTTTTGTTCAACATACAGGTGGAAAAAGACTTGCTCTCAATAGCATTGTTGGCAGTAAATGATGAGCTTTCTTGTTGGCAGTAAATGACGAGCTTTCTTGTTGGCAGTAAATGATGAGCTTTCTTGTTGGCAGTACACGATGAGCTTTTCTTACTTGCAGGCAGTACATGAAAATGCCTCTTCATACTATATACTGCTACGCGTATCGAGAGAAAAGGTTGGATCAGTTTTACTAAATAAAAAGTATTTTAAACTTATTATAGATGTCTCCATGTGGCACTAAGAATATTGTTGTTTTTTGTTTCTTTTTTGTATTCCTTTTTTGCCTCGCTTGGTATCTCTAAATTACACGGCGCAAAGAATAATTTAGTGATCACACGACCCAATTGAAATCTGGGGGCGAGGGGGCGAGGGGGGCGTAAACATTTACACAGGACTCACCATCACTCGTGTGAGACTTAGTCTCACTTTAGTAGGCGCGAGGCGAAGAAACAAAGGAAAACAATTTTAGTTGAATCGTATAATCAATTAGTAATATTAATAGTGAATAACGTCTTTTTGGAGCTAGCTCGAGAAATTAGAGGTGGCAGTTAGTATTGCTCGATAGTGTTGCTCGATAGTGTTGGTGGCTGGTAGTGTCAGCTGGTAGTGTCAGCTGGTAGTATCGGCAGCTAGTGTTGGCAGCTAGTGTTGGCAGCTAGTGTTGGCAGCTAGTGCAGCTAGTGTGCTCCACTATCTCGCTTCGCTCGATTGTGTTCAGATTTGATTGCAAAAAAGAATAACCAAATTTGCTCAAATCAATGTGTAAGAGCAGGCGAGGATAGAAAAGCAGGAGGTGAGGGGGGGTAGGGGTTGGTGAGGGATGGGAATAGGGTTATTTACTGTAAATCAATGCGCTCTTTTGGGTCTCTTGACTGTTTCTTTCCTTCCTTCCTTCCTTCTTTCTTGTCTCCTTTAATACTTTGTTTTTCATTTGATTGCACTTTTTAATGCATTTTATCCCTCTAAAGCAAGTTGCTACCCCATATGTACCCAGTGCATCTCATTCCTTTGCTCTGCTATCCAATTGTTGTTGTTATTGCTGTCAAGTAACAACGATGTACACGCAAAGTCAAACACTTGCATTTTATATTTAGTAACTAACTAAATTGCCGCCACTACAGCAACTAATGTATGCCAACAATAAAACCTTTTTGCTTCTTATTGGCTACGTTTGCCTTATCCTTTGCCCTTCAACTCCCATTCAACAAGTGTAAACGATTCAAGCGTGAAAAGTATTTCCTTTCCATTTTTTTCACCATACTTTTGCATCTAGTCTTTTCGATCCTTCTTTTTACCATCTGGCATCTGGCATCTGGCATCTAGCATCTGGTTTTGCCGAGTCATCTACACACACAAAACAAATGGGGATACTACAAATCGTAGCCAAACCTCTACTATTCGTCTATCAATTCCTTTTTAGAGTCTTTTGGTCAGGCTTGAACCAACGAACACTATGGCAGTTGATACTAAATTTTTCAATAAATTTCAGTCCCGTTTTCATTTGGCTCACAATATTTAAAAATGCTGGAATAATCCCCCATGGAATACGACCTGAAATACACGTCAAACTACCTTATAGACTAGATTCGTACATGTTTGAAAGTCTAGGTGGTAGTATCTTGACCATCTTGTTCAGTTTAGCAGTAAGCTTTTTGCTATATCTAGGAGCTTACAAACAAAAGAAAAAGTCTATAGCTATTAATAGTAATGGTAAGCTATATGAAAGAGAGAATTCAACTTCCGTGGAGTCATTTTTAGGGTCAGCGAGTCTGAATTGCGGTGGTTCATCGTCTGAATCTTCGTCCAATATTGAAATGGTTAGCATTAAAGGTGGTGATATCGAAGAAGATAAACAATATGAATTTGTAAAACACCCGCCACAAGAATACAATTTTCAAGCTGACCCTTATCATAAAGACTTGACATTCTTTCCAACGACTACAACATCGCAAGTCAATTTTGCAGCAATGACTATAAATGAAAAAATTACCACAATGATAAAGAATTCACAGCATACAAAGTCACTTCCTTTCAACTCGTGGTACCTTGCACCAAGCATCCTCCTTGTATCATCCTGGTTTATTTTAAATTTTGTTTATTACCTAAAAGATCCTATATGTACTTGGAAAGATTTACTTGCATGGACATCGTATGTATTAGGACACATTACGGTACCTATAGTAACTGCGGTTTGGTTGTATGTCTTTCATGCGCCAGGAGTAGTCAAATCGTATGGTTTTGCATTAGGTTTCCAAAATATATGTGGTGTTTGCACCCATTTGCTTTTCCCCTGCGCGCCACCATGGTTTATCCACATGTATGGAGAGGATGCGCCAGCAGATTATGAGATGCTCGGGTATGCTGCTGGATTGATCAGAGTTGATGTTGCATTAGGCACCCACTTGAATTCGAAAGGATTTCATCTTTCGCCTATAGTGTTTGGGGCTGTCCCTTCTTTACATTCAGCAATGGCAGTAATGACTTTTTTCTTTGTTGCTTATTATTCAAGATGGGTTTTTGTCAAAGTTTTATCATTGAGTTTTGTTGTTGTACAATGGTGGGCTACAATCTATTTAGATCATCATTGGAGATTAGATTTATTCGTTGGAATGGGTTATGCCACATTTTGGTTTACTGTGATTTATTGTTGGAGATTGAAAAAGTGCAATGAAAAATTCATCCAGCTGAGATTGAATTATGAGTTTTTAGCTGGCGGAAGTACCATGGGAATGAGGGTATTTAGAAATACAAATTTTCAATGGTTCTTTGATCCATTGAGTTGAAGCACTATCGACACTATCGAGCGAAGCGAGATAGTGGAGCAATACTAGCTGCCACCGACACTGACTACACCGGTACTAGCTGCCACCGATACTGACTACACCGGTACTAGCTGCCACCGATACTGACTACACCGGTACTAGCTGCCACCGATACTGACTACACCGGTACTAGCTGCCACCGATACTGACTACACCGGTACTAGCTGCCACCGATACTGACTACACCGGTACTAGCTGCCACCGATACTATCGACACTATCTCGCTCGGCTTGATAGTGCTGCATTCTGCTCGATAGTGCTGCATTTTACTCGATAGTGCTGCACTCTGCTTGATAGTGCTGCACACTAGCTACCACTGGCACTTTAAACAAAACACTATCTCGCTCTGCTCGATAGTGTCTATAGTGTTTCTCGATAGTGTTTCTCAATAGCATTAGCTGCCACTGGCACCTTAAACAAAACACTATCTCGCTCTGCTCGATAGTGTCTATAGTGCTTCACACTAGCCCACTGACACCTTAAACAAAACACTATCGAGCAGAGCGAGATAGTGTCTATAGTGTTTCTCGATAGTGTCTATAGTGTTTCTCGATAGTGTCTATAGTGTTTCTCGATAGTGTCTATAGTGTTTCTCGATAGTGTCTATAGTGTTTCTCGATAGTGTCTATAGGAAGGAACAAGAAAATTTAAATAGATAATAACAAAGAAGAAAAAAACACGATTTTGCAATTTGCAACATTTCTATTCTATAGTAGCTAAATGCTTTTGATCAATGTAGGGACAAAACTAACCAAATTTGTTTGAATACCGGGAATAAAGCTACATACATGGTGGAAAATGTGTTTTTCCCATTTAACCAAACCCGTGTTGTAAATGATAATACATTTTTATTTCCCATTTCGGTTAATAAAGCGGCAGCGGATGCGACTATTGCAAGGCCGTGGCGGGCAAAAAAAAGAGAGAACAAAAAACTATTTTTGAAAAATGTTTTGTCACAGGAGTGGACATTCAAAGCCATGTTTGTCTCTTCAAAAAAAAAAATTTTCAGTTACGGTCAGTTCTTATCTAAAAAAATTTTTTTTTCAGTTACGGTCAATTTTTGTTTGTCTTTAAAAAAGTTTTTTATTTAGTTACGGTCAGTTTTTGTCTGTCTGTATATAACAGTCGCGTGCAGTTTTGTCGCCAAGTAAAGTATTAGCAACAAAAAATTTTCATTCCCACTACAACACGAAAAAGGAACAAAACGCCCGTTTGAATTAATCATCAATGTACTCCCCTTGTTCATTGTACTCTTCCTCATTGTATCCCCCCTGTTCATTGTACTTCCAACACTATACACTTATTCTTAAATCACTCTTACTGTAACAATTGCTTAAAATACTTGTGCAACCTTTTCTGATCAAGATGAGTCGTGTTTAGTCCTAACCTCGAGCTATTTTGTGTCAGTTGCAAAAAAAATAAAAATAATAAAAAAAAAAAAAAAAAAAAAAAAATTGCATTCGTCTCAAGATGCAAAAGACGAACAAGTCTCTTAGACGGGCTTGTAGATTGGGTTGTTGATTACTTGGATACAGCAATTAGAGCATTGTTACCTTACAAAACTTAGTCTTTGTTACTACCATTTATTTGTGGTGGCTATTTTTGCAACTCCGAAAACTTTAAGCGGCTGAAAGAAAAGATAAAATAAACATGCACTACATTAAAAAGAGATTACCTTGTTGTACCTACATCTTTTGTTTCATTTGTTTTTGAGTTTGTTAACTGGGGCATACACAGGCGTCACATTAATTGTTTACATCAACACGTCACTGATAGGCGATAACACTGTACTTTGTATGGTCTCTTATGTATACATGTCTTGTTTTACAAATACTACCCTGCAGTAAGACTAGCCCAGGGCACACATTCATTAATCGAGTTAGTAATTTCTTTAGAGTGATGCATGAGACTAAGATTTGACAGTAGAATATTGTAAATTATATCGTTATACCTAATGGTAAGCTTACATTATTCCACAGGCAAACAATACCCATTACCAAGTAAAAATTATTCAAAACTAAAACTTGATTCTAAGCAATCCAAATAATTTCGTATATCCCCGATTCCTCTCTACATTTCTTTTCCCGCCCGAGTCCCTCGCTCCCTATTGCTCCCTATTGCTCCCTTTTCTCTTAAACCCACCATCCTTTGCCCCTTTTCTCTTAAACCCATCGTTTGCCCCTTTTCTCTAAAGCCCACCATCCTTTGCCCTTTTTCTCTAAAGCCCATCGCTTGCCCCTTTTCTCTAAAGCCCATCGCTTGCCCCTTTTCTCTAAAGCCCATCGTTAACCCACCATCGTTTGCCCACCATCGTTTGCCCATTTTATCTTATTTTTTTCCCAGTGCCATCGGTTTTTCATTTACCAATAAACAAACTTTGACCATTTGTTTCATTGCAAACTGTTTGTTTTATTGTCGAGCAACACTTATAGCTTGTTACAACACTTATAGCTTGTTACAACACTTGCAGCTTGTTACAACACTTCTAGCTTGTTACAAAACTCGTTATTTTCCTTTACACGGGTTTCCTTTATTGCCAAAGTTGCTCGTTGCTCGTTGCTCCTTTATAGCCGCACCTTTAGCATTAAAGCTTTCCCAGTCTGTGGTCTACAATGCACAGCCAGGTTTATCATCTTCGAAGCCTACCGGCATTACAGGAGAATCAAAAGTCATCGCCACTATCTAGTGGGAAACTTGGTAACGTTAGGAATGCAAAAATCTCTACTAGATATTTGAGTAGAAGACTAAGAGCACTCTTGCCACTTTTGCTCCTAATACTATGTTTTTACAAGAGTTTTAGAATATACCTAACAGCTGAGATAGATCCAACATTATTAGAGTACAATGCATTGGTTCAACAAAACCAATCTTTGTTTAATCCAAAGGATATAGCTTTGGATGTGTACAACTACTTGATAGAGCAACAACAGCTTCAGCTTCAGCTTCAACTACTGCTACAGCTACTGCTGTTGCAACAACAACAAAAACAGCAAGTTTCAGATTCCACTTTGAAAATAGGTACCGACAAAGGTATATACTTTCACTGGGATGACTGGGTGGATTTAGATATAGCAAAACAATACTTGACACTCGCAAGATCTGATCTGTCTTTAGAAACCCAATGCGATGCATCTTTAATTAAATATGGAAAAGTAAGTGGTCACTGGTTGGAAAGCTATAACACCAAAATCAATAGAGGTGCAGTCAACTTGTATTGCCTAAAAGAAATACCTGAAAAAGTTATAGTAACTACCGACAAATGGTTGATAGAAATACCGGTTATCGCAAAAAGAAGATTTGGTACTCTAAAGAGCAATCAGGTCCAATCAAACCAATTAATTACCAAGCTCAATCAGATCAATACAACAAGCTTACCCCAATTCAGATCTAGATCTACCACCCATTTACAAAAAAAAATTATGATTGAACCAGAAGAGTTTATCTTTAAACCAGATGTCGAAATCTTTGCTTTACAAGAAAAACTCAATAACCAAACAATCTCCAAGAAAGAACTCGAGTATCTTGAATTCCTAGAATATTCAAATAACCACCTTGTAGATTATACAGATAGATACTTTAAGTACCCTTGGATATATAGCGATATTATTCAAGGTAATGCCCACCACATGGCTTACCCATTTTTCAAGAGATATATCAGCGACCGGGAGAGACAAAGTGTGTTGCATCACATGGTTCGTGCTTGGTTTCAATTTGCCGAAACTAATGGATTTGCAAGCTGGATCAACTATGGAAGTTTATTAGGCTGGTCTTTTAATGGCGTAAATATGCCATGGGATACAGATATTGATGTACAAATGCCCATTGCTCAATTAGATAAGTTGGGAAGGGAATTTAACAAAACTCTAGTCATGGAGAATCCAAAATATGGCAATGCAAGATATTGGTTGGAGATTTCTCCTACATATATTAGACAAGGTAACGGGAAAAATCATATTGATGCTAGATTCATTGATATCCATACTGGATTATACATTGATATTACTGCATTATCGCATACTGAAGTACCACCACCTGCTAAACATAACATGCCTGATAATTTGTCAACAATGTTGGTTCATTGTAAAAATTGGAATTGGCATACTTTAGACGAATTGTTACCTATAAGACATACATATTTTGAAGGAGCATCAGTATATATACCAAACAAAGTGAACCAACTCTTAACAAACAAATATGGCAAGGGAGCATTAACTGACTATAATGTCTACAATCATAATTACCAACCAGATATCTCCATGTGGGTCAGTGATCGTATTTGTAAAGAAGCGCCGAAGGAGGAAGTTTCAAGGTTCAATAGGTGGCAGGGGTTGACCAGAGCAGGTGCTTGTAACTCACCAAAATTACAAGACGAGTACAAAATAATTAGACAAAGTATTCGAAGGCACTATGACTTGAATCAAGATTTGGACTCTTCGATATATTACGATATCGAACAGTTGGAAGACTTGCCTATATCGAGAAAGGATTCTTGGGATTACTACAATGATATCAACCAAGGCTTAGTTCATGATGACGATTGGTTTGTTGAAAAAACAATCTAATTGCGACACTATCGAGCAACACTATCGAGCAACACTATCGAGCAACACTATCGAGCAGCACTATCGAGCAGCACTATCGAGCAAAACTATCGAGCAACTATCGAGTGAAGCGAGATAGTGGAGCATTGATTGCCACCGACACTAGGTACTAAGCAGTGAGGTGTATTTGTTTTTTTCTTGCTGCAGCTCACTTTTAATACTAACTTTTAGCTAAAATTTGCAACCATTACTTGCTAAACTAGACTTATTTGTAAATTTACAATCATTACTTGCTAAACTAGACTCATTTGATTCCATTTTCCATCATTTTTACTTGTATTTTTCTTCTCTGTTAATTTTGAATCATAATCTGTATATGTAATTTAATTTATAGATTTTATTTTATTTTCTCCTTTCAATTGAGACACTATCGAGCGACACTATCGAGCCAAGAGAGATAGTGGAGTATAGACTGCCACTAACACTATCCCGCTTCGCTCGATAGCGGAGCATAGACTGCCACTGACACTATCGAGCGAAGCGAGATAGTGGAGCATAGACTACCTCCGACACTAGGTACTAAGTAGTGAGGTGTGTTAGAATTAGGTATTAAGTAGTGGGGTGTATTAGTATTAGGTACTAGGTGTAGTTGATTAGAGGTGTATTAGTATTAGGTATTAGGTGTAGAGGTGTAGTGTAGAGGTGTAGTGTAGAGGTGTAGTGTAGAGGTGTAGTGGTGTAGTGTAGAGGTGTAGAGGTTAAGATGTAGTCAGTGTGCTCCACTATCTCGCTTCCCTCGATAGTGGAGCAGGTCCTTGCCGCGGCACTGCTCTAGCGAGGTGCAGACGCGCGCACAAAACCGGATTATTTATTTGCTTTGTGAAAAATTTCGCCGAATTTCAACTTCTTAATCTCGCGCTTAATATCATCACCATTTGAACTGGATGAACATCATCAAAAATATGAATATAAATAACCCGCCAACCTTCTCTTCCATTCTTTCTTTGTTCAATATTTTTTATTTTCTCTTGTTCATCTTTTTTTTTTCTTCTTCTTTCCATTTTAACTGTTGGGGCTATCCTTTGTAAGTTTCCAGCTTTCTTCTGTTGACCTCCAGCTTCTTTCGTAATGCCAAAAGTATTTATTACTGGAGCAACGGGGTTCATAGCCCAGCATATTGTCAAGATTTTTCTTTCTCACGATTATGAGGTAATTGGAACTGTTCGTTCTGCTTCTAAAGGTGAACAACTTAAACAGTCCACTATCGAGTACCATCATACATCGAAATTCTCTTATGAGATAGTTGCAGATATTGCAGCCCCCAGAGCCTTTGATTCGGCATTGGAAAAGCATAAAAATATCGATTTCTTACTCCACACTGCAAGTCCTTTCAATTACACTACAACTGAACCGGAAAAAGATCTAATTATCCCCGCGATCCAAGGTACCAAAAATATTCTTGAAGCGGCTCATAGTCATTGTTCAAAATTGAAGAGAATCGTTTTAACATCATCGGATAGTGCCATATATTCCAATGTTGATGAACGTAATAATAAACTATTTTTCAATGAACAGAGTTGGAATAACGTAAAGTACGCAGATGCTGTAAAGGACGCAGTTAGTGCTTATTATGGATCTAAGAGTTTTGCTGAAAAGTTGGCATGGGAGTTTATCGCTATGGAAAGACCTTGCTTTGATCTAGTTTCGATTAACCCGTCCTATGTATTTGGACCCCAGGCATATGTTTGTGATGCTAGAAATTTGAATGTATCAAATGCTTATATTGGCGATTTATTGAACAAGAAAAAGGGTGTTACAAAAGAAGATGATTTTTACAATGAAATAGGCAGTTTTATTGATGTGAGAGATGTCGCTAAGGCTCATTTGTTTGCAGCAGAGAATAAGGAAGCTAGTGGTAGAAGATTATTCATGCGAGAGGGGGTGTTTAGTGTACAAATGATGCTTGATATAATCAATGAAAATTGGCCACAGTTGGGGTTGATTACAGGAAATCCGGGTAATGGTGAAAAGGATGTGAGTGTTTTAGCCACGATTGATAATAGTGAAACCAAAAAATTCTTACCGTGGAGTTTCATTTCGTTAAAAACACTGGTTATTAATACAGTTGAACAGATTTTGAACAATAACACACGGGTTTGATTTTTCTTTTTCTTGTATATCTAATCTAATCTAATCTATCAATACTCTGTATGTTTATTGTAGGTTATAAACGTGAATAATATTCCCAAGTCATAAATAGCCTTTAAACTACCAGCAATAATAAAGGTTATCCATTGGTATCCATCCTTTGCCATAATTCCAACAATACTAGGACCGATAATCTGGGCCAAAGTCTTGACAACGTTAACAAACCCAAAAACAGCTGTACGATCTTCATCGTCAACCAATGTGGCTAAGAACACATGCTTTGGCGCAACATCCATCGATTGTAGTAGTGATCTAGCAATAAGTATCACTAAAGTGGTTTCCATAGTCAGTGGTAATGGGATCATGGCAAGGAGAATAGACGCAGGAAGGTGAGTTCCTGCCATAGTTATTACAGCACCTAACCTCTTTGTCATCGATGTTGAGCCAAGTGACGTTAATCCACTAATTATTCCAACGGTGAAAAACACCGAGCCCAAATAACCTGATGAGATGTTGAACTTGGCCTTCAAATAAAAGGATATCCATGATAATGGAGTCAATGATGAAGCAAATGAGTCTAATCCAAAAAGAAGGGAGATTTTGAATATTATCATACATGTATGAGATGATAAGTTTTGTGGAAGGAAGTTAAATAGTAGTCTCTTCTTCATAACTGGTTCCAATGGTTCATCTTGAGTTATTTCACTTTCAATCAACCTACTTGTTTCTGAAGGCTCAATGTCACTATTATCATTGATTTTTGTCTTTGAAACTTCAATATCGGGGCTAATAAAACAACACAAGATAGTACTAATCACAGCCAACCCAGTATACACCCAAAACACCGATTTAAAACTTTGCAATTCAATGAAATTGCAAAATTTTTGAGTTAAATCAATAATAAACCCAGCAATGAATGCACCAAAAGCACCGCAAAACATTCCCAAGAAAGTATACCATGAATAAATATCTGATCTGTCCTTACTTGAATTACACAATTTAGCAATCGAGCTTTGTTCGATAGTTCTAAAGGGACCAACTTCACCTCCCGAAGGAGTCAAGATTCCCAAAAATGCAACAATGCAAAGTATATAATAATTTTCAACAATGCTAAATACCGCTCCAGTGATAACCATAAGCACACAACATAATAAAAGAATCTTTTTCCTGCCGATTTGATCAGTTATCAAGGACAAGTAAAACGAAGATATCAAATCTCCCAAAAAGGTAATAGTCATGAAGTAGCCGATATACGATTCCAGGATATCAAGCTTTTTCAAATAAAGGGCCAATATCAACGAAGTCGACCCAAAACCAATGAGTCTAATCATACGTAGTAATATAATTATATATACATCATTTTTGGCGTTTCGTAAGGTATGGAGTCCAATCTCCTTTTGGAGAAAGCGCAAACCCTTGATAAAAAGGGACATTATTAACAAACAACGCACACACACACGTACACACACGTACACACACACACACACACAAAAGTTAAAGAGAAAAAGAAAGAGAATCTGAAAAGATATCTGAAAAATCTAAACCTGTCAAAATATCAAGAATAAAAAGATCGAAACCAAAAGTCTCTAAGGAAGAGATATTCCCTACATACTATTCAAAAAAACAAAAAAACTTGTAGGGCTTTGATTTCTCGTAAGGTGCCGAAAACAACAACCAATCCCCATAGTCGGCATAATTTATAGTTAAGACTACAACAACGCTATCCGATCATCTTCAATCCTTTTTTTTTTTTACTGATGGTGTAGGTGGTGGTTGGGTGGCTTATGGCGTTATAACCTTTTATCACAAGGTTTATTTTTTTAATTTTCTATTTGTGGTAAGCACGTGACCTAATTTATAACTCGGGCCGATATATAAGTCTTGTGTGTAACTCCTCTTTTTCTTTTCTTTTTTTTTTTGACTTCTTTTTTCTCACAATGCCGAAAAGGGAATAAAAGAGACGGTAGCGGAAAAGCGTTATGTTTTATTAACTCGAGCGGTAGCGCAAAAGCTTTATATCCTTATAGACTTGTTTTGCAGCTATGCATTATTCTTTGCCATGGTAAATCCGTACTCAGTCAATAGGAAACCATTCGAATGGGAACCATAACTCAAGTATAGTTGATCTTCAGTAGTAAGCTCCGTAGTTGTTGTAATTTGAAACCCCTTGCCGTCAATTTTCAAAGTACAATGGTCGTCACATGAATGATTGATAAAGTCAATATATGGTGCCATTGTGAAATTATCCAGTTTGTCGTAGACTAAAGGCATCAATTCAAAATCACGCACTGACTGAGCGAAATAGTGTTGTAACAAGCTATCTGTGTATTTGTCCTCGTGCACTTCAAATGGCACATATACATGTTTATCCAATTCCATCTTGTTGAACTTGGAAATGTGGTTCAACACGGTGGTATAGTTTAATAGGAAAGCATGAGGGATGTGCAACACTATCGAGCGACACTATACACACGGGTTTGATAATTCGTGTTTGCTGATATCGGATATTGCATAAATACCTCTGCCTGAACCTTTCACGTCTTTAACAGTAATCTTGGGCAAGATATAAGAATGACTAGACGGTTTTAAATCGTCCTCTGTACATCTAATCCATTCAAGTAGAGTCAAGAGCTTTTGTTGAAATCTTGCATTAAATTGAAACTCATAAAATCTCATAAAATCTCATACGACACTAGGGAGCAAAGCGAGCTAGTGGAGTAGCACTTAGTAGACACTAGGGAGAGAAAGACCACACTAGGGAGCGAAGCGAGCTAGTGGAGTAGCACTTAGTAGACACTAGGGAGAGAAAGACGACACTAGGGAGCGAAGCGAGTCTAGTCCATAAAGTGTAGATAGAGAGACTAAACCAGAGACTAGACGAGTAAAACGAGTCTAGTCCATAGAGTGTAGATAGAGAGAGTGATATATATATAAAGAGAAAAGTATACAGATCAATGGTCTAGAGAGAGTAGAGTTGTTTTCTCGTTTTGCTGGGAAATATAAAGAAAGAAGAGAGAGAATAGATAGAGAGAGAGTAGATATATAGAGAGTAAATATATAGAGAGAGCAGATATATATACTAGAGGGACCTTTGATAAAGGTATATGGGGATCTTCATAAAGCGTAGAGCTGATAGCAGAGCAACAGTTGAAGAATGTAGGTGTGTGTTTGATAGCAGAGCAACAGTTAGTGTTGCTACAAAGTGCTGCTCGACTAGCTTGTTACAACACTATCGAACAGAGAGAGATAGTGTTGGTCTATAGTGTTGGTCTATAGTGTTGCTCAGGGTCGCTTCGCTCCACTTGGTCGCTTCGCTCCGCGATAGTGTCGGCGCTGTTTTATGTCAAGATGACAGCTTACACAAAACCGAAAAAAGTCGTACAAAACAAAAAAACGGAAATGTATCAATGCATTACTAGTAATAAGCTAAACTGCGTATATGCAAGAGTATGATAAGCTTTTTGTTGACATAAAACTTTTTCCACTCATGCTTCAAGTGAGTGAGGATGTAGGTGATAACAATCCTGATGGTAATAATACATGATGCAGGAGCTAAAGCACAAAAACTAGACACCCTTTACAAGTACAAATGTATGGAAACAGTAGGTGGTGCTTAATCCTAAAACAAAAGTTGTGTCAAGTATATGCGTTGGAACTTTGGTTTAGTAGTTGATATTTATCATCTGACAGCTTGTGGCAAGTTGAAATATGCAATTGTTGCCGACGGGAACCCCTCAGAACATTTCTTTGGGAAAGGGGGCTATAAAATATGCATTATTGTCAATAAAAATCCAAGATTTCAACGCAAAATGCAAAGCTTTTTATAATACAACAAGAGACAAAGATAGAAAGCGTTAAATCCAAGTGGCCTAATAATTTTTGTATTTTTTGTTGGTTTTGCTTAAAATACGGGTTTGAACTTTTTTTTTTTTCAAAATCAGTAGGGACTTGTAAGGACAAAGCTTGCAATTTGGATGGGAAAGAAGCAAAATAGACGATGAGTTTGAATAAAACGAGGGATGAATCATCTTTGGTTGTGAATGGTGACGTTGGTGACGTTGGTGAGCAGGACAAAAAAGTTGGTAATTGTCTTTATCTAGAGTTGTTGGGGTATCAACCCCCTTTGCAAATTATTTCTAATGATTTGTTTGTTTATGGGATGTTTCAGCTGGAATTTATACCACAACTTATAGAACCACACTTTGATACTAATACCCTGTATCTGTATGATGTGAATTCGGCCTATGATTTTGCGCCTATGGCAAATTCCCTGCTGAATATGTATTTGCAGTTGCCAGAAGAAGTTGTTGTTTCAAAACAATTTAACTTGGACCAGGCTCAAGAACCATCCTCCTCCTCCTCCTCCTCCTCCTCCTCCTCAACATCAACATCAACATCAACATCAAAACCTCTATCATCAGACAATTTTATTAATCCGCAGTGGTCACAACCGTTACTGTTCACAAAACTGACCAAATTACAACGGCCAAGACGTGCGTGCCAAGCATGTCAAACACGAAAACTCAAGTGTGACAGAAGCAAGCCATTGTGTCTGCAATGTAAGTCGAATGGCACTAAATGTGTATATAAGTTGTTTGCACAATTTAAGGAGGATGTCGAGTCTCAGGGAAAGAGATTTGGCAGAGAGGGCATCAATTCAATAAATAAGATAACCACGGATGAATTTGTACTAAGGAGTAAACATTCACATTACCAACCAATACGACATCAAGGAAATTTACAATTTGTCAATGTTTTCAATGATGATATAACTAAAACGCTACATAAGCCTATTTTATTTCCTGCTCTACAGACTTCAATCATACCCTCGGACGTTTTATCTCTGAGCCATCAAGATTCAAGCATGCTTGATTTTGCAATAAAATATTATGTCGAATTCATATCGCCTATTTTAAACCCATGCGGATACGATACTATACAATATAAACGAATCCCATCAAATAAAGGGAAAGAGGTAAAACATATGACAATTGAGCGAGGGTTGGATTTGGGACTCTTGGTGAAATTATCCCAAAGTAACCACTGCTTATTCTATCTAATGCTCGCATTAGGTTCATTCTATTTATCCAAAAACGTAGATACTGATCAGGATCAAATGTGGGAAGAGCGAGCTTTTGAGTTTCATAGAATGGGGTTGGTCAAACTTAATCCAATTTTGATTAGTCTATCAAAAAATGAGACATTGAATGATGAAATTTCCATTGTCGATACTTTAGTTGCACTAACACTTCTCATATTGTTTGAAATGGTCAACAATTGCAATCCTCGATGGATCGTATATCTCAGATTAACCAAAAGAGTACTCACATTAGTGGATTTCAAAATTCCTACAGATGGTTCTAATTGCACACTTTTTAAATTTTGTCTAGAATTTCTTCATTACCAAGAAACAGTAGGCCGAACCGCTTGTCAGGATACTAGTTTATTATTCAATCAAGTGGATATTGATAACAATAAACCTGATCAAGAGACAAATCAGATTAGTCTTGTTAGCTGGATGGGATGCGATCGTGGCTTAATTCAAGTTATATCTGATATTACTGATTTATCATTTGAAAGGTTCAAAAAAACAGTCACCGAAAAGGAATACCTTCAAAAATGCAACCAATTGAAACAAATGTTGGAAGAAATGAATATCCATATGATGGATTTTTATTTTTCTTCATCGAATGGAGAGCCTCATTCAGTATCTGATCAGTTTATGGGATTTGAAGAAGAAGAATTTTATTTGCTACTATCATATGAAATTAAGAGAATCACCACTGAATTATATTTGAACTGTTGCTTACTCAACATGGGTCCCGAAGATGAGCTGGTTGGTAAACTAGTGAGAGAAATCTTCAAGCTATTGGAAATTGTTATTTTGCAACATGATTACAAATGGTATTCAACATTAATTTGGTGCATATTTGTAGCAGCTTCGGAGATTTCCGTCTTGAGCCCGAGTTGTGACGAAATGAGGTTTTCCACATTGAAACTACTAGCAAAACTTGAAACTAATACACTTGGTAATATCAAAAGAACAAGAGAAATTATATTGGGGGTATGGAAGAAACGAGATTTGGATAATAGTGATTTACATAGCATGGGAATGATCAATATCCACCATAGGAAGTTCAGAAAAAGGAAAAAGTTATTGGGATTTGAAAATGATTGGGAAAAGTATATTGTTGACAAAGGTCATGGCATAGCATTAGCGTGAAATGAGAATCCAGAGGAGTAGTAATAATAGTCGTGGTTGTTATGACTTTATTAGTTAGTATTGGTACTTTTAATTTATTATAGTTGTATTTCAATCTATTTCCTTTCTTCCATATCAGTCGTAGTTGGGACACTATCGAGCAGAGCGAGATAGTGGAGCAGCACTGACTACTCGACACTATCGAGCGAAGCGAGATAGTGGAGCAGCACTCACTAGTTGAGACGACACTGACTACACTAGCTGCCACCACCAACCTGTTGCAAGAAAATCGTCACTTTTCTCTCTAGTTGAGACGACACTGACTACACTAGGTAAACCTACAAGGGCTAAAGTTTATAGAAAATTCGGATCTAATCTTCAAGTACTTGCTGATATACCTGATGATTTTTATAATTATTGTACTATTAAATTAATAGATTATTTTGAATCATGTAGAGATATATTCTTAATATTAAACATTCTACCACCGGCTTGTTGCAAGAAAATCGTCACTGCTTTTCTCTCTACACTCTATCGACTAGACTCGTTTCACTCGTCTAGTTTTCTTTCTTCCATATCAGTTCTACTTTTATTATTGGTCCATTTCTTTTGCCTTTTTGCACCCACTTTGTTTTGATGGAAAAAACTGCAAGGGTTTTTTTCAACGGTTCGGATTATCGGATTATCGGAAATTCAAACAAACCGGAATTCTTTATTTGCTCTTTTGGTTTATTTGATTACCTTCAAGTCAAACCTGTGTGTTGTGTTGTGTTGTGTTGTTAGTATGCTTCGTCTTTTCGAATCGTCATTATCAAGAGCACCTCTCGTGAGGATTTGTCGCTGCGGCTATGCAACCTCGGGAGACTACCCAATAGACCATCATCAGAGATTAGATTTACATGAATGGCCCACTAGCGCCAATCCAACACCCTATGAAGTGTTTGGGTTGTCTTCTAAAGATATGGGGATGTCGACATTAGAGCTAAATAAGATTCTCAAAGACAAGTATGTGAAATTTGTCAAGATATACCACCCAGACACTTGTCTTGAAATAACGGATGCAAATGGCAAGGTGTTTTCAAAAGAAATGAAACGTAGGAGGTTTGATATTATTCAAGAGTCATATGACATCCTCAAGAATCCAAGACGAAGAGGAGCTTACAATCGATATCAAACAACCAGCTGGGAACAGCAAGGTCCATACAAAGGACCATACGGACAACCATATACCAAGGAGAGTTTTGAAGCATATCGAAGAGCTAATGCTCATCGAACAAGGTACAATTTTAGCAACGACGAAGCTTTTTGGTCTGCTGGCACATGGAACGATTATTATCAAATGAAATACAAGAGGCCACCTCCAACAAGGGAGGACTTTGAAAAAAACAAGTATAAGATTCTTTGGGGTGTCTTGGCTGTAGGTGCATTATCCTTTGGACTTCAGGTAATGAATGCTATTGATCAAACTAATCAGTATCTCTTGAAGACGCACCAAATGAATTTGAGATCCTTGAAGGATATGAATGAAAGTTACGAAAGTAATGGTGAGGGCTTTTCTGAAGTGGGGAATTTGAAGAGATTCCTTATATCTAGAAGGAGTACCATAAAACTGAAAAGAGACAAGTCCAATGAGGATAACGAAGAGAATATCGAGCCTAGTGACAATGATTTATTGATAAAATATGCTCAGGGGCGAGTAGATAAATGGGATAGACGGGAAAACGAGCTTTCCGCTAGAATAAGAGATGATTAAATCCGGATGTACATACAGTAATCTATAATCAATAAGCTGTAGAAAGAATAGGTAATTGTCTATCTATCTCTCCTCAAACCTTTCTTTACCTTATATCAAAACCTTTCATTATTTTTTATTTCTTTCCATCCAATTTTTTTTTCTTTCCCCTTTTGGACTTTCCTCTAGATGATTAAAATAATATAACCAGGTATTCTCCAATAAGATACTAGAAGAGATATTCGAAAACAAGTTGGATAGTGATGGATTTCATGAAACCAGAAACGGTGCTAGACTTGGGCAATATTCGTGCGGCCCTAGTGCGGATGGAAGACACGATTGTATTTGATTTAATAGAACGATCACAATTTTTCAGTTCCCCATCAGTTTATCAACCAAATAAGTTCCCCATCCCCAATTTTGATGGCAACTTTTTAGAATGGGCATTGTTGCAAATGGAATTGGTGCATTCTCAAATCAGAAGATACGAGGCACCGGATGAAACTCCATTTTTCCCTGAGAAGTTGATGAAACCAATACTACCACCAATTAATTACCCCAAGATTTTAGCTAGTTATTCTGATGAAATCAATGCTAATTCGGAAATTATGAAATTTTACGTTGAAGAAATTGTACCCAAGGTAAGTTGTAAACAGGGGGATCAGTTGGAAAACTTGGGATCAGCTTCAACTTGTGATATAGAGTGCTTACAGGCTATTTCCAGAAGAATTCATTTCGGTAAATTTGTTGCTGAAGCCAAATATCAGCAAGATAAACCGTTATACATTAAACTAATCCTTGCAGGGGATACAAAGGGAATTGAAGATTCAATAACCAATAGTGCTGTAGAGGCCAAAATCTTGGCGAGATTACTAGTTAAAGCAGAGAGTTATGGTATTGATCCTTCATTGAGGTATAGTCAGAATCGCCAGAACAAAGTGCAACCTGAAATCATTGCTCAGTTGTACAAGCAATGGATTATACCACTAACCAAGAAAGTAGAAGTCGATTACTTGCTAAGACGATTAGAAGATGAAGATCCCAAATTAATAAATCAGTATAGATAGGGATCCCCATATAGATAGACCAAATAAATTTTTTTTTCCAATGTTTAACAATTTGTTTGCAGCTTTACCTAATTAGGACATGATTGCAGACACTATCGAGCGAAGCGAGATAGCGGAGCAGCACTGACTAAATTACCCTGACACTAGCACTGACTAGATTACCCTGACACTATCGAGCGAAGCGAGAGCTGCTCCACTATCTCGCTTTGCTCGATCCTTTTTCTGTTTTGGAAATTCAACTCATTATTATAGCTTGAGACTTGACCAAATGATTCACGTATTTGAGTCTGAAAGCCTGATCTTGACTATCAAGCAGAGCGAGATAGTCTGTATCTCTCTGTATGGTCTCTTTCGACTAGACGAGCAAAGCAAGTCTAGTCTCTATAGAGTCTGTATCTCTCTGTATGGTCTCTTTCGACTAGACTCGCTTTGCTCGTTTAGTCCTTCTTCACTATTTCAGAGACAATAAGAACATTATATATAAAGTCAACACCGACCACAAAAAATGTGATATTGTGGCTTGGCTAATCTACCAGATTACAATTTTCTCCATAGAATACTAAGTATGAAGAAAACTTTATAATCTTACTCACCAAAATCTGGGAGAAACGTGGGTCTGTTTTGGTGGGGGAGGGGGAAAAAAAATTATAGGTTTTCTCTTTGATACATACAAAAAAATATCATAGATAACACATAGTTGGAGCTGATTCAAACAAGTAAAACACTATCTCAGATTTATCTTGACCACTTGTTGTTGCTTATGAAAGTTCGGTCGTGTGTGAATTGAAATCTCTAAGCCAAAATTAAAGAAAAATACACTCGTGGGACCCTCCTTTGTTCACAATTGTTTCTTCCATTTTTGGTTCCAAAGAATAAAATAAAACAAAAAAAAAAAAGAAGAGAGATTTAAAAACGTGGGTGGTTTTTTTGCTAGATAGTAAACCACAACACTTGCCCAATAAGCTAAAAACAATTTAAAAAGAAGAGATATCAATGGGGTCGAATTGACACGCGTCTACGAAACTCAAAAAGACCTTGTCTTCTTACTATTTCACATTCTCTTTTCACTTATTATAAATATCCTTCAATTATTCTTCAACTTTATTACTCTACTAGGAGTACTTCTTTTTTTTTTTCCTCTTCTTCCTTTTCGCAGCCATTGAAATTATATTCATTTACTTAGAGTTGATTGACTTTCAAAGTAAAACTAGAACATTATTTCAATAGTAGCGTAAACTATGGTTGACTTTTCATTTGATTTGTACCCATGGGATATTTCAACACTTCAAGTTTTTACCTTGGTTTCGTTGATCTGTGGTCTGGTTTTTTTTGCTGCAAAAGTAAATAAAACTGTTTATTCATACTTGGTGTTTTTTTGGGCTGCATTTATTAACCCTTTAATATTGAAGAAAACAGTTAAAAAGGGGGGTAAAGCTAACCAACAAAACAATCTTGAGTTATTTTACAAAACTCAGGCTCATATCTACGATGTTACCAGAACTTCATTGTTAAAAGGCAGAAAAGAATGTCTTGAATTGGCGATTTCACATTTGCCAAAAAAGAAGGATATAGTATGGTTTGATATTGGAGGTGGTACTGGCTCAAATATTGAGTATATGGATAAAGTTAGTAGTATTGCCAAAAATTTCAAAGCAGTTTATTTAATTGATCTTTCTCCATCCTTGTGTGAAATCGCTAGAAAGAGAATTGATAGTCATCAATGGACCAATGTACACGTTATCATTGCTGATGCTTGTGACTTCACTGTTGACCACAAGACTGCTGATTTGATTACTTTTTCTTATTCATTATCAATGATTCCAGCCTTCAATGCCGCCGTTGATAATGCAGTTTCTAAATTGGATAAACAAGGTATCATTGCTGCTGTTGATTTTGGTATTCAGAGCAATGCCACAAGTTTGGGAAGAATCAATACCGTTGGAGGGCTAGTTAATAGAAACATTCCATGGATTTTGCGTAATTTCTGGAGAATTTGGTTTGAAACAGATCACGTATTCTTAGATTCTTCAAGAAGAAACTATTTGGAGTACAAGTTTGGTACTCTAAAATCATTTAATGATTACAACAAGAGAATGGGCAAAATTCCATACTATACCTGGATCGGTTGTGACAAATCAAGATCTTCTACTATCTTGAATAGACTAAATTCTTTAGCTACCGAGTCTCCATACCTTGCACCAATCACCACACCAATCAGTACTCAATTATTGAAAACACCAATTTCAAAAGGTCATGAAGCTGCACTTACCAATTTGCAAAAAAACCTACCATTTCCTTCGATGTACTATCAAAAGGAAGTTTGGAGAGTTTATTATGATGAATTGAACCCTTTGTATGAACAGTTCAAAAACCAATACATCTATGCATTTACGTGGGAGGATCCAAGAGAAGATAACAAGATTTTGAAATTTTCAAGTAATGATACGGTTTTGGCAATTACATCAGCTGGCGACAATATCTTGAGCTATGCAGCATTACCAGACCCACCAAGAAGAATTCACGCAGTCGACTTGAACCCATTCCAAAACCATTTACTCGAATTGAAATTGGCTTGTTTCAGAGTTCTTGATCAAGAAGATATTTGGAAAATGTTTGGTGAGGGGCGCATTGACAATTTCAGAAAGATATTGATTAACCAATTGGCTTCTCATATGTCATCGCATGCTTTCCAATACTGGATGGACAAAGGTCCAAAAGCTTTCAGCGGTAAAGGTCTTTATGACACTGGATCAACTAGATGGGCCTTGAGGATTAGTAGAATGATTTTTAAAATGTGTGGCGTTTCTAATTACGTCACGGCTTTGTGTACTGCGACCACAATCGAGGAACAAAAAAGAATTTGGAGAGACCATTTGAAACCAAAAATGTTCAATCCTGTTGTTGGCTCTTTGTTGATTGGTAATCCGATTTTCCTTTGGAAAGCATTGGGTGTTCCTGTCAACCAGGCCAATATGATGGGTCCATCCGTTTTGAACTATGTCATTGATACTTTGGAGCCATTAATTGAAAGATCGTTAATTAAAGATGACAACTACTTTTACTATTTGTGTTTGACGGGCTCTTACATAAGAACCAATTGTCCGGATTACTTAACGACAAAGGGTTACAAGAGGTTAACTGGACAGAGGTCAGTTAGCGGAGACATACCAATTGACAACATTCGTATACATACCGACACTTTGAACGACGTGTTTGCCAGATTATCCTCCAAATCAATAACCATTGCTATTATAATGGACCATATGGATTGGTTTGACCCAAATGGTAAAGACGCCATTAATGAAATTAGCGCAGTTAAGAAATGTCTTGCCAACGGAGGTAGAGTCATGTTGAGATCTGCTTCGAAGCATCCTTGGTATATTGATACTTTCCAAGAAATGGGCTTTGATTGTCACCCAGCAGCTGTTAGAGAAAGCGGTACAAGTATTGATAGAACTAATATGTATGCATCAACATGGGTATGCACAAAACGTGAAATTAAAGGAGAGAGTGTAGTTGTGGAAGAAGGAGAAGTAAGCGATGAAGAGGAGTTCATTGCAAACTCCACTGATTTAAATCAATTGGATGCTAGTCGTCGTAGGATGAGCAGTTTGAAGATCTAGTAAAACGCTAATTCAAATTCGGTTGAATTTGTTGATTAAACATTTTGTTCAACTTGAGAACTTTGATAGATTTGAAGGAAAAAACAATAAGAACAACAACAAAAGTTAGCTCGACACTATCGAGCAGACCGAGATAGTGGAGCAATACTTTGTAGCGAGTGCATAGCAATACTTTGTAGCGAGTGCATAGCAATACTTTGTAGCAAGTGCATAGCAATACTTTGTAGCAAGTGTATAGCAATACTTTGTAGCAAGTGTATAGCTAATTAAGGAAAACGGAATTACATCAAAGGTCTTTCTCTTTGTATGATCGTATAACATGATTATCTGTAACTACACCTTGTGCTTGCAATTTCTAAAGAGCAGAGCGTTGAGCACACTAACTAGTTGTCACCGACTAGCTGCATATGAAGAAAGAGGGTGAGAGAGGTGAGAGAGGTGAGAGAGGTGAGAGAGGTGAGTAAGGTGAGAGAGGTGAGAGAGGTGAGAGAGGTGAGTAAGGTGAGAGAGGTGAGAGAGGTGAGAGAGGTGAGTAAGGTGAGAGAGGTGAGAGAGGTGAGAGAGGTGAGTAAGGTGAGAGAGGTGAGAGAGGTGAGAGAGGTGAGAGAGGTGAGAGAGGTGAGAGAGGTGAGTGAGGTTTTTTTTTTTATCTTTTTTTTTTCCCAGTTGTATAAAGGCCCACCATTACCACAGTTTATTATAGATCAATTTTGTAGAGCAATTTTTTGCTTCTCTGATATACACAAGAATGTCTGTAGACCCATTTGAGATAGTGTTTGCCGTTCCTATGGAATGCGGGGCATGTGTTGAGTCGATATCACAAGCATTGAAACCTTTAGAGGGCGTAACCAAGTTTGATATAGATTTAAACAAGAACTTAGTTACCACTGAAGGAACTATACCACCGAGCAGTATTGTTCGGGCTATTCAAAAAACCGGAAGAGACGCAATTATTAGAGGCACAGGAAAACCTGATTCTGCCGCAGTATGTATATTAGAGTCATTCGACGAAAAGGATTTCAAGCAACCGGTGAAAGGCTTGGCTAGAATTGTTGAAGTATCCGATGGAAATAGTATAATTGATTTGACGGTCAATGGTTTGCCACGAGGCGTGTATTATCCTTCAATACGATGCTCGGGAAACATATCGCAAGGTGCACTATCTACAGGTGGCATTTTTTACAAATTAGACGCTATCAAAGTGGACCAGCCATCGAATTTGACGACTACTATAAATTCGATTGGGGCTGCACTTATTAGCAACAACAACAATGAAGAATTGTTTTTTGGTCAATCATTTTTAAGTGCCAAATTGAGTGTTAATGAATTGATTGGAAGAAGTATTGTATTGTCCAGGTTACAAGATAAGGTCACCTCTGACTCCTTATGCGGTGTGATTGCTAGATCCGCTGGTGCTTGGGAAAACGATAAACAAGTTTGTAGCTGTAGCGGTAAAACAGTTTGGCAGGAAAGAACTGATGCAATAGCTAGAGGAGTAGCCGTCTAAGAAATTGTAGAGTTTTATACAAAAATAATGTGTGGCTTAGAGTGAGATGAGCTAATAACAAAAAATCCCCTAACAAGAAATCCCCTAAAAAGAAATCACCTAAAAAGAAATACCCTCCTCCCCTCCTCCCCTCCTCGCAACTGTTTTGCATTCTCATTGCTTCCCGCTTAAGCTTGGCGAGAAGACGCTAACATGTAATTTGTAACTTGTTATTTATTACCACTTTTTCATTGTAAGCGAAAAATAAATCCTTCACAATAAAAGAAGAAAAATTAAATCATTTTACAAAGTGAATACGAATATTTCACCTAATCTATTTTAGCTTCCTATGTATTAAAGGTGTTCTGCACTAGGGGATTAAGGATTGAGGACTAAGGACCAAGAATAGAGGATATAGGATTATTTGTGCTTTATTTATACCCTATAGTGAGAAGATAGAGGACCAAGGATAGAGGATATAGGATTATTGGTGCTTTATTTATACTCTATAGAGAAGATAGAGATTAAGGACCAAGGACCAAGGATAGAGGATATAGGATTACCAGTGCTCCATTTATACTCTATAGAGAGAAGATAGAGGATAGAAGATAGAAGATAGAGGATAGAGAATAGAGGATAGAGAATAGAGAATAGAGAATAGAGAATAGAGGATTACTTGTGCTTTATTTATACTCTATAGTGAGAAGATAGAGAAGATAGAGGACCTAGGATATAGGATTACCAAGGACCTAGGATATAGGATTACCAAGGACCTAGGATATAGGATTACCAAGGACCTAGGATATAGGATTACCAAGGACCTAGGATATAGGATTACCAAGGACCTAGGATATAGGATTACCAATTGTTGTTCCACTATCTCGCTTCGCTCGATAGTGTCTTGATAGTGTCACGATAGTGTCCCGCTGTAGTCATGAGTCGAACTCAAATCTTATCGCTATTAAGAGATCAGAAGGAAGTCATCATTCAGCAAAAAACAATCAAGCTCAATGCAATATCTTTCCCTTTCAATATATATGATTTATTTGAAACGATTCATGAGTACTTGTACTCATTTGATCCACCAATACAACTCGAAAAATTGTCTATACAAAGCAATGGGATCACCGAGTTACCGTTAAATATTCATAAAATTTCAAGGTATTTAAAATATCTAGATTTGCATAATAACTCGCTAACAGAAGTAGCTGATAGCTTCTTTGAAAACTTTCCCAGTTTGGAAATATTGGACTTGTCGTCAAATAAATTTTCATCCTTCCCTGACTCGATAGCCTCACTACATAATCTAATAGTATTATCAGTCAAGGATAATTTTATCAAATTTGTGCCACCAAAGGTAGGCGAGATGAAGCATTTGAATCTTATCGAGCTTTTTGGGAATCCATTGATAATACCGTCAATAGAGAAGATACGAGCGTTGCAACATCAAAGTGTGGACCTAGAATGGGTCGAAGAGTTGAAGAAATATTTGAAAGCTAATGCAACACTTATTAAGCAAGGCATAGAGGAGGCGAAACACGGTGACATGTTAGCGGACTCCCAACTGACTCCCATCCACGATCTGAACAATGTATCTCCAGATACTACCCCTCCAAGGATCACTAGATCACTAAGTATGGGCGATACATCAAAAAGTAAATTGTCTAGAGCCTCAAAAAGAATGGGGTTGGTTATTAAGAAAGCGGAGGAGAACGGCTCTTGTGAAAATTTGGAAGAAGACGAAGATTATCAAGATTTCAATGGAAATACTAATCCTCCACCACACAACACAGTACGTTCTGCTTCAGCAGCAGAGACTACTTTTCAAATTTCTTCATCACCTTCAATACCGATCTCATCAACTACATTATCAATAGCGACAAACTCTACCGCCGACTCCCCGCTGAAGGGCCATGATCCACATAGTGCAAAGAGTAGTAATAACTCAAGTCACACAACTAAGCCTCTAGTAACTCGATCGCGATCCAATACATTTAAGGAAATTGACCAGATTTTGGAAAAAAGCGAAAGCGTGGATACTGAGCACAAATCAAATGCTTATTTCCGAAGACTTTCAACTCTTCAAGAACAACCATTAGATGAAAACGACAAAACGAACAATAATCACTTGGAACCTAAAAGTACACGCCATAATTCTGAAACAAGTTCTAATCTTCAAATTCCAGTTGTTCAGCAGCCGCAAGCGGTACAGCGCTCAAATGCTCCCCCCGTCTCAATCGAAGGATCACCAACACGAGTCTCCGCGTCGGCTAGAAAGTATCCGTGTTCAGTGCTAATTAAAGTATCTAGAAAAATCTTGTTTGCATTTAGTGAGTTACATTCCTCTATACGGAGATTTACTGGATTCTGCACTGACAAAAAAGTAGCAATGAAAATGGTGTCACTTTTATACACAACAAAATCTAATATTGACACCCTTGTGGAAAACCTAGAGCTTGTTGAAGAAAATGGTGGTAACTCAGAAATTATTGCACAAACACTTCATACTTGCATTGCCTCCTTCAAATTGATTATGAACTTGCTACACGAAAATATAGGCAAATTTGTTAGTAAAATCGATGTTTGTTTTATAAGGATGTTGTACCTTTCAGTTTTTGGGTCATTCAATGAGCTACAAAACGCCTTTAAGCTACTCTCGGTTAAACCAAATGCACAAAAAAATTTGGTGACTGAACAAAAGCAGAAAATGTCTATCAATACCAATGTTGGAACATTATTTGATGAGGTGGATGAAAAATTGTACACTGCAATCAAATCTGCATGCTTTAACGCTCAATCTATTTTTACAGAGTTGAACAAAGACGTTAATCGGGGAGCCTCAGAAAATGCAGCTGCAGTGCTGCCTACAATTGCTGCGAAAATTAAGGAGCTCACTAATCTATGTGCACTTTCTTTGGAAATTATAAAAAGGCTCACCACAAGATTGGTAACTATTAGGAACAATGCTCTGCAAACCACGAAAAAAATGTTTGTTGAAGATGTCAATCAATTCCTTAAATCCATTGTACAAATTTTAGCAACGGTGAAGGGTATTGTTGTTGATCTACCCATTTTAGAGGATGTACGTGCTTCCATGTCTAGCTTGACAAAGACTGCTAAGGAAGTGACATACATGTTGGAGATTTCATCGTACAAGGCATTATTAACAGAACCAGCAAACGCTGCCACATCACAAACGTCACAGCAATCACAAAACCAGCCATTATTCACACCTACTGCAGCGCATGCTCCTTCGTTACCTTCAACGGCTACTTTCGCCACGGGACCTGTACCTCCAAGGTCACAAATCAAAGCACAACCGAGCCATTCAGTTTCTAATCACCAAGAATCTTTGGCGAGTTCTGTTTTTTCGATGAATGGACCACTGACTGCACCACCACAATCTATGGGACAAGCGCTTGCTAAGCATGGGATAAACCCTTTCGATAAGTTGATTCAAACAAAGAATGAAGGTGAAAATTGATAAATATCGAGCAGAGCGAGATAGTGGAGCAGCATTGACTAATGACACTATCGAGCATAGTGAGATAGTGGAGCAGCATTGACTAATGATACTATCGAACAGAGTGAGATAGTGTTGCTCGATAGTAAAGCAACACTTTGTAGCTTGTTACAACACTATCTCGCTCTGCTCGATAGTGTTGCTCGATAGTGTTTTGCATAACACACTCTTTGTCTCTTTCTAGTTATTTTATCTATCTATATATTTATCACCTATTTGTTTAAAAGTCTAATGGTCAATTCAAAAACGGCAAAGGTTGCACCATTTGCTGGGGCAGCTCTCAAGATGGTAGGCAAGAAACCTTTGTAAAACCCTTTAATTCCCTGTTTAGTCCAAACGTCACGTATCACAGAAAGAGAAGATTTATACTGCGCTGCTTTTAAAGCGTCTGTTTGTAATTTTGACTTGATCACATCAACGGGGTAAATTGCAATCCATAAACTATACCCACTCAAGCCACCATACAAACATAATTTCCAAGGTTTGATTTGAGATCTGGTTAATCCACTGTGATGTTTCAAATCTTTGGCAATCAAGGCTTCATATGTTGCAAAATATATACCCAATCCAACAGACTCCCTTACTAAACTTGGTCCCAAACCTTTATAAATTCCTCGTATACCATCAATTTCATATATTTTCTTTGCGCAATGCAATGGACCATTAAAAGTCTTTTGTGTTCCAGTTTGAGTTTGCAATCTTATACGAATATGTTCAATGGGCGACGCCAAGAACCCATTTGCAAATCCTGCAACTGCACCACAGTTGAAGTAATTGATTAAACTCAACGAATGACCTTGTAGTTTTCTGTCATAGTACCGTTTCATAAATTCATTGACTGAAAACTGAACAGATACACAAGCTCCAACACCAACCAAAGGAGTCAAAGTTCCCTTGTAAAATCCTGCAAACCCTTCGTTTTTTATCAATCGTTTGATAACATCTATGGCGCCGGTATAGGTTCCCTCAGGAGCTGACTGTAAGCGGACTTTAACGGTATCAAACGGTTGGCCCACTAGAACTTGGGCAATACCACCCATAGTACCGGCAAACAAGTCTTTAAGTACTTGTGCATTGCTCTCAATTTGCGGCTCTTCTAATTCAATTGCCATTTTCCCTAACAATGCAAGACCGACAAATAGAATAATATACTTCCTGAAGGCTCCGTTCCCCTGCCCTGCGTTTTTATCTTCTTCTTCTTCTTCTTTATCTTTTTCTTGATCTTTTTTTTATCTTGATCCTTTTTTTTTCTTTTTTTTTTGCTTCTCCTAAATTATTTTTCATCAAACTTGTTGAGCGCTTAAACTAAAAGGAGAGGGTTATATTAACTCAATCTCGTTCTCTTGCAACAAGAGAATAAAGAGGACTACTTTTACATGTAAGCCTAGACGTTGCTATTAGAGTTATTGAGTGTTACTGAGTTAGTCAAGAGAATAAGAAATGTATGTAGAAGCTAGTTAGTGCTGCTCGATAGTGATCTCATCTCATTTCATCTCATTTCATCTCATTTCATCTCATCTCATCTCAATCAGGATTAATAAATTTGATGATTTTTGCCTCTATTTTTTTTTCTGTTGATGTTGAAACAATAAGGTTTAAGTTTTCTGTTGATTACATGATCATTTCTAAACTCTCTCTCTCTGAAAAAAAAAAATTGGTCTTAATTCTCAGTAAGGTTTCCCCAGATCCTCCTCAAGTTTGTGCTCCTATTATACATGAGCAGAAAAAAGGTAAAAGTATTTAAAGAGCACTTACAAATCTATTTAGAGAGCACTTTACTAGTTAGCGAACACTTCACTTTAACACTTTAACACTTAGCACTTTAACACTTTTCACTAACACTTGAACACTTTAGTACTTTTCACTTGGATGATCTTTCTGCCTTCATGCGTTGGCGGAAAAAGGCTAAAAAAATCCAACCAGTAGGTGGCTGCATCATCGGAATTGTAATTAATTACAACTAGGTGAAAAAAAAGATTTACTTGGTGTATATATATTTTTTTTCATTAGTTGATTTGAACAATTAATATTAGTGAGACCAATTTCACTGCGGGAAAGTTAGTGTTCTTTTCTCAAGTTCTCGTCAATTCGACACTGTCACTATCGAGCGAAGCGAGACAGTGGAGCACTGGCTACATCAACACTATCGAGCGAGACACTGGCTACATCGACTATCTAGCGAGACAGTGGAGCACTAACTACATCGACACTGACTACTTCAACACTGACTACTTTGACACTGACTAGTGACAAATACCCAGAGGGGTTGGTTTATGCACCATATAGGAGGCTACCTAGCAAGGACACATTTTACGAAAAGCTTGTAATATACAATGACGAAGCGACTCACACCGCAAGAAAAGTCTAGCAGGAAACCAGCTAGTCGAGCGTGCAAATTTTGCCATGAAAAACATCTCCAGTGCTCAAATGAAAGACCATGCAAGAATTGTGTAAAACGAAATATTGCTGATCTGTGTCGGGATATCATGCGAAAACGAGTCAAATATCTAACAAACTCAAACAAGGATGCATCTCCCTCTACCACTTCCCCATCACCATTATCAAAAGTTGTTGAAAAACAAGTTCTTCCGTTGTCGCAGCTGCTGAGCTCATCCTCGGTTATTGTTCCACCCCACAATAATTTTCCTACAGCTATATCCGTTAAACAGGAGAATCCTGAACCTTTGACTCATCATATTGCCATTGCACCAGCCCAGCAGCATGTAACGTATTGTCCAGTACAAGTAAACGAAACTAGTCATCTAGCACCTGAAGTGATACCAATTAATGAGCATAATGGATTGGAAGCAAACAATCCTCCTCATCATCATGGATTGGAAGCAAACAATCCTCCTCGTCATAATGGATTAGAAGCAAACAATCCTCCTCGTCATAATGGATTAGAAGCAAACAATCCTCCTCATCATAATGGATTAGAAGCAAACAATCCTCCTCATCATAATGGCTTAGAAGCAAACAATCCTCCTCATTTTGATTCTAATGATATTACACTTAGCCCCGCCAAGATTTTGGAGGCAGACTTGCAATTTCATACAAACACTATGCTTGATACAACCACAGATGTGTTGAATAAGCTATTGAACGACCATTATTATGAAAGTGACGGCTTTTTGCAATCGGGTCAAGAACTGACACCTTTCACCCAGTCTAATACTACTAATACTAATGCTAATACTACTAATACTACTACTACCCTGACAGCATTACCTGTACAACACAACTTCAGCAGTAACAACAATAATATTCATTTCAATTCTAATTACCTCAATGAAGAGTACCTAATGTTGGGTGATATCATACTCCATTCCAAACCATCTTCACCATCGCCTTCAAATACAAGTGCTTCCGAGTACAATACAGTATCTCCTTCGTATATTCGTAATGTTGATATTAACAATTTTCACCAGTCTAAAAGGAAAGTTGTTCAGAAACTAAAGGACTCGCGTCCTTTCATTTCTTTGGGATTCTCAAAGGATTCTTCAATGAGTTTGGATAATTTAAATAATATGGCAAATCAAACAGATAACTTGTTGGATAATAATGTAACTTCAAGAGGAGCCAATACTGTGCCTAAAAACAATGCAGGCTTGTCAAAAACCAACCCTATTATTGATTTTGGCGCAAAGTACTCAATGGATTATGTTTCACCCTTGACCACCCATCATATTTATCAAACTGTTTCGGATATTTATTCCAAAGAAGTTTTAAACTTTGAGTACCCCAATTCCTACCATGCTTTAACGCACTTTTTAAAGAAGCGTTTTCTGGGGAACCAACTTTCACCAGAAGAAAAAGCACAAAAAAGACAAAATCTATTGGTAATTCTTAAACTAATTGCAAGCTATAGACCTACATTTATAAGTGCTCACAAATCATTATTGAAGCCCCAAGACTTGCTTTTTTTAGAAATGAGTTTCCAGCGGTGCTTGATCGACTATGAGAAACTAAGTCAGCTTAATTCTTCACCGACTATTATTTGGCGTCGAACTGGAGAAATTGTAAGTATTACCGATGATCTTTTGAGCCTATTGGGATACAAGCTTCTGGACATTTTGTCGAAAAGAACATTTATTATGGAAATCATGTATGATGATGAGTCAATTGTAAAGTATTTCCAGTTATTCAAGTCTGTTGCAGTAGGAAACTTGCATTCGAGTATAAGTACGAAAATAAAATTGATCAAAAACCATAATGAGAAAGGAATTCATAAAGAGGGAGAACAAGAACATGCCCAATCGAAAGAAGAGGAAGGAGAAGACCGTGACTCATTTGTATACAACGTTGGGACTAATGAATATATCGAATTTTGTTCGGTCTGGACCGTAAAAAGAGATTTGTTTGATATTCCGATGTTGATAATAGGACAGTTTCTACCAATATTTCCCGCAGGCGACGGTGTACGTATTTACTGAAACAAAACCAAAAAAAAAAAAAGAAGAAAAAAAAAAAGGAGGAGAATAATAAAGTAGACCCATCTGTCACAATATAGACCCACAGGGCATTCAAAAACAAAAGTCCGTATACTTTTCCTTTCCTTGATTTCTATTAATCTATGTATAGATCTCGTAAAAGTTCAATCTCTATCTTCATTTACCATCTCCACACTCTACTTTCTCTTATTTCTACAGTCTATTTTTTTACTAAAAAACGGAAAGAATGCAAATCAACGGTATTTTTACCTACTTAGAAAAGCTGAATAATCCCCCATGCGTATATACTACTGCTAATTTTTTTTTTATTAAAAATATCACCCTATTCCTTTAAGGTCTATATCGTCAATAAATGGAAAAATCACCTTATCAATGAGTTTAATTTTTCACCTTTATAACCATTGTTGTTGGAGTTAATATGATTGGTCCTTAATATTTTTCTTATTGGTAGCACACAAAATTTTGCAGTCATTTCATGACGTGATTTAAAAACATGCAACAATAATTTTTTTTTTTTTTTTTTTGCATCCATTTTCTGGTATGATCTCCTTGCTTGTGGGTGACTGAAAAATACAAGGTTTCTTTCTTATGAATATATATGTATATAAATCTTCCTCTTTAAAAGAAAAGCAATGTTTAAACGCTCTCTTATATCTTTACTGGTGTTAAACTTGTTAACTTAAATACTCACTTATTTATTAAACCTATTCAATACTCACTTATTCCTTACTTATTCATTTTTTTTTCTACCTATTCAATAGTTACCGATAGTTACCAATTTATTCACTGATACTTATATTCCAAAAGATGTCTGCACTTGCTTCAATTACTCCAAAAAGAGCCTTATTGATTGGTGGTGTTTGCTACGGCAGTTGGGCGATTTATATGGCCAGAAATTACTTTAAAAATTCAAGCGTAAGGAAAATCTACGTCGATGCAGATAACGAATACTCACATGTACATCCAATGAGGCATATTCAATACGACGGTAATCTCCATCTCGAAAACAAGTAATACATTGCAGCTTTACCTTTGAGAATTGCCGTTTTTAGCCGTTTGCTGATTTTAGTACATGATATACAAATACATAATCATTTGAAGAAAAATTCTCTAGTATTTGCAATCTCTCATAAAATACAAAACTGACGTTTCTTGATCAATATTTTATTTCTAATCGTCTTTAGCTCTATGCATTTATCAGAAGTGGAGCCGCTTACTAATTACTTTCCGAGACACATCTCGTATCTAATTTTGCGTTTCCGAGTGTTTTGGTCAATTTTAACAGCATTCGTTAGTAGCATGCAACTGACCCACCAACACACACCAATTATTGCTTTCCATCCTTCTAAACCGAAAGATCCCTTGCTATACTTGACAGTTATTGACCTAATCCCCTATTGCCTTTGGCTCTTGACCTAATCCCCTATTGCCTTCAACTCTTGACCTAATCCTCTATTGCCTTCAACTCTTGACCTATACCGCTAATTGCCTTCAACTCCAGGTCTACCATAGGCAAGGCCATCCTACCATCAACAAAAGTCGTGCATCCATTGCATGTTTTTCTTCCTCTTTTGGATTTTTTTTTTTTTTTTTTTCTTTTCAGATTTGTATGCAGCTCATCTCAAGATTCATACCGATTGCGAAAACCAAGCACCATAAGATTGGGGAAATGAAAATTTCTCTAGATACTGTTAACAAGCTCCAGTTAGACCTGTCTTGTATTCGGAACATATGTATTCTAGCTCATGTTGATCATGGGAAAACAACCCTAAGTGACTCATTACTAGCAACCAATGGGATAATATCCCAGAGAATGGCAGGCAAAGTACGATATTTGGATTCGAGAGAAGATGAGCAATTGAGAGGAATAACAATGGAGGCTTCTGCTATTTCTTTGTACTTCAAGGTAATGAAAATGCCAAAGGATAAGGAGGAGGGGGGGGAGCTGCAGCAACAGCCACAAATAAAAGAGCATTTAATCAACTTGATTGATTCTCCTGGTCATATTGATTTTTCATCTGAAGTCAGCGCATCGTCTCGATTATGCGATGGTGCGATTGTTTTAGTTGATGCTGTAGAAGGGGTTTGCTCACAAACAATTAATGTGTTGCGCCAATGCTGGGTTGACAAATTAACACCTCTACTAGTGATAAACAAGATGGATCGGTTAATATTAGAGTGGAAAATGAGCCCACTCGAAGCCCACCAACACATCTCGAGGCTAATTGAGCAAGTCAATTCCGTGATTGGATCATTTTATGCAGGAGACAGGTTGGAGGACGATTTGAACTGGAGAGAGGCGGGAGAAGTTGGAAAGTTTATTGAAAAAGATGATGAGAATTTATACTTTATGCCAGAGAAGAATAACGTTATATTTGCGTCATCTATTGATGGCTGGGCATTCTCAATAAATACTTTTGCTAAAATATACCTGAAGAAATTGGGGTTTTCACAAACGGCATTGTCAAAGACTCTCTGGGGTGATTTTTACTTAGACATGAAAAATAAGAAAATTATACCAGGGAAAAAATTGAAGAGTAATACCAACTCGAAACCATTGTTTGTGTCCCTAATTCTAGAGCAGATATGGGCAATATATGAAAACTGCATTTTAAATAGAGATCAAGAAAGATTGGAAAAGATTGTAGAAAAATTGGGAGCAAAACTTTCTCCTCGAGACTTGAGATCCAAAGATCATAAGGCATTGTTGAACCAAATTATGTCACAATGGATACCGTTGAGTCATGCTCTTTTGGGTGCTGTTATCGACTACCTCCCAAGCCCGAAAGTTGCTCAACGAGAACGAGTTGATAAAATACTAGATGAGACATTCTACAATTCGGTAACATCGGAGAAGCAAGGAAACGATTTAATAGATCAAGGTCTCGTTGACGCAATGCGAGAGTGCGATAGTTCAGATCCAGAAAACCACACTATTGCATACGTATCCAAGCTATTATCGATACCTGACGATGAGTTGCCAAAAGAAATGAGTTTTGGAAGTGATGCTACTGCAGAAGAACTAAAGGAAAGAACACGAATAGCAAGAGAATTAGCAAGGAAAGCGTCTGAGGCTTCTGCAGCAGCTCAAGAAGCAGCAGCGGCAAGCCAGCAGGAGAATGAGTTTATTGTTAAACCCAAAAAAAATGCTTTTGAATGGGAATTTGAGGAAGAAGAAGAAGAAGAAGAAGGTGAGGATAACTATGCAGAAGAAAAACTGGAAACTTTGGTTGGGTTCTCGCGTGTTTATTCTGGAGCTTTATCAAAAGGTCAAAAGTTGACTGTGGTTGGTCCCAAGTATGACTCTTCTTTACCATGTAATGATACCAGAAATATTGCTCAAGTGGTCAACGAAGTCGAGATTAAAGATTTGTTTTTGATAATGGGACGAGAATTGGTTAGAATGGAACGGGTTCCTGCGGGTAATATTGTTGGCGTTGTTGGTTTGGATCAAACAGTTTTGAAGAATGCAACCATTTGCTCTCGATTACCTGAGGAAAAATCTTATATTAATTTAGCCTCGACGTCTACTTTGATCCACAATAAGCCAATAATGAGAATAACACTAGAACCAACCAATCCAAGCAAACTTGCTAAACTAGAGCGGGGATTGGACTTACTTGCAAAAGCAGATCCTGTATTGGAGTGGTATATCGATGACGAATCTGGAGAATTGATAGTATGTGTTGCTGGTGAGCTTCACTTGGAAAGATGTTTGAAGGACTTGGAGGAAAGATTTGCTAAGGGATGCGAGGTTATTGTTAAGGAGCCAGTCATTCCCTTTAGAGAAACATTGGCTGATAATAAGATAAATCAGGAAAGATTACAGGAAGCGAAACAAGAACAAGAAGAAGAAGAAAAAGAAAAAGGAAAAGAAAAAGAAAAAGGAAAAGAAAAAAAAGGGGGTGAAGCTTTGGATGAATATGAGGATAGCCTTGTTAATTTGGAGTTTGAAGTATCCCCGCTAAGCTCGGAAGTAACAAAATTTTTGATTGAACATGAGAGTGCAATTAACGAGATAAACAAGCAAGACAGAAACAAGAAAAAGACCGAGTTTATTGAACTGGGCAAGAAAAACTTTATGGAGAAATTGAAATTGTTGCTTGAGGTGGAGGAGAAGAAGGAAGACGAGAAGAAGTTTTATGGATTCAAGAGTGCTACAGAATTTGTCGATAACATCATTACATTTGGTCCCAAGAGAATTGGTCCCAATATCTTTGTTGATGGAACAAGTAAACTCAAGCATTTGTTTTCTGATAAATTGCCAGACAAGAGATTTGAGTTTGAGAATAACATTTTGAACGGAGTACAGTTAGCTCTAAATGAAGGGCCTCTCGCGTCGGAGCCATTACAAGGAATCCTTGTGATATTGAGAAAAGCCGAGAAAAATAAGACTGATGAAGATAAACCTATGAACCCAGGAAAAGTTATTAGTCAAACCAAGAGCTTGATCCACAAACAATTTTTAATGAAATCTCCCCGTTTGTTACTAGCAATGTATACGTGTGAGATTCAAGCTGCTGCTGAAGTCTTGGGTAAAGTCTATGCAGTTGTGCAAAAGCGTGAAGGTTCAATTATAAGGGAAGAGATGAAGGAGGGCACACCGTTCTTTACCATTGTTGCCAGGATACCAGTAATACAAGCATTTGGATTCAGTGAGGATATTAGGAAAAAAACTTCTGGAGCAGCGAGTCCACAACTAGTCTTTGACGGGTTTGACATGTTGGATATTGACCCATTTTGGGTGCCTCACACGGAAGAAGAATTGCACGATCTCGGTGAGTTTGCCGAAAGAGAAAATGTAGGAAGAAGGTATATGAATAGCATAAGGAGAAGAAAGGGTTTATTTGTAAATGAGAAAGTCATTAAAAATGCTGAGAAACAAAGAACACTAAAGAAAGACTAACATATGACATATGTATTTACGACTAGAGGAGCCGAAGGATATTACATAGAGGAGCCGAAGGATATTAAATAGAGGAGCCGAAGGCGACTCTAGTCGGGGGTATTAATAACAGAATAGAGGAGCCGAAGGATACCAGGTAGAGCCTTTGGCTCCTCTAGTCGAGGGATATTAAGTAGAGCAAACTAGAGGGGCCGAAGGATACCAGGTAGAGCCTTTGGCTCCTCTAGTCGAGGGATATTAAGTAGAGCAAACTAGAGGGGCCGAAGGATACCAGGTAGAGCCTTTGGCTCCTCTAGTCGAGGGATATTAAGTAGAGCAAACTAGAGGGGCCGAAGGATACCAGGTAGAGCCTTTGGCTCCTCTAGTCGAGGGATATTAAGTAGAGCAAACTAGAGGGGCCGAAGGATACCAGGTAGAGCCTTTGGCTCCTCTAGTCGAGGGATATTAAGTAGAGCAAACTAGAGGGGCCGAAGGATACCAGGTAGAGCCTTTGGCTCCTCTAGTCGAGGGATATAACGTAGAACAGAAGTAGAAAATATTACATTTGGCCAACTGGGATAGGTACTTATGTTGTTGCTATGACGACGACGACAAACCCAGGCTTGATCGAGGGGATTACGATGTGAATGAAGTTAATGATAGCGATGACGAATAAATATACAAAATGCCTCCTACTCGTCGTCACCTTGAAGTAGTGGAGACAGGTGTCTCCTCCATATAGGAGCCAAAAGGGTTCACATGGCAGCAATGGCAATTCATACGAATTTGCTTTTGAGTATGGCCTTAATGAGCACTTACTAGCTTGTTACAACTCTATCGAGCAGCACTTACTAGCTTGTTCTATGACAATAGGGAAAAAAGTTTTTACTAATGAAGACCAACACTATCGAGCGTAGAGAGAAGAGTAAAACAAACATAACTTGACATGATAAAAGAAGAACAAGGACCGCCACAACCACAATGACCACCAAATTAGGTTTTGTTCAAGGTTTACAAAACCTAGAGACAAGGATACATAATAGTTGAAAACTTAGACAAGGATACTTAATAGTTGAAAACCTACACACGGGTTTGATTACATCCTTTTCGCTAGTCAGTCTCGCTACAAAACCAAGTTTCCACCGTTCCCGGAGATTGATTCCAAATGACAATTGTTGTTTGTCATGTCAGTACGAAGCTGTTTTTGGATGCAAACCAACGCAACTTCTAAAATTAGTTAGTTTAACTAAAAAAAAAACATCACTAGATGATGGAACAAAGAAAGTAAAGAAGAAAATCCTCTTGTAAGCGGTAAGTCTATATACGCCAATAAGAAAGAAATAAAGAAAAAAAAAAAATACTTTCGTAACTTGACAAAAACAAGGGATGCTATTACGAACTACTAGGGGTTGATTGCAATCCCTAGCAGTATTTACAATTTGATAATTTTCTCACCAAGACCTAACTCGGGCGGGAGTGAGCTCAGTGGTAAAGGTTTGTTTGGTTTCTGTCTTGGCTCAAGTGCATTTACTTTGATTAAACATTATTTCAGAAGAAATAATGACCCCTCTCGCTTGTTCCTAATTGCAAGAAAAAAAAAAAAGAAAAAGAAAAAGAAAGGCGATAGAAAAGCAAAAGAAAAAGAAAGAAAGCTATGATTTAAAGAATGTGAGCTACCAGTTAACTTAATGAAGCTTTAACCTTTAGATATAATACATTTTGAGAAGGCGATAATATAGATAGATATATATATATATATATATATAGAGGCAGAAAGTCTGGTCTGCGTGCAGAAGTGTAGTTCTCTACCTTAGCACCTTTTGTCTTTGCTGGTTGGTGGCCAAAATGTTTTCTCAGAGCGGCACTAATACGCCAGTACCTAGTTCTAAGAATAACGCTCCTCTTCCGATTCACGATACGATTTGCGAATCGATAACTTGGGTTAATGATTGGTTTTCGCCTAGTTTCATCAATGTTAACACGGTAAGTTTTTCTACAGAAAATCAAGCAGGAAATGGGTCTACTGACCCCCAGTTCATTGGCAACAATACTGGTCTGTCTTTGCATTTGAAAGGATGGTTCAAGACCAATCAAAATCATAGACAAGACACACTTAAACAGGCTCCAATTAATAGTTGCTTTGATTTGACATCGAGCAAATGGAAGTATCTCAAAACTACAACAACAAATGAAGATGTTACCGATAGCGATGAGTTGGATAAAGACACAGAGCTGGTTAAAAGAGAGGATACGGCTGCTGACTTTGGAAATACAATTTGAAGCACAATTTGTTTTTTCAGTTTGGTTTGGTTTAACTTGATTTGGTTTGATTTGGTTTGATTTGGTTGATTTGGTTGATTTGGTTGATTTGGCTGATTTGGTTTGGTTAATCTAGTTTGTTTTATTTTCTACGCATCTATTCATCTTTTAACTTTATAAAAATCAAACCTTCTCTAGCAGTTTGGGTTTCTATCAACAATTTCTCTGATTTTTCAAAATCCCATGATTCTTCTTTGGGCAATCGACTTAAATCTAAAACTCCGTCTTTTTCTAGCTTTTGGAAATTACGTCGAATGTGCTGGAGCTTGTACATTTCATTGGGACTGCCAGTTTGACAACATAAAACAAACAAGGAATTTGGAGGAAGCGTATCATAAATCATTTCTAGCCTCAAGTTAGTTCTTCTGCGAGCGTCGGAAATATTATGATCTAGCTTCCCGTCATAAAAATCACACGGCAGCCTCCAATTCAAATTATACTGCAAATCCCTCAATTCTGTAATAATAAAATTGGGGGGATTGGACGCTTGCTCTTGGATAATCTCTACTATTTCGTCATCATTGGTTACTGTTTTGGTAACTACAGGATCCTCAGTGACGCTTTGCTCTTTACCATAGTTTATCAAGAGGTACTGTTGTTTTTTTGCTTCGTTTGATGAATTACCAAGACGCTCAAATATTGAAATATCCTTTACATTGGTTCCAAACAATCTGCCTTCAAGGATTTTCATCTTTACCAAATCCAAACAAGCTGTAGCATCCTCAACTGGAGAATGCCCCTTTCCATGTTCCTCCCCACTCTGAATTTCCCTCCCAAGATAGGTCTTGGCTAACCATTTCAATGATGGTTTCGAAGGAGGACCGCGATTGTGCTCGTATATGACTGCCGTGTCAACAATTCTATCGTGTACAATTTTCATAACTTGCAAGTCAGATTCTAAAGAATGTCCCACTAAAATGTCCTCACTAGAAACTTCTTTCATGAACAATTCTTGAATGTCCCATATTGTAGTTGTGATATCTTGCAATGATTCCTCAGTAATGCCAGAGTAGCGAGTAACATAATCAGTAATAGTCTCAACAGGTCTTACCAATTCATCAAAAATAATCTTACCTTCAAAATCAATCAACGATATACGAGTCAACACTTTTAAATCATCTGCTTTACAAAACTCACAGTCTAATGCAAATATTTTGGACTTTCTTTGGTGAGGCCGTGTTTGTTGCCATCTTTCATCTATCAAAGTAATGGGGTAGTCATATTTGTGTAGCTGCTCCTCAGTAAGCAAAAGATCCTCAATCGTTATTTTCTTCTTTTTCAGTTCGAAAAGTATTGATTTTTTTTCCTTTTTTGATAATTGTATTTTAGTTATCGTGTCTATCGGACTATACACCGAATCCTTATTTCCCGGTAAACTTGCTCTTATGCAAGTGGGAAAATTTTTAAAAATGAATGGCATCTCTTCAGCTGAAGTCAAGTGCGAGACTGGCAACTCTAACAACGATGAACTTGTACTATTATCTTCTTTCTCAAAAGCAAATCCAGGAGCGAGACAAACGCATACATTCTGTATCTTTCCGGGATATTTAACCTTACACCATTTTATCCTGGAACCTGTTGGTACGTTAAAAATCTGTAGTATCAATTCTCTCAAATTCCTAAAGGGAAATCTCTTTTCTTTGTCATTATCTTCTAGAAACATTGATAAGCTAGGTTTCGCCAGATCCTTCTTGGACTTTCGTTTCTCCTTCTTTTGCGGAGGCTGTATTGCACTTGTTCCGTTAAATCGATTTGATGATCTCCGTCTTTTTTGATGAGCAGTCTCCTTCTTGGGACTTGAAATATCAGTTACATTGCCAGCTAGAGCATCAAATTTCTCAATTTGTTCTTCCTCTTCCTCTTCTTCTTCTTCTTCTTCTTCTTCTTCTTCTTGCCCCTCCACTGCAACTGAATTCAACGATATCGCCGAGTCTCTTCTTTCTTTGAGGTACGCCTCATCGCCAGTTATCAATTCGTGTATTTTAAGTTTTGCCTTTTCGCCTTCAATGTCTCCTTGGGAAATCGATAGCCGAGCAGTGGTGTTGTATAACAGATCATCCAATCCCAGCCCCATCACATACAATTAGCAAAATCGATGAATGGGCTAAGAATTGCCGTAGAGTATAAGCATCAAACCAAAGTAAAAGCATTTTTGCACGTCGAAAAAAAAAAAAAGAACCAAAGAGTTTGAAAGCGAAAGAATTCGATGCCTTAGAGTGGAAGACCTTAGGGAGTAGAGGAGGGGTGGCGGAAGTGGCGGAAGTGTAAAGAGAAACAGATAGGGAAGAAGTTTGTATGACGAGCAGTATCATATTGTAGAGGTGGAAGAAAATGAGGGAAGTGGACTTGTGATATGTGAATGCAAGGGTAAAGGGGGTCCCCCAATGGTTATGAAGCACTGATTTCATCCAAGTTCAAAACCTCCTGTAGAAACTCATTCATTGTTTTTGGTACTTTCTCCCTAGCTATGTCTGACTCTTTTGGCTCGGGATTTTCGTCATATTTACTCAAGTAGTTTGCCAAAGCTGAAACTTGTGAGTTCTTTTCAGATATTTGTGCTTCGTATTCTTGATCTAACATTTCCAATACTTTTTCATCACGAATTATCCCATCTACTCTATCATTATCTGGCGAAATGATCACCGATTTCCCATGTACAATTATCCTATTCCAACTATCCCAAGAACTTGGGATGAAAAGGTCAAAATGAGGCTCACTGCCTGTTTCGCGAGCCTCTACATAGTTGGGCTGCACTTTAACATTTTCTAGATCAATGAGCTTGTCTATACTTTCAAGTGATATCATTTTCGAGTAAATTTCTTTATCTGTAGATACGATTTGGCAGTGATGTTTTAGGCTCAAGTACCTTATCAACTGAATTGTCAAGGTTGATTTTATTGAGTATGTTGAGATAAACCTCCGATTAACGACAATGGTCACATTCTGCTGAAACAAAATGGTGCCCAATTGGGTCTGCTGGTATAGGAACTTGAAAAAATCGCATATCTCGTTCAAGGTATAAAACTCGTACACTATGCTCACGTTTGTTTTTTTACCGAGAAGTTTGGCAATGAATGGTTCTAAAGTCAATGGGTTGTTGATGATATATAGCACCTTCTTTTCATCCTCAAAGCATGCAACACCTGGCGTCCTATTGTGTAGTAAAGCAAATATTAGTTTTTTTGGTTCAGGTCTGGTAATAAAGTTTTCTACACCCATCTATAGGGATATAGGTAATGAAAGTAGCTTAACTAGCAGATTGACTAGTGGATTGACTAGCATATAGTGATAGGAGATATCGCCTAGTGACAGTGATACCCAATAGTCTCTAGTGACAGTGATAGCAGATATTGCCTAGTGATATTAATACCCAATAGTCTCTAGTGACATTGACAGTGATGGTTCATTTTTTCATTTGATTCCTCGAGCGGAAAAAAAAAAGCATTGAACAACATTGAGGATTAAAAGTACAAGGTTGGGAGAAAGTTGTTAAAGACCATTTAGACAGTAACCAATAGCTGACCCTTGCCTCTTTGGAATAAGAATTTAGTATGGGGCATAGTATTGAAGAGGATGACCAAATCGATAGCGCATTAATCAGCCAATATGTAAACGGCAACGATATACCGAATGATCAAATTATTGATACTATTCTTTCGGAGAAGAAAACTTTACACGCCGATGATGCTATCGACTATGAGGATATTGACGAGCTAGCCGATGACGAGTTGCCCGAGGAGGAAACCTCGACAAAAACCCACGTTGGCGGAGAAAACAAAGAGGGAGTTGCTGCTGGCGGTGATGGAAGTGATGACGATGATGACGACGATGACGACGACGACGATGAGTTTGAAGAACTTGTTACAGATGCTGCAACAAGGGAAACGAATGTGTTTGACAGTTTAAACGGAGTTGACGAAGGGAAAGCACAGGCATTTGCAGAAGATCAATTCGATGAGATATTTGGCAATATGGACGAAGTAGATAACGACCATTTCAACAATCTCGAGTCTAATCAGTTGATTGAAGAGGAGGACCACGGCGAGCTAAACGGCTTGGAAGCTATATTTAAGAAAGAAGAAGATGAGGAGGAGGAAGAAGATGAGGAGACAAAGAGGCGAAACGAAGAAAAAGAATTACAGAGAAAGGAAAAAAGAGCAAAATTGATTGGTGTAATTGAGAAGCTAGAAAAGCGACGAACAAAGCGAACCATCAAATACTACTTCCCCACATACTCGCGACATAAGTTTTTAGACTTTCACAGACTTTTTGCACCAATACCAAAGTACTATAGATATGCCAAGCCGCCGATTTGGTTCAACAAAATTCGCAAGACATTAGTCCCAATAAAACAGACTATAGAACTAGATGTTGATCAAAGAAAAGTGTTTAAGCAAGCTTATTCATCAACCAGCAATCCTCGTAGGAATAATAACATATCAACAATAACTCAATCAGATTTGGAATTCATCAGAAACTTTGAACAAAAAAGCTCCTCAATAGACTCATTCATTAAGCGACTGGAGTTTTTACAACGCGATTGGCTAAACGATGATAGATTTCAAGATTTTTCCAAGGATTTGATCTTGTCAACAACAGATTGGGATGACGATGCTATTTTGAATGCAGGAGATAGCACTTATTCAGTAAAACCGATTAAACCTTTAGATTTCAGATACTCTTTGGAAGAACAGGAAAACCTATCTGATGAAGATATTTTCGATGGACAAATCAAGGTTGATAAATTAAAGCTAGATATGAATGATCCAAACTTGTTGTTTGTGCCGGAAAAAAAGAAATCACAAGCCAATGGACTGCTCAATCAGACAAAAGCATCATTATTGGAGACAAGGTTCAATATATCCAACGACGACGAATACGAGTTATTGCGAAAGAACTACAATACAAAACAACGTTCACAGTTGAGTAACTTGAACATTGAACATTCAGTACCGGCGATGAGGCTACAGACTCCTTACTACAAAGTGAAACTTTCCAAGTCGGATGCGAGATCTTTCCATAGGCCAACATTCAACATTAGACCAGGTACGTTGATGAGCTTTGTAAAGTTGAAACTAAGAAAGAGAAAAAAGGACAAGGGCAAGTCATTACATGAAGTGTTTTCCAAAACTACTGATCTCACTTCTGTGGATACAGCTAATCTTGTTGCTCTTGAGTATTCCGAGCAGTACCCACCTATTTTGTCTAATTTTGGGATGGGTTCTAAATTGATTAATTATTACCGAAAAGAGAGAGCTGATGATCTGTCGCGACCAAAAGCGCAAGTTGGCGAAACACACGTTTTGGGTGTCGAGGACAGGTCGCCATTTTGGAACTTTGGAGAAGTGGCTCCTGGTGACTTTGTGCCGACCTTGTACAACAATATGGTACGGGCGCCGATTTTCAAACACGATGCGAGAAATACAGACTTTTTGTTGATTAGCTCACAAGGAGCGGGGTCACATCAAAAATTTTACCTACGTGCTATCAACTTCAATTTCGTGGTAGGTAATGTCTTTCCAGTAGAGATCCCAGCACCCCATTCCAGAAAAGTTACCAATATTTCAAAGAATAGGCTAAAGATGCTCGTTTACAGAGTAATGAACTCCAAGGGTGCTCCAAGAATAGTTGTTAAAGATGTTTCGAAACACTTTCCAGAACAAAGTGATATGCAAAGTAGACAGCGGTTGAAAGAGTTTATGGAATACCAAAGACAAGGCGACGACCAAGGGTTTTGGAAAGTGAGAGGAATGGATGATAATATCCCTACGGAAGAGGAGATTCGAGCAATGATCACTCCTGAGGATTCTTCTTTGATGGGAACAATGCAATATGGACAACAGTTTTTGGAGGATAACGTCACTTTATTTGGAGATGATACGAAGAAAATGGTAAAGAATAAGGAAAAAGAAACTGATAAAAGGGAGGATTCTTTAGAAGAGTTAACTCCCGAAGAAGAATCAAAGAAGGAAAAAGCCAAGAAAACCAAAGATAGTGATGCAGAAGCAGATCTTGAGGAAGAAATGGCACTTTGGAACTTGTCAAGAAATTTTGTTGTTGCGAACCAGACTAAAATTATGCTTCAGTTGAATGGAGAAGGTGATCCAACCGGTATTGGGTTAGGCTTCTCGATGCTCCGTGCATCTCAAAAGAACCCGTTTAAGCCATTTTTCCCACCGCCCCCAGAAGTTGTGCCGAAAAGTAATGCAGCTGCCCATAACCAAAAAATGTACGAACAGGAAATCAAAAGAATATGGTATTCACAAAGAAGCTCGTTAGTTGACCATGGACCAGATTTCGATTTGCAACAGATCTACAATGAATATAAGCCAGCGGACCATGACCAATACGCTATGACTAAACTTGCTCAGGAGCAAAGGGACTACGAGCAATCACAACCGGGAAAGCAGGATGACAACAATAAGATATTGAAAATCACAAGGCGCGTACGTGATAGGAATGGAGTATTGCAGAGAAAAGTTGAAGTTATTAGTGACCCCAGGTTGATAAAAGCGTACATTAAGCGCAAGAAAATATTGGAGGATGAATTATTGAAAAACGCCGACGTTGATGAAATCTTGCCTACCAATGACAAAGAATTGAACAGATTGCGTCGTAAGGCTCTTGAAGAAAAACTTGCCAATTTAGAAAAGAGAGCTAAACAAAACAAGGCTAAAAAGACACCAAATGATGCCATCCATGCTGCGGCTGCGGCTGGTGCCACCATTATTGATGCAAATACAGTCATGATGCCTGATGGTACTTATGTTATTGGTGGAAAGGGTATTGGGAAGGGAAAGAGTACTACGCGTAGATGTAAATCGTGTGGCTCTTTTGGACATATTAGAACAAACAGAACCTGTCCACTATATAACCAAATGATTGCCGGCTTGTTACCTCCGAAATCTAATGGAAGTGGTGCAAGCGGTGGAGGTTCATCTCCCGAACAGTCTGAGAATAGTAGAGATGATCAGAATAGCCCTATAAGAAATGCTGACGACGTACATCGTTCTGCGAGTCCTTTAGCAACTGCATCTCCATTAAACTTTAGCTAAATGGAAGCAGAAAGCAGGTTGTAAGTGGTGTATAAAAACAGGACATTAATGTACGAATGAAATTTGAATTGTTTTTGCACAAAAAAAAAGATTACTTACTTTTCTCTTTCTTTCTTTTTTTTTTTTCCTTAGTGAAAATTGAGATTATTTCATATAAACTAAAACACATTGTGTTCTCAATAATTTTTTATTCTACTTTCATCTTTACTTGAAGATACTGTAATTGTTACAAAAAAAGGCCAGAGACTCTCTCCATAATATAGAAGGGAGCAAAAAATGAAACAAAAAAGGAATCTCTTGATTCCGTGATGAGTATCTGGGACATAACTCACAAAAAAAAAAAGTCCAGTTTAGTACCAACCAACTGACAGGAGAACAAAACAAAAAAAATAGAAAAAACTTTTAGTGTGGTGTTTTGATTGCAAAATCTTTATCTAATTTCTTTTTAATTTCTTTTTTCCCTTTTTTGCAATTTTCATGAAACCACAGTAAATTGGAAAAATTACCAATAAATTAAATGGGTGAAAAAAGGAGTCGTTCAAGTTGGGAGTAGTTTCTACTATCATTAGTGAAGAAAGTATAATTTTCACTACCAAGAATATTTCAAAGTGGTTGATAAAAGACCGTTTTGAGAGTAGTCAAGGTCAAAAAAAAAATATAAAAAGGACACATAAATTGATTATTACTGAATGGTGATATTTGACAGGATAAATGAAAAGGAGGATGTCTCCTTGAGACCCGATAGTACCAACGAGAAAACAGCAACGTTATCTCAATCGCATTCTCATTTGTATGGAAACTCTACTGATTCGACTGAATCCGCGCTACCAAGAGTATCATTGAACTCGTATTCAACATCAACAGCATCGGTTGAAACTCTGGCTAATAGAAGAAGACTGTTCTATCAACGTTGGATAGACTCATTTAAACCGATAAATTTGGAAGATGACGGTGTGGATACACTGCGACTAACACCATTGGAAAAGTCCATCTTGGCATCAGCAAAGCATCCTTTAGCAAGAAAATTGAAAACAAGACATCTAAATATGATCGCTATTGGAGGTAGTATTGGCGTATGTATAAAGAGAGACTGCAAGAGCAAGAGGCATTGCAAGAGCAAGAGGCATTACAAGAGCAAGAGGCGCTTTCAATGTACACTTTTTTCTTTTTCTCTTTTTTTTTTTAATTTTATACTGACATTTTACCATCATAGACTGGATTATTTGTTTCTTCAGGATACGCTTTAGCTAGAGGTGGTCCAGCGGCTGTCTTGATTGGCTATATCATTGTTGGGTATGCTGTATTGACCATGGTTTACTCCTTAGGTGAATTGTCAGTGCAATTCCCCGTTAGTGGTTCGTTTAATGCATTCTTCACTAGATTCATTGATCCATCGTGGGGGTTTACCTTGGCGATAATGTACTACTTGAGCTGGGCTATCTCGTATCCATCTGAGCTCATTGCGTGTGCTATGACAATTCAGTTTTGGACAACGTCTATCAATCCAGCTGTGTATGTGGCAATAGTTTGGGTAGTCATACTTGTGGTCAATTTTTTTGGTGTTCGAGGTTACGGAGAAGTTGAATTTGTGCTTTCAATTATCAAGGTTCTCGCAGTAGTTGGTTTCATTATTTTGGGCATCTGTATCACGTGCGGTGTAGGAGACCAAGGGTATATTGGAGGTAAATATTGGCACGATCCGGGTGCTTTCAACCATGGCTTCAAGGGAGTTTGTTCTGTATTTATTAGTTCAGCATTCTCGTTTGGTGGAGTTGAGCTAGTAGCACTTACCGCTGCGGAAACCTTGCAACCCAAAATCTCATTGAGACGTGCTACTAAGCAAGTGTTTTGGAGGGTTACGATATTTTACCTTTTGACTTCGATAGTTATTGGATGCTTAGTACCTTATACAAACAATGATTTACTCAATGGCGAAGGGATTGCTGCTTCACCCTTTGTTATTGCCGTAAACCAAGGCGGCATCAAAGTTATTCCGCATATAATGAATGCGGTTATTGTTGCAGCTGTTATATCTGTTGGAAATTCTTCGGTTTATGGTTCATCGCGTACCTTGGCCTCCTTAGCTGCTCAGGGCTTGTTACCCGGTATTTTTGGATATATAGATAAGGAGGGAAGACCATTAGTAGCGATACTACTTTCATCCTTACTAGGGTTGCTAGGGTTCCTTGTGGTGAACAAAAACGAGGATGCTGTTTTTACATGGTTCTTTTCCGTTTGTTCGTTAGCTTCCTTTTTCATTTGGTTGATGGTGAATGTGACTCATTTGAGATTTCGATATGCTCTTAGACGTCAATCGAGGTCTACTAATGAGATCATTTTCAAATCCCCATTGGGGACGTGGGGTTCATGGACAGGATTATTCTTGTTACTTTTTATAATATGCGTTTTGATCTGGGTTAGTGCTTACCCGATAGATGTCCATGGCAGCGATGTGGTTTCCTTTTGGCAAAGTTGCCTATCGTTGCCATTATTGATATTGATTTGGGTATTGCACAAGACGTATTATAAGACCTGGAACCAATTGTGGATAAAACTAGAGGATATTGATCTAGACACAGGTAGAAGAGAGGCCGACCTTGATAGATTGAAGCAAGAGATTGCTGAGGAGAAGGAGAAATTTAGAGCAAAACCCTTCTACTACAAGGTGTACCATTTTTTTTGCTAGACTAGGAGAGGCAATGGAAACACTTGACAAATGTACAAATGCTCTTTCCGTCTTGCCATAAGCTTTGCACATTCAAGTTGAAAGTCTGGAGGATATAGATCTAGACACAGGTAAAAGAGAGACAGACATTGATACTCTTGCTGGTAAAAGAAAGACAGACATTGATACTCTTGTTGGTAAAAGAGAGACAGACATTGAGACTCTTGCTGGTAAAAGAGAGACAGACATTGACTCTTGCTGGTAAAAGAGAGACAGACATCGAGACTCTTGCTGGTAAAAGAGAGACAAATACTTATTGTCTTGCCATAAGCTTACCATGTACAAGTTGATTCTTACTCAAAATTCAGCTTTCTAGTGGTGGCAGCTAGTGTGCTAGCTGCTCCACTATCTCGCTCTGCTCGATAGTGTCAGTGTCGTGCACAAACCGTTTCTTCTTTTCCTCTCGCTCTGCGATTTCAACGAATTAAAGAAAAGTTTTCCTCTTTCCTTTCCTTAGATAGTAGTTTACAATCAACACACATATACATATACCACACCGTACCACAGCTCATTGTTATTTTCAGTGGATCAATCATACACGTCTTTACCCCACGATCATATCATTAATTTCTATACATTTCCAAGGGCTTGTTGTTTATTTGGGGAGAATCCATTTATTTTACAGAGTCTTTTTTCTAAAGGTACCTTTTGCTTTTATTTGACAAGCTAGCAAAAAAAGTTTTCCTTGAGAGAGCTACTGCCACTACCAACTGTGACGCTTATATCACATCACACGAATTTCATTTTATCTGCTCCCGCTCCCTTACCCGGCTGCTTGCAAATTGCGAAATTTTTTTTTTATTTTTTCTTGCTGCTGCCGCCGCCGCCCCCCTCCGCCCAATTTTTTTTGAACCACCATGTCAGGCGAGAGCGACGATTGGAAAAAACACTTGAATGTCCCACAAAGGGACACAAGGCCACAAACTGAGGATGTTTTAAATACAAAAGGGAAGTCATTTGAGGATTTCAACTTGAAGAGAGAATTACTAATGGGTATATTCGAAGCTGGATTTGAGAAACCTTCTCCTATACAAGAAGAATCGATACCTATGGCTTTAGCTGGTAGAGACATACTTGCAAGAGCCAAGAATGGTACAGGAAAAACCGCATCATTTATTATTCCATGTTTACAAATAGTCAAACCGAAATTAAACAGGATCCAGGCTTTGATACTAGTGCCTACCAGAGAGTTGGCTTTGCAAACATCACAAGTTGTTAGGACATTGGGCAAGCACTTGGGTATCCAATGTATGGTTACCACAGGTGGTACATCATTAAGAGATGATATTGTTAGACTAAATGACCCTGTTCATATTTTGGTAGGAACTCCAGGTAGAGTATTAGATTTGGCATCCAGAAAAATCGCCGATTTATCAGATTGTCCTCTTTTTGTCATGGATGAAGCCGATAAGATGTTATCAAGAGAGTTCAAAAATGTAATAGAGCAAATTTTAGAGTTTTTTCCCCGGGATAAACAATCTTTATTATTTAGTGCAACTTTCCCAATAACAGTCAAGTATTTCATGGATAAACATTTAAATAAACCTTATGAAATTAATCTCATGGATGAGTTAACATTGAAAGGTATATCGCAGTTTTATGCCTTTGTTGAAGAGAAACAAAAATTACATTGTTTAAATACATTATTTTCCAAATTGCAAATCAATCAATCGATTATATTTTGTAATTCTACAAATAGGGTCGAACTATTGGCGAAAAAGATTACTGAATTGGGGTATTCGTGTTACTATTCACACGCCAAAATGCCACAACAAGCAAGAAATAAGGTGTTTCACGAGTTCAGACAGGGCAAAGTTCGTAACTTGGTTTGTTCGGATCTATTAACCAGAGGTATTGATATTCAAGCAGTTAATGTTGTTATTAATTTTGATTTTCCAAAGAGTGCAGAAACTTATTTACATAGAATTGGTCGTTCAGGAAGATTTGGTCATTTGGGTTTGGCTATTAATTTGATGAGTTGGAATGATAGATACTCGTTGTACAAGATTGAGCAGGAATTGGGAACTGAAATTAAACCTATCCCTGCAGTTATTGATAAATCATTATATGTTGCCGAAAATGCTGAAGCTGTACCCAGACCATTTAAAGCGGAAGATTTGGCAAAGAATGGTAATAACGAACAGCATTTGTATGTGAAGCAATAGCTGGGGAGACAAAGAAAAGAAATGGATCATTAAGTGTCAAAGAAAAGTAATGGATCATTAAGTGTCTTTTTTTTTACGATTGAGAGGGGGAAGTTGTTTTTTTTCTTTTCCCTCTCTTTTTGATGAATAACGAAATGAAGGTCATGGCATACAATTTTGTAAAATGATTATTATTGAAAAATGAAAAAAATTTGAAAAAAAAGAGAGAAGAAGATGAAGAAAATAAAGGAGATGGAGAGATGGAGAGATGGAGAGATGGAGAGATGGAGAGACGGAGAGACGGAGAGAATTGATGTTAATTTGTTTTATTAAAAATGTCATATTATGAAAAGAGAGAGATAAAGTCATAGAGAGAGTGATATATAATCAGAGAGAGAGAGAGAGAGAGAGAGAGGATGAAGTTAGAGAGAGATAAATTAGAAGGAGATATTGTCAGTCAGAGAGAGAAAAGAAGTTGAAGTTTTTACAGTTTTTTTTACATGCTTTTTTTACGTTTTTGAAGTGGTCAAAATGAAACAAAGAGCTTGAACTATATGGAAATGGACTTAACGCGGTTCATCAAAGATCAATTTTTTACAATTGCAAAACCAATCAAATTTTTTTTTTTAATTTTTTTGGACTTTTTTTTTTGGCTTTCTTTTTTTGCTTTTTTTTTTTTTTTCAGAAATCAAGGTTGAAGAGTCATGGGTATATGATTATGGTATTGATGATGGTTTACTGAGTTGTTTTGCTAGAAGTAGATTATAATTTGTTTAACATTAAGTATTGTAATTGTACATGTTTTTCATTGTTGTTTTTATCTATTTTTTTTATTTCGTTTTCCAATTTTATTTTTGTGTTGGTCTCATCTCATTTTTCAAGCTCATCGGATTCGGTGATAAAATTTTTGCATTTTCTCATACAGTTGAAGATCCATTTTCCATCTCTCTTTCTTTCTTTTTTTTCTTTTCAAGATTCCTTGGGAATACTTCAACCGATACTGTGTACTACTCGGATAGCATTTTATAAGCAGGTAATAGGGGGAAAACTAAGATGTGTGGGATATTGGGTATTGTATTAGCCAACAAACAAGTCAATGTTGCGCCAGAATTATTTGAAGGTGCCATGTTTCTTCAGCATCGTGGACAAGATGCCGCAGGTATAGTTACTCTGGGTAATAAAGGAAGATTGTACCAGTGTAAAGGAAATGGTATGGCCAGAGATGTGTTTACACAGAAAAGGATGCTGAATTTAGTTGGAAATATGGGTATTTGCCATTTGCGTTATCCTACTGCGGGGTCGAGTGCCAGTTCCGAAGCACAACCGTTTTATGTCAACAGTCCCTATGGTATATCATTGAGTCACAATGGTAATTTGGTTAATTCCAGCGAGTTGAGGAACTATTTGGACGAGGAGGTTCATCGTCACATCAACACCGATTCTGATTCTGAACTATTACTAAATGTTTTTGCTGCTGAATTAGACAAATTCAATAAAAGTAGAGTTAACAATGGCGATTTGTTTACTGCCTTGGCCAAGACTATGGGAAGAATCAGAGGTGCTTATGCTTGTGTTGCCATGTTGGCCGGATATGGTATTATTGGGTTTAGAGACCCCAATGGTATTAGACCTTTGTTAATTGGGGAAAGAGTAAATCAAGATGAAACAAAAGATTTTATGTTAGCCTCTGAATCAGTTGTTTTGAAGGCACATGGTTTCAAAAAATTCCGTGATTTGAAACCTGGTGAAGCTGTGATTATAAAGAAAACTGGTGAACCTGAGTTTAACCAAGCTGTCAGCCCCAAAATTTTTGCGCCAGATATTTTTGAGTATGTTTATTTCGCCAGGCCAGATTCTGTATTAGATGGCAAATCCGTATATCGATCAAGAATCGAAATGGGTATGAAGTTGGCCAAAAAGATTCAAAAAACCATGCAAGGTGAAGATGAGATTGATGTTGTGATACCAGTGCCCGATACAGCGAGGACAAGTGCCTTTCAATGTTCAGTGTCTCTTGGTGTTCCATATAGAGAAGGATTTGTTAAGAATAGATACATTGGAAGGACGTTTATTATGCCGAATCAACAAGAACGAAGATCATCAGTGCGCAGGAAATTGAATGCCATGGACTCAGAATTTGAGGGAAGAAATGTTTTGTTGGTTGATGATTCTATAGTTAGAGGTACCACTTCAAAAGAGATTGTGGCAATGGCCAGAGAAGCGGGAGCCAAAAAGGTGTTTTTTGCCTCATGCTCGCCACCAATTAGATTCAATCACATTTATGGTATCGACTTAGCCGACACCAAAGCCCTTGTTGGATTCAATAGATCCGTAGAGGAAATTTCACAAATTATTGGAGCAGATAAAGTGATATATCAAGATTTAGAAGACCTCGTTGAATGTTGTAAAACTGGACAGGTTGACGAATTCGAAGTTGGCGTTTTTACTGGGAATTACATTACGGGTGTTGAAGATGATTATATCCAAGAGTTGGAAAAGATTAGAGCTCAAAATCAAAGAATAGAGGAATTTCAAAAAAGCGGTGGTCAGAATGGGTTTAGTGTTGACGCATGTATCGATCAAGGTGATTTGATCGATGTTAAAGCAGATGTTGATATTAGTATTTATAATGGAGGCGACCATTGAAAAAAGAATGAAAAATTGCCCATGGATTTAAGACATTTTCAGTTCTGTATTATCCTTTTATTATATAGGTACGACATAATTAACTACGACACACTATCGACACTATTGAGCAGAGCGAGATAGTGTTGTAACAAGCTGCTGAGCGACACTATTGAGCAGAGCGAGATAGTATTGTGACAAGCTACTGAGCGACATTATTGAGCAGAGCGAGATAGTGTTGTAACAAGCTGCTAAGCTACTAAGTGCTGCTCGATAGTGTCGCTCTGCTCGATAGTGTCGCTCAGTAGCCTTAGAGATTGTAGCAAGGTTCATCCACTGTGGTCTCGAAAATTTAATGCAACTAAACTAAAAACTGCCTTTAAATACAATCTCCTCTTCATATCGCCGCGATAACCTCAAATAAGTTAATTGGCGCGCATAAACATGTTGCGAAACTAACATTATTGTTACTATTGTTGACAATACTTCCCAAACAAAAGAAAAAAAAAAAAAGAAAAACCTTTCTTTTTTTGTGTGTAATACGGGCACGTGATAAAACATCCTCCCCTTCTCTACTGCGCGCAACCACTGCTGCACACACTGCGCACCTATCCACCTGCGCACACACTGCCCTGAATTATTAACGCCCCCCAGCCTCCAGCCCCAGCACATTTGGTAGCATTACATTACAACTAAACGTGCATTGTATTGTATCGATGGAATCAAAATTTCATATACTGGGCGGGTAATGTTGAGCGCGTGTAAATAGCTACTATGAATGTTTACGGATTTTTTTTCTATTTCACTTACTGACTACTGACTACTGAATACTGACTACTGAATACTGAGAGTTTGTGTTTGTCTATGTTTGTGTTTGTTGTTTGGCGTCGTCGTTGTCGTCGATATTGTTCGTCCTAATTGTCTTTACGCTATTATCTCTTTTGCTCTCAAAGTGAAAAAAAAAAAAAAAAAAAAAAAGAAAACTAAAAAAATGAAGAATCTTAGATATATTTTCCTTATTTCTTCCCCCTTCTCTTGAACAGGAACTTACAGATCTTGGTTAAGAGATTACAAGAGGTTGTTTTTTCTTCTTTTTCTATTGTCAAACCCGTGTGTGTAAAAAAACTGCTCTGGCAAAAACCAGTATATGGGAATTATTCTGTTTTACTTAATCGGACAGACAGTATATATAATAAAGAAAAAGTTTTTTAGTAATACCAACATCAGCTCATTATCAGTAAACAAGATGGAAAAACCTAGCACACCAAGTAGTCATTCTTTGGCCAGCTCCATCACCAATTCTGGTCCCATTTCGATCTTTGCATATTGTTTGTCATCGATCTTGATGACAGTTACCAATAAATATGTTCTTTCTGGGTTTAACTTCAATATGAATTTTTTATTATTGTCTATTCAGTCAATTGTTTGTATCGTGACTATTGGCAGTTTGAAAAGCTTGAACATCATCACCTATAGAGAATTCAATAGAGATGAAGCTAAGAAATGGTTACCAATTGTTTTATTGTTGGTTTGTATGACATATACCTCAACGTGGGCCTTGAAGTACTTATCGATCCCCGTTTACACGATTTTCAAAAATTTAACGATTATTTTGATTGCTTATGGTGAAGTTTTATGGTTTGGGGGTAAGGTCACGACAATGGCATTGAGTTCGTTTTTGTTGATGGTTTTTTCATCGGTTGTTGCTTATTATGGCGATAATGCTGCAGCAAAGACGATTGATGATCAATATGCCATGTATTTGGGATATTTCTGGATGATGACAAATTGTTTTTCTTCGGCTGCGTTTGTTTTGTTCATGAGGAAAAGAATCAAGTTGACAAATTTCAAAGATTTTGATACTGTTTATTATAACAACTTGTTGTCTATTCCAGTTTTATTGGTTGCAACATTTGCCCTTGAAGATTGGTCGTCAGCAAATTTAAAGAAGAATTTCCCATTGGAAAACGGAGCCGCAGTTTTTATTGCTATGATTATTAGTGGTGCTTCAACAGTTGCGATTTCTTATTGTAGTGCTTGGTGTGTCAGAGTAACATCGTCAACTACTTACTCGATGGTTGGTGCTTTGAACAAATTACCAATTGCATTAAGTGGGTTGATATTTTTTGATGCCGCTGTAAACTTTTGGTCAGTTTCTTCAATTTTCGTTGGGTTTGCTGCCGGGTTGGTATATGCTGTTGCAAAGCAAAAACAACTGAAGGAAGCAGCTCAAAGTTTGCCAACTACTAATAAATAAATCAAAAAAGCAAAAAAACATTAAAGACTTTGGAGAGAAACACCTTGTCGCAAAGAGGAGCAAGCATTTTTAGAGACAGAGGGAAGAAAAGAGAAGCATTACTTGTTGTTTTGAAGGAGTGGTGAGATTAATGTTGGTTTTGATGAATGTTGGTTAGATGTTTATATCAGTAATAGAATTTTTTTTTCCAATGATGAGTTATTGTAAATTAAAATAAACTAAAAAATGGCATCAGTTGAGATATAGACACAACTCTATTCCTATCAACGTATCCCCCCCCCCACCTGCGCCTCGACCAGACAAGTCCCAATCTCATCTCAACAACTTACTTTGCTTTTACTTTGCTTTTACTTTGCTTTTACTTTGCTTTTACTTTGTTCACAGTTTGTTCACAGTTTGTTCAGTTTTGATTTCGCACTCAGTGATTTTTTTTTCTCTCTCTGTTTCTCTCTCTTCTCATCATCAAATTATTCTTATTTGACAATATTATATACTTTTAACAAAGTCAATTGGACTTTGGCAGGAGGATACAAGACGAGCTTAAAGAAGGTTAACAGGAAACTCTGGCTCTATACGAAATATTTGGATAATTTTGCCGCTTTTTTGCTCAATAATTTGTTTGCTTTTTCCTTTTTTAATCAAGAATGTCTAGTCAAAATTCATTAGAAACGATTCCCAAGATCCTTGAGCAATCATTGATTTCTCAGCATTCAAAATTGGCAGAACAAACACTAAGATCAATTGAAAATGAGGTGGGGTTCTCAATTAACTTGCTTCATCTAGTTGCTTCCAAAAACCTATCTGCTTCTATCCGATTGGCAGCAGCGTTATATTTTAAGAACTTGGTGAAGCGTAAATGGATTACCGAAGATGGCAATAACTACCTCCTACCATTAGAAGATGTGCAAAAAATCAAGCTGGAAATTGTTGATATTATGCTCAAATTGCCAAGCCAGCTACAACTACAAATCGGTGAAGCAATCACCTTGATTGCCGAGTGTGATTTTCCTCATAACTGGCCAAATTTGGTAGATACCTTGGTTGAGAAATTGTCACCTACAGATTTTGTTACAACAAAGACAATCTTGCTAGTGTCACATTCCATCTTCAAAAAATGGAGACCTTTAGTGAGATCAGACGATTTGTTTTTAGAAATCAAGTTGGTATTGGAGAAATTTGTCGAGCCTTTTTTACATTTATTTATCCAGCTAGATAAACTAATCGACGAGCTGAAAACTAATGAGGCCCAGTTGATTATATATTTGGAAAATATGTTGCTATTGATGCAAATTTACTATGATTTTAATTGTCAAGATATACCGGAATTTTTTGAAGACCATATGAATGAATTAATGGCCATAGTTTACAAGTACTTGAACTACGACAATTCCTTGGTTTTGAAGAAAGATGAGGACGAAGAAGTGGATGTGTTGATCAAATTGAAAACATCCATTATTGAGTTGCTATCATTATATGTGACAAGATATGCTGACGTGTTTGACCCTCTAATCCAGACATTTATCACAGCTGTTTGGGATTTGATAAACAACTTTGCTACGAGACAATCTAAATTTGATTTATTGGTGGTTAAAGCGTTGAATTTTCTCACTTCTGTTGTGAAAATACCAAACTATCAGTCAATTTTCCAAAGTGAACTGTCAGTAAACGAAATAATAGAAAAAATTATACTACCTAATATTATGCTAAGACAGAGCGACGAGGAAATGTTTGAAGACGAGCCTATATTGTATGTTCGATCAGACCTTGAGGGATCCGATTTTGACTCAAGAAGGAAAAGTGCAACTGATATCTTGAGGGAGTTGAAGGAATTGAACAGCGAATTGTTGACAACAACAGTCATGAAATACGTCAATCAATTTCTTAGCCTTTCAGCATCAGACTGGAAAAACAAAGATACAGCCATATACTTGTTCAGCTCGTTGGCAACCAAGGGTAGTGTAACAAACATTGGAGTAACATCAACAAACGTGCTCGTTGACGTTGTGGACTTTTTTTCCAAAAACGTGGCCAACGATTTAGAATCTTTTGACGTACATCCAATCTTGCAAGTAGATGCTATCAAATATATCTACACATTCAGAAACCAATTGACAAAAGAACAACTCATTGCTACATTACCGCGGTTAATAAAGCATTTGACCGCAAAATCCCACGTTGTTGTATATACTTATGCGGCCATTACAATTGAAAAGCTACTTTCAATGACCAATTTCAGTCAAGACCATAAACCACTTTTCAACAAAAGCGACATTGCATCGTTTGTTAACGAATCGTTAACCAACTTATTCAACTTGATTTTGTTGAATAGTAATTTGTCGCCTGAAAAGTTGGCAGAAAATGAGTTTCTTGTTAAATGCATAATGAGGATTTTAGACACTTGCAAAGACTCATTCAATGAAAGAACTGCAATTATTGACCAGTTGCTTCAAATTTTGAAAATCACTGCGAAAAACCCGTCGAATCCCAAATTTACGCATTATATATTTGAGTCGCTTGGACTATTGATCAAATATGGCGCACAACAGGACTCCAAAAACATAAACCAGTATATGGAACATATTATACCTGGCTTGTTGAGTATTCTCAGCGAGGATGTTCAAGAATTTGTTCCTTATTCATTCCAAATACTTGCTTTTTTGTTGGAAAATTATCCCAAGTCAAGCGGATTGCCACAAACTTATAAACCTTTAATCCAGCCTTTGATGTCACCATCCGTTTGGCAATTCAAGGGAAATATTCCTGGAATTACAAGACTATTGATTTCCATTGTAGAGCACGATCCAAGCTTATTTATTGATGCCAATCATTTGACCCCATTGCTAGGGGTGTTTCAAAATTTGTTAGCTAGTAAAGCTAATGACTCATACGGATTCGAATTGATTCAAAGTATTCTTTTGAATATCCCAATGCAATCAATGCAACCATTTTTGAACAATATTGCCAGATTATTTCTCACCAGATTACAAAAATCAAGAACGGAAAAATTTGTAAAGAAATTTGTTGTATTTTTTAGTACTTTAGCAACAGCAAACTTAAGTGATGATGTTCAATTCATCAACAGTGGTGCTGTTAGTGGTGGGGATTTTGAAATCCAGTTGGTTGACTCTGTACAAGCAGGATTGTTTATGCAAATATTCAATTCATTCATGCTCCCTACTTCATCAGCATTGGCTAATTTACAAGATAAGAAAATCGTTAATATTGGTCTAAGTGTCTTCCTTTTGAATTCCACCTTCATAACAAACTACTCAACGTTAGTTGTTCCTACAATTGAGAAATTGGTTAAAAACTTGACATTGTACGAGGGTATTTCAAAGGGAAACTCTACTTCTACATTTGGTGCTGGTGCTGGTGCTGGTGTTGGTGCTGGTGTTGGTACTCTGGCATCATCCTTGGGTGGTATTAGTGATTTTGATTCAGATTTCGCAGTATTTGGGTCAAACTATTCTAAAATTGTATCAATTGCCAATGCGCCTTTTGATCCCTTGGCTAAAATAAAAAATAACGATTATGAAACTATTAGACTGACAATTGTATCAAATATCAAAAAAATCAATGTATCATTTTTACAACAATTAAGCGCAGAAACTCAGGAACTGTTGAAACAATTGGGATTTTGAGAGGGTCGAAGTTTATCACCACTCAAGTAGAATGCATTTGCATACAAAACCTATTAACCAAAGATGAGAAATGAAAAAGGAAAAGAACAAAAAAAAATAACACAGTATATAATACATAGTCCAATATAGCACTAAGCACTAAACGTCAAACACCAAAGTACTCCACGTAAAGGCAAAAATGCAAAACAAAAGGAAGAAGAAAGAAGGTAATGGGGGGAGGGGACAAAGACTATAATTCTGGGGGGGGGGGACCTCAATAGGGTTGTTTTTTGTTTCTTTTCAAGAAAAATAGAAGTCATTTGTGCAATAAATATGCCCAGTTGTTATGATGAATGTCAGTTATTCCGGATTTTCCTGACCCATGTTTGTTTGTGCATTGCAGTCAACATTGTCTGGTAACCGAACGTTGGCGAAATCCACATCAGTAGCACCTGATATTGTATTTGTATCATCAATTCCATTCTCTTTTACTTTGTCTCTTGAGTCAGATTTGTTAGTTTCTGTTGGTGCCACCTGCTTGTTGTCCGGTACGCTGTTATCGGTTTTCTGCTCTTCAACGTCACCGTTTTCTAAATTCACCTTTGTTGCACCTTCTTCTGCTTGTTCTTGTTGTAATTTTTTCTTCTTTTCTAATTCTGCAATTTCACTAGCTGTCAAGAATCTACCACCTTGGCCTCGAGGTCTTCTCATTGCGTGTTTGTGTCTTGATTCATGCAAGTATGGCTTCCTTATCCTGGCTATTTTCAAACTCTCCTCCAATTTAGCTCTTGCTATCCTTCTTTTTAGTATTCGATGATACTGTTTAGCATTTACATAAAATGGTTGTTCTCCTACAGTTTCTCCTGCTGCAGCCTCAGCTTCTTCTTCTTCTCCCAAAAACCCGCCCGTGTGGTCTGTTGAGTTAGACATAGGTATTCCTGTCATTGAGCCATTATCATCGATTTCCGGTGGTGGTTGCGACCCATCGAACGTTGCTTGCGATGGTATTGTTGAAGATGATGGCGCCGTGGACGGGTGTTGTACCTGGCCCTGGTTGTCTATCAAATGGTGTGGAATCATTTGGTGCTGGTGCTGGTGCTGGTGCTGGTGCTGGTGTGGCTGTGTATACTGAGAGTGACCCTGGACTTGACCGTTTTCGCGTTGATACTCGACATTTTCAAAATATGTCGAAGACGTTGTGCTTAAAGTGGGAGAACGCTCTTGATGGTAGTATACTGGTGGTTGTGCCAGGTGTGGCGATTGTGGCATAGCGTGCATATGCTGTTGCTGCTGCTGATGAATAGGATGCTGTTGCTGCTGCTGCTGCTGTTGCTGCTGCTGCTGTGGTGGTGGTTGGTGATAGTTTTGAGAATTATCGTATATAGCGGATGACTTTAACGACGTCATTCTCCGATTATATCAACCTCAAAAAAAAGGGAGAAAAACAAGGTTACGTCAGGTTAAACTAGCAAAATAAACTAGCTGATAAGTTGAAATAACAATTGGGTCTTGAAATAGTCGATGAGCAGCAGCACAATATAAGACTAGATGGATATATATATATATTAAGTATAAGCTAAATGCTTTAAACTTTAAATAACTGAAAATTTTCTGTTTTCAGTTTCATTGCCTCACACGTTCTTTTTTTTGGTGACTGCGAAAAATTTGGACTCGACCAAGTGCGACCCCGGCATCACTAAACTATTGACACTATCGACACTTTCAACACTATCGAGCAAAGCGAGATAGTGGAGCAATAGTGTCACTGGTCAATGTACTCTACTCTCTCGCTCTGACACTATCGAGCAAAGCGAGATAGTGGAGCAATAGTGTCACTGGTCAATGTACTCTACTCTCTCGCTCTGACACTATCGAGCAAAGCGAGATAGTGGAGCAATAGTGTCACTGGTCAATGTACTCTACTCTCTCGCTCTGACACTATCGAGCAAAGCGAGATAGTGGAGCAATAGTGTCACTGGTCAATGTACTCTACTCTCTCGCTCTGACACTATCGAGCAAAGCGAGATAGTGGAGCAATAGTGTCACTGGTCAATGTACTCTACTCTCTCGCTCTGGTCGATAGTGTACAGGCTCTCTCACACTCTACTCCATATCTGTTTGTACCAGTAGGAGCCGAAGCGACGCGGATATATACCAACTGTATAATCAATTTACATTGATGTTTATACTCTCTCCAACGCTGTTCCACAATTTCTTTATACCAGTAGGAGCCGAAGCGACCCAGATGTACAGGCTCTCTCCAACTCTACTCCATAATTTATTTACACCACCGCCTCAGCTCCAACTTTTGCTTACCCTCTTTCAACTCTACTCCATAATCCAATTGCATCTCCTTTTCGAGCTCTACCGTTTCAATTTCACATAATCCTCCCTCACCATCATTATCCTTTTCACAACTATCTTCTCTATTCAATCTATGTAAATGCGAGCAATAGCGGAGTCAAAAACGGCGCAGGTGCTCCATTCTATAATGGTCACTATCGACACTATCGACACTATCGACACTATCGAGTAGTACTAACTCGCTTCTACCAGCGAAGCTAGTCAGTGTTGCTCCACTATCTCGCTCTGCTCGATAGTGGTGATGGTGTCGATGGTGTCAAAGCTCAACTCCCATCGACGCTACCAAACGTCTCTTTAACAAGCCAAAAGTGAAAAATTCATACGATATCAACACCTAGCTTCAACACGAAACCCCAAATATATTACAAAAAGAAGAATTGACGGTGGTATGGCGGACGTTTCCAATCGCGTTAATGCGTCTCTCTCCTCGGGAAACACGACAGAGCTTTTGCTAGAGGATGTGGACAATATGTTTGTTCAATGCAACGTTTCAGAGATTCAACAACTATCAAAACTGTACCGTAGAGTGATTTCAACTACAAAAACTGACTTGCACAACTTGGTTAGTGCAAAGTATCGAGATTTGATCAAAATTGCTGAAGACATAAGTGATATAAACCAGAAAACTTTGCATATCGATACCAATTTGCAAGAGTTGTCATCCAAACCTTCAACATTTGTTTCCCCATATAACAACCAATACCACATGTTTGACACAATTGTTCGTCGTCAATATGCCAAAACTGCCCAGCTAAATTCAAGACATATAATAGTCAAAAATTTGTTAAAGAACAAACTTGGCAAACTCAAAAACACAATCGCTTCGGGATTTTCAAGCCCCATTTTATATACATCCAGCCTCATACATTTTGTCAAGTTACTCTACACAATCGAAGTAGTCTTCCAAGATGTATTACAATCCAAAAAAGAAAAAGATTTGAAATCTCAAGTAGAGAGTATAAAAGGTAATTTGAAGACTTATCTCGAGTTTGAAATTTCTGCCTACAACGTTTCAGAATCAATATTCACGTCAAGTGATAAATTCAATACAAAGCAAAGAACTATACAGGACAATTTCATTTTGAAAACCAGTTTGCTGGACCTTAGCAGCTTAGTGGATGAGATGGAGGATGCAAGCTTGGAGACATATGATGATGCTGACGATGACAGTATCGAAAAGGGCAATAATTTCGATGATGATTTACATACTACGAACGATAGTGTAGGCAAAAACTCCCTGGCACTATGCAACTATCTTGTTTCTTATACCATGTTGATGTCCATAACTGATTCAGAAGAGGTAAAGCATTGCTTTTTTGAGTTGCGCATAAAGTACTTGCTCAATGCTCTTATTGGCACAAATGGAGATTTGGTCAATCAATACCAAGTGCTAAAATACTTGGAAAACACATGTTTGTACATTGAAACTTACTTTGATAACGGATCAAGTGACTATTATAAAACACTTCAGGCTCTTAATGTGCCCTGGGCTGCTACCGCCGTGCTTAGCTATAGAGACTGGTACGAAGATGCGGTAGTAAAGCTAAAAGCTGTGACGAATGCTAACTCAATTACTGAGAAAAGTACAGAAGGATTGTTTGAAAGAGTATCTGAAACTGTAAGCAACATAATAAACTTTGCCGGAGCTGGTACAGAGGGTGATGATACAAACAAAACATTACCTTCTTGCATAATTATCTTTATCAGATTCATAACTAGTCTACGGAGAATAAAGGAAACTTCTAGTGTTTTAGGAAAAAATTCGAAAATTGTGCAAATTACATCCAAACACAATACAGTACTGAGGTTATTTTCAAACTTGACGGCTGTCATTAAAGAATGTCTCCAAAAACATTTGGCAAGATTAAACTCCGAGAATGGGATATGGGGAACAGTGCAGGGTCATCTAGAGTCATGCGGAACTAGTACCGATACTTTGGAACCTCTTGATTTCCGACCAGAAACAGTTAATTTAATGGATTATGACATTGATACTTATATGGAACAAACCATTGCTAAGAAGGGTAGTCAAAGAGGATCTAACAACTCATCAACTGATGCAATTTGGGCACTACGAGATTGGTTGGCTTGTTTTGACAATTTGAAACAGATTATTGCTCTTGTGGATGCTGCCCCTACTACTAATGCCGATACTGATAATGCTCCCGCTGAGGTCGACTTTGTTCCAACCACGGATATATACCATGCCCTTTTGCCTTTATGTCAAACTTTGAAAAAGGAAAACTTGAAATGGGGAGACTTTTCGGCGTCTGTAATCGAGGAAAACTTTAGATCAATGACCAAAGATGTGGAGACATCCTTAAAGAGAGAGATGATCAGATTTGTAACCAACATAAGCAATTTAGAGAACAATAGGGATAACATCGATCAACTAATTCAATATGTGGGACTTTTAACCAGCTTAAAGCTGGCATCAGCATCGATATCTAATATAGATATTGTGGATAAAATTGACTCTGTTTGTGAGAGTACTTATTCTAAGATTATGGACAAAATATCTGAAAAAAGATTAGACGTAATAATTGAGTTGGCGGTTATCAAGGCATTAGAAATTGACAATAGTGCTGATACACCAACTCGTCCAATTTTGAGTCTAGCACTGGAGATTTTCCTGTTTGCTCAGGAGCTTTTGAAATTTGCCCGTGTTTTACGAAGCAGCGATGCTGAACTATTTTCAAAAACTAGTACCTTGAATATTTTTGTCACTGTGAAGAATAACTGGTTAAAAGAACAATTATTTAACAACAAACTTGAAAAAGCTTTAAAGAAGCTCTCACTGGAGAAGGACAAAATGAACAGAGACAAAGATGATGGTTCCAATGTAATAGCCATCAACAACGATTTGCCAAATAAATTAGCACCCCTGAAAGCCCTTCAATTATTAGCCAATTTACACTATTTGTCGCTTTTCTACTCGACTGAACCTTTGGACTTGCATGCACAATCCGAGTTGATTTTGGGGCTCTGTGATGAGGAAGAAGTAGGAAATAGTAAACTAGAGGCAATGCGTACAGGGGTAGAAGCATTTTACAAATCAAGAAAAAATTTGTACTTACCGCTACTGCTACTGCTATAAATTAACCTCAGTTTAGTTTAGTAAAGATAAATTTTTGATCCCTTTTTTGTAAGTTCTTTTAAAACTTCAACTGTTTCTGCAATGTCCCAAATGTTTTGTTTTTTCTGATCAAGATACGAATTATCAACAATAATAATCTTGATCTCATCTTTTCGCAACTTGGAATCCTCGTTGTTCAATACTTTGATCAACCTACCAGGTGTACAGCATAAGACCCTCGACCTAGTAGACTCCACTAGCTTCAAATCAACTTGCAATTTGTTTTTATTGATTAGTTTAATCGAGCCTCCGTTCAAATCTCTCGTTGCTCTATACACATCACAAGCTCGTATGGCCGACATTGACACTATTGCAATAAATTTCCTATCCGATAGTTTCTCATTATCTTGCTCTTGTAAATTTCGGGCTTGCTTCTTTGATTTCCCCAGTTTGCTAGGTAACATATTTTTAAACCTGAGATTTATGTACTCACTCAAATTATCCAACGTCCTAGGTTTTGTAAATTCAGAGATTGTTCTTATGTCATTCTTGCTAAAGTAAAGCTCACTTAACTCCAAAGCGGATAACTGGGTGTTTTTTTTGGTGATTTTGGAGTTTATGAATTCAGCAATTAATTCGGTACTATTTTCCATTGCAATGTTCCGTTTCTTCTCGGTATCCATTTCCATCTTTTGCTTTTTCTTTTCTTTAAGCTTTGAAGAGTCTCTTTTACGTTTGCGCGGTTCTTCATCTTCGGACTTGTCTATATTACCACTATTTAAGGTTCCGGCTTGAAAACTATCAGCCTCACCGACCTCGCCGACTGCTTTGGCCTCGTTTACCTCTGTTTCACCATTATCATCTGAGTATTGAACATCATATTCTAACCCATCATCTAGATCGTCTGCTTGTGGTTGGTGAAGTACTGGTGGTGGAACCATTGTTGTATATCTTTTCTCCTTTTTGCCTTTTCCTACTATATCTTCCTCTGCTCCCTCTCCCCTGGTGCGTTTAAAGTAGTAAAATAGATCAGAGATGGGATGAGATACCTAAAAGGATTATTATAGCCTGAAGCGCGATGGGCATCGCATAAATAACGTCACGTGCTTTACACGTGATTGCATCTTGACACAAAATCGAATTTCTTTTTTATTTTTTTTTTTTTTTTTTTTTTTTTTTTCAACCATGTAAAGAAAGGTTAATTCAATCTATAATAAGCCTTTCTCCACAATTCGCTATACTTCCAAGTGTGGTGAAAATGTTTGTAAGATTTAGTCCGGCTTCTTCTATTATACCGTCAAGAGCGTTGCTTTTACGGCAGTCGCGTTCGATAGTACTAAATGCTGATTTAGCTGCAAAACTTGAAGAATCTCAGCTTCATCCTGTAATTGTGATTGGAGGAGGCCATGCTGGCTGTGAGGCTGCTACGGGCTCTGCGAGATCAAACACCGCTACTACACTAATAACGCCTGACACAAGAAAAATAGGTACCGCCTCGTGCAATCCCTCGATGGGAGGAGTGGGCAAAGGAACACTACTACGAGAAGTGGATGCATTAGATGGAGTTAGTGCTCGAATAACTGATAAAGCCGGTATACATTTTCGAGTATTGAACGCCTCAAAAGGTGCTGCAGTACACGGTCCGCGTGCTCAGATAGATAGAAAAATCTACTTGAATGAGATGCAGCGCGAAATTTGCAATTACCAGAATTTGTCCATTATAGAGAGCCAAGTTGAGGATATAATTGTTGAGCCTAAGATATCAAAATCAAAAGATCAATCTGGCCGTGGTTCAGGAACCGTAAGGGGCGTTATACTAGATGACGGTAGGGTCTTAAGATGTAGCAAAGTTGTTGTTACCACAGGGACGTTTTTGGGCGGAGAAATCCATATTGGATTGAAAGCATTTCCATCGGGGAGAATGGGAGAAAAAGCTACATTTGGATTGTCCAAGACATTTCGCGAAGCGGGATTTAGATTAGGCAGACTAAAGACCGGAACTCCGCCAAGATTGTCGGCAAGGACTATAGACTATACTAACTTGGCTGAGCAGAAATCTGATTTCCCACCACAACCGATGTCATACATGACCGATAAAGTTGATCTTGAAGAGCACTTGGTCAAGTGCCATCAGACTAGAACAACTCCCGAGTTTCACGATTTGGTTGCTAAGAATTTAGAAAAATCGATACACATTAGAGAAACGGTGAAGGGACCTCGATATTGCCCTAGTATAGAGTCCAAAGTTATCAAGTTTCCTCATAAACAGTCTCATACTGTTTGGCTTGAGCCAGAAGGTCTAGACACTGATTTGGTTTACCCAAATGGTATATCTTGCACAATGCCTGAGGACATTCAGGAAATGCTTGTGAAAATGATGCCTGGTTGTGAAAATGTTAAGATGATTCAACCAGGGTATGGAGTGGAATACGATTACGTGGATCCAAGAGAGTTGACAAACACTTTGGAAACAAAACTTATTGATGGGTTATATTTAGCGGGACAGATAAACGGAACAACTGGATATGAAGAGGCTGCGGCGCAGGGTTGTGTAGCAGGAATCAATGCGGGTCTCTCTTACCAGGGGAAGCAAGTATTGGAGTTGAAGAGGTCAGACGGGTACATGGGAGTATTGATTGATGATTTGATTACTAAAGGAGTTGAAGAGCCTTATAGGATGTTCACATCACGATCAGAGTTCCGCGTATCTTTGAGATCTGATAATGCAGATAGAAGGCTAACTGAGCTTGGTTACAATATGGGAGTAGTAGGAGAATCGAGATATAGACATTTTACAAAGGAGATGAAACAATTTGAGGAAATCAAAGAGCATTTACAGAACTTGAGACTTTTAGGGGCAGATTGGTCCCCTGCAGTAACTCGCTATCCATCAGTGTTGAACCACAGCACTCGAGTTGATGGATGGAAGTTGTTATCGTACAGAGGAGTCTCAGTTTCAGACTTGTTGCCTCATATGGCAATCTTCACCAACAACAAGATTCCGTCTTGTTACAATCATCTTACAAACAGATTGAAGAACCGAATTGATGTTGAAAGTGATTACGAACCTTTTATGTCTAAAGAAAATGCTCATTTAAATGCATATAATGCCGATGAAAATTTACTATTACCAACCAACTTTACCTACACCAATACAGGGAATTTGAAAATCTCATATGAAGCTTGTTCTATCTTGAATACTATTCAGCCAAAGACAATTGGTCAAGCTAGAAGAATCCAGGGGATCAACCCAACTGCAATTTTTGAGTTGTTGAAACTAGTAAGAAGCCCACAAAGATACTCAGCTACGATCAACTAGCTAGTAGTGCAACTCTTCTCTTCCTCCAAAACCCTCCTGTAGATATACATATATATATATATATATAGTGGTAAACTTTAAACCCATCTATGTATAAACTGCCTCTCTGGGAAAGTGGCTACCAAGTGTCTGAAATATCGACAAGCTCTAAAGCTTTTTTGTTTTCTTCCCCTGGCTGATACCAAAAAGTGTACTTCAATTGCTTGCTTGCTGGGAAAGAATACCAAAAAACCTGATAGGTATACGCCCGTTGAAGGCAATATGTTGAAACATAAGGATGGGGAATCTTTCAACTTTCCTAGTCAAGAAGGATCAATAGATAATGGAGACAACTTGTTGACAGCGTTGGTATCTGGATGTACAGCAGCGGCTGTTACAGCAACTTTAACCTACCCATTCGACTTTATCAAAACCCAACAACAAATCAACAATGAGGCGTATATGCGAAAATGGAATATACCTGGTAATTTTCCCAGTACCTTGGGCCAAATGTACAAAGGTGGAAGTGCGTTGGTATTAGGGTCGGTAATCAAGAATGGAACAAGATTGATATCGTACAATTGGGCCAGTAAGTTTATGGCTATTGACTCTCATCACGGGCAAACAAACAAAACAACGGCACCAAGAATAGTTGTAGCTGGAATAATGAGTGCTACTATAGAGACCGCGTGGCTAGTTCCTTTTGAGAATATCAAAATCACCATGGTCCAAAATCAGTCGTTGCAAAATGAGTTGAGAAAAACAAAGGATATTGGCTATGATATAACTGGAACCAAGCCAACCCACTCTCATCAACATCAGCATCACAAACCTAATAAACCCATATTTGCTAGACAATACGTTTCTCCTAATGCCTACTTTTCGGCGGATATTTTAGATCAAAGGTTAAGACAAAAACAACGGTTTCCTCCTCGAAAGTCAGCATCATTGACTCAGATTGAATCCTTGAAAGCATACTACAACCAGCATCCTTCTTTGACGTTATTTGGCACTGTTAAGGAAATGTATAGCCTAAAGGGAATAAGAGCGTTCACTGCAGGTACTTTTGTAACATATACACGGCAAATTGCAATTTCCTGGGTTTGGTTCTCATCATATACAGGTATGCGCCAATTGTTTAACCCTCATCAGAACGATAATGCATGGTTAGGTCAGAAAACTACGACTGTCCAGCTGCTTTTTTTGCATGTGGTCTCTTCGCTCTCGGTGATTGCTGTAACACAACCACTTGATGTTGTTAAAACACATATGCAACTGAAAAATGGGAAAGCTCTTTATAGAGACTCGTTGACTACAGCATACAAACTCTTCCTTCATCAAGGACCCATGGCAATGTTCAAGGGAGCCTTGCCAAGGTTCCTTAAAATTTTGGTCAGTGGTGGCATGACTGCAACAGTATATTCGTACGTAGAGGATGTCGTCAATGCAGCTGGCGGTCAAAAGATGTTTAGAGATGATTAAACAAACAAACAAACAAACAAATTGAACAAATTGAACATTATTATTTATTAGAATTCTTGATATATAGGAATTAGAAATTTGCCGCTTTTGTGAAGCACACCATTGAACGATTTTGCTAGCAATCCACCTCCGTGACTTGGCTGACTAAAAGCAATTTGATTTCTTGACAACACTTTCCCATAAATGGAATTCTTCAATACGCAATTTAGTAAAAAGCGTGCAGCTCCATTTTGTCGCCATTTTGGTGCAATCCAGATTCTGGATATACCAATGCATACATTTTTGATGGTTTGATTTGGCACCACAAATTGGGTTTCGTGTACTAGCCATTGCCCACAATTAATGGTATCAGTCGTACATACTCCAATAGCCTTGTTCTCAACCACAAGGACAAACGCTTTGCTATTTTCGAATTTCTCTGACCTCCACTGTTTAGAGTCATCGCAAGCATTTAGTTCTCGATTCACCATTTTGAGTAATTGCTCTACTTTTTCCACTTGCTTTTTGTTGCTCTTGTCAATAGTCTGTACAACAGCTTTCTTCGTTTCTCGCTTAACCAGGTTCTTCAATTGACCAAGCTTGTTAGACTTGACAGTCACCACTATATTGTACGTTTCCAACACTGCTCGTGTAGCAAGAGCGCTAGGCCAACTAATACCATTGCTAAACTCTGTGTGATACCTCCTATGCATTGCAACATCAGTTGCAATCAGTGAATTATACGTCATTCCACAAGTGGGACACGTTACCATGGTGTTGTGAATCGGTATCGCTAAAGTTGACTGTACCTTTCGTTTAGGCTTTTCATTAGAAAGACTCATTGTCATATCATATTGAATAGGAAAGTCAGAATCTTTGTCCAAAATTCGGTTAATATCTAGCCAGTTTAACGTTAATTAGCCACCGCCTACTTACACCCAAAGCCGTACACCACCTTTGTATGCCACTTTCGTATGCCCACCACCTCTGCTTGTTTATCACTGTTGCTGTCGCTGTCGCGTTAAACATTTAATTTTTCAATTTTTTTTCATCTCCTTCTTTTTCAATCACCCCACAAATATCAAGAAGACTTTCTCAGCAAAGAAAGCAACACGGCGACAACTCAATGGCATCTGAATACGTTAATCTTTTACCAAAAGATGGGAAATGGAGACAACAAATTACTGATTTTCTAAGTGAAGATGTTCCTTCCTTTGATTTTGGTGGGTTTGTAGTTGGATCGAAACCAGAAACAGCTTTCTTATACATGAAACAAGAGGGTTTAATTTGTGGTGTTCCATTTGCAGCAGAAGTATTTAGACAATGCGAGTTACAAGTGAAATGGCATTTTGACGAGAAGACATATATACATCAGAACGAGCTTGACCAAAGTAATGGTAAAATTGTAGTTGCTACTGTTACTGGAGCAGCTAAGAATATACTATTAGCCGAAAGAACGGCTTTGAATTTATTAGCTAGAGCCTCCGGTATTGCTACACAGTCATATATTACTAAGAAGCTTGCTGGTGAAAATGGGTACACCGGAGTAATTGCTGGTACTCGGAAAACTACTCCGGGATTAAGGTTGCTTGAGAAATACGCAATGCTTGTTGGAGGAGTCGACACTCACAGGTACGATTTGAGCTCAATGGTTATGTTGAAAGACAATCATATTTCCTCAACAGGTAGCATTACACACGCGGTACACAAAGCAAGATCAGTTTGTGGATTTGCCGTGAAAGTAGAGGTTGAAGTTAGTTCTGAAAAAGATGCTAGAGAAGCCATTGAGGCTGGCGCCGATGTGATAATGTTGGATAATTTCAGAGGAGATGAATTGAGAAAAGTTGCTCAAAGTTTGAAACAATATTACAGTGGCTGTAACAAAGCCTTTTTGTTGGAGTGTTCTGGTGGCCTTACTTTAAAGAATTTGAGCAGTTATCTCTGTAATGACATTGACATCTATTCAACTTCATCAATTCATCAAGGAACAGGCATTATCGATTTTTCATTAAAAATTCTTGCAAACTAAAATAAAAGAAAAGAAAAAAAAACACAGAGACAAGTTTCTTGTATATATATATACTCTTTTGTATATATTTATTGGTTTTTCTCATCGTATCGTGGCAACACTCGAAAGTTCTATACTTTGAAACTCTCTTTCGTTTTGTATAAGGTTATGGATGTTTTGCAATATCTGCGTTCTTTCTTCATCCAGTTTCTTTGAAAGCTCTTCATCACCTTGATGTGCATTTTCGTCATCAAATTCTGAACTATTTGAAACAACCCAATTGCCAATCAGTATACCAGAGAGGCTTGTTGATCCACTGGCTAAACTCAAGTCCTTGAGCAAATCAGAATGTCCATGATGCATAGATTGAGACTCACCATGCACAATTGACTCCTCCCCACGCGCCAGTGTGTTTTTCCTGCCAAAACAGCGAATTGCACGTATATGACTATCTTTACCTTCTTGATGATTAGCCAAGATAAAGAGTTTAACCATAAAACACTTTAATACTCCGTCGTTTCTTATTCCATTGAAAATTATATGTGACCAGCCAATTGGCTGATTGAAATTTACCGTGCAAACTTCAATCAAGTCCCAGCCTTCACTACTTCCAGCCATGATTTTGATTTTACTTGGAGTATAACTTTCGTCTAGTGAGTAATTTGTGAAAATCGATATTCTTTCCAAAGCAACTTTTTTAATAAATTGAATGGTAACGGAATGAGGATTGCTTAGATTATTATTCATAACCGCAGAACTATTAGGATTACTGTTATTGCTTCCATTACTGCCATCACTTTGCCAATATGTTTCTGGGTTATCGTCGCGTAATTGAGAAAGACCAAAACCTGGTTTGTAAGTGGATAGTTTCCATGTGGCTAATGCAGATAAGTCAACTAGATCAAGACTTTCCAACTCTTGCAAACCTTTTGTATAATATACCTTTTGGACCTGTTTTAGACTAGGCTGCGATTGAGAGTCGTCTGCTTCGTCTGCTTCGTCTTCTTCATCTTCTTCGTCTTCTCCTTCCGCTACCACCACCTCCTCATCCTCATCCTCATCTTCAAATTGATGATGATGATGATGGCGGTGATGGCGGTGATGGCGATGCTGCTGCTGTTGTTGATGACTTACACTTGAAGCAGTTCCATAGCTAAGCACATCATGATCAAATTCACCTTCGTATTCTTCTTCCCCTCGTACTCCTACTCCTTCAATGCCGCGCTCTTCCACCACATCTTCTTCCTCTTCTTCCTCTTCTTCTTCCTCCTCCTCCTCTTCATCTCTTTCTCCTTCCTCCTCCTCCTCCTCCTCCTCCTCCTCCGCCTCCTCCGCCTCCTCTTCCTCTAGTTCATCTTCACCTCTTTGAAAGTGTCGCAGTGAGGTTTGCCTCAGCAGCTGCCCAATTCTACTGAAACTGCCATCGATATGGTCTTCATCAAACTCATCATCCTCTTCAATCAGTTGCATAAAACTATGATGATGACGGCCAATGTGCTCTTCATCTAATGAGCTTGAAATAAGAGAATGTCTAATCTCTTCAGGAGTAAATTGAGGTTGGAGCTGAACTTCATGCTGGACTGGGTGTTGGGTAATATCAAGGTAGGCGTGCACTGGTGTGGCTGATGAAACTTCTGGTACTGGTGGGGGCGCATTTTGATCTTGAGCTTGTAGCTCTTGTTCGTTTATCACAAGCACATTGCTTGTATTGGGAGTGTTACCTTGTGTTATGCTAGGCCTATCAAAGTATCCTGATGAATCCATACTGATCAAAATATTCACAAAGAAGAGTGTAAAAAATAAGCGCGAACCAAAGCCAAAAGCATTTGAAATAGAATTACTACGAACAACCCGTGCGAGATGCACACTTCACGAGTCGCACATGGCGGGGGGGGCCTTCGCCACCAGCGCCACCATTGCTCGAGACTAATAAACAAGAACACTTTAAAGAACCATTGACAACATTGTTTAAGGAGAGGTTTCAAATTTCTACGTAACTTTTTTCTTTTCAGTAATGGTCATTACATTATAAATAATCACAAGTCTAAAATCAATCAGTTCAAAAATTCAACTTATTCAGTATACAGATTACCAATTCACTCATACTATTCTCTTATTCTGCAACTTTTTTATAATTGCTAAATTGTATCCGAAATTTCCTTTTGTTTTGATGCCAACTCGTCTGCTTCTTGTTTGTCAACTTCTTCTTCTTTCTCTCCTTTTTCTTCTCCTTTTTCTTCTCCTTCTCCTTTTTCTTCTCCTTTTTCTTCTCCTTCTCCTTTTTCTTCTTCTCCTTCCTCTGCCTTTTCGGTTTCGGCTTTCACCGTATCATCTGTTTTCTCATCACCTTTTTCCTCATCACCATTCCTTGTATGCGTTTCTTTCTTTTCCTCTTGCTCAATAGTAACTACTGGTACAGCCTGTGTGACTTCTGAAACTCCTGCAACTTCCGATTTTGCAGAAGTTGCTGTTTTGGTATCCTTACTCTCCTCATTTATGGCCAATTCTTCAAATTCTTTGTTTACTTTATTATCAACAACTCGCTTATCCACTGCTGTAGCAGTCTTCCCATCAATTATAGTTTCCTTAGGCACTGAAAAAGAACTCGAGCCCTTATCCAAGGACACTAATGGACTGGACACTGCTGGTTTGTTTCTATTAGGTGCTGTTAAACTAGTTGTTGACGAATTGTTCAAATTGTGAGTTGATCCATTTCTCGATTGGCTTGAAATAGGACTATTTCTTCCCGACCCATTGGTAGCCACTACTTTCTTATTATAAACTCGTTGTTGCACCGGCTGAAATACTGTTTGGAAATTTTCACTCAACCCATATCTTTTCAACGCTCTCCTTTTCAATATCTCAATATAGCTTGGTCTTCCTCTAATGCCACCTTTACCGAATTCTTTACCATCTCTATCAAAGAAACTCAATTCACCTTGAGTTTCGTCCTCATCGCCAATCATATAATCGCCGTCTCTTTCTGGAGAAAGGTATCCCAATTGTTCTTGATATTCACTTGAGTCTATTAAGAAATTACCTTCTTCTAAATCACTAACAAATGTATAAATAAAATCTTGCAAATTTTGAGCAACAACCAACTTTGTATCGAAATCGCGTCCAAATAATATAATTTGACCCCAAGTACCCAGTGGACCGGGACTCAAATCCATTCCAACTTGATTTCCAATGTTATCTTTGAGTAGAACAACCCATCCTCTATGGTAGTAATAAGGCTGGATTGAGTTTGGAGGAATTGATCTCTGGTTATTCAAAAAGGTGTTTGTACTTGTGGATGTTGATGCTAATACTGGTTTTTGTTGTTGTTGTTGTTGGAGCAAACTGCTGGTACCTTCTTTTGTTTCGTTTTCTAAATGTTGCTGTTTTTGCTGCTGCTGCTGCTGTTGTTGTTGTTGTTGTTGTTGTTGTTGTTGATGTTGAATTGCATACTTTTGTCTTTCCAATCTCTCACTAACTTTATTCCACATCATGTTTTCTTCAATTATACTTTCCAAATCCAACAAGGCTAATCCCATAATCAATCCTGTAGGCTTTCCTCCTCTCAATTGACCATCATGTCTCTTATAAAACTGCCTAAAATCTTCAGGTAGACTATTTGAGCCACACTTCAAATCTTGTAAAAACTCGTTTAAATCTGCTGTTGTAACCCCATCATTCAAACTATCATCCAACTCAGGATATTCTTCGTCAATCCAATGTTCAATTCGATCCCATAACGAATCTATTGAAGGTAAAGGAGGCAACCCATTAGCGTCAAAGTTTTGTAATTGCACGTCGTATTGCCGAGCTTGATTAGACTTTGTACCTGGTCTGTAAAACGCGGCAGAAGCATTATTGTTATTGTTATTATTATCAGATAACGAGTGAGTTGACGAGTTCAAATCGGCATTCAATTGTAGCGTTGACCCTCCAATTTGTGAAATGGACGAGGATAAACCGGTATTTTCAGACTTGTCATTAGACTTAAATGGTGAATTATAGGATGCATAATGATCATTGGTTGTTATCGAATGGATAAATGCCTTGAAACCGTCTAAAACACCCATTTTGTTTTTGGAAAACCTTGAGAAACCCTCTATACTCAACAAAAATATAAGTGATCTAGAATATCTTTCAAGCTTCAACCGCAATAAAAAGGAAGAAAGAAAAAATGTATGTGTGTGTGCGCGTGTGTGTGTGTTCCCAATAACCTGCTAATAAAATAGAACCCACTCAGCAAAATTTCAACCTATAACTAAAAGTTCTTCCGCTAGATTAATAATAAATATCAAACAAAGTAATAAAGAGCTTTTGCTTGTTTAATAATTGACATTAAAAGAGAGAGAGAAAAAAAAGAAGAAAAAAAGAAAGAAAAAATTTAGAGTGCAAAAACTTTCGCGCTCATACAGAGGAATCTAAAACCATACAAGGTGAAATTGAAATGGTGAAATTGAAATGGTGAAATTGAAATGGTGAAATTGAGATGGTCAAGTTGAAATGGTGAAATTGAAATGAACAAGTTGAAATGGTGAAATTGAAATGAACAAGTTGAAATGGTGAAGTTGAAATGGTGAAATTGAGATGGTCAAGTTGAGATGGTCAAGTTGAAATGGTCAAGTTGAGATGGTCAAGTTGAAATGGTCAAGTTGGTTTTATAAAATGGTGGACTAGGCTAGTAATATGTAGAGAATAGTTGTAGAAAGGAGGCGAGCGGTAGAATAGTTTAGGACTAATATACTAGTCTATTAATGCGTGCGAAAACTCTAGCACTCAAAGATACAGAGGAATCTAGTGTCGATAGTGGCAGTTAGTCAGTGAAGCGACTACACCTATACACCACACCTGCTAGTGTGCAACACTATCGAGCGAAGCGAGATAGTGGAGCATTACTGACTGTCAGTAAAGCGACTACACCTATATACCACACCTGCTTGTGTCGATAGTATCGGTGACAGCTAGTGTGCAGCACTATCTCGCTTCGCTCGATAGTGTGCTCGATAGTGAGTTTAAACAACCTACAAGTTAAACTAGAGTCATCTCACAAGCTTCCTGTTCATTGTGTCTTGTCTATTTGTTCCCGCCAAGTATATACTCCCCTATAGTTTCTCCAAAAAAATCCATAACTAAATCACGATCTTGCAAATTCGTCAACCTATCAATATCATTTATAAGCTGAAAATTGATTTCATCAGATACTTTGGAATCATGCTGGTACAAGGGATTATTCAATACTCTATTTCTAATCCAATGTGCGGCTGTTGGAATCTCGCCACTAGCTCTTTGCGAAATCAACATCAAATAATATTTCAATCTCACTAAATTCGAGGCACATTTGACATCTTGACAATGTTGGCAATCTGGTGGTATCAATTCGGTAGCTATAAACTTGATCACAATTCTAATCAACCCAAGAAATTTGCCATCTCCACCATTGATTAGTTCATTTAGTGTGTATCGCTGATCCAACCCATTATCATCAACGTCATTAATTTCTTCAAGAATCTTGCCGGTGCACCCTTTGGTTGGCTTGGCAATTGAGCCATTCATACTACCATTCATACTACCATTCATACCACCATTCGTACCACCATTCATACTATAGGGCTGAGAACCACCAATATTGGCCTCTCCATTCAACCCTGCTAAACTCGAGCTTGAATTATACCCGTTTAAATAAACTGCTCCTTTGCTCGACAAGGTATCATTACCCTCGCTAAGAAATCTATCAAACCAAGAAAAATCATACCCAATAAAGTCATGATAATCTAATTCCCAAGAATCTAACGATTTGAACCAAAACTTCTCCTTTATAGCAGAATCCAAATGGTGAGCTAAATCCATATCTAAATCAACCTTCAGTAATGGCACATAAAAATTAGGTTTGAATCTCAATATGGCTTTGGATAACAAACTCATAAAAGTCAGATACGCTGCATTTTCAAAATCAGTTATTTGAATCTCCATCGGTCTAAATTCAACCCTCCAACCTGGCTTATCAGTAAAGTCAATCTCGCTATTTGCCGCCGTTTGCTCATACAACGCAGGTGGTTTAAACCTTATCGTTTGCCAATTTGTACTCTGGATGTTTTCAAAATGGTCATTACTGAGCTTATTGTCTTGATGTATTCGTTCACCAAAAATTACCAAAGGATCTCTAATAAATAAATGAGCAAAGTGAGTAGCTAAATATTTATCAAAAAGGCCCAGATTTTCATTGAGCAACCGGTCATATACTTTCTTGTTTATTGGTGCATTCAAATCACTGTACTCCTCCTTGAAATACTTTGTATCATACTCGCCATCGCCAAGGTAATTGTCTACTGAACCATACCTTGATTTGGGAATATGTTGAATTGGCTTACCATCCTTGGTATATAGATCATTCAAGTCTCCATATTCATTCACTCCATGTTTGTTGATGTTCAAATCTTTATTGCCATCAATATCTAAACCGCCAAACAAATGGTAGCCCCTATACGGATCTTCTCCCTTTTCAATAAAAGTACGATCATCAACAGCTCCACAAATCACATTCCACCTAACATCTTGATCAACCAAGTATCCCTTGAAAATAGGTGCCGCGGCACTTAGACTCAACATAATTGGAGCAATTGGTATCAACGAATCATACAAATACCTAGCTTCGCGAATGTTTTTAGCTTGCATTGTTATCTGTAAGCAACTTGAACCCATTCCAAATCCCATAGAATCCATATATACATATCCTGGTTTTGATGCACCCAAAAATGGTTCCTTATCACTTTTAAACAAATGTCTGTTGTGTGGTATTGAATCATCCAACAATTTAGTGTTTTTGTCGGGATAAATGGGTAAGTTGATAGCAACTTTGTGACCTTTACGCTTTCTAATGTTTGCTGTTAAAGTGGGGAATCTAGCGTGTCTATTGATGATCTCGTCTGGTAAAAAAAGGGACTGTGATGCTGGTCCTATGGGATTTGCTTGAGGCGAGGTGAAATTGGGACATCCCATTCTTGGAAAACTAGTCAATGTTAAGGGCTTGACATTAGAAGGTAATTCCTCCGAGCTCAATTTCCTCCTTTTTATCATATTTTCCTCAACATATATATAGTCTTCTAATTTCTCTCCATTATAGGGCCTCAATGGGGTTCCCTCAAGCATATACCTACCATATTCAGGATGAAATGAAACGTTATATTTCCTCGCTTTAAGCAAAGATTTTGTCTCGTCATTCAAATCGTTCAACACGTAATCCTTATCAATTGCCAATTTGGCAGAATGGTGCTGCCTGTCCAAGTCAACCAACATGTACTCCACTTCATCTCCCCATAAAAACTCATCATTATCTCTATTGCTATGCTGCTTGAAAATATTAATTAGCTGAGTTATACCATTGTTGCGTACATGCTCGTTATATTTCTTCGATTCATGCCAGTCTAACGGTGTGCCCAAAGAAAGTAGCCCCATAAGTGCTTATCACTTCTAATGTCAAAGAATCTTGGAGGATTGAAAATTGGAAAAAAAAAAAAAAAAAAATTGGTATCAATACAGAGCAGCGCTAAAGGGAGAAAAATCTTAGCAGCAACAACTAGATAGCGGGTAATTCAACCTCAAAATACTGAAGCCAAACTGGAGCTGGAGTTAAACCTTAGCAAATCACGACTTTTGAGTCACAACTATCAGGTCGTATAGTGGATCTAATGTTGAAATTCGTTTTCTTTTAATCTCTCTCAATCTTCAAAAAGAAGGTTGGTTTAAAAGTACATTAGCGGTTACTAAAAAGAAAAAAAAAAAAAAAAAGAAAGAAAAAAAAAAAACAATGAGATGAGCTTGAAAAAAGGGTAGATTGCTTACTGATAAAATGGAATTGCGATTGCTTTGAGTGAATATCTCCGCTGATTAAAGAGATGAAGAGATATGGTTATTGAGTGAACGTTCTAGTAGGTGGTTATCAAGTGAACGTTCTAGTAGGTGATGCTTGAACGAGAAATCTGAAAGTAATCATTGAAAAGAAAGCAAATAAATGAGAAATGATATAATTAGTAATCACGGCTTACCATATTTATCAATGTTAAAAAAAACTCTTTTTCACTAAAGTTGTGTTCCCAAACTCTTTTTCACTGTAATCGAGTTTCTAAACTCATCTTTACCGCGATTGTGTTTCTACAAACAGGGTTTAGCACGAAAGGTGTAGGTACCAATTGTAAGACATTAATACCGACGTCTCAATTGCCCATGTCCTCTCACGAATCACTGTGATAATAAATTTACATATGGTTTATTATGCAAGCAATTCTTTTACTGTGGCACAAGGATTCTTCTTCAACAAGATGATTTATTTTATTTTTTTTGTTTTCAAATTAATCTCGTTTGTGACATTGCACGTGACATTGAACAAAGGGTTTGCCAGGGGGGAGAGGAGGCAGATATATATTTTCTATTTGAAACAGATTTACGAAACTACCATCGGAAATAGAAAACCAAAAACAGTAAGTGGTGGATTTGTGCATGGTAGCGTCTTATTTCGATTTTGAAAAGAGGAAAAAGAAAAGAGAGTTTGTACATGGTAGCGTACTGTCTCTTATTATTGAGGGAATAACTCTTTTAGTACATTCCCTCCACATTAATCACTACACATCCCTTTTCTTCTGTTGTTGCCATCTTCTTCTTCTCCACTAGTTCACCAATAACTAAAGCCCCTTGTTCTCCAGAGGCTTCTAAGTTCTGTAAAACTTTCTCTACGTTGGCCTCTTCAACAATTAAAACCATACCGATACCCAAGTTGAAAGTTTTTAAGATATCGTCATATGGCACTTTACCCTGTTTACCAAACCATTTAAAGATTTCAGGTACTTGCCATTTACTTAAATCAACTTTGGCTTGTAAGTTTTTGGGTATTGCGCGTGGTATGTTCTCTACTAAACCACCACCTGTAATATGAGCTAATCCTAGTAAAAGATCTTGCTCAATACTTGGCAATAACTGTTTAACGTAAATCTTGGTAGGCACTAATACTTCTTCACCAATTGTTCTACTAGGGTTCCATGGTGCTGCTGACGTGTAATCAAAATCACTAATCTCAATAATCTTTCGAACCAACGAAAATCCATTGGAATGGATACCGTCTGATTTTAATCCAATAATAACATTACCTTGCTTCATTTCCAGTAATTTGGGTAATAACTTGTTTTTATTATGAACCGCACCAACAGCAGTACCATTTGTATCATAATGACCTTCATCATACATTCCAGGCATTTCAGAAGTTTCCCCACCAACTAATGCACAACCAGCTTGTATACACCCATCCGCAACCCCTTCAACAAATTGCGCTGCTATTTCAACATCTAATTTGCCTGTGGCAAAATAGTCAAGGAACATTAGTGGCTCGGCACCTTGTACCACCAAATCATTGACATTCATAGCAACTAAATCAATACCAACAGTATTGTGGATATTCATAATCTGAGCAATTCTTAATTTGGTACCAACACCATCGGTAGCAGCAACTAGTAAAGTATCTGCCGCATCATAACCAGCAGCTCTCAAATCAAACAACCCACCAAATCCACCAATATCTGAATCTGCACCTGATCTCGATGTCGACTTTACCTTGGCCTTGATTGTTTCAACTAGCAAGTTACCATTTTCAACAGAAACACCAGCATCAGCATAAGTAACTTTTTGGCTCTTGTGCTGGTATTTATCAGCATCACGAAAAGCCCTGTGGGCAATATCTTTTCTGTGGTATTTCTTGTTGAATGAGACATGGTCAACACCAACATATGCTTTGTTAACCGATTCTTTCAATGTATCAGCAATTGCAGTAGCCGCAATAACTCTGCCTCCGCTTGTCACGATTTTACCATCATCCTTTTCACTTGTACCTGCATGGAAAATGAAAGTACTCTCAGGTAATGGCTTTTGAATGGTAATTTCATCTCCTTTACCATATGATTCAGGGTACCCACCAGCTGACATTACAACAGTTGTTGAAAACAATGGCTTGGTGGCAATTTTTACGGAATCTAATCTATGCTCTGCTGCAGCTAACATGACTTGAGCCAAATCGGTTTCGTCGCTTAATAATGGTAAAACGGTTTGTGTTTCGGGATCACCAAATCTGACATTGTACTCCAAGACTTTTGGTTCTTTTGATGGTGTCAACATTATACCAGTAAAAAGAACACCCGTCATTGGGAATCCGTCTTTTCTCATTCCATCAATCGTTGGCTTGATGATTTCGGTGTTGATCTTTTCTAGTATCTCCTTTGTTGCAATTGGTGCTGGGGCGTAAGCACCCATGCCTCCGGTATTCAAGCCTTGATCACCGTCACCAATTCTCTTGTGATCTTGTGCTGCGGGCAAATTATAAAAGGAGTATCCATCTGTAATTGTCAAAATACTCAATTCATCTCCTTCAAGGTATTCTTCAATCACAATCTCATTACCTGCGTCTCCAAAATGCTTTTCAACCATGATTTCACTCAAGCCTTTAAGAGCCTCTTCTTTGGTTTGTGGTATCAATACCCCTTTCCCTGCGGCAATTCCATCCGCTTTTAATACAATCTTGTAATCCACTTGTTCAACATGCTTTTTGGCTTCTTCATAACTTGTAAAATTCTCATACCTTGCCGTTGCAATATTGTGCTTTTTCATAAAGTTCTTGGAAAATGCTTTGGATCCTTCCATTATAGCAGCTTTGGCACTAGGACCGAAAACAGGAATACCAACATTTGTGAATACTTGTGTAATACCATCAATTAAAGGCTGTTCAGGACCTGGCACAACCAAATTGATCTTGTTATCAAGTGCAAACTTTTGTAATTTATCAAAGTCCTTAATAGATGAGCCAATTGGCACATTGGTGACTTTAGTGGATTGAGTTGTAGTTCCCCCATTACCTGGTGCAACGTAAATGTGGTTAACAGTTGAAGATTGCAATAGCCTCCAAACTATGGCGTGCTCTCTACCACCATTTCCAATTACAAGAATATTCAAGGACATCTTCTCTCTGACAACGTTAAGCCGTGGACCTTCAAACCGTTCACCGTTTAAGGGTTTAAGAGTTTTGTCTTTAGCTAGTGAAGCAGGCCCTTCTTTTTTTTTTTTTTTTTTTTTTTTTCTGATGAGTTGATGTCTTGTTTCTCTGATGGAACATGTTAGAGAGTGCATCGCTACAAAGAAGAACCAAAAGTTACATGACTTGCAAATGCAGTGAAGCAGTTGACAAGTTGACAAGTCTAATGGTTTGTCGGTTCAGTAATTTGGTACTAATTGAAGGTGGTAATCAAAGGTTCTCCTTATTGTAATAGGGATTTTTCATGGATCTACTAAATAAGTTCACATAGAACTCTATTTACCATATTGTTTTTTGCTTCCTTTTTTTAGTGCGAAATTTTGTTAATAATCATATGGACTTGGACTATGTTGGTAGAAAGTGCATGGTTCAAATCCACTTTCCATCTTTAGTGGAACTCCACTTTTGATAAAGATTAAGTGTTGCTTCTTCTTCTTCTCTCTCCAAACTATGTCTATTCAAAGTTCAAAGACAACTAAAGCCCAATGAAAAATTACTTTTTTGTGTTTATATGTGTAGTAATTACTGAAGGACATACGAATTACACATTTGTCTTCTCTCTTTTCTTGTTTTTTTTTAATCTACACTACATGGTGCTACGAACCAATCAGTAGATGAGCCGTGTAGAGAGGGAGAGAAATGATTGAACTTTTAGTCAAAGTCTCAATTAAATGATGCCATCAAGATTGAAAAGTCAAGCCAAAATACCATGAGTGATACAAATTGTGCACTAAAAAAAAAAAAACAAAAATAAAATACAAAAAAAAAAAAAAATGATTGTACGATGCTTTGGTTAAAGGTAATTGTAACGAATACCTACCTGCATTGAAAAGTAAGTTTGACCGTTTTTACTGTTCAACTTGCAAGTATATTCTGATCGTAAAAAAAAAAGAACTGGTTGATTTTCTAAGCCAGTTTGCAATATAATGTAAGCATATTTACATCTAAGCTCTTAATTTTCCTCTCTTTAATTAGGATATAAAAATTTTCACCCCCTTTGTAGGAAAATAAGCCAATCAGATTTGGGTATCCTATTTTTAAATTTCTCGCATTACTATATCTTGCATACGAGCTATCCCGAGTCAATTGATTTTAATGCAACAAAAGCCTCCTAAGAAGGGGGCGGGGAGAGATGGCACATATAGTATAACAGCTGATATAATCACAACGAATTGGTTAGAGAGATGAATTACATAGAGTTGACATTGGGCACAGACATACATCAAAACTTCCCTCAAAACAACTCCTTCCAACTCTTCTCAACTTGTCTCAGAAACTCATTTTAAACCGCCTCTCTCTCCAATACCCCAAATGCACTGACAGCTTATAAGCGAAAACTCTTTGACATTTTATCATTGGTTAAGAAAATTCTTCTTTTTTTTTTTTTAGTAAGTCTTTTGTACATTTGTTTTTATTGTGTCATAGTTAAATTGGAAAGAAAATTACTTTTTTTTTATCTATTACATCTAAAGTATCTACACTTAAGTATTAGAAACTAATATGCACTAATCAATTCTCTCTGTGAAACGCATTAATCTGTTCATCCCCTATGCATTAAAAGAGGGAGAGCGAGCAAAGCTACATATATAAACAGAATTACATTTCATTCTTTATTGTGAGTCTTCCTAAACTCTTTATTTTTCTTTCTTTCTTTCTTTCTTTCCTTCTTTCTTTCATTTTCTTGCCCCAAACAGAAAAGTCTTTCTAGTTATTCAACTTGCTTCAAATGGTCTCATTCAACACCGTCTTAAGTTTAGCCTTGGCTATTTCTACTACATACTCCTTTTCTCTCTTACACGATGACCAAGGGTATGCTATTTTACCACCAACTGAAAAAGTGTTAGAGTACTTAAAAGAAGTAGGTAAAACGGAGTCATCAAATCATTACGAAGTTGTCAATACCGTTCATGAAGATGGTGAAATAATTCAAGTTAATTTACACAGTCACGAGATGAAGAAAACTGGAAAATACAAACACAACTATGACAATTCTTGCTACAACAATAGATCCAAAAGAGATGCTGTTTTCAACAAGAGAGTGATTGAAGATTTAGAATTAAAACATTGTTTTAATGAGGAGTATGAATTAGAAACTTCTCAATGTGGATTTGACTTTGTTAGTTATGATGGTGCTACTAATTGTACTTCAGACTCGAGCAAATACTCCTGTATCTTGGATATTATGAAACAGCAAGATGCTACCAAGAAACTAAAAGATATGGATACTGTGCCAGCTCAAGTGAGGTGTTACCACGACTTGTCAATTGCTCAAAATGACGAAGTCTATGGTGGTGCTTGTTCCAACTAGTGAGTGAAGGAAAAAAAAATAAAATAAAATTTGTTCAACCCAATTTAATAGGGTTTATCTACCGACTTGGCAAACAAAACCTTGTTACATCCCTGACTTCTTGATATATATATATATATATAGGCTTTTAATGTTTAAAACAAAATTTACTCAAAATACAGATAGCAAAAACATTCTTATTCTCTTCAATATGTTACAAATAATTCTCTTTCTTTAGAAAATTCTATATACAATAACATCATGTCATTACTACTCCTATCCTTCCAAAGTTCAAGTTTCACAAAAATGCTAAATGGCAACATCACCACTGCCAATTATTCCCTCAAACTTGTAATCCTTGTCACTTGGTACTTTGACTTGATCACCCTCAGAAGTGATTGGCGAGTACAAATAATATGCCAATAAACTATTGATACTTGCTCTGATTTGTGCCTCTGTTATACTTGACCCAATACCTTCACCCAACTTCTCATTTCCAACAAATACACCGGCAAGGAATTGTGGATGCGCCGATAACCTACCAGTTTCAGCAATCAATCTTATTGATAATGGTTCTTTCAACTCCAATTTATCACATAGTCTAACCAACTCAGCAACCGGTTGACTAAACTCAAACATTTCCGTTAATGGAATTTTTCTCGATAAAATATGATCCTTGATAAACTCTTTTGCCGCCTCCTCATTGCAGTGTGTATATATACCACCTATTATCGACCTCACTGCTGAGGCATATGCGATATCTTCTTGTTTCCAATTTTGTTGTCGTGGACTCAGACCAGCCACTTCTTCAATTCCTGAAATTCTGATTTTATTATCTTTCTTTTCATCATCCATGTATCTCAACCGTCCATATTTCAAAAACTCAGACTCTTGACCCAAAAAACGATCCAATTTCGATATTTCATCAACTTCAATACCCCAACTCCTGCCCATACTCAGCAACGATTCAATACCCATCAATGAGTCCACTGCAGCATTATGTATCGACATTGGCAATCTTGGATAGTAAATCAATAAGTACTCAGTGACATAATAACTTAATAATGTTTTACCGATTGTGTTCAACCCAAAGTTATTAGCCAATCCGTCACTCTTTGATGTTGGAAGCATGTTGAGACATTGTGATAAAGTGTTTAGTTTGAATTTGGAACTCAAATTTAGTCTATTGTGTAAAGTCACTAGTAAAGGAGACTGCTCTGCCGTAGACTCTGGCAATCTATGAATGAATAGATTTGACGTGTACTCGTTTGAAGATGCAATATGGCCATTCAGTATCAGTGTAGATGATGTTTGAGTGTCAATGCTCTCTTGCTGGGTTCTGGTTGATTTGTGGAGAGAACATACCGTTGACCTTGAGTTTAGTAGTGCTGTTAAACGAATGTTGGAAAAACGGGTTATTTGCCTCAACATGGTAGACATTGCCTTATTGCTTGTCTTCTTCCTACGTAATTTGCCTGTCTTCTCCAGCCTCCCCTACGTGATTTACCTTGAGGTTGATATTGAAAAATTTTTTTTTTTTTCCTTCTGCCTTTTCTTTTCTTTTTTTCATTAACAAAATAAAGAAGTTTTTTGTTAGTGGCTCTGGAAATAGGGCACAATGTTGGGAGACAAGAGGGGGGAGATAAAGGAAAAGATTACGGAGATGGGGGATACGGAGGAGAATAATCATCTACTTTTATTGCCAAAATGCCTTTGGGATTTGGAGGGGGGGGGGGATAGAAATTGAAAAATGGATATCAGAATAGCACAGAAGGAGCTACCTAATGTGTATATTTATACACTATCGAGCAGAGCGAGATAGTGGAGCTACACTGATTATACTGACATCACCTCTACACCTCTACACTCTACACCGACTACACCTCTACCTCTACACCTCTACACCTCTACACTCTACACCTCTACACCTCTACACCTCTACCTCTACACCTCTACACCTCTACACCTCTACCTCTACACCTCCACCTCTACATCTCTACACCTCTACCTCTACACCTCCACCTCTACACCTCTACACCTCTACATCTACACCTCCACCTCCACCTCTACACCTCTACACCTCTACACCTCTACCTCTACACCTCTACATCTACACCTCCACCTCCACCTCTACACCTCTACACCTCTACACCTCTACCTCTACACCTCTACATCTACACCTCCACCTCCACCTCTACACCTCTACACCTCTACACCTCTACCTCTACACCTCTACATCTACACCTCCACCTCCACCTCTACACCTCTACACCTCTACACCTCTACCTCTACACCTCTACATCTACACCTCCACCTCCACCTCTACACCTCTACACCTCTACCTCTACACCTCCACCTCTACACCCATTGCCAAATTGCTGCGAAAAAAACCTTATTGGTCGTGTACAAACCCTCATAATTTTTCAACCAACCAAATCGGTTAGGAAGTAAAGAAAGGGAAAAAAAAGGATATGTATATATGTATATCATGTATATATGTATTACTTAAATAGGTTTAGTTGATATATATTATACGTATTTCACACAAATTATGGCTCATGTATTACCATTAAATGTGGCGGCAATTGGCGCAATGTCGTCTGTTGCTATACTTTACGTTTTGATCAAATCGCCGTTAAAGTATAAGTGGGTTTCAGAAAATAGAATAAGTCCAAAGGCTGATTTGGCGTTTAGGAATAGTGCTGAGAAATGGTTAGAGGATCATAAAGGTTCGCGTTATTGATGAGAAAAAGGGGAATAAAGGCCTTTATTGGTGGAAAATATAGCCTTTGTTGGTGAAGAGAGGGCCTTTATTAGTGAAGAGAGGGCCTTTATTGGTGGAAAATATAGTCTTTATGCTTTGAAATAAAGCAGATCTCCACTATCTCGCTTTGCTCGATAGTAGGTGTATATTTATGTCTAATATCTAAATGCTACGTGCTTTTGTTGTTTTCGTCCTTTACAAGTTCATTCAATGCAAAAACGGCTCGATCTTCATATTTCAACTGAACCCAATCGCTCTCCAACTTGATGAAGCACCACACCCATCTTCTAAATATCTCCAAGATTTCAATAATATGATAGCCAAATGAATAAACATCATAACCAAACAAAAAAGTTGAAAAAATGTGTAGATAACTAATCTTTGTATCCAGTCTCAACTCCTCATTAATGATGAATAATTTCAAAACCCAAATAAACCGAAGTAGAAAATCGATGCTTATCGCTAATATATATACAATGTTGGGATATGCTTTGTAAGGTCTTAATACACTGAATTTCTCTCTTGGATTTATCACTTTGTTAAACAATTGTAAGTGCCAGTCCATTTTAATATCCCAAATGAAGGAGTAAATTGAGTTCAATGCCGAGAGAAAATACCACCAATGATTAAGGTTGGTCAAATGTTGAATTAAATCTCCTGAGTCTCTTTCCTCTGCCGATGAGCTCAATAATCTATTCTTGATCAAAGAATTCACAACGAGCGGACCAAACCCAGTTGAGTACTTGACCAAATTCAACAAATGCTGCGGTTTTTGAGTAATTGAATATTCGTACCAACATTGTTTGATACGAATAAAAATGGGTATGCATAGTACCACAAACTCGAGCCTAAAGTCATATGCACTTGCCTCGCCTATACAGTAGCACCATACAAACAACGCAAAATCATTCAAAACTTTTCCAAATGAAACTAATGAATCACTAATCAAAATGTCGTTGGCTCTCATAGACCTAGAATTGATCGAACCACAAAGTATTCTCTTCATTGTAGTGAATACTCTTATCTGGCCTGGCGTGGCGGCTGTCTTGTAAAAAAGCTTGTAAAATAGATGAGTAAACAGTACTAATAGGATACTATAATATATCATTTTCAAATCTTTTCCATAATATTGTAAACCTTTAAATATTAACCAACAAACAAAATTGAATATCGAAATACTCCGAAGAGTAGCCCAAATACCTTTGATCAAGCGTAAATTTTCCTTGCGGTCAGCAGGAATCGTGGTTGCAAACTCTCCACTAGACAATACATGGTTATCAAGTTGGGCATAATTATGCTTCGTGTAAGACAAATTCAATAGTTGAAGAATGTTTATCGATGAAGACAAGTTATATAGTAAAAGGTTAAGCATAAACCATAGCGTGACTCCCAATTGAACTAATAGTAGTATCCTAAATGGCAAAGGTAGAAAGCTACTAAACATGAGCGCTTTGGTCTCTCCTGGAGGCTCGTCCATTTTCTTATTGCATCAATGAGTTACACCTATCAATTCGTACTTTTCTTACTTTTCTCTCCTTCTCATACTCTATCACTAATGGGTTTTTTTTTTTCATTCGCGCGCCTTTTGTGGTCTCAGATGAGATGGTGATAGACATTGCACAGTAAGAAAAGGTAGAACCGGTATATTTATTACTTTAGCTTTAGTTTACATCTACTGTTGTAAAGGGAACTACATATCTAACAGGCTTTGATGAAACTGTAAATGTACTATATATGGTAAAAGGCTTTGATGAACTATAAATGTACAATTTATGGTAAAAGGCTTCAGACGTGTCTTTGAAAAAAAAAAGATCACGATTTAAGTATGTTGATAATCAGTAAATAATTTCATGATTAGCATGGAAAAACATCATTAGCCCTAGATAATAAAAATATACATTTTCTTACTTCATCAAGCCTTTTTCAATAGCAACAACATAAATAAATCTACGGAAATAAAAAGGGTCAAGTTAATTGGAAAATTCGTGTATTGAAATGAAAATTCTACCTGAATTAAAGTTAGTAAAAATGTTTGAAAATGTTTTCAAAAGGCATTACGGCCTCAATTCCAGACCACTTTTTTTTTCTCCCCCTGTTTCTCCTATATTGATCAGAATTTTCAGTGTTTGGCTAATAATCGAATCGGTCAGCGTCCTGTAAAAAAAAAGGATCCTCCGTTTGGGGCGACATCTTTGTCATCATTATAAGGTGAAAATGAGAAGGAAAAAAAAGCCACTAGCTCGCTTCACGCACTAGTGGAGCAGTAGAAGGCCTGGAAAAAGGACACTTAATGTAATATATCCTGTAACTAAAAGCTACTAGGCTCTAAACATACAATTGGTTCTAATTAAATGTTGAATGTTGAGTATTTTAAAAGGAAAAGAAAAAGGTCAATGAACCTGAATTTTTTTTTTCTTTCTTTCCTTCTTTGGCTTTTTGTTCTTTAAGAAAAAAAAAAGGCTCATCTCATCTCATCTCATCTCATTGCTGAAAAATTAATTTTTCAAAAATGTTACCCGGATGAAAATCTAAAACCAAAGAGTTTGCACCAAATTTTCCTGAGTTGAGTTGTTCCTACTTATCCATTTTGATCTACTATTATTTCTTTCCTCGGAGTTTCCCCTTTATCTTTTCTTTTCTATTGTTTTCTCGACGCTCAGCTTTACTCAAATATCTAAACTTCTTTTTGGGTTTCTTATCCTGCTTTGATGATGGTTTCGATACACCACATAGCACGGCATAATTCTTAGACCTTTTAATGGATTTTTCCAACACTTGGTCAGATTTGGCAAGATTCACGTTATTGGCTTTGGCAATTGCTTCTAGATTTCCATTGTTCATATATGTATTATCTATTGGTTCTATCGTAACGGTTGTTGTTTCGTCATCAAATTTCACACCATTTATGATAGGTTCGTATACTTCTGTATGGCGTAATAATATTCCTTTCAAGGGTTTTGACTTACTGCCATCATCACCTTCAGCTATTTCTTCTTCTTCTTCTTCTTCTTCTTCATCTTCTTTTTCTTTTTCTTCTTCCTCGTCAAACCCACTCCACTCTACACTTTCGCCACCTTCACTGCTTTCTCCCTTTCTCTTCTCTTCTTCCTCTTCCTCATCCTCCACTTCAGAGTCAACGAAATTACCACTAATTGCTGCAATCTCCTTGACTTTTGCATTAAATTCAGTCAATTGATTTTCCAAATTTCTCTTCCTTTCATCACGCAATTGCTTTCTCTCCTCTATCCTTGCCAACCTTTCTTGCTCTTTGATATACTCTTGTGCCTTCTTTTGTCTTTGCACTTTTCTTTTGTGAAACCCTGTAAGGTATTGATAACGTTTCTCCTTATCGAATGTCACTTCTTCAACCAGATGCTTCTTGGACTTTCTCTGTGCATAGCCCTTACCCTGTGTAAGAATCTCCCTGTTGTTTTTAGCCATTTTCTATCCTTTCACAATAGTAACCGGTGGTTCTAAAAAGGAACCAGTGATTCACCAAGGAGATGATGAGATGAATCGGGAGGAGAGTCGCGGCAAAGAAAAAAAAAAAATAAAAATTACTAAAGAAATGAGGAAACCTAAAGCTTCTAAAGGTTAAAGGGAACTGGCGAATCTTTGACTTATACCAAGCTCCGAAGTCCCTTTTTGAACAAAAAATGGAGAATATTGAGAATGTTAAGCTATTCTTGAAGTCGCTTGATAGTTCTTTAGCACAATACGAACATGCTCTACAGCCATTACTCTCCAGGACAATTGATGAGCATTTAGCTTTAAAGTCAACAAATATAGATAAGATCCAATTTTTGAATAATTTCCAATATGTACTCATATCTACTATATTTTCCTATCTCAAAGCAATTGGTGTGGATACGGATCAGCATCCTATAAAAAAGGAGCTAGTCCGTATCAAGAGCTACATGTTGAGAGCCAAGGCTCTTGATAAAAGAGCAAGTGGTGGCCAGCAGAACAAGAGTAAACAAGAAGAGGAGGAAAAAAATCGGGAGAATAAGGAATACTTAACAAGGACATTGGGTATAAAAAGTGGTGTTGTCGGTATGGTGAAAGATACAAGTCCAGCTATCAGTACTCAAAGCTTTCAAGGAATTCACAAAAGATTTAAGGATGATGATGAAGAAGAAGAATCGGATGATGGGTTGGAGAAGCAGCAAGAGGAATCCCCAACAAGAGAAAACGACGTGAAAGGGAAAAAGAAAGCCAAGGACAGAAAAGATGTAGGAACAACCACAAACAGTGAAAATACAGTATTGTCTGTTTCTAGTCTGGCGAGGAAGAAAAAGCATGATAAAGCAAAAACGAAAACGAAAACGAAAACGAAAACGAAAAAACTGGGAAAAGTAACCAAATCACTTTAGTGAAAGGAGAGAGAAAGCAGCTTGTACAAAGAAAGCCACCTTTTTATTTATTTTTTTGGCTATAGTACTTGACAAGGACAATCCTAATTAGGTTTTTTTTTTCTTTTAATTTGATTATCGAAGTGAAGCTCATAAACTTTAGTGTTTACTCTGACTTCTAGATTTGCAATAGAAACTATCCTTAAGTTAAGAGGAATAGTTTCATTTCATTACTTTTACATAGCCATAATATCAATCGTACTTTCCATGGTAATTTGCAAAATGCTTCAATGAGTTTCTTAAAGCGCGACCATTCTTTGTATATCTCTTTTCTTATTTAGAAGCACCTTAACCCAAGTCTTTTTACATGTAAATGCCCATTCCCACAACTGCCCAGCTGCCAAATACATGTGGGATGGATTCTACAATCCAACAGGTGTCAGACCCAGATAAAGCCAAGCTAGTAAGGTACGGATACATCCTACTAACCCTATCATGGCTATTATTTATAGTCACCATCAATTCATTTTTCCAACTTTGGAAATTCGTTATATTCCCACTAAGGGACACGACTCAGATATACCATAAGCTATACTACTGTTTTGAGATTTTGGACGAGTTGGTATTGAAACTTTGGTGTATTTACGTAGTTTTTTGGTGGTGGGCTCTTATATCTTGGACTGGGTTGAAGTTGTTTAGACACTCAAGAGGTATTCAAAGATAAGGAGAGAAAGGGGAGTTGACAGAATTGGGGGCACATGCAAGTCATATACAAAAATATGGATAATATACTCAAGTAATATATCCAAAAGGTTCATCGGTCGATAGCTCGTTGCACAAGGCATCGGGTATCAAAAATTCATATTCTTCTAGTTGTAGAAAAAGAAAAAACTTTATGCATTTTAATAATAGTTGTATATAACGAATGATTTATCAAAGAATTGAAAGTTGTAAAGTAAACGTGTTCCGTTTACTTGGATGCAATAGAATCGTTTTTTTTGTTTGTTTTTTTAATTTCTTATTTCTAGTTTCTAGCTTTCTTTCATAATTCCCATTAAAAGTAAAAGAGCTTTATCTCATACTCGTCTTTCAAATTTTGTTCGACAAAATAATACAACTCCATCAACAAGTTTGGGAATTTGTCATTGAAATACTTGTAAAATCCATCAGGGAAAGGTCCTATTTTAGCTTGTAACGTCTTTGGTAGTTCATCATAATGACGTGATTTATTCCTAATTGCTCGAATCAAATCTGCTAGTTTTTCAGTTTGATACATTCTGTAAGTGCCCAAATTTTCAAGCAATTCCAGGTCTAATGATTTTCTCCAATCTAGTTGGTGTACTTTGGAAGCATGAGATTCCAAATTGGTTAATAGTTCACTGGGTAGTTTTCGGTTAACTCGATCTATCGTATCGCTTATCTTGATAATGAATTCAAGACGTTTATGATTTGACCAAAACAAGGGATGTTTCAATATAGTTGTAGTATTGGGCCTTCTCCTAGGGTTCGCGTCAATGAGCTTTGAAATCAAGTCAATAGACTCAAATTTATCATTAGGACATTTTTGCAATAACATTTTCAAGCTGTACTCTCCTTTTATAATGTTTCCCTCACGCATGTACCGATCTCCAAATGGGTGGTGGCCGCCAGTTAATATGTAAAAGAAAACGCACCCCAAGGAAAATATATCAATTGCCTTGGTCAACCTTTTGCCTGAACCCGTAGACGTAGTAGCAGAAGAAGAAGAAGACGATGAATCTTGTGCACCGGCTCCTCCATTGGAATGAATTGATGATATGGAATCAGTCGATATCTCCGTCAAATCATGATGCAAAAGTAACTCTGGTGCTCTCCAGCCAGATGTTCCAGAAGCGGCATATTGCGTTGTAGCCCTGAATGATGATTGATCATTGTCTAGCTTCTTGCACAAACCAAAATCAGAAATCAACAAACGGACATTGTTTTGCTCTTGAGTTTGCTCTACACTTTTATCCTTCTTTGCTTGCTTGTTTTTCACATTTGAAACTAATATGTTTTGAGGTTTAATGTCTCGATGAACAATCTTCAATGAATGTAGATAATGTAATCCACTAGCCAATTGATAAAGTATGTCGTTTTTCCTTGGAATACACAAATCGACTACCTTTTGTGGTTTCTCAATGATATCTTCTAAAGTGCACAAACACAATTCTAAAGCAATGTACAAAAATTTCTCCGATTCTGAACTTTGGGAGCAAAAATACCTAATCACATTTGGGTGGTCATCTGATTCTTGAAGCAAGCGCACTTCATGATTAGCAACATCATAGAAATCAAGTAACATACGCTTAACCGCAACTGGCCTGTTCTCAAACGAGCCTTCAAACACTACAGTTCCATGAGACCCGTAACCTAAAATCTTGTCCGATATAATGAGGTTGTTTTCAATTTGAAGCTTCTTTTTCGTTTTTGATGGAGGTAACGGAGTACTTTTAATAAGACTCTTGGTAGCTATTATGTCCTCCTCTTCGGCAGGTTTGTCTGCCTTGATACTCTCCTCTATGATTTCTTCGGCGTTTTCTTCAACATTTCCGTTGGAATTGTTGTCATTATTGGATTTGTTCTTGTTAATATGTCTACCACCTCGCTTTCCACCACGACTTCCCCTCTTTCTTTTCTTCTTTGTTGCTGGTTCTTCTTGATTGGTAGTGGTGGTGGTCTCGCCATTCATATCTCCATCTGCCTTTGACTCTACTTCTTTGACCTCATTGTCCTCAGAAGTAGACCCGTCCTCTGAATTTTCCGGTTCAATGATTCTAACTTTCTTCTTTTTATAAATAGTATTCTCTTCACCGTTTATTTCCACCAGATTTCCATTGACTTCCAGAGTCTTTTTGGTTTCAAAATCAAGATCTACAATTTTCTCACCTAAAGTATTCATAACTTCCAGGTTATCTGTACGTTCATCTTCCAGCTCATCTTCCAGTTTGTCTTTCAGTTTATCTTCCAGCACCTTATTTTCAAAAGCATCAGTACATATGGCTGCCTTCTCTTCCATTTCTGCCGCCATTGCTTCATTTTGGGCACTCATATCACCATCGATTTCCAAATCCTTTGTAACTCGAAATTCTCCAAATAATTTCTTTACATGCTTATTAGATCGACCAAAGACCATGACCAAAATTAGTACAACCAATAAAACACCAAGATCTTCAAAAATTCGCTTGACAATGGCAGCAGATCCAAAATTCCCAATTGAAGAATCAATTGGCTCATACTGTTGAGCGTCATTATTTTGAGCAGGCTGAAGCATAACAATATCTGATCCAATGGTTGACACTTTTGCAGGAAACCTAATTCCATTCACAATATTCGGAATGGTTTGCATAGGCTCGTCTTCCAGTGATTCTCGAGTCTCCTCTCGACCATCGCCAATACGTTTAATACCCAAGGATGAAAACCTACGAATAGGCTGATACGACGTTTCACTTGATAACTCATTCACCTTATGAATTCCGCTGATTAATTCTTCTACTTTCTCCGGTTTCTCTTTTGCCAACTGATAATTTGTAATATAGTTACTGTTATCATCATAGGCATCATTGATTCCAGCGTAGTATCTGTTTAAAATAGCTTGGTATTTTGATAACGGAGCACTCTTGATTAGTGTCGGATAATTTTTGAAACTCATGGCAACCCACTGATTTGAATCTGATGTCTTGTTAAGGAACACCATATCGTTGTTGTTGTTGTTGTTGTTCTGCTCGCCTGTTTGCAAGTCATTCAATACTTTTAGAGGATGCGGTAGCAAGATGTAATCATTGGTCTTGTCGCCGCTGTAGAAAACATCAAACACATTAACTGCAAGCGCTGGTAATTTGCTAATCCATATGGGCGTGCCCATATCTTTATTGATAGCCAATAACGAACGATCGTGAAATGGAGTAAAGTAAAGCTTGTCCAACGATTCTTGATTTTGCATAATTAAATCATTATCAATGTTGTTGGGAACCCACTTGGAGTATGTGACATTCCAGACGATATTACTATTTGTTTTTGAATGAATACTCAACTCATATGTGGTTTTGCCAATCATGATGGTATCTTCATTAGCAGCATTCTGATTAGGCGGTAGTGCGCTTGTGGGAACAGGACATGCTGCTGCTGCTTCTTGACCAAAAGACGATTTGATTTCACCTGTATGTATGTTCAAATTATACAAGGATGTTCTTCTTGTACCTGTGTATATTTTGTCGTCGCCACTCAAGGAGAACGGAGACTCCATGACGAGGGTTTTAATGCTAGTTGGAAGTTTATTGAGCCCAAACATTGGCGTGAAATAGAATAGTGTGCCATCTTCATAGGGTTCAACAAACCAGAGTATATTAGATTGTGTTTTCTCACTAGATGTTGTATTTTCGTTTGAGTTATTTGTTTGCACCTTAACCAAAGGTTCATCGATAGGTAAGGTCCAGATAAGCGAGCCTGTGCTTCGTTCTAATCCATGTAAGTTACCATTTACATCGCTGATCAATAGTAGGTCCTGAAGCTCGCAATCATCAATTGATCTGAATTGTAGCGGTAGTAGCGATGATATACCGCGATTGGTATCATGATTATTCAAGTTTTCTAGTAGTAGCCTTTGCTGTTGCTGTTGCTGTTGCTGTTGTTGTTGTTGTTGTTGTTGTTGTTGTTGTTGTTGTTGAAAAGTAGGAGGTTTTAATGGAGGTTGGGGTAACTGAGTGTGTTGGGGTCGTGATTGTTGTACCAACTCATTCTGGTGCTGGTCATATTGGATAGATTTTGCCGTTAGTCTCTCTAGTCGTGGTGAACAGTAAACCAAGCCTATGAATATTAGGGATATAAAAGAAGTAATACAAGATATCAAATGCATTCTTCAGTCTTGTATCTACCTTCTTCAGTCTCAAAATGCCTCTGTCTACCTCTTCAGTCTCAAAATGCCTCTGTCTACCTTCTTCGGTTGCCTTTTGTATCTACCTTCTTCAGTCTCAAAACACCTCTGTCTACCTTCTTCAGTCTCAAAATGCCTTTGTCTACCTTCTTCAGTCTCAAATGTCTCTTCTATCTACCTTCTTCTACCTTGTATGGAAAAAGAAAAATTTTTCTTCTCTCTATTTTTCAAGACGGATAAATTATTGGAGTCTAGTTTCAATATTGGTTACGAGTTGGCAAGTCTAAAGTAAGTGAGTACAGTTTGATAGGTCACAGTGAAAAATTTTGTGAGCATTTGAATCGACTGAGAAAAAAAGGAGGCCCGCGAGTTTAACGTCGTGGCAAGTGGACGCTCCAACCAGGGGCTAAAGTGTGTGTGTTTAAGTGTGTGAGAGAGAATGTAAATGAGTAGTATAGTAAAGGAAAGCAGGAGAAAAAAGATATTTTTCCTTATACGTCATTACCATTACAATTTTTTTCTTTTCCGTTTATCACCTTAACTCTCAATCTTGAATTTATCTCTTTTCAAGGAATTGATAGATTGTTAGCAAGGGAGGAATATATTGTCGGTAAAAGAGGAATTGATTGTCAGTAAGAGAAGAATATATCGTCAGTAAGAAACTAATCGCATTAATTTTCTATAGCAAAATTAAGAGAGGTTACAAGGTTATCTACTTCCTCTAAAAATAGAAAATAGATGTATATAAAATAAAATAAAATAAAATAAAAAAAAAAAAAATTCGTCACATTATCATACATAAGTTAACTTCTAAATAACTCATTCATTCCTTGTCTAAACCTTCTTCTGTTACTTCGCACTTCATTTCATCAAAGATATCGGTCGTTCTAACTTGGCGTTGGTCGGCAATTAATGTTACCAACTGTAAAGCCACATCCTTCAATTCATTATATTTTTTCAATTGTTGAATGTGTTTTTTAATGATCACTTCTGGGTGTTGATTGCCTTCTAATTCATGTATCAAAGTGCGACATTGTTGTTTTATCTCATCAAGATTCTTTTCCTTTAAAGAAATTCGCTGTTGTTCTTCAATCGATACTGATTCTCTTGCATTTTGAGCTGTACTTGTATCTGTATCTGTGTCTTTGTCTACAGTTGCAGCTGATGTCGTTGTATTAGGAGTAATAGTAGGAGTAGTAGTAGGACTTGTGTCAATGCCAGCATTAGTTGTAGATGGTGATCCTGACGAAGAAGGAGGAGGAGAAGATGGTACTGCCGCTGGTACTGCTGTTGATACTGCTGTTGGTGCTGCTGTTGATACTGCTGTTGGTGCTGCTCTTGATACTGCCGTTGGTACTGCCGCTGATACTGCTGCTGATACTGCCGTTGTCACTACTGTTGATACTGCAGAGCGGCTTTTACTATTATGGAGCTGTGACGTAGATGAGGATTGTAAAATATCCAATGTTTGATCGATTAGGGTATTGTTTGTTTCTAGTACTTTTGACTCTGTCATTGTAAAGGTATGAGTGGCGTGTGTGTGTGATGTATAGACTTCTGTGTATATTTTGTATATAATTACAAAAATGATAACAATATGTAAAAGTTATAAGGTGTCAAATTAAAGGTTGGTCTGCCAACGGGAGTACACTCGAGTAGGAGGAAGGGCGTACGTTGGTGGGATAGCGAATTGGTGGTGATGGTAGTAGTACCAGTAATATCTCTGCCTTCACTTTATGTATGTGTGTGTGTTTATCCAAAATCAATTAAAATGGTGAATTCTATTAAAAAAATATATATATATATATTCAAAAAAAGAAAAACCTTATTTCTCCCCAAATGTATATTTACTTCCCTATTTGTAGAAAAAAGGGGATATTCGTTATCCTATAGATCCCGAGATACAGTAGTGGTTGATTTTTTTCTATGTAAATTGACCTTTATTATATAGTATTTTTTGGTCCAGAATTGGTCTACTCTTTTAATCACTACACTTACTCTTGGAAAGGAAAAAAAAATGATAGATAATGAATATATTTGTTCGGGTAGTTTTTTTTTTTTTTTTTTTTTTTTTTTTTTTTTTAAAAATTTTTTATTTNAAGATAGAGCGCAGGGAGGAGTAAGATGTGGAGTTTTTTTGTTTTTTTTTTGTTTAACAATTTGCTGAGAAAGTCAATTATCAAAATCTCTCTAATTTTTTTTTCATTTAGCAAAAAAATTGGATAAAACTAGTAAGGTAATGAGTATGTGGATAGGTGAGTGAGTAATATAGAGTGATGTGAATTAATGAAAGTGCGTATTTAGTGTATTTGTTACTTTAGTCAATTGCGTACGTTTTCAAGTTTAGGAAACGTTCAAAGGGAAAGGCATTATTATGGTTTTTGAATTGGGACACATTTTACCACATTTATAGGATAAGCTCAAAATTTGGGGATTAATAAACCACTACAATGTAAAACATTTACCAGAGCTCAGTTAAGTTACTAGTAGGTCTTTGTCTTTTCCCACTTGGTTCAAACTTGACTTATCAAAAATATGTCAAAAAACTTGAAGATGCACAATTGACTAAATTATACGATTACACTCAATAAATGTAATTCTACTTTAGTTGCTTACAATTGGTTTCATATTTTTTTTTCAACTAATATAGGCAGGTAGATAGGTGTCGTCCACTCCATGTGGCTGGTACTACAGGGAGAAAAAAAGAAAAAAAAACAAGAGAAATAAACAAGGCTATCCCTCATTACACGTTTCGTAACTGCTTGCCAATATTGTAATAAGCTCTCGGACAACTCGTCATTATTCATATAGTTATTATTCCCAACTGCTTCTATTTTAGTCTCTTTTTTTTTTTTTTTTTACCAAGAAAGTTCTACACGGATTGACAGGGAGAGACAAATTAGTTTCATAGAGTACCCTGTATTATGAACATCATCACCACTTTTCTTGCGACACTATCGAGCGACACTATCGAGCGAAGCGAGATGCTCCACTATCTCGCTTCGCTCGATAAGTATACTTCTCCTGCTCCACTATCTCGCTTCGCTCGATAAGTATACTTCTCCTGCACCACTATTTCGCTTCGCTCGATAAGTATACTTCTCCTGCACCACTATTTCGCTTCGCTCGATAAGTATATATCTCCTGCACCACTATTTCGCTTCGCTCGATAAGTATATATCTCCTGCACCACTATTTCGCTTCGCTCGATAAGTATATATCTCCTGCACCACTATTTCGCTTCGCTCGATAGTGGTGCATTGACTAATGACATAGTATACTTCTCCTGCCTCCTAAATTTGGCATTCATTTTTTCAGATTGGGATATTTTTTCTTTTCTGTTTATGCACTGCCAGCCTTTCCATTTTAATTATCGGGAAAATAGTACACACAAGAGACTCTCTCATACAATAGAGTTGTCCAATTCGTTATGCTGCATGGGACGAGAGACTCTCTCGTACAATAGAGTTGTCCAATTCTTCAAGCTGCATGGGACGAGAGACTCTCTCGTACAATAAAGTTGTCCAATTCTTCAAGCTGTATGGGACGATGCTGGACGAAACAAAAAAACAACTCATCTCTACCATCCTCACATGCAAATTAAAGAAACAAGAAAAAAAAAAGACTAAAGACAGCCATTTGTTTTTAGAGTTGGATATTATCAGTAATTAATGTAATGCTATCATTACTCGAAAGGGAAAAAAAAAGGAGTTATTGGGATATCAATTAGGTTGATAGTTAAAAAAAAAAAGTAGGCTACAATTAATCATTAAGCTTTAATCAGGAGTAAGCGGTATCAAAAATGAAGAAGTTGCTAGGAAGAAGACATCAAAAAAAAAACAAAAAAAAACCCAACAACAAAGAAGCGGTTATTGAAGAACCATTGACGGTGAAGGAACAGCAGGTAGTTCATTCTTCATATTTTTGGCAAAACTAGGATTTACCTTATACTTATCAGTCATTAATTTATAGCCTGGATTATTCCCATTTGTATCATTATATTGATAATCCTTGTAGTTTTCCAGGTATCGAAAATAGTTTTGGTTTTGGTTTTGTTCCTTTTCCTGCTGCTGTTGCTTAAATTGAGAAAATGACTGCTTTTGTATTTGAGGCAGTGTAATTCTGATGCCATATGCTTCTGATTCATACTGTTGTTGTTGCTGCTGTTGCTGCTGTTGCTGTTGCTGTTGCTGCTGCTGTGTATGTAATACCGCGTCCAATTGAGCTTGTGGTTTCCGCTTAATTGCTTGCGCCTGTTGTTGACGTAATTTCTGAATCGAAGCATTCAAATCGAAATCCCCCCCTGACACCGTTCGCCTTTTATATCCATTTACATCAGCGACCCCATATTGGATTGGTTCAATAGTATAATTGAGATTAGGCGGTGGTGTGCTAGAAATTCTATACTTGGGAATCGACAATGGCTGTGGTGGTGGTGAATTAGTATTACTAGCGTTGCTATGTGGATATAAGGTTGGTGACCCTAGAATTGAATTACTTTGCTTTCGTTGTGTGTTTGCTCCAGAATTGGAGTTTGAGTTTAAACTTAAATTTGGGTTTGAGTTTGAGTTTGATCTTGACCTTGAAACTAAGGAAGTGAATGATGGCTGTTTGCGCAATACCTTTTTGACTTTTTTTGCTTGTTGTGGTGATGAAGAAGATTTCATTTTTGTAGTAGTGGTAGTAGTAGCAGTTGCTGCTGCTGCTGCTGCTTCTGTACTATTCTGAGTACTGGTAACTACTGATTGACAAATTTTCAAAAACCCAACAAAGCTAAATAATATCAGATCAATATTGAGACTATAGTTACTATGAATTGGTTTTGAATATTTGGCACCCAAATTATGCAATTGTAAATTGAAATCTCCAAAATTGGGACTTACTTGTGATATAATTGGATTAACACTTGATTCTATTTTCTTCCAGTTACCTTCATATTTTTTGAATAGTATACTATTTAAAAATCCAATATTGTTATTTGAACCATAAAAGAGCCAGAATTTTGCACCAGAAGTTGCTAACTTGACGAGCCCTGTATTTTGAAATAATGTGGATGTTATGTAGTTTAGTAGGATAAAGTACAACCAATAGTTAAGCAAGAACTGATACGATTGGTAGTTGAACTCAATTGTTGGGTCGAGTGCTTTGATTGTGCATAGTATGGGAACTAACGAAGTTAGAGTATTGAATACTAAATCTAGAATATTGAACATGGGATAATTCTAATAAAGAAAAAAAGAAGGCTATCCTTGTATATGATAGTGGTGAAATAAATACTTTTGTCTATATATATATATATATATAATTATTTGTTACTACTTTGCCATTAGCGGATAGATTTATATCTTATTTACATTTTACATTTGGTGTGTATAATAGATGTCATTCTCCCAATCCTTTGTTACTGTATTCACTCTCAATTTTCATTCATTCTCTCTATGTACAAAAATTTTCTATTTCTTCTCACTTTGTGGCCTCTCCCCAGCAAGATTTTCTTTCCATTATATTTTTTTTAAATCTGTACCAGGCCTTTTTCTTTAGTTGCTCTACCCGAAAAGTTCCTTCTTTTCTTTGTTTTTCTCGTTTGTTATGGATCTCGCATTTAACCTTGCCTGCCTAATTATACTAAAAGGTAAGAGATGCCTCCTATTAAAAATTTCTAGCATTACAAAAATGGTTCGGGTACAGGACAAAAAAAAAAAGAAAAGTGTTAATGGCTGGGTATTTTGTTCCATTGAGAAAGAAAATAGCAAAAAAAAAAGAACCGCAAAATGGGTTTGGGGTTATGTGCCAGTAAAAACCAGGAGAGAAAAGCCGATAGAAAATTATTTGGTATTGTAGTTTCTATATGGAACACAATCCCGAAGAAGAAGAGGAATGAAGAAGAAGAAGCTGCAGAAAGCGTCCCCCGTGGAAAGAAGGGAAACTATTGTAAACTCTTTCTTTGTCCTCTCATGCTTCTCTATTGCGCCGCCTTTGACTTCGCCTCTAGCTAAAGAGAATAGAAAAGATGATTTGTTAAGGAAAACTTGTATTAAAATTAGATGGTAACAGTCATTCCGTAGCAAGACCTTTTTTGTTTTTTTTATTGGAATTTATAAGCCTGTTTGTTTTTCCGAGACGTACAAAATTTGTATGAGGAGAAAAAGTTAACTAAACTGAAATATTTTGGCTAATCAAGAAATGATTGCGTTAGTTAGAAAGAAATGATTGCGTTAGTTAGATCCAAAAATGTTTCAACGGTTTCACACTTTGAAAAAGAGCTGATGATTTATCTAGGTCACAAATTAGGGCAGAAAAGCCAATAAAAAATTCATCTTCCTTTATCTAAAATAAAAAGAAAGAACTTCAATACGCTTATATCTTGGATTCAATGATTCCTGGAAATGATTCCCGATTGCACACAATACCTTTTTTTTTTTATTGTTTTGTTAATTTTGCAATCTGTAGGTAATATAGCTACGTCCATGTAACCGTTTGAGTAAAAGTTAAAAAAAAAAACATATACTGGAAATACATATTTGAAACAAAAACTCAGTCTCCTCCACAAATGAACAGTTCAACCACTAAATCATTAAACGGTCACTTCTTTCAATTTTCCAAGAGTTTTTGATTCCAACACCCTGGAATTTAGTTGGGTGGGGAGTAAAAAGCTCATTCTTTTTTCTTTTCCTCTCTCTCTTTTCTTTTCCTCTCTCTCTTTTCTTTTCTTCTCTCTCTCTTTTTTTTAGAATAAAATTTTAAATGGGGTTAAATGGTTTAAAAAAAAAACTACTACTTTATTCTTGTTGATTTCTAATTATGATTCAATTGTATTCTTCTCTACTGACCCATTCTATTTATCCTCTTCAGCAACTTGTCTAATTCCAATTTGGTCACCTTGAGCAATTCCTTCAATTCCTGACCGGAATATTTCTCCCTCAACTCTTTATCTGATAAGTTATCAAAATTGTCACTAAAGAAGGCAGCACTCGATAATCTACTATTATCGGTATTACCTTTAAATTCCTTCCCAAACTCACCATCGCTTCTAGATTCTAGCCAATTCCAAATATTGATCTCTTGTTGGCGTTGTTTCCTCTCATTTGCAAAATTTGTATTGATCATTGGAACAACCAAGAAATCCTTGTCGTTGATTTTGATTCTTGAAGTGTACGCATTTGAAGGCAAAATTTCAAACACTGCCTTTTGTGAACTACCAAAGCTGAATATTCCTCCGATTTTGTTGAAAATGAAAATGGAAAAAAGAAAACCAATCAAAAAGATGACTGAGCCAACAATAGTGTTGCTCAACATTGGCACTGGAACTAAATCGCCAACAGAATCAATCAAGTTGATGAGTTGTTGTGCTATACCAGGCGGTGTCTTTTGCTCTTCAATAGATGGTTTCTCTTCCTGTTTCTCTTTCTTTTCAGTATTCCGTCTGGCTTTAGTAGATTTCCGTTTTCCAGAGTCACCACCAGTACCACCTTTCTTTCCTCCTTCAGCAATAATATTATTTAAGGTTTCAATCATCTCTTTCATACTCTCCTTTTGTCCATCAATAGTACCTTTCTCAATGGCTCCCTTGATCCATGATTTCCCATTCCATTCTATCGACGTAGCAACATATAATTTGGTCTGGTTCTTTTCTGCCCAACTAAAAAATAGCTTGGTCTTGACCTTGAAAGAATTCCCACTGGGAACATCTGGTGTTTGTGTAACTTGCTCAACTCCATAAACCTTATCAGGATTATACTCAAGAAGATTATCATCAATAACACATTTGGTTTGTTTGGGTCCTATGGGCCCGCTAAGTGGCTTGGTATAAGTATAGTGTCGACTTTTACTATCTGTACTCAATGCATGAATTGCAGATTCATCAATATCAAAATTTTTTTGCTCCTTTAATATTCTTGAGAAATACAGAGTTTCATGACCAAATAGTAGTAGATAAACAACTCCCGGTGGTGCTTTTATAATATCCTCAGCAATGAATGTATCTCCTGAATCCTTAACGTACCCATTTTCCGTAGGCGCGTGTGTTGCAGGTCCAACTATAGCAAAACCCTTCCATTTCTCTCCACCATCACTAGCTTCACTTCCATCTTTATCCTTCTTCTTATCCCTCTCCTTCTCTTTTTCCTCCTCGCCGTCTCCTTCATCCCCCCCATTGCTCTCGACTTCCTCCTCTGTTCCTGCAAGCAGTATATTATCATCATATTCATCTGTACCGCCTGAAAATTCATCATCAGAAGATTCTCCACTATCAGTAAGGCTTCCCGCAGACATGATTGATGATTTCGAGCCAGCTCTTATCCTTGTGGTTCTCAATTTATTAGGATCAAGATCAGAATTTTGCAACAAGACTCTATGCCAAATACTGGTAATTAAGTCAAAAGCTGTATCCCTACTCAAAATAGTCGCAAAAACGTATTTTTGGTGCAAAGTTCGTATAATCATACCATTGGGAAATAATACTGCTGTTGATTTTTTCTCAATCTGTATAACTTCTTGCAACGGAATCATGATATGGGTCACCCAGCCTAGAATATTGGAGTTGAAACATATGTAGTGATCACTTAGATACATTTTCCCCTGGACCAAGATGTCTTTAGACAATGCACAACTGAAATCAGCAATCAATTTTTCAGACTTGGGAATTTTTTTAAACGCATGATGAAATTCTCTATTGGCTTTTCTTGATGCATGTTTAATCTTCTTACTGTAATCTATTGTATGATCTATTTCATCTGGTTCCGAATCTGAATTGTCACGAGACTCACCATCATCAAGAGTTCCCCTCAGTTTACCTTCGCTTCGATTTCTTGTGTTGTCTTCAGAATATCCATTTGCTGATAATTGTGAGGTCCTTCCAATGGATCCACTTCGATCTACTGCTGAGCTCAGACCATTGATGGACCTTCGATGTGCTCTTTTCGTGTCCACCCCATTTGCCACTAGTAGCGGTTGATTTCCTTGTGGTACGGTTCTATTGGTCGCGTCGGGACTGAGTTTCCTCTTGATGCTTTGGCTTCGCCCGTCATTTGATGATAGCATTGAGGTTTGACGAGATGGCAATCGAATATGGTTGTGCGTACTATTTTCGAAATCCGCCAACGACAAGTCCCCATTGCCCAAAGTGTTCAAAGGAGATTCCCTCACTGGTTCAAACTGAACATTCAGCGCAGGGTTTGAATTAGTACGAGCCAACCCCGGTTGGTTTGTTTCTCCAGCAACCACATTTTCAGTTGATTCTTGACCGTTATTATCGGCTGTTGCCTCTCCTCCACCAATAAACTTGCTTTCATCATGCCTGACGGATTTTATCAAGTTGTCCAATTTGTTGGCAAACAGATGTTCCCTTTTCTTCTCCTTAGTCTCCTCTGGAATCCCTGAAATCATTTTATTAGCAGCTGCAGTGAATAGCGAGGATAAAAATCCTCCGGAATCAGATCGTGTAATATGTTGCTCTGCCAGTGAAGATGTGGGCGCTGCTACTGTACTTGTTGCTGTTACTGCTGCTGCTGTTGTTGTTGTTGTTGCTCCACCACTACCAGTTGCAGACGAGGCTGTGCTGTGGCTATGGTTTAGGACATTATTGCTCAAGGAAGAAGTAGACGAATGTTGCTGAGAACCCTTGTCTGGAGCATGAAGATAATTTCCATGAATTGCATTTGAATCATTAGAATTGTGTCTCATTACAGCAACTGCAATTGCAGGATCTTGATTTATAACATCACTATTTGCTTCTTCTTCTTCAACATCGTTTCTTTGTCTTCTTTCCTCATGGTCGACATTCTCTATTGGCTGGTTCGCAAATGTTGCTGTCGCCATTCGGTTGTTTAACCTACCAGAATAAATTGGCTTTGTATTCTTTGTAACGTTGGGTTTCTTTGGATTTGGCGATACTACCCTATTTACTGTACTAGATGCAGGTCGTGCCATAATTAGAAAAGAAGGCCCAGATTTTATCGACTTGTCTTCCGACTCTCTCGGAGAGTAACTCATGAATAGTCTACTTTGTGAGCTCTCCCTCGATCTCTTGAGAGAATTTGTAGAGGAGCTTCGGGTATGGCGATGACGGTGCTGCTGCTGCTGCTGGTGCTGCTGGTGCCACTGCTCTCTCTTCTCTTGGCTCAGACAAACTTCAAGTTGCGACTCCTTCTCCTCTGGAACCAGTTTTTTCCGTCTAAGCAATAATCGCAATCCCATCTTTCTTTTTTTTTTTCCCCCTTTGCTTCTTACCCTTGCCTCCCCTCCCCCTAAGAGACTGGGGGCGCAAATCTTTTTTTTTTTTTTTGCAATTAACCAGAATTATTCAATTTTTGTAGTGGCTCTAGCAAACACGCCACCTTGACTCTTTGGAGAGAAGAAAGAAGGCAGACAAAGAATAGTGAAAAAAAAATAGTTTACTACTATATCAATTGAAGAAAAGGATCAAGAAACAATTTGGATTTGGATTTGTTGAAAAAACACAAATAAACGCTATTTTTTTTTTTCAATTGTCTATTAGCCACTTGTGATCTTTCCGACTTTTCCATGAACTTTTTAATTTTTTTTTCTATCTTGCATTAAATTGCTTTGACTAAGTTTGGATCTCTTGTTCACTTTATGTGGGGGTGTAGAGGTTATTAGGGGGAAGGGGGCTGTTTTACGGGGGGAACAGATAACATATAGATATGTTGTTAAAGACATACAAACTCTCTACCTGTCTCTATTACGCAAGATATGGGTGACGTTTTGCAGCCAAAAAATAAATCATTTTTCAACGGTTATGACACTATCGAGCGGAGCGAGATAGTGGAGCAGCACTAAAAAGGGCAAAGGGCAAAGGGCAAAGGGCAAGGGTAAAAGAAGGGGGGGTACTTAATGACGAAACAATTTTATACGCTTTTGAACTTTGATTATAAACAATAACGAAAAAGAATTGAAATTTGTTTTTCTATAACTTGAATCAACCATCAACTAGCTGAATCTTTTCTTTTTGCCTTTAACTTTCTTTTTTTATTCTTCTGCTTACTCAAGAATACCACCCAATAATCCTTTGACTTGGTTGGTTAATCCCAAGTTAGCATCGTAATCGATTGAAAAAGAGGAAACTGCACTTTGACATTTGGTATATTCAACAACAAAGTTTTCTGATGGTAAAGAGCAATCACCATTGTTACAAACAGTTAACGCGTTCCACCCATCTTGAACATAGTAAAATGAGTTTGAAGTAGCGTTGTATTTCAAATCTGCACCTGAAGCATATTCACCAGTCAATCTAGTAAACACCCATGTTGGATCAGTACATGATTCATTCAAGTAACCAACGGGTGGGAAGTTAACATTCAAACCAACACCAATTGGCAAAACTCTTGGATTTACACCTTGAGTTTTGAACAATTCATTAACAAGTTCAGTAACCTTGATTGCATAAATAGTTGCTGGCTCTTTTGTGTCATCTAAGTCCAAGCTATCCTTGAAAAATGAGTTGTTGCCGTTAGAACCACTAAATGCAATCGCTGGCAAGTTTCTGTAAATGGCATTGTATGTAGCTCCTATTGTTCCACTCAAAGTAAACATACCGGGACTCATATTCAATCCTTCGTTTGGACCGCTAACAACCAAATCAATTGAGACATTGTTGAATTTTTCTGGAAGAACATACTGCAAGGCAAAGGCAATTGACGAAGCTGGAGTACCATTGAAATACCAAATATGGTCATCATCAGCCTCATGACCAAAAGATGGTGCTCCTGGTCCTGGATATCCAAACTCTCCTCCCTTTCCTTCAAGTGTTGGGGACGTTGGAATGTCAAATTTACCACCATAGCCCGATCTTTGTGATACTGGGGCAACTAAGAAAACATTATGGCCAGCATCTTTTAATTTATAGTAGGTGGCTCTAATGTTAGTAGACTGCCAGCCATCATCATTGGTTAAAAGGATATTTTTGGAAAAAGCCACACTTGCAATGAACAACAAGAGGGAAGTAGCTAAAAACTGCATTTTGTACTAGAGTTGGAAAACAGGTTGTTAATAAAGATTGCTTTATGAACAAACCTGTAAGCGGGGTGAGAGGAAATCTGTCCCTATATATATATAGAGAATATTTCTCACATTGCTTATTCCATATCACCAGAAGGCTAATATCTTTACACTCAGATATTGATATGCACTTATCCATACGCTTGAATATTGATAGTTTCCAATTAAACTCTCGGTCTCAATAATGAGATTTACAGTGTTTTTTGCAGCATAAATACTGCATATAGTCTTATTACAGCAATAAATTAAGAGTATACACGGGTGCGTAGATTTTATTTAACCAATTAATTAATTTTGACAGGAACTGTTGCACCCAACGTGGGCGAAAGTTGTTTAGAAAATGACAACAGTACTTCTTTTTGTTTTTTTTTTTAAGAAGATAGAGATGTTTTAGTTACCATAACCTTTATAAATCAAAAAGTTCAATAAGAAAAAATGTAGTTGATAATTTTATCCTGTCAAAGCTTTTGGCTTTTTCCGCTTTAATATGCGAGTCATTTACTAGCGTACGGCATTAATATATTGTATATTGCATTTTAAAGAAATCGATAAAGAAAAGTATTTCTAGAATACCTATCAAACCCGTGAGTTGAATTCTTTTTTTTCAAAATACAAGCTGTTTCACGCTAACTTCATTTCTACCAAATTTGATGATAAGGTTACAATTGTTTTCCACGTTTTTGCGCAAAATAATTTTTCTATTATTGTAAAAAGAAAAAAAAAAAACAATATTAAACCTCATTGGGATCCAATTGGTTGGGTACAGTTTTTCATATCTCTTGGTTTTTAATCTCTAAAATTATGCAAGTTGCTAGAGTACGATATGATGCTTTTACTTGTGTAGGTATGAGTTTGTATTTTTTTTTTTTCCATTTGGTACAGGATTTCTCCTTTTCTTGACACACAACCTCCCCTTTTATCAAAATTGGTCCAGTTTTTGATCAAACTTGGAAAAGGCTTTAGGAGGTTTTGAGTTTTTGTTTACTTTTACAATAAAAAGAAAAATTTGACTCGTAGTCTGCGTTAAGTAATTGGGATTTAGCAGTTCTTTTCGATTCGGTAGAAAACTATGGAAACATTTGTAGAGATGGTTTCCAACCACAAAATGAATATTTATTCCATGACCACGAGGTCAATTTACACTATCGAGCAGAACGAGATAGTGGTGCGCACTAGCTGCCACTGACACTATCAACACTATCGAGCAGAACGAGATAGTGGTGCACACTAGTTGTCACCAACACTGACTCAATAAATCGGTTGAAATTCCGACTACCTCTATTGATAAATCGGTTCAAATTCCGACTACCTCTATTGATAAATCGGTTCAAATCCGGACTACCGTTATAAATAAATCGGTTCAAATCCGGACCATGGCTCTTAATCCGATAAAACTGACTTTTAGTCAATTCAATTCCAAAAAGACAAAAGCTCTTGCTAGCTCCCTGCTGGCTAGTAAGAGTGAGTGCTGCTCTACTATCTAGCGAAGCGAGATAGTGTCGCTGTTAGCTAGTGACAAGGAGTGCTGCTCCACTATCTCTCTTCGCTCGATAGTGTCGCTTGATAGTGTCGCTCAAGTAAAAATCAATAAAATTATTTGAAATGATGCAAAAAAAAAACCACGGTTTTAGTTGGTATTCTTTGAATGTAACTGTATAGACTTGATAAAGAATTAAGAAAAAGAATAATGAGTTTATCAATACTTGTTTTACATCATATCTCAAGATACTTACATATTTTCTCAACTTCTATATATATCAACAAAGATTGATCCACGGCTCAAAAACTATGATCTCAACAAGTGCCGCATTGATCCTCTATCAAATTCAACTCTCTACCACAAAGTATAAATCACCCCCCCCCCCCCCCCCACTTAGTAAAAAAATCATAGTATGAAATTCAACATCATATTCTCTTTTGTTATCAACCGAAAAAATTTAAAGACAACGAAAAAAAAAAAAAAATAAATAAGAAATAAAAAATGTAATATGAAGACTACTTTTCGTTGAAGTTGTTGGGGTAGAAGGAAACACAACTGGATTGATTAAAACAACACAAACTGGATTGTTTTTGGTGCTGTCAACTTTTTTTTCAAGTTAGCTAATACTTTGACACTGCAGGGGGTAATAGCTATTACTTCAAACAGGATTTTTCAAGCTTGCATTAGAGATGGCAATATTTTCTTCTTTAGCTGGTTTTTTCAAGCGCAACAGACGAAGAATTTTTATAACAAGCGCAGTAACTGTTTCAGTCTACTTGCTCATTAATGAGTTTATTGTCAAGAAATTCAGAAATTATCAAAATGCTTTAAGGCAGGAGTTGATGTTCAAGCAGCAGATTAAACAACGGTTCATACAAACTCAACAGGATTGTTACTATACTATTTTAGCATTGCTACCAGTTTTGGCTGGTCCAATAATAGATGCTTTACCGGTTGAGCTCATTACTCAGGCATTGAGAATGAAAAAAGGTCAACAAAACCAGTCGCGGCAACAACAACAACAACAGGAACAGCAACAGCAACAGCAACAACAGCAAGTGACTGGCGGTAGTAATAGCGAATTGACAGCCGATAATCTAAACTTGTTAGATAACAATAACGACCCCGAGTCGAAATTGTCGGTTTATATGAACAAGAGCAAAGTTGAGTTGTGGAATTTATTGAAAATCAAGACAATCACACGTACGCTTACATTGATGTATTCTATTTCCGGGTTGTTGTTGGTGACAAGGTTACAGTTGAACATATTGGCAAGAAGATCATACTTGGAGTCTGCTATATTGCTTGCAGGCGTCAAGAACCCCAATAACGATATCGACCCTCATGAAAACTACATCATAGAGCAAAGCTATCTTTCATTGAGCTGGTGGTTGTTGAATAAAGGATGGCATAATTTGAGCTTGTTAATCGAGGCAGTTGTCGTGAAGAAGTTTGAGAATATAAACCCAAAAACTGAATTGGGAGTTGTTGAATTTGAAATGGTTTTATCTGACATAATTGGCGAGATCAATGCCAACAACAAGGAACACATCTTGGCCAATTTGTTCCCTATTAACTACCCGGATTTATTAGAAACAGTTTTAAACACCAATCCCGATTTGATACATCATTTGGACATCCCCGACTCCAACTTGACCAAACTCATTAACGAAACAAACGCAATCATGTTGGACAATAGCTTATATTTCTTTGATTTGTTGAACTCGCTAATTATCACCGATTTACAAACACTAACTTGTAATCTTTCGGCGAATTTGGCTAGTAACATGTCAAATAGTTTGGTCATGTCGGGAACGTTACCGGAACAAAGTGAGAAAATCACAGAAATTCCTATAAAAGCATTTAAATTGGCCAGCTTTTTGGCACAGTTATCGGTACAGAATGGTATTATGGTGAACAATGATGATGTAAGAGACAATAGAAATGCAGATGCAAATGATGATGCAAATGATGATGATGATGATGACGATATCAAGGGTATACTTAATAGTCTAAACAACATGGAAGGATTTGAGAGTAATAGTGGTAGAGGAGGTTCTCGCTCTGATGAATTGAGTGGAAATGTGTATATAAATACATTGGATAACTTGGAGGAATTGGATGATTTTAGTGCAAGTATATACTCAAACTTTGAATAAATAACAACAGTGTACTATATATAGCCAAAATGATTGATAGAATGTCAAACTGATATTCCTTTTTTTTAATACTAGTAGAGATTTGTTACTTTGCTTCAAGAAAAGAAGAAGAAAGAAAAAAAAAAAATTGCTTGACTAAGGAAAAGTTGAAGTGATTTTTCTCTTGTCTTGTTTTCTTTTTGATTATGATTTGATTAAATACCTTTTAACTTGTACTTTCTTAGAGCTTTTCATCAACTTTAAACACAGCGATGTCTGCTCCAAAAGTCATAATTATATCTTCTGATGAGGAGAGGTTCCCAGTTGAGCAAAAAGTGGCTGAAAAGTCGATCTTGATGAAGAACATGATTAACGATTTGAACCCCGATGGATTAACTGAAGATTTCGAGATCCCCACACCAAACGTCAGAGCCAATGTGTTATCAAAAGTGTTGGAATGGTGCGAGCATCATAAGAATACTATTTTTCAAGATGACGAGGACGAAGATGCTAAAAAATCTGTTCCTGTTGAAGAGTGGGATAGAAATTTTTTGAAGGTTGACCAAGAAATGTTATACGAGATTATATTAGCTGCTAATTACTTGAATATTAAACCGTTATTGGATAGTGGTTGTAAGATGGTTGCTGAAATGATCAAGAGTAAGAGTCCAGAGGAGTTGAGGAGAACTTTCAACATTGTCAATGATTTTAGTCCCGAGGAGGAAGCAGCTATTAGGAAAGAAAATGAATGGGCCGAGGATAGGTAAGAAAGGAAACATCTTGTCTTTTGAGTTTAGTTGTGTGTAGATATAAAGGTAATAGTTGTAAAAAGCTCTATTTTTTGATTTGTAGCCAAAAAGGGGAAAACAAGTATACTCAAGAGAGTAGTTTTTTGGTAGAGAACACTGATTCTAATCTACAATGGTATCAAGGCCTTAGGGTCTAATGTCAATACTATAAAGCCGCCCACCAAAAAACCCAGATAGTCAAGCCCAGATAGTCATACCTCCTCCCTATGTAGGCAAACTCAACTCGACTCAAATTGTCTTTTCCCAGGCAAACTCGACCCAACTCGACTCAAACTATTTTAACATTGACCCCAATTGCAATGGTAGCTACACATTTTTTTTTGCAATGATCTTTTTTCGCTTGCACCTTAACAAAGTGTTGCACATTAATTTAGCCATCATTTTTTTTTTTTCACAACTATTTGAATAAGATAAAGTCCATGTTGAAGATTTTGACTATTTGTTAGGCCCATTAAGTGTGTTTTTGTATTGAGCTGGTAAAAACAGAGAGATAAACAGATGTCCTCATCAGAAGCTGACAGTTTGGCAAATGGAGGTGCTGGAGATGCTACTGCACAAGCAATAAAGCAAGACATTGAACAAATGTCAATTGAGGAATTAAATAACTACCAAATTCAAATATCGACCGAGTTCAAAAATTTATTGAGACAGTATCTCAAGTCACGAATGTCACGAATAAACAGTATGATTGAGAAATTGAGCAATCTGGTCAAACTAGCCACTTCAAACGAAAAAAGCTGGCTCAAGATTTATAATTTTGAGGTGGAAACCATAAATAATATAATGACCAATACCGAGGATTTGATTATGGTTAGTAATGGTACCATACCTTCAAAGCCAGATTTGCTAAAAAATTTAGATGAATATGAAGAAGAATTGAGAGAAATTTTCTCAAATTTGCAGCTGCCTTTTGATTTTGATGATACTTTTAAGTATGACAATGAAGAATTGGCAAGACAAGATAACGATGGTACTATGGCTAATGAGAACCCAACTCTCCTATCCCAACTCCCATTTCCCTACTTGTTCAATCAGATCTTCCAGCCTCATAGAAATAACCTAAAGAGCATTAGCAAATTGAAGGACTATCAAACAAATTTGATTCGAAATAATTGTCGAAACAATTCAACAATTGTATGGAAACAATATCTCGATAGAGTCAAGAATAAGCAAATGGAATTGATACAAAAAGTAAACCATGAATTGAATGAGCTTTATAGAGATTATAATATGTTGAATCAACTGCGCAACGAGGAGCTATCAGATCGATATTACTACCGATCATTGGTATCCCCCGATTCAGTAGCCAGTCATCGAAATAGTAAAGTAAATGTCACCACAGCTCATGATTTGGATGAATTGATGAAAAATAATTGTGACTCAAACTATATTGATAGGAGTAACAGGTTGTTACCAAAAAACGATATTGAGTTGTCTTTTATACGACAAGAGATACGAGGTAAAGAATCTAAAATTAATAGCATACATAAGAGGATAAAGAGAAAATACGATGATACGTTTGGTGGATGTTTGGAAGATGATGTGCAGCAGCAGCAGCAGTATGATGATGATGATGATGATGATGATGATGATGATGATGATCTAGATGAGGATATACGCTTGATTAGAAGTACAGTTGCTGAACAAAAGGGAGAAACGGAGGTGGCCAATGAAACAGATGTAGAGAGGGATTTAGAAATTCGAGGGAAAGTGATTGACAAAGAAAATGTCGAGGAGAAGCAAAAGGAGAAGGAAAAAGGACTTGCTGATGTCCATGTAAAGGTTGAAGATGCGGGTGTTATTAATGAAGGGGAAAAGGAAAAGGTGATGGAGGAAAAAGATAATAATATTGATGATGATATGGAGGAGGAAGAAGACGAGGACGAATATGAGGACGAGGACGACGATGAAGACGAGGACGAGGACGATGAAGATGATGATCAGTATGACCAATATTACCAGTATGACCAGTATGACTACATTGATGACGATTTTGAAGAAAACATGACGCCCGCAGAGAAGGAAAGCCGACAAATTTACAAAAACGTATTATTTCAAGAACAGCTTGTATCTACCATGCCATTTTACAACATGCCCAAACTCAGTTCTTTTCCACAGTGGGTTGAGAAAACGTAAACTTATAGACAAGAAGAGGAATGGTGGAGTAATTTGACATACGAATCGCTTACTATATATATGTATGTATGTACATATATTATTATTAGAATTATTATTGTTATTATTAAAAAACGCTATGCAATAATACTTAGTCCTTCTCCAATAAAATACTTGCATTTTTCAAATTAGCTTCTTCAATGGTTTTATCTAGATTTTCAATAAATTTAAAAGACTTGTTTGAACTGATAGAAAGGGTGAACTTATCATTCATATCTAATCCATACTCTGTTGCATTTTCTTTTAGTACAAATTTCAACCATTCAAATAATATCAAGATATTGTCATTTAATCTTAGTTTTCTTACAAGTCTTTTCCCATTGGGGAATCGTACTTGTATACGCGTTGTGGGATTCTCAGAAGGTTCTTTGTGATCAATAGGTTTAATGCTTTCAAAACGATTATCGTCATCAGTCTCAGCGACAAAAGTCAGAACCACCAGCGGCTTTAATGGTTCTTGTGTTATTTCTTCACCACCATCATCACTATCCAATACAATTGCATTTTCCTTGGTTTTCCCATTATTATCCATTACACTTTGTTTCAAGGCCAAATCAATTTGTTGTTCCTCAGTCAATCTATCGAGATCGATTTTTTGTTCATGTTTAACTATTGGATTTTTGGAATCGGGTGCCAATGAAAACTCGTCGCTGAATGCATAAACTTCCTCCACCCATTTTTCCACTTGTGGCACTTTTCCTTCTTCCCATTTATACACTCGTTCTCCAGTTAATGGATCGAGAATTGCCAAATGAGGGAATCCGTCAACATTATAAAAATTGACATACGATTCTCCATCAAATGAGTCCCTTTGATACTGTAAAAAGATGAAATTTTCTCGAACAACTTGTTTGATCCTGGCGTTTGACCAGAAATCACGATTCATAACCTGTGATTGAAACTCAGTAGAGTCTTGAATATTTATGAGGATCCATTTTTTCTCCTCCTTAGCTAAACTCCGTGCTTGATCCAAAGTCAACACGCTTATTATATCAAACGGAGGTCGGAAAAGATTAGCTAATCTTCTCTGTACTGAGTTCAATTGTACGCCTCGCGCTTCCCTTGCTTGCCTTCTTCTTCCATTGATGATGTTTCTCCTTCTACTTAAACTGTAACTCTCCATATCCATTTCGCCATCTTCATCCTCATTCTCATCTGAGTCCAAAATTTGAATTCGGCGAGACTGAGAAGTTCTATCATCAGCATCTTGGTAATATTCATTGTCGACGTCGTCATCGTCATCGTCATCGTCATCATCATCATCTGCTTCCTCTTCTTCTTCAACCGCACCACCGCTATCATCATCATCATCATCTATCTCTTCCTCATCATATGCATTATAAGAATTAACCAGGCGTGAGTTATTACTACTATTGTTAGAATTGAAATCAAAGCCTTGATGGAATATTCCCTGCTGTCTCCGTCCGAATAAGTCGGCTTGTCTATTAATTGCACTTCCAAACCTGGGAAACGAATCTACCAAGGTTTCATGTCGATGTACGTTTGCATCAGCTTCTCGTACATTATTAGTTTCTTCATAAGCCTTTTCTTGCAACTGTTTAGCGTAAGCTTCGTCGTCATCTAGGCCATGCAGCATAGAAGTATAACCATTATTATTGTTGTCACTTGTCTTCAGCTGGGAACCATGTTGACCAGATTCCATATATAGCGTCACAGCCATATCAAGATCGCCAGCTGTAGCTTCTAAAATTTGTCTTGCAATTGTTTCATCTTCACACCCTGTTACTGCAAGAAATGTAGGAATCTGCTCGTCCATTATAAGAATCGGATAAAACTGGGAAAGGGGAGAAGGGGAGAAAGGAAGAAAGGAAGAAAGGGGCGACGGTGAAGCTAACAACACAATAGAAAAGAAGTTTCAACCCAATAGTAAGTAGATTATGATGAAAAAAAAAAAAAATAAATAAATAAAGAAGAAGAAGCTATGTATTTGATTATGTCAAAAAGAAGAAGAAGAAGGAGAAGATGAAGAAGATGAAGAAGAAGAAGAAGATGATGAAGAAGAAGAAGAAGAAGAAGAAGAAGAAGATGATGATGATGAAGAATGGCAAAAGGTGGAGAGGACGTGGGTACACGTGATACACTCACGTGACCTGCCACACTATTGAGCAGAGCAAGATAGTGTTGTGAAAAGCTACTGAGTGCTCCACTATTGAGCAGAGTAAGATGACACTATCGAGCAGAGCAAAATAGTGTTGTGAAAAGCTTCTGAGTGCTCCACTATCTTGCTCTGCTCGATAGTGTTGTGACAAACTACTGAGTGCTCCACTATCGAGCAGAGCGAGATAGTATTGTGACAAACTACTGAGTGCTCCACTATCGAGCAAAGTGAGACACTATTTCGCTCTGCTCGATAGTGATGTCTCCTCGATAGTGATGTCTGCTCGATAGTGATGTCTCCTCGATAGTGATGTCTCCTCGATAGTGATGTCTGCTCGATAGTGTTTTGTAGCTAAGGTATTTTCGCTCACTAGTGCCGCTACTCTCTACATACTGCTCCACTAGCTCGCTTCGCTCCCTAGTGTCGACAAATAAGCACTATCTCGCTTCGCTCCCTGTGTCGACAAATAAGCACTATCTCGCTCCGCTCGATAGTGTTGTCTCTATACCGGATTGTAGATTATAATGCTTATTTCCATGGTGGGATTTTGGTACAGATAAAGATAAGGATACGAAAAAAGGTTATGTGCACTTTTGTTATTGATAAGCTTTTTCTCATTTTGCAAATTCCAAAAGAACTTTCTTTAGGAATAATAGGAGAAGTAAATAGTTGGAAAAGAAATAGTGGAGCACTCAGCTTTTCACAACACTATCGAGCAGAGCGAGATAGTGTCATCTTACTTTGCTCGATAGTGGAGCAACACTTTGTAGCTTGTTACAACACTATCTCGCTTTGCTCGATAGTGTTGCTCGATAGTGTTGCTCGATAGTGTTGCTCGATAGTGTTGCTCGATAGTGTTCGATTTGGTTACATTAAACTATATATAGATATAACTTATCCTTACATAGTTACCAATTATTTATATTTGTTCCCTTGTAATCTCGGATCTTTTTTTAATTCTTTCATTACAAAGAAAAACAATTTTTGATGAAACACACTTGGTAGAGCCTCAATTATTGTTTTACTCCTTTACTCCTTTACTCCCTCTTTCTCTTTCTTTCTCCCTTTAATTGAATTGATTTCTTTCTTTTCTTTCTTTTCTTTCTTTTCTTTCTTTTCATTGATTCTTTCTTCTTCTTTAAGAATGAATGCCCCTTTTTCGAAAAAATGTTAATTACCACTGCGCACGACCCCCTCACCCTCACCCTCACCCTCTCTCTTATTCTCTTATTCTCTTATTCTCTTATTCTCTTATTCTCTCTTCTAGTAAAGGATCACCCTTAACTATATTAAGAGTGATGCCCATTATTTTACCTCTTTGTTGTAAAGATGCACATACATTATGGAAATGGAAATGGCACATACAAAATTTATTTTAGCCACTATAACTAAATATCCCCAGTTTTTTCCCTTTCTATCTCTTCTTTTTTTCTATTTCAACTCAACATCTTGGTTAACTCATTTTCTTTTGTCGTTTAGTACTCAACATAAATAGAACATCACAGTAGAGAGGCGCATCACCACATAAGCTCATAAAAACAGAAGCACTAACACAACAAAACTCACTTTACACTACTCATTACTCATTACTCACTAGACACTAGACACTTTACACTCACACTACTCATTCACACTACTCATTCACACTACTCATTACTCATTACTCATTACTCACACTACTTATTTACTCAACATCACCCAATTTTCCTTAGAGCATTAGAAGTTTCGAGTTTCACAACACATCAATCTTACTTTTCCCTTACTCCACCCCACCTCATTCCCCCTTTTCTTTGAAATAGGAAAACCCCATAAACTTCAATCTTCTTCCATCCTCAACGCACCCAACGCATTCACCAAACCCCCTTTGGCACAATACATCATCCATATTTCGACAATATAATTAGCCACACCGCCGCTACTGTGTAACATTCTCATTTACCACAATTTTCTTTACAGATACTTTAACAAAGTGCTACTGTGTACCCATCATCCCATTCACGCTTAATTTTTGCATCACCGTTTATTGAACTTACAAACTTTACAAACTTTACAAACTTTACAAACTTATAACATTTATGTCCAGTTAAAACTCTAAAACTTATCAAATATTTGACGAATTCAGAAACTTTCCCCCATTTAAATACTTTTGTCCACTTTCAGATACTTTACCCACTTTCAAATACTTTTAACAAACTATTTCCACATCTTAAGTTACCAGCTTTTTTGTTTTTTGTTTTTTTTGCATTTATCTCAGTTTTGAATTGGTTCATCACCATCGTGGTCAACTAGAAAGAAAAGGTCTCAGCTACTAAGGTCTCAACTATCAAAGGAAAGGTCTCAGCTACTAAGGTCTCAACTATCAAAGGAAAGGTCTCAGCTACTAAGGTCTCAATTAATAAGATCTCAACTAATAAGGTCTCAACTACTAAGGTCTCAGCTACTAAGGTCTCAACTACTAAGGTCTCAGCTACTATCAAAGGAAAGTTGTTTTTGACACCACAACACGAGGTTTTTTGTTTTTCGGGCTATGGAGCAGTTTGAACTATACGAGAAAGGCGAGCTACTAAGAGACAGGTATTTAAAAGTCAGCGATATTAGCGAGGGGTCTTACGGTATAGTCTCTGTTGCCAAAGACACAAAGAGAAGTAATCTACTAGTGGCTGTTAAATTTATTTACCCCGTTGACTACAAAAAGAACCTGAAGAAAGATTACAGTTTCACAAGTAGACCTTCTTCGAGTCCTGCACGTTTGAAGTCACCTCAACAGCAAAATGGAGTGACTACCATTAAACAAGGGAAAAATCAAGATACCAATTCTATTTTCAATAGTGTATTGAACGAAGCTCAAAAGGAAATCAGAATACACGCAATCCTAGGTGACCACCCAAATATATCTAAACTTTACGATCATTTTGATTCCTGTTTAGTTTTGGAGTTTTGTTCAAGAGGCGACTTGTACGAAGCTATTCATAAGGGTAATGGTCCTGAAACAACTCAAGATATTAAGGATGTTTTTTTACAAATTTTGCACGCGGTTGAATATTGCCATTCAAAAGGTGTTTATCATCGGGACTTGAAACCCGAGAATATTCTTATTGCTGAGGATTGGAGTATTAAGATTTGTGACTGGGGTTTGGCAACAACAACCAAAATCGTTACCGATAAAAATGAATTTGATATTGGGTCAGAGAGGTATATGGCCCCGGAGTTGTTTGATAGTGAGATTGATTCTTATGATGCTTCCAAAATTGATATTTGGTCAGTAGGAATCATATTGTTGACATTGGTTTTCCATAAAAATCCCTTTCAAGTTGCCAATTATTCGGACAAGAGGTTTTTGCAATTTGTTAATAATAGGGAGGCGTTGTTTGACATTTTTTCAACGATGAGTAGTGATTTGTTCCCAGTTTTGAGGTTTAGTTTAACAATTGATCCTGACAATAGGGATTTAAAAGGTCTTGAAGAGGAGTTGAATGCTTTGAGATTTTTCACGATTGATGAGGAGTACGAAGTCAGTGACTATGAATACGACGAGGAGGAGGAGGAGGAAGAAGAAGAAGAGGAGGAGGAGGAAGACTATGGTTCGTTTGATGAAGATAATAGAGTACATGTTTCACATATGACTACGCCTATACCTACATCCATAAAGATTAGAGTTGGTACTGAGGATAGTAATAACAATAACAACAACAGCAACAACAGCAACAGCAACAACAACAACAGCAGCAACAGCAACAGCAGCAACAACAACAACAGCAACAACAACAGCAACAATAATAATGATGATAATGATAATGATAATGTTAACGCTTCCCCAAATCAACTGGGAAAGTTTGGTTTTAGCTTGTCCAGATCGGTTGATGAGATACCTCACAATCACCGAGCAGATGCTTTACTATCAACCAATACTAAATCCAAACCTATTCCAATTAAGACCCTTGACTTCAAGTTTATACGCAATACAAGAAAGCCATTGAATGTTGCATCGTATAATCAAACTTCCAACATTAATGGGAAATATGCCAACAATAGTTATAATAATCGTCTTAATTTCCATAGGGAGGATTATTTTACACCAAAGTCTGTTTTCAACCATTATATGGACAAGTATGGGGAGAAAAGAGGACACATGGGCTTAAACAATAATATTAATGGTAATGGTTCCTCTGATTTTCCCAAAAGAGCTCCATTACTTCGCAGAAAGAGGACTTGGAAGCAGAATTTTAGAAAAAAACAACGCCATGCTACTAGTAATAAGATTTACGCGATTGGTAATGGAACCTATACTAGTGGTCTTCCAAAGAGTATACCTAAAGTATCTGAACAAGCTTTAAACGATTCTCACAATCATCAACTGGTAAGGGGAAGAAAGTCAAGGCTGTACTCTACATCTAAGTTGAAAAGGAATTTTCTTGGAAATGGGAATACTAATATGAACGGGTTTAATTTCCACTCACTGCCACGTTCTGCAGTCACTCCTGGTTCTAGTGTGATATCCAATTTATCTAATTCAGGAAAATATATTCCACCCTTTTTGCGCTCGCCACCCAATCCAGCTCAGAAATCACCACATATTGGACCATTACCTGAGGAGCTCGATCATTTGTCTTTGGGTAACGATTATGATGAAGTGTTTCACTTGGAAGATGATTTCGATGTTACTTTTGACCAAAAGCTAGATTTGGAGGATGAGGATGTCATTGGTTGCTCCTCTAGCGGTGAGCTTGATTCTCAAACAAAACATCGACCAAGCGATGCTGGAATTTTTCTGATGTCTACTGGACAAGCAAAGTCTTCAAGTACTTCACCTACGCAAACATCAGCCAAGGATTCTGATGATCAAAAGTACGTCCCTCCATTTAGACGCGGATCTATTTCGCAACCAATTAAGAAACAGTTAATTGTTGCTTCTAGTTTAAAGTAATGGTTTCCACAATAAAGGAAAAAGAAAAGCAGGAGGTTTTTTATTACAAGGGAATGCTCTTTCAGTAAGAAGGAAAAAAAAAAAAAAAAAAGAGTCTTTGAACCTGAAGATGTAGATGGTGAAAGAGGTTTTTGTTATCAGAGAAAGACTCCCAGTAATTGCATGGAGAAGGTTCTATTGAATTAATCTATTTTGAGAATGATAACAATTTTATTCACCCGTTTTAGAGTATATATATATATATATAATGTGACATATATATAGATATACCTTTTTTGTACGACCTCCTAAATGATAATGATGAATAATGTCTTGATGAAATGATTATAATACAATACGTAGATAATGAATTTAATCCTCTTTTTTGAACCGAGTCCTCTTGTGTAAATCGAGTCCCCTTGTTTAAGTTACAGAGCCGCTCGAGTTGTAGCAGCTTTTGAAACCGTAGCAGGATCAAGATTTTAGTCGTAAAATTTCATTTTTGGTGCAGCATTGAAAAAAGAAAATGAGAGTTTTACAAATGAAATAAACAAATGTGGAGATAGGTAATGGTTTACTAGTTAAGGAGTTAGAAGGTACTTTTACATTCTAACATAGATGAGAGGTAGGGAGTAATGGTAATCATGTAAAAAAGTGTGTTTCAGTTTAAAAATTTTAGTAACTAAAAATAGTGAAAACAAATGACGCTATTGTTTTTTGTTGGAGATTTCCCTTGTTTTAAATTACATTTTATATCTGAGAGATCTATATTATTTTTTGGATTGAGCTATCAATGCCAAACTCGACCCTTTCGATTCTGTAATTTTTAGGAGATACAATGGCTGAAAAGAAGAGTTTCGATCAATTGACTGAGCTGGTAACATTTTTAGCTTGCGAGGTTAAGTTGTAGATGGATGAAAACCATTGCAAAAAATCACTAATGACTAGTAAATGCTATTTTTTCAATCTTACTGCAAAGTGTATAATAATAATCGCAAAAGGCTATATGTATTTTTTTACTTGTGTTTGACATGCACTATTGTACACACAATTGTACTATCACACAACTGTACTAGTATCACCAACCAGCACGAGGTTGTTCCACGCCTCCTCTATCTCTACCACCAGCGTCGTCTTCAACCTCACTGGTGGATCTAATGCCCAATTTCTGGGCCCTTCAAGAAAAAAAAAAGGGCTCAAATTAAAAAGCCATGTGGTACAATGAAACTATTGTCCAATTGTATTGCACAGTAGAAACACTATTTTGAGAATTAAACCAAAAAGAGCGTCAGAACTAAGAGGAGAAAGAAAAGATAAAAAGTAGACAAAAAACTAGTTTTTCTATAGACTCACTGGCCAGGCCAGTATATTGAATAGTTACTGTAAATAAGCTGATTATTTGTATTGTTATCGTTAACAAACCCTTGTCTTGAACATCTACAAAAGGAAAAGCAAGGCAAAAAAAAAAAACAATTAGTTTATGCAGGTAACACATATGTACCTTTTAGTTGATTTAATCAGTATAAATCTTGTCAAAAAGTGTTTCTAAAGAAATAAAAACTATAATTATAACACTAGTGGTGAGATTTAGTTGGTAAACTTCAGTAATGAACTTTTAGTCGGTGAGCTTTAGTGTGACCAATTTAATGTGCCAATAATTAGGTCTTTTCTGACACAGATACGCCAGTTCATTCATGTCAACTTTTATCAACTTTGAATATTTTGTCAACTTGTTCAACCTTTGATGTTGAATTAAACATGAAGAAAAATTTCCTATATGTAGGCCCAATTTCCTGGGCATCGCTCGTAACTATTCAAATATAAAGTATAAGCGGTTGGTTGTTTAACATGTTTCATGTTTTTGTTTCTTTTCAAAACATGAAACATATAATCAAGATGGATTTCTTTACAATGACAGATTCACATATGAAAATGAAACATAATGTTTAAGAAAGATGTATATAGGTTTGGACTTGTAAAGATATTCAAATACATATGTATATATATATAGAGAGAGAGAGTCAAGTTTGTTTCAATTGGAAACTTTAAAACATTCCTTGCAAAGTAATAAAAAAAAACAAAAAAAACGGCAAATCCTTGTTCAACAAAATCAACCCCAACTTAGTCATCCCTCCCCCCCCCTCAAAGGAAAGAAAAAGAGAGAAGTGCACATAGATTTTTGCTCTTCTACTTCTTTTTTTTTTGGTTTTTTTATTTGGATATCAACTGATTATCAATTGGCATTCAGTTTTCAAGGTATTAATTGTTAAACCCGTTTCCATTAATCATTGAATAAACTAATTTATTCAAATAATTAAAATTTTAATTAAAATTTCTTTGTTCTTTTATTTAAAAAGAGAGTGAGAATTTTAATAAAGTACAAACACAAAAACTGCAACCTATAGTACAATTATTTTAGTGTGCTAACTAGAAAATTTGGTACACGATACAGGATACTCTCTCCATACAACATTAGTTCTACGGTATTATTCTCAAGACGGGAAAGGGAACAGATAAATTCACACGAATCTTTTACTACCGTAGGATTTCCACATTCCGTTCCAGCCCAGCTTCTTTTACAAGAACCAAAACAACTGGCAAAACCTAACAATTTTTTTTTTTTTTCATTCACTCATTTATTCATTCATTGACTTGTCTTACTGACACCTTTCAATTCAAACAGGCGTTTACTCATCCCACTCTTTGAGTCCGCTGTTCAAAAGAAAAAAGTTCTGTTTATTTTACCCAAGCCACCTTTTCCCCATATATCAAGGTTGAAAGCTAAACTTATCAATCCAACTTTCATTCATTTGAATATATATATATAAAAATTTTTTTTTTTCCCAAATTGTTAGAATTGTCCTTCTTTTACTCCACTGCAACATATTACTGCCACATAATACTGCTACAATTTACTCAATTGAATAGAGTACTCTTTTCCGCCAAGTAAAGGACTCACCGAAAAAGAACCAATCAACAAAGAATTTTAGAAACGACTTACATATCTTGGGGAATTGGAAACTGAGAGATCTTTATATACCTCGATATAAATAAGTTTTGATATTTCAGCTTTCAACATATTTGAAACCAGATTCCATTTTGATATTTTTACTTTGTTTTTTTTTTTTTCCTTCGTTTCTTTTCTTTGTTCCAACCAAAGGTGAGTTTCATCTTTTATTTTATTTTTCCCAGATAATTGAAACACTGGTAACTTACATGTACTGTTACTAGCAGAGCAACCAATAACAATAACAAAAACTACTATACTACTGTGCTATTACAGCTACTACTGTTCCACCATTTTTGAAACTAGCAGATTGTTTTGTTGCACAACAATTATAACTCCCAATTGAAACGAATTTATTGATTTGTGTGCCGCTTTTTTTTTCGCAGCTTTTGCTTTTTCCAATTAATCTCCCTATATTCACAAAACAAGTAAGACTGACCACGACAAGCTTCAAGTTCTTGTTCTTTTTTTGTTTTTTTTTTTGACCAGGAACAACAAACAACACATCCATCCTTTATTTTTGGTTTTCTAGAATCTTGGTAATTCAAAATCACTCACATAACGTAACATCGATAAAAATTCAAAGAATCACCACTTTGGAGTAGTGTTTCACTTATACTATAGTCACGTGACTAGACACAAAAGGAAGAGATTCGAATCAATCAAAGCCGTTTTTACGCAAGGTGACTTTTTTTTTTCGTTTCTTTTTTTCAATTTTTGTTTTGTTTTTTTTTTTTTGTTTTTCGCAGCCAAAACTACTTGCTAAATGTCAACTACTGTTTTAACTAAGGAAAGCAGGATTCTGGCACGGAAACAAGTTGACGAGTCGCTACGTCTTATAGAAGATTTGAAGTTTTTTTTAGCTACTGCACCGGCTAATTGGCAAGAGAATCAGGTAATTAGAAGGTACTATTTGAATCATGATGAGGGATTTGTCAGCTGTGTATTCTGGAATAATTTATACTTTATAACGGGAACTGATATAGTGCGATGCATAGTATACAAGTTTGAGCATTTTGGAAGGAAAATCATTGATCGGAAGAAATTTGAGGAGGGGATATTTTCAGATTTAAGAAATCTCAAATGTAATGTTGACGCCGTTTTAGAGCAACCGAGATCTGAGTTTTTAGAGTTTTTGTTCAAAAATTCATGCTTGAGAACTCAGAAAAAGCAAAAAGTGTTTTTTTGGTTTAATGTGCCTCATGATAAACTAATGGCTGATGCTCTAGAAAGAGATTTGAAAAAGGAAAAAATGGGTCAAAATCCAACTACAATAGCCCTTAGGGAACCGGCCATTGGCTTTCAATACGATGAAAGTTCAAGTTTGTACAATCAATTAGCAAAACATATGGAAAATCAATTACAAAATGACTTAATAATGAGTCCTGAAAGTTTAGATCTGAAAAAAATCGATAATATTAGCTTGCTACCTCAAGAAAAACAAAACGAGGAAAGTGATAGGTCGTCTCCGGAATACATCTCCACAACAAGAGGTAAAGATGACTATAGTTTCCTCAATGAAGCAACTCCTCAGCAGTATAAGAACAATTCGGATTATGAGGACGACGATGACTTCCCGTTAGATTATTTCGATACAACTCAATCTTCTGATGGATATATTAACTTGGACCCAAATTTTCAAACTGGTTATTATTCAAGTATGGTGGATGATAACTATGCCAATTTCATCGACCCGACAATCTTTTTGCCCAACTCAAGCTTTCAATCAACCTCTGCCGCTGCCAATACCAATACTAATGCCACTGCCACCGCTAATGTTTCTGCCAATCAAGTTGCTTTAAACGACGAATATCTTATAGAACAAGCTCAACCTTTGAAGACTCCAATACTACCTCCAATGTCCACAAGCTCTCTACAACCCAAATCTTCAACAGCAAAAGCATTTGCGTTTCATAATCCCAATGGTGGGGAGGAGCTTTTCTCATTTACTCAAACATCAATTACTCCTTCATTTCAGCAGCCCGTACCGCCTAAATTCCAAAGTAATATAAAGACTCATCGACAGCAACCTGTAAAGACCGTACATCAATTTCAAGTTGCTTCACAACCACAATATCCTTATTACGAACACCTTCAACAGTATGCAACAGAATTACCCATAGGGTACAGCAGTAACATGATCCATCCTGATAACGAGCTCTGGACCAACCAGACAGTCTTTTCTAATCAAGCTGCTGTCCCCGTTGTCCCTGCTGCCTCAATGTTTGATCCGTCTGGTGGGTATACTCAGAATTTATCGCAACAACCATATATGATGATAAACGACCAAGACTTGATGACTTTTCCATCAATGAATCAGACTATGATGATGGCGGTGCAACCACTGCAACCACCACCCTTGCCACAGCAACAGCAACAGCAACAGCAACAACAACAACAACAACAACAACAACAACAACAACAACAACAACAACAACAACAACAACAACAACAAGCTCAACAACAAGCTCAACAACAACAAGCTCAACAACAACAAGCACAACAACAACAAGCACAACAACAACAATATCAGCAAGCACAATCAGTACTTCTGAATTTTCCGTATCAGGAGATCTCACTACAGCAACAATTAAGTGCGAAAATGATGAAAAAGAAAAGGCAGATGCAACTGCAACTGCTACAGTTTTCCAAAGCTGGCTCTGTGATTACTGGAAGAGGTAACGGGGGCGGCGATATAACGAAAAAACCTCATTACGAAAAAGAAAAACACCATCTATCTTTGACGGAAGTGGTCAATTCAAAAGCAACAAGGGTTAGAAATAAAGAGGAATGTTGATTAACTATTCAATGAATATTATGCCTTGTGTTTTTCAGCTGGTTCTGCAAGGTACAAGAAGAGACAAAAAAGGAGGAAGACGCAGCGGGGGAAGCAGAATTGGAAAAGACTTTGTACCCGAAACATGATTCATTTCATTATCGATTAAATTATCTTTCTTTTTTTTTTTTTTAATTTTATACTGCATTACAAATACATATACATATACATATACATACACATATATATACATATACATATAAATATACATATATATTATTTCCATACACTCTCTTTTGGATTCTCCCATGTCACTGGCACATTTATCTCTGACTATAAAATTCAATCAACCTTTGTTGAGATATCGAATACCTTCCTTTCATTTTGTTCAATATTTGTTTCAGTTCTGAAGTTAAGGAATCGTTTCTTAATAAACTACTATAGCACATTGTTGCCGAGCGTCTGTAAATGACTTCACTCTTTGTGAATAATTTCCCCAATATATTGTCTAACCGATACAATTTCTCTTCATTCAAATCGGAGTCTTCAATTAATATCTTTGCTAGAAAATTTAAACACATGTCCAGTATGCTTATCGACAAGTTTTTCTCCTTTTCTAGATAATCTAATGCAATTTTGGCAAACGATGATTTCGTTTCAGTGTGATTTATATTTAAAATGATCTCATTCCATGCAATGTATAATTCGCTATCGAGTTTGATATTGTAGCAAGTATGGTAAAAGATATTCCAAATTTGATTCATATCTATGCTTTCATCATATTTGAATATTTGTCTGAGAAGGTATAATCCACTCATGATCTGATCGTGATTCAATTTTTTTATGTTTTGAAAGTATGCCAATAATCCATTGGTTAGTTTGTATTTACCTTTAGTCAAAAAATATTCTCTAAATTCGAAATCCGCTGTCGCCAATGGCTCCAAAGTTTCTATTATTTTCAAAACTGGCGAGTCCTCGATATTTTCAATACCAAAAAGATTTGATAAATCAAAACAGTTTTTTTCAAATTGATCAATATTCGATAAACCTAAATTTAATGACCCCAATCCATAAGTTAGTCTCCAAAATTTATAATTATCCCATGTCTTTTCACTTCTTGATGTAGGTTGATATTTATTATCTTCGTAGATGTTAATCTTTCTCTTATTGGGCAAAGGGTTCAATGGATCAACTTGCTCTATAATTGCTTTTAACGATTTCAAGTCGGCTGATTTCGACATGTTTTTGGTTATATGCACTTGAGCAAGATCGGTAGCTAATGAATCTGGCTGCTCGACAGTGGTGGTAATCCCGTGACTTTGAGGGAGTTCTTCAGCGGCTAATGATTTAGCAAGTTTCAAAGGATGTGCACCTACAAATGGATCATTCCTAAGTGTAGCCGCAGCAGCAGATGATGATGAAGACGATGAAGACGATGATGCTGATGCTGATGCTGATGCTGATAACGATGACAATGAAGAGGAAGGTTTTTTTTGGTTAATGCTTTTGGAGAATTGAGTTTCCTTTTCGCGAGGATTCAATTGGGTAAACTCGAAAACAGATTTATTCAATGGTTTATCAATAGCAACTGCGTTATCGACACCAACGATTAGCTCAATCTCTTCTCTCAAATCGATTTCGGTATCTTCAAGCAACAGGATGAACCTACTGCTATCTATAGTATAAAGTTGACAAAATAATTGTTTCAATATATCATAGACCTCAGTACTTTTGAATACAAGAACCAGTCTAAACAATTCACTCAATAAATCTCCAAATTGTACATCAGTGACTACTATCTTTGTTAGCAAAATCAGAAGAAACTCTAGAACCAGCTTGGCGATTTCCATCTGGTATGCGGATATTTGTAATTTGAGATTGTGACTGCCAACAATTTCAGGAGAGTCAACGGTACTAGCAAGCAACTGCAAACTGGCTTGGAAAAAAATTGGCACTTCAATACATGAGGTGATTAAATCCAAAATACGCTCATCAGACCCCTTAAAGACCAAAGCACAAATCCGAACAAAATCGTCGGTTGTGAAAAGCTTTGAGGATTTCTTGAAAACCAAATCATTGAATGTTAGCAATGGTTTTAGTAAACTAACATCTTTTTCAGAAATATACTTTAGTCGACTTTTAACCACGTGCGAACTTGTAAAATCCTCATTACCTATAATGGCGTATTTCAATAAATTCACTCCTTCCATTATATCACCAGAATTCCTTGACGACAAAAAATCAACAATGGGATCCCTTTGGTCAACAAAAAGCTTGGAATTATCCATAATTGGCTCGGATAACACAGTACGATTCCGTTCAAGTGAAATAACACGATCTCCATGAAGTGGAGATCTTGTCAGAATTTCAGTTCTACTTCTAAGTTGCTCCCTTGCACTCGTATTGTTATTGTTGTTATTGTTATTATTATTATTATCATTAGCAGTAATTGTAGTGGTAGTTGTACTACTACTAGAGTGGTATGTACTTTGTGGAGTCCAACTCGATGCTCTAGGGGTGGGTCTATTTCTAAATTCGTTTTTCTCCAATTTTGTTTCAACTTTTGATACACTTCTTTGTGGCTTAGGCAAAGGATTGGATGGTAATGCTCTTTGTGTAGGTTCATAAGTGGTACCAGTACGAGAGGATGGCCGGCTATACCTAAGCTCCCTATTCTTTTCCAAAATTTGCTTCTTTAAAGATTGTCGAGATGGCTTTGTTGTCAACATCTTGGGGGTTGTTGCTAGGACCCCAAGCTCCTTTTGTGATCTTTCCAATGCTTTTATTGTCATTGCATCCAACTTCTTTAATAACTTATCCGACTCCTCTGGAAATATCCTGGAATAGCACCAATAACAATCCTTAGACACTTGTCGCACATTTGGATTTGCATCTTTGAGCAATTTCGTCAACAACTTATTAGTAGATTCTATAATAGTACTCACATGATGCCCAAAAAACGTAGAATCCATACCATATCTCAAGAGTAGTATTTGCAACCAGATCGCGGAATATGACCTTGGTTGAAAATTTCGTTCCTCCATTGCAGTCATCACTTTTTGTACTAGTCTTTGGTTATATGGCAAGTTGGCAAATAAAGCTGCCGTTACCATATTAGCATTTGTTGAGGTAATATTTTTGGTGGAAAGACAAAGTTTCATCAATGTTGGAAATATGAGTTCTGCAACAGGCTCAAATTCGGCACTTAGTATAATGGCGCATTCCTTGATCAATTGGCAGCCATGTGTACATAGAGTAGTTCTAAGTGAGCTAGCTCCCTTGCAAATCCCCGTAACAAATGAACGCAAGCAATTCAACAAGTCACTAAGATATTCGTGAGGAGCATTTCCTCGCAAAATTTGTCGAGCTTCAATTATCTTCTTTTCTCGCATTTTCCAATTTGACTCTGTTTCTTTTCCTTCAAAGTAGGGTTCAAACGAGTCAAATATATTGTATAAATCCGTCAGCCCTTGTACTTCTTGCGCACGCACGCTTTTTACTAGCTCATAATTAACTTTGTTCAATAAGACAGAAAGACGTTCCTCAAAAGAGAAACCATCCACGCCATCGTCTTTATTCGACGATAACAGATTGTCGCGTTCAATTTGTCCCTGGATATTTGGAGCAAGATTTGTTGTATTTTGTCGAGACAAAGACAGCAAGTTGCTCAGAGATGTTTGTGGAGGTAGTATCCTAGAAGCAACTGCGCTTGAAATCTTGTTTGTTTCAATTTCTTCTTGCAAAGCTTTCACAAGGTTGGCATCTTTTGAATTAGAGACAACTGTACTGGTTAATTCTCTTACCGCTTGTAATAAAACATCATTCAGTGTATTATTGGCAACAAGTTGTAAAATGTGCGGGATAAAAGACATAACATTGAACTTCAAGCTAACTGTCTTCAAAACTTGGTTCATCCATCGGATAGACTCTATAGCTATTTGCAAATTATTAGCTGTTGTTGTTGTTGTTGTTGTTGTTGTTGTGAATGATATTTTCATTAAGGCATTTTCAACGTCATCTGGTGCGCTAAGCCAATAATCCTCAAGCGCCTTCTTAGCAGCGGCAGTACTACTAGTTCCCTTGAATTTGTTGATAATAACAGGAAGGATCAAGAAACTTTGATCCTTTAGGATGTTACCGGATTTATCCTGAACGCTGATACGCTTAATCAAATATGATAATGAGTTGAAACTGACATTCAGTATTCCCAACTCAGGAACCTCCAACCCTTTCATTATAACTTGCAAATAAAGCGGCACTTGTGTCAAATCAATCATATCCTTCTTAATATGGGTCTTGAGTGTTTGAATATGTCGTAACTTATCCTCATTATTAAAACTATCTGATGTAAACACCAGCATCATCTCGCTAGACAAGGGGCGAAATTCTGTCATAACAAAACTGAGTAACCCTTTCCAAGTATTTATATCTCACGTAACTGTTTTACTACCCTTTGGTTGCACTCACGGAAAGTTGATGATCGTTTGTATGCAATTGCTTTATTATGATCCCTATTCTTAACAATATAATATGTGTTATGTCAAAAGAGTTTTTCGCTCTTCAATTTCAAAACAAATCGCAAACACGCGAAAAAATGACAGATGGGGCAGAGCCGCACGACGTCAACTCGACGCGTTGGTCGACCGACACTATCTCAACACTATCGAGCAGAGCGAGATAGTGGAGCACATTGACTAGTTCAACACTATCGAGCAGAGCGAGAAAGTGTTGTTCCTATTTGGTTGATACGTATTTTCCTTCTCCTTAGTTTACATTGTTTTCCAGAGAACAAGAAAACAGAGTAAGAAAACAGAGAAGATGAAAAGAAAGAATATAGTAGAGAGGATGTAGCAGAAAAGATGAATAGATAGTAGAGAGTTGAAAGTAGAGAGTACACAGTAGAGAGTACACAGTAGAGAGTACACAGTAGAGAGTACACAGTAGAGAGTTGAAAGTAGAGAGTTGAAAGCAGAGAGTAGAGAGAAGTGATGATATAGAGAGGAAAAGATGAATATAGGAGAGAAGATGAATATATAGCAGAGAGTAGAGAGTAGGAAAAAGCAGAGAAAAAAAGAATCTAGTAAAGAAAATAGCAGAGAGAATATAATAGCAGAGAGAATATAGTAGCAGAGAGAATATAGCAGAGGATAGCAGAGGGAATATACCAGAGGATAGCAGAGAGATGAATATAAAGGATACAAGTTCATCATGTCTCCTCTCCTTCTCCTTCTCCTCTACCTTCCTCTCTTTATCCTTATCTTCTACCTCTACTTCTAACCTCCATCTGTATTCTTTTCTTCTTCTTCTTTTCTTCTTTTCTCTCTAATCTTTTATTCATTATATTTCCCTTCTCTTTTTTATTCATTGTATTCCTCCCTCTCTGTATTCCTTTTCTTTTTTTTCTCTTTATATATTTTCCTATTCTTTTATTCTTTATTTACACTAAACTCTATTTATATTTCCTTTATTTATTTTCCTTTATTTATTTTCCTTTATTTATATTTCCTCTTGTCTTTATTTCCTTTATTTACTTTCCTCTTGTCTTTATTCTTTCTCTTATGCTTCGAACGGATAACTTCCCCTTACTAGATACTCAAGAAATCACCTCGTGTTTTCTTGAATGCGACTTTGATGTGAGCCTTGAGCTAGTCAACAAGCCCACAAGCGCGTTTATGATGAATCTATGCACCGTGTTTGTAGAGGTGTTTATGGGAATAGATAATATAAGGGAAAGGGCATCTAAGGATTTTGCAACAGAGGTATCCTCTGTCGATAAATCCTCTGTTGCGCTTGTTGTGCTATTCACCTTCTCCTCCAAGTTTTTTAAATCAATTGGAGTTTATGACTTGACGATATGCGATCTCAGCAGACCCGACCCGATAAGAGTTAAAAGACTCTTATCGGCTGTGGTCAACTTTATGCGATTCCGTGAAAAGATTTCAGTGGACCTTGAGCCATTGGCTATAGAGGCGGAAAACACAGTGAAGGGGGTGAGGGACTTACAAGATGAAGCTACCCGGTTGGCCACCTTGATTTCTGAGACAACTGCCAAAATACAGTATGGTCCAGAAGGGAAGCGACATGATATACAGTATGTGCACAACTACAACAAGAAACTAGAGGCCAAGTTAAGGAACTTAAAAGGAGAGCAGGAGAGGTTGACGCGACAGCATGAGGAGTACAAGTGTGAAAAGAATGTATTAGCAGAAAGATTAAGGGATGTGACATTCCTCTGTGATGAGGCACAAGCTCATATTGAACAGATGAAGGGGCTACTCAATACTGACATTGGAGTTCTCACCAAAATCATTGAGGATTTGAGGAGTGAGGCAGAGACAAGAGAGCGAGAGTGCACTTTATTTCAACAGCAGTACCAGAATATTGGAAAGACTATTGACTCAGTACAAGTATGCAAGGTCAAGATGAGAGAAATCACTAATTTAGCAGAAGAGCTTAGAACTGTGTTCCAAATGCACGGCTCTGAAGGAGTAAAGCTTATGAAGGCTAGAGACCATATGCACCAGCTCCAACATGACTCTGACGAGTTGCAGAACCAGATTGAGATCTCTCAGAGTCAATTAGAGAAAATGTCCAGAAAGTATGAGGATCTTATAGTGCAGCAGGAAAAGAGACAGGTTGCGTTGCAGAAGCGATTAGATGAGGCCAAGACATTTCTCGATGAGACATTTGCTTCACAGTCTCATCAAAGAGATGTGCAGCAAATCACTATGAATGAGATTGCGCAATTGCAGAGAGACACTGAGCAGATGAGCGAGGCATTTGAGAAAATGGTGAAAACTAATCAACACAAACTAACTCACTTAAATGAGGCTATAAAACAATACATGGAGGGTCTAAGAAATAAATAGATACATAGCTATCATCTAGCGCCTCCTCTATCATACTCCCCTATCATACTCCCCTATCATCCTACCCTCTATCATCCTCCCCTATCATCCTCCCCTCTATCATCCTACCCCCTTTTTTTCTCCTCCCCTTTTGTAATCCTCTTACTTGTTGTGATCATAGACGCTACAAAACAATCCACACCCAATAAAAAACATTCCTCAATGCATTGATAAACTCCTCTAATATCATCTCCTGCACTTCCTTTGGAAGTGCCTGGATCATCTGCGAATTGGAAAGGAGCGACACCACATCACTGCCTATTATATTTTTTTTTATATAGGATGTCCCCGTTTGTGTAAATATGAGCTGCACTATAGTAACAGAAACTATTGATTCCAAGCTCTTCATAAAGTTCATAAACACAGTAACCATAATCAACGCTTCTAGAGTATCCACCTCTAATTGTGCACTCAACAAAGGGCTCTGAAACTGGAGACCAATTGAAATCCCAGAGACTACCATAGCCAAAATCGGCACCCCTAAGCCAGTATCTCTACCTACTACCCTAGTGAGCTTCACATTCCATAAAGATGGAGTTGCACAATGACGACTCTGGAAAAATGTAGAGGTATAAAGCAATGCGACCTAGAAGGTCTCGATTACTATAGAGGAGGGAAGAAGGAAGAGGTAAAGCTATGAGATCTATAAAGCAATGCGACCCAAAATATCTATAACCTATCAAGTGTTAACTATCTGCTTGCAGTTTTCTGCGGTTACTCAAATTTTTTATAGTCGAAAGGATATCGGCTGAGTTTTCCTCTACTAAAACGTTTTGAACGTTACCAAAAAAGTCTGTCAAAAGAACGTCATGTACATCTCTTTCAAACAAATCTGTTCGTATTCCAGGGTTCGAGTGTACATTTTCAAAAGTGAAAACCTCAAACAACTTATCCATTGTAATTTTGGAATTGCGGTCAATTTTCTCAAGAAAATCCAATGCATAGTAAGTAAACCGGTCAATTACAGCAACACCAATATCCATATCTGAATGGTGACTATACGAACTTTCATCTATTCGCGATGACCCCACGCACAATATATTGGGAGAGTAAATCTTCTCGTACATCGTATTGGCCTGGCATGTATCAATCATAAAAAAGATCTCATTATATCTCTTCTTCTCGTGCATCTGCTCAAAGGCATCGGCAATATCATAAGCGCTAATCTCCTCGGCATCTTGAAACTTCAAAAATTCATTGCCCCCGTGCCCAGTCAAATAGATTAGTATATTTGAGTTTTCGTCCGTCAACAATCGCTTCGAGCGCGGCTGTTCGGGACCCCACCTATCAGTTAGCAATCTTATAAAATTCTCAACTGTAACTTCGTAGCCCCTGTAGTCCACCTCAACACTGTCACCATAGAGATCTAATGCTTGATCCATATTATTGAAAACGGTTCCGGGGAACGCGTTCCTCGAATTACATGCAATATCATCGGCTTGCATCAAGATTATTTGAGAATCCGGTATACCTAACCTCTTTACGGTACGATAGAAACTAAGCGCATTGGCCATATGACGATAGTTGAACCAAAATCTTGATGTCGAGACCAAGACCGCCCAATTATTGGTATGATTTGACTGATTACCAAAACTTTTCGGTACCTCTTCATTTGCAACTTCAGTAATAGTCTCGGCTATAACCAACCCCGATACAAGAAACGGCGTAAGTATGGATAATAACCTCATCTTGGAATCTCAAATCTTATCTCGGCCCTAATAATTTGTATACATCAGAGAGCGTTTGCTTACAATTTCTATGTCTCTTTTTCAATGATGAACTTTTTTTTTTTTCTTTCTTTTCTTTCAATATATATATATATACACCCCAAAAGGGATCTATCTCTATACACTTTGACTCCGAGTCGTTGCTTCTCTTTTAAGCTTTATTATATTATTGACTATCTGATAAAACTTCATGTTCTCATAATCGGTTTTTCCTTGATATCTTAAAGCAAAAAATAACCTACAAACCATTGCTTGTCGCTCTTTCAGTAACACTTCAATAAAATATTTATGAACCTCTGGAAAGGACATCTTGGGTTTCTTAAATTTGAAGTAATTCTCTATTCTTGGTTTCATTCTTGACAAAAGCCACACTGCTTGTCTTGGAGAGGCCTTTCTTGCAAAATTGTTGCATTTTTCCGCATACACAGTGTGCTCTTTAAAGTCCTTTTCCAACTTGCGCAAAACCTCCAACAAGTTCCTTCCTTCATAAAGAAGTTTACATGAATTATCATCATGACTGCACTGATATAATTTGAACACATTGGTACTTGCGAATCTCTTTAAAAGGAAATAAGTATCGTCTTTCCCAAATAAGCCCCAAGTGTAACCGTTCGATATTGCTATCCACGGTAAACGGTTTTTAAACATTACTTGATTGACTAATTCGGTATCTCTAAACACTCTGTCAGGTATCGAAAATACGTCTTCTTCTTCGAGTCTCAATACTTTTCGATTATGAAGTTGCAAGATCCTGGCAATGGCTTGCGTTCGACTCTTGGCCGATAGATGTGCATCATTCAATATACCTCCTCCTTCATTTTCTTCCTCAATCATCATCTCCACTTCCTCTTCTTCCTTGAGGTTTTCTTTCTTTTTAAAGGAAATTTTTTCTCCCTCCAAGGTTGCTTCAACATCAATTCCCTCAAGTGTGTTACCCACCAAGTCCACAATATGACAGCATGTTTTGCCCTCGTGCAACCTCAAACCTCTCCCAATCATTTGAGTCAGAAGCGTTCTCGACAAGGTTGGTCTGGCCAAGATTATCGAGTCAATGTTTGGTATATCGGTTCCCTCTGTAAATACCGCAACGTTGCACAATATGGGGATCTTGCCCATTTTGAAGTCTTCAATTAATGCAGCTCTCTCAAATTTGGCTGTGTTTCCCGTAACGTACTGTGCATCTATTCCTTGCAAATGAAATTTAGAGCACAAGTCAATGCAATGCTCGATATTGACGCAAAATATCAATGTACTTCGACACTGTGTATTTTCTTTTAAGCGCATATAGGATAGCACTATTGTCTCGTTGAAGTCAATCTCTCCCATTCTCTGATACAATTCTCTCAAATCATAATCTTTTCTCACTTTGGCAACACTTTGCAAATTCATTTCTTCAACTTTGGCTCTATGGATCTTGGGGTGTGCTAGCTCTCTCGCTTGTATCATGTCCACCAAAGACCTCTCATACACAATCTCATCAAAAACATGGCCCAATGCCCGTTTGTCAAGTCTCGCCAAAGTCGCAGTAAAGCCTATCACGCTTATATGCAGCTCTTCTTTGCGAGCGCCAAAGTGGTCCAATATCCTTAAATACGATGACGCGGGTGCATGGTGACATTCATCAATTATAATGCTCTTAAACTCCAAAGGATTGAACCTCATTAGCCGCTTGGTCATACGCAATGTCTGTACAGATGCAACCACGACATTATCAGTTTCTTGTGACTGAAGCGGGCTCAACTCGCAACCTACTTGATATCCGGGATTCATTGCCCTGATTTTCAATACTGCTTGCTCTACCAATTCACGCGTGTGCACCAACACAAGAACCTTATATCCCGATCCACAATCCATTGGTTTGAGGTGCTTGATCAAGTTTGCAAATATGACGGTTTTCCCACCACCCGTTGCCACAACTACCGCTGGTTTTCGAACTCCCCTTTCCAAGGCCGATAAAACCTTATCAACGGCATTTTGCTGGTAGTCTCGTAATTCAAACCTTGGTTTCACATCAAATAAACTTTCCAATTGCTGGTTTTCTGGCAAATGGGGGTCGGCTATGAGACTTGCATTTTGCTGTTCTTGAGTAAGGGGGGCCATTGTCCCCATACAAGTTGTACTTGTAGTCGCATGGTAACGGTTTACTAGTATCTGATCATACCGTTTGTTATAAGAACAATACCGAAAAACCCATGACGATGAGCGTCGAGTTATAAACCGTGTGGCAATACGACCAATAAAATATTGTGTATCAAAGCATGAATGACATTTCATAGGTGATAATGTAGATAGAGTCTATTCTAAATCGAGTCAATTTTGTGTTATTGTATATGTGACCCCACCTGTAAGTATTAGCTTTTTTACAGCGACAGACCCGACCAGTTCGACCAATGCTTGTAATCCTCTGTCAAGGATCAAGTATTAGAGTATCACGATGGGCAAACAAAACGGGGACTTTATATCCTTTTCCCCAAGCTTGATGCGTAATGAAAAAATTCAGTTTCACGTTTGTTTTGAAATTTTCCCACTCTGAAAAATCGGTGAAATGAATTTGTTCAAGGATGTAGCTTAGAGAATCAGAGGTGATTAACAGATATGTTCCTTTTTCTTATTATTCTTTTTTTTTCAGAGGAAACTGTATAAATAAAGAAACTGTACAACTAACTGGTATATATATCAACTCTAGATCTCTTATCAACATTGTGGTGGTACAATTCCTTCTCGCCGTCTACTAGTGTCACAGATGTACTAGTCTCTGAATTCAAATTTGGAGGAAGGATACTTAATACAATGTAATTCCCATCATCAAAATCAACAGATCTGCTTGGTCTTATAAACTGGCCGGGGTTCACAACCACAACACCCTTGACTACTTTTGCAAATACTTTCAATTCTGATGGTAGTATAATAATATCAGGTAACGAATCTCCCAATTCTGTCAATCCCAAGTAAGGCATCTCCAAAGAGGATCCACCTGTTGTTACTTCTGATAAAAACTCGCCAGATGCTCCGCCTCTTAACTCTGCATCGTTGTCGGGCTTGGTATTAGCAACGGAACCAGGGACCACTGGATAATATCGTCTTTGATCAAATACATGTTGTATTATCCTTTCAAATCTGTTATTGGATATAGTGTCATCATTGCATTTGTAAACGTCTTTTAAATCCTTAAACACATCGAGATTTGATGAACCTATCAATATCTCGTTTAGTGCAAAACTAGATGGGTTTGGAAAAGTTTTTACATTTTTGGGAATTTGAAATTTCCTTCGGTCAAAGGGCCCTTGTGGATATGAACAATGACTAACACAACTATCCTTTAAGGATGGTATTAAAATTATTTGCATTTTGGAATCTATTTTCTTTAATATGGGTGTGATTAGTTGTGTGAAAACCTCGTCTAAATTTCTTGGCTGCTGCTGTTGATAATGATGCTGATCTTTGCCAAAGCTAAAGTCACCATCTTCTACTACTTTATTTGTTAGATCGATGAAAGGACCATTCAAAATAATCACATTTGGTCGAATATCGGTATTTATCTTTTCTACCAAGTTCTCTAGTTTGGAAAAGTCTAGATTGTTCTGATTGGAGTATGGGCCAGATGCCACTAAAATCTTCATTCCAGAGTTATTTTGAAAATCTTCAACTTCGGCCAATTCGTCTTTGGTAGAAACGGGAGTTCCCAATTGCGGTAACTCCATCACTTCTTCTACATGGAAAATTTTACCTGTTGGATTCTTACCTCTCAAAACAACAATCTGTCCAGGAAAGAAGGAATACCCGCTCAATGCACTAAAATCCAAGCCAACTCTTTGGCCAATTCCCGATAATCTTGAAGTTTCTAAAAAAAGTGAAGAGCTGTTCAAAGTTTCTTTGTCGTAGCTTGGCGAATCAGGAACAATTCTCCCACAGCAGAGTATATCAAACTGTGAGCTAACACATGGATTTCCAAACTGTAGATCCAACGATTGGTTGTGTTTCTGGTATAAATCGGCCATAGTATCGATTTGGTCATCAAGCACATCTGCACTTTCAAGCAACTTCATCTGCATTGTACGAAATTTGTATTTTGCAGGGTCAAAATTTGCTGTTATTCGTATCGGGTTGTGTTCAACTTTTTTGCCAAAACCATCCATTTCTTCTATATGCGGGTTTAATGTCTCTAAGAGTCTATGTGATTCTCTTGGCTGCTTTATCGGAGAAGAGTTGAGAATATTGCTGTTGCTGTTGTTGGTGGTGGAGGTTTCGTGCTCTTTAATAGGAGATGACGCCTTGTTGTCGCTATTATAGTCCATTTTTCTTCTCTTCAACTGAGGAGTACCGGGACTACTATCATAGCTGCCACTATTTAAATTTTTCGTAACGAGTGGTTTTCTTACACTTGAACCTACCTCCTTAATTGTTTTCTTCAAATTCGGGGTAAACCTACTATTAGAAAGCTTTTTTTGCAAAAATTCATGAAATTTGATCAAATTCGACATATTGAGCTCTAAATCATCTTGGACTTCTGCTACATTGAATGACTCCCATTCCAAGTAAAGTTCCTCAACATCAAGATTGAAAATTTGTGTTAAAGTATGCAATTTGTCGTACTCATCGTCGGAAAGCTTGGTAGATGGACCAAAAGTCTTAACCACTTGGCCCAGAAATGTCCCTTCAACAGTCATAAATACTTTGCTAATGCTATATTGACAATTACTCCTACTAATGATGGTAATATCTCTTATAGTAAAGAGAATGGGAAAAAATGAAATGTATAAAAAAAAAAAAATATTGAGACGCGTCTTGTAAAATGGTAGCAGAGAAATGAAGAGTTTGGTATCAATCAACATAAGATGATGGTTGAAGAAGGAAGTTGAAGAAAAATAGTCTTATTGTGTATATGGACAGGAATAGTAAAACATGATTACAGGGTGAGTGTTTTGGGGGAAGTTTCTTGGCTTGGTTGTAAATTAATTTCACATTTTCTCGGCTAGGATTATTCTTGTTTGTTAGTGGGTTCATCATTCTCTTTCTGTTGGGGTAATTAGTCTTGTTCAGGTGCGCTCTCTTTAGTAGCATCATCCTGTTTGCTCTCTTTAGTAGCAGCATCCTGTTTGCTCTCTTTGGCATCATCCTGTTTGCTCTCTTTAGCATCATCCTGTTTGCTCTCTTTAGCATCATCCTGTTTGCTCTCTTTAGCATCATCCTGTTTGCTCTCTTTAGCATCATCCTGTTTGCTCTCTTTAGCATCATCCTGTTTGCTCTCTTTAATAGCGGCATCTTGTTTGCTCTCCTCTTTTTCCCCCCCTTCTTCTTTTACTTTTTCAAGAGGTTTTTCCAATTTGTCTCCTTCCTTTACTTCCTCTTTCCTCTTTTCATAAACCTTCTTTCCCTTGTTCCCCTTTTGCAACTTTTTCGCCTTATTTTCATTAAAGCTATTGCGTCTTTTAGTCACCTCATTTTGGCCAAATCTTTTACCACTCTCTCTCATTTCTTGGAATGTCAACAACGACATTTTCTTCAAAAGATCCTTCTTATCAACTTCTTGAGACTCTTCTGAGGAAAGTATACCTTTTTCAAAGGACAATTCGACATTCTTTACCAAGTATTGAGCATCTTCCTCAGTGCTGAGCTCAACATCAACAACTCCGAAAAATTCCTTCTTGGCCCTAGTTTTTATCATCCTAATCGAACAAAGCTTCTTTTCCTTTGGTAGAAATGGAAGAATCTTTTCGTTAAACCATTTCTCAACCTCGTCTTGCGTCAACTGGTGGGGAAATCCTTCAATATGAACAGTATTCTTTTTCTTGGTGCTCTTCACTTCGTTGATATCCTTCAAGGGGTCTTTTCTCTTGATCATATCATTATTTGAAGATAAAAGTAGCTTTTCGCTCTTCTTTAACGCATCAATAACCCTCTCCTCAGGCCTATATTGTTTCATTCTTCCAAATGTTAAAATCGTCTTCAACTCAACCCATCCATCATTGGATTCATAAATCTTCCATAAAAACTTATCTTGTTGTAAATTGGAGTCGGAAAAGTAAAATTCAACTTGCTTTCTGACTTTTTCATCAAAGTCTTCACCCTTGTATACAAATTCTGTCATGGTAAAAACTCTTTCTATCTGGCAATGCTATCAACAAATCCATGTGTTCTTACTGAATTCTTTTTTTTTTTTTTCTTCTTCTTCTTCTTCTTTCTTTCTTCTCGCTGAAAAATGAGATGAGATGAGATGAGATGAGATGAGCATCACCATAAAGAGAAGTCGATTATAACTACGAGCGCAGTTGTATATGAGCCACAAACAGCAACGCTGTTTCTTTCACCAAAGCTGTACTTCATTGTAAGTTATATAGATTCCAATAACTCTACATGCGTGCAAACGGATCGCTCACTTACTCAGCTTTACCATTTTTGTTCAAACAACTCTGTTCCATATCCCTTGTCTTTTTTTTTCTCTCCTTCTCTCTAAACCAATGCTGAAAAATATAAAGCTGAAACATATATATATATATATATATTGCTTTACTGGGGAAGTCTATGCTTTGTACGCGAGTAAAATTTTATCAACGCACACTTGCTCGAGTTAATCTTTCCACCAGCAGAATGTCTAATAATTATCCACAAGCCACTGAAAGTCGGGCTCGTGAGTTGGCTGAGAATTATAATGCAATCCTATCCAAAGTTGATAAGCTAAACCCTAGTGTTCGGTTGGTTGCTGTATCAAAGTTTAAACCATCATCCGATATAATGGCTTTGTATTCCATTGGTGTACGTCATTTTGGTGAAAACTATGTGCAAGAACTTGTTGCAAAGTCTCAGGAGTTACCCAAGGACATTTGCTGGCATTTCATTGGTGCACTACAACTGGGGAAAGCAAAGGATTTGAGTAATAAAGTTGCAAACTTGTATGCAGTTGAAACCGTTGATAGCTTGAAAAAATGTAAGCAATTGAACAATGCGAGAGCAAGAAATGACGGCGAAGTGATCAATGTCTATTTGCAAGTAAACACTTCTGGCGAAGAGCAGAAATCAGGTTTCACAAGTGAGGAGGATATGCAAGAAACAATTGAGTACTTGACCAATGATCCGGAGTCCACAAAGTTGAAATTCCAAGGGTTGATGACAATCGGGTCTTTTGCCGAGTCTACAAGCGGTGAAGAGAATCACGATTTTAAAAAATTGCAAGAATTTAAGGAGAAACTAGATAAAAAGTATGACTTGGATCTTCACTTGAGTATGGGAATGAGTAACGACTTTGAGCAGGCTATCAAACAAGGTAGTACCAGCGTCAGAGTCGGATCCTTAATATTTGGAGCAAGACCAAAGAAAGAAACGTAATAAAGAAGACGTAAAGTTGAATAAAAATAAAAATAAAAAATAAAAAATAAAAAATTAACAATAATATCATATGAAGTAATTTTTCAAGTTACTTTTTATACGAACTAGATTTTGTTGAATAACTTTTTCAATCCATTCTTTGTATTCTTGGCCTCTTTCTCAACTTTGTTTGTTGTTTTTTTCGATTCTGATGCATTTTTTTTACCCTGTTTTCCAGTGTTTGCTGATGACGAAGACGAATTCTTGTTATTTGAGCTTGTCTCAGCGGTGGAGTAAAAAGAGCTTTGCTGATCACTTTCGTCTTCATTGAATTGACCGCCACCAAAAACGTTTGTCGCTTTTCCTGATGTAGGGTCTTCCACCACACCAGTAGCAGTAGTAGTATTGCTATCTTTTTCATTGTTTTCCACTCCTTCGTGTTTGTCATTTGACAATTTCGACGCACCAGCTTGGTCATCATTAATGTGCTTGTTGTTGTCAATTGTACTATAGAATTTGCCACTTTCGGGACTTGATTTTGATTCAATGATGCGATCCCCGAGTTCTTTATCTCTGTTGAGAGAATCGTAATTGCCTCTTGACTTCAGCTTGGTGTTCTTCTCGACTCTTGCCAATTCGGCTTGCTTTTCTCTCAAAATTTTCTCCTTCTCAGCAATAGCTTGGGCCTGTTCTGAACGTGAAGTCACTTTAGTTTCTGAATACTGAGCAGAAGTTGAATATCCTGACTTGTTGCTATCAATCTTTTCTGCATCAATAGTTTTGTCTGCATCATTACTTCCATTAGTAATAACTGGAGATTGAAAGTCCATTGTACTTTCTGGCGTAAAATGTTTCCAATCTGGACATTCGCGCACCTTGATTGTTGGTTTGACAATATTTGAGTAATGGTCATGTCTCAATTTCATATCATTATCAACAAAGTCGTTTTCCCACTCAATATCACTCTTGAACAAGTTGGACAATTTGTACAAAACATAGCTTAAAATCAAAAAACAATGTTCTGAGCCAAACATCAACAACACCAATAATAACGACGACGATACGTGAACACTGGCATTATCAAATGTAAATTGACCCATTGACTTTGGAGGAGCCGTACCATGGCGATAGAAGGCAGTGATCACTGGCGAAATAATCGAGCCAAGCCATGTCAACAAGAACAAAGCCCAGTTCCAAGGATGAATAGAGTCCACTCTTTTGGGAATAGGCGGCTTGAAATATCTTCCACTAAGCAACTTAAAGTTATCCAATTTAAATATCAAGATATCAAAAAGCAACGAGAATAATGGCGCTAACGGCCAAACTGGGCCAAATATAATCAAATAACCATATTGCAAGATTACACTTCTAAAGTCATTATCAACATTGTATTCAGGTAAGCTCATAGATGCCCTTACATTATGCAACCAAATAGCTTCATAAGGATTATCATTTTTTACTTGCAATTGGGGTTTCTTTTGAATATAAGTACGCACATATTTTGTAACATGGGTAATGATTAATGGCAAAACATACTTTAAGAAAATTTGGATAGCTTGGTTAGTGACAATAAAGTAAAAATACTGAGCGTTCAATCTACCCTGGTTGATTTGGAAATTTCTCTGATTTTTCAACTTGGTCAAATATTTGGTGTAAAACCTATTTTCACCAACATATGAGTTTATTGTCAATTGTATATCACTCAAATGGGGTCCAACTAAGTGAGCAAATGGTAAATACAAAAAGGAAGTAATAATCAACGGCACATAACTCGTCAAAAAATTCAAGACAAACTGTTTCACCAAGATTGAATTATTCTTGCTGAAATCGTTATCGTGACCTTCAAACTTGATAACTACTTTTGTGACAGCATCGTAAACAATTGTCAAGATTGGAACAAAAACTGAGATTAATACAGTTGGCAACAAAGTCAATAACGATTTTCCTGGCCCATCATATATATCAGTTAAAAAAATTTCGATAAAAAAACATCCCATCTGGTAACTGATCAATATAGCAACAAAAACTAAAGCGATTGGCACAAAAAGTAATTCCTTGATAAATCGCAATCCTGAGCTGTTATCCTTGTGGAAATAAGTTGATCTTTTTTCAAATTTCTTGTTTATTTGAGCCAATTCTGAAAGATGCTCTTCGATCAAGTAGCTATTCTGAACACCCCACAAGTTTGTCAAGTACTGTTCTCTTCTATGCCAAAACGTAATGAAAAAAGTGCCCCATAATAAATTTACAAAAGTATAATACAAGGAAAAAGTATTGGTTTTCTTGAAATATTGAATCAATCCCAAAATTGACAAGCCACTTATCCAGTACATATAGTACTTCAAAAACTCGAAATAAAGGGCAATTTTAATACCATAAACCTTTTTGATCTTATTTGTTGAGAATTCGGTTCTCGCGAAATTGGCCTTCAACTCTTCGATTATATGTGTGTCATCAAATGCATCGGTTATGGGCACAATACTCTCGACATTTTTCCACATTCCCTGGCCCGGTGTAACGCCGCATCCGCCAAGCTCGGTGCCGAGGGTCAAATACAGATAGACGATTCTGAATCTAGCACTTAAAGACTCGATTTTTGAAGTTACTCCAAACTCATAATTTTTGATCAAATCTTTTTCACCTTGCTCAATATAAGTATCTGAAGAAAGTTTGATAAAAATAAGCAAATGATCTGGATCTCCTGGCCTGATTGTCGCTGAAAAGCCACTGTCATATAGCTTCTCAATAACTTTTGCTAGCTCTTGCTCACTTGACCCCTTGCTTCTCCCAATGGGGTAGTAATAGGAGATGTAAAAATCAGGTTCAATTTCTTGAAGTGGTAACATTTCCTCTTAGCAGCTCAATATATTACCTCTTAGTTGCTCCTAGCAGGGCAATTGGTTTTAAAAGTTTGGTTTCAAAGGAAAACTAGAGAAATAGCACAAAGGAAGAGGAGAAACTCGCTGGTAAAGAAAGAATATAAATCTTTATAGTAATGGAAAATTATGGCGATAACATGATTGAAATATTTCAATCACACACATTTTCCCCAGACAAAAAAAAAAAAAAAAAAAAAAAAAAAAAAAAAAAAAAAAAAAAAAAAAANCGCAAATTGCAAAAAAAAAAAAAAAAAAAAAAAAAAAAAAAAAAAAAGAAAAAGAAAATTACAAATTACAAAGAGCCAAGGGGAGCCTGCCTAACAGAGAAAGCATTGAAAGAGATAGTAATTGAGGAGACAGCAACTGCGGAGATAGTTTCAGAAAGAGATAATAAACTTGAAGAGCTGAAATGTCCACCCTTTGGTGTTATCGGGTAATATAAACACCTCGGATGTTTAATTCTTTAATGTTTTCACTTTTATTGCTTTCTTCTTTGATGATTCAATTTACCCAATTTGTAAATTTCCATATTAAGGCAATTAAGTTGAAGCAAACGAAAATTAGTATTCTCTTGAGAAGAAAAGTTTAATGTAAAAGAAAAAGGTAAAAGGTAAAAGGTAAAAGGTAAAAGGTAAAAGACAAAAGTATAAAGAGCTCTATTCAACCACGAGCTTTATACGAAAGTCAAATTCCATCTACAACGTCTGATTATCAATTAAGACCTGAAAAAACGTTTGTACCTTTTTTGCACCCACCATTTCTAGCCATGTCTCGGTATGCGTTATTCTTTTTATCGAATGATTCGATTCATTGAGTGCGAAAAAAAAAATATGACCATTAGGTAATAAAAAAAGAAAAAGTTTCTAACCATTGCGTTTGCATGTAGTAGTTTGACTATCCCGTGACACTATCGAGCAGAACCAGCACTCTATCGAGCAGAGCGAGATAATGGAACAGCATTGATTATCAGGGTGGTCAATATATGCTAATGGAAGGGGGAAAGCTGTATATGTATGATCAAAGGAAAACTGTTATGTATGATTAAAGGAAAACTGTAAAAGTATAATTTAAGGCAACATATGCTAATAAAAGAGAGAAAACTCTATATGTATGATTTAAGGCGAAAGATTTATTTGTTCGCCCCACTAAGCCATTGATTTCCCTCGCCCCACCAAGCCATTATTTTTGTTCGCCCCACTAAGCCATTGATTTTGCTCGCCCCACCAAGCCAAAAAAATAAGAATAAAAAAGATTTCTTGAAAAGGTGAAAAATGGCACTATTTTTCCCCTGACGCCTAAAAAAGAATAAACTACATTAAAGGCGTGTTAGTACCAGCTAGTGTGCTCCACTATCGAGCGAAGCAAGATTAAAATAAAGTGTTTTTTTCCTTGATAGATCAAAGAGTGTAGATAGATTAAAGAGTGTAGATAGATTAAAGAGTATAGATAGATCAGAGTGTAGCTAGTCGGTGCTGCTCCACTATCTCGCTATGCTCGATAGTGTCACTGTAGTGTCACTCGATAGTGTCGATGTCACCTTTGAATCTCTCTTATTCTTATTGAGAATATAATCAAACGCGTGTATGTAAATGTTTATAAACCTACATACTCTTTCGGTATCGGTCTAAATACTCGGATTTTACCGCTCTTCAAATTACCAATCTTATACAGCTCTTTCTTGATAACTCCTGAGCTGTCTTGTTCAAAAACCTTAAATTTGTCCTTATTAGGATCAAAATCATAAATCACACCAGTAAAGCAATCTCCAAGTGTTACGGATTTGTTACCCATCAAGCTCTTGTGCGAGTCAAATTTCCCATTCTTGATCCATAGTATATCACCCAGTTTGATATCATCAATCTTGGACACATTGGAGTTGTTAAAATTCTTGTATATCGTTACACCAAAAGATTTGTTTCCAATCGGCGATATTATCTTGTGTTTCAATTGATTTGACTCAAATACAAAATTGACCAACTTATCTTCTAGCTTTTTACCAACAAGTTGACTAGCCAAATTCACAATAATCGGGCCAAAATTCTTGTGTGCAATATCCAACAAATCCTTTCTCATTGGAGGACTAGGCTTGACAAACTGGTTAACTAAATGTATTGTATTTTTGGGATCTTGTTCTTCAAACTCTAACTCAAACACCAACTGCGATAAATCGTAAAACAAAATATAGTAATCACGGTAGTTTATAATTCTACCACCTCGCTTATGAATTCTATTGGAATCAATCTCGTATATAAGATCAACTCCAATTTTGGATGTTAACGACTCAGGTAGTTCATTTTTCAACCACCATGTGGATGTGGATTTGATATTAGCAATTTCAAAATCCAACTGTTCCAATGCCGTTTCTGCTTGGTTTTGCTCGCTTCCTTTGAGTGACCTGGTTCTTGTAACGCCAGACTCGGTGGATTTTCTACCATGCAAAGAACCAACAGAAGCTCCTGTTGATGTTTGCATCAAAGGGGGAAAGTGATCCGTTGCGGCTCGCTTCGGTGGTTCTCCAATAGGAATAGGAGGAGGAGCATTGCTGCCAGGAATTGGAGGTGGTGGTGGAGGAGCTCTCATTTTTTGATGCTGTTCACCTACAGAGCCCAATGTCTGAGAACGTGGAATCTGGCGCTTTGGTGAATAATCATTAACTAATTCAAGCACTTCGCTCTCCTCGTCCTTTTCAAAGGAACTGAAACCTTGGACATTGTTTTGTGCAACTACATCATCGTTATTATCATTATCATAGTCATTGTTATCGTCATCGTCATCGTCATCGCCATCATCATCATCATCATCATCACCGGGTTTACTTGGTAAACCTCTTACTTCCCGTCTATGCGAGTGCACCAGTGGAACATCTTGTAAGTGACTGGGTGATGCTATAGACACGTTTGTGGGTGCCCGAGAGGGAGGGCTGGAGCCTGGAATGGGGGGTGGTGGAGCACGCGCATGTTGAGGAATTGGTGGTGGTGGTGGGTGTTCACGTTGACGAACTCGTGGAGAAGCAGGAACAGGTGGAATAGGTGGAACAGCATGAACAGGTGGTGCTGGGGGTACATGTGGAACAGGTGGAACAGAGCCTAAGGGAGGTGCATTTTTTGTTGTAGGACTTTGATGGGTTGGAGGATGAGGCGCGCTTTGGTTGAAGACATATTGCTCATTTGGTAAAGGATTAGTTCCATTAGAATCTCTATCAGGCGTTGGATGACTCAGATGGGTAGTTGCATTTAGCTTGGTGTATTCCTGAGACTTGGCTATATCCGATAGATCTTCATCTGCCTCGTATCCAGTACCTTCAACTTCCATAGTTCTATTCTTTTTCAATCTAATTGGCAGATTTTCCCCATGTTCGTCTGCTCCGCTATCGGAAATGTTCACATGTGATTGTTGATACGAGTCAGAAATGTCGTTTCGGGTTATCACCTCTGCTTGATCCGAGTCAGACGGTTCATCGTCTTCGGCCATTGACGAGCTTTCTTGAGTGAACTTTGGTTGAGGATTTTGGTCAATACTGGGTATTGAATGCTGTTCTGGATCAAGAGTTGGCACTCTATTGGGCACATCGGGAAAAGGTGCTTCAACAAGGGGTGGCGACTTAATCTGCTGATCAAGAATGTGATTTTCCTCCTCCTTTTTCTCCTCTTCCGTTTTATTGTCATTGGCTTTTTTTGGAGCTTTAGTTTTCTTGACTTTGTCACTTGGGATACCAGCTCCAAATGGTTGTGGCATGCCCATCATTCCAAACATATTCCTTCCACCAGAAATTTTGGCCATTCTTTCAACCAACTTTCTACGTTTGAGCTCTTCATCGTCTTCGTCCTCCTCATCCTCATCCTCATCCTCATCGTCCTCGTCGTCGTTGTTGTCATCATTTTTTTCTTCCTCTTCTTCCTCTTCTTCCCCCTGTTGTCCTACTATATATCCTTCTTCTCCTTCTCCTACTCCTTTTCCCTTTCCCTCTCTTTGGTCATCCTCGCCTGTTTCGAGTTGTCTCTTCTCTTTATTACCCTGTAGCTTTTGGTCATTAGAGAATCGACGAACTGCATGATCAAATGGTTGCTCACTACCTGGCTCTCCTATGGCAACTCCTGCACTATCGATAGCTGCGTCTCCAGGTTGAGTTTCGTGGCTTTTTTGTTCTTTCAAATGTTTTAACCTTTCTTTTTCTTCAGCGTGTTTCTGTTTCCTCTCTTCTTTCCTCTTCAAAGCTGCAGCTTCTCTTTCGGCCTCCTCTTGCTGCTTTTTTTGAAGTAAGGCGATTCTTTCTTTCAAAGACACCTTAGGACCAGCCTCTTCCTCTTCTTGCTTACGGTGATCTTCAAAAGTGCTACTCCTAACAATATCCTCTGCTGGCTTAGACTCTTCGACTGGGTGTGCGACTAATCTAGAGTCGTCTCTTGGTTTGATTTTGGGGACATAAGAAGATGGTGATGCGGCAACAAATTGTTTCTTTATACTATATGGATCTGCTGGTTTTGCCGATGATGTATGAGGCATTGGTACCATTGGCGAGTGATGTTCTTCAGATTTGAACATAGGTGCATGTTTTGTCGGGAAAGTTTTGGACTGGTGCAAAGAGCCGCTAGCATCTGAAGGCGCACTGGGGGGTTCTGCTTGACCAGTAGAGACGCTAGCATTTGAAGGCGCACTGGGGGGTTCTGCTTGACCAGTAAAGCCGCTAGCATTTGAAGGCGCACTGGGGGGTTCTGCTTGACCAGTAGAGCTCGTCTGTTGATTATCAATTGCCGATGCACCTTCATCTTCCCTTTTTGGCACTTCTTCCTTTGGTTCTTGTTTTGGCTCCTGCTTTCTAACGGGTCTATTCAGGACCGGGATTTGCGGCGCAAGTAATATTTCCACAAAATTCTTAGGAAACATTCCAGTCTTGTTGTCATACTCCCCGGTAAACCATTCTTCATTCTCTATTGCTGTAACTGTAATGATCTGACCCGTTGTAAAGTTCAAATCATCTTCATAATCGGATTTATAATCAAAGATTGCTTTAACCTTGAACGGCACTTGCGGTTCGGCCATGTCGAATCAATAAGAATAGATATATATATATATATATATATATATATATATACGTGTGTGTGTGCTTGATGGAGAATAATAGAAAGCTTGTGATTGTTTGGATTGACTATAGAGACCTTGTGATTGTTTGCTGTTGTTGTTAATTGAGTTGATACTTGATATGAAATAAAAGTTCTTATAAAAACTCTATAATAGGAGAACACATACATACATATATATTACATAGAGTGAGAGAAAGAGAGAGAGAGAGAGAGAAATAGGTAATCTCGGAATTAATATAAAATACCTTAACTATGGGGAAAATCAACATGCCTTAGTTACAATGGTTTTCTTTAAGTAGTGCGAATCTCGCGCATTTTTCCGGGCATATTTGGCAGAGGATGAAAAAATTGAATAGTCTGGGTATTTTAGGTAGAATAAAGGGACAATTAGAGTAAAGGAAGAACAATTAGAGTAAAGGAAGAACATTTTAGGTAAAACTCCTTGGGCAATATTTTTTTTTTTTTTTGGTTTATTGCGTCGAGTCAGAGTTGGTTTACATGACATCTATACACAATGGCTCGAGGTCACAAAATGTATCTAATTCCAAAAAGTCCAATTCTACCTCAAGTAGTGGCTCATCGTCGGCTCTACATATAACCCAGGATACGCTAGCTTCTTGTAGAGAAACCAAGTTCTTTAGCTATCACCAAGGTGCCTCAATAACGTCACTAGATTTCGATAATTCCGGTCAGTATTTAATATCGGCTGGTGTAGACAAATCTATCCAGCTATATGATTGTCACAAAGGTATCCATTACAAAGATATTCAATCTCAAAAATACGGAGCCCACTCTGCGCGGTTTACGCACGAGGGTCTCGATTGCTTATATGCCTCGACTCCCGATTCTTCAAGTGCCACGGAAAATAACGAAAACTCGATACGATATCTCTCGTTATCGACAAACAAGTATATACGGTATTTCCAGGGACACAAAGCCCAGGTGAGCAATATTGAGGTTAACCCCATAAACGATACATTTATGAGCTCGAGCTATGATGGAACGGTAAAGTTCTGGGACTTGAAAACTTCTTCAGCCATGGGTAGTATCGGTGCTGGACAAATTACCGTAGCTGGATATGATCCAAGTGGAACCGTTGTGGCTATCGGAAAGCAGCCTACAAATATTGCGTCAAAAGTGGGCAAGCTCGAGCTATACAATCTAAAGACTTTTGATAAGGGACCTTTTCAAAGTGTAGAGATTTCTTGTTTGCCAAAACAAGTATGGAACAAATTGGAGTTTTCAAATAATGGGAAATTGATCTTGATATCTACCGATACTTGCGAACACTACATTTTGGATGCGTTTCTGGGTAGAGTATTGGCCGTTATACGACTCACATACAGAAGAGACGATAAGTGGATGTCTACCAAATACCCATACTCTGGCTGTTGCTCCTTTACCCCATGCGGCAAATATATACTAGTTGGTAGCCCCAAGCATATAATCCATATTTTCGATTTAAACGATTTAAAGTCCGATTTAGAAAAACCAGTAGTATTTTCAAGGTCAGCAGAAGTATTGAAATCATCTCATGGTTTACCCAAAATCGTGACGTTTAATCCAAAGCTATTTGCATTTGCATCGGCCGACTCTGGCGTCTCCATCTGGCAGCCTCAAGAAAACCAAACTCTGTAATTTCCAAGGTGAAAAAAAAAAAAAATGAAAAATGAAAAATGAAAAATGAATAGTATAGAAAAGTATGTAACAATATACTGTTACATATATATGTATATATAGCTGTATACGAGTGCATAAAAGTATAAAGGCACATTGGTAAAGAATCCTTGAATGAGTTCTTTGCTAGTACGTAGATTCTTAGAGAGATGTACAACACTTTTTCTGGAGACTAAGAAATGTCGATATGAAAAATCAAGATTGAATCTTCAACGTAATGTACCGGGCATTGCTAAGTCTAAATACAGTTTCTTGAGAGCTACACCTAAACCGCCAATTCCCCTTGATCCAAGTAAGTATACACCAAAATTGGAAAATTTCCAAAGAGAAACTTTACCCAATGACAAGTCGGAAATAAGAGGAGTCGACCTTTTGATCCATCAATTGATGATCACCAAATTTAAGCCAAAATTTTACAAGCCACTACTTCAGAATGAGTTCTTGTTGGTGCAATTTTTCCCACGAAATCACCTTGTGAGCAATTATCGGAAATCCAATATCTCCTTTGTGTTTGTTACTTGGGGCATACCAACGATGAATGATGCGATTTTGGAAAATGCACGGAAAAATTACAATGGTCGGTATAAAAAATTGGCATTTTTTACCTCTAAGCCGAGCCCAACACAGTCAGCTTGTGGTAGAACAATTTTGAAAAAGGTCCTTAGACTGCTTTTCGTTGAGGCATTGGACACTGTGAGGAGTGCTTCCAACATAAACAGAATAGCTGGCGTTTATGCGTGCTATATTAAAAAGGTGCCAGTGAATGAAGAACAAAAGCAATTGGTAAAAAAAGGATTCGCTGGGCTTATTTCAAAAATCGCAACAGATACTAATCTTTGGAAGGAGTTGGAGAAAACAAGTAGCAAATCAAAGGAGTTAAATGTTTCGAAACTAACAAATAAAATAAAATCACATTATGAAGCTGGTGGAATAATTGATCCTAGACCACGATTCCCCTTTCTAAGACAGATCAAATCACAAAAAAAATCAAATTTACAAACAAAAAAACTTAAATCTAAATATGCATCTAAAGAATCGTCATCCATGAGGGAGGCTCCGTCTGATACTTTTTCCCACCGTGCTCGAGGCTCATGGAATGCAAATAAATACTAGAATTCAGTATGTAATCGTTCTCAAATAAAGAACGATTGCATTCACCACAAATGGACAATTTTCGAGAAGCAATGTGTTGAGAATGCAATTTCTTAAGACTCTCTAGTCTCTGTGAAAAATTAAAACTCTCATCTAAATCAACGATGATCTGTTTCAAATCCAAAAACTGCACTACTTCCTCTAAATGACTATTCTCAACTTTTGCGCTTTGCAATTTGGCAAACTGGGGGTATTTTTCAAAAATTCGGGCATATAACTCACATTCCAATTCACATTTGAAACGGTAAGTTTTGGCTTCTAACCCTGGTTTATAAAACTTGTCATTTGATATAGGATGACCCAAATTTCTCAAGTGGATTCGGATTTGGTGAAATTTACCAGTTATAGGTTGACACTTGACTATGCTTTGATCCAACCTTTCGTTATACTCAATTCTTTCAAATAAAGTTGTTGTATTGGTTTGTAACTCTGCCAAGTTAGTCGGTATAATGTATCCATTCATGTTGATTGAAAATGTTGGACTGGTGTATCGCAACTTACCAGGTGGGAACTTCCCGTCCACTCTGGCTAAGTAAATCTTTTTCACCTCCAGCAATGTTTTGTTAACAAATAAGTTCAGAAACTCTACTGCTGTTTCCTTATTTTTGCAAAATATTAATACCCCACTAGTGACTCTATCCAACCTGTGACACGTCCATATAGAATCTAGTCCAAACGATTCTTTAACTATTTCAGATAAACTATTGTAAAAATAATTTCCCGAGGGATGTGTCGGTATACCGCACGGCTTATCAACAACAATAATATTCTCATCTTCAAACACAGTCTTGATTGGTCCATGCCATTGTACGTTCGGTTCATGTCGGTGCTGTTTATAATATATCACATCCTTCGCTTCAATTTTCCGTTCGGACAATGCTTCCCATCCTTTTAGGCAATAGGAAGGTTGTGCCGTGCCTACATTATTCATCACATATAGATTTTTGTTAACAATATCTTCTTTCAATGCCTTTTCTGAGTCTCCAAAGTCATTTGTAAACACTTGAAGTAATGTTCTTCCCACCCATCTTTGTTTGACATTAGTTCTACAGTTTACATAGTACGGTAAAACTTTACGAAGTCCATTTTCATAGACGTATACGTGCGCGATCACCATCCATCACCACCACCTCTTTAGCTAGTGAGCTAAAGGAGGTTTATTAGAATGAAAAAAAAAAAAAATTTAAGAAGCATTTGGTAGCGATAAACTTGCAGAAAACCCAGTCCTTTTTTTTTTTCCCAACCAATCTCCACCCCCCAATATCTACATTCAAGACCAGACCTAACAAAAATGTTTAATCTAACGGAAGAAGAACTGAACAATTGTATATACTAAGTAAAAAACCTGATTTTTTTTCTTTCTTTCAATCCTATTCTCTTTGGTGTACTCAGGAGCTCAATGGGAGTACATTGGCTCTGTTTTGGCCAATGATATTTCCTGGAGGATCATATTCGCAAACAATATATAATCCCCAGTTTTCTTTTTTACAATTTTTGTAAGCACATCCGACTTTAGTTGAACTCTTCCAAACAACCTGTGTAAAGTGATCATAAGTATTTTGGAGTGAATAGTCGTATTGCTCTCCTTCAACGTACCATGCTTCAACTGCACTTGGACCATCGGGATAACCAGCTGCCAAATTTTCCCCATATTGACCATGTGTGTGTGTTAGGATCCCGGAACAGTCGTAATTGTCAGCATTGTTCTTTGCATAGTTGTATGTATCTACATCCCATGATAATGATCCAGCTTGGTGAGCTGCTCTATCTTTATTGTGGGCATCTAAGATGGCAGTAGCAAACGATGGATCGATACCATCACATTGACTAATCGCAGCATAAATATCTCCATTTGAAGGGGTCAGGGATGATGGTTGTGGTGTGTAAGTTGAAAAGGAGGATGAGGATGTTGGAGAGTAAATGGAAATTGGTGTCTGTGCTGATGAATCAATAGGAGAAGAAGCAACAGTAGCAACTGGCTGAGTTGTGGACGGTGCGGTCGATGCAGCAGCTGAAGTATTTCCTGATCCTAAGAGTAGCTCACCCAATTTTGTCCAAAAACTAGATCCATCACTGTTTGAGGAACTTGAAGAGGTTGTAGAGGCTGACGAATCCCCACCAAATATTTTACTCAACCATTGTGCAAAGGTATTGGTACTACCCGATGTTGAATTTGGAGTAGTAGTAGCAGCAGTAGCACCAGCACCAGCAGAAGTACTAGGAGACAAGGCTTGTAAAAAGGAATCCCAAAAACTTGAACTTGTGGTGGCTGTTGCTTGTGTTGTGGAAGTACCAGTTGGTGCATTATTAGCTGCTGTTGCCGCCAATGTGTTTGCAGCTACTAGACCCGTACCTGTTGGTATTCCTGTGCTCGAGGTTGAGGTCGAAGTGACTGTTTCCCATATTGTTGTTAATACCGGAGCAGGTGCACAATTTATAAGTTGCAAATAACACACAAGTGCAACAAAGAACTTTAAAGAGCTCATTGCTGCGCTTTGCTATATACTGGATGAAAAGGAAAAAGTCAAAAAGAAAGTTTAAACAGATATTAAAGAGAGATATAAAAAAAGCTTGTTATCAAGGATATTTTGCTAGAAAATTAATCTTGTTTTTATAGAACAATCGATTGCAAAGTATAAAGTGTCAAGGGTTGCAAAATTCATTCCTAATTGGGAAATTTTTTTTCGACCAAATAGGAAAAATCGTATACTGCGTAAAAAAGAACAAAAAAAAAAAAAAAAGAAAAGAAAGAAAGGAAAAAGGCTTCGATCTTAACTATAATGAGAAAGTATAGTTTGAGGCGCCAATACACAAACAATAAGTTACATTTATCCGCGTAGCTCCCTGTTGATTTGCTATAGATCAAAAAAAAAAAGTATCCTAGAAAGAGAGGAAAAGAGTGAAAGGGGGAAAGGGGTGAAAGTGCGGGGTTTACTGAATTTACCAGACATTTTGAAGATTGAGTGGCTCTACATTTTCTTGACGCTACCTTACTAACGATTACTCGAGGGCATATCCACTCAATAAATTTATTCACAATGCTACCCCTCTAGGGAAAAATAGTTGATCAAAGATCAAGTGTTGCAGAAAAGATGGAAATATTTCATTGTCCCTTTGCTGGTATTCTCTTGCTCTATTGTATGGATAACTTTTAACGTAGATAGAAAATCTAAAAAAGAATCTACAAAAATATTTCAAAAAGTTTAATACACAAATATATTTTGTATTTTGCAATAAAAGAGTTTTATTCGATAGATCACAGCTAAACAAGGAAAGGAGAGGGAGAAAAGCATTGAATTTTCAAACTATCGGAACACATTGAAAGATGGGGACTACATTTTATCGATATAGTTGATTAAGTGATAGTGTGTGCTAAAGAATTAACAATTTTACCCATTTACGTTTTACCTACGAAAATTTCTTTTAATGTCAGACTCACCACTTCCGCAACCCCTTTTCCTGTGCAACGTACAACAATCCTTACATCTTTTCCTATCTCGTCCAATATCAAGAGTTTAACTAAAACCCCGTGGTTAGACTTTTGAGTATGTATGATACCCGCGCCACATGCATAAACTGCACTCTCAATTTCACTGCCAGTGCCAGTACCAGAAACATCTGGTATAACGCCAAAGCCAAGCCTGAACAAGGTTCTATTTAGGGCTGCTTGGTCTTGTCTGTGCGCCAACTGTACTGATACTGTTGACTCGCCATCAACGACCCCCAAGTGTTGTCCTATCTGTTGCCATCTTCTATCAAATACATCTATACCTTTTAAGGGTGTTGGAGTTACTGTCTTTAACAAGGATACTGTAAACTTCAAATTCAACTGGTTGAATGAGCTACCGCACATAAATGTTAAGGACATAATAGGACTCTCATCTTTCTTGATAACATCTCTTACAAGCACATTCATTTCCATTTGTGTTTTATCTGAAACAGTTGACTCTGGTAGTTGCTTTACCTGAACTACATAGTTGGGATTACTTTGATTAGTTAAAGACTCTACATCAAGGCTGAGCCCGGTGATGTTTTCACCAACAGTTTTATGAGCATTGTTAATAATGGTGAATTTCATAGTTAACTCAGCATTGTTTCTCACAATTCTATAAGTAATCTTCATAAATTGATCATCATAGAATATACCAGCGTCGAAATGAAGCATTCTTTGATATCCTGAGTACCAGTGTTTAGACAAGATTTTCGAAAAGGTGTGATTTTGTTCATTTTCATTGCCGTTGGCTATATTTTCAGGCTTGCTCTTTATGTTTCTTGCTAAAACAGCAGATTTTGATCTAGTGAGTCTATGGAGGTGGCTGCCAACTACACCAAGTCGACTCATTAAAGGACTTTCCTCTTGGTCAAATGCTGGTATACCTTTAACAACAGATTTTGCTAGTCTAAAGTCGGAATGCAATGTTGAAAGTTTCAAATACTCGTATGCCCTAGTTTGAATTTCAAGATCTAGAGACTGAGTTTCTGCTTCAAACAAATCAATAATTTCAGGAACAAAGTCAGAATCGGGGAATTTAACAAGAAGCTTCAAAAATGTAGTTAAAAGCATTGCTCTTGTCGATAAAGATACTCCAAAATACGCCTTAAAAAGCAAATCAAACTGAATCAGTACCCTTAAATCGTCAGCGTCATCCACTTTATCTCCAAATTCACCAAGAATAAATGCGGCTATCTTGATCATATTCTCTGATATAGGTGGATGTGGGTGTGTTTGATCGTTTGCAAATGGTCTTTTCAACAAATTGATGATTATTTTACATGCTTTCTTTTGAATATCATCGTTATTAACTACAATCTGTACTATTCTTTCCCATATCTCCCTGTCAATAATTCCAGCTTCATTCGAAGTTGATAAACCGCTGCCGCCACCACCTATTGATAGCAATTTAAGCATTGTAGTGACGTACCAGGTTGAGTCTGTTGCAAAAGTTTCTGCCAAAACCGCAATCTTAATGGATAGTTCACCCTTCAATTGTATATCCGCATGCTGGTAATAATCAAGCAAGTGATTGACCAAAGTCGTATAGTTTTCAGTGTTGCAAATGGTATATAATAAATCCAACGCTTTTCGACGAATAGAAACATCCTTGTCATTGAGTAGTCTCATAAAAAGGGGCAAATGTTCATCAAACTTATCCTTTGAAGACAAATACGACGATTTCAGTCTCCCTGTAAGTTTTATCAATGCATCGAGAGCCAAGTATCTAGTGTTTGTGTCGTTTGAAGTGATCAAAACAAGTAATGCATTTGACGCGCCGTTTATTGCGTCTGTGGATGCTTCTAAAAATACAGCTAGCGATACAGCTTGAAACAATATTGAACTTTGAGAATTCCTGTTAGGCAAGCCCTTTACATGCTGAGAAGCATTTTGAATTGATTTTGATACCACTTGACGCAATTCGCTAACTGTGTTTGCGTCCATTTGGTCGATACTCAAAATCAGGTTTTTGTCCTTATCAACAGCCACGAATGCGCTCTCCACAAATTGCAATAGCTTCACAATAAGCCAAGGAGCCGGGGTGTCATAGTAATAATACTCTGCAGGGCACTCATCTTTTACAACCAAAGCGAACAATCTATGTGCAATGGAAGGCATTATTAATTTCATCACTAAAGGATTGAGTGTCACAATTAAACCAAGTAATGGAATACTTGCAGTTACAAGACCAAGATTTGTCGACTCCTCGATAATTTTAACAAGTCTAGGGGTCCAATTTTCATTTTTGAGAAGCACCTCTGGATATAGTTGCAAGAGCGATTTTAATGCAATGGCTGCTTTTTGTTTCACTATTGGCTTTTGTAGTGGTGAAGTCAATGATGCATAGACCATATCAATAAGCTCGACCCATTTGCCAGAATTGGAATCACTGTCATAAACTTCCACGCTAGTTGCTGTAAAACATGTGGCAATCATTTGAATAGCCAAACAATTGACCTCTTCATTCTTAGACTGCAAGTCCAGTATTAGATGCTCATGAATTTCTCCCAATATGTGATTCAAGTATTCCTTTGGTGTAAACAAGGTTTTCTTGCTAATCTTTTCATTGTTCAAGAGTATTGAAACAGCGAGATAACCCAATTTCTTCTCGCTGAATATGTTTGACATCAACAACTCTTTCGACTCTCGAAGTCCAAAGTCGACGAGGTCCGAATTGCCTAGAATATATACATAGATAAGCTTACAAACATATTTCTTTTTTTGGTACCCGTTCAATGTTGTCGATGACTGAAATTTGGAGCGTATGTTACTAATTTCGTGAGTAATCTTCTTATACTCTTCTTCTTGATCTTTCGAGTTTCTTAGATCAACAATGAATTGGTTCAACCCTTTCATGGGTCCTTTACTTTGACTTTTCAGCATTCTGCAACCACGTGTAAGACCCCCTGATACCGAACCACCTATAAAACCCTTGATACCAAACCGCTTGTAAAACTCCTGATACCGAACCACCTATAAATCCCCTGATACCGAACCACCTATAAAACCCCTGATACCAAACTGATACCGAACCCCGCTACTGTTTGGTAAATCACCCTTTACTCACCGACTGCCCTGGTTGTTTTTTTTTCCAATTGTTGAAAAATAATTGTCCCGTTAGGTTCAACTCCGAAATAAAATATTCCTTACCCTTTTAATCGAAATCATTTTTCTCTTCAGTGGGAATGGCTTCGCGTTTTCTAAACCTCAACCGAAAAATAAGTTGGAAAACAAAAAAAGCTTCTCGTTTGTTTATGGAACCATAGCTGGAAGAAACTAATGATTTATGCATATGGGAGTTTGTAATTAATCAAGGATGATAATTCAAGAATGTTGCAAATTCTTCTTTATTGAACTTTCCTCTGGAAAAAGTCACCGTTCATATTTTTTTCTTTTTTTTTTTTCAGATTGCACATATAGTTGCTCCCTTATTAGACTAGTTGTACCTATAGAATCTATCTGTATGTAATCCTTGCCCCATATCTCGTTAACACCAACACTGTATCCATCGGCGTGGGCCCCCTTGACTCTTAATTTAGTCGTGTACATCTCTACAAAAATTGTTTGTAAAATTTCATTGGTTAAGCTTGATAAATTTTTCGGCGGGCCACTCAACATTAATACTGGCTGGAAAAAAAAAAAAAAAAAAAAGGTTGATAGTCAGGTATATATTTTGGGGTATCTTGTTTGCCAACTTTATATATATATATATATCTATCTATTCCCTTACAAGTCATGTCCGCTGTTGCTCAACAAGTTGCTAAGAAAGTTGATTTTAACAAGATCATCAAGAGTTTGGGATTAACCGGCTCAACAGCAGCTTCATTACAGGCATTCAAAAAGAGATACGATGAAGCTAAAAAAAATTATATAGATTTGCAAGCTCAAACAACTGAGATTGATTTTAACCACTACAGATCAGTATTGAAAAATAGTAAGGTTGTTGATGAAATTGAAAAAGCTGTTACATCATTCAAACCAGTCACGCTCGATCTTTCCAAAAATTTGAAAAACATTGAAATTTACGAACAAAAGGCAATTGAAAATGCTAAATTGACTGAAAAATCGGTAACTCAAGAGATTGCTCAATTACAGGCTACTTTGAAGGATATTGAAAGCGCTAGACCATTTGACCAATTGACTGTTGACGATGTTGCCAATGCTACCGATGTCGATGCCAAGGTTACATATATGGTAAAGAATGGTAAATGGAATGTTCCTGGTTACAAGGAGAAGTTTGGTGACTTGGCTGCTATGTAGAGAGAGAGAGAGAGAGAGAGAGAGAAAGTTTACCCGTTTTTATATAATAATAGAAAAGAAAGAAAAAAAAATGAACAATAATGATGATAATGGTATTTTGGGGTTGTTAAAGCCATCGATTCAGCTCTTTATTAAATGATTTAATACCGTCCCTTGTCTTGTGACATATATGCGTAAAGGAGTCTAAAAAGGGAGGAGGTAATTTGCTATATTTTTGAATATCCAGCTTTGGATAGTAGTCAATTGGGGGGAAGATGCCATGGTCATACGTTGCATCATAGCTCAATACTATTATCGAGCAACGGTACTTTCTAGTAATTTGCCTGAGCAAGATTGAAAGTTTGTGGTATAGGTTCAATTGCGGAGTATATGTCTCGAAACCTAAGTTTTCATAGTTATGGTCGTTGAGTATTTGCAATTTCCAGTAGAAAACAGATATATTGGTAATGATTAACAGTTTTAGCGGGTTTTGAAGATTCAATATAGTTTGGTTGGTGAATTTGAGGATACCTATTAGTATTTTTAATAAATCAGAAACAGTTTCTGCAATTACTAGAGAATAATTGATGTTGTTATCTTGCAATTGTGGGCTCTTGTCTTTCCCACAAGATATCACCAATGTCGTGCTCTCGTCCACCATTACATTATGGAAAACAGACACTAACAATCTCTTATTTTCTAAAAGCACCAAACATGTCTCTCCCAGATTTATCACTTTGCTCCCTTTATCAATCTCTATTCTAGATTGAGGGAAAACCACGTGATCAACTAATTTGGATATCTTCATTACTGCGCACTAAAATTCAAATCTAATTATAACCATCTCACCATCTCACCCACAGTGTATAGATTTTTAGTTTTTTTCCTATAATCAATAATAACGGAGAAGAAGAAGGGGGGCAGGAGAAAGAAAAAAAAAAAAGAGGAGACAATCTAGTATTTCCAATTGTGTTACCTCTAGAAAAAACATACATAACTATAGTATACAAAGTTCAAGCACAAAATCTGGCTCTACAGTTTTTCCCAAAATTTCATACCTGATAGATCCTGTGCCTGCCAACCACTTTGTATGTATTAAAAGCAATTGCCAGTTAATTTTTGATTGTTTTTTTTTCTTTTCTTTTTTTTTTTTTTTTTTTTTTTTTTTTTTTTTTTTTTTTTTTTTTTTTTTTTTTCGTTTATGAAATTTTTAGATTTTGTATGCAAATACCCGCCCTGCAATTACATCTTAGACCCATCTAATAATTAAGCGAAGATAGATAATGGCAAATATGGCACTTAAATCGGTTAAGCGAATAGTCACGGTGGTTGGTGTATGCAGATTCTACCCCATACTCAGACGGATCTTGAGTCGAATATTACAGCCGCTAGTTAAAATATCGAGTATCTTCAATTTTTGTCTTTTTAGGTTAACAAGTGCAATTTTAAGTGAACGCACGGTACAAGAATTTGGCAAGGAATGGTTTAAAAACTTTGCATTTGTAATGGGGTGTATATTATTCACCGCCTTGGTGAATTACATTCCTCGCCCTGAGCATATCTTTTACAAGTTTTTATACCGGTTTGATACTTATTTTTTTGATGTTTGGAAGCAGCCCGTTGGGTCAATAACTGGGTTAATTTTGACATGTCTTGGCTCGTGTATTCTTTACCATGTGCACTATAGAATCGACGATGGTTTGAAACTACCTCACCATCATCATCATCATCATCATTCGAACCAGATATTCAAATTAAAACCTTTGCAGATTTCCACGGTATTGACTAGCCGTGCCAGTGGCTCTGTTGTTAGTGGTTGTAGTGGTGGCGGCGCCAGTGGCTCTGCTGTTGGTGATTGTAGTGGTGGCGGCGCCAGTGGCTCTGTTGTTGGTGGTTGTAGTGGCGGTTGGGGTGGTTGTGGTGATGAATTATCGTCTGCTATTAGTTCGAGACCGTCTACTTCAACCACTGGCTCCTCCACATTATCTCCTTTAAGTGACATAAATAACAACTATATCATCCCTGACGAGGAGATATTTGAACTAAGCTCAAAAATAAATGTCGACTACTTTGGCTCCCAGATTGTATCTGGCGACAAATCAACAATACAAGATTATTGGAGAAAAATGCCTGCAATACTACTATTATTGGCATGGTTTATCTTGAACATAGTTTACAATTTCAAACACCCAGTTTACAAGACCAAAAATATCGTCGCGTGGGTGTTTCATGTTCCCGTCCACTTTATTGTGCCACCAGTTGCTGGACTTTGGCTATATATATGGCATGCGCCAGGAGCGCTTCAATTGTTGACTTTATGTTTGGGATTCCAGAATTTTGCATTGATCTTAACCTATTTGGTTTTCCCCAATGCGCCACCTAGTTTTATTAAACTATACGGCGACAATAAGGTACCAACATTTGATATGATTTACAGTGATGGTCAAGCTTCAGAGGACAAAAAATTTTCATTCTTGCTTCATAAGGCAATTTACTATGCCACCCCACACAAATTTGCTTCTTTCCCATCATTACACTCAGCATTTGCCTCTTTGATTTGCTTTTTTGTATGCCACTATTCAAGATGGTCATGGTTTAAACTTTTGAGTCTTGTTAATGTAATTGGACAATGGTGGGCCGAAATATATCTAGATCATCATTGGAGAATCGATAGCTTGGTTGGATTAATCTATGCCATTATTATATGGACATTAGTGAAGGATTGGTATAAAAGCTTAGCTGAAATCGATCTCAAGTTTAGTAAAGCAAGAGCCTCTGGTGATTATGTAAATGGAAGTACAATGGGTATGCGTTTATTTTGGGGAACAAGACTACAAAGCTTTTTTGATCCACTAGCTTAGCTTGATAAATGTGCTACCTAATGGTATTAAAGGAGAGATGAATCATTATATAGTATATATGTCCCTTTTAGTTCAACTCAAGCAAAACAAAGTTCCTACATTTCAGTTCTAGAGAAATTTATGTATATTTTTTTTTTACCAGAATAAGAAGCCAAAAAAATGCAGTAGGTTAGAGGCAATGTGGATGTAAGGTAAATGACCATATGTTGGATGAGGGAAGATGCTCAAAATGAAAAAAAAAAAAAAAAAATAGAATCCCATCAACCAAAAGCAATAAAACAAAATAAAACGGGGAAAACATAAAAAAAGAATATCGAAAAAAAAAAAAAAATGGATGAAGTTTGTCCTCTGGTAGTAGGAAATTGTGGTTGTGATGGTTATGGTGGTGGTAAAGATGGGTTGTTGTTTTTTTATTGTTTTACCCGCCTCTTCCTTAGCATTCAATTAATTCAACCACATCCAAAGTGACTGGGTGACATTGGAAAGCAATTGGTTGGTCATATAAATTGTAGAAATGACCAGAAGCACATTGATAGAATTTGGTAGAGTTACCTAAAGCTAATTGTCCATCTTTTGTGACTGACCAACCTGCAGCGAAAACGGCACCATGTTGTGGAACAGGGCCATCGAATTGGAACTGGTGACCAGAAACAATACATCCGATTCTACTGTCAGAGTCTCTCAAGACTGAATCTTTCAAAGTCATTCTTAAAGTGGAATTGGTATAGCAGGCAACGGAGTAAACAGGTGATACAAATTCATCGGAAGTTTCTCCATCATCTTCTTTTTCTTCATCCTTTCCTGCTTCTTCAGAGTCTTCATCATCTGATGATTGGTCTCCTTTCCATTTCTTGTTATGTTCACGATGCTTTTTATTATGAGCACGATCTCCGCGATGTTTTTTACCATGTTTACCACTACGGCTTTTACCGCTTTTACGTTCCTTTTCGTAAACTTCGTCAACTGTCTCGGTGTTTGGTTTCTCTGACTCTGCCAATGACGATTCATCTTCAATATTGTCTCTCTTTAACAAACCCCCTTCGTCAATAAAATTATCATCTTTATTCTTAATAGGTTTCTTTTTCTCACCTTTGAGTTTTTCTTTATCGTCAGGACAATTCTCGTCATACAACTCCTCATTTACCTTTTGAACTTGTCCATCTTGGATTTGTAAAATGATATCCTTTGTCTTTGTTGGCTTTGGTGCTGGTGTAACAAAACTAGTTACAACTGTTGTAGTTAAACTTCTTGCAATTGAACTAATCTTGGGTTCCTTTAAATCCCCGTCCTCGTCAACAATATAGGGATTCACAACTATTCCAAATGAAAAAGGTAATGTCTTGAGACTTCCAGGTAAGAAATCGCAACTTGGCTTGTAGTTGGTCCAATCTTCACCTGATGCAGGAACATAATAACCTTTGATTGTTGGAAACAAGTTTGTAGTAAGAACCACAAGTGGTAATAAGACTGAAGATAATTGATGCATTTTTTATTATTTAATGTGGTAGTAACGAAGCTTTTCTCAAGTATGCTATGCTCTAAGGGGGAAAAGAAAAAGAGAAAAGAGCAGTGGATAAAGAGTTTTTTAAAAACTAGTTGTGAAATCAATGGGTATGTTTTTTTATATCTACTTGAGAACGGCTGCGAAAAATAAAAAGAAAATAAAATGTACTCTATTGTTTGTAACGCTCGTATTCTGGCACGCTACCTTAATTGTTGCAGGAGAGAAAATTTGATATACCTGAAAAGAAAGTTTAGTAAGCAAAGAAACAACTTTATGAACAAAGATCACTTGGTAAAGGAAAAGATTTTGTTGAAGAAGTGTAAGTAATAAGTAAAGGAAAAGATTTCGTTGAAGAGGTGTAAGTAATAAGTAAAGGAAAAGATTTCGTTGAAGAGGTGTAAGTGGTACTTTGTTATTTTAACCTACCTTTTCAGTAGAGTCTCTAATTTTCTTTACCTTGGGAAAAAAGAAAGGCCTTGTTTTCTCTTTTTAAAAAGAAAAAGGGGATTCCAGCTTTTCGTAAAGCTGAATACTATGGTAACCATATTTTGTTTGTTCAAATACCTTCAACGCTGTCCAGAAAAAGAAAAATAGGCCTTGTCCTCAACTTTGCTTTTCATCTCTTCCAAACTCGTAATTCTACCGTTTCATAGTTGTACTCTTGACTATACCGTCTCATAGTTGTACTCTTAATTGTACCGTTTCATAGTTGTGTTTGAAACTGAGCAGTATGTCAAGATAGATCATTACTTGAAGCTGCCGAGTATCCACAGAGGACCAACAGGAAGAGCAGATCCCTAGCTAAGTACAGGGCAACACTAAGGAACAAAGCGAGCCAGTGGAGCAACACCTGGTACCAACACCAAGCAGCGAAGCGAGCTAGTGGGGCAGCACTGACTGCTCTGGAGCTGTTACTAACTTAGTTGCTTTAGAGTATTTAAACCCGTGTGTATAGCGACACTGTCGAGCGAAGCGAGATAGTGGAGCAGCACTGATTAGCTACACTGACTAGCTGCACTGACTAGCGAAAATAGCTCGCTTTGCTCCCTAGTGGAGCAGCAATGACTAGCTTGTTATAACACTATCTCGCTTTGCTCGATAGTGGAGCTCGCTTTGCTCCCTAATGGAGCAGCAATGACTAGCTTGTTATAACACTATCTCGCTTTGCTCGATAGTGGGGCTCGCTTTGCTCGATAGTGGAGCTCGCTTTGCTCCCCAGTGGAGCACTGACTGTCAATGACACTGACAAAAATAAATAAAAAATAATTATATATGAATATGTAAAAATATTCTTATATATAGCACTTTGCACTTATCAGTTAGCACTTATAAAGCACATATATTTATGTGCTATATGGTATGCTATATGGTATGGACTATGTATTTTCAATGGGGCAACCCGATGAGGGTGATGACTTGGGTGACAGAGCTACGATGATGATGTCTAGGAGATCACTATCTTTTCAAGTTATGCAGAGAAACTCAAACTTGCTCCACCAAAGGAACTCTCATATCTACATATTTATCAACAATGTTATAAAGTATGTGTCTTGGCAGGATATGTTCTTTACTTTAGGAGTTACACTTATCATCACACATATCATCTTAAACCCTGTGCTCTTGACTGTGGCCCCATTTGTGTTGGTATGCACCAACACATTGATTCCACACTACTTAATTATCTACAAACTGGACAACATCATTTCAGAGACTCCTATAAATAGTTATTCTATCCCCAGACCAGTTCCTTTATTCAGCAAGGAGTTCTTTATGAACCTAACAGATACTCAGAACTTTATGCAGATCCACATCTGGCTATATGATATTCACCTTAAATTATTCTCAGATTACTTGTACTTTAAAAGGGAGGACATATCTTCACTAGTGTTAATTGGATGTGTTTTGGTAGCAGTGGTGAATCTCACCACTGTTCCCATATTGGTGCCAATATTGGTGAACCATTTCTGGATTGTACAATTATCATTAGTGTGTTTAGTCTGGTTGTTCATTATCGGGATGCATCCACACTTGAGGAGCAAGCTTCTCAAGTGGATATACAATGAAGAGGTAAGGGCAGCACTGCAGAGTACTCTTAAGAGGGTGGAGGATACATTGGTATCCCTTTTGGTCGAGGAAGCAGTGGTACCCGCTGCTTCTCTTGTTGAGATTTATGAGTTGCAAAAATGGGACCCAGCACTAAAAGTGTGGGTGCCTCTAGGGTTTTCTGATGATTTCTTTACTACAAACACAGTATCACGCAAATGTCAGAAACTTCATAAATGCGACTCTTTAAAAGAGATCAAGCCGCCACTTGGGTACATCTATGTGCAACCGCAGTGGGTGCTAGACATCCAAGTACAGTGGATTGAAGAGAATCTTTTGCAGGATGTGGTGATAGCTGATGAGAATGAGAAATGGGTATATGATATAGGGGATGTATATCGAAGGAGGAGGTGGGTCAGAGAAGCGACACTATCGAGACTATCTACTCCCAATTCTACCGTCTCATAGTTGTACTCTTGACTATACCGTCTCATAGTTGTACTCTTGATTATACCGTCTCATAGTTGTACTCTTGATTATACCGTCTCATAGTTGTACTCTTGATTATACCGTCTCATAGTTGTACTCTTGATTATACCGTCTCATAGTTGTACTCTTGATTATACCGTCTCATAGTTGTACTTCTAATTACATCTCTATTCCTTACCTTGTTCCCCCCACCTGTCTTCCAATTCCCAAGTCGAAGCAATCAAAACCCATTCAATACTGATTACACATGTGCAGCAAATATACACGACTTTTGGTAAAAAAGAAAAAGAAGATTCAAACCAGTTGAGATATCAAAAAGACCAAAAGGGTGCTTTAACCAAGTCTAGAATTTCCACAGGGGTCCCTCTTGCACGTTAAAGAATGTTTAAAAAAGCATTTGTGAATGCGAGAATTTTACCTAGAACAACACCAAGGCTAGTAAGTACTTACGATATCCATTTTTTAGCTCCTTTTACTAACGCCAAAATTTCAAAGACTCCAACTATTACTCAAACCCGGTTCATATCAACAGAAATAAGAGATGCAATAACCCAAGCTATAAATGCCTCGCCTGTAGTTCTTTTCATGAAAGGAACACCCGAGTTTCCTCAATGTGGGTTTTCAAGAGCAACTATTCAAACCTTGGGCCAACAAGGAGTTGATCCTTCAAAATTCGCTGCTTATAATGTGTTGGAGGATCCTGAGTTGAGAGATGGGATAAAGGAATATAGTTCATGGCCTACTATTCCTCAACTTTATGTTAACGGTGAATTTGTTGGTGGATGTGACATTGTTTTGAGTATGGCTCAAAGCGGTGAGTTGGCGGAGTTTTTGGAGAAAGAGGGTGCATTGATTCCGGCTGAGGATGAAGGGAATCAAGTGGAAAGTGCTGATGTAAAACCAAACAGAGAATAAAAGAGAAGGTGGGAAGAGATGGAAAGAGCATGCTCCAAATGCAGATGGTAATTGCGAGGGGTGGCGCATCGTTTACCTGCATAATAGATGATGGCGGTGCGCGCATCCATCTGCCCCTCCCGAGCGGCAGGGGATTGTTATTCTACAATTGTGTGTTTCTCAAGCACAAATGAATCACAACAATTGAAAATCCTTGTATTTATTTTAAAAAAAATGAGAACCTGTCTAGTAAATTTATAGTGCCAACCCAAAAATGCCTTAAAAAAGTAGATCAAAATAATGCTCTACCATCCCAATGAAAATAAAATATACAAAAAACCACCAAGTAAATATATCGTTGTGAGAACCACGCATTTTCTATACCTTTTGTTTTCTTCTTCTTTTTTTTTCTCCCTTTTCTTTCCTATTTACTTCTTTTCTAATCCTTCGGCTTCTTCAACCGTATGTATGCTTATATTTGAATTACAACCAATCGATCCACCATTTCTTTTTACTGATGATTTCCGTCTAGCTAATAAATTAGAATCATTCATATTCATGGTAAATTTGTAATCTCCATTTATTCCTGAGATAATTGATGACGATCTAGTTTGATATTCAGTAATTTCATTATCCAGATTTGAATTGGTCGTTGAGTAATCATCCTCCCCAGCTTCAGCTGCTATTTCATCTTGGAAAATCTTGGATGCTGCAAGCAGTGCACTGGTAGTAGTAGTGGTGGTGGTATTAGTATTAGTGTTACTAGAAGTGATACTTTTGCATTTTGTAATCATTCGAGGGGTTAATTGTAAGCTAGCAATTTCATCGTCCAACTCAGAGATTTCCTCAGCAAAATCATCTTCATCTTCCTCTTCCTCTTTATTTGCATCAATGTCAATCTGTGATCTATCTATATTGAACACGTTCTTGAAATTGAGTTGAGTAAGATATGGAGTACGAACATATTCACCATGCTGAGAATGAGCAGAGCCATTACCAATTTGCATTTTACTCTGCTGCACCACTCCGTCATCATCATCATCTTCTTCTTCTTCTTCTTCTTCTTCTTCATCTTCATCTTCATCTTCTTCATCATCGTCTTCTTCTTCATTTATACTTTCAATAAATTGGGACGAAGTCTCATCGAATTTTCTACTACCTAACCTAGCTGGGTTATCAAACACGGTTTTGATAGCTCTAGCACGAGGTGATAACACTGCTGGTTGTTTATACACAGAAGTGACAGCTAATCCTTCTACTGTATCGTTAATATCTTCAATGTTACAAACTTCGTAAGCTTGTTGAAAATAATTGCTCGATTCTGAAACAGAATTTACATGTATTCCGCCGTTGTTATTTTTGATGCTGCTGCTGCTGTTGTTGTTGTTGCTACAATCTTCACCTCCCTTAACCCAAGGATGTTGCCAAATCTCTTCAATTGTAATTCTCTTTTCAGGATCAACATTCAACATTTTGGAAATTAGATCCTTGGCATCATCACTGATCTCATCCCACCAAGGTTGTAAAAAGACAAAATCACCATTTATGATCTTCATTGTCACATCATTTGTTTCATCATCGTAAAACGGTGGGAATCCACACATTATAGTATATAGGAAACAACCCAAAGACCAAATATCTACCGCTCTTGAATAATGATTCTTGGATTTTTTCAAGCAGTTAAAGCTCAGGTAACAATTTTTGGAATTACATGTAATGACTTCTGGAGCAGTATAACCTGCTGTACCACATGGTGTTTTTAGTGCAACATTGGACTGATCATAGTCATCAACCAATTGCTTGGCAAGACCAAAATCGGCCAATTTAATCATTCCAATTGTACCCCCTCCTATATGTGGTTTAAATTCTCCTTCATCTACCTTTGAATCGTCATCGGATTTACGCAAATGCTTCCGATATTCTTCAGTAGATCTGGGATAGTAAGGTATTCTCTTGAATAGCAAGTTTTCCGGTTTGATATCACGATGGACAATATTTAATCTGTGCAAGTTTTCGATAGCCGATAGCAATTGCTGAAACACATGACGTGATAACTGTTCCGAGAAATATGTATATTCAATGATTTTATTGAATATTTCTCCACCATTACAGTACTCTAATATGAGAAAACAATAATTCTCAGTGTCAAAGGAGTCAAGTAGTTGTAATATATTAGGATGATGGACTCTTTTCATGATTTTGATTTCATTCCTTATATTGAGAAACTGCTTGGGGGACAAATGTGCTTTGCTAATGATTTTGATCGCAACAGGTGTGTTGTTGTTTGAATCAATAGCCTTGTAAACAGTTGAAAATGCACCTTCTCCGAGAACACCAAGTAGTTTAAAATTGGAGGGTAGTTCAGGATACAAATGGTTTAACGAGGTATCAAACGTGAATGATGTTGATAGGCAGGTGTCTCTTTTTAGAGTTTCATCTTTGGAAATGGTTTTCGCTTTTGTAGCCGTAGCTGTAGCTGTAGCTGTAGCCGTAGCTATTGTTTTTGGTGATGTTGAGACGTTCATTATAGAATGGTTTGTATTGGCATTTGATACTACTATTCCTTTCTCCTTCTGCCACCCTTCTTCTTCTTCCTTTGCTTCTTTTGCTTTTGCTTCTCCTTCAGCAAAACAGGTCAAGTTTGGTGACGAATAATGTGCAGATAAGCTGCTACTTTGTTTCAACTTGGAATGTGTTGTAGTAACAGTTGTTTTTGAAACCGAAGTTGTGGGATAATTTGTATTAAATAGTTTCTTGAAATTCTAGAATGACAAAGTTGTTAGTAAATACTTGAGTGAAATTCTCGTACCAGTTCAAGTGTCATTTAGATAGCGAGCCCCTCCTCCAGTTTGCATTTGATAAAAGGAACCTTCTTTTTATAAAAGAAAATCCAAGTAAAAAAAAAAAAAGAAACAAACAGCTGAACCAAATAGAAACATCATGCTATGTATCTAATGTCAATCAACTCGACTTTCTGTTAGAACGATGAAAAAAAAATTTTTGCAATATGGCGCACTTGTTGCGTAGGTGAGTGGGTCAATGGGTGGGTAAGTGAGTGGGGGGAGTAAAACGAATATGCGAATATGCGAATATGTGCAATTATGGGCCACTACTAATGCATAATAAAACTCAAATCTTACCAGACTCAAACTTGTCCAACTTTCCCTTTTCAGATCAACATCCAATATCGAAAAAATTGGTAATGCATGTTACCTAACATAACATATGCACTTAGCATATGCTAAGTGCATACGCTATGGTTAAATAGCTCAGCAAGCGTAACCCAGCAAGCTTATGTTTGTCTTAAAGCATGCACACTGTACAGTTGGTAGTGCAGTTTAGTGAGGCAAACAAAAAAACAAAAAAAGTCGTGTAAAATGCTCGGATGCGGGAAATCGAATCGAAGGGGAGTGGCACAAACCAAAAATAAAATCTCTTATCATATCTTGCTTGACCACTTTAAAAAAAAAAAAAAATCGGAATCGTATACAGGAAAAATTAAAAAAGGTTTGATCTCTCGTTAGCTTCAAAGAACTATTTTATTGGCTTTTGGCAAAGTTGATTGAGTTGTGCCTAATCGAGTAATCACCAAGTGGCACAATTGTTTTATAACTGATTTTGAAGCTGCACTCGAAAGTGCATTCACAATGCATCATATAACTTATAGTTATATATGTATTGTGCCTTAATCTTTCCACTTTTTTGTGATATGTAACATGTCTCTATTATCAAATGACCTGTTTGTTATGGGAAAAAAAAAAGTAGTGCAATTGTATAATGCTTAGCTTAGGGGAACCGAAGCGCCATATTGGTAAGAATCTTGCAATCCAGGATGAGCAGATTTGAGTGTTTTTCAAGTTAACTTCCGAACCGGAACTCTTCTTAACTAAAACCTTTTCTGCAATACAAATAGATAGTTTCTTCTTATATTTGGAGATTCAACTAATAATGACAAATATCCGAATTGGCACAAAAAAAAAAAAAAAACAAAAAAAAAAAGATTGGAAATAGAGGTTGAAATACATACATCAACTATTGACATAATGGATATAGTAATCTGTTGGTTTTGAAATCAGTAGCTATAGTTATTTGTTAAATGAATTGGAGGGGGGGCGGGATAACTTCTTGGTCAATTAAACATGGATCAAATCCGTTTGTAACGAATATTCTTTCTCGAAATAATGATTTCCTAGGTTTATAACTGAAAGTAAGTGTAATAACAAGAACAAAGAATCTATTTCTAAAAAAGCTTTGACGGGGTTGTTGATTCGGTATATATAGCAAGATAATAACCAAGCATATAGAAATACTTATCTGTTGTTAATTATGTAGTTTTCCACCAATGAGCCATATAGAGTCCGGTTTAGTTACCAGAGCATCCTATTTTTGTTAGTTTAGATGTTGTTTTTTTTTTTTTGTTTTTTTTTTTTTCCACTTATAAATCTGCACATACATAGAATATCTGTTTTCGTTTGTGCATTATTTTTAGTTCATCTGAGGGGAAACAACTTTACTTTTATGTAGCACAAGTGCACTACTTTTTAGTCAGAAGAAGCCCAAAAGGGAAAAGGTAGTGTGAATTAGTAAACAACTAGTAAGTAAATAGAAGGGGGAATAATTGACTAGCATAGAGTAGTTGCATTTCACTTGGGAACATGTAACAAGGTACACTACTCTACCCTTTTTCTCGCTAACTATCTACTATTATTACTAATATTCAATGACGTCATATTTACAAATGGACAGTTTTTATTATCAAGGAACAAAACTTGAAAAGCACCTTGTTTTGTTGATTGTTTCTCAGTCTTAAGCTGGGGTCAGCTTGTACTTGTCTCAGAAACATAATAGATGGAATTTCAATTTTGTCAAGTAGTGAGTATATACTCTTTGTTTCAGGGCATCTTGTAGGTGGGAAAAAAAAATCTCTTTAATTGCAACTTGTTCGACACTATTGAGCAAAGCGAGATAGTGGAGAAACACCTTGTATCATTGATAATTATTCGCAGTATACCTTTTCGTATTGTCTGCTTATTATTGTCAGTGTATTGTTGAAGCAGATATAGGGGAAGAAAACGAAAAACAGTAGAAACTGATAATGCAGAGGCAATGGAAGAAAGGGGGAGGAAAAGAGAAGAATGAAAGTGAATGAAAGTAAATGAAAGTGAATGAAAGTGAATGAAAGTGAATGAAAGTGAATGAAAGTGAATGAAAGTGAATGAAAGTGAAGAAATAAGTGAAAGGAAAGAGAAGAATGAAAGTAAAGAGTGAAAGAAAAGAGAATTCGGAAAGAGAGGAGATCACACGGGAGTGGCAGCTATGACTAGCTGCCACTCCCTAGTTCTAGCTCTGCTTGATAGTGTCGGTATTATTGCCGTTGTTGTCTATTGTTATTTCTGATACTCTGTTGACTACTTTGGCAACAACAACCGTGTGTGTTTTTTTTAACTTTTTACCCCACTTGCCTTTTTGACTGATTCCCCATCTTTTTTCTTGACTTTTGTTTCACGTGAGTTTATTACACCTCACAAGTGTTGTAAACACACCTATGACAACCAACCTATACTTGGGATATTAATACATCTTGAAACAGAGAGACAGAAAACAAAGTGGGTTAGAGGGTTTGACATAAGAATTTTCTGTTTTTTTGATGAGGTCAAACCGCCACTTCCTCTCTCCCTCTCTTTTCACTATTTTAGAAAACATTCTTGGATCTTGAAGAAAAAAGAATTTCTGAATCTCCCCTTTTTTTTTTTTTTTCAAAGTAGATCTACAACACAAAGAAAAATATAAAGTGCCCCTTACTTAATTTACTCAATCAAGACACCACAAGATACTACAAAATTCTACAAACCAACAAGATGCTATTATCGGTTGCATATAAATCAATCTAGTTCTGTAAACGATCTACATCAACCTAGTTCTGTAAATAATCTACAAATAACTCTAGTTCTGTAAACAATCTACATCAATCTAGTTCTGTAAACAATCTACATCAATCTAGTTCTGTAAACAATCTATATGAATCTAGTTCTGTAAGTAATTTACATCAATCTGGTTCCCCTCTTTCTAACAAGATCATTTCTTTTTCCTACTTGCACAACTTTAAAGCTCTGTCAAAAACTGTATTAGTATGACCATAAAACCCCTCCTTTTTGCTAATGTTGTTTTGCAACCAAATTGTTGTAGTGCTTTCATGTGACAAAGCATTGGGTAGCGCATTTTTTTCAATCTCATCCCTCTTCTCTCTTAAGTTAAGGAAAAAAAAATCAGTATAAAAAGTGTTGCTAAAAACCGAATATAAAAAATGGCAGCCAACTTTATGGTAGACGATTCAACCTTGCAAGATTCAAAGCAAGTGCAGGTTAAAAGAAGAAGAAGAACTAGTAGTAGAGTCTTGGCGTCTCCTTCGATCAATGTGGATTATCACGTGATTCAGGAACTCAGCAATGTCTTGACTTGTCTTTCAGGAGAAGTTGATATTCAGCAAGTGGTTTCATTTGTTGAAAAAGATTATTTAGGTAAGCTTTTTTCTATATGGTCGTACTATGCAGCGACAAACAATCATAAGGAGCTTGTTGCTATAACCAACCAGGTGAGCTCGTTGATCAGCATCATAAATGAAAACAAGTTGCTATTTCATTTGCTGCAACAGAAAATCGTTGCTGCATTGCAGGTTTTCTTAACCAGCTATACAACAACCATTTATCGTGCATTGAGCAGCTTGAAACCATCCTTGGTAAACCCAAATATCAGATTATTAGACAATATCATCAAGTACGATCCAGCACTAGTTGAGACCTTTTTAAACAACTTTGATTTATCACTTGCCGTACTACCCAAATTAGTTACACCCAGTAAAATAGAAATCGAACAAGGAGAAGTAAATGATTTGTTTTCAATTCGCAGTAATTTTATCAAATTTTGGATATCTTTATGCTCAAACGTCCTGTCTTTGCATCGACTCGATTTGTTGATTAATCATCCAAAGATTGTCAGAAATATATGGAAATATTTGCAATACGACACTTTAGACTCGATTCACAATTTGATTGAATTTCTCAATAAGCATGTTCTTGACGAATTGAATTTCAAAAAATCAGAAAAGTGCAAGATTTTAAATGACAATTTCATGTTTAAAGTGAATGGATTATTCAATTCCATTAAAGATGGCTATTTTATAGAGTTTATGAATAAACTAACAATGGATTTTAAACTGGGTATAATTTTTCCAAATGACAAGTTTTGGAATAAAGAGTCAAGTTTGGGTGTCATTATCGAAGTCAATTATAAAACTTTTAAAGTTGCCAATAAATTGATTTATACATTGCTAACAAGCTTGAAACCCACAGACTCAAATCAACAATTACAATTCATTGTTAGGGTTTTGTCCAGTTGTCAGGAACTAGTTGCACCATATATGGAGTATATAGTTCAACACGGCGGTGGGTATCATGATCCTTCATTGACGTCATGGTGGATCTCGCACACTTTACTATACACAAACATTTTGCAGATACCAATACCAACACCAATTACAAAATTTTCCGAATCCAATAATCTGGAATTTTCCAAGTATGATGCTAAACTTATTGCACAAAGTATTAATTTGGCACCCCTACTGAAAAGCGCATTGGTCAAGGGTTTGCAAGCTAAAAAAAAATTAATTGTTCAATTAACTTTACAGTTGATCCTTTATATGCTTCTCAAGTTGGAAAAAGTTTTGCAAATTGTTAATGTTTCAAAACAAGAATTGATAGATATTGTATTTGACAAGCTTCCTGATATTTCCATTATTACGCAAGTTTTGACTTTGGATTCCAAAATAAGTCAACTTACTGCTTTAACTGTGATTAGCAAGTATGATTCGTTAATGCCATTATTAGCAAATAAAAGCTCGTTACAGAAACTAGTTTCAACGGGAATCTCGCATATCATTGAGAAGAAATTGCAAAATTTGAAGAGCTTTGATTTGATTGTACTTGACCTTTACATGAATTTACAAAATCAAGATTTCAAATGGTGGAATAAAATCAGCAATGGTCAATCTAATTCTGATTCTAATTCTAATGCTAATGCTAATTCTTTTTATACATTGCTTTTAAAGCTAGCATCAAGTTCCAATATCTCGTCATCTAATTTCGTTCAAAAGATTTACACTTTACTAAACAAGTTAAGTGAAGAAAAGATGTTTTTTAATGAAAAATTATTAGTTACTCCTATTATGGCCTTGATATACTCGGTTGAATCAAAGTCAGAAATGGATCAAGAGTTTTGGAATATGTTGGATGAAACTATATCGAGATGTGTACGCACTCCATACAAGTATCTTGATGCATCACGTGAAAAGTTTGAAGATACAAGTATATTTGTAGTAGCACTCGTTGAACAGTTTAAATATTTAATCAACAAAAAAGAAGAAGAAGGAGTAAATACTAATGAACGCGGGGCATATTTGAACTGGTTATCATCATTTGCCAAGTATTTGGTTATATTTGGTGCTTCAAAATCAGCAGTGAAATTATTACTTGAGGAAGTTGACGCCAATTTATCAATTGACGACTTTGTTGACTTTGGTAGTCAAAGTTCTCCAGTTGATAAGGATTCGTCGTTTTTGGAAATTATTTATAAATTATCAACAGATCAGTTGATTCAATCACCCTTGATTTTAGAAAAGAAAATAATTTCATCAAATCTAGATTATGTTGCTTGTTTAAGCTTGATCCATATGGTTATCGATAAGACTACACCGGCACAGCAATTAATCTCGATTTTATTCAGCAAGATTTGGAATTTTTTAACCAGTTTGGATAAAGATGCGATAAATTACTTTGTTTCTGATTTGATTTGGACTCCATTATTTGAAAGGTGTAAGAGTAATAATGAGAATGCCAAAATGGCATTACTAATTTACAATGAGATATTGCAGAATCTTCCACATGCTGTGACCACCCAATTCAGTCAGTTTGTAGTGAAAAATTTGTTGATTGGAGATGAAAGTTTTGTTCCATTTATTTGGACAATTGAAGACGATGATCAAGTATCTGATTTGTTAAACAAATCAAACACAAACGAAGCTATTTTCAAAGCTATGATACCTCATGCTGTAAAGAAGCAGTTACCACTCAGTATTGATCAATTTTGGAGGCTATTTGAAATGGGAGAAAGAGACTCTTTACTAATTGATCTAATTGATAAGGATTTAATTGTGCTTGATCAAACACAATTGGGCTTGTTAGTTGATAAGATTAGCAAACAACCAAATTTTTATTTCCTATTGCCTACCTTGATCAAGAAATGGAAAACCGTAGCAATTGATTTAATTGATAAAGAATTTGCAAACTCTGATGATGATGATGATAATTATAGCTTAAGGTTGTTGATTTCATCTTCAATGATTCAAGAAGGCATGGAAATACCCCTGGCGTATTTAAAACATAGTTTGGACATTATTAAAAACAAACTCAATTTGCAAAGTTTGGATGGATCTCAATGGTCTTGCATATTGATTATCTTATTATCAGAAACAGATATTGACCAAGAGCTAGTGGGCCATGTTTTAGAATCTATCCCGTTCAAACATACTTTAAACCCCCAGTTTATTCAGTTTATTTCCAAAAAATTTCTTGACAAGCAGGTCAAAACTTGGTTAAATAAGTGCATGCTTTATATAACAAAGAAATTCACCGAACTGGACTCAATGTCAGAGACTTTTAATTCCTTTTTAATTAGCATGGGTGAATATTTCTTTGGCTCTAATATCTGGTCCGTTGTTGGTACAAATATACTAAATACACAATTGGAAGCTATTCTTGAATCCAAATGGGTTGCAAGTGAAATATACTTACAATACATTATCAAATTAATTTTGTGTGCTCCAAAGAATAAAATTGATTTTCTAAAAATTTTCCAAATTGCATTAAACACATTCAGTTTAGAGGAGTTACCAAATAAGGATAGTGTAAAGACGCGGTATTATTGCGTTGTAATAATTTTCCTACTTTACAATTTCGATCATCTGAAACTATCCAATTTGACCAATTTGGATATCATATTGGAAAAGTATCAAGGGTTGAACAGAGCTGAGGATTGTATGTTGAAATTCATTCTTCAAAAAATGGAAGGCAAATTGGCAGTTTCTTGGATAAGTAAAGTTTCCAATTGGGTATTTTTGCAAGAGGAGGGAGGGTCAACAACTGAATTGGACAAACTTGTGACAAAGACAAATGGTCAATTCACGGTGAAGTTGAGCAAAAGTATAATTGAAAACACTTTAAACAGTGTGCAACAAAGCATGCTGCTCGATCTAAGTAAGCCTCAAAGCGCAAGAGTAGAGACATGGAAAACCATTCAAGAAATGGAATTGAGCAATTCCCTTGTTTCCGTTGAGAAACCTGCTTATGATGCTGAATTTCTTTTAATGATAATCCTAAACAACGAAGAGTTGTTGAAGTGTAAAAAGAGGGAAGAAGATGCAACCATTACTTATGCATTTAATATTAAAAATTTAGTGGACTCTGGATTATTACAATTTCTTATTGCAGATCTTGCAAATGAGAAAAACTTATCGGTGTCCAAAATCATATTAAACAAAATCATAACTTCAATAGATGACGAAATTAATCACCAATTTAAAGATAAGAATTTGATGAAAGTTTTTCTTTCTTCGATATTATTTACTTTGTCCACGTATCATAGCAGTAGCACCACCATAGAAACAGAGACAGCTCATCAATATAGGCCATGTGGATTAATTTGGTTTGTTTATTCTCAATTTGTTCCTATTTTGGCTAATCCTGGACACTTTCTCTATGAGAAAGTATACAGGTACGTTCTTTCTCATCCAAGGCTCACACCGAAAGAATTACCATTATGGAATTTGATAACCCACCCACAAGCGGAAGGTAGTGAGTACTACTATAGAGAATTGAATTGGATGATTGAGAAAATCACTCAAGGTACAAACACAATTTCAGATCTATTCATATTGAAAATTGTACAGATTGAAACAATTTTGAATACACTTAATTTGAAGTATCTTAATATGAAATTGAAGACTGCTATATTGTTATTCATTTATAAGATTCAACAAATTGATCAAGGTTGTGATTTATTGATTACAAGGTTCGGCATGCTCAGTAACTTGGCTTTAATTATTGACGATTTAAATCAGAGTGGTAACGGTAATGGTGGTGATGATGATGAAGTGCAAATTTTCGATCAACAGATTAAAAATGATATTCTTGCAGTATTGTGTAGAATCGAAATCAGTGTTAGTCAAAGTCAGCGTGTTCAAAAATGGACTGGTGGTGATTTGAAAAACGGTTTGAAAAGATTACATGCCTCTATATCTTAGGGACTTAAATAGATGAGTTAGTCAATCTAAATAATCCATTATTGATAGAGACACTTCTCCATCAACGATTGTGCTTTGAATATTGCAGGAGGAGGAGGAGGAGGAGAAACAACAAAATCGATGAAACCAGGTCTTGAGTCACGTGACTCGCGCTTTCATTTTTCTTATCTTGATTTAAAGAAAAAGGAGTATATATAATATACGTTTTTCAATTCTCTCGAGGGTGTCTTGATATTGAATTCACCATTGAGCCAGGAGCTTGTAGAGTGACATGTCGGTATGTTTATTATTTTCCGCCTCCTCTTGAACTACAAGAGATTGATACTAACCAAGTTCGGCGGCCTTTTTAAAAAATTTTCCTCCTTTACTTTATGGCTTGCTTAATTGAAAATAGTTAGGTAAATTAACTCACTATTCGATTGATCTCGTACTAATTTCAATAATCTTAGCGGGTATTCATCGGAACACGGGATTACAATTTGATACTCTGCATTTCAGTAGTATCGATATACGTCGTTGGTTTGGTAATTATTTGTCGTTTGGTGAATTGTGTTACGATAAAGTTGTTATAGCATTGAAGATGACGGGATATTTTAAACAACTGAACTTATATTTGGATAATGTGAAAAGAGAAGGTGCTGAATTTTTGAAAAAGCTGACTGGGAGGGATATCAATGATTTTCAAAGAAAATAGGGAAATGCCCTGAGTTTAGGAACAAAGGTACTGTAATCTGCTGATAAAAAAAAAAGAGGGGGGAGAGAAAGTATTGAAGGGGGGGTTATGGTATTGAGTATGCTACATATCTGCCGTAAACATAATTGGATTAGACCCTCATTGATGAAAAGTTGGCCTTGTTCGAGTTTACCAGTTGATCAACGCTACTCCACAAGTGATGAAAGCGCTTTAAGGCGAAAATGAAAAACAGAGAGACAAAAAAATAAAGGTTGATTTTTTAGATATCGCTTTTCAATACAAAAAACTATATCTCTATTATACCCTTCAACATGAGCTTATTTGAGAAATTCAACGATGCCATAAGAAAAGAACAAGAGGAAGACATTGCTCAAACAAATTTGTATATCAATGCATTCTCGCCCAAAAAATTGGCCCAATTAGGTCTTGCGTTAATCAACTTGAACCTTGTAAATATTAGAACCGGTATAGGAGGCAAAACTATACTAGAACTACAAGTAGATAATGCCGTGTCCGATGGGGAGTTGTCCACGAGCACAATGAAGACTGGGGATATTGTAAAGATTTCAAAAATGGCTAAATCTCAGAAAAAGTTGAAAAAGGGAGCTGATAAAGGGAAAGGGAAAGGAAAGGAGAAGGAGAAGGACACAGAGGAAGAAGATGAGTTCCTCGAGGCTGTGGTTGCAAAAGTGACAAATAAAGTGATTACTGTTTCTGTGGATGAATCAACAAGTGATGATAAAATTCTTAGTTATTATAACAACACAAATGATCTGGCGAGGTTATGGATCGTGAAATTGGCAAATTCCGTGACTTATAAGAGAATGATATCTACCATGAACAAAGTGGGTGAGCTAAAGGAATCTCAAAAGAATGAAATACACCGAATATTATTGGGAGAGAGTAAAGTTAACTTTTTCGATAATGCTCAACCAATAAATTTTTTTAACCAAGGTTTAAATGATTCACAAAAGAGAGCTATTGACTTTGCTATTAACAAATCAAACATTTCTATAATATTTGGGCCTCCGGGTACTGGAAAGACAATGACCTTGATTGAATTGATACAACAATTGACCGAACGTGAAGAAAAAGTACTAGTTTGCGGTCCATCAAATATATCAGTTGACACCATATTGGAAAGACTTGGTGATAAATACAAGCCTGCGGAGTTGATACGAATAGGACACCCGGCGAGACTTCTACCGGTGAATCTTCAGCATTCATTAGAAGTCTTGTCCAAGGATTATGGAAGAGACGTTATCAAAGATTTGGAGAGTGATATTCAATCCGTATTGAGCAAAATTATAAAGGTAAAGAGATATTCGGAGAGAAAGGCGTTATATATGGAATTGAAATTGTTGAGGAAAGAACTTAAACAAAGAGAAAGGAAAATAGTACATGATTTACTCAACGGAGCTAAAGTGATATTGGCAACATTACATGGTGCTGGTTCTCATGATATAAAGAAAAGTGGCGTTCTTTTTGATACTATTATTATTGATGAAGTTTCGCAATCTTTAGAACCTCAATGTTGGATACCATTATTGATTAACGATCAGTTTAAAAGGTTAGTTATTGCAGGAGATAATATGCAACTACCGCCAACTGTAATGCTGTCTAATAAAACCGTTACCTCTCTTTTAGAAACGACACTATTTGATAGATTAGTCAAAGATTTGGATGGGGATAGATTTAAGATATTACTTGATGTACAGTATCGTATGAATGACAGTATCATGAAATTCCCCAGTATGCAGCTTTACCAGGACAAATTGAAAAGTGCCGATTTAGTGAAGGATATTGCATTGGTAGATTTACCTGATGTGGAAAATAATGATACTACGTTACCGCAATGTATCTGGTACGATACGCAAGGTGGTGATTTTCCTGAGCAAATAATGGATTCAGTAAAGGGAGATTCCAAGTACAATGAAATGGAACTTTCTGTAGTTGCATCGCATGTACTGAAACTATTGCAAAGCGGAGTTAAATCAAAAGATATTGGAGTAATTGCACCATACGCTGCACAAGTGCAATTTTTGAAAAAGAAATTAGGACCAGATAATTTAATTGAAGTTAGTACAGTTGATGGATTCCAAGGAAGAGAAAAGGAGGTGATAATCTTAACTTTGGTAAGATCAAATGATCGTAGAGATGTTGGTTTTTTAAGTGAAGAAAGAAGATTGAATGTTGCAATAACCAGACCAAAAAGACAATTATGTGTGATTGGCGATCTACAGTTAATGTGTGAAAGTGGCGAAAAGTTTTTAAAAGAGTGGAGTAAATATGTAGAAGACGGGTTTGAAGATGGTGGATCTGTTAAAGCTTATGAGATCATCTATCCTAACATAGCAGAGTACCTGTGATTTTTGACGATTATTAGCTTAGCTATCAGTTTTTCGTTTTGTCGATTTGCCCCATATTTGGGTAGCGCTGTGCATAAATTTATTAAAAAGAAACGGTCAAGGTCAACAACCCATTGGAGTAGAGAAAGGGTATCCTTTTCTTCGGATGAGCAAATTGGTCAACAAACGGATTTATAATACTTTTTAGAGTGTGAATTTCTTTTATTAGTTGTTTGGATACAATCTCGTTCATACCATTAACATTACATGCATGTGTTTTGGTTAAATCAAAACAAGACTTACGAGCATCTGCAAGTACCTGCAGTTTCTACCAATATATACTAAGGTTATACAAACTCTCCACTCTTGCCGTCTGTCATCTATCACACTCTCCTCTTTATGGTTATTTTTTTTTCAGTTATAGAAAGTTGATGATAATTATTATTTGTAAAAGAGTGGCATCAAAATGTATTCACGTACAAACAAATGAGCAATAAAATAAACAAAAATAAAAATAAACATATACTGAAGTCTTTCTCTACAAGAGTATGTAGAAACCATTTTTATGGAGTTGCTATTGAATAGAGGGGTTTGATGTATTGGGAACTGCTAAAAATTTGGAAAAGCACGTCAAAAAATTGTAACCAGTAAATAGTTTTCGTTTAAACACTGAGACCCAGAACCGAATTACACGAAACAGGTTGATATTACTTGAAACTCAGTGCCATTTTTTTTTAACTTGAAAACTAACCTTTTAATTTCACTCAATTTCCCTTTTCGAACCAATTATATAATACGTTCAAGACCCAACTAGACGATGCATTTTTCCAAAAGAGGACGAAGACTTTCATCAAATTTCTTGGTCTAAACAACATACCCAATATATTTTTTTTTTATTAAAGATTTTTTTTTTTTCTTTTATGAAAGAATCACCAACAAGGAAACCGAAAATACTGATTTCTCTTGGGGCATTCTAGGTTTTTTTTAGACTCTTGGGTAATATTTTTCATCTCGTTTGTATTGTGTAGTTGTTGCTGATGTTGTTTTAGATTTGTCTTGTTTATTTATATATCAACTATTTGCACAACATTTCGTATCAATTATGGGTTCTTTAGAAAAGATTACTACTGTAACAATACTATCCTTTGTTTGTCTTATTTTTGACATTTCCACTCGCTTTTAGTAATGAAAAGTATCATATATCATATTGTGCTACTTGCAGCATGTCTAGAGCCACTTGTACAGGCAGAAACTGTAGTTCTTTTCGATACCGTCTATGTGACAGTACTGAGGTCAGCTGTTTATGATGAATCGAGTACTTATTATGTTGAACACACCGTTTATCCTGAGAACCCGGTGGACACTCCTGTTGTTGTAGCAGATGATTACCAAGCAACAGAGGAGATTCCCGAAACTTCTATAGCCGAAGCCCAGCCGCAAGAAGAAGAAGTCAATTATGCACCCAGTGCAGAGCCTGTCCCTGAACCAGAAGTAATTGCTGCACCCGAGACTGCGCCGGTACCAGAAGTAATTGCTGCACCTGAGCCTGCGCCGGTACCAGAAGTAATTGCTGCACCCGAGCCTGCGCCAGCACCAGAACCGGCACCTATAGTGCAAGCAGCTCCTTCTCCTGCTCCTGCTCCCCAAATAGCTCAAGTTATCACTACTGTATTAAAAGTTGAAGAGCCACAAGCTGCTCCTGCTCCTGCTCCTGCTCCTGCTGCAGTAGCCTCTGCCCCAGCTTCAAATAACAATGACGACTCTTCATTTTCCAATGCCATATTGAGCGCACATAACGCAAAACGGTCTTTACACGGGATTGGCGGATTATCATGGAGTCAGGAACTCGCTTCATATGCTCAAAGTGTTGCCAATGGATATGACTGTTCAGGATCATTAAGGCATACTAGTTCATCATATGGTGAGAACTTGGCGGTTGGCTTTTCATCAGCACAATCAGCTGTAGATGCTTGGTATTCAGAAGGTAAAAATTACAATTATAACTCAGCATCTACATTTAATCATTTTACCCAGGTTATATGGAAGGGATCAACACAATTAGGATGTGCTTATAAGGATTGCAAGTCTAGAGGATGGGGATGGTATATCATTTGTAACTATAAAAGCGCAGGTAACTATATTGGCCAAGGGCGTCAAAACATTGTGCCATTACTTTAATACATTGCCATAATTGTGTATACTAGATAATTGTAGACTGTTGTATAAATGTTTGTATAGCATAATTTGATTTGATTTCTCTTTCTGAATTAAAGGAGAAGAAAAGTATCACAATCGAGATGACATAATTTCATGTTGTAATGTGTACCTTACTTTTTTTTTCTTTCATTAAAAACGGTTGATCAAGATAAAAAATACACATTTAGGGTGAAACTTATGGGCAAACCATCATTTTCTATTACGCCAACACAATACTCAATACGAAACGAGGTGCTCTAGATCCCGTATTAACTATACACTACATTGCAATCAGAGAAAGCTTATAGCCTGCGAAAAAAAGAAGAAAAAAAAAATAGAGAAGCATTTAACCAATTTCAATAACCCGCAGTTTGAACTGGAATGTTGGTTTCTCTACAACACAACGAATCGAGATTTTAATAACATTGTTACAAAGACTTTTTAGCATTGTTAACTCACTAACAATAAACACAATTGTGTTTATTGAAACATTGGGACAAAGGTGGAATCAAAAGAGAACGTAACATCTACCATTTTGTATAGGCTTTTATGCTCTATTATCTTACAGTCAGGTTTTCTGGGATCATCAATATTTCCTTGCTTGTTCCACAAACTTGTATCAACAAACTTTGAAGCAACTATGTGTCACGTGATATAATAAAGGGGTTGGTTTGAAAACGCGTTTGAAATTCTGTAAGGGGAAAAAGAAAAACAGAATTAGTTTAGACGAGAAAAGAATAGTTTATAACCACGAAAAATGATTAAAAGCATGGCTCTAAAAGGCTAGACTCACTAGTGGTTACTCACGCTCCCCCCGATTGCGTGCCTTTAATTTCTTACTAACACTCCACAAGCTCAGTAAGATAAAAGTGTACCAAAAAGATGGTATCCAGCACCGAAAAAACCATGCATCACTAAAATTCCCAAACTAGGTTTTAAATGAAAAAAATAAGAGAACAAAAGGAACTTTAAATATAAATGTCAAAGATTCTTTATGAAGCAAAACAAACCTTAATGTAAAAGATTCGTTTCAAATGGCATCTGCCAGTCTATAAGAGATGGTATCAATCCTCTTTGCACTTTCTGTTGTTGCACCTCTTTTCACCGTCTTTTATCTCACCTCTTTCTCACCAACTTTTTTTATTTTACCTCTTACTTTCACCACTGCCTGGTTCCATGCAACATTAAGGCGCGAAAAAATTTATAAAGTTAAAAAAAAAAAAAAACTCGAGAAATTACACTCCTTTCGTAATTAGGCTATAAGCATAAAGCAAAACAAAATTCACGCTTGTTTAAAAAAAGAACAAAAAAAGGTTTGTTCTCTAGGCTCCTTTTTGCTTGGCCTAGGTCTTATATTATCATATATAAGAGGGTCTAGGTGTCCCCTGTTTCATCTCTTTTTTTTTTTTTTCTATTTCTCTGATTTTTCCTATTCTATTATTTTTATCAAGCTCGTTCGTTCCTTGAGGTTTAGCAGTTAAGGAGATTTGAAAATTCCAACTATTTAGTCATTCCTTTAATATCCAATTTACTTGTTATTTTTAAACTCGACTTCAAACCACACAAACCTCGTCGCTCTCATTCCCAAAAGTCCGTCCCTATATTTTTTTTTAGCTTGTATACTTTCACTTACACTTTGAAAAAAAAAAATTACAATTACGCGTTATGAAATTTGCATCTATTGCAACTATTGCTACCACTTGTCTAGGCTTTTCCTTAGCTGGAGTGATCTACCACACTCAAACAATTCATGTTACTCAATATGCCACTGTAGCTGCAGGAGAGCAACCGGCTGAGTCGGTACCTACTCCCACTCCATCTACTTCAACCTGGGTGTTTTCAACAAATGTCTTGGGTCATGAATTTTTATTCACTAGTGTAATTGATGACGTTGAGAACATTTCAGAAGATTTTGTTACCTTATATTATGAAAATGCCATTATCAAAAGTGGAGACTCGCTAACTACTGAATCTAGAGTAGTTCAAGTTAACCCAACTACTTTGGTTACTTCGTTGATCACTGAGGACCCTGTCGCTTCTTCGCCAGTGGCTGAAGAGGCTGTTGAGTCTGTTGCTGCTGTTGCTGCTGCTGCTTCGCCAGTGGCTGAAGAGGCTGTTGCTGCTTCGCCAGTCAGCCCAGAATTGGACCAAGATGCCAAAGCTTCACCGCTTATTGCAACCTTTAGCGTTGATTCCCCTTCAACGCCTGTTTCTACAACCCCAGTAATAGTAGCTCAAACTACCACTTTGGAACCAAGTGCTTCTCCAAGTGCTTCTTCAAGTGAAAATTCAGATTTTGGAAATGTCCAAGACGTTTCCTTTGCAAAGGCTATTCTTGACGCACATAACAATAAGCGTGCTCGTCATAACGCTCCTGCTTTGAAATGGGATCAAGCCGCTTATAACTATGCTCAAAATTATGCCAATCAATACAGTTGCACAGGAAACTTGAAACACTCTGGTGGTAAATTTGGAGAAAACTTGGGTGTTGGCTATCCCGATGGTCCTTCTGTTGTCAATGCCTGGTATCAAGAAGGAGACTCCTACAATTATAATGCCGCTAACGTTTTTGATCACTTCACTGCTACTGTCTGGAAGTCAACCACAAAGCTTGGGTGTGCTTACAAAGATTGTAGAGCTCAGAATTGGGGCTTATACATTATTTGCTCTTACGATCCTGCTGGAAACGTTGTTGGTAGATCGAAAGAAAATGTTTTACCTTTGAGTAACTAAAAGACACTCGAGCAGAGCGAGATAGTGTCGTAACTAGTCATTGTGCTTCACTATCGAGCAGAGCGAGATAGTGTCGATAGTGTGGTAACTAGTCATTGTGCTCCACTATCTCGCTTTGCTCGATAGTGTCGTTACATCACTAAATGATCCTTTTTTTTCTTTTTTTTAGTATTTTATCTTACAATCATTAGCAAGTCAAATAATTTCATCTCTAGTAACTCTAACAAGATTTTATCTCTACAATCTATAGAAACTTTAAGAAGGTTTCGACTAATTAAGGTTCTCCGCTCTCTCGCGGGGTACTTGATAATTTTTTTTTTCTTTTTCCCGGCTCGAGGGTGATGTTCTGGGGAAGATCAAAAAGAAAAAAAAATACTCATTACAGGGTTAATTGATAAATGTTTTTTGATAAGCGATGAGCAAATCCAGTACATTATCGGTAGACATTGTGGAGAAAACAGTTCAACCCCGACTGAAAGTGACTGACTCTTTATTAGGGACAGATACAAAAGCTGAAATTAGGGACACAATCTTGGGAAATGTTTCTGACACAGGTACTAGTATAACTACTACTGGTTCTGGTGCTGGTAATGTTGTTGGCGCAGATGTTGGCGCAGATGTTGGTACAACTGTTGGTGCAACACGCCAAAGAAGAACAGCTCTAGCGTGCATAAGATGCAGAACTCGACATATCAGGTGTCCAGGGGGAGAACCATGTAAGAAGTGCCAACTAGCGAAAACGAAATGCGAATACGTTGAAGCAGATAAAAAGATTGTTGTTTCAATGAAGTATCTTTCCAAATTACATGACGATATTGCAAGATTGAAGAAAGAGAATTCTACCTTGAGAATAGATTTGAATGAACTCAAATTTAAGCGTTCAGAGAACCTGTCTGCTTCTAGGCACCACCAGTTTAATCAACCTATGATCCCAATACATGCTACTGGGACGACATCATCAATACAAAGCTGTGATGTATCTCAGCCACAATTTTCGAATAACGCCAGTTCTGAAGTGATCAACCCATCATTGGACAAACACGGAAGGCTCATACAGTCAAGAACAGGAGAGAAAGTTTACGTTGGCTCGTCTTCGATGACTCTATTTGGATTGGAAATACAGAATATGGTGCCTTCTTTCCTTTCAAGCACATTGCTTACTGATTTTAGTGATGCATCTCCGACAAGCTCGCTAGACTCTCCACAAGCCGCACACTCTGTGGATCCATCTCACACACATCAGCAACTTCCTATGCCAACAATTAAACGAGAAAGTGAGATTTTGGAGAAAGAAGGAAACGCTTATAAGATAACGCTTTCTAAAACAAACACCAGACCAGGATTGTCCATTAATTTCTCCTTACCATCTTTTTCATACGCGATGTTGTTGGTGGATACTTTTATAAACTACAACGACGGTTGTTTCTATTTTTTCAATGAAGGTTTGGTTAAACAATTTCTAACAAATGTATACTCGGGCAAAATGGAGGAGAATAAAAAAATCTTGCATCGAAACACCAATCAAAATATGAGCGTTGGCACTGAAGGAAAGGGTACTAAAAAGCATGAGGATGATTACACGATACTAGAAACAATTTGGTTTTGCA